CTGAGTAAAGCAGGTAGTTGCGCGCACGGCCAATAGCCTTGCGGCGAGGACCTTGAGCGGCGAGAGGAGTGACGCTCCTCGACGCTCATCTCGACATCAGCACCGAAGTCCTTGGAGGACAAAAGTCGCACTGCGGAAACGGACTTTCTCATCGGCATGCTGCTGGATGCGCTCCAGTTCCGCGGAAAGTGTAGCCGGTAGGGTCTCATCTTTGCAGTCGCCGACCAGGGGCACAGATCGATCAGTTCATGGGGGTAGGACAGCTTGTACAGGAGGTCGAAGTATTTCTCGAGGTAGGGAGCAGCGTCGCGCAGGGGGGTCAGGATCAGGACACGTTCCCGGTTGGAAACGGCTTGGATAGATGACTTAATGGGGTTCAGGTTCACCTCTTTGATGGAGGAGGTGTTGAATTCGTGGGTTCACTGGTAGTTGAAGAGGACAGGGTTTGGGAGTGGGCGTTCCACTCGGACCATTATCTCGTTAAGAGACATTTCCATGGGAGATTTCGAGGAGCCATAGCAGTAGAACCTAGACACGAATGAAATATTAGGACTCGGATGCTGGGAGCAAAGTAATACAGGGTTCTGCATACTTTTGCATCTCCGACGCAGACTTGCTGACGCCGCGCCACAGAAGAATGACCAGACCGGTCACGGCCAACGAGACCAGGAACCGCGTCCGTGTGAGGAGGACCAGCACTGCCGCGCCATGGAGGCAGGCGTGATCTGGCGGATTTCCAGGTAACTCCGCCCTTGGGGAGCAACATGGTGACGATGTGATAGGAGGAAGGACGGGAGGACGGGAGTCGAATTCAGGAGCCTTTTACGGCGTCGCGGGGGGTCTCGCTGGGCACGCCCGTTCGAAAACCCCTTGCCGACCGAACGAATGAGGCCACAGAGGAGGGAGAACCACGATCGGGGGGACGAAAGTGGGAGATGCGGAGGGTGTTGCGGATAGGAGAAAGCGAAGCGGAGCAGACGAAGCCGGATCGCCGGGGCTGCCAAGCGGCCTGTCACGTCCTTTCCAATTGTGCTGCTGAGACATCTCCGACTCTACACTGCCAGTGTCATCTACAGTACATCTTCATGCTGAGGTCTTCGGACTATCTTCATCAATTATGCTTCGCACTCTGCTCTGCTCTCAGCCGTGCCCTCACATCTGAATCCGTTGGTCGAATTTTTGGACGCGGCGAGACCCTCGTGTTATTTATAGCACCCAAGGCTGCACCAGATCGTCCGGCGCAAGCCCACGGCGGAATCTACGGCGGAATCTACGGCGGCCCGATATCCAATATATCACAGAGGCGATTGCCAATATTGATTTCCTGGTAAAGATATCCCCAACTAAACCCCTGTTGACCAGCGGGGGCCATTGCGCGTTCCCGTCACATCGCCGAGCAACGACTTTCTGCGATGGCGTTGACCTCCCCCTCTGAATTACGTCTTAAGAATGAAGCTCACAAACCATGCACACGGTGAGAAATGAAAACCCGCCGGTATCAACCCCAGAGTGATGCAAGACGCTCAGATGGCATAGTTCCACCGAAATCTCCCCATCCCCGAGTCTAGCTAGGTCCAGGTCGAAGATCTAAGACGCGGGTGAAACCGTCTCGACCTGCCCGTCGACGCCTGCAGGCTAAGGTGTCGATTTTCTGCTGGGCATATGCAGGTACCGACAGCAATTCGGTTCGAGCTCCTGGAACCTGAAACAGGAGATGTCTGAATGTTGAGTTTGTCGGAGATTATATCTCAGCATATCCAGGCGGGTGAAATTTTCGTAGAGTGTGTTAGTTGCGTGCCTGCCACGTCTCCACTGCTGTGAAGTAGAACTGCTCCACACACTACGAATGTCTGGTTCGTTCCGTCTCTGGATCAGCACAATGGCTTTGCGGAAGGTCAAGATCATGAAACCTCGGAAGAGCTGGGATGTTTTACTCGTAGCGAATAAAAATAATTAAGATAAATGAAGAGAAGAGAAAGTCAGTTGGCAAGAATTCTTCAGGCTACAATTACATGTCACTAATCTTTAGCAGAAGCATACTGACGAGTTCGATGCTGCAATTGTGAATGAAGTCTACGATGCTTAATGATTGCCGTCATAATGTTCAATTGACAGTCATAAATATAAACATGAAGATTCCATGAACAAAGGAAAAACTCGAGAGACAAAACCACCCAATCGTATATATCCATATCATAAACAGCGCCAATAGACAAAAGACAAAGAAAAGTAATCACAAGTATCAAACCACCGATTTTGAACTGAAGAGAGAAGAAAAAAAAGGCCGAACGAGAGATGACAAAAGAGAAAAGTAACCACCCGAACGAAGATAGATACCAAAGAAAAACAAACCTATCGTCTCCCACGAGTCAAGATCAAATAGTGTTACAATGCAGACGCTAAGCAACGCAGCGAAGACGGAGGATTTTGAAGCCAACTAATTCGTCATGAAGACGCAGGGGAAGATAAGAGGAAAGGGTAAAGGTATCAACACCGCCGTCTGCAAGGGATAGATTCGCCTAGTGCGGGGAAAAGAGATCGGAAGAAAGGGATGAAGAAAGGGGGGGTAGGAAAAGCGGAGGGTAGATCGATCGGAGAAGAATAGTTGCAGAGTTCGTGAAGGCATCAGGGTTTCAATAGTCGGCGTGCAATCATGGTTCTGCGCTCAGGGCGAGGCCAGGAAGGACTGGCGACGCGAGGTGGAGTAGGTGAATGAGGATGATTGGGAGGGAGGAAAAGCCGGGGATGACGGGTTGGTCATCGGCGGCGTCGAGTTGAGGTAGGAGGTGCCGAAAGTCTGAGAGGTGGCACTGGAGAGAGGATCGTGGTGGCCGAAGTGGCTTTGAGCTGGGGTGTGCACGTCGGCAGGGGAGAGGTTGGCGGCAGCGATTTCGTCGCAGAAGACCCGCAGGCCGGGCAGGCCAGCCTTCTTCTGGCGCTTGTGCTCGGGGACATCAATCAGGGGCTTGGGGGAGGTGTTTTCGGTCTTGGGGGAGCGGAACATCTGCTCGTATTGCTTGAGTTGGAACTCAAGGGCGCGGTTGCGGTCTGCCAGCATCTCGTTCTCGGTCTTGGCGGCGCGCAGTTGTTGCTGGGTAGTTTGGTTCTGTTGCTGGAGGTTGGAGACTAGCTGCTGCAGCTGCATGCAGCGAACCTGGGGCTGCAGCTTCTCGGATAGTTGGGGAGTCACTTGTTCCTGGCGGATCAGGTGCACGATGATGGCCAGCATGAAGTCAATCAGGTAGACGGCGCCCTGCACGATATGCTCCTTGGATTGCGGCAGGCTCTTGGAGGGGTTCCAGCCCGCACGCTCCAGGAAGAAGTCGTGGATGCGGCTGTCGAGCTCGCGGTGCAGCTGGCTCAGGTTCTGGCGGCGGTTGCCCTCGGCAATGCGGTGCTTCTCGCTGGTCATCGGGATCGGGCGAGTCAGAGCTGCCCTTGCGCTTGCGGCCGCATAGCTGCTGCAGGGGCTGCTTGCGGTTGATGTTTTTGCGGGGCGATTAGGCTCATGATCTCGGCCTGAGAGAGATCATTGGGCCACTCGGAAGATGTCGTTTTCTGAGCGACGAAGGATTCCTGCCAGGAGCTCTCGGCGGAGTTGGCGGGCGAGGGAGGAGCCACGATCTGTTCGCCGTTGGACCATGGGGACTTGAACTGGAAGGTGTCCTGGGGTCCGGGGGTGCTGGGAGCAAATGCATCCTTGGCCTTGAAGGGGTTGAAGGGCCCGCGAGGCAACGGCTCCATGCGAGGCAGGGGAGGCAGGCGGCGGTCCTCGCCCATGTTGGAGCTGGAGGTGCCGAACGTGGTGGATTTCAGAGAGCTATTATCTAACATTAGCTCAATTTTCATCTTAATTGATTATGCAGTGTGTACTCACGGAAGTGAGCAGCGTCGGGGGATGTCGTCAGTCATAGAACCCATTTGTTCATACATCGTGGTAGGTCGTCAAAGATATAAGGCGTGATAATATGTATGTGCAGGAGGCGAGGGCGTCAAAGGGGTGCGTCGAAAAAGCGAGTCCAAAGCCACCGAAATCTATGTACGAGGAACCAAAAACAACAGGACTATACAGTAGTCCTTTGACGTATTGTCACGGGCGATGAGGTATCGAGGGGTCGCAAAGCACAATGGCAATGTATATGCACAAGACAAAACGTGTCAACAAGGGTGTTATGGACAAAGAAGGCGAGGGGATTCGAAATCCACGAGGCGAAGACAATGAGTGAGACACTTGCAAAGGGATATGGGGGCTGGGGTCGCATGTTTATATGTTTGAGGGGCGAGTACTTTTGGAGCGTAGCATGTATCAATGGAGACAATGGGGTCTGGCGAGGAGGTGCTCGGGACTCCCGTCCTGCTTCAGGCCCAAGAGGGGGGACCATGAACGATCAGGGCCGATCATGGAGCGGATGTCATACAGTTGCGCCGAGCGCAGCGGACCCACGGCCACGACGGGGAAGCGAGGCAGGGCTCCCGGGAGGCCCAAATCGCTGGAACGGGAAACGCAATGGAAAATATTCGAAAAAATGAAAGCATTTTAAAATAAGAATAAAAAAAGAACTCTGGTATCTGTCACATCCTGCACAGACGAACCTCGTCGTCACCAACGAGCTGATCGGCGAATCACGCCGCCCACGATCGTGCCCGAGAGGCAGGTTCACGACGAGGATCGCAGCGGGTCCGCGGCCCTGATTTGTCACCAGAATGCCGGTGCCATCGATCGACACAGGGGACTTTGTGTTGAGAATTAGTGGTGCTGTTAGCGGTGCTTAGGGCCAGCGCCGGCTGGTCCTTGCATCAATAGTCCCCAATTAATGGCACCGCCCAGCTTATCCATGCATCACGAACGGTTTGGGAATCCTCCGCGTCCATGTGGATGTGACTGTTCACAGTATACCCTCGAAATACCTGTCGACTCCTGCCTACACTATGCGGAGGGCCCGCGAGCAACAGGTACCTCGCCCGCTCGGTACGTACCTGCTTCTAGACTGTGGGAAAAAAAGGAACCATCAAATCACAAACACAATGAGATACACTTTGGGCATGCAGCGTGCATATTCCGGATTGAAGTTGAACATCCCCGTTCCGATCTAGATGCATCTTGAAACGCTCGCTGCAAAGTTCTGTAGCACCGGTTCGTCGCGATGCCGCGTCGATATTCAGGAGAACCTGCCCTGGTCGTGCGGAGTTTATCGAATGCGATAGCATCAAGGGGGGCGGGGTGGGGGAAAGTACCCCTCGATGACCCCTCGATAATCAGAAAGAGTTCCATTAGAGTAAATAGAATGAAGCAAGGACCCCAAAGGTGTCTTCGTGAGACACGCGAGGAGGTTCGCCGCTGATTAGGGGCTTCATTAGACACGATCTCGTCAAAGCAGCCTCACCCTACAGCTCGCTAATTGCCAGTATGACATCGGCTCGGTGGAAGAGGCAATTGATCATCAGGACACTCATGGCGTAATTATTCAATGATCAATCAGCGTTGGTCGACCAGGATGCACCGTCTATTGTTAAATTGTTTAATCTCGTCAATTATCCAGGGGATCCCAGCAGGTCTCGCCAGGAAAATAAAACCGCAATGATCGCTCGAGGCAACCCAGCGAGCTGGGACCGGGGATCCAGCGACCAGGATACGTTTCCTGTCAGTCACCGAATCAAGGCGATCGCAGGTTTATTTGGAATCACTTAGGATTGCCTAAGAAGGGAAAGCGTCACACGGACGATGGGGCTTTAGGAGGGCCCCAGGGAGCGCCCATACTGAGAGTCGTAGGAGGAGGAGGAGGTCGAGGAAGTACCGTTAGAGGTGTTAGGGGGAGGTCACGGGGCGAGCCCTACGCTGGCACGTTCCGCCTTCAGCCCGCTCTCAGCCAGCGCTTGGCCTTGTTCCGATGGCACATCCCTACCACCGCACCGCCATAGGCCTATCGACGCTGGCCATCCCGTGCTGCGTGTTCGCTAAACTCGCCCGGTGGGTCGTCGCAAGGACCGGGTCCCTTGGGATCGGAGCTGTCATATTTGCCCGTCCCGCTGGTCCCATAGCTCCTCTTAGCGGCGCACTAGTCCCCACGTTCTCCTACGCACAGAGGGAAGAGTCTCTGGAATCCCGGTAGAAGGCTGGAATCGAGTAGGACAGAAACGCTTGGGATTAGGGCTGACACTCCTGACACTTATGACACTTTCCTGACATTTGTGTCATCGGCTTGCCGAGGAAATTGGCTACTACTATAGCGGATGACTACTGTGCCTCTACTTGCAGTACTGAAGGATCCTATGGCTTCCCCCCTCGCCACCACCACTGCATTTCATCTAGTGCAAACCCACCGAGACAATTTGTGATACTTGCATACGGCACCTTCGAAGGGGGTCCCCGGCTGCGCCTAGGAACAGTTTGCAGACGGCACGCAGGAGCAGCTGCAGGTGCACTCGAGAACGACCCAGGCACGAACCTCTCTATTAGATCCAGATCCAGATCTGACGAAAGCGGCAAACTCACACTCCCCCAAAACAGAAAATTCTCCCAGGGAGGGAAACTCACATATAGCCTTTTCCGAGTCTTCCCGGACCCATCGAGTCGATGTACGAGAGATCTTTCGGTTCTTGCGTCTCCCTGCCTGCCATTTCGAGTGGTGTGCAGCCCTTGTCTCCACCGGGATATGCACTCCGGATGATCCGACAGGCATGTCGGGACACAATGGCTTGGATTTGAGTTCACAAATCAGAGATCATCGACCCTGATCCCTGGGTCCGATTCTAAGTTCGCTTGCCTGTGTGAGCGTGGAGGATCTCCTGTTCCTGTTCAGAGATCGTGAGAGATCGGTCTCGGCGTAGATACACTTGCTACAAAGTGTTCTCCTCAATTTCAAACTCACCTGGCACAGCATATCGGGTCATGCATTTCCAGGGCCTGGATGAGGGTCGTTCGGATGCTCCACAAGTATCACCTCCGCCTGGGGCTAATGGGATCCCTTCAGCTGACCTCCTCCTCACGCCAGTTATTCCCAATAGTAGCCAGTAGTTGACTCAGCCGCTGACCCGCCGCGACCTGTCACTCAACCGTCGATGACAGAGTGGGGAGTGCGATAGGATGACGTCCATCACTCTGTTCCGTCCACACAGAAGCCCTGGAAGATGCCCCTGAGTCTTATTCTAGAGATAGTGACCGTCTTTCTCATTGGCACATCTCAAATTCTGTCTCGAATGCGAGCGATGCACTGATCAACCCTACAACAATGGGTCTTAGATCTGCCAAGAATAATGCGCCGCATAAGTACCCGTTCATGCATCCTGCAAGATCTATGTCCCTTTTGTTGAGTTTTCTCGCAAGTATTACGCAGCTGCTCATGTAGCTCTACCCACTGCTGCGGCCTCCTCTTCCTAGCCGTACGAATGTCGACGCAGAGGCGAATGCACATTACGTGTGGGCTTTCGATCGGTTTCTTCAGTCAGAGATCCGATCTGCTAGTGTTCAGACTTTTGCGAGCTGTACGAACACCCTCGCACTCCCCTGCACCCGTGGGTAAGCACAGTAGCTTCCTGTTCGTGCTTTTGTGGGAATTGTGTTCCGCGTCCACGTAGCCTCGAGCCTCGGGTGGCGGGCGTGGCATGAGTGCTCTCGTGGTAGGTTTACTCGGTACAGTACAGTAAAAGGGAAGCATGGGTCGTAGGAAGGGATGTGCGGTCTCATTTAGTCATTGATAGCACTTTCAGTGTCATCATCATTATCGTTCAAGTCTATTTCCCATACCACTAGACTCCCTACTGTAGACAGAACTCACTATCTAACCTTGGAAGGGAACAAACCCTAACATGCTACTAATGAACGTGAATCCCCTCATGCGCAACAATTATTGTATTTCCTACATAGTATCGATCGAGTCAGTCGCCAGAGCAAGGGGAGACATCAAGGAATAGTGATGGTCCCCAATGTCATCCCGTGTGAATCGTAGATGACATATGTCCGGACGGAAACGCACGTCCAAAGGTACGTACATTAGCTCGAAGCCAAAGCAAAAGGGAAAAAAAAGGATTGATGAGGACACGATTTCTGGGGATTCTTACAATAGTAATGTACCTCCTAAGCAGTATACAGCAGTAGTGTACAGGTACGTGGGTCACTCCGCACCGAGGGTTCGGGACGCATGGAAGCACTCATTCCCAAAAAGAATTCCCCGAGTTGTTAGCCTGGGTCGGCAAGTGGTCCTGGATGCGTTGGCCAACTGCAAGGACTACAGGTACCATACAGCTCTAGTAACTGGGCGGAGGCAAAGTATGTGCAGTGCATAGTACCGTACATCTTTTGGAGGGTTAATATTCTAGGCTGCGGAACTCAAATTCGCCGCATCTGACATATCCAGTTCTCGCACTTCCCCGAGATCCTCGCCCGTGGAGTTCGAGCTCGATCGCGGCCAGGGGGGTTATTGCCATTTGCGCGTTCCTACATGATGCTCGAGCGAGGAGTCCCCATTACCTGGATGGCAAGTTGCCTCCTATGCAAGGCGAAGGTCCTCCGGTGGGCCGCTGCGTCCGAATTCAGGTACCCTTTTTTCCACATGTGTCGCGGATCTGATGAGAAAGTACGACTGACGTACGGCTTTCCACCTGTTCGGTCGATTCTCTGGACTCTGCACTGAAGCTACACTTACTCCCCGTCCTGGGCTGGAGTATGTACACTGGAGTGTCTCCACAAGAGGCCAACTCAGCATCACGACTCCACGGTTCATGGCCCACGACGGACTTTTCCGTTCCACCGAGGAGCCGATTTAGAATAGCCCCTGCACGCGAGACTCTTACTTTCCTGTGAAGAATGTGGATGGGGCATTGTGACACCCGTTGTGCTGGCCCGCGATATGGACAGTGGCTCAGCCAGGAGGAGTTGCACCACAACAGAACCTGGCAGTCCAAACCCCGACTTTCAATGATCGATGGCACTAGCCATAGATCAAGCTTATGATCAGGTGTCCAGAGCCAATCGTCCGGGCGTTCGGTGCGTCATCACTTCTGTTCAAAAGTTAATCGTTCTGGCTCTGCGCGTAAGGGTCAGGGTCCAAGGAGCCACCATTGCCTTTGCAGAGCAGCTATTCCCACATGATCATCATTGAGCTGTCCAAAGGACCTACATACCTACGTAGCTTTGGTAGGGAATGGGAAGAAAAGGTCCTCCGCGACCCAATTCCCTGGACGATCGCAGCTAAGAAAGTTAGTCCCGGGTCGAACACGAAGTTCCAGCCTCTTGGGACATCTCAGGATACCAGCAGACTAGCACAGCCAGAGGCTGGATCTGTCACGAAGTTAGTCGTGCAGGCACGATCGTGGGGATCCAAAAATGAGGAACAGCGGGTCCGCGACATGGAGCCCGCCCCTTCTCCACACGTCGCTTCCTTGCTTTGCTGCTCTTCTCTGTTCTGCTCCAACTATTCCTGCTCCCTCATGCAAATGCAAAATAAGATCACTGATCGCTAGTTCGTCACTCCAGAAAATTGCATCAAATCCAACATAAAATCTAGATCACTTTTGTGTGCTCCAAACACCCGTCTTCGAGCAAAATGCGACCCAGCCACCGACGATCCCCAAGCCTCACCTCGATGCCATCTACCATTTTCCCTAGGGCAGAGCCCCGCTCCTCTCCCGCTCCCCTTCTTGGCTCTCCATTGGCCATAGGCAGGGAAAGAGAACAGAGCTGTGCGCGCCTATTCAAAGCTAAAGGCCCATCTGGCGACATCCACCATCACTCGGGTTGCTTAGAAGCCTCTCCGCCGATCCAGAAACAAAAGAACCATTTCCCCTCCCATGGATCCTTTGGATCCTTCTGAGCCCCCTATCGGAAGCGGACGTGGATCCCGCGCGCACTAAATCATGCTAATAGCCTGAGACCCAGCGGAATGGGTGGCCTCGATCTTTGGGCTGCATGACACTGCTACTTGAGACGCACATGGACGGAAACGAAACAAGCGGGGAAGAGAGTCTTTCTGGTCTTTGCTTTTGCTGTCTAGCCGAGGTCTTCCATTCGTTCCAAATTGCTTTTTTTTCGTTAACCACCTACGTAATGTACAAGTACTTACTCCTGGAGGTACCTGAATGTACCGCCCACTAAGAGCAACGACTGTGAGAGCCAGGATGAACCACTACGACGTATACCTGAGGAGGATATATTAAACTAGTCTAAAATGGAAATTTTCGCGTCTGTGCCACGAGGAACCACGCCACAAAATCCCCCGGCGCCCCAGCCCACCCACCACTTTAAGGTACCCAATTGTAGTGTAGTCACCACTGGAGTGAAGATATATATGGTCGGTAAAAAAATCCAAACTTTGCGACGCGATCTGACGGGTCTCACGATCTAACCGATCCTTTTTGCAAGTGATGATCCGGAGTCATCTTCCCTTCCAAAAGGTTCCATACAGCCTTGTGCGATGCAAATGCCGCAGAATCGTAGTAAACTTCGGAGTCTACTTTCTGCCGCACCAGCACCAGCCACCCCAACCCCCAACACTATGACCGCTGAATCACGAATCAACCACGATGCTACCACACCCACGGAATCAGATCTTCACGCTCTAACTCAATTCCAGCCACCGGCTCTCGGTCAGCCCGGAATGAACCTCGGTCTCAGTCTAAGCCTTCAAAGCTCTGGTGAATTCTTCCCCAAATCCATCCAAACCCCGGCCTTCAGTTGGGCACCCTCCCGTCCAGTCTAATTGCAAGCCTCGGTTTACAAGTACCACTACCACTTGTAGTAGGACACCCACGTCCAAACTGATAGCCCTGATCTGACCGGACCCGTCGAATGGGTCCAGATGTAAGCCCACTTCGGTCCACTGCTCCCGGTCTACTTTGGGTGTACTGGGGGATTGAGCGGGGCAAACTTGATGCAGGCCTGCAGACAGGAAACACTCCACGACAAAGTTTTCACTTCCAGGTGAGGGGAAGGTAGATTCGTTTTCCGACGTTAGTCCTCATTCACCTCGGGAGGTTCCGTGAAACATCGCTTGAGGCATATGTGATACCTACACTACCTACCCTAGGGTGCCTACCGGTGCTAGGTCCCATACGAGTGTAGTGTGACGGGATCGTCTGCTGTGTGCTAATGCAGTCCACTGTCGATGCAATGCGGGTTGAGGGTGTGATCCCGGTTCTTGGGATTGAGATCGAACCGTGCTACTATGGAGGGTGGCACTGCTCGGGGATTCCCGTCTGATGTGACATCGGTGTTCGTACTTTGGTTTTTGTGTCTGCTACACTGAATTGTGTGTCGATGTAGATCGACGGTGACGTGTTGCACCGGGTGTACTACACTGGTGTAATGTGGTTGAAGTCATCCGTGATGTCCCGATATATATTATGCTTGACCGCAGATGGAGGGTTTAGATCCCGAATTTCTGGCAGCGTGTAGTGATTATGTGCGTGTATCTCTATCTACTTAATTTTATTGCTGCAATTATTTCTGTGCATCGTTCTAACATCTGAAGGGTAGGATATGACTACGGACCAGCTGATCACCATCTAAAATGCTTAGATGGTGTCGTATCTACACATCAGTCCACGTAACGATGAAGCTAATTCAAAACCTTGCACCCACTACGTAGCACATAGATTAGCACCACAATAGATTTCACGGAACAGAATATTATGTATTTCCAGCGACATCTGAATTCAAATACTCCACTACCTAATTGAGAGCTCTACGTCAACCTCGGCCACGCCCACGAAAATCAGACACGCGATTGAAAAATCAGAATCAAAATCAACCCAGTTTTCAAAGTATCACAATGAGTAATCGATAGGGCGAGCGTAGGAATTTGCTAATTCATTCCTTATGAATGAGAGGACTGCAGACCCCTGCTGGCTGCAGATGGAATATGATATCAAAGATTGATTTGAAATGGTGCACCAGTGTGAAAATCGCATCTGCTAAGCGAAACGCACATCGAAAAACATATCCATGGGAAATTAGTGAAGGCTGGAGTTGCAAAGACCGTCAAGGCCAGACATTCATTCCTTTCAGTAAAGTACTAGCTGGGGGTCATGTACATTCGTTCCAGACATTGCGTTGCGTTGCATTGCACTCTCCCTAGGTATGGTCATGCGAGGGACCGGACCATAACATTCTCGCTTGCATCTTCGACTGAGTGAAGGACAGGGGTCAGGGGGATCGGGATAGACATGGGATACCTACACTCTTGACCTAGACAGGATACCTGACTGCCCTACATTGTGATTACAAGGGACCGGCATCCAGGAGCATCGCACTCACAACAATACTTAGCTCAAAAGTGTAAAGTACACTACGCACTACTTTTGAATTCCAACCACGAGATACAATTGCAACCGAATACATTCAAGCTTCACGCATCACGCTCAGCTTCGGTAACGACAATATCGAGACAGTCAAGGAATCAAGGGGGGTAATGGGGTAATATAAAAAGTAAACTCCTTTCCGATGGAAACGGTGACGGGGTAGCCTCCAGAGGACAGAATTCATATGGCGAATTTTCCCCACAAGGAAGACGGAAATTATTATCATAAGAACAGCAGTGTAAGACGAAAAAATGAAACCGTTGCTTGGTGGAACTCTGCATCTACAATCTTTGGCCAAAAAACAACTCTTCTTCCCTTTCCTATCCCCAGTTCAAGACTCTTCGCTTAGAAGAGCTGAGCAAGGGCGTAGAAACCGGCGGCGATACCGGCGGCGGTAACGGGGACACCGTTGGCAACGGCGGCTCCAGAGCTGGAGGTGCCGGTGCTGGAGCTGGAGGTGCTGCTGGAGGTGCCGGACTTGCCGTTGGCGGTGCTAGGGTCGGTGGTGTTGGCCTTGCAGTGGAAGGTACCCTGGATGATGTCGCCGCGCATCTTGCGGAAGCTGGAGCAATCGAACTTGCCGTTGGTGGACTGCAGGTTGAAGCCACCAGAGACCTCCTCAAGGGAACCGAACTCGACCCTGTAGAGTGTTAGCATTGTTCAATTCTAAAGAGATGGGGGAAAAATCGTACTCGTCAAAGGTACCGCTGAAGTCAATGGCACCAGTAACCTTCTCGAGCTTGGGCAGGTCAATCTCGGAGAGCTTGTCGTTGCGGGCGATCTGGAAACCACCGTTGACCTTGATGAGAGCGGGCATGGAGATGTCGTTCAGCTTGGCGTTGTTCATGAACACCAGGTCACCAGTGCTGGTCAGGTTGGGGGCGGAGAACCGCTCGAAGTCAGTGGCGTAGATACCGAGGGAGCCAGACAGCTTCTCCAGGGAGGGGATGGAGATGTTGCTGACGTTACGGCAGGTCAGGTTCTTGCCAGTGCCGAGGTTGGGGAGCATGATCTCCAGCTCGTCGTAGTTGGAAGCGAAGGTGATGTCGCCGGTGGCGTTCTTCAGGTTGTTGACGTTGACGGTCTTGAGGTAACGGTTGTTCTCAATGTCGAACGCACCGACGGTCTCCAGGGTGATACCGTCCAGGGAGCGGAGCTTGGTGTCGTAGATGTAGACATCACCAGCGGAGGTGACACCGGAGTCGAAGTTCAGGGACTCCAGAGCGGGCAGGACCTTCCAGTCCAAGGAGCCGACGGAGGACAGCTCGGACAGAGCCAGGTTGGAGAGGGTGGTCAGCTCGACCATCTTGAAGGTACCGGTGATGGAGGAGAGCGACTCGGCAGTGAAGGAGGTCAGGTCGGCGGTGCGGTTGATGAACAGGTCACCGTCGATCTTCTTGACACCAGACAGGGTCAGGGTACCGGAGTACTCGGAGGAGACGGTGATATCACCGTCGATGGTGGAGCAGCTGCTGAGGCTGTCGGCATCGCTCTGGGAGGCAATCTTGGTGCTACCGCCTGTGGAATTTATTAGTTGTTGTTCCCGGGTCACTTCTGCTTGATCGTCCATTCATATTTTTGAGGTGCGGATGTTGACTTGGATCTGAGGGTAGGGGGTGTACTCACAGTCGTCGGAGGCGAAAGCCATCTGGGAAGCCGCCAGCGCGGGCAGCAGGTACTTGACGAAAGACATTGCGATGTACTCTGGCGGGATGGTTAGAATTGGCTCGGATTCTTGGCTCGCGGATGGAGTGTTGGGCCGGGCGCGCGGCTCGACGAAATCCAGGGGGAGGTAGGGCAAACGTACTGATGATAGAGAATTAAAGGAGGATGTGGTTCGAACGAGTGTAGAGAAGATCGCGACTCGGAGAGTAGCGAAGCGCAAGTGACCCAGGAGGAAAGAACGAATGGACGGGGATGGGGGGAAGAAGAGGAAGGAATAAGAAGTTGGCAGGAAAGGAGGCCGGTGGAGATTTCCTTTAGTGGATGGAGTGGCTCCGTACCGGTTATAAATACGATACCAACACAGTACCGAATCCGGCGGCGCAGACGGGGAATCCTGTTTATTCTCGCTGGGCCCCGTTTCCGTCCAAGTCGCCCGTGCGGCCCCCCCTGGCTCCGAGTGGAGCATTCTATCTCACGTGTCTGGAACGAATCGGGGTGGGAGTATACACTGGCAGCGTATACAGTTGATTTGATATTATATAGACATTGAAATCAAGTGTAAAGTATAGGATATCATTACGCATAAGAGAGTTGCGAATACGGGAGCAGAGGTCTAGGGTGTGCAAATAAAAGTTCACGTTGTTATTTACCGTATCATACATAATACACAATCTGCGATTGCCACCGCAGTGTTGTACAACATCGCTGGCCACTTGCCCGTTTGAATGCCTTTGTGTCCCAATTGTGCTACTTGCGGTCGCACTTGGACCTAAAGACTATATAATATTCAGCGACCTGCTTCAATTCTATCCAGCCCTTCAATTGGGCTCTCCTTCCAAGAATTCTCGCGACAACTATACCAGCGTGAGTGTACCCATTTATTTACATCTAGTAATCGACCAGTCAACTCCATTGGCCCCATCCGTATCTATCGCCTGTATAGCTGTCGTCATACATGCACCCAAGCTCAACGATGGCCCCTGATCAGCACTGCTGCCATAACCAAATTCCTTTGTACAATGTACCTGAGGGCATGCACAATCCTGCAGAGATAGACGTACTCCACCTCACTTCAGGCACTCCCAAAACAGCGAAATTGATCTGGCCTTGCGGGCAGCCGGAGCGATCTAAATTTGCAGGAATTCAAGCCTTTGGCGGGCCCGCTGCCCCCTCGCCGCTATCGTCGACGGACGCGGCATGCGAGCCCTGTGATTGGCACGCACGCATCATTCGCCCTGGATTAATGTCAATCCTTATTCCGCCAACGTACGGAGCTGCGTACGGCGATCTACTTGCTAGTTCACTGCACATGTATCGACCAGCAAGCTGGTAGGTACTAGGCTGTACGCTGTCCATCTTTATCTGACACGCCCTCTCGCATCTACCCAGCCCATCAGACGCGACGGGAGAACTCACCCGGCGGAAATCCCCTGAGCAACACTTGCACTACTGGAGACTTACATATAGCGGAGCTGGCTCGACGCAAAAGTAGCCTTTCGAGTGGCAAATGCGATCGCTCCCCGAAGTCTGCTTTTTCACAATTATTGTTCGTCTACCTCCACTACTACCCTAGGGTAGCTACGTCCTCAGGTACTGTTTTTATTCGCCGACCGGGATTGTTTCACTTGTGTCTGGCAATAATAAGCTGTGTTTATTTTGGTTCGCGTGTCAGGGTCCCATCCAAATTTGCGACAGGCCTGTGCTCGTCCTTGCGAATATTAATATTATTCTGACCCCCGAGTCGCTGCAGCTCGCCTGTCACTCTGAATAATTGCGGCGATCGCCCGGCTAGAGCTTCAGATCGACATTCTGACAATACCTATCCAGCAGGTTTCCCGGGAACTTTCTACGTACCAGCTGTACACAAAACTACTAACTCCCAAGAGATAGCCTTCCTAACTTTACAGAGATGATTATTTGATTACTTTGTTGACGATAACAATCACAGTGGTCTCGCAAAGACGCAGGCAACTGCTCTCGCTTGTTTTGGTCACATCGCGCCATTCCAAAATACATTAATACATTAATGTACGGTTCGCCCGTTCGCGAAATTTTGTTTCAGATCGCAGGCTGTTGACTTGCTCCGCCAGGCCTCGGGGCGCTCTCGTCTCTCCACCGACTCCACCAGACCATCGCTTACCACTTATGCCCATTATTCTCGCATACACTGGAGGGTAGGGTATGAACTGGACGACGCAGATACTTATTGAGGGTCTTCGCCTGCCGGGCGAGATATTTCCCGTCGACTCGTACTTTCTGCCCGTCCTTTTGCACGCCACGACTATCCTACATGTACTTAAGCGAGTCCTAAGGAAGCTAGTTACGCTCAGGACTAGGAAAGTCCAGACTCGTCCGTGCATACACTCGTTCGTTCTGTTTCAACCAACCCATAATACATACTGCCAACTCGGCAGCTCGGCTCCATGGCATTTGACTCACATTCCACAGCCGGGCTGTCTGCCTGATGCTTCTTTTTTGGGGTTCTGGAATGTGTGGGAACGTGGGCCTGGGGCGAACAAGGAGTTGTGATCGTGAACGTAAATAGGGGGAGGCTGGGATACATTCTCCAGGCGAGGTCATCTGGACTCGAACTTTGTAGACTCTGTAGAGATGATGGTAGGCCGGTTCGGGTTAGACGGGCAACTGCTGGTTGTCGTCAAGCGAAGCTTTTCGTCGTGGACTTCGCGACGCCATCGGTCGGGCTGGGAATCCATTGTGTTTGAGACTGGCCCACGCTATCAAGTCTGGTCTGACACTTTCTTCCCCCGGTCAGAACTAAGATCCGATGCTGTGACTGGCGGATCCGAATTACACAGCGTGGTCGATCAGCGATCTCCACTGGTGGCTTTTTCTTCCCTGTCGCTTTTCCAGTAAGTAAAGGTCAACAACCTGGAGAAAACACTAGCAGCGCTGTCTAGACTGCTGACGCAAGCCTCCCGTACTGGGGCCGACATTGGCTTGTCGAGATACCGCGCTAAGTGTTTCGCGTCCTTTTGCTGCGCCAATACCCTACCTAGCAAAAATGGTGGTGTCGGTTCCTTGAATCGTCCGGCCCACTGGGCTGGTGAGCGAAAGGACCGTTGGGATCGGGCCCTGCGGGCTATCCGTGGATCAGCTTAAATCGAAGCCTTGCACTCGTACACTCGTTGGGACGCGGAAGATGAACCTTGGGTTATCGACGAGCGGAGTAGATTCGATCCAATCGTGCGTGTGTATGGCATACAACTGTATTGATCTATCCATGGGCGCGCTGTACGGTCATACCACCCATTGGTTTTGCTGTCGGCGTGAAAACCCGATGTGCAGCTGGAAGACTGTTAGCCGAACATTTCGCTCTTGGCTGTCGCGATTGCGCGGGCTATTAATAGATGGGGGTGCTGGTTGATGGCGTACGTCTTGATTGGTTGGAGGGATGTCTACCAGAGGGACCAGTTGCATGTTTTTGCGCAATTAATGTCCAGCGTGGAAGGTGCATTGTGGCTGGGGCAATCGAACTTGGCAGTCCTTTTGAATGTTCAATTGCTTTTCTTATTTGGTCAATACAACTCCAAGAGTTTGGGGGCTCTTGATATCAGCGCGCAGGTGTTCAATCACTGTGGGAACTGGCCAGTTGGGTCCGCGCCATCATATGGTCGTCAAATCACGGTCACGGTCTCTTGGGGCATGAAAGGGTTATTATCAGTTCTTTCGTTGCATGGTGCATGTCAATATTACTTATATGAAATGACTAATGATTTCTTGACTTTGGATTATTACTTCACGCAATGTTGGATATATATTCCTATCATCTCATCAGGAAGCGGGGTATTCAACACTTGGGGATGAATTGCTAGGATGAATCAATAAGGGTGAAAGTGGAGATGGAGTTGAATAAAGAAGACTCTCAGATAAGCACACATAAAGAATAATAAGAAAGCTGATCCCCAGCCGATCTGCATTACAATACATTTGAACCGTGCGAGTTGAAGAACCAACGGGGCGCTGGAGCTGCGAGACGCTTGGCATGCGTCGATCGGGAATCTGGGGGCAGCATCTCCCCTCGACCGCAACCTCCACTGTCAAGCAACCTCAGATTTGCACCGCTTACCTCTTCAAGTCCATTACAAATCCCTACCTCCATCGTCCACACTCTTCTCTGGCGCAACATGTCCCTCAGACGCTCAGCCCGACTGGGTGCCATCCCAATCCTGCAGCCAGAGCAGATTCCAGCAACGAAGAGGACCAAAGTCCAACACAGCGGCATCACCAAGCCCCGCAAGACACCCGCAACGAAAAAGGCCACACCAAAGACGCCAGCCATCGCAACAACGGCTTCAACAAGCTCCTACTGGGATCCAGCACCGGCAACAGCACCAACCCAGAAAAACCAAGTAACTAACAACAGACACCTTACACCACCCCCACTAGACCGACCCGTCGATCCGCACCGAACAAACGCAACCCTCCTAACACCCCACGGCTCCTCAATAAACGCCTACCCAACCGCCTCCGAAGCCTCGCCCTCGAAAACCGGCCTCCCCCGCCCCATCGCAACAACAGGAACCCTCCTCGAGCAGGGCCTCGCCCACCTAATCGCAACAGACCCGCGCCTCAGACCCGTCATCGAAGCTCACCCTTGCCCGCTCTTCTCACCCACTGGACTGGCAGAGCAAATCGACCCCTTCAACAGCCTGACAAGCAGTATAATCGGGCAACAGGTCTCCGGCGCCGCGGCAAAGTCCATCAGGAATAAATTCCTTGCATTGTTCAATCTGACTGATCCTGAGGGGATTGCGCATTCGCGGTTCCCGACGCCGGAGACTGTTGCTAGGTGTGAGATTGCGACGCTCCGGACGGCGGGATTGAGTCAGCGCAAGGCGGAGTATATCCAGGGGTTGGCGAAGAAGTTTGCGGAGGGGGAGCTGAGTGCGAGGATTCTGGCGACGGCGTCTGATGAGGAGCTTGTTGAGAGGCTTACGGCTGTTAGGGGGTTGGGGAAGTGGTCTGTTGAGATGTTTGCTGTTTTTGCGTTGAAGAGAATTGATGTTTTTTCGACAGGAGATTTGGGGGTGCAGTAAGTTTCGTCCCCTTTTATATGAAGTTTTATTGCCCCTATTTTGTTGAGGCGGGAGCTCTATATGTCCTCCATTTGGAGTTGTTCTTGATTGCTGCGAGCTATCGAGTGCGGGTATATGTCGAGACAATAGCTGACTGATCACAGACGAGGATGTGCGGCTTTCCTCGGGAAAGATGTAAATAAGCTCAAGGCAAAGGGCGGTGGTAAGTTCAAATATATGGCCGAGCAAGATATGTTAGAGTTGGCTGCGAAATTCGCGCCGTACAGGTATGTCTACTTCACCCGGCAACAAATGGGGACGAGATCTTGGAACTAAAATCGATTTTGACAGGAGTCTTTTTATGTGGTATATGTGGCGGATTGAGAATGTTGATGTGGCTGTTCTTACGGGATGAGAGAAGACATAGTGGTGTATCTGACATCACATTGTCTGAGCTATGCTCGAGTTTCGAGAGAATGGATGTATAGAGCAATTGTATTCCGAGCCTATGTAAAGCGGGAAGCGACACAAGTCCTTAAATTCGATGATCCAGAGTCCCTATTTTCATTGTGACATTACCTCCGATTGTACCTGAGGGCAGGGATAGAGCGAAGGCGATGATGACACGAGCCTGTTGTAAAGGTTGCACCTGGTTAAGTGCAGCAGCATGGCGATCAAGATGTTTACAATACTCACCTTCGTAGTCGTCGAGAAAGATCCTTCGTATCAAGGCAGAACAAGAAAATTGATTTGTACAGTATCAGTACAGATAGCGGATTAAGCATCCCAAACGGCTGGTTAAAATCCATCGCCAAAAATAAACCATCTATTCATGCAACAACAAAACCCCATCGCGCACTCATCTTAGTGGCTTTTCATTCAATCGCAACAGGGGAGGAGGTCCATCCGGAAACGTTTACTTGCGCACGACGAGGTTGTCGAGCTCAGCGCGCTCCTTGTTCTCCTTCTCGATCTCACGGATGATCGGACTGAGGTACTCCTTGTCCTAATTGACACAGAATATTAGCATTGTGTTGGGTAGGGGGTGGTAAAGGTGCTCAGGGTCCGGGGTCATATGTGACAAATCCTCGCAACAGGATTGGCCAATATGGGGATGGATGCGGGGAGGGCGAAATTTGGATGAAGACGAAAGCGAAGATAACATACCTCCTCGGGCTTGATCTGCTCGTTGGCGGGAAGAAGAGTGTGGGAGATGGAGCACTGCGATTAAGAGGTTCTCGTTAGCCCATTGTTCAAGTTGGTTGCTGGCCGGGGAAGGGGGTCGGGCGAACCTGGAAAGCACGGCGGATACGGAAGACACGGTCGTAGGCTTCCTTGGCGGGGAGACGCTTGATGGCCTTCTGGACGGTCTCGCTCTCCTCGGGGATCAGGTCGTCGAACCTAAAGGGGCATGGGTTAGCATTCGTCGTGACAAAAAAAGTGTCTGCCGCGGATTATCGGAACTCCTGGAACGGGGCCATTGCGACTGCGACTGCGACCACACGGGTTCGTGGCGACGATTGGTAAGGATTGTCTCTGTAGTCGCACGCGCCACAGTGGTCCAATTGCCCTTCGAGTTTTCGCGGTGGACAGGAATTGACGGCGGAGGGGGCGATAATTACTTCAGTCCGAGTCTCCGGTAGCCGGCAGCGTCGGTGTACCAGTTGGCCAGAGGGGTCATCCAGCGCTTGAGCCACGGGCGCTTGACGATGTAGTTGGTGATCGAAGGAGCAGACATTTTGGATCCGGGGTATCCAATTGACGTGGGATGGAGAAGGAAAGGGCGGTCCGACTGAACACGAGATGACCCGATGTTGCGAGGTTGTGCAAAACGGAGCTTGCGGAACTAGGCTCGATGCGGCAACTTTACGCCTCAGGCACTCAATGCGGTTCACGTGACTACCCGACCCCTGCCTGAGGCCGCGGGGAGGAATGCCAATCGGTGACTCCACCTCGCACCACCCAATTCCCCAGCTCAGAATCGCCAGTTTCCTCGCTCTCGCACTTTTTGCATCTCGTGGTTCTTTGGATCATGGGGACTTCTATTTCTTGAGGTGCATTCAAAATCCCTTCCGCGGGGAGCTCGCTTTGACAGGACGACCCTCCCCCACACCGTCCGTGCTGCACAGGGTACATCGCATTCAACCACACCGGTTCGGTAACCATCGGCTCCATAAAACTCTCCTCGCTCGAACCCCCGTGGTTTCCTCGCATTTTCCTCCAACACTCCAGCTCCGACTGTGAAAAACCTCCTCAATCCGCTCCTTTTTCTACACGATTTGACACCGCGGCGCTTCTCCGGATCGCGCACCCGATATGCTCGGGTCCCGGGTTCCTCGGTGATCAAGACGGACAGACAAGCGTGAGCGCCTGCCAACACACACACAACAATGCGCTCCGACGGCAGAGGCAGCACCGAAGCTGCCAGCAGCTCTTTTGGACCGCCATCGAGCTTGGACTCACAAAATGCCGCCTCGTCCGCCCCCCACGTGCCCGTCGCCGGTGCGACGTCAAGCTCCGACTTCACCACCCGCATGGAAATTTGGTCTACGCGGGTTCCCAACTTCTACATTGCACCCTTCTGCGGAGCTAGCGCAGGCGTGGCTTCGGGAATCGTGACCTGTCCCCTGGATGTCATCAAGACGAAGCTGCAAGCCCAAGGCGGCTTTGCCCGACGGGGAGGACAGGCCGTTGAGACGAAGGCGTTGTACCGAGGGATGCTGGGAACCGGAAAGATGATCTTTCGAGAAGACGGGTTGCGTGGTCTATACCAGGGACTGGGTCCGATGCTGCTGGGCTACCTGCCCACATGGGCCGTCTACTTGGCAGTTTATGACCGATCCCGCGAATACTTTTATGAGCAAACAGGTAATTTTTTCTTTTCTTTATGTTGTGACTTCATGCTACGACTTGCTAATCTTGTTATAGATAGCTGGTGGCTCTCCCGTGGATACGCATCTATCAGCGCAGGTGCATGCTCGACCATTGCGACAAATCCGATTTGGGTCATCAAGACAAGACTCATGTCGCAGAGCCTCAAACAGAACAGCGAGGGAGTACGGGCTCCGTGGCAGTACTCTAGCACTTGGGATGCCGCTCGGAAGATGTACAAGATTGAAGGAATACGTTCATTCTACTCCGGTCTCACACCGGCTCTCCTGGGACTCACCCATGTCGCCATTCAGTTTCCTCTCTACGAGTACCTGAAAATGGCACTCACCGGATACGGTATTGGAGAGCATCCTGACAATGGAAATTCCCATTGGATCGGTATTTCCGTTGCCACTTTCCTCAGCAAGATTTGCGCAAGCACAGTCACATACCCTCACGAGGTGCTTCGGACTCGTCTGCAAACACAGCAACGCACAGCACCGGCGCCGTCACCCGAGGGAATCGCTTTCCGCGGTGGCCTGCACCACCCGCATGACCGCGGCCGTCCTATTTCCTCTTCATCAGATGGGATGCTCAACCGTCCCCGTTACAATGGAATCGTTCGCACATGCCAGACCATCCTCCAAGAAGAGGGCTGGCGCGCATTCTATTCCGGGATCGGCACCAACCTGTTCCGGGCCGTCCCGGCAGCCATGACGACCATGCTTACATACGAGTACCTGCGCAAGTTGATCCACAACGTCCAGCACGAGGGCGAATTGAAGCTGGCCATGGCCAACGAAAACATCGGGACGGTATGATAATACATCAGGTGGTAAGATAACCTAGAAAGAAATCACGCCTATCCTTCAACATCCCCGATTCCTTATATTTTTCCCCCTCCCCCTTCATCCCACCTTGTATAGACCGGCAGCGACCATCGCTCCGAATTGGCGGCTCTTTTAGCGAACGGGCTTGTTTCGCATTTCCAAAATACGGGCTTCAGTTCTCGGTAAATAGACAGTCTCGTTTCGGGTGGCTCTTGCATGTGAAGCTATTCGCGGCCGATGCCTCAAATCACATGTCAGGATTCTCTGCGCATATACCTTCCAGGCGTCCCTAGTGATGCTAGGGGTAGACATGGGCAGGTGCTTGGTTTGCGACAGCTTCAAAGATTTCCTGTATTTGTCAAAGCGTTGTTACTTTCCTGTTATGTTCTCTTTTCTGGACTTGGACTTCATGTAAGGCTTCAAGCATGGGCTGTTGCGTGTCCGCTCTGTATATACATCACTGCTCGTCTGCGTTTTTGATAACCAGTACTTGGCGACCAGGTAATCTCTTCTCTTGATCTTGAATATCCCTGTCCATATTATCTTTGATTTGAATTGCTTATTTTCCATCTGATAATTATCCCGGTCTTAGCTTTTGTCATGGAGAATGATGCTTCCACGCCCCCTTTGTCTCAGACCACACCCCCGTCATGGCTTCGCTCAGGTAATACAGCACAAGAACCTTATCAAACATGGTGCCAATTTCGACGCCGTATACCCCCTCGAGTATGGACTTGATAACCACCAGGTTCGTTGCTCAGTCACCTACGTGATCAGCTGTCTGGATAGCTATTCTAGATAGCGATGTGCTATGCAAAATGAATGAGAGCGGGCATAATTCTCGCCCTATAGCAGAAAGTCCATTTTGCGACTCGCATAGCCAGTACACCCAAGCCGAAGAACTAGCAGACACCTGAAAGGTCAGGGAGGGGGTGTGTTCTGAGGCAGAAGGGGTGTGGCTGTATCAGTTCCCTTTGTCATATGGTCGGGGTTCGAATAAGCCGCACGAATGATCTAGATTCTTGGCTGCATACCCCCTACTCAGGATGACTTCTGGGCCTGGCTGGGTATATGAATTATGCAGATTGCTGTTGCCTTTATTGCGGGATAATAGGAGTTATAAATGGCTTCCAAGATAAAGTGTCTGCCTTGGGACTCTTATGCTTCTACATCCACCGATTCAGCGGCTTTCACTGATGCAAATATGTCCGGAAACTCGGAAGGATCCCCCAAGCCATCCACCCGGAACCTCAACTGAATACTAAATACAGGAACACCCGACTTCAACTCCGACTTAATCACCTTTGCTTCCTCATCAACCTCATCAGCCCCAAGACTACTCCCAGGCCACCCTCCCACCTGGATCCGATCAAAGACAACTTCAACAGCCACCATTTGCAGCACACCGTTGTCAGAAATATCCAATCCCCGCTCATGATAAGCCTCAAAGATCTTTTCCACCACTATTTCAGAAGTAATACCCCCAGGCCCCGATGCCTGGCCCTGCGCAAGATAAACAAGACGATGAGCATTGCGCGTATCGCCCATGTTATCCCCATGCATGAAACTGATACCGAAAGTGCGTCCGATACTTTTCATGTTAGCGGATAATTCCTCGCGCTGCTCGGATGTCATTCCAGCTAGCTTCTCGCGGACCAATTCGCTTTTAAGGACGCTGTGCCCGTGTGGGTTGTAGTCAAGGTAGTATGTGCGCCATTTGATTGAAAAGATGTCGGAGTGGCCTCCTGGTGTGACATTTTGGTGGAGTGAAATCGCTTTTTCGACGTTTCGTTTGCCGATGTAGCACCACTGGTTTTGTTTTGATAGCTTATTAGAGGCTGTAGAGGAAGCGGTAAGTGTCCACGAGAGAATGGGGAATTGCTCACCGCGCAGTGAAAATCGTGGATTACTTCTATTTCAAAGACGGTCAGATTGGTGGATTGCAGGCATATAGGCTGTAACGAGTATGGATCTCAAAAGGATAGACGTAGTCTGGAACCTCGAGATAAATGCTATGGATGTAAGGCTGCCTAATGGAGCAGTGACTAATCTCCATTAGTTCCATGAATTTTAATTTTATAGCATACGCGTTTTCTCTCAGTTGTTCATACCTAACTGAAAGCTTTCCATAGCTCCCGCGATCGTGGCACTGATGCCTTACACCATCCTCCACCGGACATACAATGCGTTGATAAATTTGTCAAAGTGGTATGAGTACGAATCCCGAACATACTAGGCATTCGCTATGGACAAACAGGCGCCTAGAAGACTACCCTAACTATAGAACGAATATGTGCCACGGCCGGGTAGAAGAGGATAGACGCTGAATCAAGTGATAATGTATTGCTTGCGTTGATTCATATGCAATCGCATTTATGAGTGTTCTGACCACTCCTCTTGCAAAACTCCCATCAAAATTACATCCCACCATTGCCCATCCCTCCAAACAGCCTTCCTCAAACGACCCTCCTCCACGAAACCCAACCCTCTGATATGACTTCAAGGCAATTGCATTCCACCCATCCAATTCCAACTGAATCCTGTGTAGATTTGCCATCTTAAAAGCCCACCCGAGAGCCCAATGTAAAGCCTCACTTCCATAGCCTTGACCTTGCGCGTCAAGTCCCAATTCAATACCGAGATTAGCGCAGCGATTTTGCTTCTGGCTCGGAGGGATGTTTTTGATCATGAGGAGGCCGATTCTCTGGGATTCTGCTTCTTGGTCTCCTGCCGGCTTTTTGCAAATGACAACACACAACAGCGCCGTCTCGAATTCGTTGATAATTAGATCGAGTGATTCTTTTTTCATAGGCTTGAATGTGCTTTTCAAAGTGTTGCAGAAGACTTTTGAGTTGGAATGCATTGTGAAATACCATTCTTTGTCGCGGGAAGTATCCCAGGCGCGGAAGTGAAGACGTTCGGAATGTAGGGAGTTCATAGCTGAGTCGTTGACTTGGTGTAAATGCTTTGCAATGTAGTCTTCGAATTTTTTTAAGTGAAGGAGAATCGAATTCTCAGATATCTAGGGTCCGCCGCTGTTTGATGAGGGGTAAGAGACATGCAGGATTTTTGCAGGCACCAGCATCTTATGTAAACGTATTCAGCATAGTACCGAAAAAGACAAACAGAATGTGTTCTAGGAAGCAGTGCGAAAGGCGCAGGTGGTGATCGGTTATCCAACCAAGGCGTGTAATTATACATTCTAAAATGATCAATTGACCAGGAAGGGAGCCACGAGGAGATCGTGTCAAGGATGATTTTCTGAGGGGACTGTTTTTTGATTGCATTAGTAATTATAGCATACTTTGCGGGAATTGATACATCCTCAGCAAAAAAATTGATAAATCCACAGCAAAATGGTTAACGTATTCGGTAAGCGAGTCGGCCACGTCACGCGTTTTTGGCCTTGGTCGAAAACCTCACTCAATTCAACCACCAACCATGCCTCCAAAAGCGCGTCAAAAGTCAAGAAATTTAACTGAGCAAGAAGGAAGAATCTTACTTGCTATTGGAGTTTTAAAAAAGCACGAAATTTCGAATATTCGTGAAGCAGCACGTACTTATGATATACCTCGCTCTACTCTTCAAGACCGATTACGTGGAAAGACATTTCGCAATGAATCGCGCGCCAACTCCCATAAAATGAGTCAAAATGAAGAGGAATCGCTTGTACGATGGATCCTATCGCTTATTCAACGTGGAGCACCTCCCCGACCGTCACATATACAAGAAATGGCCAATATTCTTCTTACTGCGCGAAATACCACACCTCTTCAAACAGTAGGAGAGAAATGGGTATACAACTTCATCCAACGACGTGATGAACTAAAGACATGCTTCTCTCGACGATATGACTATCGGCGTGCTCAATGTGAGGACCCTAAAGTTATAAAGGAGTGGTTTAATCGCGTACAAATTACCATAATGCAGCATGGGATTGTACCTGAAGATATCTACAACTTTGATGAGACTGGCTTTGCTATGGACCTAGTAGCTACTGCTCGAGTAGTTACTAGAGCTGACTACTATGGGAGAACGCCTCTTGTACAGCCTGGGAATCGAGAATGGGTTACTTCTATTGAGTGTATTAGTGCCTCTGGATGGGCCCTTCCACCATGCATTATCTTCAAAGGAAAGGTCCATATAGAGGGCTGGTATCAGAGCAATCTACCACACGACTGGAGGATTGAAGTTAGTCCAAATGGCTGGACTAGTGATGAACTAAGCCTTCGCTGGCTTAAGAATCTCTTTATTCCTGCTACTACTGGCCGTACAACTGGGAAATATCGCCTCCTAGTTCTTGATGGCCATGGCAGTCATCTAACACCTCAATTCGACCAGATATGCAGTGAGAATAGTATTATTCCTATCTGTATGCCTGCTCATTCTTCGCATCTACTGCAACCTCTGGATGTTGGCTGTTTTTCACCATTAAAGCGTGCATACGGACACCTAGTGGAGAAGAGAATGCGCCTTGGTTTAATCATATCGACAAGCTTGACTTCCTTGAAGCTTTCCCTCAGGCGCGTACAGAGATCTATACTACTAGCAATATCTGCAGTGGTTCCTCTGCTACTGGGCTAGTTCCATATAACCCAGAGAGGGTGCTTAGCCAGCTTAATATTCAGCTGAATACGCCAACACCACCAGGCAGTCGGTCAACCAATTCAGTACCTAAGACACCCTATACCACCAGGCAGCTCGAGAAGCAGGTATCTATAGTGAAAAGAAAGCTTCAGAGACGTGTACAGGAAGGCTCCCAAAGTCCTACCTCTTCATTAGAGGTTCGATTGGACAAAATCATTAAAAGCAATGAAATTGCTTTAAATGAGGCAGTTCTTAAGCGTCAAGAAATTCGCGATTTACGAGCTGTACATGAGAAACAGCTTCGAAAGCGGAAGAAGTCTACTAGGCAGCTTACTGCTGCTGAGGGTTTTTCTATTCAGGAGGGCCAGGAACGATTTCTACAGGAGAATCAGGTCTTTGAAGCTCAAGATACTGTGACTAGGGATCCAGGGCTTCCTGCAGTTGGACTACGCGTACGCGCGCCACCGCAGTGTTCTAATTGTCATATTCGGGGGCATACTAGGGTTAGGTGTCCTAATCCGCCTAGTAATTAGTTTTATATAGAAATGCAATTGTTTTGTTGGTAAAAAGGTGCTTGAATCTCACCTAGTCGTGGAAATCGGGTGGCGGTGGCCGACTCGCTTACATGGCCGACTCGCTTACCGAATACGTTAATGCGGGTGCTTATATAACCATTTTGCTGTGGATTTATCAATTTTTTGCTGTGGATGTATCAATTCCCTAATTAAGTGAGCGCTTAGCTGATCTATCTACTTTTTCGAGACTCCCCTATCCACACTGTATTTTTAATAGACGACATGCCGTTACACGGAGCTGAAGTACTTCAGCATGATTCCATAAAGCATGAGTCCTTATTAGTGACACCTTCAATGATACCAAAATCCCCTGTTTTCGACGCAAAAAGTTCTCGATTTTTTGAGAGATTCGCTAGGCTTCCTTCGCCAGATGAAGTTCGCAAGCAGGCAGAAACTCAGCATCTCGAGGGTCTCTGCTTAGACGAGAGAAAATCTTTCTCGATCGCCGGGCCTCATGTGCGACCTCCACCTGTGGTGTTCAAGGACCTAGGATTGTTCGTCAAATGGGGAACTGCAATGAGTATTTCAGAAGGCCAGTGCCTCTGGGCTATCGGCCAACGTCTCAAAGACCATGTCCCGGTCCCGGAGATATACGGATGGCGAGAGGACGGTAACGAGGTGTTTATCTATATGGAATATTTGCATGCACAGACTCTAGAGCAGGCGTGGGATGTGATGGAACCCGCTGAAAGGGTTTCTGTCTGCTCTGAGCTTCGGACAATCTTTGATAATCTTCGCCAACTGGAGCAAGGGCCAGAGGACCGATTTATAGGTAAGGACCTTCCAAGAGTCCACGAATTTTGTCTCCTTGTCTAAATACTTACCCCTATTCAGGTAATATTGTACGATCTTCTTTATACGATAGAGCAATTCACGTCGAATCCATGTCTGAAGCTGGGCCGTTCAATAGCGTCCAGGAGTTTCATGACTGGTTCACTTTCCTCCACCGAAGACCCATGCCTAACCCATATTCTGTACCAATCGAACCGTTTCGTCACGATTTACCGGACGATTGCCCCATTAAATTTACGCATGGGGATCTCCACCGCAGCAACATCTTGATTACACAATCCCGACCCTACCATATTGTTGCCATCATCGATTGGGAACAGTCAGGCTGGCTTCCTGCATATTGGGAGGCCAGGAAAGCGCAGTTTACTGCCGACAGGAATGAAGATTGGTCTAAAGTATATTTGCCGATGATTTTGTGCCAATTCATGAGTACCTGGGACCCTTGGGACTACTACACAACGGCTATGGGATGTTAAGATATCCGCCACCCGGCATCTTCGAGGTTTTACTATCTTACAAAATAGGGATTCACGCTAAGGCTTTATTCATCTGTGGCTCTTCTGTAAAGAACTGTGCGTAATTTATAGGATAGATTGCAATCGATGAGCTCAGAGACAACAAAGTAATGACATGAATCCAAAATAAATGCATAACCCGTCAATGAAGTGAGAAAAACCATGGTTCCTCGAATCACAATAGGTTTGGTGCATTCTGGACAACAGAGATGGCACTGCCAGCAATGAAACCATCCTCCACAAGCTTGTTGACGTAGTTTCGCAGCCAGTCTTGGCAATTAGGCGCCTATCAGAACAAAAGTTTAGGGATGATGCTTGTGTCAATGTAGGTGAACATACCGACGGGTCGAAAGGGTTGGGACTGCGACCGGGAGGTTGAATTGCAATGGCGGTCGACTCCAAGCGATCGCGAGCAGTCGTATCGACTGACGGTTGTCCGTTGCCCACGGTATCAGTGATGAATCGCTCATCGACTTGTGCAAGTGGTATAATATGGTGCTTTCGTTGGGTGGCACTGAAATCGTAGTTGCGCTTGAACTCCCGGAAGAATCCAGGCAGTAGTCCCGGTGACATGAATCAGTTTTCCCACTTTACCAGCATCACCCGTGGGAACAAAGATAGCGTAATGGGCGGGCCGCGCGCCATTCGAAAATATGGCTAGATGAATGGTGCGAGGCATTCCGATGTAGGAAGGGAAAAATATTGGATTTGGTTGCGCAGGTGGAAAAGAAAGTGATGTTATTAAGAATGAAGTTGGGCTGCCCGACTCATGTTTATAGACCTGCCGTTATTGCACTATTCCCGTCGAACCGCTAGTAGCCGCTCTGCTTCCTGAAACATCACTAAGGTAAAGCAGTTTGTAGTCCCTTAGCTTACCGCCAGCTCGAAAGCGCAATGTATTGGTAAGTTAATTGGTCAGTCAATTGGAGATAGGTAGTAATTAGCGTGTGAATAAGCTAGGATAAATCTAAGTGCCCGCTGGTGTGTTTTCTATTTTAGGGGGTCCAATCAAGAAATTATTTCAATGATCACTTTAGCGCGCGTTTCGAACACGGATGATGATGCGCCAATCATTGTCTAATTTGATGGATACAGGTGAGACGCCCAGCCTGAACTCGCTAACACCCGAGTTGATGTTCCAAATAGTTAGCTTTAGACCAAAGTCCAACCCTACGAATACTCATATTACTCTCAGGGTGGAGATATTGCGGGCCACGAATCAATTTTTGGTCTCTTCCGTCATGTCGATGCATCTGAAACCTCCTGGTAGGAATGCTTAGCAGTTGAAACATATTAAGTTTCACTGATATAGCTTTGATTTGCTTTCAGGAAGTCTGTTTGTCGCTCAAGCCATATCACAATCAAGTTCGTACATAGGAGGGACTCGAGGCATTGTAGATGCTAGGATCTTGGCCGCTCTTGGGTGTCAATTGCATAGCAGAGTCTAGGCAAATGTGATGATGATTGAAGCTACGGAGGAACCAGCTATTTGTACCAGCAGTAGCTCACCATACCACTACCTAGTGGAGTGCAGCCATCTCTACAGGCTATATATATCACGTGAACTAGAATCCAACTTTCATCTTGCAAGGTGTGAAGGTACTAGTGACGCGCGCTGCGCATGCTGTGGTGCTGAAACGATGTTAAACGAAAGGTAGGGACGAGAAAGTCAGGGAAAGAGACGTCCTTTTGCTTCACTCATAACGCAAATGAGCGTTGACCAATGAGAAGGCAGATAGATGACTAATAGCTGCAGTCCCTTAGAAAACAGAAAAATCAGGAATTTGCTAAATAGCCATTGTATTTCGATTGTCCAAGTATACCGTAAATGGAAGCGGGTTTTTTCGAAATAAGTATCGGCTATCTCTTGAATGATTTTACTGGCTACAAAAGTACAATTGGCCGGATGGTGTAGTTGGTTATCACGTGTCGTTAACACCGACAAGGTCCTCGGATCGAGCCCGGGTCTGGTCATTTTTTTTTTTTTCGTCACCGCACGAATGCAGGTGCAACATTCTCGAATTTTGTCTCGTGTTGCTCGCAAATTCCGAATGAGATAGATAGAATTGAGATGGTGGCAGTTCGTGACACGGCAAAGTTCCCCTTAGATAACACCAAGGGAACTAAGGTTTTGCTGTAGTATAACATATATATCTTTCATGGTCATCTTCAACAAAGTCGTAGCGGTAGCATTAGTGTAATGTGTATACATTTGACGACCCCGAGTTTGGTTGATATTTGGAACCGGTTTTCGAAATAGCCTGTAGCCACCCACAAGTTTTCCATACTCAATGATTTTTCGTCACGGCATGGATCCACGAAAGCTGGCGTTATCGCGATAATGCTAACTTAGAGTTAAGCTTTACGAACTACGTTTATACTATTAGAAGTAGCATAATCCAATGAAAAGGCCCAATGATTGGTTCAGGGAGCATCCATTTTATGAATTAGGTATGTCTTAGGCCCCATATTTGTGTGATATTTCTGGAGGGCCTGAGGCAGCTTTTGTGCCCAATGACCTGATGCATGTCCTCTTAGAGGGGTCATAGGCAGCATGGCTTAAGCCAATAGCATTTGTCTCTTACCGCCCACTGTCCGCCCGCTGCAGTGCTTTGTGTCCACCCCGAATCTGAGCCTGAATTGCTGGCCACGACTTTTTTACTCTCTCTCTTCTCGGGACTGATTGTCTCCTCTCATCGAATTCCTCCACGCTTGTGTTTTCGTTCAAGAAACATACCTAGTTGATATAATTGCATCCTTGACTCAGTCTTCAGCTGCTCAGCAGGCTCCTAAAACTTTCGAGTCTACGCAACGAGAGGGGTTGGGAAAGGTTTAAAACCAAGCCGAGCAAGCACTGCAACAATTTTCCGAGAATTTCTTCTGGGAAAGAACATGTCCGACCCAGCGAACTACACTGTGGGCTGGATCTGCGCCTTACAAGTGGAATACGTTGCCGCACAAGTCTTTCTCGATGAGGAGCATGAAAGACCGAGCTTTGTGTCGCCAAATGATACCAACGACTATGCGTTAGGCAAGATCAGCGGACACAATGTTGTTATCGCTGTGTTGCCTGATGGTGATTATGGTACCGCCTCCGCGGCGAATGTAGCAACAAACATGCTGAACACCTTTTACAACATCAGAATAGGTCTCATGGTCGGCATTGGTGGTAGCGTACTGAGTGACAGCCATGATATTCGTCTGGGAGATGTTGTGGTCAGTGCGCCTCGTGGAGGTGAGGGGGGTGTATTCCAGTACGACTTTGGCAAGTCTATCCAGGGTCAAGGTTTTCAGCATACGCGGTTCCTCAGTCAACCACCAACTAAAATTCGCACTGCAGTTATGGGAATAACGTCGCAATACAAGAGAAAGGGATATCGGCCAGAGGAGGCCATCAATGGCATTATCGAGACAAACCCTCGGCTACGCTGCGAGTACGAAAGGCCGCCAGCCAACTCCGATAGGCTATTAAACCTGACGTGGTACATGACCCAAGAGAATGTGCTAGATATTGTGCAGGTGACCCGTCAAACTTGATACGGCGACATGAGCGGACTGAATATGAGGACAATCCTGCCATACACTATGGCTTGATTGCTTCTGCGAATCAGTTGATGAGAGATGCCTTGATTCGAGACAGACTTGCAGCAGAGAAAGATATTCTCTGTTTTGAAATGGAAGCAGCCGGGATGATGAATAATTTCCCCTGTCTGGCTGTTCGCGGCATCTGCGACTACTCGGACTCGCACAAGGACAAGGATTAGCAAGGGTATGCAGCAATTATAGCAGCTCGTACGTGAAGGATCTTCTATGCCGGATCCCACCGAACCAGGTTGCGGCTGAAAGGAAGATCGCTGATACTATACCCGGTTAGTTAAACTGTACGTAAGAATTGTTCCGCTGAAAATATTAATTCTTTGGCCTAGATATTAAGAAAAATGTAGATAGCATGTCCAAACTTATCCATAGCGAACACGACAAAGACGTCCTTCGCTGGATCACGCCAGTTGACTCTGCCTCCCAGCAAAACGACTTCATCCGCCAGCGACATACAGGCACCGGCGAATGGTTTCTGGCGCTCGAAAGAGCTTCAAACGTGGCTCCGAAACAACAAGGAGATGCTGTTCTGTCCTGGAAATCCCGGGGTGGGGAAGACGCTCATCACAGCAACCGTAGTCGACCTTCTCTATTCGACTTTTCGAGATAACCACAGCGTCGGTATTGCGTACCTCTACTGTAACTTCCGTCGACATGATGAGCAGAGGGTTGACGACATGCTCGCAAGTCTGTTAAAACAGCTTGTATGATTAGACATGAATAGAATATGACAAAATAATTTTTTGAATAGACAACCCTTGACAAAATCGAAAGGTCGATATCGTAACTAGCTTGATGTAATGCAGTCGGTAGCTCAAACATTCATGTGGTACACGGACAGCAATCGTCACTGCCCAGATTTGGCGCCGCCAAATGAAGCTTATAGTGGAGACGCCTGTAAACAACATATCACGTGATAGCTCCGCAACCACAATTTTTCTTCGCTTGGCTCTTCTCCTTCCTTCGCACAATCTGCATCTGCCAGCCACGACAGCTCTGTCTGAGGATTTTGACACTCGAATCCAAAGACTAGCCATGTCGGCATCTGCGATGTTATGACGGTCGTTACGACCTCCTGCACGAAACAAAATTGCTGTTAAATGGGCATGAGTTCACGCCCATCGCCAACGACAAACTCACCATCCAGGAATCCAGAGAGCTCGGGATCTTTTGTGCTGCTATTGATCTCTAGGGCATATAATTTCACAGCCCTCATGTTTCAGCAGGGAATTACGCCCACCTCACTATCATCCCTGTCATCTCATTCGCAGTGGCCAACGCGAAACAAGACCCTTCTCTTCACGATTCATATGATGATCTTTCTAATGATATTGACCCGGGTTGTTATATACACTTGAATGCCCGGGTGTGATCATTTATACACTGAAAATTCTGATCAATCGTGAAGATGGAGACTTGTTCTTTCCCACTTCAGCCTCTACACCTACACTTCCCAATAGCTATAGCATATCAATTAAAAAGGATTTATGAATAAATTGACGGTGGTATCATTGAATAATGCGCGCGTAAATATAGTAGGTAATGCTGGAAACAAACAGCCTCTCAGGCCAAAGTTCAACATGGCCGTACATGGGAATCAGCTAGCCATACCGAATCATTTTCCCCCGTTCTCGACTCGGCTCTCCTCTAACGCTTGCTGCACCCACGAATCTTTTCCTGCTGGTGGCTTTCGCTGTGAGCCTGGCGTTGCTGTTGATGAGCCCTGAGCGTCGTGTCTTGCTGTGCGGATGGATGAGATGCAGTAGGAACCCAGAATGAGGGCCATGGTGAATGCTGCGATGGGTGCGTTCAAAGACTAGATGATTTGTAAGCTGCTGGCTGTTTTAAATGATATATATTGGTCTGTGATTTTGCGGTGATTACATGCATTGCAACTGGATGTCTGGATGCGTCGGGTGGTGGTTGGGTGAGAAGATGGAATGCACATACCCCTGATGTCCGACCGAGGATCTTGGGATTTGGTGTATTTTTTTGCGACATGTTGCTGTCGTATTGACACCTGAGGTTGTTAGTAGATGAGGTTGTACGGTTAGATGGATGCCGACTCATAATACGTCGAGTGATCCCTTATATGCTGCAGTGTCCCCGCATCTGCGATGATCTAGTCTCTTGCCACGGTGCCAATGTATTGGAAATTCTCCAGTTTCTTTCGAAACAAGTGGGATGTACTGTTGATTTCGAGATCGCTGGCCTGAGATGGCAAGTTCGACGTTGGCGACAGGTGACGCGCCAAGAGGGGACGGTCCGCTGTTTGTCATCATCCCAATCCTGCGTAGCGGCAGCTCCCCTGATTCCTCTACGATTTTTTACATTTGCGATCGTTTTTATAAATCAACTGTGTAAATTTAGTGTCGTTTTCTGGTGTGCATCTCTAGGGTCACTACGATAGACGCATTAAACATAAACCCTAAGCTTAGACCGGGACAAGTCGTTCCGAAGCACGTCGGAGGATCGGAGCATCCGCGGAGGGTCGTTCTCGTGTTATGCAAGCAGCAGAGTCTAGCCCTGTTAGGCGTCGGTCGGGCCCTGGCCACCAGGATGGTGAAGCATTAGCCCTCAACTCTGATCGCCTGCAAAGCGCCCCTCGAGTTCCCATTTGCGAATGGCACCAGCTCCGGTCATTTGATCGGAGGCCAGCCCGTGTGTGCAGAATAAGACCGGGATAGCAGCCCATGGGAATTCACCGAGTCCGGGGTGAGTGAGGTTAACTCCGAGTGCCTCGGAGCGCCGAGCTGCACGGACGCCCCGTGGGTTTCCGCAGTATTGTGAATGTCCGCAGTGCAAGTAAAACGCCCTGGAAGAAACCGTTTCTTGGGGGCCTTCGATCGACCGCCAACGAAACGGGCGCTGAGTGACCATTAAATCATCGGACATGTTTGTGACTATCACTACCCTGAAGACCTTCTCCACCATTTGATATAATCGACACTCAATTGGCCCGCGGACGCTCCATCGGGAAAACAAGATGTTCGTTGCATCCACCGCGGAGAAAGTGACTGGGCCCCGGGCTTGCCACTGCCCCTCCGGACTGATATCATGGGGGAAGGGCTAATCAAATGGAAAAGAGCTCAGTAGAACCCCCACAATCCGATAGCTGTAGCACTTGCATTCAGGTGTAAAACAAAAGAAAGAGAGGATTGACGTAGACGCAGTGTGCTTACTCAGCTCCGATGGCCGGCGCTTCCGGGGACTAACATACCTGATTGGGTTTAGCGGCGCTGACTTAAGCGATCAGATTATTTAGCAATGAATTCATCGCCCTCCTCTTCCCTATCAGATCGTTTTCGCCATCCTACAACTCATCATCTACACCTACCCCAACCCATCTCAACGGAAAAGAACGAACCATCTCACAACTATCTACCACAATGTTCAAGCGTCTTGTCACCGTCGCCCCCCGCGTCGGCGCCGTGGCGCCCCGTGCCTTCGCTCCTCTCTCCGGCCTGCAGTCCGTCCAGCCTGCCCAGCGTGTCGCCCCTGCTGCCGCTCCCGTCCAGCGTCGTGGCTACCACGAGAAGGTTCTTGACCACTACAATAACCCCCGCAACGTCGGCTCTTTCAAGAAGGGCGACCAGGACGTCGGTACCGGTCTCGTCGGTGCCCCCGCCTGTGGCGATGTCATGAAGCTCCAGATCCGCGTCAACAAGGACAGCGGCAAGATCGATGACGTTGTTTTCAAGACCTTCGGCTGTGGTAGCGCCATCGCTTCATCGAGCTATCTGACCGAGCTGGTCCGTGGCATGACCCTCGAGGAGGCCGGCAAGATCAAGAACACTGATGTGGCTAAGGAGCTCTGCCTGCCCCCGGTCAAGCGTAAGTCTTTCCCTGTCTCCGCCTTTGTTGACATCAGAGTTTGAATTAATACTGACTTTGCTCAAGTGCACTGCTCCATGCTTGCCGAGGACGCCATCAAGTCTGCCATCTCTGACTACCATAAGAAGAACCCCAACGTCCGTGCGACCGACCTTTCCGGGACAGGCGCGGCCATTCCCGACGTCAAGGTCGAGATTGAGCACACCTCTTCCGGCAGCCCTGCCGCCGCTATCTAAATTGTTTGATGCAGTAATGGTTAAGGCGGGGACTGGGGTCTGAGATCCTAGTCGGAGAACTTTTTTTTTTTTTTGTTGCACTGAGATACTCCCGCGAACGTTGATCTTTTGGAAACAATCGTTTGATCGAGGATTGAATTCCCGGAACGCAGAGATGATGGCATTTTTTTTCCCGAACCGAGGTCGCGACCGTAATACGTGGCGGCCCGGTCGGAAGATCTTTTCTTTCAAACAAATTTGCAATTTGTTTGCTGTACAGACATTTCCTTTCCTCTGTTTCGTGCATGTCCTTTCAAGATTTTTTTTTTTTTTTTCTATGATGGCGCCTCGGTATCTGGGATCCTCGATCGATACACTCTATTCTTCAAAAGCGTGGTGCCCGGAAATAGTTTCTAATGAAACGATGAAACCAGAAATTTCTTCTTACTAAAGAATTGTAGAAGTTGACTCCAAAGTAGATCACAAAAGATATTATAAGCACAGCCGTCTATATTTAGAATCTGTCCGCGAATCTTATTTGTACAAACCGTCAAATCCCAAGGGTTGACAGTGGCTGTATAAAGTACAGCGTGTTTCTTTCTGGGTCTGGACAACCAAAGACCCAGAGAAGAATATAATGAAAAGAATCAGGGGGAGAAGTAGGGGGATACAGAATAAAGAAAACGCCATCGCTGATGCACAGATGTACCGGGCAGACAATCCGTGCCAAACCAAACCAAACAAGAAGCCAGGGATATATACAAAACAACAAAGCATGATACCAGCCAGAGACTACTCATTTTTCAGATCAACCAGTTCGCAGTCCAAACCGACTCTTGAGTGAGAGAACGGTCTCGTAGACTGACAACTTGACCTCAACACGCAGGAACCCGACCCAGGCGGAGAGGAAGCGGAAGAAGTTCAAGAAGATGCCGCCCGATGCTCGGATAGACTCCATTTGTTCCTCGAAGACCGTACGTGTTGCGTACCTAGCCAAAATGAGAAATGTGCGCATGGGTCCTGAGCGGGTGTGCAGGTTTTCGTCGAGGCTGCGGGCTGGAAGGATGTCAGAAGAGACTGTAAAAAGAGTTATGCGAATAAGGAGGGAGGGATGACATACTCAGGTCATTTGTCTTGAGAATCAACAAAATAATCCGCGGCACCTGGCCGAGCAATTCAACCAGCTGCTGAAGCATCCCTTCACCAAGGGCACCAGAGATTTCTTTCTTCTCCTCGACAGTCCGCAACGAAGCAACATTTTTCTTCGTCAGAACACTGTAGTCACGGCCCGTGATTGCACTGGCGAAGAGTGGAAACTGCTCGTCCGTGACACCGGCAACCTCGTAGGCATACTTGCGCATCCGAGGGACGTCTGCGTCGATAACTGCCAGCCATAACTTGGCGTAGTTGCGGCGAAGGTCACGGTCGATGTTGCGGTACAGTCCGTGGTCGTACAGGATGATCTCGAAGTTGGGATGGCTGCTGTTGGGGTTCGGGCGGATGGCGATGTTGCCGCCGTGTGGATCGCAGTGGAGTGGAGCTTCATCGCCAAAGATCATTTCGTTGAAGATATGGGCGAAGGCGGCGGAGACTTCGTCGCGGTCGATGTTGTTGGCGTCGAGGAACTCGAGGTCGTCGGGGCGTCGGCCGGATATGAATTCCATGACTAGAATGCGCTTTTGAGACCACATTACTGGGCTGTGGTTAGTATCTATGTGTTCATAGGGCATAATCATGACGAGACATACCTTCGGGAATTACGAGCGGGGCGTCAGAGTGTTTCTTGAAGTACTCGCTGGCAAGGGTAGCGTTCTGAGCTTCCATACGGAAATCCAGTTCCACAGGCAGGGATAGGTCCATTTCGCGAGAAAGCCATTCCAGGTCGTACTCCGGGAAGAACCGCTTGAGCATAGAGAAAGTGAATCTGGTCAATGCAAGATCCAGCGGCACCCACTCGGCTAGAGCAGGATGCTGAACCTTGACAGCGACCTTTTGTCCGGTTTCCTTCAGCGTGGCGATGTGTACCTGAGCCAGGGAGGCGGCTCCAGTAGGCTCAGGCTCGAAGGAGCTGAACAGTTCATCGATGGTCTGGCCGGTGTCTGTAACGAACATTTCCTCGATAGACTCGATCGACGAAACGGGGCATTTGTCTTGAAGCGGGATGAAAGTCGTAGTCCATTCGATGGGGAGCAGGTAGCCCATGCTGCTGAGATGCTGGCCTAATTTAATAAAAATCGAACCGTTCTTCTCTAGCACTCGTAGGGTACGCTCGGCGCAGCGCTTGTGGCATGCGCGCATCAATTCGTCGCGTTCTTCGGGAGTTGAAGTCTCTTTGTTCAGGGTCACGCGGTAGCTGTGGCAGAGCGCAGTTCCATGTTAGCATGATGTACTTGGTAATCCATGGGGTCTATTATGTTTTTCTCAAAAGCAAGAGGATATAATCCACATACTCGTTGATACACACGGCCAGTGTGCCAACCACGCGACCACTTCTCCGCGCCGCACCATACGCATGCTTAAGCTCCTCAGAGTATACCACTGCACCAACACCAAGCAGACCCAAGACGATCAAAAGCTTTATCGGCTTCTTTTGCGGCGAGCCAGTCTTCGCCTTGGGACCGGCCGCATTTGCCTCCGCAGACAAGAGGGCCGAGGTTCTCGTAGAAAAGCACCGGCCGTACGACGCCGGTCGCATGTGTTTACACAACTGTTTCCTCCATGACCGAGTCGCAATTCCACTCGAAGAGAAATTGTACACCGGGGTTGCGTTCAGAGGGGACGAAAAGGCAGCGGCCGAGGCTTTTGATGTTTGCCGAATTGCCGGTGCGGGATTGTTGAAAGACCGCAGCGGCACGCGAAACGCAGCGCTCATTCCGAACGAGGGATATATTGAGCGCAGATTTCGGTGCAGATGTTGGAGAGGCGCCATTCACTCCATAGTCTGGAATTGTAGGATCGTATGTTGCTCAAGGAGGTTTTTTTTGGGTCGGTTTTCGCCGCCAAGCGTCGCCCGATCTCGGGCCGCACGGGCACGTGATTCCGATGTCTATACAGACGTCATCGCAGGGGCAAGTAAAACAGGGGTCGTGGGATATAACAGCGAGAAAGTGAGCTAGAAGATGAATATGAGTTAACATGGAGTATAGCAGGATCACTTGAATGAGTGCGCTGCTATAAAACCTACGTGGCAGGGGAATCGAATTAATGATTTAAAGGCTTGAATGGGGGCTATTTAGAAGAAAGAGAAGTACGCAATTGCGGGAATTGATGGGAGATGATAATTGCAGAGAAACATCCAGAGAATATTCCAAAGATATGTACAAAACAACGTTTCTTCGTCTAGTCCTGGTGCATATGTTACTTGGGCTGCATCATACTTTACAACTACGTTCGTCACCTTGAGAAGATGGGAAATGATTGGGACCGATTGTACAGATTATGTCTCATTCAGGAAATGTACCCTGGGTATGTAGTCCTCTATGTGCAGCAACCAGTGCCCACCATAGCAAAAAGACAGAGAAGAGACGTTTTGAACAAAACCGTTATCCTGTAACCCATACCCCGTCTGAAAGAGAACGCCGTACTCTTGTAAACCGAGTCAAGAGACTAGAACCATTAACAAAGAAAAGAAGATTTTTGAGTTAGAATCTAGTTCCACTCGGAGTCGGCAACAGTGGTCCGTCTGCGAGGGATGATGGATGGGCGACGGCCCAGCGAGCTAGGCGTCTTGCCCTCCTGCTGGAGAATCCCAACCTGCGAGAGCCGGTTGTTGGACATGCCTCGAGAAAGTCGGGTGCGTGGCGCAGCAGCAGCACTGCTATTGGAAGCAGGATTGAGGGCTGAGACGCTGCCATCTCGACTACCAGGCCGGAGAGCAAGGGAGGAACCACCGAGCGCATTGCGAGGGTGGCGAGGGGTTTCACGGCCCTCATAGAAAGATGCGCGCGACTGGCTAGTGCGGTTCGAAGAGGGAGTAGGTGGTGTAGAGGAGGAGAAAAGATTGGGTGGCGTGGTGGATGTACTCTTTCTGCGGCTAGTAGGTCGACGCTTGGGACCACCGAAGGCCTCGCTGTTTTCGCTTGACTCGATCAATTTACCAGCCATGTCCCTGACAAGAATAGCGGGATCATTCTCGAGTTCGCGAATGGCACCCAGCAGACCATAAGAAACGATGAGTCCACCTTGTTGCTCACAGGAGTCACAAATGCTCGAGATGATGCGCAGGATGTTCAGTCGCACCGCAGCCTTGTTGTGGTGTAGTTTCTGTCCCAGCCGGGTAAAAAGATCGTACCGTGCCATGGTTGAGGCAACTGGAGGGCTCAGTCGAAGGAGCTTTTGGAGAGGCTCAAGGATGTTCTCGAACGCATTAGCCTTTGCCTGGGTCAGGCACTCGACAATTGAATCGGAAAAAGAAGCCTTGTCGTATCGATTGTCCAGCAAGTTCTCCTCGACCTTCGCAGTCTCTTCCTGGAGCCATGTAAAGATAGCATCCAAAGCGGTCACCTGCCAGTATGGATCCGTGAGTAGGGAGATGTAGAAAGCAAGACCCTTATTGCGCCACAATTCACGACGGCCAACCTTTCCAGACTGCGCCATATCGCAAAGAATGGGAAGAGCAAATTCTTTGAGGGGACGGGTTGTGTTCACGATTCTCTGAAGGAGAGGCACAATGCCATTCAAAGCAGCATCCTCCTGCCGGGGCTTGTTCAAGCGACACATGTTGTAGATGGTATTGAGGATTTGATTCGAAATCTCACGGAAGTGAGGGTGAGTGTGCTTCATAGCGGATCGCAGAAGGTCGGTCAGAACATCGATAGCGTTGGAGTTTTGGAGCGCATCCAGAGTCGTCGAAAGCATGGATAAGTTCTTGATGAACTTCAACATGGTGACTTGGTGCATGGGCGACATTCGCTTAAGTTCCTTCAGGACTCCTGTTGCATAGTTAGTAAAAGGGAAGTAGAGGTACAGTTAGCTCGAGGTACTTACTGTGCAAGACTGTTCGCTCTGCAACCATCTCCTTAACGTGGTTCTCAGCCTGCGAGAAGATGAAGAAAATGCTCGCGATACGAGCTTCAACAAGTTCTGCAAGTTCTCCCTCCTCGTCTAAAACCCGACTGAGGACAAGTGAGAGCGGATCGAGAACTGAATTGCGAGATAAGATTCTGCAGAAGTCGTTCTTCGGAGTTGAGCCCTGTAGTAGAGAAACAATTCGTCAGTATCAATCAAGGCATCACGGCGGTGATCCATGCTTACTTGTAGATCGAAGACACTCCAGATTCCGTTCACTCCAATCAAAACCAAATCACGTTCATCTTCGTAATCATCCTCCAGGAACTCAACCAGGACGTTGAGACCACCAGCGCTGACAAACATTTGCAGAGTGAGAGTCGAGGTTTGGTACATTTGCTGCACAAATGCAGCAGCTTCCAGTCGAATCTCACGGGGGTATTTCTTGGACGCGAACTCGTTGATGATGGGGATTCCACCCACGAAACAAAGGTTTTCCTGAACCTCATAATCATTGTAGATGATGGCGTTGACGATTCGCAAGAGGTAAAAGATGACGTCTCGGCGGCGACATGTGTCAAGGATTTCCAGAATGGGCAGCATGCCGTGAGCACTGATGATGATGTTCTTGGTATCAGGGAGGTCGAAAAAGTCGGCGAGCAACTGTTCGGAGATTTCCGCAAGCAGATCCTCGTCCTGAGAAGTCTTCAAAGAACCAACCAGATCCTCTACTTGGCTACGAAGACGGGCATTTTTGTCTCGCTGAATGTTGGCTTCGAGATCCATTTCGTCAAATCCTTCTTCCAGTTGCGCGAAAGGATCGTCTTCATCGTCCTGATCACCCAGCCACGAGTTGTTTGATAGCTTGGTGTTCAGCAACAACGTGCTTTTGTCAGACCCGTTATCGCTCTCGGGTTTATCCAAGGCAACTTGATCCGCACCAAGGATATCTGAGAAGTCTTCGTCACGTTCGTTCTCGGCAAATTTTTGGATTTCAATGGCGGAGCGATCGCGCTTGACAGAGAGCTGCTTTCGAAGCTGGGGGTGTTGGCCACTGAGGTCATCCTCGAATGCATTGACAACGTTTTCGTGAACAGGAGAAGCCGGATCGTCATCAAAGCCCTTGGATGGGTTAAACACTACTCGCTTTTTCCCGAAGAGAGTGTATTTCCTTACCTGATAGGCTCCCAGCTTCACATCAAGCACATCTTCGTTGGCCATGATAAGGTCGGTGTAGTCCTCGACTGAGTTCTCCTTGTAGAGATGCGCTGGTCGTTCTCTTCTCATGTTGGGCACAGGGGTTTGCAAAATCGGGACTTTCTGGAAGGCAGAAGCCGAAGGTTTGCTTGGCTGACGCCGAGTTAGACTTTGAGATTTTGATGGTTCGGCAGCGATAGGTCTGGCGGGTAAAGGTCGAATTGTTTGTAAGGGGTCGTTCTCTGTTGGAAGAGAACCACGTGTTTCATCAAACTCGTCAAAGCTGTCGTCAGGTCTCATCATCGTACCATCAAGTGAGGCAAAAGCCTTTAGTCTTTCCGAAGAAAGCATGCCGCCGAAATTATCGTGGGGACGTAAGTGAGGCAATTGAAGAGCGCTCGGTGAAATTGCAGTTGCAAAATCATCATCCCAATTGTCATCCTCTGCCGATTCAGGTGAGCGAAATCTGTCCGTGGCCTTGACCGATGTTGGGGATGGAAGTGTATCCATGAGGGGGGTATTCCGTGCCGGCAGCGGGGCGGCATGTTGATCTAATCTATTGTTCTTACGTGTCGTACCGGTTTCTGGAGACCGCAAAGCTTCGTTCCACTCTTGCACGCTTTTGACAGCTTCGTCGTACTCGGTAGACTTCTTGGGGACAACAGAATCAGAGCGGCGGGCGTTGACGATCCACGGATGCTTCAGTAGTTTTCTCGCAGACACTCGAAGGTTGGGGTCTTTCTGGAAGCATTGCATGAGAAAGTCTTTCACGGCCTATTTAAATGTTAGAGAACCCATACAATGGATATCAGTAGATAACGGAAAGCAGCAAACGGGAAAACGAGACATACCGGAGATGCACCCTGGGGAAGAGGCGGATGATCATCATTGACGATTCGGAACAACGCCGGCATCGGTGCCATGTTGTAGTATGGAGGCTTTCCCTCAAGCAGCTCGATGACTGTGCATCCTAAACTCCAGATATCTGAAGCAGTTGTCGCACCGGAGAGTTCAATAACTTCGGGGGCCATCCAGTTGGGCGTTCCGACAACGCTGGACTCGCTCAGACCCGTTGTGCGGCTTGCCACACCAAAGTCCGCAAGTTTGACAAGGCCTTCCTTGGTCGTCAAGATATTCGCACCTTTGATATCACGATGAATTACACCCTGCTCGTGCAGATACAAGAGTCCATGGAGGACTTGCGACATGTACAGACCCACAAGATTCTCGGGGAATCGACCGAAGTTCTTTGCAATGGAATGAAGCGATCCGTTTTCACAATACCTGTGATAATTGTCAGCGCAAGCAATTTCTTGGATGTACCTCAAAGAGGTAGGTAAGTCACATACTCCAGGATGATGTTTAGAGTTTCCGCGGACTTCACAAACCCATGGTACTTAACGATGTTTGGATGCTGTTGTCTGGGTGAGCCTGTATTCGGTTGAATCACGGGGAAAGTTGTATCTTACGTCCAAGTTTTTGAGGAGATCGATTTCAAGCTGCAAGGTTTTGTGTTAGCGAAGGTCCGGTGTCAAAAGGAGTTGCACGGGAGTCATACCATGATAACGCGCAGTTCACTCTTGGGGAGATCCGCGAGCTTGATCTGCTTGACTGCAACAGTCTCTCCGGTATTCCAGTTCAGCGCGCGATAGACAGATCCGAAAGCACCTTTTCCCAGGCAGTCGCCCAATTGCTGCGATACACAAGTCAGTGAGTGTCCAACTCTCGAGCAAATCATGCAATCACGCTCAGGGAAGGGGTCCATACATAGTCCTTGAGCTCTGCAACATCTTTGGCGGACGATTTCACTGGCTGTTCCTCCTTCGGTTTCTGCTCGCGCTTCGTAGGGCTGTTCTGCACTCGAGCCAGTCGCGGTTTCATCGGCGTGCCGGGGGTTCTGGAGGGGGTGAGGGGGCGCTGCCCCTCACTCGCCTCGGAGCGAGGAGCCATCACGAATTAAATATCGAGTCCAGTTGATGATCTGATATGGGCTTGATGCGATCGTCGGTCTCAGGGTGCGGTTTCAGGTAGACGGGGGTGGGGAGGTAGCTAGGAAAGAAGGCAGTAGCCGAGGATGGCGGCCTCAGGGTTCATGCCCGCAGGGCTCTGTAGGAGACTCGAGCGTTAATTTAGCTGATTCAATCGGATCGCAAACGACAGGAGATGGCGGCGTGGTTTGCCCGCAGGGTTTGTTGGGGGGATGCGCAGGGTCTCACCAAGCGATCATCACAGGAGGGACGCCGGCTCACTCGCCCGGACGTACACACCTTGTGGGGACCCAGTGCGCCTTCAAGAAGTACCAGAAGGATTTGAAGAGTCGAGTAATCTTGAAATTGGAGAAACACCGGGGTTGTACCGGCGAGGGGCGAGGGGAGTTGGGAATCAGGTCGAGGTTGTTTTGAACTTTCCTTCTCCACAAGCCGCTCGCCGCATCATAATGCAGCGGCTGTGCTGGACGGCCGCCGATCAGCCCTACGGAACACTTGTGAACCACCCTCTACGTCCTTCCTTGTTGAGTGTACCCCAAATTAGGAAAGAAACAACCATTTACAATGCAAATAGAAAGATGAATAATACTTTGATAATTTTCTTTTTGTGGCAAGGAGGGTACAGTCGCCCTCACAGAGTATTCTATTTACAATCGCGTCATATGTACATCGAGGCCTTGTTAGACGAAGATCAGAATACAAAGACAGGGTATCATTTCTGCGCATCGCGAAGCAGACGGTGCACATCGGAGACAAGGTATAGACTGCCAGCAATAACAAGAGGCCGGCCCTGGGCGATGTCGCTGGCCCATTTGATTGCAGGAAGCAAATCTCCTTCGAAGCCTTGTACCTGGCCGATCTCTGGCAAAGATTGGATGGAGTGAGCAAGCTCGGAGGCATTAGTCGGTGTCACCCATGGCATTCCCTCCACGGGACCAAACTCTGCCGTGGCGACGGTATCTCCAGGGCGGATGATAGAGCGAAAGACACCAGCCAAATCTTTTCCACTGGACGCAGCGACCACCCAGGTGACATTCCCGGATTGGGGACGAAGTTTGCGATCAACGTATTTTCCCAGAACCTCCGCTGATAGTGGATTATGCGCACCATCTAGAAGTATGTTTTCTTCGCGGTTTACCAAAGGTCGAAGGGATATGGCTTCTAGCCGTCCAGGCCATTTTATGTCTGACAGACGAGGAAGCAGAGACGAAGCATTCGTTTCAGGGCGAATCTTTGACAAGGTGAGGCGCAGAGCTGACATTGCGCAGCACATATTCTCTTGTTGGTGGGGCTCGAGGTCCATTTTCCGGAACAACTGTGCGAGAGCTGGGAATTGTTCATCCGCTCTATCTGGGGAAACGAAAGTTGCATGGATGCCTAGATCGTTGGCTCGTTTGGTGATTGTCTCGATCACTGCGGTTTCGTTGGTGTTGTCCACAACACAAGGTACACCCGACTTCAATATTCCTGCTTTTTCTGCGGCGATCTCTTCGATCGTCGAGCCTAGGAAGGCCTGGTGGTCCATACCGATCTTGGCAATAACTGAGATCAGGACGTTGTCCAATATATTGGTGGCATCGAGACGGCCTCCCATGCCCACCTCAACCACGCCAACCTCAACTTGCTCATGGTTAAAGATTTCGAAAGCCGTTGCGGTCAACAGTTCAAACTCAGAGGCACCTATCCCTAAGGTCTGATCCCGGAGTTTGACCTGATCCTCGATCTGGCGGAATAGCGATTCTTGGACGACTCGTTCGCCAATAGTAATGCAATCCCAACGGTCGATCAGGTGCGGTGAAGTAAAGCGACCGCATCGAACTCCATCAGAGGAGAGTAGGTGGGAGAGATATGCACTGATCGAGCCTTTGCCATTCGTCCCCGCAACATGAATAGCTTTCCATGTCAGCGGGCTCTGCTGCAAAAGCCGTGAAACACGACCTAGACCGAGTTCAATCATTCCGCCGAGTGTGTGATGCGATGGTTACCGGTCAATCGATCGTCATGATCCGAAGAGTGGGTTGAATTGAGTGACCAGAGCTCGTCCAGGACTGTCATCGGGAAACCGACTATCGGGGAGCTGAGCCCGCTTGATTTCCGCTCCGCCGCGGAGATCGTCACATGTCGGGAATAAGCACATCACGTGACGTCTCCCGGCCTCGTCGTAGCAATGGATTGAGGCAACAAGGCTGCGATTGCTGTTGGCCTGAAAAAAACCAATCTCCCCTTCCGATCGGTCTCCATCCTCGCCCCATCCCCACTACTCGTCGGTATCCCGGGGTCACGACACAACCGCCGACTTTATTTCTCCCAACTTTGTTTCTTTTCGAGTTCCATCCTCGTCCTTCGTTCTATTCGATTTTTCATACTTGAAAATGGGTATCCCGTAAGTTCACACCCGTCTTCGTCCCCGTCGCGCTGTCGCATGCGCCACCTCCATCGCACCCAGGATTGACTCAGTTTAAGCATGTGGCGCGAGCCTGGTGAGGGCGACAATCCGAAGAAAACTCTCGACAAAGACTCTACCGCTGCTGCACGATCCACGATCCGTCGTCAACCAACTATTCGCCGCTCATCACGCAATCGGTTCCGCGCGCGCGGTGGTGGTCGCTTCTTGTCCCCTGCCGAGGCCTCACTCTCTCTGGACTCCCACATCATCGAAGACATTTTGGGCACTTACGACCAATCCCGCCGTCTTCCACACGCTGCGCGGACTCCGGTCCTGAACGTGGGCGTTAGCGAAGACGGCTTGGATCTGGACGCGAGTCGGCGCGACGCCACGAGCCGTGACTCTACGCGTGCGGATGCGCATCGTCGCGAGTCCTCGAGCCGGCGCTCTCGCACCACCCGTGATCAGGCCTTGACTGATTTCCTTGGCCCGATCCGTTCTGAGCAACGACCTCAGTCTGCCGGGCGTCCTTCGAATTCCTCTCTCACTCCTTTCTTCGCTCCCGCCATCTACCACACCCTCAACTCCACCCTCCCACCGGCGGATCAACAACTTGCCAATCTTAATGTTGTGTTTGGTCCCCCTCACCAAGAGTCTACTGTGGACGGCCTTGGTGATCGTCAGCGCAGCCCGAGCCCGGATGGCGACCGTCACGATGCGTGGGAAACTTTGCTTTCCACTATTACTCCTGATACCAATCTCCCTTCTACCGATACCTCCTTCTCGTCGAACGCTGCTCCTTCAGGCGACGCCGCACGAAACGAACCATCCCGTAACGCCACTACTTCTCTCCGCAGCCACACACTTCCTCACTTCTTGGGTCCTGGTCGCTCGATCCAAGTGCCGCTCGATCCGTACCCAGATCACCTGAACCCCTGTGATTTTGACTCGGACGAGGAGGATACGCCTGTGAACTACCACGGGCACCTTCGCCGCATGCCCCCAATGCCACCCATTCGCCGTTCGTCCGGCCTTCACTCGACCATGAGCAACCACCCTCCCGTTCCCAATTTCTCATTTTCTCTCTCGGATGCCATCGTGCACCGGATGGGTCGTCACGAAGATATTCCTCCGGAGTGGTGGGCTGGAGCTGGCCTTTCGCGCAACATGGGCCGCGGTCTCAGTGGCGGTACTGAGGCCAACCAGAACGACCGTGCCGAGTGATTTTCATTGAAAGAAAGTTCACTACATAACATGGCAAGGACATCGTTTGGCTTATTTTGTGATATTCGAGGCATTATGTTCATTACCCACGGCCGGAATTTTTCCTTTTCCTTTTTTTGCATGGCGCCCAGGTGATGGAGGGTGCTTCATGGCGTCTTATGGAGTTTTCAAACAGGTGCCTACCGATATGATCGGTTTTTTGTTTTCTGCACTGGGTTTTCAGCGGCGCATAGGTTCCCAACGGCGCATTTTTTACTGCATACGTAACCGGATTGTGTTTTTACTTTTCTGGACAGGATGGGATTTCTGTTTTTCGAATACCCATGATTTTCCCACTGTTATGTACACCTACTGCTAATATGTTTCGTGGTTATTTCTGTCCAATAAAGCGTGACTACACAGTTATCGAATGATGTCATGCAAGTGCATCGACCTGCTTCCTTAGCGCATAAATCGTAGATTTATAGTTCTAGTAGCATAAGTAGTATATCTGCCTCAAACAGACGTCCTAGATGCCAATGGCATGGCATTCCAGCTCCGGCCGGGCCAACTGGCAAGCGGGTGACGTAAATTCAGAAGCTTCGGAGCACTGCGGTCCCCACCGGAATTTCAGTCATGGACAGCCCCGCCAACTCGTTATCGAGCGCGCAATCGAGGGGCTCTGGACGATAGACACTCCAACACACTAGCACACGACGACCCCCGAATTTCGACATTCGAAAACTGCCCCTCCCTCTCATATACCTACACGCACATACTCCAGCTGCTAATTGCATTTCGTGGTGTGCGGGATAGCTGCTAGAATCGGACCTCGGAACTTGGATCGTCGACCGCACGCGACTGGAGTCGGAATCTTGCCGACTTTCTCTGCTGCACGTTGATCACGACGTTGTATCGATTCCATATTCGTTTTCTTAGGCTGCGGGCCTCAGCTACACGATATCGTCCACAATCATGAATCACCAGGTGGACCATCTGGTCAAAAAGACATGGGGTACGTCAGGAAAGCTCAGATCAGATCTCCGGCAATGAAATCTTGGGGCTGGCGATGGTCGACGAGCATATCATATGCAGTATTTCTGCTCGATTCATTGATGTACAAGGGCAAGGCTAATCATTTTCCAGCTAAATTCTGCAATACCGCCGACGACGCCCGCTTAATGATAGCCGTTAGCGGCATCCCAGGCTCTGGCAAAACAGCACTAGCAAATATGATGACACAACGCATCAACGAGATCTACCTCTCTGAAAACCCCCACGGAACACCCGTCGCCACTGCCCTCCCAATGGACGGGTACCACTATACGCGCGCGCAGCTATCAGCCATGCCCGACCCAACACGCGCATTTTCACGCCGCGGCGCAGCATTTACGTTTGATGGAGAGAAGTTCCTGCAGTTGGTGCAGGGGTTGCGGGAACCGTTGACCTCGGAAGCGAAGAAAATCTACGCGCCTAGTTTTGACCATGCCGTTAAGGACCCTGTGGATGATGACATTGTCATCCCGGCGTCTTGTCGGGTGATTTTCTTCGAAGGGAACTATCTTTCGCTCAACAAAGAGCCATGGAATAAGGCTGCGGCGCTTATGGATGAGCTTTGGTTTGTTGATGTTGATTTCCAGGTTGCGAGGAAGAGGTTGGTGAGGAGACATGTTAAGGCGGGGATTGCGAAGGATGAGGTCGAGGCGGAGAAGAGGGCTGATGAGAATGACTTGGTAAATGGAAAGGAGATTTTGGATTTCAGGATGCCTGTTCAAGAGATTGTTTCGAGTATCTATGATCCTACTTGGGAGAAGGCATAGAGGTGACACTCGAGATGATTTAAGCAGATGATGCGCGTTGATGAGCATTATGTTGGCGCAATGTTGATTTTAGATCAGTTAAGAACGCATTCAATTGAGTCAAAAGAAGATCTCAGCGGAAGCCACCATTGGAACAGTGTTGTGATGGACTAGTTGACCTTATATACAGCAAAGTTCATGCCTACTTTGGGTCTCGGGGCGTTGGGAGTAGATCCCTTGATCGCTGACCAAAACCCCTGTGGCCTTCCATTGAGTACCAGCCTTTTCACCTACCACATCCCACAACTGCTGCCACGTCCACATGTTATGGCGATACCGACGAAGGCCCTGATTCGCGTGCTCAACTGGGTCCAAAGGCTCAAAATTGGTGATCTGCCTGCCAACTACCAGAGCATTTGCATCCGGCTTGAAGAGCTCGACAAACTGAACCCCGATCTTCACTTGGTTGTCCATGCCGGAAGGATGAATAAAGCTGCGGCGTGAATGATATCGACCTTTCCCTTGATTTCACCGAGGGAACTGTCCGTGTTCACCAGGTCACCTGCTAAATAACGAGCCTCGAAACTTTTACCGTCTCGAAGAGTTCGTAGCCCAGGTACAGGGACCCCTGTCATAGGTCGACTCCGATGAAGTTGGAGGCGGGCGCGCCGCCGACTGCTAGCTATCATAGAGCATAGCCGAAAGCGCATCCGGCATCAAGGACATTGCCGGCCTTGATGCGTTCGATAATGGCGGGGTACTCGGGTAAGGATGTGATTGCACAGTCGAGGAATAGCCAGTGACCGATGCATCCGTGAGGGAAGATGTTCCAGGATTTCTGGCACTGGAGGAAGTTAGCAAAGTGTCATGATGATGATGATGATGTCGAGCAGTGTGAATAACTTGCAATCTCTCTGAGATGACGCTCGGTCTGATCTGGTGGGTTCTTGTTGTAGGTTTTGAGTGAGGCCAATGTCTGGGCTTTATCAGCTGGAAGCTCTTCTTGATAGTCGAAGTTTTTCTCTTGGTTGGTCGCAGACATACTGACAAGACGGTTTATTCCAAGAAATACCAGAGGTGAGACGAGGTGATTGGTGGTCACAGTCAACAGTGACGAAAATCAAAGCTCTTGCTTGTTTCCCCCTTCATGAGGAGGCGAAGAGTTGTTTTCTCTTATAGATTGGAATGTTAAGAACTGCATGTATGTGCTCCGAAAAGATTCTAGTTTGTAGGAATATTTTATCCAGTCTCCATTTCATTCAAAAATTAGGTGGGATAGACCAATTTTGCCCTCACAGACGGCTGTAACGGGCCCATAAGAGATAACACCGAGGCTGAAAGTCGTTGCCCAGACCGAGCCCATCTTCCAAACCCACTCAAGGTCCCAGTTTCTGCACTGAATTTTGACACCTTAACCGCCGAATGCATCCATGAAAGCAAAGTTAAGAATTATACGCTTGCAGTTGTGATCAAGCATACCCACTCGCTTGTAGAATATTGAGAGATTTCTTATTTCTTATTCTGTGCCTTTTGTCATTCGATGACTGCTCAGAATATTGCCGCCTCCGAATCGTGTTTATTCGCACCTAGGACTATATATCCTCTATCCAGTTTCCGAAAGGTTTGAATCCACCCGCATGTTATGGCTAGACCTCAATTCCGAAAGTCATCTGAGTGGCAAACAAAAGCTTTCTAGCATCCAATACATCTCAACCCATTAATGTAGCGCTGTTTTCTATTTTCGACTTTTCATAAAAATTGAAAGGAGCTAAGAAGATAGCACAATAGGATTGGGAGAAATGGATGGGCGATAGAGATGAACTTCGGAGGAAGTTTTTTCATTTGGTTTTAATTTGGAGATTAATGCTTCCACACCCCCGTCATGGCTTCGCTCAGATAATGCAGCACTCTATAGAACCTTGAGTGAAATGGTGCCAGTTTCGACACTGGATACCTGTTGAATATGGTCTTGATAATCGTCAGGTTGATTGCTAAGTCACCTAGCTCCAGCTAGTCAGCTACCTGATCATCTACCCAGTCACCTACGTGATCAGCTGTCTACATAACTACTCTAGAGAGTGACACGCTATACTAAATGAATGGGATTGGGCAAAAATAATTCTCTCCCATAGAGCAGAAAGCTTATTTCTCGACTCGCATAGCCAGGACACCCAAACTGAAGAACTAGCAAATACCTGAAAGGTCAGGGAGGGGTGTGTTCTGAGGCAGAAAGGGTGTGGCTGTATCAATTCCCTTTAATTTGTCGACAAAATCCATCTTCCCCACGAGTCTATAAGGTAAGTTGGCTGCTCTTCTTCGTGCTCTTGTGGGTTTAAAATAGAACTCTCGTCATTATTATGTCCCTCGGCTTCTAGATAGGTCGATTCTGGGGTCGGACACTGAGACATTGACTTTACCTCTCGTTCTACCCACCATCATCAACAGTTGTCATCATCGGTAAGAGTACAGTAGATTCTTCAAGCAGTCCTTAGGAAGAGACACAATTGACATGATTGACCATTACACATGCTCGGTTCGTTCGATGCAACATCCGATCGTCTGGGGGTTTAGGGTCCCTGGCGCTAAACCCTTTCAGGGGCAGATGAGACCCAGCGTGGGGAAATCACAATACTCATTGTTTCACAATTTACCCTAGCTGTAAATTATCGTTACTATGGCCAGCCATAATAAAAGGCACCTCCCGATCGAGGCTAGTGAGTTACCATACCAATATGAAACTGCCCTTCGGGCACATATGATGCGTCGCAATTGGTGAGGAGGCTGCACCGGGGGCACCCGCTGCCGACCCTGTCTCGGTTTCCCTGAGAGCTTCCACTTTTGAGCAGCACCACTCTCTCCTTCGTCAATCTTCGTCTTCCATCGCGCACGCACTCTTTTTCGCCGCAGATCCTGTCGCAATTTTGCACCACCACGATCTTTACACTCGCTCAATACTCTCAGCTCCAGATTCGCTGTGCGATCTCGTCTTAATCGGTCCAACTTTCGCCAATTCATTTATTTCCCGTCAATCCCGTCAAGATGTTCTTCAAGAAGTCTACCCTCGCCCTGGCCTTCGTCGCCCTCGCCAGCTTCGTCTCCGCCGACCAGACCCCGGCCTGTCTCCTGTCCGTCATCGGGTAAGCAGAACCCAGAGCCCCTCGGAGTCCCTGAATCGAATCGGCGCCCGCGCGAACGCGAACTAACTCCTCCACAGCGACACCGCCAACCCGGCCGACCTCGCCACCCTTTGCGGCGATGACTCCAAGAAGGTCCAGTCCAACATTTCGGACAAGTGCGGTGACAAGGCCGACAAGGCCCTGAAATTCTACGCCAACACCTGCAAGGAGAACGGTCACACAGTTGGTAAGGATCGTCCGAATTCCTCTAAGCACGAGGGCCCTATCGATTGGCACATTCCTAGGCTAATTAAATATTCATTCTTATAGAACTCTCCACTTCCAGCTCGAACACCACCAGCAGCTCCAGCAGCGCTACCGCCACCTCCGGCTCCCAGACTACCAGCACCGGCTCCAGCTCCAGTGGCGACAGCAGCTCTGGTTCCAGCACTTCTTCTGCCCCTCAGACGACCTACACCGATGCTGCTCCCTTGAACTACCAGTTCTCGGTCACCGCGATCGGTGCGGCCGTGTTCGTGGGTGCTGCCGCATTGCTATAAGAACTGGTCAATCACATACGGTCTTGCCATGTAATACTCGGATGTCTTGATTGAATAAATTTGGCTTTGATATTCTGCATTCCCTATCTGTTCTTTTTCATCTGCCGCCTCACCTCAGAGATGTGATCTCGAACATTATGGATGCATTGCTGAACATGTTATACCTCACACCGCTTGTCATGTTAGAAAAGCAACGATCTGATTGCTTTGGTGTTGGATTGATATCCCTTGGTCCTTCCATGACCGTATCCTAGGGTAACCCGTTATCGGCTGTAATCATCCTGCAGGCTCATGTCTGCGAGCAGCAAGGAGGTATGCACAAACCGTAGGTGGTGGATGACTCAAATATAGGGGCATGTTGAGATCACTATGACAACGGAAGATTGTGATCGATCTCTACGCCGTGCGGGCCACCCCTCATAACTAGTTCTACTACATAGGGTGCATTTGAATGGTCTCGGTTGTCTGAGGCCGGAATCCACGTCCCCGCTCGGCGCCAGCTGAGCCGATGCCATGCGTGTTGTGTGTCGAGCCGTAAATCGGGGCGAGGCGCGTGTGCACGTGACAAGTTATATCACTCGATGAGGTAAGCCGACCAGACAACACGAAAATTCGCGAGCAAAAACGCGTCTGCCCCGGCGACATCAAATATCCTCGCCCCTCCCTCTTCTTTCTCCTTGGCTCCTTCCCTTCCACTCCAAACCTCTCCCTCCTCTACTTTTCTCCCAACCTACTCCTAATCTATTCTTGTGTCTTTTCGTTGCTCACTCTTTTTAATCTTCTTCCCTCCCATACATACCCCTTGCTCTTCATTCACAATGTTCGTTTACAAGCGAGGTAAGTTGCACCGCCTCTCCTACTGTGAAGCTTCTGAGGCATCTACCGGGTTGCCCCGCGTCTATGCGTGTCTCAGAAGCTTGGGGGGCATCCAGTGGACATTGCCACTGCTTCCGAACACGTTACTGACGCGACATTGCCACAGACGGACGCAAAGAACGCGTGCAGTTCGACAAGATCACTGCCCGTGTGTCTAGGCTGTGTTACGGCCTCGACCCGGAGCACGTCGATGCAGCAGCTATCACGCAGAAGGTTATCTCTGGTGTCTACCAGGGTGTTGGAACTATTGAGCTGGACAACCTGGTATGTGAACTCGGCAATCAACCAACGAACCCCCGCCCAACCCATAAAGAAAACTCAACGCTGACCCTCATTTACTGTAGGCTGCCGAGACTGCTGCGTACATGACCGTGACACACCCCGACTATGCCATCCTCGCTGCCCGCATCGCCGTATCCAACCTTCACAAACAGACCAAGAAGCAATTCTCTATGGTCATCTCCGATCTCTACCACTATGTCAACCCTAAGAACAATAAGTCTGCTCCCATGATCTCGAAAAGTATCTACGAGACCGTGATGAAGCATGCCGATGAGCTTAACTCTGCCATCGTGTACGACCGTGACTTCAACTACAACTTCTTCGGCTTCAAGACCCTGGAGCGCTCATATCTCCTCCGTATCGACGGCAAGGTGGCTGAGCGTCCTCAGCATCTGCTGATGCGTGTATCAGTCGGTATTCACGGCGATGATATTGAGAAGGCCATCGAGACCTACCACTTGATGTCCCAGAAGTACTTCACCCACGCTTCCCCCACTCTGTTCAACGCTGGTACCCCCCAGCCTCAGCTGGCTTCTTGCTTCCTGGTTGATATGAAGGAGGACAGCATTGAGGGTATCTATGACACTCTCAAGACCTGTGCTATGATCTCCAAGACTGCTGGTGGTATTGGCCTGAACGTCCACCGCATCCGTGCCACCGGTTCCTACATTGGCGGAACCAACGGCTCTTCCAACGGTATTGTCCCCATGCTTCGTGTGTACAACAACACTGCCCGCTACGTCGACCAGGGTGGTAACAAGCGCCCTGGTGCGTTTGCCATCTACCTGGAGCCGTGGCACGCCGATGTTTTCGAGTTCCTGGACCTCCGGAAGAACCACGGTAAGGAGGAAATCCGTGCTCGTGATCTGTTCTATGCTCTGTGGACCCCCGATCTGTTCATGAAGCGTGTCGAGGCCAACGGTGACTGGACTCTCTTCTGCCCGAACGAGGCTCCCGGCCTGGCTGATGTCTACGGCGATGAGTTCGACGCTCTCTACGAGCGCTACGAGAAGGAGGGCCGCGGCCGTACCACCATCAAGGCTCAGAAGCTGTGGTACGCCATTCTCGAGGCTCAGACCGAGACCGGTAACCCCTTCATGCTGTACAAGGATGCTTGTAACAAGAAGAGTAACCAGAAAAACCTGGGTACCATCCGCAGCTCCAACCTGTGCACTGAGATCATCGAGTACAGTGCCCCCGATGAGGTCGCTGTCTGCAACCTGGCCTCTCTGGCTCTGCCCACCTTTGTTGATGCTGCTCGTGGCGAGTACGACTTTGGCAAGCTGCACGAGGTTGTCCAGGTTCTGGTTCGTAACCTGAACAAGATCATTGACATCAACTACTACCCCGTCCCTGAGGCCAAGAAGAGCAACTTCCGTCACCGTCCCATTGCTCTGGGTGTCAACGGTCTTGCCGATGCCTTCTTGGCTCTGCGTCTGCCCTTCGACTCCCCCGAGGCCCGTCAGCTCAACATTCAAATCTTTGAGACCATCTACCACGGTGCTCTGACTGCCTCGTCGGCTCTGGCCAAGGAGCAAGGTCCGTACGAGACCTACCAGGGCTCTCCTGTCTCCCAGGGTATTCTGCAGTATGACATGTGGGATCGTACCCCCACTGATCTTTGGGACTGGGCTGCCCTGAAGGCCAAGATCGCCGAGACTGGCGTTCGCAACAGTCTGCTGGTCGCTCCCATGCCCACTGCCAGTACCAGTCAGATCCTGGGCTTCAACGAGTGCTTCGAGCCCTACACCTCCAACATCTACTCCCGTCGTGTGCTCGCCGGTGAGTTCCAGGTTGTCAACCCCTGGTTGCTGAAGGATTTGGTCGACCTGGGTCTGTGGTCGGACAACATGAAGAACCGTATCATCGCCGACGGTGGTTCGGTCCAGAACGTCCCCAACATTCCGGCCGACATCAAGGCTCTGTACAAGACTGTTTGGGAGATCTCCCAGCGTTCCATCCTCCAGATGGCCGCCGACCGTGGTGCCTACATCGACCAGTCGCAGTCCTTGAACATCCACCTGAAGGAGCCCACCATGGGCAAGATCACCTCCATGCACTTTGCCGGCTGGAAGATGGGACTGAAGACTGGCATGTACTACCTGCGTACCATGGCCGCTTCCGCCCCCATTCAGTTCACCGTCGACCAGGAGCAGCTCAAGGTCGAGGATACCAACATCGCCCGCGCCAACGCTAACTTCAAGAAGCGCACCGTCGGCGCCGCCTCCTCCACCTATTCTGCCGTCCCCCGCGCTAGTGGCACTGAGGCCGCCTCTGCTGCTGTCAATGCCCCTCCCAGCCAGGAGAGCCCTCGCACTCTGGTCGCGGACCCCATGGCCGCTGCCTCGACCCGTGAGAACGGTGTTCCTGCTGCCGAGGCCAACCTCGCTGCTGCTCAGGAAGAGGACTCTGCGGAGAAAACTGAAAGCCGTGAGGGTGATATTTACTCTGACGCAGTTCTGCAGTGCAGCATTGAGAACAAGGAGGCCTGCCTCATGTGCCAGGGTTAAACAGCTTTGGTTGGCTTGCAAAAAGATTTCTACGATTTTTCATGTTCCTCATATCCCATCCCCATTCCCCTATTCGTCTCCGTCATACCTTTTTTCCTATTTCCCCCATGTCCTTTGTGAGTTATGTACCTATATTACCTATATTATGAGCTTGATGTTTCTTTTCCTTTGGTTCTGGCGTGGATCAAATCGTTGCATTTCATATGTTAGTGACTAGTCAATGATTTCATATTGAATGTTCTTCATTGTAGACGTCGTATGTATCAAGTTCAGTATTTGTAGACTCTACAATCTAATGCCCCGATATTCCCAACCATTCTCTACACTTCACCTCGCTCACCAGTCTCTGTCATTTGCTCTACAATCGTGCACACTAGGGTACACTATACAATGCGATCTGCTAAATCCCCTTCCTACAGACCGGCGCAGCCGGACGACGCGGCCCGCTTCCCATTCCGGCGCTGACACAGCAACCACTTCCTCAAGCCAGTCGCGAAGAGACGGATAAAAGGGGGTAAAAAAAGGGGACTACGTAGATGGCGCATCTGCTCGACTCTCATTGCTCTTGAGGAACTCACTGAACCACAGATCCACGCTGGAGCTGGTTTCCAGAACTCCTCCGCTTCTAGCAGGTTTGCCGGGATTGCAACGTTGTCGCGTGGTTGGAATTTTCTTTTCTCTGTTTGCCACGCGGGTTCTTTTTCCACTTGTTCTTCTTGTTCACAAGTGTTCTCTTGCGGTGTTGAGGCGGGGTCGAGATGAGTCGATGCTGAATGGGCGGGGGATGCTGGAATATACATTGGCATTCTGAGATTGCTTTTTCAAGAAATATTCTTTCATTGAATATGTGATGCTTCTTTGTGATCCTCGCTGTTTCATGTGGCAATTGGCATTGTGCTATGTCAATGAGTGTAACTTGAACAAGGCTCGAGATGGCTCATTTAAGTGCCCGATCTCTTTGTACTCTCCACCCTCGAACATGTTTGAGATCCGCGACACTGACAATTAACGTTCGGAGATTATCAACCACGCATCATCCCAGTCAAGTACATTCCAACCGTTCGGACCCGATTCTCGGCGCGATCTGACATTCCTCAAATCTCCCCACCCGACGTACAGGACCAAGAACCCCAACCTACCTCAATGTAAGTGTTGGGACCATCACACCTGCTGTAAGTATGTACTTCTCAAAGTACAGAGTACTGCTCGGCTATTCAGTTTACCCCTCTCACCACGTAGGGCCATCTTTGTGCCTCGATCCAACCATGGTCGCACACCCTCATTCTGGGGAGATCGTCGGGTAAGTGGAGCGAAAGTGACTGGCGGAGAAAAGACCCAATCTCTCCACCGCACGAAAAAATGGACGCCAACCAGATTCTCGGCTGGTTGTACCAGGGCGAGCCGGGGCTGAGATTGGGTCGCCAGGGCCCGAGAGGTCCATCCGTGGTCGGGTCTAGAATTTGCTGGAGATCGGATGTGTTTCATGTTGCAGCTGCGATCTCCCCTCTCCTAAGGGCTGGCTTGTGAAAGTCGAAATGGCAAGGACGACAGGTCGGAGATCACAGCAGGTCAGCCTGTTGCTAGTGCTTTTGTTTTGTGTTTGGAGATGCAATGCGAGGCCGACGCATACAGAGTGCAGAATAGGTTACAGCACCCAACGCTCGTATCTGTAGGACGGAATCTGGCCCGACTCGACTCTGGGGTTTCATCTGGACGATCGCCACAGAAGCCACCGACCCACTGAGCGAAAAATTGTTCGGCTCGGTGAAGTACGAACGGGCCAGAACGTTGAACTCCACAACGTCATTGAGGTAAATCGAGGTCGAACCTGTTCTCCGAAAGTCGCCGTGTTGGCAGCCGCACAGAGGGTCACAGCCGTCAGCAATTGACGAACGACAGGCCAGCTGCGCTGGGAGACGCATGGATCAGATTTTGTCTCATTCGATGGGCCCGATTGGGCGCAGGGACCCGCTCAGGGCGGACTGCAGCAGGCGTGTGTAGGGGATGTGTTGTTCGCAAGGTGGCCCAGCAATATTGGACCGTTGGAATACCAATATGTGCCTGACTCTGAATAAGGATGGCGAAGACCACCTTCTGGTCGGCTCAGTTTGGTTGCCCTAGAAGACGGGTATTGGGACGATCGGCCAGTACAACAGCCAGATCGGTTCCTTCATCCGTTCTTGCTAGGCCATGCTGGGCTTAGGGCGACTGAGCGTCTGGTGCCCGTGTTGCGTTGCCCCTGCGCCATCTGCGCCGGCACAACTCAATTGTTCCAATCAGCGCGGCCACTGGCATTGACCCGGTGTGTCCGGCTCAGGTACGGATGGGAGGAGTCTGGGTAGCGAGTACATCGAAGTTGTAGAAGCGGGTACCTGGAGTCAGTCAATGCTGAAGGTGGAGAATACCTGAAAGGGAAGGCGTGCAAGTGAATTGTGGCTGTCGCAACCGTGGGACGGTGGTGGACCCGGAGGCCTGCCCATGCCCAGTCTTTTACCTGGCAGTATTTATTTCTTAGTACTGCCCGGTGCCTCCCTTTTCCTCCTCAACCAACTCCATCGTCAACGGTCCTTCCTTTTTCGTTCACTCTCGCTCTTTTGAGTGTCGATCCTTTGCTGCTGCGCAGTGACCAGTCCTTCACCCAACCTTCATTATCTGAAATCGCCTTCAAAATGGCCCCCATCTCCAAGACTCTCGCCCTCGCTGGCGCTCTCTTTGCCATATCCGGTGTTGCTGCACCCGTCGAGAAGCGCGCGGTGGTCTGGGAAACCGTCACCGACATTGTCTGGACCACCGTCGATGTCACCACCACCATCTACCCCAACCAGGCTGCTCCTACCTCGACCGAGACTCACACTATTGTCCCGGTGAGCACCACCGCCGCTGCCGCCGTTGTGCCCACCACCACCGCCGCTCCCCAGGAAGAGGAGGCCCAGCCGGCCCCGACTTCTTCGTCCTCTTCGTCCTCGACTCCGGCTCCCGCTCCCCAGCCCACTGAGCGCGCCACCGAGGTCGAGGCTGCTCCCGCTCCCGCCGTTGAGACCACCACTGCTCCCGCCCAGACCCAGAACACCCAGAGCTCTAGCTCCTCCGGCTCTTCCAGCTCTTCCGGTTCCAGCTCTGGCTATACCGGCGCCTGCAGCTTTAGCTCCAAGTGCACTGGCGAGATGACCTACTACGACACCGCTACCTCCGCCTCGGCCCCCAGCTCCTGTGGCATGACCAACGATGGCGAGACCGAGTTCGTCATCGCCATGCCCGTCGGCCTCATGTCCAATTCGGACTGCGGCAAGGAGGTCACCATCAACTACAAGGGTACTTCCGCGCAAGCCAAGATCGTCGACAAGTGCATGGGCTGCCAGGGCGGGTCCATCGATCTGTCTCGCGCCCTGTTCTCGCACTTTGCCTCCTTCTCCGAGGGTCGTCTGTACGATGCTGAGTGGTGGATCAACTAAGCGCACGTCGACCGCGCGCTTTCCATGCTGATTTTGTTTACTGGGAAAAATCTCTGGTAGATTTGATCGCTGGTCCGATGATTCATGACTTACCTTTCTCTTCATCTCGGTCCGGAGCTACGCACCTCGCCTAGCCTTCGGTCCTCTTTTTATCTTCTTGCATTCTTTACACTCACCAGTTTACCACCAACAATTCTTGCGCCCTGCGGGCTGCAATGCATTTGCCCATTCTTCCATGTCCATAGAGTTCGATTCTGTTCGGAGTCGTGTGAAAATACTACCGTGATAACCCCAGCCAACCAGCCCATACGTGCCTTGCGCATTAGGTGAATTCCGAGGCAGTGACTTGTGATTTCTTTATTGGTACCGATTTATCGAGTCGCTGCCTCGAATTGCGCAGCACTGATGATTTCTACGAGACCATGCATCGAAACGAAAAAAAAAAAAAAAAGAAAATTTACCGGCGCTTGCTCGATGGAATCGATTATCCTGTCATTTAGCTTTGTATGATCTCAATCGAGTTATTCTTGGCTATTACTATCGCTTCTAGTGTCATTAGCTTCATAACTGTAAATTTGGGTTTGATGTTCAGGCACCGCCTGTCCTGACTCGCTACCTGGGCGGCCATTCCCATCTGGCTGTCTCAAATTCCGATGCCATGCCGAGGGTAAGTAGTAGTAGAATAGCTGGGAACCCCAACCCTGCCCTGTCTCATTCTATAGCACCTGTTCAGCCCGCCACTAATCCACTGTCTCGTAAGAGGACATCGAGCAGAAGTAGCTTACTCCTATAATCTGAGGTAGCGTATACAGGGAAGAGGTATCCGATGTGTGCAAACACCCAGATCAAGCATATGAATCGATAATTACGAGACCATGGCAAAACAGTCTAGGATTCACTTGTTTACACACTGTGAGGCGACGGAAGAAATTCATGATATTCAGTCGAGGACGCCCCAAAAAGGAGTTTTTGCTGAGACATACCACCGCTCCACCCAATCACCGTGCGCAGGCGCCAATGTCTTGGGGTATTGATTGATCGGCGTTGCTCAGCCACTTCTTTAGAGCTGGTAACATTTCCTTGTTACTGCCTAGCATACGAGTGTGCCCCTGAAATAGCTGTATGTGGCTAAGTATACTTTGTAGAATGACTAGCGTGGTTCGTATCTGAGGAAGGAAGCGAGGCAGGGCAGGCACCGCCCATCCTTCCTCCACAATCTAAATCTAGCACGTGTGTAGGTAGTGACATTACGCAAAAACAACATTATTCCTCAACGTCCCAATTTCCGAAATCGACACATCCATCTGCGTCCCGGGAACGAGGTATCGCGGGGGATTTAAACCCGCGCCGACGCCTAAGTGAATCAGTCAGCCTCAGTGATGCAGATACGAAGCGTATGCAGCGCCTCTCATACCAGTCCCAGCAAAAAAAAGAAGAAAGAAATACTCACCCCCCGGCGTCCCAGTCATAACAACACACCCCTTCTGCAACGTCGTCCCAGACGAAAGATAACTAACCAAATATGCACAGTCAAACAACAGATCCGCCACACTCTCCTCCTGTCTCACCTCCCCATCCACAACGGTCTTCAGATGCAGCTTGCTGGGATCGCCAATCTCGGACGCAGATACCAGACACGGGCCTAGAGGCGCGTAGGTGTCGAAGCCCTTCGAGAATCCCCATTGCGGGACGCGCCCGGCGAGTGTCGGGTCGCGTTGGAGTTTGCGGGAGGAGATGTCGTTGCCGATTGTGTAGGCTGCGATGTAGGAGGGGGCGGTTTCGGGGGGGGATATTTTTGGCGGGACGACCGATTATTAGGCACTGGAGTATATCGTGTCAGACTGTGGATGTGAGTGGGAGGACTGGGGGATGGAGAGGGGTACCAGTTCGCCTTCGTAGTCTGCTTGCTCATCTTGTGCGATCTTCGGGATCTCGACTGGTTTCCCATGGTCGTGGATTGTTGTGTTGGGCTTGAAGAAGATGGATGGGTAAGGTGGTGGGGTGCGGCCTGCTTCTTTGACTGTATAACACGATATCAGCATGTGACCTATGGTGTTGCACACGAAGTATTCGAGATCATGATGTGATTCAACACTGCTATCTCAACACTCCAACCAACTCCAAAGGGGAAAAAACTCACTATGCCTCGCATAATTCAACCCCACACACCTCAAAACTGGAACATCTCCCTGCGCCAGCGGTCCCAAAATCGTCCTGACAGTGACGATTTCATCCGTCACGCGCGTTTGGCCGGTCGTATCGTAGATATCCTCGCCCTCGATAACACGTGCTTGGAGGCTATCCTCTTCGGTGATGAAGCCGAGGTCTGTTGTTGGTGTTGGGAGGATTGGTTCGCCGCGGAGAGTACGGCCGTCTGTGGCGACGAAGCGGATTAGGCGTTTCCAGGGGAGGGTCATCTTGAACCTTATGGAGTTGCGTCTTTTACCTATTGTTGTTGAATATAAATATTGAGAAAATTTGGGAGATTTTATGTCTATGGGGTTTTTTTATTTGGGGGTTGAGGGCTTAAGATGGGGTTTGTTCGGTTCTTCGGGGGTAGATCGGTTTGTTCCGATGGCACTCGGCTGTGGTGGGACGTTATGGAGTCGGGGACTGAACAACCACAATGCTACTCTATGTAATGCTCTGACGAGGGAGGGGGTTTGTATTGTGAGAAATGAACCTAGCGAATGGTCGGACGGTGCTGGTCATTATCAAGCTAGAAGATCATCGTGAAGTTGGTGTCCATTAGTTACATGTGCCAAAATGATATCAAATAGTCTCAAGATGACAAGAACGATAAAATCATTCCAGTCTCTACACTACCTTCTTGTATCAACCACATCCACAATCTACACAATCTAAAGTGCACACTTCACTCTATATTCCCTCCATGCCCTCTCAACAGCACCTTCCGCATCATACCCATACGTCCAAATCTGCGTGACAGGATCACTCCACTGATTCGGACTATGAGAAAAGCCCACCCCATCAACCTCAGGCTTCATAGCCGCATCCCGCGCCCGCTGCAGCGGCCCATCAGCGAAATGCCACAATTTCCCATTGAGAAGACTAGCTTCTTGCATCTTGCTTGTGCGGTCAATGCGGGCTTTTTCGAAGATGGACAGTGCGGTGGGCAGGTCGTGTGTACTGGTTAGTTTTGAGAGGGAGGTTGAGAGGGCAATGGCGTCTTCTACTGCCATTGCAGCGCCTAGACATTGGTGGGATTATTTCATAGTTCAAGAAAGGGGATGAAATGGAGTGGTGGATGGTTTTACCTTGAGACATGTAGGGCAGCATCGCGTGCGCTGCATCGCCGAGCATCACTATTCGCCCGGCTGTCCAGCGGGGGAGAGGCGTTCCGCTTACGAGGGGCCATTTAATTGTGTTCGTGATCATGGAGATTATTTTTTGGAGTCTGGCAGTAATTTGTCAGACAAACTTCTAGTAAATAGTTATGGTGGATGGAGTGGTTGCCCACCTCGAATCCCAGCCTTGAAATTCCCGTCTCATGTCGCGGAGTGCAGTCGTCTGGTCCCAGCTCGCGGGATCGGTATTGTCTGGATGCGAGAGGACCATGTTGAAGGATTTGCCGGAGTTGATGGTGTAGGTCATTACGTGTCTTTGGTCGCCGATCCTGTCATTGGAGATGGTTAGCTGGTTTCTACTGTAGTGTGGTGGAGGGAGTGTATGGTACCAGATATTCAGCGCCGGCCTCTCAAGCAACCAGGATATTTCCGGATCAGCCTGTATCTTCGAAACATCAACCGTCGCCCTGTACGCAGCGAATCCAGTTCTTTCGATTGGACGTCCAGATTGATCGACCAGTTCTCTTGCAATGGATTTCACACCTGGATATACATTACACACCACGACTTGGCATATGAGAGGCAGGGGAGACAAACCGTCAGAAGCAACAACCAAATCCGCACAAACAAACCTCCCATCCACAAGGCATATACCTGCCCTTCCGGTTTCGCCGAAAGGGTTCGAATCATTAGTGTACCTAACAACCCGGGAAGCAAGCTTAACCACAACACCCAACTCCACAGCACGAGCATGCAACGCCGAGTGGAAATTCGCGCGGTGAATCACGTAGTACGGAGCGCCAAAGGTATCCCGGAAGTCGGGGATTAGCCGAGTCAACCCGATTACCGCTCCTGATTCCCACCGTCGGAAGGAGATTTGCGAGGGTTCTGTGACGTGGGGTGTGAGGTACTGGTCTAACCCTAGTTTGCTGAGCAGGCGGGTTGAGTTCGAGGGAATTTGGATTCCTGCGCCGACCTATTTTTAAAAGAGTTGTTAGTAATGATCTATATTTGATAAGGAATACCTACCTCGCCCAGCTCGGGAGCTTGTTCGTAGACTGTCACTGTGTGTCCGGTACTTGCGAGGGCGATTGCTGTTGAGAGGCCCCCTAATCCTGCGCCGACGACGATGATGTTTAGGTGGACCTTGGCTTTGTTGGTAAGGGGTTTTGGGGCAGACTGGTTGAGGAAGGCGAGGCAGTTGCTTGGGTATGTGGGGGTCTATCATTTCGTTAGAATTGATATTCCGGTTTGTAGACTCCGAGGGTGGCACCTTGAGGGAACTGCCTCCCAGCAGCTCATCCACATTATCGTGAGCCATTATGATTTTCCGAATAACAGAATAGTTCAGTTTTGTTTGCAGGCTCTCGCGCGAGTGGTTATAACCGCATATTTCCCCACGAACTCGCTGAGATCGGGGAGCGGATCCGGTGTATACCCGGCTTGTTCTGTGACCCAGCACCAGAACAGGATGCTGAGTATAATAAATGACTGCCGGTAGGATATCCTGAGAGAATAATTCATCTTAGAGACTCAGAGTGTACTGTCATCTCAACATGTCCCTCACCGAACCAATCACTGCCGACACCGAAGAGAAACTGCTGGCAGATCTCGAAGCCAGCAAAACCCTCCCTCTATGGAAACAGATGACCCGACTGAACCCTCCCTCCCCAAACCCAACCACCATCCCCAATGTCTGGAAATACAAGTCCATCCGTCCGAATCTCGAGCGCGCGGGCAATCTGGTCCCGGAATCGCAGGCTGAGCGCCGTGTCTTGATGCTCGTTAACCCCGCCCGAGGCACGTCTACCGTACCAGAACCTCCAAAATGTCTACAATAGTCTGGAAATTACTAATACTTGGGATTTGTAGACGCCCCATACACAACAGACACCCTCTACGCCGGCCTACAACTCGTCATGCCGAATGAAACAGCCCGCGCCCACCGGCACACGGCCTTCGCGATGCGCTTCATCATCGAGGGAAAAGGCGGCTTTACGGCCGTACATGGGAAGCGCATTACCATGCAACGAGGTGATGTGATCCTCACCCCGACCTGGAATTATCATGACCATGGTAAAGACGGGTCCGGGCCCATGGTTTGGTTGGATGGGCTCGATCTGCCGAGTTTTACACACTTCCCTGTGCATTTTGCGCAGCATTTTGATCTGCCGCGGTATCCGGCCGCGGATGTGGAGAGTGCGGATTCGCCGTTGGTTTTCGCCTGGAATGATATGAAGGCACGGTTGGATGCGATGCCCGGGGAGTGGGCTTGTTGTCGGTATTTGAGAGATGGGCGCGAAGGTATGTCAACGGCATATCGCAATTATCATCCCCTGCAGTGTGGTTGATGTCTCCCCCTGATCGTCTCCTTCGTACCACGACGATATCCTCCAGAGTACTGTTTGATATGATATTCAGGGGAAGGATCAAACTTTGATGTCCGACCCACCGCTAATCTACCTCTCGTCCAGTGAGCCGCGTGCTCGGGGGATGCGCTGAGCGGCTCTCAGCCGGTGCGTCTGCACCGTCCCGTCGTGAGACGACCTCCGCCGTTTACCATGTTGTGGCTGGGCGTGGGCGCTCGGTCATCAACGGGCAGGTGTATAAGTGGGAGGAGGGCGATACGTTTTGCGTGCCGGCGTGGTACAGGTATCAGCATCTGGCCGATGGGGCGGTGTACCTGTATCGTTTTGATGATCGGCCGATGATTGAGGCGTTGGGGTTTTATCGTGAGGAGGATATGGATGTTGAGGGGCTGGTTTCTGAATAGGTGGTGGTTGTGCTGTTCTGATCTTCTGCCCAGTGCGCTAAGTGTTCTATTCAGGGATGATGGAAGTCGGTCTCTCGCGCATGGTCCCCGGACTCCACCTGCGGGCCAGACATGTGTTCGCCGCGGGGAAATATTGTATAGTGGTACGGAAATAAATTAAATGCTACCACTCTACCTTAGGTTGTGCCACTGAATACGACCGGCAATTTGGATAGTTGAGTATTACCCGAGAGATACATGGGATTTGCCGTCTGCATTGTCTGACTGTCTGCCGGTGCCTGCAAGTGCATACGCGCTGGGGCGAACACAGCGAGCTAGTTTAGAGGCATTGCTGGAATAGTGGAATCGTGCGTCACCGATCTGCTTTCTGCTTGCTAGCGGGAATGTAAAGACCCATGTTGATTAAAATAAAATATTCGTCGAAAAGTGTGTGCCTACATAGTACTACAGTAGTATTGTGTGTGTAGGGCATTCACCGCCAACCCTCGACTTCTCCCAGCGAGACATGCCCTCCTTTCCTCCTCTTTCCACCTCAGTACAGGAGACTGCCCCACCATCAGCCACCTCGTAACCTCTGCTCAGCCTGCTCGATCTGACCCTGCCGACTTGACCCTGAACTGGAAAAAAAAAAGAACGCAAAAAGGGACATGTAACCTGCAGGGCATTGCACACTCTGACCCAAAAAAGACCGCATCACAGCCCCCGATTGGCAGGTATCCGCCAGCTGAAGGGCTCGCAGGTCAAGCCACGCTCCACTCGACGGGCCACCTCGCCACTGACGATGCTCAATTCATCCATCGCTGGCCACAAACGCGGTCTAGGGGCATGCAAGGCCCGCGCGATCGTCTACGAGCGCCCCTAAGCAGACCCTCAACCAGGGCCCGGCTGGCCCGTTTGGCTCGCGCGACGACCTGAAACTAGCGACCGCTCGCCCATCGTTGCCAGTCGGGGTAACCCCCCATGAAGTTCTTCCCGGTGGAGGCGTTAGCCTGTTTCACCTGCTGCAACGCAAGGCTTCGCTGGGTCGGGTTCCTGCCCCCGCCGGAACCCTGTGCCTGTGCTTGGCCAAGTTATGGAGACACAGTGGAAGGTAGAATTGCCCGAGCCCCACTCCACCAAGAGAGAGTACATATACCATAACCCGCGCATTTTTGTGTGATTTTCCCAAGCAAGTCTTCTCTCTTTTATCGTGCTGGGCACTCTCTGCAGTCATGTTCTTCCTTCCGGTCCTTTTCGCTGCTGGCAGCCTCCCCCTCATTTCTGGGGCTCCAGTCGCATCCAATCTCTTGTCTGCAGAGACCGAATCCACCCACTCACTCCATGGACGCAGCAGTCTTCTCTACGCAGGACTTTTCGGCGGTGATGGCTTGTTGTCGCAGGGCTGGCCCTCGATCGAGAACTGGATCACCTCGTTTGATGATATGTGGGATAACAACCTCGACGTCCTCCGCTCGAGCTGCAAGCAGTTCGGCTTCGAGAATAACTCCGACGACGAAATTGCCGGTATCAAGAAGGCTATCAAACAGGTCTCGAGCGAGTCGGGCATTGATGCTCGCTACATCATGTCGATCATGATGCAGGAGAGCAATGGCTGTGTCCGTGTCAAGACGACCAACTACGGTGTCAACAACCCCGGTCTGATGCAGAGCCACAATGGAAAGGGTACCTGCAACGATGGTAACCCGATCTCGCCTTGCACCGACGATGTCATCCTTACTATGATTCGTGATGGAACCACGGGTACCGCTGGTCTCCAGGACTGCAAGCTCCAGGTCGGCGGCGATACCGATGATGCGACTGCTTACTACAAGGCCGCTCGCTGCTACAACTCCGGCTCCATCGCGTCTTCCGGTAATCTCGGCCAAGGCATCGCGACTCACTGCTACGCCTCGGACATCGCCAACCGTCTCCTGGGCTGGGCCACTGGTCCCTCCCACTGCCAGGAAAACGATATTGGCAGCCTGAGCACAAGCAACTGGAACGGTGAGTCCGACTCCGGCTCTGGCTCCGGCAGCTCTGGCAGCTCCGGAACCACCTCCACCAGCTCCATCCCCGCCGCCACCGAGACCTTCGCTCCCTCAACCATCGTCCCGGTCGCGACCCAAACCGCCCAGCCTCAGCCTGAGCCCACAACCACCGAGACATCCGCCCCGGCCGCGCCTACCACCACGCCCGCTCCTACGGCGGCTGCCACCCCGGTGCCCACCGCCGCGCCGTCGTCAGCGCCCGCTCCTTCCAGCGCCGCGTCGGACTCGGGATTCTACGGCAAATACCCGTACGCCTCGGCCTCTTGCCAGCAATACTACACCGTCCAGTCGAACGACTACTGTCGCAAGATCGAAGTCCAGTATGGAATCGACGCGTCCACGTTCCAGAGCCTTAACCCGGGCCTGGATAACACCTGCTCCAATCTCTGGAAGGGTTACGAATATTGTGTCAAGGCTTAGACACGATTTGCTTGAATAAGCCGTCCCTCGTTCACATTGCATAGCATTTCACTTCGTTTCGTTGGTTCGTTGAACCCCCTCTTATAAATGACCGACTTCTGGCTGGTCTTTCCACTTTATTTTCCCCTGGCCGTGCCGGGCGGGAATGGGTGAACACTTCTCAGCACAAATTTTGTCCGTCCTAGTATAGTTGGCTGCATTCATTTGTGCCGGATGCTGGGTAGGCTGGATCTTGCCTTGTTTTCTGGTTGCCGACATGATTGACGAAAGCTTTTTTTTTATCTTTGATACCATACATTCTTGCTCTGCATTCTTGCTCTGCAGACAGCTGTTGAGAATACCGACCCTCGTTTTCGTGCATTTTTATCTTACTTCTGTAAGGTCTTGCGTAAATGGAATAGACTGCTCTGGCTATCCCGTTCTAAGTTGTATCAAATGTACCGGGTCCATCTACCTTGGGGCACCGTTACAGCAACCCCATATCTGACGCACAACCCTGCAGAACACAGTACAACACTGCACCACCTGCCCAGGGTCTAAACTATGCCATTGTCCTTAGGTACTTTCTTTATTTCTGTATGCTGGTGTACGCTACTGCACCCCCAAACTCTATCCGGCGCTTGTCTTAGAAGCACATAAAGTATATCCCCGAGTCTCGCACAGCATGCGCGGGGTTAATCCAGTGTGCATTATGCGCGTGCCTGCCAATGAGGTATGACCTCGCGCCGCCGAAGCTGCCGCGGCGCCTACTCATATGCAAAGATGTAGATGGGACCATATGCGGGATGTGCAGGTCGGCGCAAAGAGCTGGATTCTCATTCGTGGGCCTACTATGTCACATACCTTGAAAATACTGTAGGGTATGATTTAGGGTATCATGTCATACGTAGAGTAGTGTGATATCAGCAAGGCCTGGTGGGGATGGTTATTGTGATCTGGACTGGCTACGTTAAATTGAGGTGGTTGTGCTGTCCTTTTGGTGGGGTGGAGATGAGGTGAGATGAGGCTATTGATACCAGTGTTGCGTACAATCATGTTTCAAGTTTGAGACTTCGAGTCGGTGGATTGAACTGCATATCAAAAGAATACATGGGGGAAGGGAGGGGAGGGTTTATTTCATCCGCTCCTAATTGCCCAGGGCGTTGAGGTAGCCTAGATCTTAATCCGTTCGATTCAAATCTAGTCTTTGGCTAAACGCTTTGCGTGATACAAATTAAGCCCATAGAATAAAGACTATTCCATCTAACCACAAAATGCCTAAGTAAGGTAGCGCCCAAATAAGGTATTCACTGCATCTGTCAAATCCCATCCTCACCACAGCCCGGCGCCATTGTTGTTCTGTGGGGACCCCACACATTACATCCGACACACCCCCGACACCCGACCCATCCCCGCCCTCAAATCCGCATCATCCCCGACAGCCCTACATTGCAAAAGCAAAAGATCACAATGACAGACCCCGAAACACCTGCGCCCTCTAAACGCCGCCGGATCGCGGTCGCCTGCGACGCCTGTCGAACGCGCAAATCCCGGTGCGACGGGACTCGGCCGCGGTGCTCGCTGTGCCGGGATCTAGGGTTCGAGTGTGTCTACTCGGCGCCCACGACTGCCACCAATATTATTGTGCAGAAGGATTATTTGGCTGCTATTGAGGAAAGGGTGAAGAGGCTTGAGGGGGTAGTTGATGTGGTGAAGGGGAATGTTGAGGGATTGTGGGGGAGGGTTGATGGGACGAATGCTTTGAATAGGGAAGAGGATGGGGATGGGAAGGGGATGTGTGAAGAGCACTGCGAGGGTTTGCAGGTGCAGGGAAACGTGCCTGATTTAATTGGGACGGAGGACTCGGTTGATGCTATGGGCGCGGTTACGTTTGCTGATGAGCGGGATTCGGGGTTTTTTGGTAACCATATACTCTTATCTCATATATTATGATGATTTGCTGATATTAATACAGGACCTTCGTCGAATATCGCATTCTTGAGACACCTCTCCCGAGCAGTCGTTCAAAACGGTTACCTCCTCTCACCCGGCGCAGCAGAGGGAGGATTCGTGAGTGCTTCACGGCCTCCATCACCGCGGCGATTGGGGGATAAAACGTCTCACAATATATTTGCATTACCGCCTCAAAGCGAGACGCTGGCGTTGATAGAGCGGTATTTCTCGAATACGGGCCTGTTATTTCCGTATATATACCCGCCCGTCTTCCTGGAGACGTATCACCAGATGGCCAAGGAGAATTTTGCTAAGGTGAGGAGGACGTGGCTTGGCCTCTTGAATATGGTGCTCGCTATGTCGACTATGACTGCTGTTCCTGGTGGTGCGAAGGCTGATGAGAGAATTGAGGAGTCGGAGGTTTATTTTCAGCGCGGGCTTGGGCTTTGTGGTAGGGAGATCTTGAGGGGGACGACGTTGGAGGTTGGTATGGAGTTCTTTAGAGTCACGCACGGGTGAAAGATGGAAGGTACTGACTTTGAAACGTCTTATAGTTCAGTTTCTGCTTTTAATGGGACAGTATCTGCAGGGTACGCAGAAGTCTGTGCAAGCGTGGACGGTGCATGGGTTGGCTGTTAAAGCAGCCCTGCAGCTCGGTCTTCATTCGACGAATGCCTCGAGGGCATTCTCTGCTCTTGAACAAGAAATGAGGAAGCGTACTTGGTATGGGTGTGTGGTGTTGGACAGGTGAGAGGATTGCATCCCAGAAGAAAGTATGCTGCTAACGCATGCCAATAGAACACTGAGCATGACATTCGGAAGACCAGCCGCTATACCAGATAACTACGTCAAGCTGGAACTACCCGCAAAGCGCGACTTCGAAAAGTCATCCGCCTTCGTGGACGACGAGACATCACACCTCAGCGTGGCATTTTTCAACTCGACAATGTAAGCCATCCTTACAATCCACCCGAACAAAGCTGATCTCAAAGAACCCTTTACAAACAACTCTGGAATACCATCGACCTCCTCTACGGCCAAAACATAGGCTGCGACTTACCCCTCCCAATAACAGAAACAGTCTCCCACATTTTCAGCATGGAACAAAACCTCTTTTCCTGGGAAAGATCACTAGACCGAAACCTCCAGCTCATCTCCACGCCCAAATTGGTCCAAATGCCGCGCGAGATAGAATCAACGAGCTTCGCGTACTTCTCCTGGAAATTCCGCGTTATATTAACACTGCGATATCTCAATCTCCGGGTGTTAATTCATAGACCCGTGCTGGTGAAGTTCATTGCAGCGAGCAGATCCCCCGACCTAGAGTCACCTGACCTGAAGCTACTGCAGCAGATGGGTATGAATAGTATGCAGATTTGTACCGAATCTGCGATGGAGATTATTGGAATTGTGCATCGGGTCGTTTCGGAGCCTGGCTGGAAACAGAGTCTTTTGGGGGCTTGGTGGTTTTCGCTTTACTATAGTATGTACCTATGTATCTCCACAGTGATTGTCCAGCTAACCATTCGACGTCGAAACAGCATTCAATGCCGCACTGGTAATAATAGCCGCCATCTGGACCTACCGCGACGAAACCATAAAGAAATCCCCCCGATCAACCAGGCAAAGAAAGCACAAACATACCCCGGTCTCGCAGCCGAGGCCCTGGCCAGACTGGATGATGGGAATAGGTTGATTGATCGATGCAGGTACTACCTGGAACAATTTAATACTATCCTGGTTGACCCCGGTAAGTCGGGTTTGCACTTGGCTCAGAAAAACACTGACGATTCTAGAAAATGATGTTAATGGCTCGGTCCCTGCTTTCTCATCTCTCGCGGGTACGCGCGGTACGTTGCATTCTGGGGATTTTGGTCTTTCGCCGTTTGGGATGGACTTGGGGGAGTTTATGATGGATGATGCCCTTTTGGCTATGATTGATCGGCAGGGAGTTTTGGGAGATGATGGGGAGGGGTTCCATGACTGATACTTCTCTCACATAGTATTCAGCAAGGAGAGAAATGTATAGAAGCCTGGAAACACGAGAATTGGGGTCGAAAGCTATATCTTTAGAATATTCTATAACTGCATCCTCTTGAGGCATCGCTTTACGAAGAATATTACCGAGTGGGGAATTAGGTATGTGATAGAGTAGATAAAGTTCAAAATAAGAAGACGTGGCAGATCTAGCAATAGATATAGAAGATAACACCATTTTCATGTTGAGTTCAGATGAACCACATACCTATTGACTGCCGTCGAGGTGCCTCATAGAAATGAAGCGGCTCTGGAAGGCTTGATGCGGTAAATAATCTCTGCGGTGGTGCAATGAATGCAGTGGTGACTGGACAAGGACGGGATTCGGAGGTCCAGGACGGATGGGGTCGTGATGTATGTATGAGCCGCACTGCCGGGTTCTGGTGGGATATGAGTCAAGAGGAGAATACTTCAACGCAGCACGCTCGCATGCGTGCGGGTCGGTAAGTAGTGCTGAGGACTGGTAAGAAACAAGGGGGTTGTGATCACAGTAATATCCTTTTTGAGATTCGGGTCCGTTAAATCTGCTCAGCTCTTTCAGGATATTCTTCGGCTTACCTCTCGAAACTCTCAAATATCTTCACAGTTCTCTAGAAATTTGACAATTTCCCGTCCCCGGCTCCTGGCGGGTGGCTCACTTACCAGGCTGACCGCAAGTTCCATGACATTCTGATTATTCCCAAGTTTGTCCCCGATGGGTGAGTAATGGGCAAATGAACGTGGCAACCCCTCTCAAGGAGCATTGTGATGATTTCGAGGCAATGATGACGAACTGCCCCATCCATTATCGGGGACATGTGTCGTTGATATTGGATTCGGTCTTGCAATTTGGCTTCGCGACCGGGAAAGTCGTGAAATACCCCCAGGAGAAGCTTAGTGACCTTGGGCCGGTTGTATTCCCATGCAACGCTCAGTGCCGTGCGAATCCAATAGTCATCAAAAGCACTCGCGTTGACCAGCATTCGCGCAGTACTTACCGGTCTATCTTCCGCTGGTGTAACAAGCAGTGGTTTTTGATACACTGAAATTGTCACTGGTGTGTCAGCTTCAAGAAGGGTGGACACAATGCTAATATGTTTTCTTTTGACGGCGAGGTAGATAGGAGACCAGACGATACGAATGTGATGGTTTCTGTAAATGATCGATCCCAGCGAGACTTGATCAAGCGCTTTGACAGCACGGACATTAATTGGACGGCGATAGAAAAGCAGCTGTTCATGTGGGCTAAGCTGTCCCGTCTTGGCAAGGAGCTCCGGCTTAAGACCTCTGTGACCTCTGTGAACTATATCGAGGACACTTCTCCCCTTCCCTCAAAGTACGATAAAAGAGGAAGATCGTCGGTATCTAATCGGATGCTCGCCGACCAAGACGCGTAACTTGACGCAGAAGAAGTCTCCGGGCATCCCTCGGTTTGGAGGAAAGTTTATAGAATGATGCGATGCCCTGGACCACCATGCCGCCACGAAGGTCAGTATTGTTGGCAGGACCCGGTGGGGAAAAGACACTACAAACTCAGGACACATCATTTAAGAAGACTCATTCGATATGTGGAGAAAGGTGGAAGGCTTGAAACCCACGATGACATCCCTGAAAGTCTCCGTGAGCAGCTCTACGCCGAGGACAACGAGCGAACCTTAAAGCAGCAAAAACATACTGATATTTTCCCTTGGATCGATGTGCCCTCCCATTAATATCAATGTACTTCCAAATCAGGCATCCAAGCAGTCGTGTCAGATGCAAACAGCTCTGTCCCTTTCCTCTCGAGGACTCTCCCTGATCCAATCGATATACCTGGTCTGCACGACGTTGCGGTGGAGGAATATAGTGGTTGGCAAGAATCAAGAGTAAGCAGCGAAGCTCTTAAGGACGATATTCGAAAAGCTCGGGATCTGGTGCTCGCAAATGGCCTTGATCTGAAGCAGATCCACGGTGATCAAGACCCAGATTTCTTCATCAAGCAAGGCGTTAAAGTTGGGGTTGCGCGCCGATTCGTTTGCGAGATCACCGAATGGGTGAAAATTCTGAAACGAGCGGTAACAGAGATCAACTAGAAGTGCCTTTGCAGGGAACAGTGGTATTTAAAGTAAACTGCACGTGTCAACAAACGTTTGTCTAATTTTATCAGTCCTGATCTGTAAACAATTGTATAAATTGGTGTATATCAAGTGAAATATCATTGTGATCACTACAACTGATGGAGACTTCAACAGACTTGAAGTCATTCACATAAGAAGCACTGAAGTGTAAAGATAAATGATGCTCCACATAGTACGTAGTACTGGACAATCCCCTCAACTCAGCTGTCCTCAAGCCTCTCGGCAAACGGGTAGTCGTTGTTGCGGTTAAAGCTCAGGAATCCGAGAATAAACCACTCTAGATACAAGAATGCAGTTAGTTCAAATGGTTCACAAGTACAAGAACGGTATATTCCCACGCACCAGCTAGACTAAGCTTTTTGTCCTCGGAAATATCCGCATACGTGAAGAACTTCTTCATGAACTCCTTAATATCTTCTCCGTCTTTCAGCTTCATATCGTCAGTAGCTTTGATTAGTTCGTGCAGCTCAACATGTCCTATGAAAACATTAACGGTCAGCCAAGCGGTCTCCTAATGGCCTTGTGTTTATCTCGCCTACCGTCCAAGTTTCGGTCCTAACAAGAGACATTTCGTTATTATATACCCTTTGATGTTTTGAGTGGGACAAATGCTTGCTTACCGCCACAATGAATAAGCCAAGGAAACTCTGGATCATGTTTGACGAGTAATAGACATCCTAATTTCCGGTTTGAGTGAGCAATTTGACTAGCTTGAAGATAAACACAAAGGATTTTCTAACCTCGGGAGTCTCTGTAAAAAGTTCATAAATGGCCGCTATTGTAATCTTGGCATTGTTCTTCTGCTCTGGGGTGAGCTTCTTTTTAACGGTTTTGAGAATTTCCGCTGGAGACTTTTCAGTTTTGAAACCCATTGTATGTAGATGAAAAGAAATTTGAAGTGTGTAGGATATGGTATAATTGTGAGTGTGGTTTTGGTTTTTAGAAAATTAGAGATTCAAATGTTGTTCTTGGATGTCTTAAATATCTTTAACGGACGTCGGAGTGCCGTAGGGCCCAAAGCTATGATCTCATTATCGGGGGAATGTTACACAATTACCCGAGTAATCAACTATGCATGCGAGAGCTCATATCCATTGTGTATACGTATACCATATGTACCTGTGCGTATGCCTTCACCGAACAAACGACACCGCTCCTCTTGACGAAAATGATTCGTCAATCCTTTCTTGTGGATAGCAGATTTCAAGTACTGTTTATGTTACACAACACGTGGGCTGCCAGACCGATTTACAGTGTTATCTAAAAAATATGTATGCATATGCTGTACAATCTTTGAACCGCACTGTCGGGACGAAAAGCTCCACCTAATTATTCTCTAGGGCTCTGTTAACAATGTAGGTATTATTCTACAATTCTCATTGGCTGGTAACAGCATGACCAGTAAACGGGTTCAAAAAAATTATTTGAGTAAATAGAGACCTTTGTCACATATTTATTTTATTTCAATGTTATGAAGGGTATCTTGTATAGTGGACACAGAATTAGCACCTGGGGGTACATATGGCGCATATACACTAGCCAAATTAGGCCTTACCCTCTTATGTCTATCTGAGAAAATATCTGACATCATACCTTAAAATCATGCATAACAGTCCTATTCTCGTTAGTCACATTTTACTACTACAGAACTCGTGCAGAAATGAAATGCATGTAAGTCGGTGCCCATAGGAGATATATCAGATCCATATTTCTACAAATACAGCTTTGCTAAAACGGCTTTGACGGTTAATATAGGCTAAAAGTTTCCACATTTTCAAAGGTTACGACCGCCCTTGATAACCTCAGGGTATTACTCCTAATGTTGCACAAGGCCTGGCCACCATGTATGATTGAAGCTCAGGTGTATGCTTTCAAATATGGAGGATCCACGGAATGGGCTGGCAGGTTACACTACATCCATGAAATACGAATATTTGTTTGCGCCATGCGCAGGCATAGTAAAGGGTCCACATCTCTCCACATTTCATTTTTTTTTTCGAAACGTGAAGGTAATTCCCTCATACTAAAAGTTGAACTCATGACTGAATCTTAGATTTATCATTCCTCTTGACGAATGGGAATAGCAGCTCTGGAATGCCCGGGTTATACAGAGTTTAATAATTCTGAAGTGTTGAAGGTTCACATGTATATGTCCACGGGTGTCACCTGGGCAATGATAGATCAAATTGAATATTGAGAGTGCTCGTCTATGTGTTCAAATGTTGAATAATGGGAATTTTTAAATATGTTATCTTCTAGACTACTACCAACCACCCGTGGACCTGAGCACCTGGGCACTTGGGTACTTGTGCATATTGATCAATTATATATGTAGAGTATCATTCAAATTGATACTAGTCTTGTAACAGGACACATGAAGACAGCCATATTCCCTTCTGGTTAAAAATATACCTATCTCTCCTACCCTTCGCAATATATCACACTTGATTGCCCCCACTTTCCCCAGCACAGGTTGCGCAAAGTACAGGATCGCATTACCATGGAAGATGCCAAATACTTCCTTGGGGTTTTGACAAGGAAGGACCCCAAAAGCAAGCGACAGGTATCTTCGCTCTATTGTCGACATTAAAGGCCGTGAACATCAGCTGACACTTCTAAACCCTAGATACCATATTCCCAGGCCCTGAAAATTGCGTTGGAGGAGCATGCCAAAGGTACTGCACCGTGCGAGACGTTGTTCTTCGCTTCACAAGACGCCGTAGCGCAACTGGACCAGAATGTCATGGATTCGGAGTCAATCAGGCTTATACTGGAGGAGACAGCGTTTCGGGAATAGATTAGTGACGGTGCTTCAATTCATGGTTCTTCTCTGATGTGCTGTGGGCCAACAAAAACTCTCCTCTGGTAGGAATCCGATGACGTCACTCTTGAGTTCGCTGGGGCTCATTAAGAGGTGATGGAACGTTCATTCGATATGCGAGATTCGGTAATGCGTCCACAGCCGGTGCCAAACCGGGACTGGGAAGCTCTGATGAAGGAGTTCGCTCATCTGTCGACTAAGCAAACTGCTCTTCTGATCCTTTTACACTAGCAAGTGCCCGTGCCTCTGATTATGCAGATATTAAACACAGATACCAATTCCATGCGGAGATTACCAGGTCAAGTGATCTACTCAAAGACTCCACAATCGTTCTAGACTCGCTAACACGTTCTGTAGAATCTGCATCAAGTTTCGTGTTTCATCGAGATGGACACCTGCATGCATAAAATGCCCCCTTGCACTTTGTTCTCTTACACCGACTCGATCAACACACCGCTCCAGAAAAGTATCAAAGCCTTGTTCGGGATTATCTCGGTAATATCCCCAATGTCTCCGGATGAAAGCCTTGAGTTCGGAGAAGAACTCCTCGACGGGAGTTAGGTCCGGCGAATAAGGAGGCAAGTACATCAGTTTCACTCCCGCATCCGAGCACAGTTGTTCTATGGGCCAGAATGGTGGAAAGAGGCGTTATCCATCACCACAGATCTGGGCTCTAGCCATTTCCCACAGTGCTGAAGGAGCTCCTCTATGAAATCCTCAAAATCTGACGCATCCGTTGAGCCTCGGAATATTCGTGACAAAATATACCATCTTGAGTGGATGCTGGCAAGATCTGGTATCGTTGGTCGCGGTGAAATTTAGAGACCTGGATCGGTGCAGTACTGAACGGTGACCAACCTGTTCTCCGAAAGCCAACCCGTTTATCACAGCCAGACTCGTCAATGTATACTAGATGGTACGACCGGAAGCTGGACAGGTTGTTGAGATAGTAATCCCGTAGATCTTGATCCTGCTCCCTCGCCTTCTGACGGGCAACCCTCGTTGACCAATTCTTAGAGATCAGCGCTCGTCTTATGCTAGAAGTCGTTGCCTGCGTGCCAAACTCATCCCAAAGGAAAACCGCCATCTCATCGAGATAAAGATCAGGCTTTTCCTGTAAGTGACCCCAGAGAGCCTCCAACATTGCTGGTGTGATACTTCGCGGTCTGCCTGCTCGGTTGGGAGGCGCTCGAATATCACCGAATTGCCGTCGATTACTGAGGATCGTCGTGACAGAACGGGGGCTACATCCAGCAGCATCAGCGATCTGAGATGTGGTCAGTGATTTACTCAAGATCATACCACGAATAAACTCTCGGGTGGAAGAGTGCAGATTCGGAGCCATTGCGTGCCGTGTACGTGAGTCTCGTGGTGAGGGGCGGCGGCCAACGTGGTCTTAGATGGAACAGCCTTGGCGGGCAGGACAATATTGGCAGAAAGCGTAACAGTGTTAATGAAATGCATGATTCAAGGGTTGTGGCGTATTGGTCTTGTCAAATAATTTGCATTTCCATACTGACAAGCAGCGCTGATCTACAAGCTAGCCGATTTAGGAGTAAGAAGTTTCACCATCGCGTTGGCGTTAGGGTTTGAGACAGTTTCTCTGTGTAAAACATGGAAGGCAATTTCGAATTTAGCTGTACCCTAGATCAGACGACCAAATGAATGAGGAAGTGAGAATTCCGATAGACTTCTTGAAAAGACAGGAAGATCAGGGGTGGTGGTGGAAGAAGAAAGAAGAGGGGAGATGCGAGTGTTGGCTTGCCTCAGGCAATCGACTCTCTGTTTGTTCGGGGCTTTATATACAGTACCACGCCCGCACCTATCATTCTAATCACTACATCCTTTCTCCATCCAGTCACTGTCTTCACTCAGGACATCTTCCTTCTTCTGGATACATCTGGCAGCCGCTACCTAATCCATGGTCTAACCATGCCTTACTGGCAGCCCACCTTTTCCGGCGATGCCGAAGAAAGTCTCGACCTGTTCTTTGATGATTGTGAAGCTGTCGTATCTGCGAATGGCCTCGACCGATTTAAGGAAGAGCAACGAGAAAAATACGACAGGCTAGAGTGCTCCGTTATCCGGCATGGCCTCCGCGGTAATGCCAAGTTGGCGATACGTTCTTGGTCGCTACGAGTGCTTCGAAACCCGGCTGCTCTTAAGGAAGCGTTGCGTGACCGATTCCCGTACAGTTGAACACAGCTAAACCGGAGCGCGACGCCGATATTTTGCGTCGATTGGGGAACTGAGACCAGGGAACAAGTCATTTGGGAAATATGTTATTTAGGAAGCGATGGCCTTCGTCCTTCTCTGCAGCATCAGCATCAGCGTCAGTTATCTGTTCTCCTTCCTCTCTTCCTCTGAACGTCCGAAGTCTCTATGCCGTCTAGTGATTTATTTTCATTTAGTATCACATTTGAAATTCACTTCCTTTATTCTCTCGGCATAAACCAGACGACCAGTCTCAGTAGGAAGATAGATTCTAAGCAACACAATATGAAAAACGGCCAGGGTAACCAAAGGCAACAAGACCATTTCTCAGGTGCAAGCGGCAATACTATGTTGTGCGAGGGAATGGGAGCACGTTAGCCCTCTTTCAAGTTAAGGTCTACGTGTTTCACTATCTGGACCTACTCCCCACTTCACCGAGGCAAAGATCACAATTCCAGCTACAAACATGACCGCAGCGTTAAACGCCGAACTTACAATCTTGAATTCTGAATTGACAGACCGGGTCGGGGACCACGATGACAAGGTCGACCGTATCATGCATGTCTCGAGCACTGAGGGATACAAATCGAGAAGATGGAGATTCGCGACGGGAGCATCTTATGCCATTCAAGAGCAGATCGCCGGCCAGGGACCTTCGTCACGAATATCGCCCATTAAGGCATGCTTCCTAATAATACGTAAATTTCAAGACTTATACACACCATTTCTTCTCTGCGGCACCTCCGAGACGCTTCACACCTCCATAGACAGGTTAGAGAATAAACCCTCTCTCCAAAAGCATTCTCGCAATATCACGATATCCTTCCTTAGTTGCCCAAGCCATCTTGTGACGAAATTTGGCTGTGTATTCCTCCCTCTTGGCTATTTCTCCATCGCAGCCTGGAAAAACCATATCACATCTCAGAAGTAATTTCGCCGTGTGGTACAACCCTTCTACTATAGCATATTGGGTTCTTTCATCCCTTTCAGATCGATAACACCCTTCAAAAGCACCCTTTTCAATCAACATGCGGACAATCGTCATATATCCCCGTCTCACTGCGATAGCGAAAGTGCTGTCAAATGGATTGTCGTGCTTAGGATCGCAGACATGCACACTGCTAGTATCACGAGAGACAAGAAACTTTTTTTGACATTGGGCGAGGCACCGGCTTCAAGGAGAATGGACACAATTCTGGCATAACCTTTCTCAGCCGCGATGTGGATCAAGGGCACCTCAGAGGAGCGTTTGAATCATTGGGCGTCAGAGCGGATTCTGAGCATTCTATATCGGCAAGGTGATATGCCAGCTCCGGTGGCAGGTCGAGGATAGACAAGGGCATTGTTGATCCCCGTGGGTGGCAACTTACATTAAGAGGTAGTGGAGATGCGAGATGGTAACGGTTGGTTAAGGATTTACGCTTTCTCTGTCAGGGAGATTTGCTGGTATTGGATACGACGCAGCGATGGTGTGATGTCTGATTGATAGTAAGTGGGGTTTCCTAACGAAAGACGATGAAGTATGGCGGAATGCAAGAGCACATCTGCTGAGGATGGCTGAACTGAGGTGTCCGGGATGAGAAAGTAGAGAAGGAGGAAGCTGCACGTAGAGGTGTAGACAGTTCCCCCCGCCTAAAATCACATGACCAGGGGTGGTGTAAGAGCGAGTGCCCCGAGAAGAGGTGTTGAGATATAAAAAGATAGTGCCCCTTGGCCTATATGGAAGGAATTAATACAGCCACACCCCTTCTGCCTCAGACCACGCTCCCTCCCTGATCTTTCAGATATCTGCTAGTTCTTCGGCTCAAGTGTCTGGCTATTGGAGTAGAAGAATGGACTTTCTGCTCTCCGCGGAAAATTATTTTAGCCCGAAGGCCATCCATTTGGAAATTTGGTAACAATAAGTGACTGAGCAATGGTCTTGTTAACGCTAGATTATCAAGATTATAGCCGAAGGGGTTATTTGAATACATGTTCGGCAGCTTTGTCGACTGCCAATTAAGATTCGGATAGCATCAAGATCAAAACAATTACAACCTCACAGCCCACTCTGTCTCGCCAACCTTGCCCGATGCGAAATCTTTGCAAAAAGCGGCGCCATGCCCGCATGATTACACTCCGGCTGCTGAAAACTCTCCTCCGAAAGAGCCTTAACACCCTGCCCATCCCTTTTCTCAAAACTAAACCCAGGAGCCTGCTTATAGCAAGAATACTGAGCGTCCGCGCCCCGAAGAGCACAGATCTCATTACTTATGCAATCGCCCGTGCACTCCGGCACCTTGAAGCCCCGACTGCGTCGTGCCCAGAAGTCCTGGAAAACGGAAGGATCCTTCTCCATGGCGACGGTGACGTTGTGCCAGAATCCGGGCGTGAGTTCGACATGCGGGTCTTCGACAGGTGGGGAGAGCTTGGATCCGTAGTCTGCTTTTGCGGAGTAGTATGGGACCCATTTGGGCTTGGTTTGGAAGGTGGGATCTGTGATGTTCGCGATGTATTGGGTGAAGTCGACGACAGCGTAGGTGACGGGGTCGATTTCGTACACGCGGAAGGAGGGGGGTCCGGAGGTGGGTGTCATTGATGGGGCGACGTAGCCCATCGCCGTGGCGGTGTCCCAGTTTTGATTTGTGTAGTTTGAGTAGGAGATTTGGAACTCATCTGTGTGCGTGTGGCCAAAGAAGAGGGCGGCGATGGTTGCGTCGTATCGTTGGATTATTTGGTCGAAGTAGTGCGAGTGGTCGCGGAAGTGGTCAGAATTGCCGGTTGGGATGTGGGAGATTAGCCAGACGCGTTGGCTTGAATCTTCTGCTTCTTGGAGCTCGGTGATGAGCCAGTCGAGTTGGCCGTCTGGGTCGTATTCCATTGGTTCTTCGTAGGAAAAGAAGTTGTATTTGTAGTAGAAGATGCTGTTGTAGGAGATTATGCGGAGTTTGCTGTTTGGGTGGACAGCGGAATAGGAGCCGTATTCGCTGGCTGCTTTTACGGATGGGTTTCCTGTCAATGCGAACCAGTCTGAGGCTAGGGCGTCGTAGGCCCATTGTGGGTTGTATTCGCTCGGGATGTTGTTGGATGGGAAGAGGTTGAGAGGGGCGGCGTCGTGGTTCCCTAGTGCTGCGTATACTGTTCCTAGGTCCTTTTCCATTGAACCGTAGGTTGCGTTGAGATCGTCGAGAACTTCAGACTTGTTCACTAGCCAGACATCGTGCGCTACTACGTCGCCCGTGTAGATCGAGAAAGCAGGTTTGAGATCTGCGATAGCGGAATTCATGCTTTCTTGCAGGCGATGCGGCGGATCGCAGTTGGTATCGCCCCACGGTCCACACGGAGAGCTGGTATTTCCGGGTGCATCATTTTCGGTATAGGAGCGACAGCAAATTGGTTTCGAACAGTCGGAATTAGAACCCTCCTCGTAGGAGAGGTCGACATGGGTATCGCTAAAATGAACCACTTTGATTGGTGGTTTTCCACTCGGTGGAGGGCGAGTGGCCGGTGGTTTCGGCGAAGGGAAGGATAGATTGTATGGACGGACTTCAGGAAACTCGCATAGCCCGACTAAGCTGGCGCAGAACGTCTTGGCCGTGTGGGAGCCCAGCTTGAGGTTCTTCAGCGAGTAGTATACAGCGGGACCTTCGTTGGCAATGACACCTGCACAAACGTCACTGTCTTCAGCCTGTTTCAAATGTTAGCGAATTGAGTATAGGAAGATTCCTAGGAATTGACGAACTCCGCTGATAGAGCAAACGCCAGTAATCACATCCTCCATGAAAGATTCTCCAAAGATGGAGACAGCTTGGAGACCACCGAGAAGGGCCTATTGGATGTGGTCAGCGATGTCCCACTCGGACGTATCAACAGCACGGGTACCATACCTGACAGCTAAAGCAGTCCACTGCATTCTTAAAGTCATCCCAAATTTCGGTTATCCAGTCTTCAGCAGATTTCTTCTCCTGGGCAGCAGATGCTGCCAACGGCGCAAGTGCAACCAGAAAAACCGCGGGCCTCATTCTGCTTCTCTATAGGAGAACACAAAGCCACAGATAGTCCAGACAGATAAACAGGGGACAATTGAAGGTTGTTGTTACGAGTCCACCCCGAAAACGACAGTCGACGAGCCCGTAGGCTGGCCAGCAGCCCGAGCAAGGCATGGCTTATAACTCTCCGCTCGGAGAACCACATGAACGTACGTTGGAACAGCCAAGAGATACTACAGCTCGCTTAGGAACGGAGGGTTCCTGCAGCAGGGAGAATAAGCGAGACGATCTTTAGATTGTCCGAGTAGTATAGTTCTATAATAGGTATGGGCTGCAGCTGGGCGACGTTGATAGGCTATGGACTGTCGATCAAAGACACTCTGCAGCGGGTGACACGCTTCACAAGGGAGACGCAAACCGGAGAAGAACCAGTCGGAACTTGCACAGTCGAGCCATCGGGATTTAGACGGCGGCCGATCGGGGAACCGAGAGGGGCTCGCGACCGCATACTCGAACCAGCAACCGAAGCATGCAGCCAAGCTGCTAGGACGGGAGAGTGTGTGCAACGCTGCAGAGTGAAGTCATCCCGCGCGCAGTGAATATCTGCCGGGAGCTCTGTGGCTGGGGATGACAGTGCAACACTGTCTATAACCCGGGGAAAGCGTGCTGCGGTGTTGATGTTTATGGCGGCTTTCACATGGGCGCCAAGTCAACCTTCAGGCCGTTGTCTCAGACGGCCTAGTGGAGTGTTCCTGCAGGGATCTGCGGATCGCACGATGAAGAGCTGGCCGGTCTTATTGGATAGGAAGCTATTGTCTTCCTAGATCTCAGATAAGATCGTGAAAGCGCATATCATGGGGGGAGGGAAGGTTGACTGCTGACATGCCAAGCTCGGCTTTACTGCAGGGGACGGAGCGATGCGCGGTTGTTTCAGGACGACACAACCTAAATAAGCTGGAAATTTAAAATTTAGCTCTCAAAAATAGATCAACCCACAACCATCGCTATCGCGATGGATCGATCCTTGATTTCCAGGTTGTCGGGTGTCGCGCATCCCCACTGGAATGCGCTGCGGGCGCAAACAGACCCGATGACGTCGGGCCTGGAGATGGCCATTGGATGCGGCCCACCAGCAATAGAGCGAGCCAGGGGACTCGTGGTTGGTCCTTTGGATCCAACGGAGAATCAAAATTCCTAAGCCTCGCCCCGCACCGCAGTAGCCGTCCTGGGAAGGTCGAGGATCGACACGATCTGTTCGCGTGGACTGTCGGTGAAGCCTGAGCACATCCGTGTTGGCATCCATGTCGGCTGTGAGCTGTCTTGCGCAGATCGAACTGCCTCTTTCATGCAGACAAAAAGGCGAAATGGGCACGAATTGCCGGACTGGGAGCATGCAAACAGAGGCTAAGCCCCCTGAGCCCGTGGGCGTCGACGCGGCGACGGTGGTCAAGGTTTGTTGTGGAGGCGTGGCGCATTGCTCGAACCGCAGTTGAGCAGAATGATTTGCATTGCGCGTAGTGCCATAGACAGGGACTGGTACCGTAGTCAGCAGTTCTGGCACGGTCGAAAGGGCAGACGCGGTTGATTCGGCACCGAGTCCAGGCAAGACTAGCGGACGTTGTTCCCCACGAAAACCGAAAAATCCGCATGTCACCAGCAGATCCCTCCACTTCCTCGAGCGTTCACGCGAGCCTCCAACCGCCCATTTCGTTGTCGCTTTCACCTCCGCCTCGATCTTTGCCTCGATCTCCGCCTGAATTTTTGCTATCCTCGACACGACTCTCGTCCTCGGCGTGCTCTACCCCGATCGCAGGGCCCCGGTTTTACCCCGGATTCGTTCCCCCCTTGGCAGAGTCATGGCCATGTCTCTGATCCCACGAGCCCCAACCATTTCGCCCGTCTATGATATGCAGTAGCTGGACACCGTGGACCGCTGCTGTCACTGGAACTGCCTCCGCCCGTCGTGGGCGAACGCGCCGTCGCAATGGAGACCCGCCGACCGGCCACGCTGGGTGTCTCAATCACCTTCTTCGTCATCGCGAGTGTCTTTGTCGCGCTCCGATTCATCTCGCGCATCTTCGTGGTTAGGAGAGTCGGGTTACACGATTACTTGATGCTGGTCGCATGGGTAGGTTGATTCTGATTCTCCCGGGGTTGGACCCTGCAGCCTCCCCCGACGAGCCTTCCCTGGCTGTCTCGCGCGCGCGCGCATGGGCGACCTCCCCAGGTTTGTTGGAGGGGGGGTTTTTTTGGGGCCGATGGCTGACTATGATCAAGATCATTGACTTCGGCTTCTCGTTTTCCCTTTTCTACGCGACAAAGAACGGACTCGGTCTCCATATCGACGATATCCTGCCGGAGCACAAGGATGCCCTTAACAGGGCCAATTATGCGTTTACGGTCCTCTACGTGCGTACACCCTTCGAAACCCAACCCGCGGACGCATGTCCTAATCCTGGCTATAGAATCCGGCGCTCATGGCCGTCAAAACCTCCATTCTCGTTTTCTACCTGACCTTGACGCGCAACCAGAAAGTATTCCGGTGGGCCAACTATGTCACTCTGGCCGTGGTCAATGCCGCAGGCTTCGCCTTGACGATGATCACCGTCTTCCAATGCCGTCCTATTTCGGCGGCCTTTTTCTCGACTGCCCCTGGCGGGGCAAGCTGCACCGATATTGTCACCCTCTACCTGTCCTCGTCTCCTGTGAACATCATCACCGATCTCGTCATCTTACTTCTTCCAATGCCGATCCTGACCCAAATGCGCCTGCCATATAAGCAGAAAGCGATTTTGGTCATCACTTTCGGTTTCGGTTTCTTCGTGGCGGTAGTTGATGTGATCCGAATCGCTTTTCTTCAGCAAGCGGCTACCTCGCGCCAAATGGACCTGCAGTCCGTTCATCTTCAAAGCTTTGGAGGCACAGACTTCAGCTGTATGTCTCAAGTCCCCTTCCCTAAGTTTTGCTGGTGTATCGATTCACTGACTTTGCTCTTCTCAGGGTACGCGTCGCTTTCCTTCATGTGGTCCGTTGTCGAAGTCAATGTCTCCATTATCTGTGGTTGTGTACCAAGTCTCAAGCCTCTCGTGGCTCGCCTTATGCCGAAACTGATCAGGGATACCGATGATCCTCATACCAGTCCTCATGGCAATTATGCATCCGGAGAGAGCCCTGTGGCAATGCCTGCACCGGTTGCGTTGCCAAACGCTTGCGCAACACCTTCAACGTCACGGGCAGACAGCAGCGGTAGCAAGCCATCCCAAGCCAGGAGTGGCAGCATCACCGGTCCCAGTGACCCTAATGAGCCCATGGGTCTCCTGGACTTCCTGGGTCACCCGGGAACAGGGTCCCATGACGCAGAAGCCAACACCCACACAAGCATATCCTACCCACCCAACATCACATTCTTCGACTTTGTCAATATGAAGAAACCCGAGAGCATGCTTAAGCTAAATAACAAGGAGTCTATTGCGCCTATCGCTTTGACCACTATGTTATTCTTCCTCTGGGGATTTGCATATGGCTTGCTCAGCATGTTGAACGCCCAGTTCCAGACCATCGTCCACCTGGACTCGTGGCACTCGCTCGGTCTTCATGGTGCCTATTTCGGAGGCTATGTGGTGGCGCCCCTCCTAGTTGGTCGACCAGTCCTGAAGATTTGGGGTTTCAAGTCTACATTCATCACCGGCCTGTGCATCTACGCCTGCGGCACCCTAGTTTTCTGGCCATCTGCCGTGCTCACATCCCCCACCGCATTCACCATCTCAAACTTCATCGTGGGTTTTGGCCTTGCAGTATTAGAAACTGCAGCCAACCCATTTATTGCGCTCTGCGGTCCCCTTGAATATTCCGAAATCCGACTCAACATCTCGCAAGGCGTCCAAGCTGTCGGCAGCGTCCTCTCTCCGCTCCTGGCGAAGAAAGTCCTCTTCAAAAATGTCCAAGACATTGCTTCCCTAGTCGACGTCCAGTGGACGTACCTCGGCATCGCCCTCTTCGACGTCCTTCTCGCAGTAGCCTTCTACTACCTCCCTGTCCCAGAAGCCTCAGACGAAGACCTCAAAGAACTTGCCAACCGCCGCCGCGAAGACAACATGACCAAGGTCGCCGGTATTCCCGTCGTCTGGCTCACCCTGGCCCTGGGCGTCTGGTGCCAGTTCTTCTACGTGGCCGGCCAAGAAGTTCTCGCCACAAGTGTGGACCGATTTACCAACGCTTCAAACGAAAGTTCCTCCCTAGGACCATTCGAATTCCTCACAATCGGCCACAGCGTCTTCGCTGTCGGCCGCTTCCTTACTGCCTTCGCTCAATGGTTCATCAAACCTCGCTGGATCCTCGTGTTCTCTTATATCGGCATGATCGTCTTCACCGTCCTGTGCATGAACACAACCGGAAACGCCGCGATCACCATGCTGATGTTCGTCTACCTCTTCGAAAGTGGCGCGTTCAGCACCATCTTCGCTATTTCCCTCCGTGGGACGGCCCAGCATACAAAGACAGCAGCCGTCTTCTTGGCCACGGCTATTGGCGGCGGGACATTTTTTCCTTTCGCCGAGTACGCTGCGTACTTGAATCATGGTACCCGGTACTCCTTTTGCGTCATTGTCGCTCTCTTCGCAGCTGGTGCGATTTTCCCAATCTACCTCAACCTGGTCCCGGCTGTCAAGAAACAGGTCGATCCCGTTCCGGACGAGTATCTTCGTCGTCAGCATCGTAGAAAGACCAAGACGAATGTGGCTGGTGATCTACCACGCGAAAAACACAATCCTTCAGTCGGCGGTGTTCTGTCAAGAAGACGCAGTCTCGTCGAGGACCCGGGTTTGATACCCGATCTAACTTCCCCCGGTGAAACGCATCAGGCACTTTCTACTGGTGTCATTCAGAATGAGAAGGGGGGTGAAAGCTTGCCTGGCTTGTCGGAATCGGAGAGAGAACAGAGTGGCCGGCGATGAACTCGGTGGCGCGTTTCCAAGGCGCTTCCATGCCGCAACTGGGCGTTTGGTTTGCACCGCCGAGCAAGAAGGATACGAGGTTGGTGATACCATCTACGACAATATTTTCGGATACGACATTTTCTTTTCTTTTCTTTTTTTTATCTTTTGATGATTAAAATACCCACCCTATTAACCTTCTAATTGGCTTTTTATTTTGCTGGATTGATGAAGGTGGCTAGCTTTCTCGAGTTGCATTTCAGCGATGGCGTTGGATGGTTCTAGTGACTTTTGCTCTGTACATAACTTAGCTACAATGGTTAATTCATAAGTACACATTTGATTCAGCTTCTGCTTGTACGTCGATCAATCGTAAGGCTTTGCTAATGTGAACCCCCCCCCCCCCGGGGGGGACCCAATAATTTCGAAATGTCAGTTCTAACGCGAAGGGCCTAGCCGATCACACACCCCCTTCCAACGTAATCTTCGCAGCAGTCTAGAACGAGGAGGCAAAATAAAAATTTGTTCGTTTGTCAATTATCAGATAAAGCATTGCTAATGCTGCTCCTCCAATAATTTCGAAATATCAGTCCCAAAGCGACCCTAACCAATTACGCAACCTCTACCAACGTAATCCTTGTACAGCCTAGAAGCAGGAGGCAAAGCAAAATGCGAATTTATCATCAGCACCAAATAGTCGGATTTTTACTCTGAAGGCGATCAAGGAATTTGTCCGGCTCAGTTTTTTCCGATACAAGAGACTGTGGATGGAATGATACACTGGCATTTTGGAAATTTCTGAGAGCCACTCCCGGTTCAAAGTTTCACAACAAAAGGTGAATGGTTACAGACACAAGCTCTGGAGTATCTGCAATCCAGAAAGGCCATTTTAGGATGGAGCGCGCACGCAAAGATTCTTCTCGGTACGAATGAACTTAAAGCTAGAGTTGGTTGGTCTGACGCACAGACAAAGCCTACAACATGGCATTGGAAGGGTGCAATATTTTCTCGCTTCGGTGCCTCTAGGAATTATCTCTCTAAAACGCCAATTGTCATCTATGATGCCACTGCAAAAAGGGCCTGGCTGCCATTGCTCTCTGTGTCCTATCATACGTTGTTGGCGTACTGTGCCTCTATGGGCCATGGTTCCGTTGGGACTCAGCCTCCTTACGCTCAGAATGCGCTTTCCAAGGGGGCTCGCGACTCCCTCAAGATACTACAAGATAATGGCATGTTGTTCCTCCAGCAAGCGGACGAAGAGAAGCAAACTGTGAGAGAAGTCGTTATGGAGTTTTCGGTCAATAGGTCACAGGTTTCCTTGTAGCCCCAAGGGCTCTAGTATCTTTGGATATGAGTTCTGGATATTGTCAAAGAGCCCACAACAACGCGACTTGAGAAAAAGGACTCGCATAATCATCACTCCTATCAGAAATCGACTACCATTTTTGTTCTGGCCTAGGCGAGGAAATCGTTGGCACGCGTACTTCAGAACCTTCTCCGTGCAACAGTTTACCATCTGGGAATGGCTTTTTGGCTACAACAGTCGCAAGTGTGCTAAGGCTGTCCGCAAGGCAGGGGGATCTTAAAATGTCTATGTCGTTTTTCCAGCAATCGCGTTATGAAGCTTTCCGAATTTACTTTCGAGACATGCTGACACACTGACCAGGAAACGTGTTGGAACTACCCGGAGTTTCTATAGGAAATTCAATCTGGCCAGTCAACTTCCAGTTCTACCAGAAAGCCGTTGTCAGAACCTGCACAACCAGAAATGCCGGCTCTTGGTGCTCTGGTTTTTGGTGCTCCGACTAAGACTGTCAGCGCAGTGACCACTCGATTTAGAGAGGAGTGTATCAGTCACAGACCCAGTCGGATATAGCCTACAGAACAACCCCGAGGGGCATTTAAAAACCATAAAATTATGCAGTAGTATCAGATGGATATACTATATGTCGAACGATCGTATAAGTTTGTTTGTGCTTAAAGCTGTAGCTTCCCTGCCATGTGACCGACATGAGGCTGCCATGTGCCCACGCACTTTAATCCGATCTTAGATTTTATGATTTCTCAACAACATGGATCCCAACTTTCCGCATACACAAACCAGACCGTAACACCAAATCGAACATGACAATACACCCCACAGAACCACGGAACCCCCTCGTTACAGATAAGTCTTGACATTCCCTTCCTCGACGCACGTCATTTATTATGAACGTTCACCCTGCAGACAACCGTCTGTAGCGTAACGGTTCGGCCAAGACCACCAAAACAACCCACTTACGGCTCCACTCATTTACCGAACCAAGTCCACCTGGTCACACGCAGCGTTGAATGGAGACAGACGGAACTGATCCAAGATTTCCCCTGTCTATCATCAGGCCAGCGTAGTCTCCACACAATGACATCATGTAATCTGGTGGAATTGTTCTCCGGTGAACTTTTTACTGGAAAAGGTGGCAGATAACCGGCGCACTGTAGAAAGAGGGCGATCTGTGGAGAGTGTGCGCGTAAGAGCGTTAGGTATTTGCATGTGCCTGTGATGGTGGCAGATGGGCTTTTCGGCGTTCGAGGTTTACTTGCCTGCCTGTTGTTCTGGTAAGACTGTTTGGCTGGATGAGGGAGGATACAGCCCGCGTCCCTATGGATTGTTGAGAACGATCCCGGCATTCTGGATGCACACTGCCGAGTCCACTGATAGGCATTTTTCACGGGTTGCACGTTGTGCCGAACTGTGGTATTGAGGGGCGAGTCGTTTCAGACAGCAATACATAGCCCGCACATTGGTAAACGCTTCGCGATGCTCCTCGTGCTCGAACCTCGGCTGTTTATTAATTTACTTTCTGAGCTGGGTTGACAGGAACTCAAGGGAAGTGAGAAAGCGACCTGACTAATACTACCACCGAAATGGCAATCGACAAGGTCTAGGCCCGAATACGAGCGGGATTTTCCCGGTCGTGCATTTGGAGGCGATCAGCCAGGGGATGGGCGCGATGGCGATCTTGGTAGACCCAAGGCGGCCAAGAATCGCGCACTCGCACCTAGAACAGAACAAGGCGCAAGCTTAGTGAAATGATCAGAAGGGAAGTCAGCAGAACGTGGACTTAGGCAGGGGTGATCTCGGAGATTTTCTGTGCACCTCGCCCAATGGGATGATGATGGATTCGGAAAAACCTCCGCCAGACCCGTTAGCGGCCAAGCTAAGGCGTGCTGGGCTCCGTTTCTCAGCCACGCCACTTGCGTTTTGGCACGAACTGATGGACTGTGTGGACTACCTTCCCTTCATTACCTTACCTGAAGAGGTATTCTAGGTAGGTAGTGTCAACTCTCCCTTCCCTCTGAGCACAGCCCGAACTTTGCGCCCTCGGCATTTCCTGATTTTTAGACCCTCATACACTGCAAGTACTAGTAAGTATCACAGTAAGTGCCTACACTTGCGCGCGTGTTCATCGATCGATCAGGGGCTTTTCTTCATTGATTCTGGAGTACACTTGCCTACCAGTGGTGTATATGTACACTTAGGTACACTTCGCCGACGATAGGCTGGGCCTTCCCCACCCCGTTACACGGACCCGAATCTCGATCCCATCCGACCCCCCTGGCCATACAAACTACAAGACCATTGGCAGGCGCCTGTGAAAGAGAAATGCGCACATCCCACGCACTCGTACGCACTTCGGTGGGGAGAAAACCCTCCCCACTCAATCGTATCCAAGGGACCAACAACTCTCGCTCCGGCAATTGGATCCGGGGAATCCACAGCGGAAAAGTCGCAAACCGGTGGGGTTGTAAAAATTCTGGTCAAATCGTAAAAGTCCCCAAACTCGCCCCTTACACCTGAATTGCATCGAACTGAAAGTGGCCCGGTGGATTCCCCTTATTCTGTTAAGGCTTCGAGTATGGTGGGCGCGGTTGGCACGGTTCATTTGCTGGCAGCGGCACTGATTTTTGTATCCCCCGATTTCCTATCCACCGGCCCCGACTGCACCGGCCGAGACGGCTATACCTACACAAGGCGAGAGGACGCTGACGATCTTTGCCGGACTTTGGGTCTCCTTTTTTTTTAATTTGAAAGGTTTGGTTCGTATTTTTGGTTTTGCGATTTCGATTGGATTCGGTTAGGGCTGGTCCCTACTTTGCCTAGTGTTGGCGTTGGTATTGACATCACTGGTGCTGCAGGTCAGGTAAAGCCCTGGAGGCACGGCAAGAAGGAAGGATTCGGAATTTGTCTTTATTGATACATCTGTATGCAATCAACTTTAGTTTTTTCAAAGCGGAGAACTCGGCCGCAATTAAGTTCCCCAGATTCTGGGATCGGGTCCGATGGGATCCGGATAATGTTGTATGAAACAAGACGCTGCAACGGTGTAGAACAAAAAGATTCGATCGCTAGACAAGACCAATGGGCGCGGGGACTCAATGGACGCCAAGTCGCCGACCCGATATGCTGATGCCCCGGAAATAAGAAATAGAGAAACACATGTCATAGAAAGAGAAGAAGGGAGACCGATGTCGATAGAATGATTTTTGAAAAAAAAATTCCTGAGTCATTTGGTAGGGTAGACTGGGTTAGGCTCACCCACGCGCACTTCTGGGCCGCGAATTCTGAGACGAGGAATCGCGCAGGATATCCGGAAATCTCGGGCCCAGCACCCAGTCCTCCATCGCGAGCCATTCGCTCCAGCTGCGCTCAGCTGCCTCAATTTCCGCGTCGAGGGGCGGTTGCAGCGGGCGCAGGAATGGAATAGTTTCTAGCGGGGACATGTCGTAGTCTTTCTTCACCGAGGCCCAGCCGCCGCTCTTTGCTGCGAAGAGATAGTTGCGCCGCTCTTGCTCGTGTAACGGGCCGACACCGCTGACCCAATCGTCGCCGAAGAATCCGTGCAGGACCCCCGGATAGTCCATGCCTGTCGCGACCAAACGGCGTATATACGGGATCAATGAGATGGCCGGCGGGCCCGGGGTTGTGTGTCCGGAAGATGAGGGGGCTGTCGAATTGAGGACCGGGTTCGGTTGGCGCTGGAAGGGGAGGTGGATGTTCAAGAAGGCGGAGAGCGCTTGCACGGGGACGCTGTGTTGGGCGTGGTCTAGGAAGTATCGTTGGCAGCTTTGGTAGCGTGGGTACCAGTCGAAGATGTCGAAGTTGTCTTCGCCTCCGGAGGAGCTGCCCAGGCCGAACATGGCCGGGTCGAGGTGTGGTTGTGAGTTCATGCGGGGAGGTGAGGTGTGTCTGCGTCGGTCTACAGGATGTCTGCTTGTGGAGGTTTCCTTCTTAGCTTGCTGCTCTTGACTTTGCTTTTTCTTTTGTTCGGTTGTCGTAGCGTTGGAGAAGAATGGCTGCGCCTCGTTGGGGATCTCGGCGGGGTTGAGATCTCGCCTCCACCTCCCCCGCGGTCCGGCACAGGATCCCACGCGAGGGAGGTCAGATGGGAAAGGGAAGAGGATGGGGAGAGAAGTCCGGGGGGAATGTTACTTCAAAAAAAGATCCCTACCTCGACGGACCAAAACGGACACGCGGCGCCGAGAGGCAGGGGCAGCAGCAGCAGGGGAGGGCGGGGAAGCAGAGCGGAACAGGTCTCTGATGGCTCCGAGTCCTCGACCGGGCTGGGATGTGTTCGTGGACATCAGGCGAGGGCCATCGAGGGGAGGCACATGAGCCTCACGGGGGAAGAGAGGAAGAGGCGGTGGTGGTAGTGGTGGTAATGATGGTTATGGGTGATAGGACCCATTGAGGAGGGGACTTATGAGATAAAGGAACCGCAGACATACATGATGAGAAGGAGATGGCGCAAAACGAGAGAGCAGAAGGCGGAGGAGGAGGAGGAGGGAAGAAGTATGAAAATGAAGCAATGGAAGTGGGAACTTTATTCTGGAACGTTCATTGAAACCGAGAGGGAGGGAAAGAATCGTGCGGAGAGTGGATTCGATGTATACGGAGTATTTTTGGTTTCAATCGGATCCATCAGAACGGGTCTATCCGGTCAGGCCAATCATTGGAACGAAGTCCATCGTCCCTCAGATCTCGTTGTCCACGGGTCGGGTGTGGATACTGGATCGATCTAGACGCGTTACCGTACGTTATTACCAGCGAGCCTCTTGATCACTACCATTATCGAAGTGGTCCTCTCCGTTTAATATTATCGACATGCACATGCCATGATTGAGTCTGTATGGATATATGACAAGGTATCGGTTCGGTGAACCACTGATAGCATACCAAGGTTCAGTACCACATCCTCGGGTCCTCAGTACATCTCCTCTCGTAGTTCAAGGTAGGGTAGGGCACCGGCGGCACAGAGGGGAAGTCTGAGGTAAGGCTGCATCCCTGCGGTTCTGCATAGGTGAGCAAGAACCCATCTCCCACTTCCCCAATGCCATTGGCCCGCACAATCAAGACGGCGCCGATTCCAATAACAATCCTATCCACTACTCCTTTTTTCGATCAGGCATTGCTACTGGCGCGGGCCGCTTATTTTCTTTTTTATTTATTTTATTTATTCCTTTTTAAATTTTCTTTTTCTTTCTGGGTATTGTATTTTCGCTGACTCTTCCTCCCTCGCTGGATGATGAAAAAGGGGGTTGCCCCTGTCCTCCTACCCAATCAAATCCGAAACTTGCTTGCTTACTGCAAGGCGCCTAGTCATGATTGGAATCAATTCGTCCACGAGGACATATACGCTGTCTTGGGCGCATAAAAGACGACTGGTCAGATGGCGGTCTCCCCACTCCCACACTTAACCTACTACACCTAAGGTAGGTCAGAGGTCAGACCATGTACCCGTCTGCTGCACATCAACATCGTCATGCGGGTGGCTGGCTTACTCGACTCAACTCGACAATAAGCCCTAGGGTAGGCATACTCGAAGAAGCCCGGCGTTTGAGACTCCTACAATATCCTGCAGCAGATCTCCCCTCCCAGCCCCCTGAAGCCGGAAAAGGGAAGAGCGAAGGGGAGCGAGCGACCAAGATGGACCGGACCCAGAAGGCAATGCCGGATAGCTCGTCCACTTCCCCAAGAGCCGATAGCTTAGTTTGCGATAGCGTGGCGTTGACCGAGACAATCCGACGATCGAATCAAATCGAGTCCCCTGACACTACCCGCCATTACCAGCAGGAATATGAGTGACACCATCCCTTAGCGCCTTGGGTCGATAAAGATGAATGGTTCATCGCCGATCGGGGGATGCGGCTGGCGCCTCTTCCTGTCATTCCTCCTAGCCTAGGTATGAGTCGGGTTTAGGGTGGCTTGTGGTGATGATCGGGGATCTCGCAAAAACAGGGACCACCCATCGTTCCTACCCCTGTGTCTAGCGCCTGGTCCATATGAGCAAGTCACAGAGCGATCAATTCGAGTCAGTTACACATTGATTACGATGCCTCGGTGGCTGTCATTTTCACAAAAGGTGGACGCTCTTAGGCAGACACCCTTGGGCAGGCACACTGCGAGAGTGGGTGAGAGTTGGGTGGCGGTCGATGCTGGGGTTCCCCTTTTCTGGAGATGCGGCGGGTCCTGCATGAAATCCCAGACCCAGAGGTTTGGGATGGCACGGACTTGCTGGACAATGGCAATTGCTCCATTGGCGCTGGCTCGGACAGGTATTGTGTTTCGACACCTTTAAGGGGTAAGGTCATAATGACTCGGAATCAACATGAAGCCAACCCCAACCCTGTCCTGACTCCCCCTTCAATTTGCCACATGTGGAGATGCGGTCCACCTAATCCCACATTGCAGCTGCGATCAAGGTCATCCATTTTGGACGACGTGACATATCCGCTGAAATTTGTCGCTGATAAATGATCACAGATGGCCAGTTTTGTCGAAGCGACAGTCCGATCGGTTCTTTCATAATGTAAATCAGAGTTCGCGATAGCGATACACTTGCATACTGCGGGCCGCTTGGTGTACCAGGATATGCACGATGATGGAGGCCGATCGACGGGGCTGGGTTATGCCTGTTTAGGAGCACGCATTGGATCATTCAACCACGATTTCAGTCATCCGCGAGACCACTTTGCAGGCAGTGTTGGGTCGACATTGGGCTCCGCGAATGAGGCCCGATTGATCGGGCTTTGCTCCTCGGATACTAAGCACTGGACTAGTGCTTTATAGCACACGGAGCACCGTGAGGACGGGATCGGTGCCATTTTTCTTCTCTGTGAAATCGTCTCGGACTTTCTACTACCTTGATACCTTTATATCGGGATACTAGTGGGTAGTAGCGTGGTCGTGCCGGTGCCTTTCGGCTCAACTCGATTAGTGTCTGCCATGTTACCCTCCATGCAGAATTACAATTTCGAACACGCCGGTCGCGGGTACTCGTGTTAATGCCAAGCCAGTGAGGCTGCATGCTGATCTTAGATGCGCTGCGTAAGCCTGGGTATTTATAAGTGGTCATGAGTCTGACTACATCTCACGACATCCTTGTCCTTTCTGTTAGTATTATCATAGTGCTTTCCATGTTCTGAAAATATCAACGAGCTGTATCGCGTGCCTGGCGTTGGCGCGGCAGTACTTCGGCAATCTAGTTCCTCGCGATACCTCGGGAACGCGATCTTCAAGCCCCATCGATGCGCAACAAGCTCACCCACCGCTCTTTGCCCATAGCTGTTCGTGTCGCCAGAAATAGAAATACACCCTGCATACCGAAAGTAGTGCATTCGCCGATTCCAAATCTCAGCGCGCATTGCTAGGTCGTTAAGTGTAACCGAGCGGATCTTCAAATGTGATCTATCACTTCCAGCTGAAGAATAACACGACTGCGGCGATCATCGCGGCAGAAGACTTGAAAAGTTGTTAAGCGATGACTTCATACATAATGATGCCGTGACTCGAGATAGACCAATTTGAGTCAATTCGCGATCGGAATCAGAGCTCTGGTCCATCCCGCTCCTCGCCGCAAACACCAAGCTCATAGGTCTCTCAAGACGCAGTCGATCTCGGCCGGGAAATGCGATGCTGGTATGTCTGCAAAGTATGTGTCATCCGTCATTCCCCCAGGTCGGATTGCTCGGGTGCGCGCGGGTGCCCCTCAGATAGGGAAACGAGGCGAATGATGTTCTTCCGATTTAATTCTCGTTCGGGGCAAGGAGTTGCGGAGACCGCCGATGCCCTCCGCGAGGGTGGCGGGCGGCTCATGTGTCGTAGGTGGGGTGGGAGGGGGGCTGCTGTGTACCTATGAGACTGGCTGCAGAGGGTATTGCCAATGGTTTGTGCATAGTTATTCGAAGGAAGCGGCAGGGCACACACTTGTGAAGTGTGCTGTGGCTTCGACTGGCTCGTGGAAAGTTTGGGTGCGATCTGGGGTGCATGGAGCTTGCGGGCGCTAGAGTGGTTGGCTGCTGTGGGGTTGATTCCAGGGTCGGTTGTGGGTTTGGTGGATGGTCTAGATGTAGGTTATTTCGATGGTGTGCCTCGTATGTGATCATAACGTCGAAGGCTTCGACTTGCGACCGGTGTTGGTAGTGGTTTGGATGCTGTTGGTGTGGTTGGCGGTGGATGTCACATGATGCTTTCAAGAATCAAGCTTAAAGTGTACTGAAACCCGCAACTGTGCGATGATATACTTGTCAGATTTGAATATAAATAGTCAATGCAGAATCGATTGTGAAGCAATCCATGGAAATATAGCTTTACAAGCAGATAAAAGGTCACTCAACGATTACCAACTCCAGTTTCGGCACAAGCTTGACCAGACGACGAATTTACATTTGGTGTATACTATGGCTACCGGTATACTCTACCTGACCCCCGTCCTTACAACTGAAACAGCCTCCAGCAGCATTGTAAGACACAAAATCAGACCTGATTATGAATAAATACCTTCTAACAGCCTGCGGCACAACACAACCTTATATGCCCCGTACCACAGCCATCCAACAAACCCGTGACAAAACTCAACACAAATAATTGGAACTCAGAGATTGATAAGATACCCCTGCAGTGCTTTATGCAGACTAATCCAGCTGGAGCACCCAACTACAAACTTACCCTAGTGTAGGGTACAGTAGCGCAGACCCTAGCAGTATCCAGCAGCAGCGCAAAGTTTATCCAGCATCGGATCTTTATCGGAGGCAGCAAGAGCCCAGGACAAATGGAAGTGCTCCAGACTATTATTTAGCCTTCTGCATGCATCTGTGGTTTCCCGTGGAGTCTCCGACTTTCGCTGGGGTGGATGGGCACGTGCGTGAATGCCGCTTGGGGAAAGGTGATCTCATAGCGAGAAAGGGGTTATGAATTTGATCTTTAACTGTACACTTGTACACTGTAGGTACTGATAAAGGGATGCAATTTAGAAAGTGAAAGAGGTCATCGGTGCTTGTTGTGTATGGGTTACGTATATCCCATGCTAATGCTAATATCTAATGAGGTTGCCTCGATAACACAGCCCCGGACTAAATTTTGGGCCTTGTCATGATCAGCACTACTTGGCCAAGAACTTTCCTCCAATGGTCGCGCGTGGAAAGCGCAGTGCGAGGTCGATCAGTGGCGACGTCTGCAATGGATATGGAGGGTGCACCGGGGAGGATCATGATCGTCTCGAGGTACGGTAGTATGTGCAGGGCGCCGCTGCCGCAATTATTCCAGCAACAAGCAATCCTGCTAGCCTACACTACTGTGGTGTTGTTTAATAAAGGGTAAAGTGATGAGTCTGGAGAATGCACGTCCCCGCTAGGGCAACGCTCACCGGACCCGACGATCGGGTTGGCAAATAGGGTTGTCGTAAGGTAAGCTTGGTCTTGGCGGGGTGTGCCTGACGAGATCTTGACAGCCGCGCCACGGCAAAAATTGGAGATTTGGCTGGGCTGAATTGGAATGTAGACATGCCAAGATCTTCTTTCTCTGGGTGTGTTTCAAGCGATGTTTTCTCTATTCTCTGGTCAAGAGGAGGGCATCATATGATTGGCGTGTACAGCTTCAATATTGAAGCTGGCGGGTCAACACTTTACCCCTCCCAGCCCCTCCATTCCTTTTTGACTACTAGAAGATGTTCACGAATCGAGGAGGGGTACGGGAGTTATCAAAATGCCGAGTCTGGGGACCGGTGAGCCGATTCAATCGAGTAAGTGTTCTGGGGTTCCTTGTCCACCCGAAAGCCCGATAAAGCACGGGTCGAATGGGCAGTTCCTGTGAGCACACCCTGTGAAAAATCAAAACCCAACTTCAGATAAGGTGGTGGAGCAGCCCACCGGACGGACCAGTCAGCACCGCTGCTTTCGGGCAGGTGGGGGAGCTGTTGCCGCTTGCAGCGCACACGTGACCTCCGCTGCCGAGCGGAGTGCCGAACAGGCAGCTGGTGGCGGGGTATCTGCTATGTATGTATAGGACGAAATAGAGTACCCTGCACTCTGGAGTAGGCACGGATTATTATGTAGTATGCTACATTACAGAGAGCAGTAGATGTCATTTCTGTCCAATGTCCCTGAATGGTCATCAGCGCATCATGCACGCCGTACTCCGCATCGTGCTAGCCTCTCCAGGTTACATCCTGTCGGAGAGGACCGATCCGATGGGATGGGCAGAGTGAGGACGACCACGAATATAGAACGGAACGAGCAGACAGTGGCGGCAACCACGACTGTACCTCCCAAACGGGCTTTCCGTAGGTACCATACAATTGTAGTGCAGGGAGGGTAGGGGACACTATGACAGGTCGCCACGATAAGCAATCCGTGACCTTAACACATAAGATAACTCGGTCGGGTGGGCCCCGAACTTCGGACATTCTTCCCACGGAATTGCTGCTGGCTCCCCTGACTGTGCAACGCTGCACTGCAAATCCTAGGCTCCGCTGCCTCCGCTGGCCCTCCGCTGCGTGCATCTTCGATTTCCCCGTCCACCCTGCCACGCTTGTCCGGCTCTCTCGTCCGACTCCGGCTCCTGTCCCAGCGCGCCCTCGCCCCCTCCCCGCTCCTGTATATATTTCTTCCTCGCCCCCGTACTCTTCTGTTCCTTCTTCACTCATCTCTGGTCTTTGCCTTCTGTCTTCAATTGCATATATACCCCGGTCGCACATCACCCAGAGTCCAATATAATATAACCACCCGCCACAATGACTGCCCAGAACCTCCCCTTCGAGCCCGAGTTTGAGCAGGCCTACAAGGGTATGTCCAATCTTCCTAACCCTACCACAATATTACCCCTCCACCCGTTAATGCTAGAGTTGCCATGTCCTCATGGTAGCTCTAGTCGATATCGGCTCCCTCGGCAAGTGGTCCTTCGGAACAGCTCCGCTAATCACGGCCCGCCACAGAGCTCGCCTCTACCCTCGAGAACTCCACTCTCTTCCAGAAGAAGCCCGAGTACCGCAAGGCCCTGCAGGTCGTCTCCGTTCCCGAGCGCGTCGTCCAGTTCCGCGTCGTCTGGGAGGATGACAAGGGCAACGTCCAGATCAACCGCGGTTTCCGTGTTCAGTTCAACTCCGCCCTCGGTCCCTACAAGGGTGGTCTCCGCTTCCACCCTTCCGTCAACCTGTCCATCCTGAAGTTCCTCGGCTTCGAGCAGATCTTCAAGAATGCCCTCACCGGTCTCAACATGGGTGGTGGCAAGGGTGGTTCCGACTTCGACCCCAAGGGGAAGTCCGACAACGAGATCCGCCGCTTCTGTGTCTCCTTCATGAGCGAGCTCTGCAAGCACATCGGTCAGGACACTGATGTCCCCGCTGGTGACATTGGTGTCACCGGTCGCGAGGTCGGCTACATGTTCGGCCAGTACAAGAAGATCCGCAACGAGTGGGTTGGTGTCCTCACCGGCAAGGGCGGCAGCTGGGGTGGTTCCCTCATCCGCCCCGAGGCCACTGGTTACGGTGTTGTCTACTACGTCGAGCACATGATCAAGCACGCCTCCGGCGGCAAGGAGTCCTTCGCCGGCAAGCGCGTTGCCATCTCCGGTTCCGGTAACGTCGCCCAGTACGCCGCCCTCAAGGTCATCGAACTGGGTGGTTCCGTCGTCTCCCTCTCCGACTCCCAGGGTGCTCTCGTCCTCAACGGCGAGGAGGGCTCCTTCACCCCCGAGGAGATCAACACCATCGCCGCCATCAAGGTCGAGCGCAAGCAGATCGCCGAGCTCGCCGCCCAGGCCCCCTTCTCTTCCAAGTTCAAGTACATCCCCGGTGCCCGCCCCTGGACCAACATCGCCGGCCGCATCGACGTTGCCCTGCCCTCCGCCACCCAAAACGAGGTCTCCGGCGACGAGGCCAAGGCCCTCATCGCCGCTGGCTGCAAGTTCATCGCCGAGGGTTCCAACATGGGTTCCACTCAGGACGCCATCGATGTCTTCGAGGCCCACCGTGAGGCTAACGCCGGCGGCGCTGCCATCTGGTACGCCCCCGGTAAGGCCGCCAACGCTGGTGGTGTTGCTGTTTCCGGTCTGGAGATGGCTCAGAACTCTGCCCGTGTCAACTGGACTTCCGAGGAGGTTGACTCCCGTCTGAAGAACATCATGGAGGACTGCTTCAAGAACGGTCTGGCTACCGCCCAGGAGTACGTTACTCCTGCTGCTGGCTCCCTGCCTTCGCTCGTTGCTGGTTCCAACATTGCTGGTTTCACCAAGGTTGCTGAGGCCATGAAGGACCACGGTGACTGGTGGTAAACCATCAGCCATTCTAAAAAGATGGATTGGTCCTTGAAAGATGAGGGTCGTTGATGCATTTGTTTCTTACTCTTCCTGTCTATACTTTTTACCTTTGCTCAGCGGGTTTGGATAGAGGCGCTGGTCTTTTTTGTGATGCATTTGATGATATATCCCACTTAGCACGTTCTTCGTTCTGTTCGGGATCGTCATGATGATAATGAAATTCAATGATTATTTAAACAAACTTCTCTTGTAAAGGGTGTAGTAACCTTATCATTCAGCCATCTTCAGCTTCAACTTGGGAGCATAGTTTCATCTCATAGTCGCAGTGAAATGAGAAATTGATTTGATTTTACAGATCTTATAATTCTCCATCCCACATTGAACTATCCTAACTGTACTTCACAATGGAAGAGCAATCCCCGATGCCAGCTGTATCAGGACATAAGCTTTTCATCTCAAGAGACGCTTATTCGTCGTGACTTGCATGCCGAAGCTGGCATTTCCGACAGGTGGTACGGTCAGATACAGACGAAATTTCACCTTGGAAAACCCCAGCTTAGAATCCTTGAGCTATCAAGTTTCGCATTCTCAGAATAGCGTCCCCTTTATGAGCAAATATCGCAGGAAAGCAATCCCTACATTTAAATCTGCTATCTCGAAACAAATCAAGACTACCGCAGTTCGAAAGACACGTAGTGACTAGTGAAGTAGTCTCCAGTGGGTCGGTCTCGAAAAGGTTATTCATTAGTTGCAGATCTGCATGTTTAGGTACATGGAGCTTGCATTGTCATCTCTACCCATGTCCTTTTTGTCACTTCGCTTTTCTCGGTTTTGCGATCTTGGCTCTGGTAGATCAGTTAGATTCTTTAATTTTCTGTGACTTCTCGGAAGCACTCTATCCTGAAAATACACATTAATTTTCGAACAATTTAGTCGATAAAAGGTCGATGATGTTAGACTTGGCCGGCGTTTCGGTTGCCGGTATTGCTTCTCGAGTCAACAGTGGTTTCATTAAGGCCAATCGATTATCGATATGGCCATTCCATGCCTGAGGGTAACACGGGCTTTTCCTGTTGACATGTATTGATTATGGACTTTCGCAATCTAACTGAGTCTCTTTTTCGGTTTTCTGTCGCACCAAATTTGGACAAATTTTAGACAATTTATTTCAACCCTGTAGACAGCAGACGACACGTGACCCATTTTCTTGTTCACGTGACGCATTTGGTGAAAGATACACGTGACCATCGGACAAACAGCGCCTCCTCGACCCAATTATTGGTCGCCTCGTTCATTGAACGCCAAAAATGCCCTACATTGATTTGATTGTTTAAGTAAGTTCGTCCATCTTAGCTCTACAGAATTCTCTAACCTCCGCCCAGGTAGTCCTCGCAATGTTGCCGGATAAGGCTCCTTCAGACCAGTGGAGGACCTTCCTCCACCGGTGTTTAGCAAATCGAGTGGATGTCGATGAGTTCAAGGAATTCACTCGATTAATGCTCAAAGACTTCCCTGTAAAAGGTGAGGAGCTGCTGGATCTACTCCTCGAAGCTCGCGCAACCTCCAACATCGCCTGGGACCCCTTGCTCCCCGTTTATGTCGACTGTCTCTTCAGGACCGAGCTGGTCAAGTCGTCGGCTGCATTGACTAGTCTTCTCAAGAACTCTTCTGTTCGCGGAAATGCGGCTCCGAAGAGGAAGACTTCGACGCTCATGACCGACATCAAGGTCATTCAGGATGTCATGATGGCTGCCTCCACAGGTGTCCTACCCAAGACTACCGCCGAAGCGGTAGAACTCTTTGCGGTGACTGTCGAGTGGATCGAGGCGGTTGTTTCGTGGCACCATGAGGACCTGGACATCTCGCAGCAGGAGAGTGGTTTGATGAATAATCCTGATGCGATGTCGGTGTTCGAGTCGGTTGGTATTCTTCTGGCTGCACTGTTCGGAACAACGAAGGGATTAGACGCGCTTTCCAGCTCTTATATTGATCGCGCTCATCAAGGTTTGCTTGGTTTCTATTTTCTTGCTTCATCTGGATGGTTTTGACCAATATTCTTCACTTTAGGCTTGAAAGTCAGGCTTGGTCAAGCCATCTCATCATATCTACCCTTGTGTGTGGATATCTCCTTGCCACTTCGCCATCGACTTGATACCCTCCAGAAAGAGTTCAATTTGTACGGACAACAGCCTTCGAAACAGGTTGATCCCTCCTCACTTGATGGGATGAACGTGAACTCTCTCCAATTCGAGGCCTCTATAATGGATGGCCCGGTGATCAACACGCGAGCTGGGCTCTATGTGTACCTTAACTCGATGGTAATATCCTCTCTCAGGGCCTTCATTATGAACAAGACTCTGATCCTTATCTAGCTTGTTGGACGCCCACTTGTCGATGACTCCATTTTGATCAACTTCCTTACCAATCGCTATGAGGTGGGTAAATGCTTGACTGGCTTTGCCTGGTATCATTCTAATATCCGTCATTCCAGGGTCACCAAGAAGTCCTTGTCGCAGAGATGATCACAGCCGCTTTCGACGTTCTATCCAATGGCGTCAATCGTAATGAATCCGGTCGAACAATGTTCTTGTTCCGATCGTTCCTGGTGAACAAGCTTCCATCATTCTTCGCAGCCATGTCGGCTGCGTCGATGGTGCCAATTCCAATGGAGATGTGCATCACACAGGCGCTCAGCCGACTCGACCCGAATGCCTTTCCTTCGTTCTCTCAGATGTTCTCCATGCAAGGTAGTAGCATTCTTTCTGATGCGCGCCAGGAGTTCCTGTTTGCGTGTGCATCTCACAGACTCATCCCGGAGTCCAGCATCGAGCGCCTTCTGGGAGAAAACCCAATGCAGACCCTGCCTGTCGGTGGTCCTTACCAGAAAGATGATTTAGTACCCCAGATCACTACCAATCTTGAAAGAGCGGATCAATTGATAGGTGAGATTGAGTCGATGGAGGGAAATGCGGGGGCAATTGTGCGGGCTGTGACCGAGGTATGTCTCACCAGGAGAGCCCAGGACTTGTGGGTATGACTAACAAAGCAGCAGGTTATGTACAGCCTTTGCAACCAGAAGGAAACGGTGACTCTCAAGAGCATCTGCAACTCACTTTCACGACGCCCTCAAACACTTGATGTGATTCTGCTCTTTAGAACTGCCAAGCAGGTCCTGCAACCTCTCTGTGCCTTGTTAGACTCCTGGCGTTGGGATGAAGAGCAGGGCGAGAATCAACTGGTCTATGACGAGTTCGGCAGCATTTTACTACTTGTTCTCGCCTTCAAGTACCGATATGATCTAAGTGCCTCGGATATCGGAATTTCGAGCAGTGATTCTTTCCTCTTGAAGTTGTTTGACCGAGGCTCTTTCAGCCAGAATCTGAGCGACCTCAACGAGAAACAAAACAAGGATGTTGGCGCGTGGATCGCCGCTTTGTTCATTGCCGAAGGCATTAATGAAGAGACCATGTCATCCTGCAGCCCTCAAGAATTCTACATGCTCGTCGCGACTCTGTTCGATCAAAGTCTAGGGGCATGTGAGTCGGGGAAACTGGATTTCGAAACATTGAAAGGAGGCTTTGAATGTAAAGTTCTCGCATGAATCTCCTACTCTAAGATTGAAGCTCACACTTACTCTTCCAGACCTCCTCGAGCCTTTCTTACTGCCTGCCCTGGTGATAGCTCTCACATGGCTTGGTAATCATATCTGGGAGTCCGAAACCGACCCAACAATCCCCCTCAAGGCACTATACTCTCTAGTCAAACCCAGCTCCATCTCCGGCGAGGCACAAGCAATCCACAAGACCGTCCTCAACATCACCGCCCGTCCTCTCGAAGAACAACTGAAGGACGTGCGCACCAGAAACCAAACCCGAACAGATATCAAACCAATCCTGGACGCGCTCGACCCATACCTCTCCTTCCGCCGCGTGGGCAGCTCGCACTGCTCAGAGCTGGACAACTGGGCCGCCCAACCCGTAGGCGGCCTACCAGGAAGCCTTCGCAGCACACTCCACTCACTCGTCCTTTGGAGCACGAACTCCGGAATGGCAATGCAACCACAATCCTACACCCACCGCCAGATCCTCGCAGGAATCCGCATCCTCGGCTCCACGCGCGTCCTGAACGCCCTCCTCGACGAACTAAAACAACAAGCCGAAGGAGGCAGCGTCGACCTCGCCCTCGATATCGTGGCAACGATTGTCTGCGCACCCATGGCCGAGTCGTTCGCCGTGGACCAGAATATCTGCCAACCGGTCGATTCAACGAAAGAGTCGCTCCCCCGCTGTCCGACCCTGACCCTCCGAGACGCCCTGAATCTCCAGCACGAGAACATCCCCAAGATCTCAGAGAAGGATCCCCTGCGCGCGGAACTGATCGTCCGACTCTGGCGCCGCGTGAGCGTCCTCGCTGCGCCCCCATCGCAGGTCGCGAATATCGATGTTAGCAATATTATTCAGAATATGCATCTTGGCGGCGTCGATGGGCAGGATCGTATGGATCTTGAACAGCCTGGTGGTATTGGTAATGGTGTTGACGAGGATAATCCGGATAATATCAATGATATGCTAGATAAGGCTGCCGCCGCCGCTGCGGCTGGGATGGAGGGTGGTGTCAATGTAGGACAGGATCTGGGGCTGGATGTTGGTGGAACGGGAATGGATACTACCGGTATGGACGCTATTGATGATGTTCTCAATGCGGCGGATATGGCGGTTGGGAATCCGGAATTCTTGGATTTGGATATGGAGGGCATGTTTTGAGTGTGGGTGTTTATGCGAGCTAGTCGTATCGATATCTTGATATATTTGGAGAATTTATTTGATGAAATTTTTTGCATTAGATTTGGATATCGGATGTATGGTGCAGTCTAGCTGCGTGAGAAAAGAGCATAGGCCCCGTTAACGCCTCCCCTCCGGTGATTAGAGTCCGTCGATATTAATTGTGTTTTTGGAAAAGCTCCAGGGGGATTCCTGTCGCCATTAACATTGTCTCTGTTCGTCCCAAGTTAGCTGTTGCTTTTCGTCTCATCTTTCCCGGACTGTACATACAAAGGTTCAACGTCTTCTCCACCTTCATGGCGAGCTTGGGAATTCCAGAGTGAGGATACATCGTCTCAAGAAGATCCATGGGCTTCGGAATGAGTGCTCGGCGCGAGTTCTCTCCAACCGGGGCGGCGGCGACCATGGAGGAGAGGGAAATGGCGGCGAGGATTGCTTTGAACTTCATTGTGGACGTGTAGATTTTATCTGAAGCGATCGCAATTCAGCTCATGATCGATACAACTGTTAGTTTTCTTTGGCAGGTGATCTTACTTCTGCGATACGTTTGCAATAAATGCGAAAGAACACTGTGTGATGGCTTGCTCGGAAATGGTCAGTCCATGATCGCGGGTTTTCTTTCTTTCCTCCAAGGGGCATTCAAGTTTGATCTCGCATTCCAGTGGAATTTGGATCGAAGGGTTTGGCGTGAGGAATTGACGCGTCGCGTCGGTCGCTCGGACATATCGTCTTCTCTCATCGAGTTTACTTCCGTCTGTCTACACTCAGATACGATTTCGAAAATACTAGTTACACGGGCGTGAGAATTTCGATTCGCTCTGACTTGTTCGAAATGGTTCGGCCTGCAATGCTTTGCTTGTGACTTACACATACGGAGATGGATACGGAGGTGGAAGGGCTGTTGGTGGGACGCGGCGTATGCAAGGGATGTCAAAATGATATGTTCGATCACCACAATTTTTGATCGATGCAGAGAGCCTCATTTATCTAAAGAGGGCCTGGGCTGTTTTATGTGGGTTTTAATGCGGGCTTGGAATTGATTTATGAGGTGTCCATGTCTTCGGGGTACTTTTGGTAAGGTTGTGGGTTTGAGTTGCGCGAAATTAAGCACGTGCATAAAAAGAGGGGTTGCTTTGGTTTCTCCGCACTCCGTGGCACGCCAGAGGATCTGTTCGCTTCTGTGGCTGCTTGGGATGAGTTGTACTGTACTCAGGTTGACCCCTAAGTTATGTTAGCGCGGTACTTCCACCCCTAGTTTATGACTAAGATTCTGCCAATTATTAATTACAGATGCGTGTAATTAAACCACTAAAATACAGAAATTACCCTCAGTAGGGTGTATATCCTCCCAGTGCATCAATGGCAGCTTGACAGCGTGCCTGCATTAGATCAATCTGTTGATCTAGGAAGGTTGTAGGTATCGCATCCCAAGCAGCCCGTACAGCCTCACGTAATTGATCATAGGATAGCTTACGATCATAGGATTTTAAATATCGATCGCCAATCCACTCCTTCACCCAACCCTACAGCTGTTCAATAGGATTTAGATCAGGTGAATATGGTAGCCAATTAATAGGATATATCCCACGATCATGTATCTAGCTCCTTAATTGTAGAGAGGTTTCGATGAGAGGGTGCACCATCTTGCATCATAATTAGATGCCTATTATGATGATCTGAATAATTGCGAACCATTGAGACAATACCATGAATCAAAGGCACAACACGTTCAGTATAATTAGCACTAGTAATAGTGCTTCATTCCTTCTCCCAGAATAGACAAGGGCCCTTCTCATCACCAATAAAAGACCCCCAAAACATCCATCCAGGAGCACAAGAGACACGCGCTCTCACACAAGTATCATCAAATTCCTCCCCAGATCTAGGGGTCACATAGATCCGTCGATGATAGATTGATGTAGCCCAGGTCTCATCAGTCCATAAGATCATTTTCCATTGTTCATAGGTCCAGTTCACATGTTCTAACGCCCAGTTTAGCCGTAAAGCTCGTGTGCGATCAGATAAAGGATGCTTGCGAAGAGCATTACATCGATGATATCCACGTTTAGCAAGAGCCCTTCGTAAGGTCTCAACACTAATAGAGAGTTGTAGTTCTTGTATAACTTGGTTATAGGGTAAACGTCGTGTTTCTTTCGAAGATGAGATGAAATCGATAATCTCATCAAGTTGCTCCTCAGATAGCTTTCGAGCTCGGCCACAGGTCTTACGAGGTGTGGGCCTCTTATCTATACAGACTATTTGAACCTGTCGCTGTATAATACCTAATTGTCTTGCGATTTGGGCATAGGTTGCCATTCGAACGTAGCGTACGCGCTGCGATGCGTTGATCTCGAGAGGCCTTATGACGAGGGGTCTGATCGGTAGGCTGATTGGTAGGCTTATTGGTAGGCTGATTGATAGGTTGATCGGAGATCTGGTAGATGGCCTCCATGGTGTAGTTGGAAGGTATAGGGTCGAGATGACAGGGGGGAGATTGGAAATAGGGAAGTATTGTACTAGTACTAAGTAGGAAGGCGGTTATAATTCAGATTAGTCATGAACTGGGATAGAAGTACCACGCTAACATAACTTAATGGGGGCAACCTGCGTACAGTAAAGCTATTCGAGAGCTCACGAGCAAGTAATAATCGAGCGACTGATGGAGAATAGATCTGATTCGCTTTCATCTATTTACGACCCATCCCCTTGTCCTACTATCCTTCTAGTCTTGTCAAATCCATCCAAGCCCTAACTAATTCTGGCCTAGTAATGTGTCAATTACAAAATGATGCCCTCTGGTAGGTTCGCCGTACCCGAGGTCCACTGACTCCGCTTCTTGTCAGTGCAAAAGTACGGAAAGATGATGCAAGAAGCTGCCCGCCCCCCAATGGCACTTGTGGGCTTTCAAATTACTCAACCTGGAACCCATTATCCTGCAATTTCTGCAAAGACGCCATGGAGATCCCCAGCTTTTCTGGAGCTGTCATGCTTTTATGTGGTCTCTTGGCCTTCTTTATTTTCAGAACTATCGCCTCGTATGTCAGGTTGAAGCAGTTCTCGGGTCCTTCGTGGACGGGTATCTCGAACTGGCCTCACAGTCTAGCGATCCTTGGTGGAAATTGTCACGAGTGGTATGCGGAAGTCAATAACAAATACGGTGCGCCGTTTCAAAGATATCGACAATAGTCAATTTGTTTGTGCGCTGACACTAGACATAAACAGGTCCCCTTGCCCGTGTCGCGCCTAATGTGCTGATTACATCCGATCCTCAAGTTTGGATGCATGTTAATAATAAACCTGGATACAAGCGCTCCTATTGGTATTATAGCGCTGCGCGGATTGAGTATCGCAGGGACAATGTTTTCAGTCAGACGGATAATGCGAAACACGATAAGAGGAGGAAGCAGATGGCTCCTGGGGTATGATGACACCGTTCTACCTCTTTGCAATCTCTCTCCTTCCAAAGAGCAATGGATGCTGACCGCTTTGTTCCAAGTACTCAGGAAGAGAAAACACCGACCTGGAAGAATCAGTGAACGAGCGAGTCCACGAATTGTTGAATCTCATCCGCTCCAAATACGTTTCATCTGATCGCATCATACCCATGGACTTGGCAAAAAAGGTCCAATACTTCACACTGGATGTCATCAGCACCGTCGGCCTCGGCAAGGCATTTGGTATGCTGCAGAGTGACCAAGACGTGGAAAATTATCTCCAATCTAGCGAGGAGGGCCTCGCAATCTGCAACACATCTCTCGCCTTGGGCATCAGCTGGATTGCCCAGGCGCCTTTCATTGGCAAGTTCATCGCGCCTTCGCCAAATGATAACAATGGCTTCGGTAAAATGATGGCTGCATGCTTCCGTATCGTCGATGCGCGCGCTGCCAGTTCCACGGACAAACGATCCGATATGTTGGCCTCTTTCATCCGACATGGGCTAACAGGCGATGAGCTTCGAACCGAGGCACTGGAACAGATTATCGCAGGCTCTGACACGACTGCCGGTGCTATCCGTGGTATTCTCCTGCATGTTATTACCAATCCGCGGGTCTATGCCAAATTGCAGCGCGAGGTCGACGATGCCGTGCGCAATGGCCTTGCTCCGGGTAATGGCGATGGACTCATCACTGCTGCCCAGGCAAAAGAGCTTCCGTATCTCCAAGCTGTCATTCGTGAAGCAATGCGAGTCTGGCCGCCAGTAACGAATATATTCTCGCGCGATGTCCCGGCCGGCGGAGATACACTGATTGTCGGAGGTGAGAGTGTGTACGTGCCGGGGGGTGCCTGCATCGGGTACTCTGCGTACGCAATGCACCGGAGTGAAAATATTTATGGCAAGGATGCGAAAGCTTTCTGGCCTGAGCGTTGGTTTGAGTCGGATCCGACGAAGTTGGCTGAAATGGTCCGGGCGAATGATCTGATATTCGGATATGGCAAGTTTCAGTGTCTTGGAAAGCCAGTGGCGCAGATTGAGATTGGGAAGCTGGTTTTTGAGGTGAGTTGAGCTGTTTTATATGCTTACTGTGATCTTTCCCGGGATTGACCAACTCCTCGGTATAGCTTCTACGTAACTTCGAACTGGCGTTGATCAATCCGACGCATCCATGGGATGTGAGGAACATACTTGGACTTTTCTCGGTTACGAATATGTGGGTGCAGGTCATGGAGAGAAATCCATCATCCCTGTGAGTGGAAAGCAGACAGGCATGGTAGCCTTTCTATAGTGAACTCTCGATCTTATTCTATTTGAACGATGCAGCATCCAGGCAACAATAGTGAGCAAATAATAATGATGCAGTAATTGCTCGAGTGATATGATGTTTTTTCGCAGATACAAATTCAAATGAAAAACATGCTACGCTATGAATCGCACGGAACGTAAATTTGAGTATACAATTTATGATATGGATATGACACGTACACGTTTTCTGTCAATGGTCATCTGATGTGATATCAAAGCCATCTAGCCGCGGATATTTACTTCAGCTGCATTACCATTTTCATAGCCGTAGAGGTACGTCCTATTAAACCCTGTCTTTTCTAGAACAAATGATTGAAGGCGAAATTGGCTAGGGAGAGGCTTATTCGTCTTTTGTATATTCGTCTTATTTTCAAGATCTATTGTTAGCATTCGTCTCATATTTTTGGAACACCTTGACAGGAATCCTGGACCCACTTCAATAATATTGACTGGCCAAGGTCATAGCACTCAACTCTCCTTTCGGGCTCTACAGGCCCTCCAGGCGATTCGTTATGTTCTACCTTGATAAAAGGAGCAACCGACTTCCTCACTACGGATTATGAATAACCTCCGATATCGCTAGTAAAGAACGAGTCGGGGGAACGCCTCAGCCGGTTCGCAAAACTATCGAGGAACTATTTGACAGACCACGTCTGATATGCATAGCCTATAGAAGATTAATATGATACGGGATACCGGCCGTCAGGCTCGCGATACCTCATACAGAAGACAGAGCCCTTACTAAGTAGTAGGCACTCTATACCAGAAGGATTCGGCGCCACTCGCTCAAAATGCCAACCGGCACCCCGTGGACCTTGCAAAGACGGCTTGAAGATATCGGGGGCGGCCCGTACCAAACACACGGGACCAGTGACCTTCCTGATTGGGAATATCAGACCCAGTATGGAATCAGCCTGAATCTATGGATAGGAGAGTATCACGCAACCGGGATTCGACTCGCGTGAATGAAATTTCCGACCTCCTTTTCACGGAAAGTCAGGAAGGCACCGGAGATCGCCCGTCACTTCTGCAGGATCACCCTGGTCCCGAGTGTTCGTCACTAGGTTCGACGGCGCTGCTGCTTTCTTTTTTCTGGACTTTCCATGGCGCCCTTGGCGTCGTTTTCGTGTCCATCGTTATTATAGCAGCTTCCGGCGCGGCGGAACCTCCATCCCAGCCTGGCAGTGACTGACGTGTAGGCACATACTACTTGGGGGTGTAGTCGAATGGACCCCAATCTATTTCCCGCGCGAAGGAAGGGAAAACGGGGAAAGGGGCCTGGCCCGATAAAATCGCGTAACCCACTTCGTCTTTTCTCTTTTTTGTCGCGAGATGCACGCGGGTGGGAACGCCGTCCCGTCCGCTAGGACGGTCTCTGCATGATCTGACAGCGCCGGAGCCACGGTTGGTGCTTGCGGTGAAGACGTGCTGCTCGTGCGCCTCGTGCGAAGTGCAGGAACAGGTGATACAACTTTTTGCGCCCGAAATATCTCAGCGAATGACTTGGTTCGTAGGCGAACGATTCACTGTGCAACTGTTGCCGGGGAATCTCATCACGAACCTCCAGCCTCTTTCAGTCGGGGATTGGTTGATCGCTCGAGAGTATTCCCTTTTGACGAGCTGCTTTCTTTCGTTCTTGTGGAGAAAGGGGCCGAAGTGAAGAGTGATGGGGCCCGGATCTAATTCCCCGATTCCAGAGGGAACGGACTGTTTACCCTTCGTGGTTTGTGTCCGGGGAATTTTGTGTCGCTGCATTTGGCCGGCTGTCACACATGACAAATTCCAAATCGTGATAGTCAATCGCAACATCACAACACGGGGGAAGGGGATCTGTCCCTGATCTCCCCTCCATGCTGCAACTCCTTCAGAGTCATCACAGCTGGCCGGTGAGAGATCAAAAAATCCCCAGTGTCCCGACACAGAAAGGATCATCGCGAGGTGGAGGCTTCAGCACGTACGGGGCCTCGTCATAGGGACAGCTTCGCTCCAGCTCGAGAGCTTGCCCCGCTGCCATCGTCGTGACTGGCGTGGAGTGCCATGCAGTGAGCTCAAGAAATCCACTTGGATCGCCGATGACGCCCCACACAGGCGAACTCTTGATCCACGATGCTCTTAAACAAACCCACTTTCGGCAAAGTGCAAAGCGTTGCTCAAACGACGGAAAAAGGTTGAGGGAGAGAGCGCACTCTGCCAGTACGTAAATTTACCGGACAGAAATGCGCCGGACTGTTTGAGTGTTTTGTGGATGTATGGGTGTCTTCGAAGGATGCTATACATCACGAGGCAGCAAGGCAGCGTAGAACTGTTCGCCAGTTACCCACTCATGCACGGTATCCATTCTGGTGCAGCGAGGCGATCGAATTGCCACCCATGATCGCCGACTCGAGGTTCTGGAGGTGGCGGCAACTTAAGTATAGCGAGGCGATTCCGGTGGAGTGTACGATCGCAAACGTGGAGAGCTGCTCTTATGAACAGTACCAAGGACAAAGGAGTAAACATCGAAACCACGGTACGTGAAATCCACGTGAATCGCCACGAGCCGCTGGAAACACCCGTACGGTACGTATTTTATTTGGTATACGTACAATACTCGCACGTGAGTCGACTCTCTTAAGTGTTGCCCTTTGCCCGCCTTTCGTCCCTCCATCATCCTATCCACCGAGATCCAACAGAGGGACGTGACTCAATTATCGGTCGAATGGGGTCATCGTTGGCCCGTGAATCGTAATAGCCCGACCGCAAGACTACGCGACCCATCACGTCGTTTGTGCTGAACCATGGGACTGTCCGAAGATCTTCCTCCCACCCGCGTTGTAACCAACGCTCGCGACGCGGGCTGCCGTGCTGGGGATGAGCGATGACGATAATGCAAAACTTATGACCTATGGCGTTGGCTCTCTATCCCGTCTTGGTGCGTACCAAGGCGCGGAAAGAGTGGGGAGCAACGGTGCCTGGGGCCTTTGTACCCTAAACGCGACGGATGTTGGACGCTATCGAGTTCAGCGACGCAGCCCAGTTGGGGCGTGCATATGACAGCCATGATTCGTTCTTTCACTCATCTGAACGAGCGTGGTCACGTCGACTCGAATATCCGTCAAAGACCAATACTTGATTAGACGATTGGGTGATGGTTTTTTTTTGGCTTCCGTCGAGCCCCGAGTCTGCCCCGTCGAACCTAGTCACTCCACTCCTTCGATTCAGGGGCGACAGGGAAGAATGCAAGTCCCGCAGACGATGTTGGACACGTGCGGAGGGGGGCGAAAGGAAGCCGCGGGAACTTCTGTAGGTTTACTAGGCTGGCCCCCCTAATCAATCCGGGGCCGATCATCGAACTATTCGAGGGGTTCTGGACTCGCATGCTCCCCTGGTATCCTCCCTCGGCAATCCCTGATCCGGCTCAACGTTGGACTATTGAATTCTCCTGCAAATGTGCCGGTGCTAACTGCTTCTATTGCCGTTAGTATTTCTGCACTGTCAATCTTCTTCCAAGAGGGTATGTGTTCAACGGTATCAGCAGGCGATCGTTCACAGAGACTACAACGTACAAGGTTGGCGCACCTTCCAGAGTCGAACGGTGGGTATCATTCAGTGGTGTAAAATGGGCAGATCTCTCGCTGCACGAAAGGGGACGTATGATCACATCGAGATCCTCTGCTGGACCCCCCTGACAGGCACAGGCGCAGGCGCATTTGATCCACCGCACTCATCCATCAGATCCCGATTCTTTGGTCTTGGAACGCCGGAATCGCATTCCGCTGCGCTAAAAGTTCCAGATGACGCCGAAGGACCCAATTTTGGACAGGCTGGTCTCGCCGGCCTTTGGAGGATCGTGTCAAGATCAGAGATCTCACATTTTTAAACAAAGGATACCGTCGTCGCGCTGGTTCCCGGTCGGGATCCGGCGACAGGTACTTTGGAGACTACGGAACTCTGGATAATACAGCCGTCCTACGGTGCCGCTGCTCATTTGATAGCTTCGTTTTTAGCGGCGCCCGTGGACATGGATTGGGGACGGGGTTGCATTTTCCTTTCCCACTTACGAAAGTGGTGGTGGTTTGCGATATTTCCTAGCCGTTGCGGGAACATGTCAATCCTTCGAACTGTAGTGATTTCACGGTGGATCTGGGTCGCGGATGCCTTCCGGCTTGTTGGCTAGTCCACCATTACACACTTGTAGTGCTATGTGGAGATGGCCATCGAGCTTTCGTGGGTTCTTGGCACGGCCGGGATAGACTCGCGACCGTTGGGGTTTTTCCTCTGGTCTAGTACAGGTCTGATGTATTGAAACATTCGAGGTTCGTATCTGATACCGTTACCTGGTGCGGTGTTATTATACGATAGGAGGTATCAGGTACTGTCCTATGTACAACAGAGCCCTCCATGGCTGTGAGTCAAGGTCTTTCGAGGAATTGTCCAGATCGACGACTCCCATATGCTTGTCATTGCTCAGAAATAGGTTTAGGCACGAGGAGGGTATCCCAACTCGCAGTTAAGGCTGGGGTAGCTGCTGTTCGGACGGGATTTTTGTGGCGACGGGCGCTATTGGGAGCTTCCCCAATGATCCACCGTCTGAACCATGGCTACACCTGCGACTATATCATTATCTGATATTTGCGCAAACAAGGATGTCTTACTCTATTCCCACATTGCCAGTGTTGCATTGTATCGTGTAGATTCCGAGTGGCAACACTGCGATACGGTTCATTCAAAGCACAAGCTCCTTGTTCGGCAGCTCTCGGTGGCCATTGCATTCAGATCAAGTCCACATATGACATAATTCACAATACAGTACAAAGAGAGAGTTGTATGTTATTTCTGAGAATTTACATTTCACCTTAAATATTTCTTTATCAGAGGATCCTGTAAGTGTAAGAAAAATCAGTCGTGTAACCTTTCATTCATGTGGCGTAGCTGGACAACTCGCGGGGTAGACCAAAAAGCAGCCATCGGAGAAAAACAAATTCACCTTGAGCGCGTCCACGGGTATGCCGAGGGCAAGCCCTGTGGGCTCGGTCACATGTAGAGGTCAATGTAATCAGGGTGAGGAGTTGCACGAGAAAATAGATCGATTTTGTTGAAGATTCAACCGCAGTCACCAGGTGTCGCTGATGCAGGTACCAGGGCCTGGATCGTGGGCCTGGCATATGCAGACCCTCAGCCTCAGTTCGGGGGCTCTGTTCGCAACAAAAAGGCCATGAGGTTACACGGCATGAATATGGAGAGAGAAACAGGGAAATGGAGCGCTGCGTCGGTCGATCGAAAGCCACCGCGGTGGTGGCTTCGACAATCTAGGCGGCGGTGTGCTCTACCTACAGCGATTGTGAGCATCACAAGCTTGCGGCTATGGTGGCGAGAATATGAGCTCGGCTGTTTTTCCCCACGTACAATCCATTTGATGATCTATTCTAACTCAGTGGTTCGGATTATGCTTAAGTGAAACAGAATTTGGGCATGGCGGAAAGCATATACATGACCAGATCTTGATCACACTCTCACCGATATATACTCTTACACCACGAGCCCGAAAGAACGGACCACCTCTTGATCCGCATCCCACCAATCGCGTCTCAAGAATAATCGTAAGAACACGGCTCAATCTTACGGCGGCATTATTGTACATAAGCAGAGCCTTGTCCTGAAGATTTGTCACGTTTCACAGGGATCGGGTGTTTACTTAGGCCTAGAACCTAATCGTCTGAACACTCGTGAACGCCAGCCTTTTTGCAACTAATGTGAGTGACTCAGATCGCTGCGACGATCTAGCCTGGAGTAGCTGAGAGCCCTGCCGTGCGACCGTGAAACCATTGTAATTGGAACTACGCCGGATCCTACCCCGCGAAACCGTCAGTCCGCTCTTCTTCCCCTCTGCCCGAATGTGGAAAGAGACCGCGTCATGTCGGATGAGATCCATTTCTCCTCGCGCATTTTATTGTACTGGCGAAATACCATGTTTTTTTTAGGGATTACACGTACAGGCGTCGCGTGTCGTGATCTAGAGCATCCTACTGAATGAGCGGCAAGTTCCTCAGGTGAGATAATGATGCACACGCATGTACGTACTGGCCGACCTCGACACTGCAAATGGAATTGCTGTCGTAGCAAATCCAGGTGCCTGAGGGTAAGAACTCCGACTCGGGATCACCCTTCATCTGCACAGAAATGTCCGAAGCTACTCGCCTTGTCCTGCAGAGTACCTTTGTAAAGAAGACCGTTCCTGGCCCCGCTTGGGCATCAGTCTCGTGTCTTTTTCCAAGGAACAGAACAGACGCGTTCGTGAACACTGCGCAAACTGCAAACTGCAGTGCAAACTGTCCCAGCAGGACACAGTATGCGAGAAAAAACAATTACCTGCAGAAAAAAAAAAAAGTCCCCGTCGACGCGCCCAAGACAGCTGCGGTGGGCAGCAAACAACTGTCTGAGACATGTGCCGACTGTCGAGCGGGACAGACGCAATTAAGATCAAACAAAAGATCTTCAGGGACGTCCGTACACACTCCATAGGACCCATTATCCGGCCAAGCTCAAGCTGGAGCATTTGCTCTCCAATTTTTGCTCGACCTGCACAAGTGAACCGTCGCAGCGATCAAAAACTGGCCTGAGCATCGCAACCGCATCGCGTCCCATGGTTAGAGGCCGGGGTGTTACGGAGCTTCTCCCCCTTCCAGCGTTATCCCGCAGATCGCATTCTGACACGCGCCCGGCATTGTGATGGTGTGGAGGGGGCTTGCATTTCGGGAGGCTGGTGAGCCCATTGGGTGGCCTCGCGATATCACGGAGATTTTGCTGCCAATGCCAGTGCTTATTAGCCTATGATATTTCCCGAGGTAGATATTACCTGAGGTACCTACTCCAAGTATAGTAGGGAGGGGGCCGGGAATAGTGCCGAACATGTGACTGGCGGACGATGCACCAGCCGAAGGATGCAACTTGCATCGCGAGATTTCAGTGCGGACTGGCAACTGCAGAATCGAGTCGTGGAGGTGGTTGTCGTGCTCGTTTGCGGGATCTAACGGTGTATTCTCTACGTACCTACTTGAGGGGAGGGTAAGATGTGTACGGTGTCTTTTCGTTACCGAAGCAGAGACAACTTCCGCCGCCTACTTCGTAGTAGTCTAGACCTTTGACAGGGCAAATCGCTTCGCGCCCCCATTTTTTCTGCCATAAATGACGCGATCCATTGCTCAAAGCTTGCGGTAGCTTCCGCTCTTCCTTATAAATTAAATTGCCACTCTTTCATAATTGATCACTACTACTCCCTGCTAGGTAAAAACTCGCCATCGCCGTCGCATTCGGTTATTCTTTTGGAGGTTAATTATAGATGTGGCCGGGAAACCCGTTTGTGTTTGGCGAATCTCTGCTTCCCTGCTTACTCTATCCTTATGCAGGTACTTGCGTAGACGGGATAATACTGCTTGTGGTCGTACCTTTTGAGAGTGGTACTGTAGGTATCGCTCAGAATAGCTTGGTCTTAGACATGGCGGGTCCACGTCAAGAATTTCCGTCCGCCCATGCCTCGCAGCTGCATCCGCTCCCGACTATACCTGGGCTATAGATGCAAATGCAAGCCGCAGGGCTGCAATAGGCCGTGACGTTGTTTCGATAGCTCGAATTCGCGTTTGTGGAGCCGACGCGAACTTTCCATCGCAAAGCCAACTGCCCCACGCGGGACGAGGAAAACAGAGGGGGCGATAGGCCATGGATTGCGCGACAGGGATAAGGAGATCGTCTGGTGTTGGTGGTTTGCCAGTGGTTTTTGCCGAGGCCGGCAGGTGCAGTGTAGGAGTGATGGGCAATCACACTATCTTCAGGCGTACCTTACACTTCTACTAGAGTAGTCCATGTGGGAGCGAGGATCATCGCGAGACCATGCAAAAGTGACAGAACTATAACTCTAGCCTCTTTATGAAGAGAGGGGATAGACTTTTGGCTGCTGCCATTTTGGGGGCCGGTCGCTGCGCTGTCGATCCCCGGAGAGATACGTGACAGCGACTTGAGTGCCACCGGTGCCCTAGGCAGCCTTGGGAAAAAGTGACTGATCGAGTCCGGGTTTGCTGCAGGCTCCAGCACACGGCAAGTGCATTTTCAAGACATTCGGATTAACCCCACAGCCCTTTTCGTAGGAGGGGCTGGCTGTGATTCGTGCAGCCCCGCGGGCGCTTTTACGCAGCAACAAATGAAAATTGGCCAAATTTGGGGTGGGCAATGGGCCAAGGTCTGGAACGGGAAGCGTTCGGCAGATGCAAGGTGGATTCGCCCAAAATCAAGGTCTTGCCAGCAGAAGTTCACTAGGATTAGTCTGCTGGGCCGTCCTTCCTTACAGAGGTACTTATATGGAGTAGGTAAAGTACTATGTCCACCAGGTACCCGTACGAGTGGCGTGGCGGCACGCAACCATCTGTGTGTGCCAGATCAGTTTCTTTTGACAGATGCCAGTGCGATATCGGAAAGTAAGAAGGCGAAAAAGAAATTATCTGTCATAGGCTCTAAACAGACTATTGCGTTAGGTACAGATGGATCACAGTAGGCGACTCTTGTACGGGTTAATACACGGCCGCGCTGGTACGCGGTACCATACAGAGTACTTGGGTACCTGCGGGTATAGTGTATGGTAATGCACCCCCGGTCAATACGGGCAATACGGTGGAGCCCACATGGATCGTCCCGATCGAGTCCCAGAAGAATCAACTGGGTCCTCGAGTCCAGAGGAGCTCTGCTTCTTATTTCCGGTGTTCCTCTCCTTTTCCTCTCCGCGACACTTTCGGCTCTTGAGTCTTTCGTTTCTAGACCTCACCTTTCTGGTCCTTTGGAATTGCATTGCCGCCGGTGGCAAGAGACATTCATCTCCATCCCTTCCGTGACCTCCCTCCTCCCCTCCTTGCGTGAGGATCAATTCGAACCACCTAAAAAAAGGGATTCCCCCATTTCGTCACCCGCTACTGCAAGTCAGTTCGCCGGGTCTCTTGTCGTCCTTGCTGCGATCTTCAATCCACAGGGCTTGGGCGCACTCGACTCCCTTCATAGACGGAGGCGTAACTGCAGTATCCCCAACCTCGCATTGACACTGCGACTTGTCATCCCTCCCGGCTGGGCCTTTCAATGTTCCCGACTCCTGTCGAGGAAAGTCTGTTGCTGTTTATAGTTTGATTACTTGATTGTTATTGTCCCAAAAAGAAAGGGTGCGTTGCATCTCACAAATTTCTCCTTCCCTCCCTCTCCCCAGCATTCCGGTTCTTCTATCCCCTCCCCTCGAACCTCATTTGGTATCGCGCATTCTTTTTCCTGGCCCAAGAAGGAAATCAACAGTTCTCGATCCCTTTGCCATTGAATCATTGGGCTGGCACTCCCTTGGAACGACAATTGACCTTGATGTGTAGGATCATCCCAGCCATCTGGCGATCCGACCCCCCTCCCTCTCCCCGCTCCCTTCTGGCCTGATTCCACCCTCGCCACTTGCTTTCTTTCGCCTGGTGAGAATAGGGTCCTGTGAAGCATGTCAACTGCATCTACCATCGCATGAACGCCTCGGTCCGCGACCATCAGCATCTGTTTATGGGAATCACATTTTTGAAGAAAGGACGAGGGCAAAGCGATGGAATCAATGAAGCCGAATATACCACCGTTAAATATCGCCAAGTCAAATTCGAATATTGATCACGACAACAAAGATACGCCCGCTCGCTTTTATTCCAATAACGGCCAATCTGAGATTACGCCGCCTTTAACGCCCCAGGGAACTCGGGAACAACACAGTATGGAACAACTCGAAGCCCCGAGGGCAATCTTTCACAACTACCTCCGCGCGTTCTATCCTTTCCATCCTGCCGGCAATGTCTCGCCATCCACCGTCACACTGCCTCTTGACCAGGGAGATATTATCCTGGTCCACTCCGTTCACACCAATGGCTGGGCCGACGGTACCTTGTTAGATTCGGGAAATCGGGGCTGGCTACCGACCAATTATTGCGAGGCATACGACCAATTACCCATGCGGCCGCTGCTCAAGGCGCTCACCGATTTTTGGGATATCATTCGTGGAGGATGCGGGTCATCATTAAAGGATTTTGGAAATCAAGATTTAATGCGCGGTCCCATTGCCGGTGTCCGGTTTCTTCTGGTAAGTCCAACAGATACGCAACTGGAGGAACAGGACTGACCCCTTTTCAGGAAAAATCGGAGTGCCTGACAAGGGAATCACCGCTGGTGAAGAAATACGATGGATTACGGAGGATTCGGAAAGCTCTCTTGTCTGATCTTTCCTCGCTCGTGAAGACCGCTAAACGCTTTCAAGAAGTGGCCAATGGTACCCCAGCCGAGGATGAAGTCGAGGGCATCTTGGATGAAATGCTTCTGAAGGCCTTCAAGATCGTCACCCGTGGCGTTCGTTTCTTGGATGTTTGGAACGAGGAAGTTGGTCTCAGCCGCACCATTGCTGAGATGGAAGCTGGAGGCGATCTTAGCCAATACGAGCTGCCTCCGACGCCAGCCTCCGAGTCATTCAGCACAGTCGATACCTCCGCCACTTCGGACAATGGCACCGAGCGGAATGAATCTCGACAGATGAGCCATAGCCGGATGGGCGTGAGCCGGGCATCGATGCGCACTGAGATGCTTGATCACCCGCGTCCTGTCTCCGTCTCCACTAAGAGGATATCCGTCTCCCACCGAGTTTCCTACACCGGCCCCTCGTCTGCCATCTGCGTTCAGAACCTGGCTTCGGGCCGGTTGGGCACGACCTACGATGCTTTCCTTGGTGTGCTGGGCTCATTTATCGGCCTGCACATGCAGTCCCGATCTTCAACCGAGCTGGTGATCACCACTCAGCAGGCCGTCTCGTCCTGCCGAGCTTTGTTGAATGTGGTTGAGACAGTCTGCGAGCACGACTCCCAGCGCAATGTTTCCCTGGACGAGGCTCGCGATGCGATGTGCGAGAAGCTCTCGGAGCTGGTCCACGCTGCTCGCGATGTCTTCCGCCCTGCTAACGCGCAAGATGATGATCTTGTGTTTATGCCCGATGAGGGCAAGCGTCTCATGGATGCCGCGACGGACTGCGTGCGCGCTGCTGGTAACTGCCTAGCCAAGGCCCGCATGGTGCTGGAACAGACCGGCGATATCGAGCTGGAGGCCATTGATGAGGAGGGTGCCTCGTCGACCCAGGTGCCGGACATTGTCACACCCCAGGCTCAGGAGCCAGAGCAACTGCCACAGCAACCAGAAGAACCAGCCAAGTCGATGGAGACCAGTGAATCGACAACACCTGCCGAGGCCGTGCCCCCGCCCGTCGAAAAGGACGACAGCAAGATGGAGAAACAGGAGCTCTCGTTGCGCCTGCCTCCGCCGCCGCTGCAAATTCCAAACTCGACCTACTCGCCGTCGACGCCTGGACTGACCGATGCGACCACCCCCTCCTCCTTCCACTCACATCTTTCCTCGCACCCCTCCACTCTTTCCTCTCTTCCCAACTCTGCCACCCTCCCCACCCATTTTGAAAAGATGTCCCAATCCTTCTCTTCATACGAAAGCGGCTATCGCGAGAGTCACAAGTCCGACGGCGAATCTTTTGGCCGAGGTGTGACAAGCACGGGTAGCAGCTTCACCTACAACAGCCACACACGCGACTCTGAGATGAGCGGTGTTTCGCAGACCTCCACCCGGGCTACCTCGCCGGACATTGGGGGCAGCTTCAGCGGCAGCTTCCAAGGCCCCTCCCTAAAGGAGAGTGTCAGCCACTCGACTTTGGCCGAGGAGAACGAGGAGACCGAGGCCCACCTGCTGGAGAAGACGTTTGCTCACGAACTGGTCTACCGTGAGGGCCAAGTGACTGGCGGCAGTCTGCGTGCATTGATTGAGAAGCTCACAGCCCACCAGTCGACCCCGGACGCTGAGTTCGTCTCCACTTTCTACCTCACCTTCCGTCTCTTCGCGACACCCATGGAGTTCGCCGAAGCTCTTGCCGAGCGTTTCGACTACATCGGCGATACTCCTCATGCTGCTGGTCCAGTTCGGCTGCGCGTGTACAACGTGTTCAAGGGCTGGCTCGAGTCTCATTGGCGCCACGACCGGGACAACACTGCCCTGGACTTCATCATTAACTTCGCCAAGACGAGCCTCATGAACGACCTTCCCTCGGCTGGCAAGCGTCTGGTAGACCTGGCTGAGAAGGTGTCTGCTGTCCATGGCCCTCTCGTCCCCCGCCTGGTCTCCTCTATGGGCAAGACGAACACCGCCATTGCTCAATACGTTCCTCCCGATACCCCTCTCCCTCCCCCAATCCTCAGCAAGAAGGAAAGCAACATGTTGAAGCAGTGGAAGGAGGGCGCGGGCTCGATCACTATTCTGGATTTTGATCCTCTCGAGTTGGCCCGGCAGTTGACTCTCAAGGCGTCTCCCATCTTCTGCTCTATCCTCCCGGAGGAGCTTCTCGACACCGAGTGGGCTCGCAAGTCTGGCTCGCTGGCTGTGAACGTCCGCGCCAGCTCGACCCTGTCGACCGACCTCACCCACCTGGTGGCCGACTCCATTCTGCACCTCGAGGAGCCCAAGAAGCGTGCCGCCATAATTAAGCACTGGGCTAAGATTGCCAGCAAGTGCCTGGAGCTGAACAACTATGATTCTCTCATGGCCATCATCTGCTCCCTGAACTCGTCTGCGATCGCCCGTCTCCACCGGACTTGGGAAATCGTCTCACAGAAGACCAAGGCCACCGTGGTCCAGCTCTCAACTGTTATGGATAGCGGTCGCAACTACGCAGTCCTGCGCCAGCGTCTGCAGAACACTGTGCCGCCGTGTCTGCCATTCGTTGGAACTTACCTGACTGACTTGACCTTCACTGATCACGGCAACCCGTCTCTCCGTTCCCTGCCGACGGATGATGGCAACACCGCCGTCATCAACTTCGACAAGCATATGAAGACTGCTCGCATCATCAGCGAGCTCCAGCGGTTCCAACACCCTTACCGCCTGACTGAGGTCCCTGAGCTGCAAACCTGGATCCAGAACGAGCTCGTGCGTGTCCGCGCCAATGCCGAAATCGCTGCAGGCGCCTACTACCGCCGATCTCTCGTTCTCGAGCCTCGTCCCTCACAAAGCGCATCCAATTTGCAAGCCCAGTCTCAGTCCCAGACCGAGTCTAACCCCCCACCTTCCATCCTCGACAACGCGAAGGACAAATTTGACTTCCTCGCCTGGACCCACGCGTCTAAGCCCAAGTCAATTGCCACCAACGGCTAATTTGGAGTCGAGTGTTTTTCTTCATGCTTTATACCCTCATCTGTCTTCTCCCTCACATTTACGACTTAATGACTCTACCTTTGCTTTGGTTCACTGGTGTCTTCCACATTTTCCGACCATTTCGTCTGTGCTGGCTGCATGGTTTCTTCATTTTACCTGCTACATGTTCTGTGAATATCTTTTTTAGTACTGAGTTTTTATCTTCGGGCGGCGCTCGTCTTGTTTTGTTCTCACCCCGCGGGGAATCGGCATCAGAAAAGCGGCTTTGGGATTGGGTCCTGGGACAAAAAAGGAGTATTCTAGGACCTTTCGTTTTTCTTTTTCTTTTCTCTGGGCTCGGGGTATGGTTTTTGCTCTGCATGAGCATGGTTTTGTGAATCCTTTCGTAGTAGAAAGGATTAGCCTCACGGCTTCTGTACAAGTGCATGATTAAAAGCTGCCTGGAATGCAATACGCTTTTATCTATTATTCTAATCTATCTTGTAGTCTTCTGTCTCGTAGTCTTCTCTTGTAACCTCTAACTCCGTCTATCAATCCAATGCATGTCTATCTTTTCTGTCCCTTGCCTATTGATATTGTCAACCAGGCCCGTGATATCTCCATGTCTAAATGTACATCCTTCCGGCCGTAGAGAAAGGAGTGACTTGCTTGGTTTCACCGTAAACTGCTACTTATCCCAGACACCACGTAAAGGTGCAAGTCTTGTCTGGGTGACCTCCCCTGAATGGAAGGCCCGTACCTGATGGATGCCCGTACGGGTGGGCTTGTGATGGGACTTTCCACCCTCGCACCCTACGCGGGGCAAGGGTCGGGAAGGGTGCGGTGGTGTACTTGTCCCTGTGGATGTGGTAATGAATGTGATTTTGTGGTAACGAGTGTGATTGCAGAAGTAGGTTGTAGAGACAGTGGTGGTTTTGTTGTAGTGATGAGACTGATTGTGGCCGTAAGAACAGTGGTTGGTGTGGTAATGATGGTGGTTGTACCCTGTCGGTAGAGACGGTGTTGATGCCGGTAAAGACCGTGGTAGAGACCGTGATTGTTGTTTTAGTGGTCCCGGTAAATAGTGGAAACCCGGCCAGGACAGTGATGATTACGGTAAGGATAGTGGGTGAGACAATTTCGTTGTAGTGATAATTCCGGTAATGAAAGTGGTGATGATCTCCGTTATTTCGGTAGAGACAGTCGGAAGATCATAGTTCGAAATGTTGTAGTGTTCCGGTAATGACAGTGGCGACTTCTGTAAGGGCAATGAAAGAGATCACTCTGGTCACCGTGGCAATAGTTCCGGTGGATACAGTGAGAGTGATCTCTGTGATTCCGGTAAGGACAGTCGGAGCGTCGTGATATGGTCGTACCAAGATAGTTGTAATGATTTGACAATGGTGATAGTTGTCGTCGGATGCATGCCCGTTGGTGAATACAGTTTGGCTGAAAGTTGTCGATGAACAACAGATGGAAGAGTCGATTTGATTTGTCGTTTTTATTTTTCAAGGTGGTTTTGGTCTTTGAAATGACCACTCCCCAGGAACGGTATAAACAGCAGTGCGTTTTCCCCTAGATGGCAAAGTCGGTAAAAAAGGTAACCATCACAATCGGAATGCTTTGGCAGGATTTTGTCGCTTCCGTCTTTTTTTTTGTGTTTTGCACCAACGCCGGCGTAAGGCATTGGCTGCATGCAAAGTTGAAAATAGAGCTGAACCGTCTCAGAGGGTAGCTTGGAGTCAAGAGGGATTTCCCCGCGAGTTCTTCCCATTCTTCTTCGGCGATGCTAGGCATCGGAACAGTGCGGGTGGTGTCGCCTCGCACTACCGGCAGGGCCCATTGGATCAGACTGCCCATATTGGCGTGGAGGTTGCTGGCTGTAAATGTTTGAAGCTCGGTGTTTTGCACCTGAGCTTGTCATCGAAGTACCCCGTGATGACGCGGGCTTGGCCGCCAAGGTAGACGGACACCACAAGGACCTGTTGATGCCAGAGTCGATGAGATGGGATGAAAGTGGTCTCCTTTGGGGGAACACTTACTGGAACCATGTGGTGCGCTCTGTTGAAGATCTTGACTTCCCGGCCCTTTTTTCCAACAGCGACACGTCATGGTCCTTTTGACCATTGTGAATTCCAGCCTCATTTCTTCGAGCATGAGTCGGACGAGGACTTGCAGCTCGGTGGTTGTCGGCTTCTTCGGATCGGGATATGCTTTGGTCTCCAAGAGGACGATGCGGTGGTTGTGTCGTTCTTCAACCACGTCGTGGACTCGGCGGATGAGACACGGGGATTTCTTGCCGTCGATTTGGAAGTGTTTCCCCCGTGGTCGTTGTTTCCTGGATGAGCGTTAGAATTCGTGTTGTGAGGTGAGAGTAGCAGAAAATGAAGACTTACTTATCAGGCCGCCATTCGTAAGGCCCTATTTCCGGAGACCTCCAATTCTCGATACTGGCGGCTGATTGCTTTGTCAATTTCGTCTGCAAGTGCCAGACCCAGTTGTTTGTCCTTTTCAGTAGCGGACAACCCCTCAGTCTTGCGGAAACGGCGTTTCAGCTTGATCATGTTGGTCGTTTGCCTCACCAGGCGCAGGTTGCAGCGGCGAGCGAAGTAGGAGGTGGCGGTTCTGGGCGTGTCCCCCGTTTAGAAGTCTAGGGGATTTATTTCGATGCAGACTTTCATACATTCTTCTGGGATGATGTCGTCCCCAATTGCCTCCTGCAGGTAGACAAGGGTGTTGGAGATGGTTCCTGTTCGCTGTTGGTGCTGAAGCACCCACAGCGGGGAAACGCGTTTTTTTTGGGATTCGAGGGTACACTGTGACTAGAGGGATGAGGAGCGAAAGGAAGAGAAACAAGGGCGACATAGATATCGTTTTATGCCCCTTGCAAGATCTATTATGCCTATTTGGAACAGTACCTAGAAAAGGGAAAGTACAAAGGAATCGTAGACGAACTGAGCTTAATTTAGATTCTGACCTGGCTCAAACCTTAAGGTAGATCTGAGCTTCTAGAGAGAGATCTATCAATGAATAGCTCATTTTAGCATCACAATCATACCAACGTAACACTGACCTTGCTTATACTATGATGGACAAGTTGGCTGGTTGACCTTATCAGTTCCGATGAGTTTACCAGTGCGACTCTCTTTTCCCATATGATCAGCAATATACATAAGTGGAAATGAAGCCTGAATGAATGAAACCACGCAAGAAAATAAGAAATTCGATTACAAACTCAGCAGATAACGCTAGAGAGTCAATTGACCCGAAGAATGAAAGGGCGATGACCACGGCATAACCAGCAGCGGGACTCAGTAGCTCAAAAGACAACCCTTTTCCAACAGCTGGAGCTCAAAATTCACGATAGAGATATTCTAATATTATGATGAGGTGTTCGTCGTACTATGCTTATTCAGGAAGGCAACGCCGCGGATCCGCGGACTACTCCGGGCTGCGGCAGGCACAGCCTGACGAGGTATAACAGGTAGCCCCAATCCCGGATTAATGACCATATGAGTCAATTTCGAAAATATTTGTTTTTTTGAGATCTCTATCTTTATCCCGCGTCATGTCCAACGAAGCGCTCCAAGAAACCAACAATAAAGCCCTTGGTACCGCCGCGGGCACGTTTCCGATCGTCACACTACCCGACGGACGCAAAGTACCCACCGGGACGGTCGGTGCCCTACTTGTGAATATCAAGGCCTTTGATGAGGGATTTGATGAGGGGAGTGAAGAGGATCGCGTTAGACTCGAACTGGCAATTCGATCCGCAATTCCAACTCTACACAAAATTGGCATGTTCGATCTTTTTGCCCCGGACGAGTGGTTTTCTCAGTCAAGCACCGGGCGCAGTTTAGTGGGCCAATTGGCGAAGGATTACATTGCGTAGGTTTCGTGCTGGAGCTGCTCTGCCGAGCTTTTACTGACGTATTTGAGCCAGGTTTGGCAAATGACTTCAGTTTCAAGGCTGAATACTTGGGATTCATTATCTACTGTCCTGGGGCGTAATTGAAACCTGTGTATTATTTAAATTGCGCATTTAGTCTGATTTTATGAGTACGCAGTCATAGATTGGACGAATAAACACGGAAAATGAGACTGAATGTCATATGGGATGAATGTACTCCGCATTTTGCGAATTGCGGGGAAGTAGAAGCCAAGGCGTTGACAGCGGCCCGCAACAGCGATCTGAGGCTGTGAAGGGTCCGAGATGCCCTCAACTACTTTCTGAGACAATGTGACCGGGATAAGGTCGTCGGTGCAACCATTTTAGAGCCATGGAGTATCGCTGTGGTCAAAATAATTATTCTAATTCTATCCAAAATGCATCGCAACACTGCTTCTGCAGTACTAGTTGCACTTTATCGTGGCGGAACTAGCAAAGCCATTTTCTTCCACGAGAATGTGTACCTTCAGAGCCAGGAATCGAAAGAGACCGTCTCTTGAAGCGGCCAATGGACTCCCCAGATCCGCTTCTAATTGATGGAATGGGCGGATCAAAAGCGGTGACGTCGAAAATTGCTATTGTCAACAAGTCAGCACGAGAAGGCATAGATGTGGATTATACATTCATGCAAGTTGGGATTGCAGACGACACCATATCTTACGGAGGGATCTGCGGTAAAACATCTGCGGCAGTTGGCCCTTTTGCGATCGATGAAGGGCTGGTTGAGTTTCGGCCTGGAACTTCTATTGACCAGAGACAAGAGCGCAGGAAGTGAGAATACTCAATACCGGAACGAGGAATACGATTATTGCTCAAGTGCCTGTCGATGTGCATGGTGCCTTTTTGGCTGAAGGAAACTATGAAATTGCGGGTGTACCGGGAACGGCGAGTGCGATTTTACAGGTCTGTAATTCTCCACTGAGGTTCACATTGAGAGGAACACTGATGAAGGACAGCTATTCTGTCAGAAGGGATCATCCCAATAGGAGAGTCAATCAATGCCGTGAATACCAGAAGCAAATATATCGAAATCACCATATGAGACGTCGCAAATCCATCGTTTTCGTCAGTGCCAGCGACTTTCGCATCACAGCCCACGAAAGCGCCGCCTACTTAACGGCCAACGAAAAGCAAACGAAATGCCAAGAATTACGGGGAAAAGTAGCTGTCCTGCTAAAGTGGACCGACGACTGGAAGACGTAGGATCAAATCTCTCCATTTGCACCTCTCCCGATATCCGTTGCTCCCCCACACAACTCCTCTCAGGGCCTCAGGGCCATGTAGTCGCGCGCCTTTTCTTGGGATAAAATGTGTCATAAGAGCATGGCTGGAATAGGTGCTGTCTGTACTGCGGCTTGCAGCCGCGTCTCGGGGACTATAGTGAATCGTGTTATTGGCAACGCTGCGGACTTGGATACCCTGGATATCATTCATCTCATCGGGGTTGCGTTCATAAGGAAGATGCCCCGGGGCAAGATGGACTGCCTGGTTTTCTGTGCCCTTTCTTTTGTCAGGACTGCACGCCAGATTATGGACAGGACTGCCTACATTTCGGGGGGATTCGCCCCCGCAGGCCGACGCGTAGGTTGTTGTTGGATAATTCCTTGTACTTGAGGTGCTTGCTTCTGCTCGAGATTGTGATCAGTCTGATACTGCATGATTTTTCTGCCATGCAATGGCTGTACCTGAATATTTTGTTTCAAAATCGTCTCAAGCCGTGTCATGATACTTCTTTCAAAGACACATTGTCAGATCTGAATCTTTCATTCCGAGAACTTTATCTCGCTTCTTATTTCTTCTTCCAGCACACTCAGTACTAGATTTTCGTTGAGAAGGGTGAAGGGTGGCTTAGAAATTTCAGCCCGTATTTTCGTGTGCAACACAACACCCATGACCTTCGCACTGAGGGGTTGAAAGTGATCTATCACATACTCTGATGGGCGGGATGATGATCCTTGCATGAACACTCCGCCACCTTCCTAAACTGCCCGTGCAACGAAAGCTCCAGATCTTGAGTAACTATGTATGCAAACTGCAAATGCAAGGGATACATCTAATCCGTTGGAGGCGCAACACGAGGCTTGTGTTACTGTGAAGTCCAGAGACAGTAAACGACTCAGTTGGGACTAATCGGAAGCAATTTCTGTCATGCAGTTTTAGAGGGCCGGGCTCATGGCTTGCATGACGAGTGTGGTTCATGCGGGTTTATGCAGCCTTTGCTGACTGAGCGTTGATGATGTGGCGGGCTGATGTTGAGCATGTATTCTTTTGATGTGTCCTTACAATGAGATCGAGATTTTATCGCATGGCATCAAGTGTGCACGCATTCTTGGATATTCTTACCATATGGTACCGGCTTCATGCGTACTTGTATTCTGGTTCCGCCTCGAAAAAGAAATCTAGCTTGGTAACCATTGGCCAAGAGTAGGTGTGCACAAATGTAATTGTTTTTCAGTAATGTACAGAGGTATCATGTTCATGACCATGGAAATTCAACTTCCGTATCTTTGCTTGAAAGCCTGTAAAAAGCCCAATTCATCATGCTCGTGCTCGTGCGCCATAATCCTAGCATCAGAGACAGGTGCACGGGTTTCAGCTTCCGGCCGCAAGTCGAGAATGGGAACCATCGACGGCCGCCCATGAGCACACTGAAACGGAAATGCGCACCGAGATAGCCGAGAGAGTAAAGTGTTGCACTCATCGATACTCAGTGGGTCGTTGAACATGATGGCACCGCGGCAGGCGCGAGAATTGAGAAGATCGATTATGCCTTGAGGGCAGCCGCTCATTTTCTGCACCCACTGATGTGATGAGGTGTTCTCGGAAATGGCGTCTTCGGCGTCCTCGAAGGGGAAAGAGCCATGACCATGGTATTTCGTCCTCAAGGATTTATTGGATGGGTTGTGCGGGCCTCTGTCATCCTCTTCGCTAGTCCAAATTTCCCGACGGAGCAAGTCGATAACCACGTTATGTTCAAGGCGACAGCGTTCGGCAATAAGCAAAGGGAGTGTTGTTACGGAGATGGTTCCTCCTAAGGCTGTTGTTTCGACAGCGTACTGAACACCCCATTTTCCGAAGAACCCGAGATATTTCCTGAATAGTGCCTGCTCCGACATCCCAACACTGAAGGTTATTGAGTCGACTTCAGTCGTACGAACTGCATTGAATTCACCCGATTCTTCCATCGGGAGAAACATTTCCTCAAACAGCTGTTCGACTCGACATCGCTCGTCTGCTGCGTGTTGATCGACCAAAACCAAAACATTCTCCGAGTCACGATAGCCGGCCTCGGAAGCACCGATTTCAATCTTCGTGAGAATGAATTTCTGGTCTACCTGGGCGATGATGGTCGCCTCTGCAAGGGAATTTCGATGGAGTTTTCCTCTGAATCTAGCAACATGAGTAGCATCTAGAGAATCGATGCTGTGAAGACAGTTGTGTGAAGAACCAGCAGCGTTCAGGTAGTCCGTGCCGATTTCAAGATTCGAAATTGGAAGCTCTGTTCGGCGGAAAGTAGGATTTTCCCATGCATTCAGCAAGTTGTTCACCCATGAATTTGTAGCCGGGGTGGAATCTGGTCGTGATGTTTCGGGATGAGACTCTGTGTGGGGAGCAGCGAAGCGACTGCCAGACCTCATCCTGGGCCCAAAGCTTGAGTCTTGAGGATCAAGTGTCTGACCTGTTCGACCATTGATCATATGGCGTTTCCCCGTTTGCGGATCTGTCCATGGTATATGGTCGTTCGTAGGCGCCTCGGATGTATTTTCCTCATGCTGTCTTGTGCCGCCTCGAGGCCGTTCCGGTAGGAAGCGTGATTGCATATTCTCACGTAAATCCTGACTATTCGTAGCGTTTCCTCTGTCCTGAGGCTCAGATGTCTGATTTGTCAGGTCTTTGGCGGATTTGACTCGAGACCAGCCATCGAAATGCGGACTTGAACTGACAGTCTGAGATCGTTGGAAAGCTGGCAACCTGACTCTACTGCCGAAAGTCTCGCCAGCACTCAATCCATCGGCTCCTTTCTTGAAACTGACTACTGTTTCCGCATTTCTCTGACCAGTATAAACCTTGGACTGTTCATCCCGCTCAGACGACCGAGTCTGTCGCTTTGAGACACGAGGGCGTAGCTTCTGCTGTTTGAGAAACTCCACGATCATCACGCCAAGAACGTCTAGAATTCGCTGGAGGGGTTTTTCAGAGTCTGGAGAGACATCTTCAGTATCGTCACAGAGCGACTGAGCCGAACTGGTCTCAATCCTGACATAAAACATCGGCCATTTGTTTACGGGCTTGGGCCAACTTCTGCTAGTCATACTGGTCTCTGAGCGACCGGGCACGGGGGAAAGCACAGATGCAGAGGTATCGCGAGATAGTGTGTTTCCAAAGTCCGAAAGCGATATCAGCCTGTTGACTTCGTTGAACAATAAATTGGAACCATTGCGCGGCAGAACAGGCTCTTTTCCCAATGAGATGAACTGAAGCTTTTTGGAGGGGCTAGGCATCGTTGAGATGGCAGCACAGATACTGAGGTCGGGGACTGTGGCAGAGAGAATATGCCATGCATCCATACTTCGAGAGGCGATCATGCCGGATTGTACAAGAATTGAGCCAATTCTTTCCAAATCCAGCTCATTTCTCACGGAATTGTTGTTCTTCGGGCGTATAGAAAATCGCTTGCCTCTTTCAACATCGGTAAAGGTCAGCTTTGAGAGCTGAGAGCTGCATAACAGGAGAGAAACCAGTGAATATCTGAGAGAATCCCACTCTCGCTCCAGCTCATCTGACCTTTGAAGAGCTAGCGCCCTGCTCTTTACCCGTACCGGCATGTTGCCAAACAAATCATTGACCGTGACACATGTTCCGTGGTCGCCAACCCGGATATTCTGGTGTGCTGGCGCGGGAATCAATCGTGCGACAGGTTTCGAGTGGTGGAAAATGACTGAACTAGTTGTTGCATCTTGCAAGTGACGAGACGTAACAGTCACCAATGACAACGATGCCAGTGAAGCCAAAAACAGACCTTTATGACCGTATGCACTTGTGCTTTGGAATTTCGAGGTATCTGTCGAGCATCAGTAGGCCGAACCCACTGTCAATTACGGGTTAGTACATACGGTGGGCTTTTCCAAGTCCGCCATCGACCTCAAATTCAGCCCGTGGAATCCCATCGCCATCATCTTCGACTATACAGCTTCCACGTTTGAAATCGACGGAGATGAGCACCGTGCGAGCGTTGGCATCCAATGCATTCTTCACCAGCTCGATGACCACGCCATTCAAGTGGGTAATTGAAGTGGATGATTTGATTTTTGCAACCACGTCAGGCGGGAGTGGGTAAATATCTCCAGATGGAGGCATGGCAGGATGAAACCTGGCCCAAACGTCGCGTATTTCTTCAGCAAGGCATGGCTTCCCTTGCGTCGGCGGGTTTATTCCAGAGACGGCATGAATTGCGCCAAACCGTCATAGCTATCAGATTAACCAGTCGTAATTTGCGAAGCGACCAGCAAGAATCATAGCTGGGATAAGGTTTCCGGATGTAAGCGAGTGGTTGTCAAGTGAAGAAAGTGAAGGCAACGATTGACATCAAGGACGGGCACATGATCTCATCCGGAACAACAGTCATCCCGCACTCTCCTTTGCCTCGGCGGAGTGAAGCTGCTCTCACAACAACCATCAAATCGACCCCAACGCGAAGTTCAACCTCCTGCACCAGGTTTTTCTGGACCCGCGATGGCTACAGCTGAAGGCCTTCCCCGGGCGCACGGTAAGCATCCTCTTCCCAAAGCGCGGACCCCCTGGAAGACACTGACCCGCTGGTTGGGTATACACATAGATCGCAATGGTCGCCGCCGCCCATTTTCCAGCTGGATGAAGCGTCTGGCTAGTCTCAAGGGCTCTTCTGAGTCTGGGAGCAGCCGTTGGTCCCATAAACGACACACAAACACCAAATCGAAGAAGAGCGCAGGCCAAGACAATAACCCGTACCCGCTGTCTGGTACAATCAACCGCCCGAACCAAAACGACTCCTATTCCGAGGTCGGGGAGCGTGATGGCCAAGGGTCGCGTTCGCGAAGTGATCCTTCTCTTGTGTATTCTGGCTACGAGAACCCCATTCCTGCGACAAGCGCCAAGTCAAACGCTCCTACTGTGTCGACCAACGATGACACCGCACCCTCCGACGCTGGATACTCCAAGGCAGGAACATTGGCTACGGGAGGGGCAGGGACTCAGGGTGGAGGTGAGGGAAGCACGTTCTCGTCGCCGGCACCCTCGGTGCGATCGTTGACTACGACGTTGACGACTGTGCAATCGGCGGCACCATCCACTCAGTTATACCCCGCGCCGAACGCACAACAGGGTCAGACACACGGCAACGGCAACTCGACCCAAAGCTCCACCAACCAGCAGGTCCAATTCTCGCACCAATTCCCTACTTCTTCTTCGCCCGCTACTGCCGTACCTCCGCATGTCATACCCCACAGTCATTCCATGACTTACAGCACTGCTACCGCCAACAATGTCCTCACCGATAACGCATCGATCCTGACCTTGGCGAGTTCCTCCAAAAGACGCCGCCGCAACTCGTTGGATACCAATGCCTCCGTCCGTGCAATGGCGCCGTCTTCAATCTTCGGTGGCAGTCGCGAAAGTCTTCCGTTGAGCGTTCTCAGTGGCAACGTGGCCGAGCCATCCAACACCTCGGCTTTCAATTCCCAGGGTGTCCCCAGCCGACCCAGCGTGGTTGGCCTGGCCAGCGCTGAACGCATCAGCGTTTACTCGTCGTCTGGTACGGCACCCATGGCTGGTGGCTCTGGGGAGCGAGGCAGCTTCTACACATCCAAACAAAACCCCACCACTGGCGATGGAGCGAGCATTAGGAGTGGCGCACCATCGCATGGTCGGAACGACAGCACTGCTGCCAGTATCACGGGTGTCGGCAGTCCTCTGGCCATGACCTCCGGCCGTGTCAGCCGTCGCAGCTCTGGATGGGGTGAGATAGCCGGCGACGAGGAAGAAAAGGGAGAAATTCGCGAAGAAGACGACAACAAAGATGCATCTCCACCTGGAACCAGACACGAGAACAGCTTCAATGGAGAACCAAAGATGAAATAATGACCACCTGGGAAAGTGGCTGCCAAGGCTTGGTTACTCCAACTCATGTTTCAAAAGATGATGATCAAGACCATCCAACGATGTTACGCAAACGGCCCTTCGAGGGATACACATACCTTCGCATGGAGATATATCACTAATGAATTGACGCATGGAAATCGGCAAACTGGGATTCGCGTGGTTTTTTTTGTTTTTTTTTTCTGGAGGTGTTTCTATTCTTTTGGGCGTTTCTTCTTCTCTAGGCGGGATTTTGATACCCTCTGCGGTATGCTTAGGTTGATTTTTGTTTTGCTTTTACTTCTATTCGACGTATACATTAACTTTCAAATTGAGCCATGTATTCATATGATTCAATGACTATCTAGTCTCAATACCTAGACGTTCGTGTTTTGTATGTTTTGTGCGAGGCGCCATGGATTCCACTGGATGTCCAGAGCGGCATGTCACCTGATTAATCCGCAAGCGTGTTGGGTGTTGAGGTTCCAGGATAAGGCACTGAATTGATGCCTCATTCCCAACCTCTGTCGGCATGCCTGTCCAGGGAAACCCGAGGCACTGAGCTTGATATGCGTTTCAAGCACTCTTGCCGACATTATATTCTACTTCAGGGGATCTTCATGGAAGAACACTGATCGAGACCGATTATGAAGGGTTTACTACTGTCAGGGGCTTGGCGCCCGTTCAGGGATAAATACCCCCAGAATCGCATGTAGACAGTTCGATACAGTCAAGTTCAAGTTCTGTCAAGTTCGATTTGTCTAGCAGGCCCTTATTCAATATTCAGTGCTTCGTCGTAGCCCATCTCAACATTGGGCCCGAAAAACCAAGCCTGTTACTTCTTGTGGTTTGTCGTCCTCAATTTTTTTTTTTTTTCTTCTCAGTTCTCGCTCATCCTCGCTATTGGGACGCGACCCGTCGCCGAATGACCATCGGCATGTCATCCTGGTACACAAACCAAGCATTCCGATACGTCCACTCATGCTCTGGATCAACCAGTTAAATCTAAATCTCATCAGTCAGCGCATCGCATTTCAGTATTTTCGAATAAACCGGACCACTCACATCAAACTGATTGTACAAGGTCGCAATCAACTTCTTGATTTCCAACATAGCCATATATAACCCCATGCAGACACGACCACCTCCCCCGAAAACAAAATCGACGGTATCCTTCATACGTCTGGATCGGGACTCAAACTGCTCGGCACTCTCGCTCTCACCTTGCAGCCAGCGGCCGAGATTAAAGGTGTCTACATCGTCTCTGAAGATAGGTCCGTACCTGTTCGTCACAGCGGAGTTGATTCCGACTTTCGTGTCCGCTGGCAGATATCTACCTCCAGCAGAGTGAACCCGCCCTCTGGCACAACACGTTAGAAATCATCTCGATATCGAGGTTGATCGTAAAGGTAGTAAGATCCCAGATGAGCCTCCAGAGCGTAGGAGCCGGGAGAGAGGCTTCTTGCAATTCGCCGACGAGTCTTGAAGAAGCCGAGGGCGACTTGGCCAGGTAGTAGAGAATGGCGCGCATGATGGCAGAGCTGCAGCCAATTCAAGATTTGGTGGTCGCTGACCATGTCCGGAAATGTTTCTTTTAGCTGCAAGTTTTGTGAAGCGTGTGGTCGACCTCGCCAGCGATGATGTTCTTGGAGGCCAGTTAGGCTTGATATTCAGCGACTACCTTGAAGGCGTACAGAATCCCGGTTAGTGTGGTCTTCGGGCCGACGCGCTTGATCGGGTTCTTGTCGAGGAGACTGTCCATAGGATTTGGGAGACTTGTGAATTTTACAAATAATGCCATTAGCTTGTCGCGGTGCGGGTTGCTGACTAGGAAGTTTAGGGTGTCTTATCGGTGCGAAGTATATTAAGCCAGCGGTGAAGTCGTTGATCAAATTATCATGATACTTATCCTGGTCAATGAAACCGTAATGGCGACCGAAGCTGAAGTTCGCAGTAACATCCTATGCGACTGACTCGAGTTAAAGAATGCGGCTCTTTGCCGGGACAGGATTCGATCACATACAGAATCCAATCCACTCGTTTGCGGGACACGTCTTCCCTGTGTTCTCGCAATCGACGAATCTCAGCAGCTTCTCCACGAACTTATCCAGTGTTTCGTCGATCAAGGGTTCATACTCCAGAACCTTGGTCATGTTTCATAGACTGCGAATCAAATGGATGTTCTGATTATGCCAATCCTCATTCTGGGTGTTGAACAGGTTGGACATGCGGTGGCCTTCGTTAAGAACATCGTTCGGTCGGTACATGTCACTCTGCATTCATTATACACGTCAGTTGACATGCGATCCAAGAGTTGGAGAGGGTTATGACAATACCTTCTTCCAAGGATTGCGCGTCGAATAGATGATCCGAATCAAATTCGGATCTGGAATGCTCACGCAATTGGAACCAATTCGCACTGCAGTGCCATATTTTCGATTCAGCTCGATATCCGTTTGATCTACCCGACCTCGAAACATGCGAATTGCTCGCCAGAAGTCGGTGCTCTTGGCGAGTATTGGACTGGGGATAGCTCTCAGCGACGAGAGGAAGATATCCCAAACGAGCTTGGTCAGGACCAGCAGACCACAACCCCCTGCTTTCACAGGTCGCCAGGAAGCGAAACAAGTAGTGCCATTGTCCTGGTTGATGCAGGTGCAGTATCCTGGATCACTCGCAGAGGCTCGGAGGAAGAGGGATTGCAAAGCGCTTCAAAGTTCAAGACATCTTAAGCGTGATTTAAGTGCAGGGCACATGGCTCTCCGCAGCTTCTGACAGGCTACGAGGTACCCTGGTTGTTTAGGGCCCCAGGTGAGGAGCGGAAACAGAACAAGAGGTCACGGTGGGCGACAAAGTACCCCGGGACTCCGTGTTTCTATGTATCTTGGATAGACTAGGGAAGTCTTAGTTGGTTATAGTTGACTTCGTAGCTCGCCGACGCGGGGCAGAGTGGGATGTGGGGACGGGAGATGTTTTCATCGGTGCGGTTCCTGGCTAACCTCAAGAGACAGATTTCAAAAAGAAGGCTTACAGAACCTTCATTTTGATAGCAGTGTTGGCCTGGCATCAGCGGACTCTCGCTTAGTCTCGTCTTTGCCCATTCTTTGCTCCTTTCTACGGAGCGCAGCTTCGGATAGACCCGAAAATCTCTAGAAATGGCTTCGCAACGATGAGGGTCCGAGTCTTCGACGAGCTTCTGGAACGGGATCGCGTCGAACGTGTTGGTGGCGCATCCTTAATGTGACATATCCACAGTGGCTTCTGTAAGCGAAGTCAGCATCATGACGTCTGTCGCGTATGTGATATGTGGATGCCCGATGGAAATCCTTCTGCAGGATCCTCGTCCCCGGTCAATACGAAGATGGACCCGCTCGATCAGATGCTTGAGAACTCCGAATCAACAATTGTCCCTGTCGTGTCCCCGGGGATAGTCCTGCAGTGCTAACTGAGCTAGTCTGACGGCAGATGGCAGTCCAGATTAGATGCTGAAATATCTTTTCTTCTATTCATCCTGGAGATAACACAGGTAGAGCCTCTTTTTCCGCGAGTCCGTATTGAGAACCGTGACTGTGTGAGAATCCAGAGCTTTCTGGAGGCTTCTCCAGCTGAATCCTACCTGGCCGAGAGCCGGGTCGCGACGGTTCAAGGGGTGATGTGGGTGATGACAATTGTTCCTCTGGTCTTTGTTGGCATGTGACTCAATGTCCGGGTGTTTTTTAAGCGAGTCTTTGGGTGGGACGAATTTATCATCTCCATTGCTATCGTGAGCACATTGCTTTGGCGTCGACAATCTTCATTATCTTGACATTGGGCTGACTTGACTTTCACTAGGGCTGTCTTGTTGCATATGCTGCCGTCTGTCATGTTGCCTCTAAGCCGAGACTAGGAAGACAACTCGCTGTGGTCGCTCAGCATCCCGACAACCTCAATCAAGTGGCTCTGTTATGCGATACTGGGAAAGTCTTGGTGATTTTGGCCTTCACATTGGGAAAGACATCATTCGCCGTGACAATGTTGCGATTCGTGGTTCACAGGTGGATGGTTGTCCTCTTGTGGTTTGTCATCGTGACCATGAATGTGGTCAATGTCCTCGCTGTATTGTTTGTTTTGTCCAGAGCAAAGACCCTCGACATGTGTGGAACCCTGCGATCCCATCAAATTATTGGCCATCTGATGTCTTTACTAATTTTTCTCTGCTTGTTGGAGGTATCTTGTGCCACTTTTCTTCTTGACTAGCCAGGATGTACTGACGTCGTGGTATTTAGCGTACTACGGTGCCCAGGATTTTGTCTTAGCTCTTCTTTCCTGGAAAATTATGTGGGGTCTTCAGATGATGAAGAAGAAGGAAAGGCTTGGCATTGCTTTTGCAATGAGCCTTGGTGTCTTGTAAGGGTATCCTTGAAGATTGCTCTGACCCAAAAAACTAAACCATTTTAGTGCCGGTCCGGTCTCCATCACTAAGACGACATACCTAGTCGCTTTATCCGCCAAGGCCGACTTCATCTGTGAGTGTCGTGCTACCATACTGTCGTGTGCTGCTTCACGCTAATCGGCTTTTCCACAGTGGAACTTGCACCCATTGTCTGGGGGCCGCCGTTGAAGATGGACTGGCCATCACTGCCGCCTCGATCTCTGCCATCAAGCCCTTGCTCATAAGAGCCTTCCCTGGCTCGTCGACAGGAGAGCACTATAACATGATCTCCTACCCAACGAGACCATCGCAGCAGAAAGTTTTCGACATCTCACAGGGTGAGACGCATACTGATATCGGGCACACTAGCATTCATGACCGAGGCAGCCAAACTGCGATTCTTGAACTCGGTCACCAACAACCAAAATGGAATGAGAGAATCAGCATGACAACGGAGGTCTCAGTGACATATGTCCTTTCACCATGAGATAGATGTGTCAATATTTCGTCTTCGATCAAATGTGGTCGAGTGCAAGGCTTGAAATCGACGCTGACAAGGCACAGGGAAAATATAGTGTGATTATCTTGACGTGCCCACGACCCAGATAAACCCAGATTTTACCTTTTGCCTCTGAATCAGAGTTTGATCACAACCTCGTGGTCATCGAGTTTAAATTCCAAGCGAATTGGAATTGTTGATTTTTTGAACGGAACAGCTGAACACATCCCCAACATTCTGGGCTCTCGGCTCCTTGCTTACTTAGGCGGCTGCTGATTGGCCACACTAATCCATGGAGGGTGGCACATGGACCGAGCCTCGGGACTTGCGCCCACCTTTTCATTTCAAAACCACGTTGTGGCGGGGCGAAATATAGGAAACATCGCAGTCCTCTCCAGAAAGCGTTAGTGAGATGGAGAAATCTGTATCGTTAAAGAATTTAGAGATTTAGGGCCGCACAGCAGCCCTATTCGGTCTGGCGGTGTGCATGTGAACAGCTAAAAAAGCAATATTTGCGGACGAAGAAATTCATTCAATCGAACGATTTGTCGACGCTCGACAAGCAGCCGGTATTTGTCAGCTACAGTTTCCCCAGCCCGACCCTGCATAAAGGGTTCGCAGTATCGTACAATCGAATAGCCGCGAGTTCGTAGTTGAATCCAGCCACTGGCTGATCTTGGCAATCGCTCAGCCCCTGAGGAGATCACAGGCTGCCAGGAAAATGACAGTGAATAGAATTTCGCCTAAACAGAATGTAGTAAATGTAGTAAATGTAGTAAATGTAGAAAGATAGACGGAATCGGCCAAACCATCCCGCCGATAAAGTGTAGGCTCCGATCGAGCTCTGGTAGTGAATAGCTCCGCCAGGCGCCAACAGACGGTTTTTTCCGCGTACTCGGTTCCCATTTTTTAAAAGCCTCCTTTGCTTTGCGGCTAACCCACCACATTGTTTTCCTAGTCCCGCGCGCTGCATCTGGACAATTTCATCCACAACAACTTCAACAGCCATTGCAACCTTATCCATCCGACTGTCTCGTTCAAGGAGCACCGCCAAAATGAAGATGCCCCAGCCGCCCCGACCCAGGTCGGTCGCGATTGTGGGCACGGGCATGGCGGGCTTAACCACAGCGCATCTTCTGCATCGAGATCCCGAATCGCGATACGAGGTGACTCTACTCGAAAAGGTACGCTTCAGCATGCATCGTCGCGCGGCCCCCACGTCGATATAGTTCTCCAGCAGAGAGCTATGGGGGCCATCGGGGGCCAAAAGGACCCGATTCGCCGTCGAAATCGATCCCGAGATACTGACATCGACCCAACAGCAAGACAAAATCTCGCTGGCCGCGGAATCAATCGCCATTCCTTCCCGAGATGAGAAAAATCAACAGGTCTGGGCCGATGTGCCCATGCGTGCTTTCGCAGGTGGCTTTTATCACAACCTCATCCGCATGTACGACTACCTCGAGGTTGCGTACAATGCGCAGCCATTCCTTTTCAGCTTCACCAGATTGCCGCGACACCAGGAACCACCGTCAATCCCTTCTTGCATTCCTAGCCCGCAGATGGTTTACGCCTCGAACTTCCACCAGTTTCCTCCGGCACCCCGAACCGCGGATCTGGTCCGCTGGGCTGTGGAAGCAGTGTATGCAATCGTGTGCTACTGCTGGTTTACCATCTGCTGTTTCTTCATCGCGCCGTACGAGGAAGACCCGAAGACGGGAAGACTGTGCGAGTCGCTGGATGAATATCTCCGCCGCATGTGGATGCCCCGGCACTACGTCACGAATTACCTAGTGCCTCTCATCTCCAGCGTCTGCACATGCTCTCATGAAGAGCTCCTCTGTTTTCCCGCCTCCGACGTCCTGGCCTACAAGCGCCGAACCCATCGGCAGCAGCACTTCGTTGTCTCCGGCGGTGTGCAATCCGTGCAGGAAAAGCTGCTGAAGGGCATCAACGTGCGACTGGGCGCACAAATCACGCACGTCGCCCCAGATAAAACCGGCGTGCAGATTAAGTATTCGACGCCCGATGGGGATACCACTGAGAAGTTTGACCTTGTCATTCTGGCAGTGTCGCCTGATATCGCAGCGGCACTGTATCCATCACTTAGCTCTCAGTTATCGACGATCCCCACGACCACCGTTGAAACCATCGCCCACACCGACGAATCACTCATAACCCCGATGCTGCGTGCGACCTCCTCGGACCCGGCCTCCGACAAGGAACTGGCTGTCGGCCATGTGGTCCACGCCACACAACGCATCCACCTCTTCTCGGACGGCCATATCACCGAAGCCGTCCACGAACAACCCAACTCTATCCTGGTCACCACTAACCCAATCTTTCCGCCGGAGAAGTCGAAGGTCATCCGCTCGGCGCACTTCACGCGCGTCTTGCGGAGCCCGCGGAGTCGGGCTGTCATCAATGCGGTCTTCAAAGATCGCAAGTACGACCCGGCTCTGGCAAAGTCGGCTTCTCCATTCCCGTGGCGGAATGGAGACCATGGAGTCTTCCTGGCGGGTGGGTGGTGCTGGGATGGAATGGTGTTGTTGGAGGGATGCATTGTTTCGGCAATGCGGGTTGCCAACGCCCTCGGTGTGGAGGTTCCTTGGGATGAGGAGGCGTGAGGATAAGGAGGCGTGAGGATGAGAAGGAAGCCCGATGATGCCGAAGATACCCTATTATTATCATCATTTTTATGACTATTTTTGTTTCTATTTTACATCACTTTTTCTCGGGGCTTCTCTTCATTCTCTTATCTTTATCAAAAGCGAAGGCCATGGCGGGCCACGGACTCACGAATGTTCTCAAACATATCTACGCAATGAATGAACAATTTCATGACACAATTTCATATTAGCGATACTACTCCTTTTCCAAATGCTAATACTTCAGCCTCATTCCGTCATACCTCGAATACCTTGCCAGACCCCTCCCCCTTAGAACCCTACGCAAACATTGTCGAGTTCACACGGTAATGGGCACTGTTTCGAAGTTAAACTGAGTCATCCAATTTACGCCATGGACGGTGAAGCAGAAGGTTTGGCACGTCACTTACGCAGATGTTAGGACCAGTCGGGTTCGACTGAGGCGGGCAGAGATTCGAACTTAGGCAGCATCCAGGAAGAGGCCCATCAGCCACGCAGGTCGTACCGGTTGGACACTGTGCGAGAGTAAGAATGAGTTGGAGTCCATTTTGTGAGGAATTCGAGGGGAAGATAAGCTTACGCATACGCCTGCTGCAGGGCAGAAGGGTGATGTTTCTGGGCAGGATACGCAGCTGCCGTTGACGCAGCCACCGCCTCCCGGGCCAAGTGGGCACTGTTATGAGGTCAGCATGTTCAAAAGATCCACGATGAAGATAAATCAGCTCATACCGATAGGGAGCATCGGCCGCAGTTGTCCGTGTTGGAATCCAGGTCCACGCAGTTGCTATTGCAGCAGGCAGGGAGTGTGCCAACGCAAGTTGGGTTATCACATGAGCCACAGTGTGTTATACTGGAGCTCAGATCTGTGCAGGTACCATCGCAGCAAGCCGGAATCAGGCCAGGACACGGTAACGCGATGCAAGAGCCACAGTGGTTAAGATCCGTGCTAAGATCCGTGCAAGTTCCATTGCAGCAGGCTGGATCGACTCCCACACATGGTGCAGCCGTGCAAGAGCCGCAATGGTTAACATCTGTGGCAACATCTGTGCATGTGGAATCGCAGCAGGCTGGCATGATGCCCAGACATGGGATTGCAAGGCAAGAACCGCAGTGGTTCACATCCGAGCTCAAGTCAGAGCATGTGCCCAGACAGCAGGCTGGTCGGGCTCCGGTGCACGCTAGCGCAGTGCATGAGCCGCAGTGGTTGACGTCTGAGGCAAGATCGGTACAGTCGCCATTGCAGCAGGCGGGTGTTACGCCCAGGCAGGGGAACGCCGTGCAGGAGCCGCAGTGTAAGATATCGGAGCTGAGATCTGTACAGAAGCCTGTGCAACAAGCTGGATTTGCACCTGTGCAGGCGGGTGATTGGCAGTTTCCGCAATGTATAGGGCTCGAGGCGAGATCTGCGCAGGTGCCGTTACAGCAGGCGGGCAGTAAACCTGTGCAAGCTGGGGCTAGGCAGTTGCCGCAGTGGGTTATGCTTGTTGCGAGATCTGTGCAAGCTCCATTACAGCAGGCGGGTTGGAGGCCCAGGCAGGGGAGGGCTATGCAGGAGCCGCAGTGGTTGATGTTCGATTGTAGGTCTATACAGTTTCCAGAGCAGCAAGTTGCTGCTGTTGGAGGGCACTGTTGGGTTTAACTGTAAGGCCCATAATTTTTCGGTATCAGGGGGCTATTGTACTTACGACTGTCAAGCAGGTTCCGCAGTGCTGGGCATTGGAGCTCAAATCGGTACAAGTTCCGGAACAGCACGCTGGCTGAATTCCAAGGCATGGAAGAGCGAGACAAGCTCCACAGTGGTTAGGATCATTGGCCAAATCGACGCAACCTCCGAGACAGCAAGATGGCATTACACCCGTGCACTATAAAGCAGTTACGAGCAGTCCAACAATCACCAGGGGATATCAACAAACCGTATTGTTGCAAGTTCCACAATGTTCAGCATCGGTAGCGAGATCAGTACATTCGCCAGTGCAGCATCCAGGTAGCACTCCGATGCAGGGAGTTGCAGTGCAACTTCCGCAATGAAGGAGATCCGAATTCAAGTCCGAGCAAATACCTGAGCAGCAAGCCGGTGCTACGCCGGTACACTGATATCTTTTAATAAATGACATGTGGCACCTGTGATAGGTAGACTTACGCTTATGCCGCAAAGTCCGCAATTGGCCACCGAGGCAGTCAAATCCGAGCAGGTGCCATTACAGCATGCGGGCAGAACTCCGGTACACTATGAAGTCAGCTGTTAAGAAGTACATTGTTGGGAACTTGCGACTAAACATACCGCGACAGCGTTGCAAGACCCGCAATGCGTAAGACTTGTGGCTAAATCGGTGCAGGACCCCGAGCAACAGGCTGGGTCTAGACCCACACACTACAATCCCTGAGCCAACGAAGCCAACTGGAGTATTTTCCATGAAGAGCACTCACTGGGATTGCCGAACAAGTTCCACAGTGCAGAGTGGAAGAATCAAGATCAAAACAATTGCCGAAACAGCAGGCAGGGTTAACCCCGGTACACTGACATCAAATTATGTTTAGTATTTCATAATGTTCGCAAGCCAAGCCTAGAGACTGTAGTTGCTATAACTTACGGCAGTAGCATTGCACGACCCACAATGCTGAAGGCTGGTTCCCAGATCGGTGCAGGCTCCAGAGCAGCAGCCAGGAATTTGCCCAACACACTATGAATCTGTCAGATTTACTATTGATTTGCAAATATCGGCTATGCAAGCATACCTTCACTCCACAGTTTCCGCAATTCAGCGTATTTGAAGAAGTATTTACGCAGAAGAAGTTGCAGCATTGCTCGCCGGTAGGGCACTGTATCATTGTTAGAAAAGATTAGACAATCACACTGGGGGTTCCTACAGGCATCCAAGGGAGGAACGAAGCACATTGGATTTCCGGCTCATTTGTCGCCACAGCAGTCGTTCTAACAACTGTGATGGAAGCGCTAGAAGAATGCCTAATGGTCCTCGTAGCCCTCAGTGAGGATCTCGTGGGCTTTGCGTCTGCATAGTGAATTGACGAGAACGCAATGCCTACATGAAAGTCAGAAACTATAGACGAAGACATGGATCTGCTAGACTTACACAAGGCTAAAGTAAATAAAAGTGCTCTGGCCATGATTGGAAATGCCAGGCAGGAAGAGAATTGCATCAGCGGGGCTTCGAATGAGGTCAATCTCCTAATTAATTGAGATCATGAGCGACAAGAAACTCAATAACGAGGGTATGAGATCTTAAGAGGCTAAAATAACAACGCCAACCCTTTCCACATGAATTCGGACTGCAGAAAGGCGGGGTTGGAAGCTGATGTTTACTAGACTCTTTGTGTGACATTGGACGAGTCCTACCCTCTTTGTCGACATAGAGCGATTAAGCTCAGACAGAACCAAGGATATTTGTATTTAAGTTTTGAGGTTTTTGTGGTAAGTGTGCCCAAAATGTGCCTCATACCTTTATCATAGATACTGGAGATGGGGTACATCTTGATACAGCTAGAAGCTTCTTTTGAACAAGAGGTCCACTCTGCTTAGGTTTAGCCCGTTACACAGTTTCCATCCCGACCTGCCGCTTTTGGAAGAAAAATTTCAGAATAAAGATCTCCTAATTGCTTTCAGCAATTTTTGTTCAATAAGTTCTACTAGCATTCGCTTTCTGCGCTCAAATCGTTTCCCTTGGGTCGATTTACTAGACAGGAGGGTAGTCCAGAGCGGGTGTGGGACTGCCCTGCCAACGCACCATGACATATTGTCCGATATATGATGATACAGTTACAAGAGCTAAAATTGTGCGACCCGTAATGATCAGAGTACGCTGGCTACTCCTGTATATTAGCGGGTTCTAATCGGGCCTTTGTATCCCCGCAAGACGTTCCTGCCTGGGTTACCACCACCTTCATAAGGTCGCATGTCCTTCGCACCATTGTCGGCCACTTTTGAGATGGTCGAGGCACAGCTTGGGTCCAGAGCATCCGTGTCCCACGCATGCCAAGTCCCGAATCCTGGTCTGGAGATCAAATCTTCCTAGGTTTGCGGATCATGAGCTCGGCCCCCGCCAAGCTTGTCTGACCAAAGATGATGCGAAAATGTAGGCTCACCAAGTCCATTGCATTGTATACAATGAATTTTGAATGGAAATGACTGTCGGTTTCCACGAGATCGTATTAAGGTGCTGGATTGGTTTGTCAGTGCCTGAGGCTAGAGAGTGCGCTGATACTGTTTGAACATCGGGCTGTCACTGGCAAAGCCATTCAATATATACATTCATCGCATTGACCACTCCTATTGTCGTGTCTAGGTATTCCACTCAAGTACAGTGCCGAGAATTTAATAATGAGATCAACCAAGCAAGCCGAGGAAAATCTCATTTTACTTCTTATTATGATAGCTTCCCCGCAGTGTGCGAGGAGAGCTTCTAGGTAAGGGAGCCCCAGGAAAGGCGTCGCGTCGCACAGGCGATCACAACATGTGAGAAAAAAGTCATAAATTCGCTGCCTGGCAATCTCAGATCCCTCAGATCAGCTGGAATCATTTATTGATCGCGAATTTTATGACAGAAGTCAGTCAAAGATGTTTGCACTTTCTATCAACGACCAAGCCCGGTTCGAAACCACCAAACGCCTCCTGGGCCAGCTAGTGAATGAGCGCCTGGTCTCGGCGACTTCGGTGACCGAACCTTCCACAGGAACGCGTTACTTGTGCATCTGCAACCCGAAGACTTCCGATGGATCTGCCTGCCAGAGACGAGTCAAGGTCGAAATTCATGCCGAGGCCCGTGTCAAATCGAAGGATGGGTTCGTGGTTTCTTGGATCCGACCTCAGATTCTAGAGCCGAGGGTGCTCTTATGCGACAAGGACGAAGAAATTTCCGAGTTGGATCCCAAAAGAGTGTTCAGATTTATTTCACCGTGGCTTGCAGACGATTCAAATGGGGAAGCTACTCAGCGAGTCGAGGCGGAATTGGAACTTGCTGCTGCTTTTCAAGGTCTATCACCAGTCATTCAAATTTTTCATCTGATTGCGAGCTAATTCGTCTGGAGGGTAGTGAAATGGCTCGAAAGAAACATGTCTTCTCGACCACCTAGCATAGGGTCTCGAACAATCGATTGGGAGCAGGCCGTCACATTTGGCCATCCAAATCATCCAGTACGTCCCCTTCAGGACTGGGAGGCCCGGAAGCTGACATCTCCCATCTCAAAGATGCATAGGTGCTGCAGGTCCTTACCATCAATACCTAGCGTCAGCCCAAATGATCTTTCCACCCTCCTCTCGCCCAACATCGCTTTCGTATCAGTCCCCCAAGACGATATCCTCGTAAAGGGACCATTCGAACAATCTCTCCGACCTTTACTTGAGCGCCTCCAAGTGCCTCCACCGGCGGAAGACGATCGACTTGTCATCCCTTGCTTTGAGCGCCAGCTCCCGCTGATATACAAGTCATTCCCGCGAGTCACCCTTCTGAAGGTTTTCACAGGATGTGCGGATGCGGAAGCCAGCATTCGATCTGTTCGCCTCAAACCACATATTGCATCGCCCTATTTATTCAAAATGTCGCTTGCCTGTCAGATCACGGCCGCATTGAGGATAATTACTCCGTGGGATGTTTTTCAGACAGCTCAGACGACAAAGATCTTGGATAAGATCCGGCCGAGCTTTTGGGTGTTCAGAGAAATCGCTGCTGTGTGTGGCAGTCAAAATAATTACAGAGAGGCGTCCGACATGGCTTGTATTCTGAGAGAGGATCTCGAGCTTCGGGCAAGGGATAATGATGAAACGATGATTATTGTGGGGTCGCTTGTTGAGCCCATACCCGGGAGCTCCCAGACTCGACTGGAAAGGCTGTTCGGACTGGACACTATCGACCAAAAGCGAAAGTGGATGAGAAAGTATGTATGTGATGACTCCGCCGGTGCTTGCTATACTAATCTTGAACCAGTTATACGAGAACACTTTTCGAAGCTGTTTTCCCGATTCTATCTGAATATGGAATCTCATTGGAGGGTCATCTGCAGAATTTCGTCGTTCGGGTCTGCAATAAGACAAAGGACATCAAAGGTCTCGCTTACAGGGATTTCGGGGGAGTGCTGATGCACAAATCTACCTTGCGCGAGAAAGGGTTCAATGTCGACTGGATGCATCCAAACGGACGAATCCTTACCGACGATCGTGAATTTATCTGGCAGCAGACTCACCACACGGTCATTCAGAGCCATGTTGGAAACGTGCTTCACGCCCTTCGTCTAGAGACAAATGGAGGATGGGCGATTGTTAGAGAAGAGCTGACACATATACTGATTGAGAGAGACCGCAGTGAGACCAAAAAGAAGGTATACGAGTATATGACCAGGGAATTCATGGATGTAAAGTGTTATTTTGATATGAGGATCAAGGATACGCGGTTGGTGAGTAATCTTGCCTCATTTTTGTCACGAGAAATTCTAATAGAGCCGGTTTTCAAGGAAATCATGAAACAGATTCCGAACATCCTATTATCTTGAGGATATTAGCGTTTGAGGCGTTTGAGAGCTTTGGGCAGGAATGAGTTCCCCAATTTGAAATTCTTCGGGATGCAGTATTATAGACATCGTACTATGTATAGCTGGGAGTGTGATACTCTTAATTCGTAGCAGGCAACGGACTCTGCGGATTGCGAAACACATTCTGAGGATCAATCTGCTCCTTAATCTGCTGAAGTCTGGGCAGATTCGAGCCCCAATAAGCCTCAGCGCCGTTTGGCATAAGGGGATCCACATAGCCAGGGTAAGCAGCATAGGGATAATCATCAGGGGTGATGAGCTCATTCACATGCTCCAAGAAATCAACCTGAGTCTGCGAGACCGAACCCAGGAGGTTGATGGTATAGGACTGCAGCCAGAGAAGAACATCCCGATGAGCGTATGCGGTGGCGTCCGAGGGGATGTCGTTGGTATAGCCGCCCTGGAAATCGAAGAGAAGGAACCAGATCAAAGTGCCCTTGTCTGCGCTGTCGATGTACTCGAAGAGCTTGTCGATGGTCTCGTTGTTCATCAGGTTCTTCGGCGTCCAGGCGTTTGACTTGGCGTAGAAGTTGGCTGCGATTCCGCCGCCGAGTTCCAGTGCTGCTTCTTCGGCCCAGTTGCCGACGAGACCGAGCCAGTCTTGGATGACGATTGCGCTGCCATTCGTTCCTGGAAATTGGCTGCCGATATCTAGCGCCTCGTACTCCTCTTCTGTGCCGAAGAATGTGCCCGTGATGATGAGAGTGTCCTCTAGGAGGGTGAGGGTGGATGCCAGTTTGCGGGTCAATTTGGGATTTGAGATATATGCCTGCCACTGCTTGAAGAGACTGGCTCGCTCCTCGGTACTGCCGATTTTGAGAGTATATTCGTACTTGACTGCAGTGCCAGGCTCGGGTTCCGTGCGAACGGTGAACTCGGTGACGATGCCAAAGCCAGAAGCAGCACCCTTGATTGCCCAGAACACATCTTGGTTCTCAGTTTCGGATGCGCGCACAATACTCGAATTGGCAAGCACGACTTCCGCTTCCACGATATGGTCCAGGGCTGCTCCGAACTGCCGTGATGTTGGTCCCAATCCTCCGATCGTGAAATGTCCACCGGATCCAACTTGAGGACAAGTTCCGTGGGACATTGCTCGTGCCCCGGCATCGTGGAGTTTTCGCGTCACATCGCCTAGCAACGTTCCGGAGCCGATTGTCGCGTGCCAGGTCTTGCTATCCATGGAGAATTGCTGTAGGTTCTTGAGGTCGACAACAACGGCGCCGTCGGTTCCGCCGAGACCTAGAATTCTCGTTGTTAGCTGTTGATCTCGAACAGGGTGAAGGGGCTGCGCTGATACAGTAATTGGCATAGCTGTGGCCACCGCTCTTGGCCTGGACGTGGTATCCATTGTCTGCGGCGCACTTGACAACTGCCGCAACCTGTTGAGAAGACGTGGGAAATGTGACAGCGGCCGGGGTGACAGGAATATTCAGGTTGTAGCGATTCACATCGGCAGCTTGGTAGAAAGGATCGCCGGCAAATGCGACCCGGCCACTATCGGTCAGAGCATACTGAAGACAAGACTTCAGCTTGTCGTCGTTGCCCGCGATCGCAACTGATGCAGCACCCAGCGCAAGCATCAGATTCCTAACGACTGCCATTTCACGTGTGTATATCGCCGACAAGCAGAGACAAGGTAAAGAAGCCCCCAAAACACTCAGGGGAGACAGCCCCAAAGCCCCAGAACGACATGTCTATAAATATGGAAACCAATTGAGCACGCGTAGGTCGACCTGTACTGTAGACAGGGGTGCGACTGCCCCGCTCAGCCGCAAAAGGCCCTTATGTACGCCACGCACATGCATTATCATGGGAAAGCATTGAAAAAGTACCGTTCCGCGAGACATTAACGTAGTTGTGTGCATACCGTGGAGACTATGCGTTCGGTTGGAAGGATCGGGCAATACCCTATCCCTGAGCTGCATTGTACAGACTGGGGAAAAGATAGTCGCGGCGATGACTCGGTTCCTGCGACCATTTTCTTGGGGAGTTGCGACTCAGGGCCAAGATGTGCGCTAGCGCGACTGGTGGCGTTGATTAGGTCGGTTTGCAGGGGCGAGCACTCGAAGGGTCGACGCACGGCCTAGATGGTCGTTCTGGTTTCCTATAAGGGGTGTCACTCGATTGATTGACAGGCTCCACTTGGTGGGATACCGAGGTGGTGCGATGGGTTTGATTATGGACATGTGCGAGGTCTGGATGAGGTGTCAGTTCATCCGGGGTGGATGGGGGAAGGAGATTCTGGGTCTGGAAAGGGGAACAAAGGTGAGAGGAAGCGACTTGGGTCTATTTCCGTCACCTTGCCAACTTGGACATGGACCCTGGTGCGACCCATTATGTTCTCAATTATCTACTATCAATACAATCGTTTATGCATACAACTTCATCAAAGAAGGCTTCACCGTCTCCCTCGACGTAAAGCTACAATGCCCCTTTTGCCCATCATCAATCCCCTCAACATCATCCATACCCATCCACGCAGCCGCCGAAGGCGTCTCTCCCCACTGCACAAGACCCAACGCAGCCGTCTCACGACACTCATCCTTCGGCAAATGACATGCAGCGCTAATAGCAGCACTCGACGACCCAGCGAGCGGCATAATGGACTTGCATTTTCGAAACGCCAACACAAGCATGATGAGAACCATCGTCGAGCCTACGACGATAGACAGGAAGATCGACATGGACGAATATCCCATAGAGCTAATCGTGTTGCTATTATCTGCTCGATCGAGCGGGTTGTAGGGGATCAAGAGCAAGTAGAAGATACTCTGCGAGATGAGCCAGTGGAGGAGCATGTATAAGATCAAGATCGGGGTCGCGTAGCGGTAGGGTACGCTGAGCCAGTATGTCGAGCGTTGCTGGCTGCCCTTTACGGGCCAGGTTACGCGGAGTGCTTTGCGTTTTTCGCCGTAGGAGCTGTACTCGCCTGTTGCGAGCATGCTCGTTAGAACTGCGTTGTAGCAGTAGTAGCTCATTGTGACGATTAATTGTGGGACGTTAGCCACTACCACTGCGCTGAGCATAGTCCAGGGAACGTTGCTGTAGATGATGTTGTAGCTGGAGATGTCGACGTCTTCGCTGAACCAGTTCTTGAATGTACTTGTGGACCACCACTCGTTTTGCGATGTGCCAGTGCCAGCCGAGGAGACCATGAAAAGGCAGATTCCTGTAATTATACAGCTGAAGCACCTAAATCGGATTGTTAATTGATTTCAAAAGATTGAAATACCCGGAAAACATGCAACTCACATGAAAAGAGTTGCTGCCCATCTCCAACCACTCGCTGCCCGCATCCAGTGCTTCCGCTTTTTCAACCGTCTAAATGTGGCAGGCTCGGCGACTTGTTCATTCTGCAAGGCTGCTTGGAATCCAGACCTTGTCACCGAGACCCATCTCCCCTTATTCACATCGGCCCCAGTCATCCAGCAGAGCCCCTTCGTGGTGGGATCGGGCCGTTCCATGAACGAGGCAACAGCATCGCCGATTGTCAAAAGGGGTGGATCACGGTTTCGTCCGATGTATGCGGCAAGATACATTGCCGACACCTTTGCGAAGGCAGCGAGCATGACGACGAGACATATAGGCGGACTGAATAGTAGCTGGCAATGCTCTTCTGCCTCGATAACAAGACATTCGGAGATGGGGTAAATGGATACCCCAAGACCAGGTCTTACCTGAGCGGTTCCGTCGATAAGGACACGGTTGTTATATACCGTCTCATAGCCTAGGCAGGTTGCGTTGTTCTCCGTGCTTGTTGTTCTGTTTGAATAGAATGTAGCGGGCATCCTCTGATTCTGGAAAGGGTCATCATGGCTGGTGGGAGACGTGTGTGCCACTTCAGTCATAAGGATGGACGCATCCCCGCCATCGCTGACGGTGAGATTCTCCGCAAGTGCGACGATTCCCTTGACGCCTGTAGAAGGTTTCTTGGACATCTCGATGCACTGTGAAAGGGGAATATAGTGGTAGCTCCCATTTGCGATGTTGTCGACGAACATTTCCCATGTCAGTTCCCGAAGGACCCCTTCATACAAGTCGGCTGCGTCTAGTCCGTAATATGCGGCAGGCAGTGTAAAGCATTTTTTCAAAGCGGGAGTTGTCAGACTGTGGATATTTGACGAATTGAGATCTTTTGGTCCAACCATCACTCCAAACTCATTAGTCGATAACGATTCAAAAACAATGGAGTTATACCTATTGGAGCAATTAGCGACGGCATCACGCAAGGGTGCGTTGGTCAACCACGAGGCGCCCTACATCAAATGAAATGGCGTCGCAGTAAACATAAGCGTGATCCAAAGCGCCAACCTCCCCTTCCCAATCGCAAAAAGATTCTTCACACTCGCACTGCCGATATCAAGACACTTCCACTTGGCATGGTACGCATCGACCTCCTTCCTCGTCGGCGCAACAAGCGTCTGCATGCAATAATTGCTGGCCGCAAGGATACACGTACTGAGAACGTTAATAATCAAGTGCATCGCGATATCCCAACGTTTTGAAATGCCGCAGTTGCCTCGGTATATCACTGCGGAACTGGCGAAGCTTCGGTTATCCGGGTATCGGCTGGCCAGGCCGGCTGCGATGCCGATGAAAATTAGGTTTAGGATGAAGACAACTGTTCCTGCTCTCGCGCACATGTAGACTCCATCTATCCATTGTTTTTTGCGATGGATGGGGGAGAAATTGTCTTTTGATTCGCTTTGTCGTGGGGGACAACCTGCTCCGGCGCCGGATTCGAGGAGTGTGATGTCTGTGTCTTCGCCCAAGAGCGCAGGCTGGGCGAGCGACGATTTGCGATCGAAGGTTGATTGACGTAACGTTGAGAAGGAGGAGAATGACGATAGTGAGAAAGTGGAGGATTTGGTTCGGACACTGGCAGGAGCTCCGACAAGCTCAGCCTGGTCTGAGTCGTATTGATCGGGACTTGAAACGCCCTGGTAGCGCTTTCGAGAGAAAATGGAAGAGATATGATTCCATAATTGACCGACGCCATAATTATCCATTCCTCCGGTTTGAGACTTTTGTGCTGGACAGGACAACAAGGCTGTGAAGGCGCTTTTGAAGGCCTAACCGCATCGATTTTGCGATTATCGCGGGTATATACTAACTTAAGGTAGCTCCGACAAGGGGCAATAGCGACAAATTTCGCATTCGATGATTTGAAAGAGTAGAAGAGATTAAATTCCCGCTGTCTTCCGACGAGGCAGGGCCTGGCTTTAGTGCATGGCCCCCAAATGCCCTCTTGCATGATTGTCAGTGGAGATATAGGATCGATTGGGCAAGGATCGGTCCGTGACAAGTCGCTTTTCGTTTTTGCTGCTAAGGGCTGCCGTGACTCGTTTCATATGCATGTGGAATGAAGGATTGCCTGGTCCTTGTGAAAATTATCCCGTCCAGCTTCGTACCCACCCTATACAGAAAATAGAAATCTGGCATTGCCCCGCTATACTTGGGTGCGCCGGTATTCAGGCCTGGGTGCCCAGGGGCAACACGAGGGATCGGCAGCATCACGATCGCACGACCCCTCGAGAAAGGACGACTACGTCAGTGTACAGAAGTGAATGTCAATGGTTGGATTTTATGTTGCGCTTCTTCTGCACAGAGACGAGGTCGACACGGCCAGTGGCTCCTCCGCTTGGCAGCTGAGGAGGCTCTGATTAGAGTTAGGCTATTAAAAGCAACGGATGTGCTCTGTGCTGACTGCCAATGCAAAGACCACGCGACATATGGAGACATCTTTGTGTTCTGGAATAATGCAACTGGAAGGCTGCTAGATCGTCGCGATCGTGCTTCAACAATGTGGTCGCATGTTTCCCTTGTCCATAATATTTGCCTGCGTGCCGGATTCTTCTTCAAACGCCTTGTTTCAAGCGTAATTTTTTGTTGCCAATCTCGTGTGGAATGATTGGAATGAATTTCAAGGTAAAATATCCTTCATTCCACGCTTGCACCCTGCACCCGGGCGTCTTTGGTCAAGCCGTCCCCACGCAGTCTAAGCCACATACGCGACGTACACTACGAAGCGAAAAATTTGAAGTAGAGGTCTATTCCGATACAACTGCACTGTAAATCATCACTCATGGTCGTCTGCCATCCCCGAATCTGCAGATACCATCTGAGATAAGTAGCGGGCTGCTTTAAAAAACATAACAAAGATCGCTTGGAATATCAAATATGAACAAGAAACAGAAAAATGGCAATGATCCAAACCTCGACGCCGGCCGTGTAACGGCGGGAATCGTGTTCTCTTCACAAATACCATAGCAGCAGGGGGCAGAAGAGCAAGCAGTGTAGCGGAGCGCGGACGTATGAATCTTTCATTTCTTTGGCCTTTTTTGTTGTTTTATTTTTTTTTTATTTGCGCCTGCTCTACGCAAAAGTGCCGACACCGTGCTTCGACTCGGAGGTACTTGACTCGGCCTTCTGCGAGGCCAGGAAGCTCTTGAACATATCCGAGATGGCCTTTTCGGACTGCTCGTTGCGCTCCTCGGTGCCATTCTTCTCCATGATCAGACCACGGAGCCAGTGGTTCTCCAGCTCGAGCTGGGATACGCGAGCTTCGAGGGCGTCGTTCTTGTCGTTGGTCTCCTTCAGCGACTTCTCGAGGGCTTGCTCGCGCATCTTCTTCTTCACGCGGAAACGGGCACTGGCGGCAGTGTTGCGGCGACGCTTGTCCTCCTCGGCAGCATTGCGGGCAGCCTCTTCGGCACTAGCCTGGGTGGACTTTTGAGTGTGCTTGCGCTTGGGGCCCGCGGCGGACGTGCTCGGGGAGACGGCGCTGGGGGCCGGGGTCGGAGCCACCTGGGGAGCGGCCACGGGGGCGGCGGCCAGGGCCGGAGCCGGAGCCGGAGCCGGGTTAGCCGCAGGCACGGCGGGAACCGAGAACTGCTGGTTCTGCACCGGCAATTGCTGGGAGTTAACACCACTGAACTCGGGCTGGTACTCGGTCATGCCGTTCAGGCCATCTATACGAATCTGTTAGCGTCCTTGCTCCAGCCACATAGACAAACACCCTCGGCATCATTGGTCGCGTCGCGTGTTCGGTGACCCGAACTGGTCTGGCAAGGCTCTCGCAGAATGTGCTCCAATCACGTGAAATGGCGTAATAGCGGAGTGTGTTCGCGACTGCGACAGGCCAATTTCCGATACTGCGCTCACTGGCACATCGAGATTTTGGGGGCCACCGTGGGTTGTTCAACGCCACCGCGTGGATGCCCTGAAGGGCACCGAAAACTATTTTGCCAGGGTCCAATCACTCTCGATGAAGATGGTGTGGCAATGGAAAATGGGCACATTGTACGTCCATAAAGACGACATCTGGCCAAGAACAGAGCCATGCAGCCAGCAAACAGCGAGAGGATCGACACCCAACCAATCAACTCTGCCAGGAACATGCATGTATGGTACCATGAACACAACGTCCGTGGACAGGGCTGATTTGGGAGGTGGTGTTGTTCAGGGGAGCATGCAGCGAGTGGAAACCCCTCCACTCTATCGACGCGACCAATAACATGCCCTCGAGGTTTATTTCGCGATGCCGCACTTACCATTCAGAAATTCCAAGAACTTCATGTCGGCATTCTGGGTTGACTGGTCGGTCTCGCCGAGGCCGGTCTTGTCATCCATTGAGTCAAACGTAGGCAGGCTCAGGTCGGTGAACTTGTCAAAATCGAAGAACTCGGTGTTGGTAAACAGAGCCAGTTCCTCATCCTGGTTGAAGGTCTGCTGCTGCTGTTGCAGGGCTTGGTCGTATGGCGACGGGATGGCATTCAAGTCATCGAGGTATTGCGAAAAGTTCGGCGCACGGCGCCCATTGTATCCGGCCATGGTGAATGGTTGTCCAAAATTTTGACCGCGTATCGTCGGGAAGGATGTAGACGTATCGATTGTTCTCGAGGAACAATGAAGCCAGTTGCGATCGCGTTCGATCGAAGAAGCGTGACTCAGCGCGCCGGATGCGGCTCCGGTCGGCGAGTGAAGGTGTTTCGGCAACCCAGGTGCACAGGGTTGGCTCGGTCGTCTCGGTTTGTCAAGGGGATCGATTCCAGGCGATAGAATCGAAGTTTGATGGGTTGGCGATGGGAAGTTGAAGGAGAGAAGGGTGTGTGGGTGGGCTGTGGGCAAAGCCAAGTGGGTTTTCCTTTGAGTTTGCTTGCGTTCGGTGGGGTTTTTTTCCTGGTTGCCGCTGAGGGGGATGAGTAATCTGCCTTGCTCACTGAGTAGACTTCCCACGGCTTCCGAAGACTCGATCTTGCCGTCATCTACTTGTTTCGACTTGCGATTTCCTTGACTCGATCCTCTCTCACACTACGGGTTATTCCTCCTTGTCAGGTCCTACGCTGTGTCATGCTGTCCGGTGTACGACATACAACAGAGACACGCTTATCAGAGGATTAACGGCCGAAGATCGGAGCACTGGGGCCAAACCCACTCCAATCCACCCTCACACCCACACTCCAAACGGAATCCACACCCGGACCACCCTTCCAAATGAGGATTAAAGACAGCCGGTCGCACTGAAGCACTATGCACAAAGGCCCTTTCCCCTCACGTCCACCACCACCCTCATTCCGACCCAGAATTGGGTGCTGCAGGCAAAGGCGATCGGATTGAATTCCAGCGACAAGCGCGGCTTCCTCCCAGCCCAGCTCGGAGCCCCGTGGCCCTCGCATTGGCGCGTGGCTTGCATTTGTAAGCCGAGCGGCGACCCTTGGATTGCCCTTGGGAAATGGCCAAATCAGATCGTGGGATCCGCGCTCGTTGCGATCTTCCTGATTCTCCCGAGGTCGCTCCGGGTTGGTAAGCAGGTTGCTCCTTCCGGAATGCGAACCCGGGTGCATGTGCGGCGATCGGCTGACGGTGGTTGTGCTTATTGTGACCGTGAGGAGTACAAGTGTGAAGTACAAGTGTGAGTAGGGCAGAGTCGTAGATTTCGGTCAAGAGTGGCATGTCTATACAATCGTATGCCATATACTCCTTTGTAAGACCCTGCACAACACGCCCAAGCACAGACCCGGCTATATAATCAGCCGTGGCCGACCTTGCAATGTGCAGTAGCCTGGTGAGGCTCATTTCAACAGCAGGGTGATTATGCCTCAAAAATAAGAGTGGTTGGGCAGACATCATGCTGACGACAATTTTCGATCTTGATCTGATCGAGGTGGAATGGTCGCTGCTTCATAACGACGTAAGGTCTTGGCAACGGGGTCTCCGCACTCAATTGCATTCCAGGCAAAGCAACCGTACGTTATTCATGAATGAAGATGGGTGTACCACGTTGTGTATGCTCAAGATATCGAATACAGTAGAAAACGTTGAGCAAAAGATATTTTTTTGCATAGTTTATAGTTCCAGACCGTCGGTGCTGTTGGGCTCGTGGCGCGCCCATGCTGCCGGATTAAAGATCGCGTAAAATAAGACTATTCTTATCACAGGTGCTGTTCTTATCATCACGTGACATTATTGACATTGGATCGGGCCAACGCGTGAGACTCGAGGCAAAGAACATGACAATGCGCTAGATAGAGTGCCCTGGGATTAACGACATGCAATCACCTTGAACCAACCCCATCCCTGTGCACTCAATCATCGATTCACGACACCAGTAGCCATGGCCGACCCAAAATCTGTTCGCGCGCCGACGACAGCCAGCCTACCAAACAACCTGCGCATACCCTCAACGACTCCCTCCCTCACGAAAACTTTGGGCAGACTATCCAGAACCGCGCTCATAGAACTAGCGCTCTATTGGCTAGACGACCGCAACGTGACATCATTCCCACCCTACCTCCAACCCGAAGACGAAGCGAACAATGACGACGAAGAAACCCTCCCCTACCCCGCTGCCGAAACGATCGCAGAAGTGCGCATCGAGTACGAAAACTTCCAAGAACGAAAGGGAGGCAAGCGCGAAGTCCTCGAGAGAATCTTGGAAGGCGACTGGCGACATGGCATCACCCTCCGCCAACTCGCAATGGCCGACCTGCGATACATGGACGACCACCCTGCAGGCCTGCGCTGGACCGCAATGGAAATAAGTCGTATCGATATGAAAGCGAAGAAAGCAACAGACACCCAAACAGAAGATTGGTCAAGCAATATTCCGCGAATGCAAGCCGCCACTTTCGTCAGGGCTCTTCAGCATGAAATCGCGCCGCTCGTCAAGGCGCATTACCACCTATCCCGCTCCTTGAAATTCCCGCTCACATTCCTACGAATTTTTATTGTTGACTCACCGTACCAAACACCCCGTCAAACGCCGGAAATATTCGCGGACGCAACGCGCATTATCTATGTCGCTTTTCCGGATAGCTGTCCCTTCCTCTACACATCGATCACGACAGCACCCGCCGCAAAAACCGGCTCGACGGGCTCGATCGCAAATGATCCGAGGACATTACAGCGTCTTGTTCGTGATGCGATCCCGAAGGCACTCTCACGACCACAGGAGCGGTATACCCTGAACCCAACGGCTTTGACTGCGAAGAATCTACCAACACTCCTCGCGCTCCGTGGGCCTGGACGAACTACGGCTGCGAATGGTGCGTTTAGTATCTTCGCTGATGCAGCTCTGGAAGGAAGTCCCCTGGACCCGCGTCCGTCAAATACAGTCTCCGCGGAAGAACATATGCGCAATGGACATGAAGCTAGCGCTCCACTTGCGGAGGAAGACAAAGAGAACATCAGCAACGAGCCGCAGAAACCAGGCCGACCATCCAAAAAGCGACAATTAGGAAGCAAACCAGACACAATTAAGCTCTCCCCAAACTCCAAAAAGCGACGGTTAGTAGCAGCCTCCCGCTTCGGGACAACAGGCTCTTCAACAACTCCCGCTCCACTCGACCGTCTCGACATCCGACTCCTCGATAACGCAGCCTCAACCAACGACGGCGACGCCGACTCTGCCCCCACTTCTGCAGCTGTCTCTCTCACATTCACCGGGTCCGATGTTATCGGTGGGATCCGGAGGTTGGCTGAGCTTGGTGTCGTTGATCCGGAACGTATACCTTCTTGGATGACGGGTGAAGAGGCTGCTAGTATGATGTTTGTTCGTGGGGGACGGCGTCTTCGTAGTGAGGTTTGATTTTTGAGTTGGCTTGCTTTGAGCGTTTTGGTCTTGGGTCTTAGCGTCCCGAGTGTTTTTGGTTTGGTTTGGTGATATCCTCTTTGTTTTGGGGTGAGGGATTTGAATTTTGTGACTGATATTGGCATTGCGGTTGGAGTTCTTCGGTTTTCAGTATGTACACAGGTGAAATTCACTTCTTAGGTGCATGTGTACAACAATGAGTTGTATATGAGAGAAACGATGGTTGGTGACGATATAAAGTTAACAGAAAAATCCACAAAGCCCGCTGCCGACCAAAGCAAATGCGTCACATTTAGAACATGAGATTTCAACGCTAGGGGACACGCAGCATCTTTTTCGAGCCCGTAAAGTTAAGCGAAATCACGGTCGTGATGTGAGACGAGGCAGGAAGCGACGGGCATGATACACGAGCCCCAGTTCGCCCCCCAGAATCGCGTTCGTCAGCCCTCGCAAATCTGCAAGGTGCCACCAATGCGCACTACCAGCTGCAAATGCAAACAGCCTCGGTCGTGGAGAATATGCTCTACGAAATAGAGCGCCTCAACTTCTCCCTCGCTCTCTGCAGTCTCTTCCTCCCCGGCGCCGTCACCGACCCCATTGGCAACTCCCACCACCAGTTATTTTCGGCCGACATGGATTAAGAAGTAGCCGTGGGTGGTTATGGCGGTGGTTCTTGGCTTAAGTGCTCTAGCTACTGCGGTTCTCGTTGCCAAGTTCGTCGATTCATTCCCGTTCTTCTATTGACTCACCTGCGTTGAGATGGTCACTCTCATTTGAATTCTCACTTCCCCCTCTACTGATGCTCATTTGCATGTTGATGTTCCCTCTCAGTTGAAGGCTCACTCGCTCGTCTGTCTTTGCTCCTTTTCATGTCAATGTTCCCTCTCATCTGGACGCGCCCTCTTACGTTGATGGTCCTCACCTTCATGCTTCCTCGCGCACTGCACTTGCTCGAGTGTTGATTCTCACTCGCGTCAACATTTGATGCGACTGAGTATCAACACGCGAAGCTCGCTTACGCGTTGGTTCGGATACATGAAGCTGTTACCAACATTACTGTTCTTTGGAATGCATACTCGGCACAAGCGAGTACTAGCCCGACTGGAAGGGGCACGAGAAGCCTCCAAAGATGTTCAGACAACCTTGAACTCTGACTGCTTCTCTCACATGTTCAAACTGCTCAATCCCCTACAGACAAGATACTGACATGCTTTTTCACACAGGAAATACTGGCCAGATGCCAGTAATCGTGTGTCCCGACTCGGACTCCGCTCCTCCTTCGCCTTCGCCTTCTCCTCCGCCTCCTCTGTCTCCACCGGTCATTCTGAACGTGCCGACCCCCCACAGTTCCCCCGGCCAAAAGAAATTGGGCTCGAAATCGCCGGGGTCTTTACTTCGAGCAGCGGTCAGCGGCAACCACCGCATAGCCCATTGGTTATCAAGTTCGCTCCTGTTCCGGTCGGCTACTACATCCCGGCTTCGTCGGGGGGTATAGGCTCCTTGTTTCCTTCGTCTTTTCTTTTGGTCTTTTTAGCTTTGCTTTTCGTTTTTCGTTTGAGATTGGTAGGGAGCTGTTTATGAGAACATTTTATTCTTGATGAATTAAGTATTAATTTTCAACACCAACTCCACAACACTTTCCACAGGATGCTTCATAATCCAAATGGATTTCGGTCTCGTCTGATACAGCTGCAGCCCTTCTGGCCTAGCATTCCGCTGATGGTGACCCTCTCCCTCGGCGAGCCGATTGCCCGATTATGGCAGCATCACGCTGTCCACGGAAGATTATCCGGCCAAGCTCAATTTCAATTTCAGTCGGGCTCGATGCCTGGGCCATAGAGATATGTTCCTCGATCTTACCGCTCTACATAATAGTCGCCCGAACGGATACCTACAGGACTAATTTCGGCGAAGACAATCCCCAAACACTCTCCCACACGGCAGGTCTCGTGATGACCTGGAAAGAAATAGATCGAAATGCCGACGCCCTTGACTTGCTTCGTGATTGTGTGGCAAAGCAGGAACAAATTTTGGGTCCTAATCATCCGGCCACAGTATCTAATTCGGTGACCGTGCTGGAATGGGAAACGGAGGAACTGAGACTCAATAGCAGCTATACTGATGAACAGTAATTTTAAACAATCCTCCTATCCTCCTTTGTTTATTATATCACGATAGTTTTTGCTACTATAGCCATACCCCTTTGCCTCAGCCCGCTCTCTCGCCATGGAATCAATCTCTTCCCTCCACTGATGGCTTCGTTAGCTTCTTCGTCAAACAAGGTACTGATTTCACCATCAAAGACCACCTGCATCTCCCATGCCGAAATGGCCTTGCAAGCTATTTTTGAACGCCGTATCGTGCCACCTAAATACTTACCGCCTGGTCCCTTGTTCAGTCACTTACATGATCATCTACTAGTGAGATCATCTCTCCTGTCACATAATTAGTCAACTGGCTATTCAGAGCAAGGGCGAGGGCTGAGGCAAAATGCTTGAGCTTACTGTAACCTCCTTGTACACATTACTGTTCGACATGGGTTTTTACGAAGTGTGGAAGTGAATTTCGACTACTACATATTTTCTCCTTAGAATATCCGAAAGCCCACGCCAGCTTCAAAACTCTTTCCACAGCCTATTTCATGCGCCAACCATATTCATACTTCAACCATACAATGTGATGTATCCTATGTTCGCTTGAAATCGCACCTATTACATGGTATCCCTCTGCTCCGCCCCCTCAAACGAATGAATATACTCCCTCCTTCTCGAACAAAAAACCTCCATAGTAGGCCTCCACTGACTCTTCCCAAGATTCATAGTCCCAGACGTAACAGTCAAAAAGCCCTCTTGCTCCGGCGTGCCCCTGATAAACGTATAAATAGGCGAACTGCAATTCGAGCAGAAGTGGCGGTAAAGCGTATTCTTCGAGCCTGGCGGCCTGTCTTCATAGACTTTGATGACGTCTTCGCCGGTGATGATTTTGAAATTCTACCACAATAAGTATCCATGTAAATTCTTGAAAAGAGGAGGGCTCACTTACTTCTTTTGCATACATGCTGTTCGCCATAAAGACGGAGCCGGTTGTTTTGCGGCATGTGTCGCAGTGGCAGATTATGTTTGTCAGAGGGATGCCGGTTACTTTGTATGTGATTTTTTCGCAGACGCAGCTTCCTGTCACAGTTGGAGACGACATTTTGGTTCAGTTTGGGGCTCTGGATGCTTGCTATAGGTGATGTGCTTGAATTGATGTAGGTTCGAAGAGGTGGAGCTCTTAAATGGACGTGTCATTAGGCGCCCCAGTCACGGTCGAACCTAAATCGTACATATGTTCCGCTCGGTGCAGATACTAGTTTTGATTTCCGAGCTTCGAGATGCTTCCAATTGGACTGATATGTTACTGCTGATAGATATGTTTCTTCCTCATTTGTTGGGATTTCTCTCAATGCTCTCTTTGTTCTAAACTTGCGGGGTAAGCCTGGGCGAACATATATCGAAGGGATTTCCCCGCGATCGCTACCGCATTTCGAAGAGATCTTGGAATGATCCGATGAATTATCAAAAATACAATAGATGAGCTCGATTCTCTCATCTCATTACAAATCAATCCCAAAATCAATTCATTCAATTCGACCCATCGTGACTCACTGAATGACATGTCATGTTTGCCTCGTTTGCATTGAGTGGAGCTCCCTATCGCTATCAGCTCACCCAGAGGTGACCTGCATCGCCGACTAGCTCTCGCCGACAAGATGACTCGCTAGAGTCTCGCAATGCCCAACGGGATCGCAGCTCGGAACACAGCGCTAAAAACGACTACCCCTCGATAAATTTCCTTCCATGGCGCGCCCACGAGCTGCGTCGGGGGCCGACGCCCCCCAAAGAACCTCACACGGTCTCTCTCAAAGGTAGGCAAGCTCCAGTGCGGGGTGATGACAGAAGCTAACATCGCTCGCGCTTATAGTTCTACGGTATTGACCCTCTCTATCCGATATTCTTGTTGAATGCCTCTCTGATCTGTCCCTGTTCCAGTCTCTCCCGACCGTCGCTTGCGCAGCAGTCCCCTCTCCCCGCTGCGAATACAAGGATCTCCAACCAGGCTTCCTTGAGCTTTCCGTCTGTCGACTCGGATGACCAGTTTATTCTTACACCTAACGTATGTCTATCACATTGTCTGCCTCCCGTGCAAAATTGAATCGAAGCTAACGACCACAGCTCACCCTCCCCCCAGCCTTCGGCTCCGTCTACGTCGGCGAAACCTTCGCCTGCACCCTAAGCGCCAACAACGAAATAGGCACCCACGAAAGCGGGCGGGTGATAACCTCTGTCCGCATCGTGGCGGAAATGCAAACGCCCTCCTCAGTCGCGTCCCTAGACCTCGAGCCGGCCGGCGACTCAGCACAGACAGACGGTCTCAAACCCGGCGAATCGCTGCAAAAAATAGTCCGGTATGACCTTAAGGAAGAAGGGAATCACATCCTGGCCGTAAGCGTCAGCTATACCGAAACGAGAATCGGGTCGGATTCGCAGGCGGCTAGTGGGCGTGTGCGGACGTTCCGAAAGCTCTACCAGTTTGTCGCGCAGCCTTGTCTTAGCGTCCGGACCAAGGCGTCCGAGTTGCCGCCGCTGGAGGTGGAGAATAAGTCGTTGGGTCCGTATGGGAAGACGAGGTTATTGCGGTTTGCGCTGGAGGCGCAGTTGGAGAATGTTGGAGATGGGGCGGTTGTTGTTAAGGTATCGACTCCATGGCGTCACTCGCTTGAATTTCCGAAAGGCGAAGCTAACTTCAGTGGTTCTTCCAACAGCAAACCAGGTTAAACCCCAAGCCACCTTTCAAATCGCAATCACTAAACTGGGACATGACGGACGCGTCGGCAACGGAACCACCGACGCTGAGTCCGCGGGATGTGCTGCAGGTCGCGTTCCTGGTCGAGCAGGAGGAAGGCCGGGCAGAAGGGCTAGAAGCGCTGCAGAAGGATTTGAGGAAGGAGGGCCGCGCCACGCTGGGGCAGTTGTCGATCGAATGGCGCGGCGCGATGGGCGACAAGGGTTTTCTCACGACGGGGAATTTGATGAGCCGGAAACGTACCTGAAACACGGTGAGTCTTGACTCTGTACATGTACATACTGTACATGCCTGGAGTGTCGGACGGACTGCGCTGCTGTGCCATGGCATGTCGGTCGAGGTGCCCCGGTGCATATACCCGCCTTGGTTGCAGCCGTGTGTTGGCTTTGTCCGCAGGGATATGGATCGGTGTATGTAAGTATTGTACATAGGCCAATGGGACTGAATTGGCGGTTTTGCTGTATATGGTTATGCGAGCGATGATGCGCGCAGTTTTACTAGTACCTTGGGTATACAAGGGCGTGTCAAGATACTTCTCGTGCCTAAGTTTGCCTAGTACCCAACAGCCTCATGCCGAGCCGCCTTGGATCCCTGACGCCAGGGCGCGGCAGGCGGCGTGCCATGCAGCCCATGCTTGTCTCGCGGGAGTTACACAATGCAGCTGGGTGGATCGGTTATCTGGAATTTGATTTCGATGAGTCGTACCTGGATATACTACTTAGGGTGCTCTTTGAGTATGGAGGATACCCTAAGGTATACCTAAAATTTAAATACCTCACATACACTGTAATATAGACATCAAAACTTACCCTATCAGGGTACAACCCTTAGAAATGCAGAAAGATCAGATAGCACAATGACTTCCATGGCGGTGTCAAGTGGAGGCGAGTCTAGAACCATCGATAAACAGTGGGGGACACCCAACGCGCTGGGATTTCAGCTCAGCTGTGATCCAGACCCGGCACCGAGAACAATCTAGATGTGACGGGCATCCAGTCGCAGCCCAATGGCGTTGAATAGTTGCCAGATCAACCAGCTGATCCTCAGCTGAGCCGTTGTTTACACTAGAAGTGTTATTCAGCCCCCAGCCGCGCACACCCACACTGTGAGTAATTCATCCTACCCTACCCGAGAATGTGTACATTGTAAGGTAGTAAATACTGCAGCTGGGTGCCTGGGCACTGCCCACCGCTTCTTTGCGGTTGGGATAACCTTGCTGGTGGCTGCAGATGTACCGAATAGGTTATGGGTGCACAGGCACCCGACTGCTCCATGTAGTTCTTGCGATGCGACCGGGAAGGTCTGTGGAGGCTTAATTAATCGTAGTATTAAGGCTGAAGATGTTTTTATTATGGGTGTATACCAAATGTATACAGTTTAGCGAGAACATCAATGCCCTACCCTAAAACATTTACTACCTCAGGAAAATAATGCTTAGGGTAGCATCGCAAGGGGCGCAGACAATTGAAGATCAGTGTCAACGATCCCGCAGCGATCCACCCGTACGACAGAAATACGTACAGAATACTTTACTACTAAAGAGGACTTGGTACTGCTCAGTACGCATTCACCCCTCCGGTCCACCCGTGGCCGCGTTGGGTAGCGATCGGCCTCCCCAGAAGGCACAGGCCGCCCTCCTGACTCGATATCTGCGAATACAAGCAATAAATGTGTCGGTCGTTAATCTCTCGATTGTGTATCAGAGTATCCTCAGGGAATAATAAGCTGGTGTCAGTTGATGATATGCGAGGATTGATATGGGACGAATGAGCATATCCTATGGGTTGGCTCTCAAGAAGAATCGTGCGCCAGATAAGCAGTTCGGCAGGCTCCGACCCATCCCAGTAATTGTGCAGAAGAGGGTCCTCTCAAAAACGGGGTTACATACGCTCCTATTCCTCCCGGGCGGACTTGCCTGTACATACCTTAAGACACCTAAGTAAACACTAGACATTGGTACATGCTACAGGCAAGTACGTTGTAGGTACTGTACTGACTGATTCAATCGCCGCAAGCCATGTCTCACGAGGCGTCGCAAATCCTCGGCGATCCCGCCCCCGTTGGCAGTGCGTGTGTCCGTGGCACAGTCGGCGGCTTTCCCCCTGGCCTTGCGCGGCGTGGGCGTAAACGCTGTCAACCATGGGACGACTCGGCGGCACCCCTGGGACTGGTCGTCGGGGGTTCCTCTGCGCCGAACAGTTGGATGGATTCTAACCGGGGGGATTGGTGTGCGATGGCCCACCGAACCGATCAGGAGGTTCGCAGCGGTGGAGACGCGGAGATGATGAGAGCTGATGATACGTACAACGGAGTTGGATGAATGCCGACTGAGAGGATGAACATGGCAAGGCCGTCTCCGGGGTTGACACAGATTTAATAGTGCTGACAGGCGAAAGCGTCGGGGAAGAGTCGTGCCCAAAGTACCAGCAGTAGTCTCCGTTAGGGTGTTTGGTCGCCATGAACCCCCGGTTTAGGGCTCTCCCCGCCCACCCGAGAGTGGTTAGGGCGTGTTGGATTGATCATGCAAGAAGGATCCAGCGACTGCAATTAGACAGTGGTGGTTAATGCATAGGAAAAGTGGTGGGAATGGAAGAATAGCGGGGAAGCGAGCCCGAGGATGAAGCTGGCCTGTGCTGCGCTTTGCACTAATTGTAACCGCATTACCAGGCCTACGCAACCGCCCGGTAAAAGGAAATGAAAAATAGAACAAAAGCAAAGCTATCAATCGCTGGCAGAATTTATTCTTGTCAAAGCTGCTGTTGACCTAAACACTCGAGGGATACCGCGTACCCTAATGCCCTAAGGTACATACAGTAGTACTGAGGTACTGGTACAGAGCGGCAGCACTCTCCGCCGACGAGTTCCCCAAAATTGATCTTCACTCCTGAACCCCTCGCCCCTCCCTCCCCGAAATTCCCCTGCTCTTCCACCAACCCCTACTCCGTCGTTCCCACGTCTTGACACCGCTGCTCCCTCGCGGACCTGCAATCCATGTGGTGACAAGCAATTCGACAGGGTAATCGGGACACACACGGACAACCACGGCACCGGTCACAATGCCTGCCACTACCGCCCCGGAGGGCGCCCCCCTCGCCGACTACTTCTGGATCGCAGGTGTCGACGGCTCAGAGGTGCTGGAGACCTACCGTCGACTCGGCGACGACTACCGTATCAATGGCGCGGCATCCCCCGGCCCCGCCTTCACCGATGCCATCCAGGAAGACGCCGACGCCGAAGAGGAACACGCCCCCGACTCGCAGGCCTCTCGCCCGACCTCGACCATCTTCAGGGGCAACAGCCGCCGCAGCTCCAACCAGCGCCTGTCCACTCTCTCCCGGGACTCCGAGCATGCGAACGGCACCAGCAGCAACCGCAGCAGTGTCACTGTCAAAGGCGCCTCGTCGCCCGTGCGCGGCTCGACCTTATTCAGCGATGACTTTGATTTCGACCAGGCGCTGGTCAAGTTTGCCTCGGAGCGAGATACCTTTTTGACCGATTTGAGTTTGAGCGCCGGCGCCATCACGAATAACTCGCGCCCGCGGTCTCGCGTGCGCACCCAGAAGATCACCGCGGACGATTCGCCCTCGCAGGGTTCGGGCAATTTGCTCCGCTCGGGCATTGGGAGTGTCCGTCGGCATATGGCATTTCGGGATATGAATAGTATGAAGCGGCAGCCTTCAATTGCTCGACATGGTGGGTTCTGCTCAGCAGTGTTTGATTGGAATGTGCTAACGTATGTCTTGTGCAGCTTCGGTGCGCACCTCGCGACGACTGAGCAACTACAACTCGGTGATTCCGGTCCCGCAACCCCTGGAGATTTCCCCCACGATGCACCCGTTGAAACGCCGGTTCGAACCCGTCCTGCTCGACCGATACCCCACCCGCGACATGGCAGACGAGTTGAAGCAACGCGGGAACTTCCCGGACTATGTCCCCATGTTCGCCTTTCCCAATGATATCAACATTGTCTCCTCCGACCAACGACCCCGCTCGACCTGGCACGGCTTTGCCATGACCACCGATAACGGATCGAAGCTGCATGCCATCTGTGTAATCATTTGGATTCCATTGAACTCGCAGGCGGCAGATGAGCTGGAGAAGCGCTGCGAGGAGTGGCGGAAGGATAACATGACGGATGAGGAGCGGGAATTGGCTGCGAGTCTGGGTGAGCGTCTGGCGCAGGAGCGGGCGAAGCTGTCTCAGCTGCTGGCTAAGCTGCCGACTGTGCCCTCGGGATCCGAGTCTCGTGAACAGCTCGAGGACGAGATCAGTGCGGTAGAAGAAAAGATTGGCTTGATGAACGACCTCCTGCGTCCGGTGCGACATGGTGCGGCTTCCAAGATTGAGGGTCTCACAGATGGAGATACCGGTTTCTGGATCCCGCGTGCGTACGGCATTCTCGGCCGGGAGGCCAACATGACGAGCTTCTGGAAGGAGTGGCTGAAGGCCATCGTCGTTCCCATGACCGAAGGGGGTGTCCAGCGAGTACCGCCCAGCTCGCCCCGGATGGGCGTGTGGCAGCCAATTGAGCGCTATGTTATGAATCTCTGCACTGAGGCATTCTGCCCTATCTCGTCAAAGACGCAGGTCGAACTCGCCATTCGAGAATTGCGGCTGTTCGCGCGACAAGAGGCATCCAATGAGCTTCCTGGCTCTCGCAATACCGATTTGTATGCTCTCTTCCGTGCGCTGTCGGTTCCGAACATTATTATACTGTTCGAATATGCCCTGACCGAGTCACGCATCATTTTCCTGTCCTCCCACACCTCCATGCTCTACCTTGCTACCAGAGCTCTGGTCGACCTGTTGTTCCCAATTCAGTGGGCAGGTGTTTTAATTCCTGTTCTCCCAGCACGTCTGGTGCAGGCTATCGAGGCTCCCTGCCCGTATATCGTGGGTATCGAGCGGCGGTATGAAAAGGTCGAGCTCCCGACGGACGACTTTGTCTTGGTCGATTTGGACTCTGATATGATCGAGAGTACCGTGCGACCAACCCCTCTCCCGCGACACCAGCGCCGGAAGCTCCTGTCGCTCCTTCAAATGGCCGCTCCTCACCACAGCCGCTGTGGGGTTCCAACGGGACCTCCAGCATATGCCATCGAAACATACCCATGGGACACGTTCTTGTCTGAGAGCGGTTCCACATACACCTCGAAGGCGCCACCCACCAACCTTGCCAAGTATGTCGGTCTGAACTCCAATGCATTCGGTTCGACCGCGGTCGTTCCCAATTCCTACCATCCGCCCATCTTCAACGCATTCTTGCATGCTCGTAACGAGCAGGCATCGTCCCGCGGATATTCTTCGTCAAACCGTCCTGGAACAGCTACCAAGGCCGGTGCTTCGCCTCCTTCTCCGCGAGAGAGCTCTCCTACCTCTGGCCACTTCCCCCTCCACCTCCTACTCCCTCCTCGCGGAATGACTCGGGCATGGCGCTGCAGGCCTCGCTGCGTGAGAAACGATCCGGCCACTTTGACGCGGCGTCGAGGAGAAGCTCGTCGCTTGGCATGACTCGTCGGCCTAGTGCGCCGTTCCTGGGACATGCATCTAACCTGTCTGTCACCACTTTGAACACTGATAATGGCCCGGGCTCGACATATGCCCCATCCGTCTATGCGCAGTCGACCATTGCAGCATCGACAATTGTGCCGCAGTCTTCTGCGCAGTACGTCAATAACAACGAGGGTACTTGCTGGGTTGAGGGCCATTACTTCCAGACCCAGCCGTGGGACGACAAGTTGACCTGTGCGATATGTGACGACCGGGCCGAGGAGGGCATGTACAAGTGCTCTGCCTGCAAGCTGATTGTGCACAACCGATGCGCGTCTCAAGTCTGCTTGGTCTGCGATGCCGCATTCCACCCTGATCAGATCCGAGCTGCGTTCGTACGGTGCTTCGCTAGCTTGTTCTACACTTATAAGAAGTATCTCTTGCCAGCGAGCAGTGACAAGAAGAAGGCGGGATTGTACTACACTTTCAACATGGAGGCGTTTATGAAGAGCTTGCCGAATGAGCATGCTGAGTACATTGCTGTTTTGCAGCAGACGCAAGGTTAGTGCACCCTTTTTTATCTTCTGGATATCTACTCACATGTGTCTAGGCTTTATGGAATTCATCAGCGAGCGCGAACGAACCAATCCCAAGGCCAAGGACTCGAAAATGGCCCTCTTCGACGAAATCGTCCTCTCCAAACGCAACCGCGGCAGAACGTCCATCTTCTCCGGCCGCTCTACTACAGACTTCCTCTCCGACACATCCAACCACCTCTGGCGCACCGCGAGCGCTACGTTCTTCGCCCCTACCAGCCGTAGTCAGAATAACCTGTCTGCTGACTACAGCCGGGTTGCCCAAAGAGGTGTGTTTATCAACTACCATCCCATTGCTATGGCTTTTTACTAACGTGGATTGTGCAACAGCCCCGGCAAAACTCGACACAAGTCTTATGAAAGAACCCCGCATGATCCACGGTGCCCCCGGGTCTCCAAGACGGCAAATACGGCCCGCAGGAAGCCGCTGCCTAAAGTCATGAATGGACTGGCGATTTCCCCACCGAGTTAATTGGTGTGAAATTTGCATTGTCTGATTGACGCGGCTGGGCCAGATTGCCTTATGATGTTCCTTCCCGCTTTGAAACCCCTCCGGTCCAGCCCGAGGATTTCTTTCAATATTTCTGGTCTCCTGGTCTTGCGTGAGCCCATTATCTTCCAACGGGTCCATGCCGATACCAATCTCATGCGGGACTCCTACCCACTGACGGAATGAAGACAAGCCGCTGGCGGGCGTGTCTTTCTCAGAAGAGGGTTGAATTTTCGACTCGTCATCATCCAACTCTTGCAGAGCAAGTTCACGGATGTCGACACTCGTTATCGGTGTTCAGCCCCATATCCACGCTCTCGCACCGCCTGAAACAACCAGACGGTGCCCCACCCCTCTAAACTCCTTTCTCGTACATAGCATTCCCGGCTTGATGCAGGAATGAACAAAGCAAAAGCGCAGCATGTGATTGATTAATTGTGGAATCTTTCGATACTTGTGGTGAGGTGGAGTGATTTAGCAGATTCCTGTACTTTGTTTCTGTTTTTTCGAGTGTCAGGTGTTTTGTTTACCAATACCCCCCCTCGATTCGGCTGGTATTTCTTTTATGGTTTGGTTTGTGTTTGATGTACAGGCGGTATCTACTACCTAGGTGCCAGTGGTCAAGGTCATGGTCATGGTCTGGTTAGGGTTGGTGCTGGCTCTGATGGTTCATGAGTTGTCTATTTCTGATCATCTCAGTTAGATCTAATGGGTACATATCTTGGTTTTTTTGTTTTCTTTTGTTTTTGGATGTATGTGTATGTGTGATTTAGATGGCTGTGAATATGGATATATACGATACACCCCTCTTTACGTTGGTCTAACCTCAATTGTATCTACCAACAACTGAGTTTAGGTGTACGATTATAATAGTCTCATTATTCTTCCTGCTGTTCGTACTGCATAGTACCAGGTGTATTGAGTCGAATAGAGTAGCTCATGTGCTACTTTTTTCCCATGACCACTGCAAGGTTACTACAGCAGTAAATGCAAGGTGGCAGCCCTACCAATTACACTAGGGTAGACCCCTATCTAGTCCAGACCAACGGAAGCTACCTCCCGACGCCCGTACAATCTTGCTAAGCCGGCCCGGACCATTGGCCCAGTCTCAGCCGTGTCCTTGAGGCGGAAATTTTCCCCGTATCAGATGCGGATCAAGGGGCCTCTACTCGTAGACCACGACCATAGTACACTATGGCTGGTTAGATCAGTTATATATATCGCTCAATTCTCAAATATTCAGATCTTTTTTTAAACCATCCTTTATACCATATACTATTTCCCAACTTTGTTGTTTGTTGGGTGTTGCTTTTCCGTGGATGCCTATCCGATCTATACGTGGCTCGGACCGCCCGCTGATTGGCGGAAGAATAAGCCCCGTCCAGCGTTCCCCCGCGCCCCGCGGATGCTTCAAGGCGGCTTCATCGGTGCTTCTCGTTGCGCCGTATTAAACTCTACTCCATTGACGCTTCCATCTCGCTCTCGCTTTCCACCTGCTCCACCGCCATACCGCTACAACCCCCTCAGCGCACACCCTGTCCCTCAGCTAGTGGCATTGCATTGCTGTCACTGTGATTGCGCCGGTCAAAACCCGCTCGGCCTATGCACGGGTACTACTTTCTCTGATATTCGCCCCCTCCAGCCAGTCAGACCAGACCAACTTGGAAGTTCTACATTGCCACCGCGGTATTCAAAGCCGCCGTCCCAGCGCACACAAGGCAACGAGGGCGCATTCATCCAACACTCGCGTGACCAACCCTTGCAGAGAAGTATGAACCCTGCTATGCGATGATGCCAACTGCCCTCCCGCCGACCCCGACGCCTCTCCTTGACGAGGCCGTCCCGTCTGTCCTCCGTGATCCCGCGCCAACACCCAATGCCTCCTCCGCGCTCAATATCGCGACCATAGTCGCGGATCCCGCGTCCGCGCAACCAAATCATGTCGCCAATTCAAGCATCGCCGCACCGGCTGCGCCGGACTCAACGCCCGGGACTGTCGTGATCGTCTTCCAGCCCGGCCAGGAATATATCGTGCACATGGTCGCGGAGGTCCTGGGGAAACCCTGGACGACAGAGACAGAGCTTTCGACGCTGGCGCGTGCTAGTGGCGAGGCTGTTGTTGCGGGCGTCGTCATGCATGACCTTCAGCGTGGGTTGGACGGGTGTAAGAGTGTGCGCGAGACACTGGTGGTGATTAACACGCATAGTGTGGACGACGGGTCAGCGCCTGAGGAGGCGTTGAGCGAGATCTGTGATTACGAGTTCCTCTATTCGCGGACCCCGTTTCTACGGCGAGATTTGACGCGTTTTTTGAGTTTGGTGCTGGGGCAGACGAGGCCGCATGAGGAGTTGAGGAATAAGTCGCGCACGAATTTTATTTCGACGACGTTTCCCGACGTGCATGCTGCGTTGCCAAATTTGGATATTCTTTCTGTTGGCTCCGATGCGGTGGAGATTCGGGTCGATTTGCTCGTTGAGCCGGGATCCGACTCTGTGCCCAGTCTTAAATATGTTGGACGGCAGTTGATGTTGCTACGACAGCATACTGAGTTGCCGATTATTTTTACAACCCGCTGTACGAAGGAGAATGGGAAATTTCCCATGGATGATCCTGGGATTTTTTATCGGTATCTCCGAAGGGCGATCCAGTGGGGGGTTGAATATGTTGATGTGGAATTGTGGTTGCCGGAGGATATCCGGGCGAATTTGGCGAAGGTGAAAGGGAATAGCATCATCATGTCTGCGTTCCACGATTTCTCGGGGAATTGGAAATGGACCTCGGAGCGGGCGAATGTGATTTTCAACGAGAGCGCCAAATATGGCGATATCGTGAAGATGATTGCCATGGTCGAGACCGTCGAAGAGAACTACGAGCTGGAATACTTCCGCTCAACCATAAAATCTCGCGGCCCCGGGACACCTCCCCTCTCCGCCGTGAACATGGGTCAAATGGGACAATTGTCTCGAGCTTTGAATACCGTCTTCTCGCCCATTACTCACCCCCTCTTACCCATGATCGCGGCGCCAGGCCAACTAACCGCCGCGGAAATCAACGAAGCCCTACACATAATGGGCCAGTTGCCAAAACGTGATCTCTACGCCATCGGCTCCTTCCGCTCCACGCCGCACTCCATGTTCATGGAGAAATGCCTCAATGAACTTGGTCTGCCGCATTCATTTACCTCTATCGACCGCGGCCCAAAGGGGTCCATGGAATCGGTCCTGATGTCCCCGCAATTCGGCGGCGCATCCGTCAACCCGCCCGTTCCCGCCTCAACCTCCTACATCCCCATCACCAGCGACGCAGCTCGCGCAATCGGGCTGGTCGATACAATCGCCATAGCCCCTAACGACTCAGCCACCCGCTTCATCGGTGAAAATGCAGCCTGGAAGGGAATCCGCGCCACACTCACGAGGGACTACGTCCCATCAGCCTACAAAGGCCGCGCAGCAATCATCCTCTCAAGCACCGAGTCCGACGCCTCAGCATCAATCTTCGCGCTGCGCAGCCTCGGTGTCGGCGCAATCTACACCGTCGGCTTTCGAGCGACGGGTCCTCTAGCCCTCGGCCTGGAACCATTTACCTCGATCCAGTCTGTGAAACTGGTCGAGTCACCTTTCGTGATTGTTTCCGCCCTCCCTCCGGAGAAATCACTCCTTGTCCAGCCGTTGCTGAGGCACTATCGAGCCAACGGCCGTGCCTCGCCCCCGTCTACCCGTGGTAAGGTCTACCTGGATCTCACCTCCGGTCCGAGGAAGGGTGATCCGCTTGCTGTCGCGAACTCGGCGGGGTGGACGGCGTATGGGGCAGAGGATGTTTCGGCTTGGATTACGGTTGAGACGCTGCGCTTGCTCGTTGGGCAGAATGTGCCGTTTGATTTTGTGAGGATGGCGTCTGGGAGGACTATCTTTTGATTTCATTGACTATGGGATGTAGTACTCAAGATGCTGTACGTGTACTAGTTGACCCTGGTACCAGTTTTCATGGTTTGGATTGCATGGTTGGTTTGGATGTTCGATGCAATAGATATTGTCATCGTTTGGTGTTTGGACTGGGGAATACATTGCATTATTAATCTCTTTCCCCAAGTATTTTTGATCTCGCTTTAATGTGTAGGACCAGACTTACCTCGGTTTTTGGTAGAGTATTCTTGTGCCTTTGTTCAACGTTTATATAACAGTGTACGTGTGAAATTAGTCATCAGGGTGGCTGGCCTAATGGTAAGGCGTCAGATTTCGGTTCTGAAAATTACGGGTTCGATCCCCGTGTCACTCTTTTGGATTTTTTTTTGTTCTTGGAAGTTGCGAGAGGCCTCGTCTATTTTTTGGTTGTCTTCTCTGCTAATGGGGGACTCGTACCAGATAGGAGTGGAAAAGAAGGCGAAGTCGGGGTAGAGTGAAGGAGGCAACGTGTGTGCCACGTGTGGAGGGAGCTTCTCGGTTGCTTCCCCGCAGCCGAAGAATGAATGGTCAACATTAGCGTATGGTACGGATGTTAGAATAATTCAGATTTTTCCAAATAGAACGTATAGTGCAATTGAACATTATCTCCTCATATTGAACACACTGCACGCCAAAAATGATTGATCTATCGACCAGAACTCTCTCCGTTAGAATAGAATCGCATCGGTCCCCACCCCAATTTCATCCCATCTTATCGCCAAATCCGGGGCAACCCTCTCTCACCTTTCCCCAGGAACACTTGTCGAGTCGCCCCAAACAGCCCAATGCTATGCTGCGACAAGTAACAACCTTACGAGCCCTCCGATCCCACCGCATCTACAAACTCACACCCACACCAACATTCACAAATAGAAAAATGCACCTCCGCCCCGACCACGCAGTCCACGACCTCCCAACCCTCCACGCATTTATCCGACAACACCCGTTGGGCCTCCTAACAACCTCGCTCCCATCAACCGACTTCCCGACGCTGCAATGCACGCATATACCCTGGGTCCTTGACCCTCCAGAGGGTTTTGCAGACGCAGATCTAAACTCTAATTCGAATTCGAAACCGGAGAAAGGGAAGCTGCGCGGTCATATTGCCCGCACGAACCCGCATACAAGGGCGATGGTTCAGGCTGTTACGGGAACGGGGAGGGATGCCGGGTCCGATTTCGTCACGGCGGATGCCAGTGGTACGCAGGGCCTGACTCTACCTGGTGAAGTCTTGATCGTGTTTACAAGTCCGATCGATCACTACATCTCGCCGCATTTCTATACCGAGACGAAAAATTTGAATGGGAAGGTTGCGCCGACGTGGAACTATGCTGCTGTGCAGGTTTATGGGCGGATGGTTGTTTATCATGATGTAAAGGATAAGAAAACTGGACGGTTTCTTATGGATCAGTTGGGGGATTTGGCGAGGCTTGGTGAGGTTGGTGTTATGGGGTATACTTCCAGAGAAGGATGGAATGATGGGACGGATGTGGAACGAGGCGATCAGGGACGATCTCCGTGGGAGATTGCCGATGCCCCGAGGGAGTACATCGAGACGCTGAAGAAGGGCATCGTCGGGATGGAGGTGGAGATCACGAGGGTTGAGGGCCGGTTTAAGGTTAGTCAAGAGAAAAGGGGGATGGATCGCGAGGGTGTTGTGGGCGGGCTTGAGGCGATTGGAAGTGCGCGGGCGAGCGAGATGGCAAGGTTTGTAAGGAGTGGGAGGGTCGTTTAGAATTGGTGGAGGTGAGACGGAGGGCGGCGTCTTGGGTTGCTTGTGTGCGGTCAGAGCGCATGTCGCATGTCCTGCAGGCTTTCTTCAGCGTACCCTTTACCCGATGCTGTCGAATCGGAGGCACGAGGTTACGAGGGTACTCGTTTCCCTGGGATCAATTTACATATTGTGTACATGGATTGGATGCCGCTTGGCGCTGTATATACTCCCTACCCGCTCAATGACGACTCGAGAATGCTTGTGACTACCGCGTGTTTATGGGCCTTCTACTACTTGGTTCTATTGCCATCCCTCGGTTGTCACGCAGCTCGCGTGGATTCCCTGCATTCTGCAGACGGTACTTCTCTAGCCGATGCAGGGGTGCGCAAAACCGGGACACTCAACGGTCTGCGGAGGATACTTGGTCAGGACTAGATCAGGGTCCCAGTGGACTCTCCGTCTCCGAAATAGCAGGTTCGGGGTGATCCATGAGAGGAGACAAGAGGCAAAAAGACCACTTGACACGTGTGGGACTACCCCGCCGGCGCTTAGAGTCTTCCTTCATCTCTGTCATGTTTCATCTTGTCGCGGATGCAGAGTGAAAGTGAAAGGCGGTGCAGAGTCGCCATTGTCCATGCGGAGACTCTGCACGGCATTGCCGGACTGGTGGCTTCGGACATGTGGAGAGTAGCGTGCGTAATGGATATAGTCAGCGCGAATATGACAGGGATGTGGTTGAGTGGCAATGCGACTCCAGGCGAGAGAGGACCAGCTGGGGTGGCACTTTGTACCTAGGCAGGGATAGTATGGAGGAATGAACCCGTGATGAACAGGGGCACGCACAGTGGATTGGTGTTAGGGTCTCGGAATGGCAGAGCGACAGCCCTAACGACGCTAGAGGCGGAGGTGGTGCAAAGCAGTAGTTGCCCCGGGGTTCTGGCCCGGATTAATCAATGGGATGAGGGAGAACCATACCAGACTGATCCTAGCTCACCCTTGCTCGCTCTAGAGTGACTCTAGAGTGCTGACGAGGGTCAAAGTCGCCAACATCCTAGGGTGGGCACTAGCTGGGACTAGCACTGCTGGTAGTTGTGGTGCAAGAGGAAAAGCCGCTAGAATCGAAGGAACGAAACTCCGGCGGGACTGGCTTCTCCGCATTTCCTCCACAACTCCTCCCCTCTTAACGCCAGCTCTTCCCCATGCGCGTCCTCTTAGCAACTCCTGTCCGATCCTCGCCATGTCGCGTCCGCAGGTCAGCATTGACCGTCTCACGCCCCGCCGCGCGACGGTCGAGCCGCGTGAGGCCATGAACTGCAAATCCTGTCGTAAGAGAAAGGTCCGTGGTCTCAGCTGTCCTTCCCAAGGCTCAATCTGACCGGATTTCGCCCAGATCAAATGCAATCGCTTGCGGCCCAGCTGCGAGGCCTGCAAGGTCTTTCAGTGTCCCTGCGTGTATGGTGAGTCGGGCAGCTGTCAAAACCCGCTGATCTCGGCTGATCTGGGATGTAGATGCCGTCCCGAAAAAGCGCGGCCCCAAGACAGACGTGCTGGAAGCGCTGCTCAAGCGCGTCGATGGTCTGGAGAAGAGATTGCAGGATGAAAAGAATCCTATCTCGCCGACCTCTCCGGATGCCACGCCGGATGAATTACCCGCGCAGCCGCCAGTGGGACAGAATGGGCGACGCAATACTATAAATGCTTCCTCCTTCAACTTTAACTCGAGCGATGCGCGACCGGCATTGTCAACATCCATGTCGCAGACAGCGGACTCCTCCCAAAGGCCGGAGTCGTTCCAAAAACCGACCGGTCCCGCGCAGAGTCTACCACAGCAATCGCAACACATGCAGCCACAATCCCAGAGTAGCGTATTGTCGGATATTCTACTCGATGCGTATTTCGGGCGAATGCACGGCAAGCCGTTCTTCGTCATCGATGAGGCGAGTACACGGCAGCGTCATCAGATGAAGCAGCTATTTCCCCCTTTGGCAATGGCGATATCGGCCATGACTATTAGGTAGGCTTTTGTGCTGTCGTGATCGTCAGGTTGCTAATGCCGCTGCAGATATACTCATACAGCCGGGCAATCGGACCAATCCCTGCGTATCGGTCTAGATGCTGCTCTGCAAGCGCGACGCATAATTGATGTCGACAATCCTACTGTCGAGGGACTCCAAACTCTGCTCTTGCTCTCACAGGCCTTTTTCGCCTACGGAATGGGGAAGAAGGCATACATGACATTTTGTAAGAATTTCTTGATAAAAATATCTCATTATGTACTGACTCGCTCTAGCAAATTGCGCCGCGATGGTGGTTGCACTAGACCTTCTCCGCGAAGTCCCCTCCAAATCCAACATGCCCCCATCCGAGCGAGAAATGCGCCGTCGACTATTTTGGTCAGTCTACCTCATGGACCGCTTCATAACCTGTGGTTCCCGCCGCCCCTGCCTCATATCCGATCACTCCATCCTCCTGCGTCTCCCGTCTTGGTCACCCCACGCCGCGGGCCTGAACATGGAAGGCGAGCTCTTCCACGTCGGACCCAACATCCAATACTCTGCCGACTCCCGCCGCAAATCCCCCAGTGCCGCATCTCTCCTGATCGATATTACTCGTATTCTTGGCGTGACGAACCGCTACTTGGCCGCGGGTGGCGTCAAGGGCGACTCGCATTTCCCTTGGCACGCCCTCTCGAACCTTTCCAAAATCCGACAGGAATTGGATATCTGGGCAGCAGGCACCCAGGATGTCTTTGCGTCTATTGAGGCTTTATTCGGACATCCAGAAAGCACGACCTTGCTGTTGAGCAAGCTGATTTATCATCTCGTGCACTGCCTCATTTACCGTCCCTTCCTACCGATTGACCTTGTCGAGCTCAGAGGAACGGGTCAGCATCAATCATGGCAGATTGAAGCGACGAATCTGTGCTTCTCGCATTCGAATGCTATTGCGGAGCTTGTTGAACTGGGACGGAACTCACCGCTGGTCGAGTGGCCTGCATTTGTGGGATATTGTGTCTGCACGGCGGGTACTGTGCATGTTCATGGTGTTCACTACAAAGGGCGTGAGGGAGAGGTTTTTTCGTCAAGTGGAGAATTTCTTACCCGTGAGATGCATCAGTTGGCCTGGCTGCGCAATTTCTGGGCTGGAGTTCAACACCAGCGGGACTTGCTGCAGACTATTTATACGTGTCATTCGGAGTTAGTTCGAAACCTCTCTACCAGCCCGATGCGCTTCTCGCCGGTCTTTCATCTAGAGGACTTCCTGGATCGCTACCCAGGTCTTGCGATGGATGGTGCGCACGTTCGACTGGTGGATACAGGTGACGAACTTATTTCAAGGTACGTACTCCTCGTTAGCATCATATAATCCTGTTTACTAACCCATCCAGCCCAACAACCTTCATCGGACAAGACTACTACAACCGAATGCCACCACCAACGTACCAACCCCAATTTTACCGCCCTCCGACACTCCACTCCCAACCCCAAACACAAACCCCCGACTCGGAACGCAGAAACTCCCACAAAGAGATTTCCCCTATAACATTCAACCAATCCCCCTCCCTCTCAAACCTCTTTCCCATCCAACCAGAAATTCAAGATCAATCCAAAAACACCCACCTCACCATCCCAAATACATTCTCCCCCTCAAACTTCGCCCTCTCCCCCCACATTTCCTCACAGACCCATCCTTTAACATCGCGCCCACCCCCCCCCCTCAAACCCTCAATACGCAACCTTTCCCTTCGACGCTTCTGCCGGCGCGGCTCTCACACCCGGCGCGCAGAGCCAGACGAGTGGCTCGCATACGGCGGGGAGTGAGGCGGGTTCTGGGGCCGTGGAGAAGGATCCGTTTTTGAGTTTGCTTGAGCAGCTTGCCGAAAATGAGAATTCGCAGGGGGGTCCCAGTGAGCTTGATTTCTTTTTGGGTGCTGTTGAGGAGGGGGATGCGGAGGAGAAGGAGTTGTAATGGGATCTTCCTGTGAACGAGTGTATTTGTATGATTTGATAGGGTTGGGCTGTGTTTCTGGAGTTTGGGATGGTTGCTCTAGTTTTATTGAGCGATATGTGAATTTTTGGAATGAACTGTTTTTCCTGTTGTTACGGTTGGTTTGGAGGTGCATGGCTTGAGTGGATGGGGGTGTACTAGCATGTCCTTTCAAAAGTGGGCTCGGCGTTTGAAGCTCTTTTCAGTACATAAAGATATCCTGTTCAATGTTAAGTGTATACAACCAAGTCCGAACTCCAAAAGTGTGTCTAATTGACAGTATATAAACTGAGATCTAGTATCGAAAGGTCCTACTTCAAGGAAATATCTAAATCCACCCATCCTCCAAATCATAAACCAACCCCCTAACGAACTCCCCAACTTACCCAATATTCTCCCCCAGCCATTTCTAAAACCCATACTCCTTCGTCTTATTACTCTCAAAGTTCTTTAACCCCGAGCTCCCAGACCCAAGCCGCATAAACCGCCCCGGAACCGAGAACGCCTCCCAAGGCCTCTTCCCATATGCAAACCCCCTCCAGATCCCCGCCAACTCTCTAAAAACAGTCTGTGTAGAAGGCGGAAAAACTTCAAAGCTCATTCACATGCAGCATCATGGCGCAGAGCCCATGATACGAAAGACCGCTTGTCGGCCCCGGGAAGGGAGATGTGCTTCGAAGTGCTATAGATATAGCCGAAGGGGGTGTAGAGCTCGTTCGCCTCGTCAGGTGTGAACGAGCTATCCACGCACGTGTGGAAGAGCTATAGTGAGAGTCGGACAAGTAGGGGCAAGTAGTCCGTCAAAGATTGATGCCTCGACATTCGTATCGACTTCTTTGCACTGGGTGCTCGAGACATTATCTTCATACTTCCATCCTTCTTTGTGGAGTTTCCCATCCGCAACAGGACCCATAGCTGCTCGCGTCGAGTTCTCGATGATGGACTATACGTCCAATCCCTGAGTTTCCCCAGCCATTCCGCAGTGGTAGCACCCTCCCAACCCCCGTCCTGTTACAAATACGCTCCCACTCCCTCTGAAACCAAGGTGGGCTCAGCGGCCAAAGAGCAGGCGCAGAACCAGACATCAACTCGCCCGATCGATGAAGAGCAAGTACCTCGGATTGGTCAGTGGTACAGTGCAAAGTGGACTGGTTTCGGTCTCGTTTGGTGTGCTTGTCTGGGCAATCGCACTTATTGGTTTGAGCGCATTCTAGGAAATTGGCTGTGCTTTACTGACATTGCGTTTAGGTTGGCAACATGTTCCCCTGCCAGTGGATGTTCATCGTATTCGGCGCATTGACTGTTCTGATCGGTATCAGCCCCTGGTGGATTCTACCAGAAACACCTGTGAGATGTACCTGGCTCAACGAGCGTGAGCGGATCATTTCCGTTCAGTGTCTCAGGGATAACAGGACTGGAGTCAAGAAAAACCACCACAAGAAAGAGCAAGTCCTCGAAGCTCTCACCAACTACCGTGTCTGGATGCTTTTGTTTGCAGTCTTCTGCCACAACTTGACAAACAGTCTTCAAACAAACTTCGGCATCATCATTGAGGGCTTCGGCTACAACACCTACCAATTAGTCCTTCTCCAAATCCCAGTCGGAGCCATCATGGCCGTCTCAATGATTATCATCAACTTCTTCCTCTCCTCTAACTGGGGCCAATGAAAGCAAATCTTTACAATGATCTCCTGCTATATTTCCGGCATCATTGCCTTTAGACTCCTCTATGGCATTCCGGTGAAGCCGTCGACCCTCGGCTCCCACCTCGCTGCAATCTATTTCATTCCCATTGTTGCCACCTCTGGCGGTCTGATGTATGCTTTGCTCGCCGCCAATATTGTAGGGTATACCAAGAATACTGTAACGGGCACTTTGTTCTTCTCGGCTTACTATGTGGCTAAAATCGTTTCGCCTCATACGTTCCTCGCGTCGGAGGCGCCGAAGTAAACGACCAGGGTTCTTGTCACCTTGGCCGCGTTTGTTTTTAACATTATTCTCTTTTCTGTTTTGTATATTGTGTACTCGAGGGATAATGCTGCCCGTATGCGCAAGAGTGCAGCGGCTGAACAAATTGATGAGGCGAGTGATTTGGCTAATGCTTTCTCCAGAATAGGCCGTTGCTCTTTAAGATTTGAGTCGTTCCACTACACAACACTCGGTCGACTCGGTCGGCGCTTGCATTTGCTGTCATCAATTGATGCATTCATATTCATTGCTATCTGATATTCAAGCAATCATCACCGATCTTCTCTGCATGGATCTCTCCCCATATTGCGCTGTAGCCATTCTTTGGCCCCCATCAAACAACATCGGATTCTCTTGTTCGAACTCTTCCCTCGTGGACACTGGTAGCTCAAAGTGCTTCGTGATGTCCATGTAGTCTTGTGCATCTTGTCCATACGGAGCATTCAATATATTTACTGTTGCCCGTGGACTCACAGGGTGACTAAATGATTGATCTACTCATAATGTCAGCTTAAGATGTTGAATGACGAGCAGCAGGGGAATACTACCTGGAGTGAAGCTGGATGCAAGAAGCAGAGCCGGCTGACCCTGTTGATCACATGCCTCCTTCCTCTCTGCTTTGCTTCTCAGATCCCACCGTCTTCTTGATGGAGGCGGAATAAACTCTTTCACCGGCTTCTCTGCACCATTGTATCGGCCCCGCGACGCAATGCCAGCCCCCCAACGAAGCCGAATCTCATACCCTTCACACGCGAGGCCGCGCGAAATACATTTTTGGCACCCCGGTCGCGCCTCGTCACACTGAATGCGCTTCTTCTTGCAGGTCCAACACCCTCTATGCGATCGGTGTCGAGTGCTGGTCGCTTCTTTTCTCTTATTATCGGAGGACGCCATCGTTGGAAGCAGCAGGAAAGAGTGTGAAATGAATTCTGATGCGACCACAGGCCCGATCGCTCATGCTGGTCATATACGCCCTCGCTGCGAGTATAGCACGAGCTGCGCGCGCGCTGATTGGAGAATCAAACTTCTCAGAGCGAACAAATAGCGCGCTCTAGTCCTTCTTAGGGAATGCGTCCCGGATGGAATGCAACGGCCCAGCTTATATTTGGCCCTCAAATTCCCTCGCAATGAGAGTCGCTCTTTTTTCTATTTTCGAGTCTTGCCGTAACATTATATCCCAAGTTTAGTTTCGTTGACTGTCTTACCTAATCGACTCTGATCTCGAGTGGAGCTCTCGGCACCGTTCGCCTCTCCGCTCTTTCGGGCAGGTACAAGCAAGCGCTATCGCTCGCCAAAACGGCCCACCGAGCTTCTCGAGCGACTTTAGGCAGATGCTCTTCGTGTCATCTCGTCCCGTACCTGGATCGCCAGGCTAGGGTCGAACGGGTAAGTCAAAACGCCTGCTAGTGACCCGACCCGAGACGTGAGCTCTGCCCTACACTCCGGACTCGCCACATCGGAAACCCGAGGAACCACGGCGCTCTGGTGTGTCATGGATTCGGGGCAAGCAGCCATTTGCGCTGCTTCGGGGGTTTCTCCACGGGACTCCGGCATTCGTGTCGAGATCCATTGAGAGAGGAGATCGTCGTCCCGGATGATTTCATGCGGGTGAAGCCAACCTCTGCTACCCGCATCTACCTTCCACACCAGGAAGATCCAGCCTACGTCGAGCGTCGGTGGAGATATTCACCGTGGTCGTCTTGAGGAGAATTGCTTCTGTTTCGCTTGCTGGCGCAGGCCATAACCAAGTTCTGACAGCGCTAAGTGGGCCAGTCTCGGTGAGGACAGGGCCATCTTTGAGGGACAAGACCACACAACCCGACGCCCGTGGGGTTCCCCAGAAAAAAGAAAAAACCCCGGGTGGTTGGGGAATGGGGTTGAATATCTACCCTTCAAGTATATACTGGTCCAAATATCTCGATCGTGGGTGCTGTAGACTCGACATATTCATCTTCATCTTCGCTGGGATCTGGATAAGACCTACGACAAAGATTCACATCAACATACGGAAATGACCCCCATCGACCTGGTCTGACATAATTTCTCTCTCAAGAAAAAGAAAACTTCTCATATTGCCTCAGCCCCGCGATGGACGTGGAAACCGAAACCGCTTGCTGGAAACCGACCGAACAACAGATCCAAGATGCGCAGGACCTCGCGGACTTTGGCCATGGCCAGACGCTGGAGCGCAAGTTCAACCTCTGGAGCATGCTAGCTCTGGCGTTCTGCGTCTTGGGTACTTGGTCGACTTTTGCACAGGATCTTTCCGATGGCCTCGTCAATGGTGGTCCCGTTTCTATCCTCTGGGGCCTAGCCCTCGTCACATTCTGCAATACCTGCGTGGCAATCTCTCTAGGAGAGATCTGTAGCAGCATGCCGACGGCATTAGGTCAGGCCTACTGGATCTATCGGCTGTGGAGTTCCCCCTGGGGCCGTTTCGTCTCCTATATCTGTGCGTGGATCAATGTCTTTGGCTGGTGGACGCTTGCTGCGTCCCAGGTTGCATTTATGACGAACTTCCTGCTGGGAATGAAGGTCATGTTCGATGCAGACTGGACCGGTGCCTCGCAGGGCTGGTTGGAATTCGTGGTGTATATTGGATGTGTTTTTCTTCTCACCCTGATCAATGTTCTTGGTTGTCGACGTGACTCCTTCCTCCCTTGGTTGAATAACTTTGTTGGAGTCTGGTTCTTTGGCTTGTTTTTCGTCTTCTGTCTGGCCCTTCTTATTTCTGTGGGTATCAAGTCTGGTCTCCATTACCAGCCGCCCTCATTTGTCTTTGGCAAGTGGATCAATGAGACTGGGTGGTCAGATGGCGTGGTGTGGTTTATGGGATTGGTCCAAGCAGCGTGAGTAACACCCACCCTCAATAATATTCATGATTGACACATAAAACAGTTATGGTTTAACTGCGTTCGACGCCGTCATCCATATGGTGGAAGAGATCCCCGCTCCACGAAAGAATGCTCCCAAGGTTATATATTTTGCTGTCATCTCCGGCGCCATCAGCGGCTTCATTCTCATGATGGTCTGTCTCTTTTGCATTCAAGAAGTGAGAACAGTTATCGATGCTCCCAGCGGCCTTCCATTTATGCAATTGGTTCAGGAAACCGTAGGCCTGAACGGTGGCGCCGTGCTCATCGCCCTCTTCATCACCAACGGCCTGGGCCAAAGTGTCAGTATCGTGACGACCGCGTCTCGCCTGACCTGGGGATTCGCCCGTGATGGTGGACTTCCTTTCAGCCAATACCTTGGCTATGTCGACCCCGTTTGGAAGGCACCAGTTCGCGCTCTATGGTTCCAGGGCTGTCTGATCGCCCTGGTGGGCATTCTCTTCCTCTTCGCGGAGACCGTTCTCAATGCTATTTTGAGTGTGAGCACTATCGCCTTGACCATTTCATACGGCCTTCCCATCATGACCGTGCTCCTTGTTGGACGCGACCAGCTTCCGCCTGGAGGGGAATTCCGTCTTGGAAAGCTTGGAGTCCCGGCGTATTGTGTCAGTCTGGTTTACTGCATCATCACTTCCATTTTCTTCTTCTTCCCGACTGCGCCTAATCCTTCGGGTGGGGAGATGAATTATGCTATTGGCGTGTTCGGTGTTATGCTGGTGATTGCCATGTCTTTCTGGTTTATTCAAGGCAACCGGACGTACCTCAACACCGAGGACTCTTCCATTGCCATGGTCATTCAGGCACATGATGCCGCACCGAACGATGCTCAGACCTCTCTTCAGAACAAGCAGGACTCTCAATGAGGCACACTAAGAGAAGTGTGAGCGGAGTGTTATACAAGTGATGGGGTTGGTGGCGCTGGCATGAACCATTCACGGTGGAAGCTTTGGATTATTGTATATAGACTCTAGTAGAGTACATAGATGGTGGGCAATGTAGATAGACTATGATTATGAACATATACAGATATTAAATATGCTGGTGAATTCACTTTTATATTGTCGCACGGCTTCGGGACGACCAGTCCACCTCATCATGGCTCCGTTGCTAGATGCAATTGAGCATCGACGAGGCGCCAATGTTGAGGCGGTCAGAGCCAGGCTCGAGCTTGCTAGTGTGCCCCAGCATCCACCTGGTTGGCTAAATATCGAATTGTTCAACAATTCTCCTTTTCAAACTTTCGCCAGACTCAAGCAGCTGATGCAAACTATTGAAGATCCCTTTCCCAAGCATCCGCCACCACTCCCACGGCCGATGCATTTTTTGAGGACTGTGGAAGAGCTGCGCTTCCCGAATGGGGAGTAGCTAAGTGTTCCCCCATGAAGCGCTGGAAGGCTACAGTGAGGATGGTACTACATGACGACTAACGATAGATTACGTGAGAACTCTGGAACGCATCCTCTATCCACATGGGGAAAGGTAAGTTTTACACATGAAGCAGTGACAGTCAAGTGGTTTAGGGACAAAGAACACATTGATATTCACACACTTTTTTCAAATCAACACAGAGTAAGCTCAAAGCTTCGACTTCATATTAACATGCACAGCCTTCACGCTCGAATAAGCCTCCAGACCGGCCTCGCCCAGTTCCCGACCAATACCACTCTGCTTCACACCACCGAACGGAATGCGCCAGTCGCTATCGTTGCTGGAGTTGATCCAGACCATACCGGACTGGATCTGCTTGGCGACACGGTGAGCGCGGGTCAGGTTCGTAGTAAACACAGCGCTACCGAGACCGTACTCGGTATCGTTGGCCATCTGAACAGCCTCCTCCTCGGTGCTGAACTTGGCAATAACGCAGAAGGGACCGAAGACCTCCTCCTGGTAAATGCGCATTTTGGGAGAGACGTCCGTGAAGACAGTGGGCTCGAAGAAGAATCCTTTGCCATTACCAACGCCCTTGAACGGCTTGCCACCAACAGCAAGAGTAGCCTTCTCGTTCTTACCGATGTCAACGTACGACATGATACGGTCATACTGGGCCTGTGTCACCTGGGGACCCTGGAACGTAGACTCATCGAAAGGATCGCCGACCTTTGAAACATTCTTGATCTGCGCCTTGAATGCCTCCAAGAACTTATCGTAAATCTTATCCTGTACCAAAATCCTGGATGTAGCAGTGCAGATTTGACCCTGGTTGTACATGATACCGATATGCGCCCACTCGACGGCCTGTTCGAGATCGGCGTCGTTGAAGACGACCAGAGGACTCTTGCCACCGGTTTCCAAAGTGATGTTCTTCAGATTCACGCTGGCCATCTTCATAATGTGCTTGGCTGTCGCGGTGCTACCGGTGAACGCAATCTTGTCCACGTCCATGTGGGAAGCAAGAGCGGCACCGGTGACAGAGCCGTGGCCGTTGACGATGTTCACCACGCCAGGAGGGAAGCCAGCTTCCACGATGAGGTTCGCCATGAACAGGATCGACAGAGGGGTCTGCTCGGCGGGCTTCAGGACGATTGCATTGCCGCAGGCAAGCGCGGGACCGAGCTTCCAAGCAGCCATGGAGAGGGGGAAGTTCCATCTATCAAACAAACATTAGGCCCCCGCAAAGAACCCACTGGTCTGGAAGTACTCACGGAATGATCTGGCCGCAAACCCCAACGGGCTCACGAACAGTGTAGGCGAACTTGTCCGGGGTGGTGCCAATAACCTGTCCGAAGATCTTGTCGGCATATCCGCTGTAGTAGCGGATAGTCTCAGCGGTCTCGGTCAGATCGTCGTCACGCGAAACAGTGTAGGGCTTTCCGTTGTCGCAGGTCTCGATGGTCGCAAGGGTCTCGCGATTATCCTCGATCAGCTGCGCCAGACGGTTCATCATCTTGCCACGCTCAACACCGGGAAGATCTCTCCAGCTAGGGTCATTCAGCGCGGCGCGCGCGGCCTTGACAGCCTTGTCGACATCCTGCTCCGACGCAGCGTAGACAGATGTGATCTCTTGCGCGGTTCTATGTCCAAGTATTAGCGCGATTGAACCTTGTCAGATGTCGGACGGTCCGAAAAGATGTCAACATACGCAGGGTTGATACTGGCAATCTTGTCGCCAGTCGACGACTTCACCCATTGATTGTTGATGAACAGACCAGTAGGCTGAGCCCAAGTGCGGCCGTTGGGCGCCTTACACTGCACAGATAATGAAGCCATTGTGAATTGAGATGTTCAAGTTGAAGATTGACTCTAGAGGAAAGAGCAGGCGATCGAGTACAGCTGAGATTCTTAAGACTAGTGGGCCTTGTTGTCAAATGCAACTACATCACCGATAACAGCGATAAGCGATTCGCCAGGACATGCCGAAAGAAGCAGGTCGATGGTCCCCCATCTCTGGAGAAGACCCACACGGCATCTCCAGACGATCCCGAGTCCGGGAGAAGGCCGTGACTCGGAGTGTGGGGTAGCCGCTAGGCCTAAAGGGGGAGGTCCACGCAATCACGGTCGCCGCGGGAGACCGAGATGGCAAACCGTACGTGCAGTACAGCACTTGCCGATAGATGAGAAAGAATGATTTACGTGAATGATCGAGATGAAGTATACTGCCAGACGATAAATTAAGATCTGACGATGCATTTTTCCTTGTCTATATTCGAGTGTATGGCCATGTGGCAACCACGATTTTGTCCTCACGTGGTTTGCTTCCCCACGAAAACAGATAAGCTTGATCCAATTTGGCAGACCAGCACAACTGGTCCTGGCCGAGCCAACACATTAGGGTTGAAAAGTTTACACATAGGGTCAACCTGCCCTATCGGCGAAAGGGGCCTGTCACTCCTGCATGGCAGACGGTCGGAGCCAGCGACACTCAGTCTGTGAGAGGTGATTGGCCACGACTTCCGCCAAAAAGGCGAACTTACGCAAAAGATATTACCTGACAGGATGGGGCAAGACAATGCAGAACGGCCTTCTCCAGGCTTTCGCCAAACTGAGAAAACTGCGGGAGTGCCCACCCTGCCCACTCGCCCACTGTGGTCGGGAAGACTCGCAAGACCGCCGCGTGCCAGGCAAAGCCTTTCTCGACTACCGGATCAGGCAGGTACATGCGGGTATCTATGGATCTGATACAAATGGCCATGGTCTATATAAGGGTTCGCCACGGTCGACGATGAAGTCTTTACAGCTTCACAAGTTCTTCTCTACCTCCATCTTTCACCATGGCTTCTGCCCCTGATACCACTTCCATCCCGGGTTACACCATCTTCCGGGAGGGAGACTATGACAGTGTTGCTGCCACTGCCATGCTCCCGCAGGGCACCCCCCACCCGCTCGGTACGTGATAAGATAAAAAAAATGTGTCTGCAGCGCAGCTTGCACCAACAGCATCGCCATGTGCTAACCCACAATAGACCAGCTTTCCATCAAGGAAATTCCTACTGCTGCCAAGCTCGTCCGCGAGTACTGCAGCCCGAAGACCGTCAAGTTCAACTGCATTACTCTGCGCGAACCCAAGAAAGCCGAATATGCCGCCTTCAAGGCGGGCAAGATCCCAACCCCGGACCGCCGTGCCTTCGCCATCATCATCATCCGCGAGTCCGAGCAAGTCGCCGAGGTCGTCGTCAACCTGACCAAGTCCAAGGTCGAGGAATACAAGGAGGTCAAGAATGTCATGCCCACTCTGACTCTGGAGGACCTTGACGTGATGGAGCGCATCGCTCGCAAGGATCCCCGCGTCATCCGCGCCTGTAACGAGATCGGTATCACCGATATGTCCAAGGTCTTCCTTGATGCCTGGGCCATTGGTATCGACGAGCGCTGGGGCTTCGACCGTCGTCTGCAGCAGGGTCTGGTCTACTACCGCAACTCCGAGTTCGACAACCAGTACGCCCATCCGCTGGATTTCAGCGTTGTCGCTGATACAGAGAAGGAGGAGGTTCTCAGCGTTGATGTTCGTCTTGTTAATGGCGAGCGCACTGCTGCCCCCCTGAAGGAGCACAACTATCTCCCCGAGTTCATCGGTGACAAGTACAACCACGACCGCCTCAAGCCCATCGACATCACCCAGCCCCAGGGCGTCTCCTTCAAGGTCCGCGGCAACGAGCTCTCCTGGGCCAACTATAAGATGCACATCGGCTTCAACTACCGTGAGGGTATTGTCATCTCCGATGTCCGCACCCACGACATGTACGAGGACCGCGAGCGCACTCTCTTCAACCGTATTTCCGTCGTTGAGATGGTCGTCCCCTACGGCTGCCCCGAGAAGCCTCACCACAAGAAGCACGCTTTCGATGTCGGCGAGTACGGTACCGGTCTGATGACCAACTCCCTCAAGCTGGGCTGCGACTGCAAGGGTGCCATCCACTACATGGACGGAGTCATGTCCACTGGCAACGGCGAGGCCGCTGTCATCAAGAACGCCATCTGCATCCACGAGGAGGACAACGGCCTTCTGTACAAGCACACCGACTACCGCGACGGCACCGTCATCTCTGCCCGTGACCGCAAGCTCATCATCTCGCAAATCATCACCGCCGCCAACTACGAGTACGGCTTCTACCACACCTTCACTCTGGACGGCACCTACAAGCTCGAGATGAAGCTCACCGGCATGCTCAACACGTACTGCATGCACCCCACTGAGACTGCCGCCCCCTACGGCACCCAGGTCGCCCCTGACATCAACGCCCACAACCACCAGCACCTCTTCTCCCTGCGCATCGACCCCGAGATCGACGGCGTCAACAACTCTGTCATCCAAAGCGACGCTGTTGCCTCCGATCACGCCGTCGGATCCCCCGAAAACCCCTACGGCAACGCCTTCCTCAGCAAGAAGACCCCCCTCCGCACAGCCCTCGAAGGCGCCGCAGACTACTGCTACGAGACCAACCGCTCATGGGACATTGTGAACCCCAACCGCATGAACACCATTGCCAAGAAGCCCGTAGGCTATAAGATCCTCAACAACAACTGCCCTCCTCTCCTCGCAAAGCCCGGCAGCACCGTCTACAAGCGCGCTGCCTTTGCCCGGAAGCCGCTCTGGGTCACCCCCTACAAGGACTACGAGCTGTTCCCGGCCGGTGACTATGTCTGCCAGTCTACCGGTGAAGAGAACCACCCGCACAACCAAACCATACTGGACTGGGCCCAGCGGAATGAGAATATCGAGAACACCGATATTGTCTGCTACATTCAGTTTGGTCTGACGCACTTCCCTCGTACGGAGGACTTCCCCATTATGCCTGCTGAGCCGGTGAGCGTTATGCTGCGTGCTTCCAACTTCCATGAGAAGAACCCTGGCCTGTGGGTGCCTCCTAGTGCTATTTGTGTTGATACCCAGTCGACGAATGCTTTCAGTACTTCCTGCTGCGCGGGTAATGCTCAGGGTAACTCGTCGCGATTGTAAGAGCTTGGCATGGTGATTGGTGTTTGAAAAGATTGGGATTTATATGATGGCATTGTACATAGTTTATAGTTTTGTTGATATAAAACTTTCTTTTTCTTCAAATTCAAACTTCCCTGGGCCATCTTAGACACAATAGAGTACAATAATGTGAAAGTAAACCTTTTGTATTTTAATTTAAAGATGGTGTAGTATTCCCATTGTATCGAAGACTGAGGTTTTTTCCGACGCCCTACTTCCAGCGCTTTGCCAAATGATACGTGAATATCTAATAACATGTACCCATTCCCTTCCGTCATTTCCTATCCATCCAACACATCTGCCATCATTGACTTTTCCTCCCCCTCTCAACACCCTCGTCCCTCCCCAAAGCAACAAACGCTCTCTTACTCTCCGACAAACTCGACAAGATAAGAACTAAATCAAAAGTCAGCACCCACCATGACCAGCAGAGCCCACCCCTAGCAAACTCACCAAACGGAATAACAATCCAAAATGTATTACAAAAAACAAAATACCCCCAAAAAATAAGAGGTTCGGGTCTCGAATACGAAAGACCCAGAATATAATGATCAAAAAGCGAAGTCCCATAATAAATCACATCCCCATAAAGCTGGCCAAGTGACACAATCGCCTGAACTGGGTGTCGGAGCGGATGGCTCGTCATGATGAAGAATGCACAGGCGAAGCATAGCGGACCCCAGCAGACGGACGTGATGGTCTCCATGCAGAGCACGAAGGCGTTTTCGGATTGGTACCGTGAGTCGGAGAGGGAGTATTCTTTCCAGAGTTGGCCCAAAATGTCTTGTTTATTGGACATTGAGCGGAAGTTGTAGACGTAGTAGCCTTCTAGGATTAGGTGGATGCTGCCGGCTGACGGAAGTTAGATTTGATGTGGGATTGGGGGAACTGGTGACGTGCGTACAGAGGACAAACCACATTATTGTCCACAGGTCGCTTCGGGAGACTTTGGGGTGGACTTTCATCGTGAGTGTGTATACTGCTAGGAAGGTGATGGCACATGCAGAGGCGAAGATCGACACTAGTGTTAAAGAGGTCCATTCGTTGGGTACGTACCCCACAACCTTGAGGTTGAGGGGGTAGTATGGGTGCGGCAATGCTTCCATTTTCGAGCTTTGTCCGATAGCATGGATGTTTAATAGGGGCATTCTGAATTTAAATACAGGTAGTGATAGGAGTCTGTCTCACGTGATGGGGCCAAGCAGGGGCATTTGATCAGCCCACGACATCTGCAGATGTTCCGGTCAGTTTGCGGGGCCCGGAGCCAGTGAGAGCGACCGAGTGAATCCTTCGCAACCACCGTAAATAATCTACTATCTAGATTGTGGGTGATACTAGTGCAGACTAATTTTTAATTGGTAGTATAATAGGATAACTGGGCCAATGAAATTCTCGATTTTGTAAGCATACACCTTTGCTAGATGCGCTAAATTACAAAGCAGGCTCTCTCTATGCCTTCAAATTACCACTTGATAACCCGTCTCAACCCCTGGGAGTATGAACCCTGCGAAACCTGAGAGACAGACTCCAAAAGCTGTCTTTGCTCATACGGAATAACCAACTTAGGCCTTGTCTCCTGACACGTAATCCAATATCCTCCGGGGCGATCTGTGTCGTGTTCAACTGGACGCCAGCAACTTCTCCAAGGCATGCCAAGAGGCTTCGTGGAGGGCGTTATTGTTTCTTCCGGTAAGGGTAAAACACTCTTCTCGATTTTGTCCCATGCTATCAGCCCCATTTCTGCTTGGCAAAGCCTGTAACATTTTGATGGGAGGATAAGTCGCATCCTCTTGAGTCGGCTGCTCGTTTTGAACAAAAGCTCGTCAAATATCACCCTATACCGACTCCCGGAGCATGATGGCCATGAACCCTTCTTCTTGAAGCCCTTTGCGCAGCACGGAAAAACGATTTCGAGCTCGCGCAGATCTTCGAAAAGCCCGGTTCCTAGTACCAAGACGCTTTTTATAGCCGGTGGCCAATCAAGTCTCGGTGGTTGTGCGTCGTATATTCCTGTACGACCAAGCAGATAGTTTTCATAGCGGTCCAGACTGATTCGAAGAGCCTTGATCATGGCCAAGTGCTGGGCCGGAATGAATTGGGGCAAATAATAGAGCAATTCTTTGCTTAGAGTGGAAAAGCTGTTGGAGTACAGTACTTCAACACCCTCCGTATATCTGTAACATCGTTAGAGAGCCGCAAGTGCCTGCCAGATACAACCCACCCCTGTCGACAGCTCAAGAGCCATCCTATTGCCCCCAGCGGTGCTGACACGTTTCCATGCTCGCAGGAATGGGGTGGGTTTCTGTGGGCAGCCTCGAGGACGACAAACCCAAAAGGGCGACATATTTCTCCCCAAACGCAGTTCGGACTGAAGGCAGGACAAACAGTTCCTTGTAAGCGCAATTTCCGGGGGTCGTCGTAGAACGGCTCGTCTGGGCCCCGTGTATAATGGGTCACACTGTCACTCCTGTGCCGTTCAGCCTCGTCCCGCGGTTCCAGCTCCAGGTGGATACCGCGATCTCCAAACGCGTATCGGTAGGTATGTATCCGAATTTCTGCTGGGAGCTTCGTAAAGAAAAGACTGTTCGCGATTGCCCTTTCGGAAGGCTGACGCGTTGGTGGTGATATTGGGCGCGCGTGTAGGGGAAGTCGTAGACTATTCCCGTGAGGACTTTTGTCATCTTTTATGAGAGCATAGTAAGCTTCCATGGTCACTGTCCTGAATATACTCGATGTTGCAGGGTCAGGAACAGTTGCTCAAGGTTAAGTCCTTTAAGAATGTTGAATCTTCAGGCGCCGTCGGCGAGGTCGCCCCCACAGTTGGACCTCAAACACCTCGACGCATGATTGCATGTTGGCTCCAATCAAATGTCGGTGTGGTGATTTTGAGAGCTGTATACTGCGATCAAACGTGGATGCTCTGCTAGCTTCAGGAGTGGCACTAGTATATGAGCTAGAACATGTCAGCCACACTATTTAGTGGAGGGTAGAGGTGAGAAAAGTACGGCCAGATATATATTGCGACTCAACTTACCCCCTTAGTAGCTGGCACTACCAAAGTCAATCTAGCACTACCAGCACTAACTCAGATCTCGTGGAGTATTCTTATCGCGTCCTAACTAAATCAATCCTAGTAGCTAACTAGTCAGTGCCTGACTAGTACACTAAGCTCAGCCTTATGCCCAACATCCACTCCAAAGAACAAAGATTAATGTCAAATACTGGTGCAAATCGGACCGGCTAACACCGACGCCGAGCCACCGCGCCCTCTCATTCGCCCTACACGCCCACCCTAACCCAAACAGGCACATCGGAGCAGTCGCGAGTCCGCGGAGTGTCTGGTCCTAAATTCCGGCCGATACGAAAAGGGGCGTGAGCGAGGCTGTCAGTAGAATAAGCAGTCTTACCATTTGAACAGCATTTTTCTTTCCGTCACTTCCCGCTCACCCTCACCCCCAATTAACTCTTCTCTCTTACATGATCTAAATCAGACGAAAAGCGGGATAAGTAAAGTATGGCAGATACCTCGGCCCAATTACCCCAAGCTTCGGCGGGTACGCCGTCAGGAACGACACGACGCCGACGGACGATGGTGGAGGTACAGATAACGAACCATGCAAATGGAAATGGACATGCGAAAGGAGATTCCACTTCGAAGAGCTATGTGACAAAATCAGACCGAAAACGCCCCCTCCTCCGCCGCCTCAAAAAACGCGCCATCAAACACACCTGGCTAAGCCCACTCATCCTCCTCCTCGCAATCCTCTCCCTCTACGCCATCAACCCGACCGAATCAAATTTCCTGCATCGATTCATCTTTCTCTCCTACGCATATCCGTCCACCCCCAATGGCGACGCCCAACATCACGAAATCCAAGTTCTCTACGGAAAAGGAAAATGGGACCTCGCCTTTGTAACCTTCTACACAACCCTCCTCACATTCACGCGCGAATTCATAATGCAAGAACTCCTCGCCCCCTTCGCGAAATCGCGCTTCGCGGCAATCCCGAAGACAAAACAGCTCCGCTGCATGGAACAGATGTACACGGCGCTGTACTTTGCCTTCGCCGGTCCGGCGGGGTTATATGTTATGCGGCAAACGAGTGTTTGGTATTTTCGCACTGCGGGCATGTACGAGGAATTCCCGCATAAACTCCTACCGGGTGTCGAGAAGTTTTATTATCTTTTCGAGGCGGCGTATTGGGCTCAGCAGGCGCTTGTTATGATACTTGGGCTTGAGAAGCCGAGGAAGGATTTTAGGGAACTGGTGTTGCATCATATTGTTACGCTGGCGCTTGTGGGGTTGAGTTATTGGTTTCATTTTACCAGGATCGGGGTGGCGGTTTATCTTACGCATGATATTAGTGATTTTTTTCTGGCTGTGAGTTGATTTCCGGTTGGAGATCGTCATTGTTGGATTTTGCTAATGTGTGCACTTGCAGGTCTCAAAAACATTCCACTACCTCAATTCCGACTGGATTATCCCATTCTATGCATCTAGCGTGGTATCGTGGATTTACCTGCGGCATTATCTCAATCTCCATATCCTCTTCTCGGTCCTGACGGAGTTTAGGACGATCGGGCCTTATGAGCTGAATTGGGAGACGGAGCAGTATAAGTGTTGGATTTCGAATGTTATTACCTTTATCCTTCTGGCGATGTTGCAGGCGTTGAATCTTTTTTGGCTGTACTGCCTCCTACGCAGTGCGTGGAAATTTGTTGTTTATGGGGTTAGGAAGGATGATCGGTCCGAGGATGAGGAGGAGGATGGGGAGGGGAAAGAGTTATTTCCCGTGGGATTGAGATGTATCAATGATCAATGATGGGATGATGATTTTGGGATGGAGGGTTGTGAGAAATTGCTGGAACGAGGCGAAGATGGGCATTCATGTATGATAATGACACGCGGTTCTTATGTGAACCCGTGTACTATAATGACTAACTAATTTAGTCTGTAATAGCTAGTTAACTATAATCTACCTAAACTCCAGGCCAAGATCTGTAGACGAGAGTATGAAATTAGTTAGACAGGGCATCTCAATCGTAGAGCTATTTTGATGCGATATCAGCCCTGGCTTCGACACAAACCATCCGGTACATGAATATATTATTATAGAACTGATTCGTGGTAATGACCTACAAATCCCTAACCCTTTGGAAAAAGTTGAAACATAGATGTGAAGTGAATTGACTATATACACTCAATAATCATCGACAAACGCCAGGTTTTCACGACGCCGAAGCAAACAGCTTCTAATATCAAAAAGAAAAACAGGGAACTGGTGGATTCAAACAGTCATCAAGGAAAGGGAAAAGCCCGAAGGAAAAGAAAATGACAAGGAAGGACATATGTTCATAGCGAGCTACCAACCCACCCAGGATAGGATACATTCCCACGGATTGTGTGAGGATAGCTGAAAAAAAGACTCAAGCGCAAGCAAAAACCACAACCGCTGCACACGACTATACCCTCCGCCCGACATTATCGGAAGAAGGTATAAGCGGCAACGTCGGCTCAACAGGATCCGCAAATGGTGATCGCGGCGGCTGATCCGCAAACGGCGACCGGGGCGGTTCATGGTGGTTATACCCCGCGCCCACGTGTCCGGGATCCCAGCGGGATTCCGAGGGAGTTGGATTTGAGGGGTCCCAGCGGCTGCGGACGCTGCCGTTGCTCTGGGCCCAGGGGGAGGCCGGGCGGTCGTCACCGATCGGTGAAGGGCGGATGGCTTTTTCGAGCGGGAGGAGCTCGGTGTTGAGGCGGTTGTCGGTTTGGGACATGCGGAAGGAGTCCCGGTTGTCGGAGAGACGGTGGTATTGGGCCGTCGGCTCTTTGAGGCGGAATGCGTAGAAGAAGGAGATGAGGAGGAAGACGATAAGTGTGATTGTGAAGATCGCGTTCATGAAGAAGAAAATGATTGTGACGACGCCGGAGACGATGTTCGGTTGGTTGAAGACGTTGGAGAAGATGAGCATGCAGATGCCAGATACGAAGTTGATGGCGGATGCGGCGATGCTGAAGCTGTTGGCCTTTTTGTCCATATAGGGGCGGATCACGGAGGTGGCGATCAGAAATGCGGCTTCCAGGACCAAGATTAGGACGGCTTGCGCGGTTGCGCTCTCCTGGACGAAGGCCACGATGACTCCCTTGATCAGGATGTAGGCGAGCATCGGCGCGATGAAGTAGTAGCATTGGGCTTTGTAGTGCACGTAGAGGAAGCCCCATTTGGTGAGACAGGCGGGGTCGGAGTAGAGGGTGTAGGTGGGGTTTTCATTCAAGGCTCTCGAGGCGCGCGCGCGTTGGAAGACCTTGAAGGTGGCGAAACCCAGGGCGGCGCTGGTAGTGAGGAACATCACGATCGCGAGGATGATTTCGGCGGCCGAGTCACGGTGATACAGCTCCCAGAGGCCCAACGAACAAAATTGCGGATAGGACAGCATTGCCAGTCGGTAGATGTTGCCGCGCATGTAGCCTTTCCATTCGGTGCCGCCGCTGAGCGCGTTGTTCAGCTTGGCGCTGTTGGCTTTCTTGGAGATGGCTGGCAGGGCGAACTTGATAATGACCAGCGTGATCATCATGAGGATCATGACAAAGTAGAAGACCAGGTACGAGGTCATGAAGATGTTGGTCGGTTCAATGTCGGATCGGTAACCCATTCGCTCAATTCCCTTCAACAGTATCTCTTCCCCGCCGCCCACATCGGGCAGTTTGCGCTTGACGATATTCGCGGATCGCTTCAGGAGAGCGACCGAGACCGACTCTTCCTGCGTCATCACGTCCGAGGGCGTTCCGCCCGTTGCACGCTGGAACCAGGTGGCAATGGTCTGCAGAAATTCGGCATGCACGACACCCACCGTCCATTGGAAGTCCTGCGTCCAGTTGCGGGCGAGTGGTCGGAAGTCCATTGCAAGCATGCCGTACATGGCTTGGCTTTGCAGAAAACCCAGCAGTAGCATGGTACGGAACGAGACGTGTGTGGCGATGTTCGAATAACCGAGAATCGAGAGGACGACGCTGGTGAGCAGGCCCAGACCGACGATCACGCCGATGGCCCAGCCGACCCCTGATACGTAGACCGAGTAGTTGTTGGTGACGGGGGCTTCGATACAGGAGACGAGTTCATCGGTGCCGTATTTGACGACGCTGACGCGTACGAGACAGTCGAGATCGGGGACATAGTAGGCGATGGCTAGGGAAGTCAGCGACGGAGTCTGGGTATTTCGCGGTTTTACGATCGGCGGAATGCGATGGGAAGCCGCGATCACCGGAAATCAAGTGGGCGAGCTGCTGGAGAAAAAAACTCACTGGGAATAATATCGAGAGCCGAGTCGGACAAGGTCATGGGCGACCAGGGCACCGGCATTTTGCCCTTGGCCATGGGGCAGAGGTTGGCGATCTTGAGGTCGCAGGGGTCGAGGCTGTAGCGAGTGATGTTGTAACCGTAGGCGAAGAGGTCGACGTTGAACATGACCTTGCCATCGTATCCCAAATGGCCGTCATATTCCAACCAGACCTTCTTTTCGGCGGGCAGCACATTGACCGTGATCTTGTCGGTCTGAATCAGGTCATCGTCGGAACAGGAGGTGACATAGTTGGCCTGCAGCAATTTCTCGGCGGAGACGGGGATGCAACAGAGAGCGACAAGGCCAGCCAGCAGGCCTGGCACGAATCTCATGGTGTGAATTCAAAAACGAGTGGCAGCCAAAAAAAATTGGCGGGTGGTGAGGCGAGGAGAGGTGAGGTCGGGGTTGGCGAAGGTTGAAGGTTGGAGGATCGAGGGTCGAGATTCGGCGGAGTGATCGGGCCAGGGGCAGCCCCCCAAGGCACCCAAGGCAGTAAGATTTTAACGAGAAAATTGGACCCGGGGGGTGAACGGTCGATCAGGGCTCCGCATGAACGGTGACACTGCCACTGAGCCTTGTTTCAGATGTACGAAATGAGGAGTGGGGCGGTGGCTACATTAACTGAGCATGCACATTGTAGGACTAGTATAATGCCCTAAGAGAGACTACTTGAGGTAAAGTCGGATGCCCGAATGCAGTAGAGGCGTAGAGGCGTATTCGTACAACACCATTATTGCACGAGCACCGCGATTCAGTAGGTATGGGTATACACTGTAGACACGTCGAGGCTATCCCTCCTCGCAGTCCACGTACTCTTGGCCAGGCGGCCCAGGGGACAATCATGCCTCTCTCAGATCCAACACGCAATCCATCCATCCTGGAGCGAATTGGGATTGACAAGAGGTCGACGACGCAGGCAACCATTCTTCGTCACATCTAGCAGAAGGTATGTAGTACCTCACAACTATGATGATGTTTAAGAGTATCCCCTGTCACACTCAGATACTCTGGCTGATTCTCCCACTGCACTGCGTTCTATTAGCCAGCACACGAACGCAGGGTCCTGGACCCCCCGGCTGACGAGTCCAGCGGATTTCGTGCTTGCGGACGGCCGTCGTGAATGGTTGAGAGGAGAAGAAGCGGAGTTGGGCGGGACGCGGTGGGCCCGATGAGCTCAGCAGGCCCACCTGCGCTTTTTTTGGGTGGCGATTACATACGCACCATACAGTGTAAACATGCATACTACGTACATATAGTATTGTATGTATGGACTGGAGAATACACTGTCTACGTTGGGCAAGTCGAGCGATGTAGATGCAGGCGGAAGCACGATGGATGTAGGAACTCAACTCCATCCCCTTTTAGCTTTCATGTCCCATGGGGTTGGGTGGGGGGCTGTGCAGTTTAATATTATTGAGAACATTCGCGTGGTTCGGTGGGGAATTCTTGGGGGGGGTAGTTTATTTCTTTGATGCTGCCGAGACCCATGTCAAAAGCATATGGCTGTAAAGTGTAAATGCTGTCCAAAGTACTCTCTAAGAAAAGCGAATCCCCTGACTGGGATCCCACGTCCCTCCCTGCCCGCGAGCAGCAGGCGCTGCACTCGGTGCATTCGCGACCGGAGGCACAGCAGCCGCTGAATTAAAGCGCACCCCCATGTTTGGCGTCCACATGCCCGGCCCCGGTCCAGGGCTTTGCACGGCCGGCGGCACCGCGGCGCGCAAGGGCTGCGGCGCCGTCAGAGGGGCCGCTTCAGGACGGTGGACGGTTGGAGGGGGAGCCTGCGTTGGCGGCTGCGAGGGAGCGGAGGAATATGTAGGGGAGTGGTGCGGGCGCGTAGGCTGGGTCTGACGCAGGTGCGGCTGAGTGATGTGTAACGAGGCCATGGCCGTGACGTTAGAGATGTCCCTGGAATGCGTCAGTATGGGGTTTACAATCACAATGATCTTCGATGGTGTCGATCATGCGAGGGACAGGGGACGTACGCTTCCAGTTGGCTCGCTTCCATGCGCCGCTGGTGCACAAAGGCCTTTGCGTCGTCGCGGAAGCGAGCCACGATTTTCGCGAGGTCGTTGTAGAATTTCCGGCCGACGTCCAGGTTCGAGATGATTTCCTTGTACTTCAGATACCCGTTCTCGAGGTCTTGGAGGGCTGTCTCCCGCTCTTTGGTGGAGGCGTCGCCCTTGTGTGCCCGCGTGAACGCTTTGTTCGCCTCGCGAACCTGATCGGCGACTTGCTCCTGATCCTTCCATTCCTGAGCCAGCATGTCGCGGTCCGAGTCGTACAGCCGCAATTGCGCTTCGAAGAGGTCTTCGAATTGGCTGGCTTGGATCGCCTGCATGGGGAATTCGCGTTCCAGACGGGCCGTCTCTTTCAGTAGGGCGGGATCTATACCAGACAGACAAATTAGCAAATGCGAGCCAACCAGCAGATACGACTGATTCCCGATGTCATCCAGCAGATACTTACGAATATCATCACCCCTCGCCTTATCCTTCCACCCCTGAATCCGTCGCTTCCGCCGATTCTCCATCCGACTAACCTCACTCAGACAGCTGCGCAACTTGATACTCTCCCTCTCCACTTCGGGCGGAATAGCCGCACGGCGACTGCTAGGAACATACGATTCGAGATCCCGATTCGACCCTGTCAACACCAAAAATACAGACTCAGAGTCGCGCAGTTTGCGCTCGACGAGATCATCGCTGTTCTGCGCAGAGGTGAAGTACCCATTGATCTCGATCTGCGAATTATAGATCTTCGGTGCCGCCGCCTCCGATTTCTCGCGTGTCCATCGGTCCGTACCGTATTTGTGGCGCGCGGCATCGTCTTCGGCCTTTTCGGCGGCTAGCAATTCAACACCTTCGTTGTAGACTGCGCGATCGTTGCCTTTTATCCTGGCTGTGTCTTGCACCGAGCGGCGGAGGCGGTTTAGGCCGTCTTGTTGGCGCATTTCTTCGGCGTGGGAGACGAGGGCTGGTGGGAGGCCGAGTGGTTTTTCGAGGGCTTGCAGGGAGCCGGGTAGGTTCAGTGATGAGAGGAGACTGCAGGCTAAATGTTAGTGGATTGAAAGATACAAAGAATGGGGGGAAAACATACTCGCGCAGCTTATCCGTCATAGACTCCAACTCCCCAATCAACGACTCATTTACCAATCGATCCCGACGGTCCGAGTAGATGCTAGCAGCAATATGCACCGCATACGGCACCAACTTGGCAAACAACGGCTGACCCAGCGGCCCATTCTCCCCAAGCATGGAAATGGCATCCGTAACCTGCGAAGGCGCCTTGGAAGCAACCATGCTGGCCCGGTCAAGCGTTTTCAGCTCTGACTTGGGCGGCACGGGACTCAAATAGATAATATCATTGTCCTTCTCGGCGCGCTTCAAGTCCTCCGCAACGCGACTCTTGAGTCCGTTCAAGTCGCCCTGTACAATCCGATTCACCCACCGCGACTCCTTCAGTCCTTCATTCACACAGTTCAAACTATCCCGTAACCGCGCCACCTCCTCGCCGTACCTGCGCTTCTCAAGACAGTCGAGCGACTGTCTGTACTGCGCCGCTGCTGCGAAATGGTGGTTCTTTGCTGTCATGTGGTGGATCCACTCTGTGCTAATCGCATTTGACTTGACGGCCGAGTCGCCCGCGTCTCCGTAGAAATCAGATACCTTTGCCGCAAGCCGGGCAATCGACGCATCCTTCAATCCGTCTTTCACGGCCTTTTGCCAGAAACATTCTTGGCCCTGCGCGAGGAGGAGCTGCTCTAGACTCAACAGTGTCATTTCGTCCATGTCTTCCGGCGGGGAGGTGCGGAGGTCGGGGATGATGTCGGTTCGGAGGTGGTTGAGGACTCCAGCCGCCTGGCAGGAATAGTTGCAGGCTTGCTTGAGTCCGTCGGCGGTGGTCCGATTAAGCGCGTAGGCGAGCTGCGAGTACAGCGCCGCGAGATTGAAAAGGATGTTTGCGAGTTCGAAACGGAGGTTGTTTTGTGAGACTATCGTGGCGTGCTGGTCAGTACTGAAATTTCTTTGAACCGAAATTTACCCCTCCATCACCCTCTAAACAAACTTACTAGGTCGAGTCGCATTAAACCCTAAAGCTGGGTACCACGAAAAATCGACTCCGACCTGGAGAAGCTCATGTTAGCCTTTTTAATGTTGTAAGATGTCCTGGCAAGCTCACATCAATCGGAAACTTCCCGCCGAGCCATTTCAACTGCGCCGCATACGTGACCAGCCTGCTAACCCCGCTGACATGCGGTTCCTGGACGTTGATCGCTTCGGTGCGGAGCTTGTCGATGATCATCAGGTCGTCCGCGAACATGTCTGGGCGCTGGTCATATTTGGAGGAGATGTACTGCGTGATCGCATCGGTCAGTGAGACCGTGTGCGAGCGCCGGAACGGGAGCTGGAGAATATTGCTAGCAAGGAGAGTGTGTAGTTAGCTTCATGATCTTGCTTTGGCACCGAGGTTGTCATGGGCAGCTGGACTTACGACGCCATTGTCAAGGCAGACCTGAGGAGCACCTGTGAGAGGAAGAAGTCCGTTTGTTGACCGGAGAAAGTTGCCCAACCCCCACCCCGGCAACGGGCATGACGTGTGTGCGCCTGAGGCATCAACTCCCCACACTGCATTTGGTGTATTTGATATTTCTAGGCTACCCTAGGTACCTTAGGATACCGTTCGTATATTATCTATATATCTATATCTAGTAATTTCCTACGATAGTACAGCTACGAGGTCACGATCATACCGTCATAAATCTCCTATTGATGAAGAGCCCCAGCTCATCCATGATATATACATGAAATAGGAGCCGAATGAAATAAAACAAATATTCATAATGTTGCATAACATCTCACCACTGATTTCCACCCAACAGCACCCCGATCATGGTGAGGTGCGATCGACCATCGACCACTTAGGCCGGCAGCTCATCGATGCGCGCCTTGATGTATTCGAAAATACTGAGAAGAATCATGTTGTTCACACCGGTGCGAATGAGAATGATCGAGAGTCCTTTGTACATGCTCGATTTAGCCACCGCAATGGACGCCTCGCCGATCTCCTTGGACTTGCCGAGGAGGACGCTCTGTGCACGGGTCTTGCGCGTGTCCAGGGGGTAGGTCTATATATAAAGATCATTAGAAATTAGATCCATCTCACCTTCATTGTAGGGGAAACTTACACAGAACCACGGCAGTGTACTGCAGATCGCACCGGCAATCATGGGCGCGCCAAAGGGGGACTTGCCTTCGCCCAGTTCTTTAGCGGCGACTTGCTTGACGGTCTCGTAGATGCCAAAGTACAGCGCGGTGCCGACGGCGTCGCGCATCGCGTGCAGCCTGAAGCCCGTGTACAGACCGAAGAATCCGTGGCGCTTGACGATTTGGTTGATGGCCTGGATCGTGCCGAGGCGCGGCTTGTGGCGGAGCGAGGGGTTGCGGGAGGCGTTGGGGTCAGCCATTGCGCGGTTAGAGACGAGGACGGAAGTCTGGACGACATTCTTGGCCAGTTCAAAGGGGCCTATCGTCGGTCAGTGATTTTGGGCGGGATTATCTGCATTGTTGTTGACGGCTTACAGGCAAGAGGAGAAGCCACGAGGCCGGCGAAGAGACCGGCGCCCGTGAACATGAAGATTCCTGCAGCCGTGGGCGTGCTGCCGGGCTTCTTGTACTCGTCCAGCGGTGACTTGCCAGTGAGGCTTTTGAACGTGTCGTCGATCCGGTGCTTGAATGAGTTGTAGATGGTGAAGTTGACTACGCGGACGGCGGTCACACTGGCCAGCGGTGGGAGGCATCCTGGACCGTGTTAATAGTTCATCGGCGAGTATCGTTGGATTCGGGTACTCACCAGCTACGTAGCCACGAGGGCCTTCAGTGCGCCATAGGTAACGGACGCATTGGAAGACGTTCTTGAAGTTGTGGCTAAACAATCGTCAGCTCCATTCAGAGGTATTGAAGACGGACTGTACTCACGTTTGCATGCGGGTTTTGATGTTCTCTAGTGGAGTCACCGCCAGGGTCGCGCAGACAGTCGAGGTCGCCGAAGCCACCTGGGTCTTGTATCTCTTTAGGAGTCGGTTGCGGGTGGGCTCGTCCATGATCCAGGCGTTGTTGGCCGACATGACGGGCGATGCGTTGGAAGAGGGAGAAGAAAAGGGTGCATGTTCAGAGGTTTTATCTATAGTCATGCCTGATGGTTTCCATTGGGGCCAATGGCGGAATCAATCAGGACGGTAGATACCTTGTCGGAAGCGGCTGTCTGTTGAGTTGCTGGTAGACACGTCCGAGAATATAGGCACCGCTGGTAGCAGTTGTGATGCTTGGAGTAAGACTGCAATTTACTCGTACTTCAGTAGGCAGGTGGGCGAATGTTAGGCTGGGGAACCCTATGGAACGCAAAGCGGCCTCTCAATGTTCAGAGTCGACCGTTCGGCGTCCCACAATTATCCATTCAGCGGACCGTGTCAGCCCTGTATTTCCAATCTCGCTGTATATCCAATGATCCCGCGGATCTGGGGTGTCGAGGTCGTGATATGTGGTGGGTAGTGGTCGTGGCAGTGGCGGGGGGGAGGGGGATTTCGATCGCTTGACCGGATATCTGTGAGCTCCAAATAAGCAGAAAAGCTGAAGCTGAACCCCGTAATACACGCACACAATCAAGGCCAGCGCCTTCGGGTGATTGGGAGATCTGCACAGCTGTGTATGTACTGAACTGCAGCCCTCGACACGCACGGGCAGTCTCGAGGTGTGTCGGTCGCAAGAACTCGGGAGCGTCGCTGGGCCCGCGTTAATCCCGACGACCCGCTTGGCGAGAGTCCTGCTACTCCCCGAAAGGCCTCTGGAGCAGCTACTTACCACGATCCGATCCTCGCAATGCTTTCGGGCGTGCAGTGACGAGGAGAAGAGGAGGTTGAATGACATGTGGGCCGAGCTTTTCAGTCGCCTCGATGCGGTTTAGGGCGAGACCAGTGACGTCGTCGTGAGGGCTAAAACTACGACCAGATTATGCGCGCGCAGATGGACATGTATTGTATACACCCCAAGTACAATTGGGGTCATCTGGTAAAACAGTTTATGTAATTATGAATTCAGGAGAGTACTTGTTCCTGCTGTGATTCCGGCCGTGCTGTTGCAGGCTTGTCCGTACTGCCAGTTTGGCCGTTTTGAGCTGAGCTCCCAATGCACTCAACGCGGGGATCAGCTGTCCCTCCTTGACACAAATCAAAGAGAGCTCGTTCCCTGTGTCCGGCCTACGGGAAAGTCATGATCGCCCGAGCTCCATGACCACGGATCTGTACACTATAGTAGTACCCTAGGGTGTGTAATGAATGATATCCATCCCCTCGATCCGCTCCGCTTTGATGGTTCCTTGCGGCCGCCTCGCACAACTGCATTCACTCCCCACCAATCGTGGTGCTATGGTAGTGCGAAAGAGCCCTGGGAATGAATGGAATGAAACGCTCTTGTTGCCTGACGACTCGGAAATTCCAGACCCAGGTCGATCCCTTCACCATGCTGATTGGGGAGCGCCTGCAGATCATGGAGACTGTCTCCGGCCGAGCGGGAGATCTGAGGGTAACGGGCTGTTCGTGGATCCATCCATCGCCTCTCGAACTAGGATGATGTTATCGCGCGGGAAAGGTCTCAAAGAGTCTGGGGTCCTTGGGGAACGAAACCCTAGGGTTGAGCCGATGACATACCTTGCACCTGCTTCATTGCTGCCCTTGGATGTTAAAGAATCCGATGGGGGCAGGATGGGGGGTGAAGGTTCGCTGCTCATTTTGTATGTTTAGTGAGATAACACACTTTTGGGAGAAGGAACATTGCTGGGAAATTCAATTGCCTCAAGTGTGACCGGGGAGGAGTGAGGATATGCAGAGGAAGGGAGGGATATCCGGGGATCTTCACGTGCCACATTCACACATGCCCGTGTCCCAACGCGACACGAGAGAGAAAATCCCAAGTAGCCGACTCGACAGAAAATAAGAAAAACCGGAGGAAAACCAGCCTACCATAAAGGAACTCCGGGGTAGCCACGATCTCCCGTTATGCCAGATTTGTGCAACCGTCGGCTGGCGCATCCTCGGGACTTGTTCGACCTCGGTCGGCGCCCCCGCAAACCGCTCTCCACCCGTGACGCGCCTTATATATGCGGGCGGGCATCCCCAGCTTTGAGATATTGCACATATTCCCTCTCCTTCCCCAGATATCCACCAAAATGGTCAAAAAGCAGACAAGCCCCGCCTACGTCTTGGGCGTGGGCATGACCAAGTTCATTAAGCCGCGCGGTAAAGTCGACTACAACGAGCTGGGCTACGAGGCCGGTATCAAGGCTCTGCTCGATGCAAAAATCACATACGACGACGTCGACCAGGGAGTCGCCTGCTATGTCTATGGCGACAGCACCTGTGGCCAGCGCGTCTTCTACCAATTCGGTCTGACCAATATCCCCATCTACAATGTCAACAACAACTGCTCGACCGGCTCGACTGGTCTCGCCATGGCCCGCACGATGGTCTCTCACGGCGCCGCGGACTGCGTGCTCGTCGTCGGCTTCGAGAAGATGAACCCCGGTAGTTTGCAATCCATGTACAACGATCGCGCCAACCCAACCGGTCTGTTCGGTATGATGATGGCCGAGACTAGGGGTATCACCAATGCGCCCGGTGCTGCGCAGATGTTCGGTAATGCTGGTCGCGAGTATAAGGAGAAGTAAGATAACCACCCCCCTCAACAACACACTACTCGATCAAATCCTAATATTTTGTCTTTGGTAAAGGTACGGCGCCACAAACGAAGACTTCGCCGAAATCGCCCGCATCAACCACGAACACTCCAAGCGCAACCCCTACTCGCAATTCCAGCAAGAATACACCCACGAACAAGTCATGAAATCGCCCATGATCCACGAACCCCTTACCAAGCTGCAATGTTGCCCGACCTCCGACGGCGGCGCCGCCGCCGTCATCGTCTCCCAGGAGTTCCTCGATGCCCGCCCGCATCTAAAGGAGAACGCGATCCTGATCGCCGGCCAGACCCTCGCCTCCGACACCGACCAGGTCTACAACCAGAGCTCGATCGACCTGATGGGCTTCGGCATGTCGCGCTATGCGTGCCGGAAGGCGGTTGCCGAGGCCGGCGTGAATGTTAAGGATATCAAGGTCTGCGAGTTGCATGATTGTTTCTCGGCCAATGAGATGATTACCATTGATGCCCTGGAGCTGTGTGAGCCTGGTAAGGCGCATGAGATGGTGAGGAAGGGGGATATTACCTATGGCGGGAAGATGGTTATTAACCCCTCTGGTGGTCTGATTTCGAAGGGTCACCCGCTTGGTGCGACGGGTATTGCGCAGTGTGCTGAGTTGGTGTGGCATTTGCGTGGCTGGGCGAATAACCGTCTGAAGGATGGGACTGATGCGGCGCTGCAGCATAACCTGGGTCTTGGTGGTGCAGTTGTTGTGACCGTCTACAAGCGTGCTGATGGCAAGGTTGCTGCGGCTGTTCCTTCGGATGTTGTGGCTAAGATTACCGGTCTGGGCTATAACCCTGCTGTTGAGGCTCGCGGGTTCACGGCTGAGCAGGCTAAGTCGGTTGTTAGCCAGAAGCACAGCAGTGAGTATGCGGTTGCGGATGCGCAGGAGCGCGTGTTGGCTCGTTTCTAAAGCGCGCTGCTTGATTTGTACATAGTTTGTAGTATGATAACGACTTATACTTGATTCCCAATAAAGTGTCTTCCCATGTACAAGCCCGGCCCATTTTTTAGATATTTTGATGAATTATGCTATATATATATACAAAAGACACCCCTCTAATGTACAAATCCCTCATGAATGCGTCTCCGCCCAGTCTTCTGGCAGCCGATAATACGGCGGAACCTGATACTGTCCCCAACAAGAACCTGGATTAGGACACTGCAACTGACACCTCCCATACAGGCGACAATAACACTCCTCCGCACTGGGACAAGCCTCCTCATTCAATACATCCAGACGAACCATCCCATCCGCACCAGCCTTCGCAAAAAGAATATGCCATAAATAAGACAAAATCCGCCCAGCAACCTTATCATCCCGGGGGGCAACCCCATCATCCCTACGCACCCGCTCCCCCATCCCATCAAGCAACCACTGCCTTAATGCAACATACTCCTCGCGCGAATGCTGCCAAACCCGCTCACGCGAAACAACAAACTGCGCGCAGCACTGCGACCTTACCGCGTCATTCCGCCCCAGTCGGAGTCGCACGTCCCGAGGCGAGAGCTCCTCCCCGCCGAAGAGGGAGGATAGTGCCGCTGGCAGCGCCATGTCGGATGCTGCGCGCGCGCTCCACGGTGCGACAGCCGACTGCAAGCGCATCTCGAGAGACCCCTGCGCCGGCGCGGAGGGCAGACATGTACTCGTGCTCCAGTCGCAGCGGAGATTGTGGTAGCCGGTCCGGCTGAGGGCGGAGTGGATATCCAGCGCCGAGAGCAGGGCTAGATTATCGTAGTCGGGCGAGTCATTGTGCCAGGCCCAGCGGGAGCCGTGTACGAACACCGCGCCGGATGAAGGGATATTGTCGTAATTGTCGATGATGAATGTGAGGTAGGCCATTGCCTCGTGGCCCCGATTTGCGGGGACTTGGAGAGTTGAAGAGGTTTGGTCGAGGGCGTCGACGTTATACACGCATAATGTGTATTTCTCCGCGAGGGAGTTAAGCCACGAGGCATCGCCGTCGCTGGAGACGCGCGAGACTATGAGGGCAGGCTTGCTGCTTTGTGACTGGAGGTTTGGACATACACCCCGCGACGAGGGGAGGGTGCTTGCCCGTGTTTGATAGCGGATTTTAGTCCAGATGAAGGATTTGCTGTGGGGAGTTGGGCGGTTTAGGTAGAGAATTAGGAAGAGGGTGCAGGCGAAGAAAATGAGTTGGATCAGTGAGCGCTGTACTTTTCGTCTCATTTTTTTTTGGCTGGGACCGTTGGATTGATGGGCGTTGCGCTTGATGCGCGATCGCGATGTTTGGCGGCAAAGGCGGGTGAGTGTGGTTCCATGCCTCAGGCAGGAATTCTCTGCTGTGTGAGGAAGGTTGCTCGAGGGTGAGTCATTTGGGGGTTTGAAATTAATATGGCAATTTCTTTCGTTTCATTAATTTCTATCGCTTTATTCCTTTTCGATTTCAAAGTATCATCACGCGAAATGGCGTTATTTGATCTCTATGGATCTTCAAAGACTTTCATTCCTCAGTTGACCCGCTCCACAAGTGACCCCCGGCCGGTGGTTGTTATGACCTGCGGAATTGCAGGCATGTACTTTCTACTCTCTTTGGTCAATTCATATTAACATCATTGCAGGCTCCGGTAAATCCACGCTTGCAAAATATATCGTCTCAACCTACAACTTGTACCACCGCCTATCGATCGACTCCTGGGTCTACAACCACTATGGACTCTACGGGACAGACTACCCAGCGGAAAGATATAGCGGCTACCAAGAAGAAGCGGAAAGTGCTTTACGTATTGAGCTTGCCTCATTGCTACGGGAAGGTGCCCAGGATGTCGTTCTTGATTTCTCCTTCGCATTCAGAGAAACCAGGGATGAATGGAAACAGCTAGTAGAAGCCTATGGGGGACGATGGGTTCTGCTATATCTTGATGTCGAGGCTGATGAGTTGCGTCGGCGTGTGAGGGCGAGGAACTCTCTCAAAGCGAAAGACGGTGACTCGGCGTTTCCTGTTACTGAAGAAATTCTTGAGGGGTATTTACGCGGCTTTGAAAGGCCGGATCAGGAGGGCGAGGTTGTTCTTCGGATCAAAGGGTGAGGTCTTTGATACTGCTATTTGGGGATAGCTGCATAATAGCCATTCAGGTATGCTTCGAGCATTCGAGTATTCAAAGAGGGACTTTTCTTGAAGTGATATATTTCAGATTGATGATCCAACAAGGGCTCATTGATACAGTATTGTACCCCGCCAAAGCGTCTTACATTGTGTTAGAAATGAAAAACGATTTGCATTATTTTGCTCAAAAAAAGCCGTGAATACACAATATAAAATGGAGTGACAGACCTCATTGGTAAATATCTCATCACCACCATCAAATTCTCGAGCCACACAAATACACTCACAAACCTCAAAATGCCACGAATCTTGCATATTTCCCCGAAAGGGTTGAACACATCCCGCCTCGACTTAATCGAAACTTTCGAGTCTTTCGATGTCTCCGTTGAGGGGGATGGCGGGGAAGAGGAGGGGGATGAGGAATGCCATTGCCGCCACTGGTGGCATTCGCAATGGGCCCAGACTGATGGTCAACGTACTGCGTTGGCCACTAACTGGGCCTGGGGTCGGCCGGGGAACTACACCTGGACTGACTCCCTGGAGGCTGGGTTCGCTCGCTATCAGGGTGAACTCACATGTGAGGTCTGCGGAAGTGAACAACCAAGATGGATCTTCTTCTGCACCACGTGTAGGCTCTACGCCTGTTATGCGTGCCGAGCAAACCGCCGGGTATGAGTTTGTGGCCAGCTTGGATGCTGGTCACAGGGACCCTTCTTTTCCTCCTCCTCCTCCTCCTCCTCTTCTCTTCCTTCTCTCCTCTCTTGCCGACGTGCCGTCCTGCTGTCCTGCTGTCCTGCTGTCCTGGCGTTTTGCCGTACTCGTGCCATGCCGTCCTGGCGTCGTGCTTTCCTGGGCTGTTCTTTCTTCTCTTTTTTTTTTTTTTTTAATTGTACTTTTTCTTGTTTTCTTTAATTTTTATCTCCATGGAGCACCGCCGTGTGCCCTCATGATGAATTCAATCATTTCTTCTGTCAAAACGTCCCGAGCATTCAAATTCTTCATGGTCATGGTAGTATTTTTGAAATTTGGTGCCATCATAGGGCTGTGGCCTTGATATTTACTTCGGGATGAAGGTACAGCCATGTCCTCTTCTTAACTGTGAGTTATCTGTCTCAAGCCTTTTTTCAGAACCCAGTCTAACACACGCTTTTTCTTGTCCCTTATTTCCTGCGATGCTGATAGCATTCCGATTGAATTACTCGACCATGTACTCGGGCAAGTACTCGATGCGCTACTTGATCATCTATTCGACCATCTATTCGATTCGCTATTTGATAACCTACTCGATCTCCTCCTCAATCCCGTCCTCTATCCCTATTTGGTGATATTTCTGAAGTGCCCACACGACTACATATCTCCTTTTCCGAGCCAACGGTTCAATGCAAACAGAGGCAATTCGACTGCTGAGCGGTTTGGATGAGGGACAAGGGTGTTTGACCAGCTGTATTGAGCCATTAACGGCATTTTCCGAGTGGCCATATACCTTTGGTTATCCGGTATTCGTGACATTTTAACATGGCCGGAAAATGGATACTGTATTTCTGAAGCCTTAAACGACCCATCCTCGAACGACGACTCGGTCCGAACCAAGAATGAAATTCTGTCTGAGGCATGAACAATCCAAAATCCGGGCCTCAAACCAACACCTTCGATCATTTACCTCGCTCTCTTATTCTCGATCCAAAAATATAGAACAAGAACGGAATAGGGATAAGTGCTACTGCAACAAACCCCAAAAGACTCGGCGTCCAGGCCGTTCCCAAATGATGAAACAACTTGTTGACGAAGAGCGGAAAACACCCGGCAAATACACTGCGCAGGAACGTATTTACGGCCACGGCGCTAGCAGAATACTTCTGGAAGGTGTCTATCAAATAACTCAGCGCGGCTTGGAAGATGGTGAAGAAGCCCAGTCCGGTACAGATCGCGCCGGAGATAGTGCCCAGCCAGTAAATATCTTGATCGCTGGTCCAGCCGAGAATGAACAGACCCGCGGCGAAAAAGACAGACCCCAGCATCATGTTGAGATTGGATACGACGAAGCACTGAATATTGAATAAGGGCCTGCTAGACAAATCGACCTTGATGGAATTGACGGAACTTGTCTGTATCAAACTGTCTACATGCGATTCTGGGGGTATTTATCCCTAAACGGGCGCCAAGCCCCCTGACAGTAGTAAACCCTTATTATCGGTCTCGATCGGTGTTCTTCCATGAAGATCCCCTGAATGTAGAATATAATGTCGGCAAGAGCGTTTGAAGCGCATATCAAGCTTAGTGCCTCGGGTTTCCCTGAACAGGCATGCCGACAGAGGTTGGGAATGAGGCATCAATTCGGTGCCTTATCCTGGAACCTCAACACATCATTGGTGGTAGGCGGGCTTCAGGAACTGGCCGGTTACCGTTTGATTGATACTTCTTGGTGTAAAAGCGCTGGTTCATCATGTTGACGAGAGATCCGAGAAGAAATCCGATGAGAAGGGCAAGAAACGGCAACGATCCGGTGAGAACGTCCCAGTCTCAGACTTCCTGGAACTCGATGGGAAATGAGGCGAGACTGAGATACAGGATACCGTATACGAAGGATGCGTATATCCTTCGTATACGGCAACTGCGAAACAGATCGGGGTGAAAAATAATTGGATGGGGCGGATGAGGTATTTTCTGGCCACTTCGCTCAGGCTGGCATTCCATTCTTGTGTTGGGCGTGGAGGGTCCAGTTCCCTGACTGGAGACGAAGCTGGTGAATTTTGCGTGCGAGCAGCACGGGTGGGTAGCTTTCGTCCAGGCAAAAGATTCCAAGGACCAAAGCCATTGCCATTATGAAACCGGTAATCTGAGAGTGGGTCAGCAGAGGACCTTGACGAAACGATTGCGAGCCGTGACAACTTACATATTCGGTCCACCTCCAATACAAGTTATTCACAGCAAGTGCACTACCAACGATAGGAGCCATGACTATCCCGGATACAAGCGGGAGTGTATACACTATAACTGCCAGAGCCCGATGCTCCGGGCTCCAGATATTAGCCAGAACAGCGCCCACATTTATGATAGGCACGGAGCTGAAGAATCCAGTGAAGAATCGAGTGATCATTATAGACTGAATGTCTTTGGAGACGGCAGTGGCGAATTACAATACTTCGGAGATAGCGTATGGAGTCAGGACGGCAGTCTTTCTTCCGTATACTTCGGAGAAGGGTGCCCATGGAAGAGGACCTAGTCCGACGCCGAAGAGAAATAGAGATATTCCGAGTAGGCTGACTTTTTCGGGTCTTTGGTACTGTTTTCTGATGTCTGAGACAGCCGGGGCATAACTGGGTGTTGTTAGTATGGGTTGTTGATGAACTTGGTGTGGTGGACTTACGCGGAGCTTGCCCATGCGGAGCCTAGTCCAATATACACGTTAGCAAACACCTAAAGGATGAATAATCTTGCTTCTTTACCCATTGTGATCAGTCCGTATAGAAGGGTCGTAATGATCTTCTTGGTAAAGCTCCAGTTGAGCGGTTTGTAAGGGTCATCAAGCCCATAAAACTGAACCAGATGCTCGTTGTCCGTTCTCAAATGCTCCAGTTGATGCGCATGAATTTTGGGTTTGCTCATGTCTTTGCAGTCGAGTCTCGAAGCTGTTGATCGAATGCTGCGCCCTGCCCCTTGCGAGTTGCCGCCCTCTTCTTTGGACATGTTCTCGCCTGGTAGCATCTCCGGTTTCTAGGAGATATATCTTATTTTATGGTGCAGCTTGACGAGAGAATCAGAAAGCATCTAGTCATAGAACGATGCGACAGTCGAATGTCTGTTGTCTTCTTGTGTCCCAAATGCCCTTGCCTGAATGTAGCACAAAGGACTTGGGCCAACATAACTAGGGTAACCCTTGTGGAATTTAGCCTCATTCTAGCTTATCTATCAGCCACCAACTAGACCTTGGCTATTTGAAATACCTTCGTGGATATAGATTCGGAGTACTGAAGATATTGAAGTGTATAGCTGTAAATTGGGGGTATGCTGCTTGAGGCATATATAAAGGATAGTTGAACGCTCAGTATGACTTCGCAAAAGTGACCGGGAAACGGACAATTTCAGTTCATTGAAATGCTCAATCAGCCCGACTGTCCTCTTGACTGTCGTCTCGAATATGGATGCCTCCTCATTTACGATTCCAAGCGCACCTGTTTTCTCGAAGGCGATGGCAGTGTTCTTTTCTCGACTCCCAGACATAGAACCTGGATGTTCAGACTTCACAAGGAAGATAGGTTCTTTAAGTCGCATGCTCCAAAAGAAGAAATGAAGAGGGCCTCGCGGAGCTCAGGAGAGCTAAACGTCCACCATGGAGTCGTCGCCCCTGGGAACCGCGATGACCACTCTGATACCTTGCTAAGACACATTTGCTCTCACCTATTGCGAATTGGGACGCTTGGATGAAGCAAGAGAGCTTGAAATCCAGGTGATCGATGGGAAAGGGAGACTGTTGGGCAAAGCACATGCTGATACCCTTTTTCGCAGAAATTGCCTTGCGGGTATGTAGATGGAGCAGAGTCCCTGGATAAGGTACTGGCGGTAGGAAAGAAGGCCCTTGGTGATGATTATCTCGAAGCACTTTCGAATGTTGCATATATTCACCGGGGGCAGGGACACCTTTATAAGGCAAGGAAGGCTTGCGCAAAACTACTGTAGAGAGAAAAAGGGTGTTTGGTGATGATCATCCCGATATTCTGAAGCATGCTTGAAAAAATTGGAAGGACAAGTTTAACAAGATACTCAGGAAATATGCCCAGACTATTTGTCTTGGATGTTACGCTCCAAATATCATTATCGACTGGCGCTGGGATGCCTGATGATCTCATAGTTAGCACGAATCTACTCTTCAGCCCCCCCCCCCCCCCCCCCCAATCCTTATTTCCGTGAGGTGCTGTCAGCGGGTTGAATGTAGACCGAACACAAAGGTCGTTCGAATCACCAAGGCTCCGTCTACACGTGCAAGTACTTCATCGAAGTACCCTCCCCGACGATCGCGGGAATCAATAACCATTCCCCGTCGCGGGTCATTATATATGGGCTAGGCAATGTGGAGGCGAATGGTGGCTGGAGTCCCCGCAGACGGAATGAAACAGCAACACATGCGACCATGAAACAATAACCATGGCACCTTCACAGCAGCAGCTCTTCGCCATGGCCTGTATCTGCAGAGAGAAAAGGGTGCTGGGTGATGACCATCTTGATACCTTGGACACACACATTGATCTGGCGAATGTTGTATATGGCGAACGAGGGCGCTACAACAAGGTGGAGCATTGCGTCCAAGTTATAGCGGGGTTGGGAAAGGCACTTGGTGATATTCATACTCGTACTGTGGAAATGCAAGAATATCTTGCGGGCCTGAAAAAGTTCAAAAAGGAATGAGAGTGTGAAGACCGTCTGGAAGACGAGTGGGTTAGAGAACATTTGGGTAGCGATTGAATTTAGGACGAATATAGCCCTGGACCTGATTCGATTTGATAATGCATGAACAATAATGGAAAAAAAGATACATGAAACAGCAATTTTCTATACACCGATTAAGCCTTCGTCTTCTTGCTGGGCTTCTTCGCCTTCTTCTTCTCAGTGGCAGGTGACTCCGTCACAATCTCCTTGGGTGTCTCCTCCACCTTCTTGCCCTTCTTAGTCTTCTTGGGGGTATCTTCTTTGGGGGTAGGGGCCTCGATAGCCTTCTCGGGCTCTTCAGCGGGAGTTTCTGCAGTCTCAACAGCCTTGCTATTCTTGACAGGCTCGGGGTCGGGAGCGAAATTGGGCATAGGAAAATCGTAATCGATATCCCGCTCTTGAATTTTACGACTCTTGCTTTTCATCTGCGTCGTCATCTTCTTCTTTTTCTTGTCGAGAGTGGATGGGGTATAGGGCATTTCGGTTCTGGTTTTTTCCTTCTTGTTCCACGGGATCACTTTGTATCGTTTGTTGGCGCCTTTCCAGATTTCCGGGTGAAGCGATTCAGCAGGGACGTATTTGCACTTCAAGATATGGCCGTACATAAGGTAGTTATCCATGGTCTCGGCAACGATCTTGGCAACAGAGACGGAGTCGAACTCGATGTAAGCATAGTGCTTGGAGGCACCGCTGTGCTTGTTACGCGAGAGACGAAGTCTCGTGATGTTGCCGAACTGGGAGAAGTATGCTTGCATTTGGTGCTCGTAGAAACCGTGGGGAATGCGGCTGCGAAAATGTCAGAAAACCTGTGAAGACAGATCAAGGGCCAGAATGGTCAACTTACCTCAGTTGAATCACACCAGGCTCTTCCGGGGTCACTTCGTTCTTCTTTTGCTGCTTTCGAAGCTTCTTCTCAAGGTTCTTGGACTTTGGACCTTCGGGAACCGCCTTAGGGTGCTTGTCCTCGTCACCGCTAGACTCGTCCTCGCTACCGCTGCTCTCAAAGCCCTTGATAATGGCGTTGGTTTGATCGGCGCCGTCATCATCCTCACTGTCGTCAGAAGCGACGGGCTCAAGGGCGAGGTCCTCATCTTCCTCGTCGGAGTCCGCGGCCACTTGCTCAACCTTCTTGCCCTTGGCGGCGGCCTTCTTTCCAGCAGAAACGGCAGTCTTAGACTTCTTGTTGCTGGTCTTCTTCTCAGCGGGAGAGGGAGCAGCCTCCTTCTCATCGTCGCTCAGGAAATCAGCAGCACGCTTGCGAGGCTTGACTTGGCGGACAGATTGGCCATTGGTCTTTGCGTTCGAGTCAGACTTGGCGTTCTTGTTTCCCGCAGTGCCCTTCTCATTTTTCTTCAGACTTGACTTGGGAGCAGCATCCTTGGGGGCCGCAGCGGATTTGGCCTCGACCTTCTTGGTTTTTTTGGTAGGCGGTTCGCTTACAGCGGGCGCTGTTAATTGAAATTAGGACCGGAAAAAGCGAAAAGATAGTTGTGACAGGTTGAGACATACCCTTACGCTTATTGTCCCTCTTATCGGGGGCCATTGTGGTGTGGTGTGGTGGGACTTGAAGGCTAGCTTCTGAAGACGAGCAAACCTCCGGCGGAACTTTTTTTTTCCCTCACGGATTTCCAGCGAAGGCGGTGAGGGCGGTCAACAGACTCAGACAACAACACACCCGCGCGACTCTTCCCATTCCCATTCCCTCTCCAGGTGATTCTGGCATCAGGCGACGTGATGGCGAACTCCAAGGAATCAAAGCGCGCTGAGCCGATGTGGGATGACGATGGTATTGCGGCTTCCTGGGACAGCGTCTACCAGGAGTATCAAGTATGTCCTCCATTCCAACCTCACGTGATTGTTATCTGACCTGTCGACAGCGTTATCACAGCATCGCCGCCAGAGGGGAGAATGTCGAAGAAGTTCTGCGAAAGGCCCAAGAGGCTGAAACTGCCCAGCAGGATGACACCGAGCAGCATGACCAGGCCGAGGATGAAGTGACTGATGAGACCGACAAGGCTGAGCTCGAGCACGCTCTCCAGACGGTTGAATCCGAGACCGAGTACGAGCCTCAGGTATGTATCCCCATGATCAACAGGGATTATCGGCAGTGCTGACTTTCATCAGGACATTCGCGTTCCTCCCGGCCCTAAGCTGCCTGCTGGTAGTTCTAAGGAGGCTCCGATCATGGTGGACACTCCGAGCACCGTAACCAGTGAGTATGGCTATACGACTCTCCAGAAACATCTTTCTCTAACTCCGGAACCTCATGAAGACGACATCCGTATCACAGCCTCTTACCGCTTCCTGGGTTACTACACGGCTCTTGACCAAGCTCGTCAGAAGCGCCGTCGTGCCGAGGCCTCGAACGATGGTAAGTCTCCGACCCACCCGCATCCAGACACTGTCCCAGAGGTTGTTAACATTGATGAAGATTGTGAGATCAGAAAGCGCCGGATGATGTCCGAGTTCTGGGTCGGTTACTACAACGGACTGGAGGAGGACCGCCATCAGCAGGCCGGCCAAGGCCAGAGTTAGTCATCTCAGATGCTACTCATTTTCAACGGGCAACTCGTGTTTCTGCAACTCAGATTTGAGCAACAGCATTGCCCTGATGCCACAGAAGTGGATCTAACGCAATTTTTTGTTATTTGCACGGCCGGCGCTGGCGTTTGTTCGGGGAGTTTTTTTTTTCTTTTTTCTTTTCGGCCTGGGGCCATGAACTGTTTTATTAATATTATCTTTACGAAATGGGGCTTGGTGCAAAGACACCATAATGAATATACGATTACTGAATGGCCATGAGCCAGCGCCAATGAAATGATCAATCATTCAGGTTGAGCTATCGAGTAGGGTTCATGATTCAAAACTCATTCGCAGTCATCGCCTGCGTATCCAATAAGATGGTGCAGAAGACACAGATGACATTTATATTCCCATACTCACCAACAAGTCGAAGATCCTGGTATCAAACATCCCCTCTTTTTATACACCAAAACTCAACAGCTTCGATGGTTTACAGAGAGGTACCGGTTCCGCCGAGGATACCACCAACAATGGGGATGGCACCGAGGGCGTTGGGCTTCGACGAGGGCTTATCAGTGTGCGTAGCAGTGGGAGTGGCAAATTTGCCAGTGTAGGGCTTCTTCTCCGTGGCAGTCGGGGTCTTAGTGTCGACCTCCTTTTCCTCCTTGTTGGCAACAGGCTTCTCAGTCTTCTCATCGGCCTTCTCGTCGGCCTTCTCTTCGGTCTTCTTGGTGTCGTCGGCAGGAGCGTGCTTGTCGTCCTGGTTCTGGTTGTCCTTGGTGTCCTTAGGGTCGAGAGCTTCCATAATCTTGGGGATTTTCTGGAATTTTGTTAGCATATGTTTGCGACCGAGAGGGAAATACAGACCTCCAAACCACTCAGAGCTTTCTCGAGGCCGAAGCCGTGACCCTCATCACGCTTTGTGGGCAGCGACATCGCGCAGACTGCCAGAACCAGGAAAGCGGCCAGGAAGGACAGGTTTAGACGGGTCATTGTGAATAGTGTATGTGTATGGAAATGTAGATCCAAAGAAGGGTAGTATGTTCAGATGTGGATGTAAACGAGAGGCAAAGCGTCTAGCTTCAAAGAAAGAGTGATAAGTAGAAAAGGATGAGGGAACAACACCGCTGAGCGTGGGCGAGGAGGAAATCATGCGACATTTATATCCAACCCCTTCCCTCCTTGGAGTGAGGAATGGGATATACAGGGGGCAGGGCAAGGCACCCAGGTTGAGGAGCACCCATTAGGACATAGTATTGTCTTGCGCCTTTTCCTGGTATTTTCTCGCTTCACACCGCGTCAGCATGGATTAACTTCTCCCGCCACTCCCGAAGAAGAACAGGCGTTCTGGCACTGCGGATCCATCTAGTTCTGAATGTGCATTTATGCGCTAAAGCCAGGTATCGGCTCGGATAGCTTTCAAATTTGACAGTGATCTTCTCGGGGATCATGCAAGGGAGAATTTGATCCAATCAGATCTGTCAGGGTTGAAGGAGACTGCCCAATTGTGAATTAAGTTGCTTACTTTCGATTTCCACATTCCAGTCGGAGGTTCATCCGCGAGCCGTCTGACTTGATCAACAGAACGTGAGCAATGTCGACAATGTAAACAAGCACGAGATTCATACGAGGCAAATTTACTTCCTCTACCCAAGGAGAGCATTTGGTCAATAATAATGGCAATCAGGAGTCCAAAGGAGTCCAAATTAATTCATTTCATTTGTGTAAACAAGCATTGACACTGTCGCTAAATCAAACGAAGCTTGACTCCCGATGCAGAACACAATCCCAGGGGACACTCGACCAAACAAGCTTCAAATCACACTGTGGGCTATTCGAGGAATGTATCTCCCTACTTTGACACGCACATCTCCATAAGTAGGAGAGGACGCAACACGAGGGAGTCTCCGGAAAGATCTTGTCTAACCGTAAGGTCTCACTTTTGGCACGATATTGACCTCGAATATCATTGAGCAATAGACCGACGAGACTTCGAATGTGCCAAACAGGAAAAGAACAATAGGAGGGGTAGGGGAAATCGCCATGTCGACGATGCTACGGTGTTGAGGGTTGCATCCTTCTTGATGCGTTGCAGTCCTGCATGTCAGTGATTCCCATGCCAGCGTGCTTCATTGCGCGTCCTCGCACCCGGAGTCAATTGCAGACCTTTCAGAAAGATCCATCACATTCTGCAAGATAGCAATTGACACCCAAGTGGTGAGACGCGGTGATGGCGTGGGTTGCTTGGTTTCCATATTTCCATAAATTAACATGTCAACAATGCGCCCGTAGGCGAGGAAAGCTCCAAGATCTGGAGGCCAATGTGTCTGGGTGTCTCGGATCCAGATAGGAATGAAGATCCTTCGGCTTTCCCAAAGGGGTGTGTGCTCCAAAGCGAACCCAACAATCGTGCGAGGGACAGAAAACCATCCCTGGGCAAAAGTCGGGATTAGTACGAGCAGCTCGTTCTGGGTCTCTGTCTATAATTTGCTGGATGGAATTATGTCCAAGCGCAAGGGTATGTTGGAGACCGTGGTGTAAGTAAGTTGGAGAAAGGAAAGGGAGAGGAAGCTTCTGCTGCGAGAAAACTCGGCGCGTGCGAGTTGCTTAGTCATAGCCCACGTGATAACTACGAATTGAAGAATTGGAGACAAAAGACGGTTGTGGATGAAGACTTCAAAGCCACTTCAAAATTGCCTGAGTTTGTATTTCGATCGCCAAATTGCAGAGCGGTAAATTTTTATTCCGACATGTCGAATTAATAGAAACAGCTTTGGCAGCATGGGTTCATCAGGCCTGCAGTTTGCCTCATAAGAGTTCGGTGCTGCGGTTGAAGCAGCGTGTATTATGAGGAATTGAGAACCATGGAGTAGAGTACTCGAATAACTCGCTTTCTTTTAAATATGGAACAACGTGTAGACTTTCATGTTCGACTGGCATGTTTTGTAAACAATATATATTTTTCGCGACTCCGGGTCAGAATGTTTTTGAGCTGGCATTTGAAGAAATTTTCAGGCAAAATAAAGAAATCCAAAGCTCACCCAAAATTTAGATGCTTTTCGAACGAAAATATTTCATCAAGCCCCCAAATAAGCCGATTTATAGTACCTTTTGACTTCGCAAAGTGCCTAAACAATGAAACTTAAACCACGTGACCAAACGACTAAACCAGATAAAGCTAGCCCAGTAGCATCACATGATCATCCGAGCCGAAAATTAGAAAAAAGCCCGCGCTGCAAAAACTCTTCCTTTCCCAACTCCTCGCTCAAAGAATCGCATTCAAAGCTCACACACAAAAGAACTTGTTCTTTTCACACTCTTGCTTTGGGAGAAAGTCCCCGGACACCCTGCGCTTTGGCTCAGCCAAAGTTCGTCCAAGCCAGGCAATGCGGAAACGCGCCGCCATAGAAGCAATTCGATAGCGGCTTACTGCCCTATTCTCCCCGGACCAGCCGACCGCCCGACGGTGCCTTGCATTGGTTATAATGGGGTGGTGGACTGGGTCGGAGGAGGGAAGGGGATCTTCGGGTTCTCTTGTTATCGGGTTGCCTTTCGTCGTGGTTGAATAGTCATGCGATTGTCCTTGATTCCCTTTGGGGTTTCTGGATAACTCAATGGGGCTCATTCTTGAGGCGAGGAGTTCCCCCTTTTTCTTTTGAGTCTGTAGCTTATGGCAAAGCGGTAATGAGATGGATGTCTTGTTGCAGATGCCCTGTCGAAGGGGCCGGACTCGGGGGTTCGTCTTTTGAAGAATCCTTCTATCCCTTCTCAAGAGGGTTGTGCCATGAGCTTGAATTGTTCGCGGGATGATATAAAATCATAGAGTCAAGCACCGAGATCCCCTCGCTAAGGCAGGGGATCCTTGACGATTAACGATTTAATTTATCTGATGAACTTTTACATCATGGGTGAGTAGTTAAGCTTAGGTTTTGCATTCCGTACCAAATAAAAAATGAATCCCAATTGAATACAATGGCTATGCAAATCATTTCCATACACTTTCCCATAATATACACCCCCAACCAAACCAGACCGATCCTACTCAATCCATTCCTTATAGGACAGGAAACTGTTTAAAAGATGGTTTCATGACTGTCACTGCGCCTTCTTCCCCTCGCCAGTTGGGACAGGCACAGGCTCCGATGCCTGCGCCCCCGATCCAAGCACGCACACAAGACACGCGCCGAGAATGTCGCCGACAACTCCAATCGCTGTCGCACATACATTGCTCCAAACCTGGATGCTCACGTAGCCGAGCGGTACCCGCGGGAATGACAGAATCCATTCGACGTAGTAGGGGAACCAGCCGGCGGGGAGGGCGAAGACGGGGGTCTTGGAGTACCAGAATTGGAGGAAGATCTTGAGGCCGTTTGTGCTGAGCCAGCGGGCGGTTTTGACGCTCCAGTCGAAGGAGGTTTTTTGAGATGAGATCAATTTGTCTAAACACAAGACGCATCAATTAGCCAGCTGGTAGTATTCTGAAAGGGTGTCTGCTGAGAGTGGACGGACTCATCGCTTCGTATTCTTCCATGCTCTTATCGTGTCGTCTTCGGAGCTTGGCCCACTTGGCGAACTCGTCTTGGGAACTGGTGTTGTTCATCTCGCGCTTGAGTTGGAGGACTTCGCGCTTCATGCGCTGTTGTTCGCGCGCGTTCTGCGAGGTCGAGGTCGGGAGTTTAAGGTAGAGGAGCCATAGCTAGTGTGTGTGTGTTAGTTGGTGTCGCTTGGTGCTGAGTGGGATGGGAGGAGTGAGATTCGCAACTTGGCAAGGCGGTTGACGCTTAGGTCTGGCCTTGTTCTGTGGCGAATGACTGTAGACGTACCAAGCTGTCGATCGTAGATGCGCCGATCGTGTTGACGAGGTAGATCGCGATGTGCACGAACAGCACCATGAAGATGAGCGACAACATCACGGCGGGGGGTTGGCCGGTGCCGGGGACCAAAGAGGATGGAGGGAATGCTGGTCGGGAGGAGCCAGAGGCGAGAGTGGTGGTTTCAAGAGACCAGCCTGCCTAGAACTGGACTGTCGGGCTGTGTCGCGGTTCGGAGATCGAGGAGTTGTTGGCGAGATGACGTCCGGCGGAGGTGGAAATAACAGCAGGCCGGTTCCGCCTTCGACCTTCCACCGTAAACGACACCCCGCGCACCTCGTCCGGAGAGCAAAGTCGAGAGCCAAGTTGGGTTATTCTGCTAATGGACGACTTTGGAATATCATGATATTTAGAAGCAATATTCCTTGAACTCGCGATTCCAATGACGACCACCGAAGATGAATTCCAAGTACTCGTCGGCGTCTTCGCTTCCAGAGGAAACAAGGTCCTAGAAATCGAGATTATCCCATCAAGTCACGGCGCACCATTTCTACAGGATGGATTATCGATCGGAGTCACCAAGAAGGCACTGGCTTCTGCTTTGGTAGTCGCCCGAAGGCTTTTCTTCACACGCCTTCTGCCAATGTCAGAAGATGACCTCTACGCCGACGTGATCAAAAGGGAGCCCGAGACGACAAGTGCCTCGAACCATATAATCACAGAGATTATGCTCCTTTTCGACTGTGAGCATCTCACGGCGTGCAACTGGCGCAAGCGATGGCTGCAGGCGGCTATCATGCATTGCGAGCGCAATTTCCTCGATGAAATGTTTAATAAGGAGCTCTCGCTTCTGCAAACATACCAATGCTCGCCGCTACATCGACATACCAAGTCACCGACTCTGTGGTCTCACCGATTGTGGGTGCTAAATGCCATGGTAGGCCTCCAGAAGCCTGCTCCACCGGCTCTTGGGAAACTCGGACGAGCAGAGCTGGACATTGTTCTCCGCGCTGGAGAGCTGCACCCGAAGAATTATTATGCGTTTACTTATATGCGAAACCTCCATCTCTTTCTCGTTGATGTTGCCAAGGCACATGGGACCCCGGTTCCAAGCTCTATAGCTGAAGCAATGCTTGAGCCCACGCTGAACTGGTGTTTATCTAATCCGCGCGATATCTCCGGGTGGATGTTTGAAAAGTACCTGCTTGAATATTGTCCTGATTTAAGTACTCGTGCTGGAATTGTTCGCCGGGTCCTCCGGTTTGCACTGGATGTTCGGTGGGAAGGGGAGAGTTTATGGACGTTTATCGACCAGACGACGAAACGGTTTGATCTGGAGCAGATCGTGGAGGAGGCTCTTAAGAGAGCCCCAGCTCAGATGGAATCTGATTCTCCACAGGATCGACAGAAGCCGTGGCAGAAGCGCTTGGACAGGGCTCGGGCGTACTGGACTATGCCTGGAGGGCCGGAGCATTCCCAACAACCAGTCTAAAAACATATGTACATATGATATGAATAAAAGAATTATAGAACTCGTGACTCGTGTATGATTCTCGCTATGGTTTTACAGGTAGGTGCAGGGAGTATGTCGCTATGTAAAGAACGCCGAGTTGTGACTGAACTCCTCGCTAGTCGCTGGCATAAAGGCAAATATGTGCCAGGAGAATATGTAAATGGTAAAAAAAACTATGACCATGAATACCAGCGCTTCTCACCATCGCTTCCCTCTTGGAATGTACAAGGCCATCTCTCGATCTGCGCCACCATTGCGATCATTGTCAAGTTGTTAATCGTTGTCAGGTTGTCTGGGATGGGTTCGAATCGGGAGGCATTGGCAAGAAAGCGATGGAGAGGCGTGTGGCATGAACTGAGGCCGGTCATTTCCTTTTGCCCCCAGCTGCTTCTGCGGCTTTTTTCTCATCGGCTGACGGGCTATTAGTTTGCGCTCTCCTCTCGGAGGAATGAAGTGGACTTACCCTTGCGCTGCTTCTCGCGCATGATGGTGGCAGCGTCCTCCTTGGCTTTCTGGTACTGGGTGCCAGACATGGTGTTCTTGGATTTCTGGTAAAAGTCAGCGCTGAACAAAGGCCTGGGAGTGTTTTTGGCTGGGGTTGACCGCACCGCCGAAGCAGCCTTCTTCTGGGCCTTGGCTCGATCGGTGTCGCGCTGGTTACCCCGAGTCATGGTGAGAATTGGAGGGTTAATGAGGATGCGGGTTAGTGGAGTGCAGGCCTGGAGGTGACTGGAGGAAGAGAAAGTGAGAGATCGAAGAGAGGAAAAAAGGGCGGGGCGCATCGCGAAATGCCGAGGGCGAATCACCGCCCATGGAACATCCTCGCCCTTCTATACTTGTCCACCTCCCGCCCCATCAAAAAGCACTACACCAGTACCCTACCGGTGTGCAGACTAGCTACGGATTCCACATGGCGTCCAGTTGGATCACAGGTAAGTCTGACCCGATCAGATACGATCGAAACACTCGGACGAACCGGCGCTTGGGCTGACTCCTGGGCGCGTAGATTGTTTCGGCGATAGGCTCACTCCGATCGCATCGCAAACATCCCTCTAAAGGACCTTAGGAACATATAGGGGCATATCTACGCTACTAATGGGACTTCGTACCGATATCTCTTGCTCGTTAGCAAATATCGCTGTGGTGCGCCTCGGAAAAGCGAAAATGAGGCATAACTATACCTGAGCCCACTCAGCACCACCAGGCGCCGAACGACAGGGCCAGTTTCACCTCGCGAACCATCGACGTCTCTCGACCAGTGGTTCCCCCCGATCGCAACCGAAATGAGACGCCAATCGGATTCACTCACCCTGAAGATTCTCAAATCGGGCTGCCAGCCCCAAGCTCTGCGCTTAGCCATCGTGACCGGGAGGCCCTAAGTATCCCGATGAAACGCCCACTGCCTGAAGTCCCGGCATCCGCAAAACCCTGAAGGAACATGAACAAGACCATGGAAATAATCTGGTATTCGCTTTTTTGCCTCACCAGTCCATTGTTTCAGGTTCTATTCATAGTCCTTAGTGTCGCCTGTATTGGAACCGAGACATAGGCGCGCGCAATCAATGGGCTGAAAGAGTGAATGCCCATAGTGAAGGGAGTAAATATTCCCGCCTACAGCCTCTCCTGTGCTTTTTCTCTCTGGTCATTTCTCTTCTTCTTTCTTTCTCAGCTTCAAGTTTTCGAGTGCGCATCTTTGTTTCTTCGTTCCGCTGGGTTGACGAGCTTTCTGCGGGTCAGTGGCTTCCTTCCCATAAAGTCAACAACTCCCGGTCTTTCCAACCCCAGCAAAAATACACAGCCCGGTTCAACAAAAGCCTCTCTTTAAGCAGTCCTCCGGACACAGTCCAGCTGCGATGGTGTGGAACAAAGATCTGGATCGCGCGGGCTTCGTGGTCCTCAACGCCATTCGCGCCCTCAATATTATTGTCTTTCTGGACATCATTGCCTCCTGCGTCGTCATGGAGGTCAAGATCAACATGAAAAATGGATACTTTTTCTTCATGGCCGTCACACATGCTGTCATGGCTTTACTAAGCAGTGAGTATCAACCAGCTGCCCTAGAGAAAATGACAAGGTTCAGAGGCTAACAATATTCCACAGTCGCCTTGATTATCACTGAACTCCCCCTCTTCCGAGGATACATCAACAAGAACTGGCCCGCCTTCGGTGACGAAGCGGGTTTCATCGTCCTCGGCGCCATCATGATGATTCTCGGCGTCGCGGTCTTGGGTAATCTCAACATGGAGGAGATGAGCCAGAAGTCCCTTGGTCTCGCTTTCTGGCGAATCGTCATCTCAGCGGGTATTCTCGCCATGGTCATGAGCGTGATGAACGTGCTGGCTGTATGTCCCCCTCCCGTCCCTCTCCTTGAAGTGGCCCATACTAACATTAGCCGAACCAGACATTCATCTTCAGCCACCGCAACCCCCGTGTCAGCGCCCGACAGGTCCGCGCCGAGGGTGCCCAGGCAAAGAACAACGCCGTCAGCCGATCGGATAGCCAGCGCTCCCAGCTGCTGAGTATCAAACGCATCGACTCTTCGAACAGCTATACGCCCCCTCCTTATCAACCGAGCAAGCAGCAGCGATTCACCCAGCGAATCAGCCGATTCCTCCCTGTTAACCCCTCCGGATTTTCTAAGAAGGAAGATGGAGCTGCAAATGGGGATGGGAGTGCGCACCTTCAGCCGCCAATGAATGATGCCGCTTCTTCGATTTATTCCCGTCCTGATGGTATTACCCGCCCCCAGGATGCATATGATCCCACTGCTGTGCACCCGCTTATGCGGAATGGCGCGAGTGTCGTTTAAAAGGGGAATGGTTTTTTTCAGGACTTAGTTGGGCGTTATTGGCGGCGTTAACGTTAAAATCCTTTCGACTGGATTCGGATATGGAAGACAGATCATTTCTTACTGTGTCTCTGGCATACTTCCGTTCTTTATATCCATCGCTCTTTATACGCTAGTATTTTTACTTGCCGCATGGTTTAGGTGACTATTGTGTTGCAATGAGACCTATTATTCTAGATTTAACGAGGTTGGCTTTCGTTTTCGTGCGGGACCCTCTCGTAGCTTGTAGAAATTTAATTTAATTGAGAAAATTCGCGGACAGACTACCTGACAGTAGGAAACCCTACCTAGATAGCCAACGAGCTGCTTTGGGAAGTAGTTCTACATTGGGGGTTGGTCAAAGTATACAAGTGGAGCCGTGTTACCGCTTTCCACGGCGCGACTCCGACATGTTGGCCGGTTCGGTCAAACTGTCTCCAAGCTTCATTCATTCCACTCCCTCCAGTCCCACGCCCATCCCGGCCTCCGATCAGGCGAGATCCATCTCTGCTAACAGCAGATATGGCCATCTTTCAGATCTCTTGGGCGACGTGAGTTTCCACCCCATCTGCGTATCGTCGCGCCTCTAACCGCGAACAGTGTCAAATCGGTCCTTATCTTCTTCGCCCCCATCATCATTCCACGACTGATTAACTCCTACCGTTCTCTTCGGGCGTCGATTGCCACGAGCCCACCTCCTCGCCCCATCCCCGAAGGCGCCCATCGAGCGCTGAATGTCCTATTCGCGAGCATTGCCTTCTTCCTCATCCTCAGCCTACCTTTCAACCCTCACGCCCCCGAACCCAACGTCTTCACCTTGACCCGATCGCGCATCAACACGCCTCACGATGTTATCTTCAACCGACTTGCGCGCCTTCGGCCGGGCGATATGCTGACCGAGGCGGACCTGCTTCTCAAGAGCAAGCTTACGTCTCTCTTTGCTCGCAAGGTCTATCTCACCTATGGCCCTGATAGCTTGACCTCGTGTCAGTTTTGCACGATCGACAACATGTACAGCTACTTGCTCTACTACCTCCCATTTAACGTCCTCTTGCCGCACCTGATCCACCTCTCGGTCCTGGGAGTTGCAACATCATCCCCTATCGCCGGCCCCGAATGCTCTCGTTGGCGCAACAAGTTCACGCTTGCCGGTTTGGCACTGGCAGCATTTGACATTTACATTGTATCTACTTTCGATGTGCTTCACACAGCATCTGCCGCAGTGCGGGCGGGCCAGACTCCCCCATCTGGTTTCTACTACGGTATTACGCTCATGCGCCCGCTCGCACTGACGGTCTTCGACGTCAGCTGTGCTGCCCTCATTTATCTCTCTTCCACCAACCGCTTCTTCTTCAAGCCGCCTAACCCCGCCGACCAACTGGACCAAGCGGTCTCCGCCGCTTTGCGCATGTTGAACGGCGCCAATGGAAAGCTTCATGCTGCGAGCGTCACTCGCAACGCAGTGGTGCGGGACAAGAACCTCAAACAACGAGACGATGTGTACTGGCAGACAATGGTGGCGGTGGAGAACCCGACTCGGAGCCCTGGGGAGAGGGCGGGCCCCGTGCAAGGAGGGACGGCCGTGGTGGACAACATCTGGGAAGAGCCCGAAGTGGCCCAAGCCATGTCGCGGGCGATGGCCGGGCAGGGCGGTGTCGATCTCGCGCAGCTGGGCACAAATGCCCACGAGTTTGTGCGCGGGGTGACGCAGGGTCTGGACTAATCCCTGCCCTCCTGCGAATTGGATATCCTAGATGCGAATCCATAGAACATAGCGTACCTTTCGAGCACCCTGCTTCCCCCTCGAGCCCCTCCATAGACTCCTCCAAGCGTAGATTCCCCATATTTCGTCCCTGCACGCCGCTAGGACCGCATCGCCGCCATAGCCACTCGATGAATCTGATGAGGCGGTGTGGAGCGTCGATCATCACGAAGAGTGAAACGAGCTCAACCGTTTTTCCCCCTCCACCTCTCCTCGCCCTCGGATTCTGGCAATCCTCCCGTTCTTCCTTCCCTCGTTCGTTTTCCGTGCTTGAGCGACTCAACCCCCGCTAGAACACCGCCAGTCGGTGTTGTTGTGTCTTGTTCAACCAGTCCGCGTGGCGGATCCGCCCATGAGTCGAGACCCAGCCCGCCTAAATTAGTGCCGACCACCTTCGTTTCTTCGCTTCCCCGGCGCTGCAACCTTCCCCCAGAAAAAAGAAGAACAGAAAACAAAACAAGTCCCCACGCCGCGACTTCTGCTCGCCCTCCGTCATGGACAAGGAGACAGCGGTCCCCTCGCAGGCGGAGCTCAATGTCTATGTTTCTAGCCCGAGCGGCTCGCGGGCCAAGGAGACCACGTTCCGGGAATGGGTGGTCAACAACCAAATCGGTACGCATACACCTCCCCCCAGACCTGCCACGGCCGCCAGCACGGCCAGCGAGGACAATTCGCATCGCCCATCTCTTGTGACGGGTCCTTCCTCGCTCGCTGGGGCTGCCTCGGCATTGCTGCATGAAACTTTGCAACGCTAACTCTTGGCATTCTGCAGGTATCTCGCTGACCATCCTGGCTATGTTGCTGGCTCTTCATAATCTCTACCCATCGCTCCGTCCCTATACCCAGCCCTTCTTCGAGCTGTCATACTACGATCCCGCAACCAATCAATACGTGCAAGGCTGGGACGATGTCTACTTCGTCGTCAGTGCCGCCCTCGTCCTCACGGCAATCCGCGCAATCGCAATCGAATGGATAATTCAGCCAATGGCTCGCCATGCGGGTCTGGGTCGCAAGGGCTCAATTCGGCTGGCGGAGCAGGGCTGGCAGGTTATGTACTATAGCTTCGTCTGGGCGACCGGATTGGTAGGTTTTACCCACATGTTTTTTGTTGAGGAAAATAGGAGGGAATGAGAATATTATGGTGTGGCTAACATCTCGGCTCGACAGTATCTGTGGAAGAACTCGTACTATTGGTTCGATTTCAGTGCGATCTGGGACGAGTGGCCCGCGCGCCCACTGTCCGGTCTGATGAAGTGGTACTTGCTTGTGGAGCTTGCCTTTTTGATCCAGTCGATCTTCATTATCCATGTCGAGGAGAAGCGGAAGGATCACTACCAGATGTTTGCGCACCACGTCATTACCAGCACACTCTTGACCTCCGCCTACATCTACGGCTTCTACAATGTGTCCAATGTGGTCTTGTGCTTGATGGATATCGTAGATTTCCTCCTTCCGGTTAGTTAACTGAAACCGCCCTCCCCACGTCCAGTCATGAGCCCTTGCTCATACCTATTCTACAGGCTGCCAAGATCCTCAAGTATCTGAAGTACCAGAACGCCTGCAACGTCGGATTCGGCATCTTCATGTCCACCTGGTTCATGACTCGTCATGTTCTCTATAACATGCTCTGGTGGTCAATCTACACCAATGTCCCTGACAAGATGGCATACGGCTGCTATTCCAGCGCGACCACCAAGATGATCAGCACCACTGCCAGTGCAGACCTCTTCGGCCCCTTCCGCAGCTTCGACGAGCCCATCTGCATGAGCCCCACCATCAAGTTCATCTTCCTCTCCTTCCTCCTGTCCATCCAGGTCCTCTCCATTGTCTGGTTCACCATGATCGTCCGCGTCGCCTACACAACCATCACCACCGGCGCGGCAGAGGACAGTCGGAGTGACGACGAAGACGAGGCCGAGGTTGATACCGAAGCAACACCAAACGGCACCGTGCGGCTGGCCGCCAAGGATGGCGTTAGTGTTCCCCCTGTCGCCGTCGACACTGCCCCCGGCTTGGACCGTCGCCGGTCGAATGGGTCCGCGTCGGTGCGTGCTCGTGGCCGTGGCCGCGTCCCCTTCGACCAGAGTGATCGCAAAGCCCTGCTCGGTCGGATCGGATGCGACAAGCCCACGTAAAAATGCGAATCGAGTATATATTTACTCAGTTCTGATTTCGTTTTCCTTTTTTCCTCTTCCGATGGCATCTCTTATTTTTATCCGTTCTGGTTTTTTGTTCCTCTGGCGCATTATCACGAATCCACTTCAAGCCCCATATTTACCTGGCATGACGTGACGTCTCCTGTCTATTTATTCCAGCCAGCATTTTTCCACCCTGTCTATTTGTTTCTCGTCCCCGGGTTGCATGATATGGTAGTTGCTGCTGATGAAATGAAGTGCTCGACTAATGATGAATTCCCGCGTTTTCCTCCGTCAAAGTCAGTGATTTTTGTTCCGGCACTTGACCTCTGCGTCAATCCTGCCTCTTTCCAGGTCCACTATATCCCTGCGTTTTTGGCCTTATTATTTCGATTGCATCAGTATCATTTGGCCTGGTTAGTGGTGCGGACAGTGCCTTGGACCTTTTTTTTTTGTGTTTTTCAAATGGTTAGGATTTAGTTGATAATACCCAATGGATGCATTTGGATTGCATGTTGGACCTGCAGGATAAGCACTCTATTGCGAGGGCCAATCAGTGTAGATTTAATGTAAACAATTTAGTTTGCCTTGGGCCAATCATAGGCAGCCGTGTTGGACATGTCAAAGGTTTTGTCTCAGTGTATTTTTAGAAACCCCACGGTTGATATGAGATGGGTCCTCAACAAAACAGACAGTGGTGAACTGACTCATTTTAGCAATGAAGAGAAGATTTCAAAGAAGTGACCAGCAATAGCTTGGATTCAAAATACACTGGAAGTCAAGAATATGGTAGATACAAAAATAGAAGTATATACAAGAATTCTATGCTATTAAGGACGGATCAAACAGACCCATAAACATACTTCTTAACCGGCGGCTCACCATCCCCAAAAGACCCATACGTCAACGTATCCATACTCCCATAAATCAACGCCATCGCCTCCGTCCCCAGCAAATCAGTAAGTCCCAAACCCGGGGCAACCAACTGATTACAAACAGTATCCAGACCCACCCTTGACAACCTCCCTGGCCCATCATGCGTAAGAGCATCAACAAACAAAGCATAAGCAAGCGGGTTCACGAGCATCGTCTCATGCAGGTAATAGCTCCCCGCAGGAAGTCCCGGGCACGCAAGTTGAATCTGGACATTCGAAACGCCCACTTCACGTGTGTCCAGTAAATGCGCCGATGCGCGGGGGTCTTGTTGTGGTTCCACGACTTCGTCGATACCGGAGTACACACTTGTCGTCGGGACATAGGCCGAATCACCGTCTTCGGAACGAAGTGCCTGGATGAAATTCGAATTATACCCCTGCTGCTTGATGGATGGTGTGCAAAGTGGGTTCGGGAGAAGACACAGTTCCTCGTTTAGCGTGCCGTGGAAATCGGCGCTGAGAGCCATGAAGTCTGAGACGCTTTCTCGCGTTGAGGGCCAGTATTTCAACGCCCATTGGATGTCGAGTGAACCCTGGGACCAGGAGAGGACGCCGATTTGACTATTCAGCGAGATCGAGGAGATGTAGTTTATTGCGTACGCGACGTATTCCGCGTTCACTTGGATATCGCCGAGCGAGTTCCCCGGGATATTCACCCAGACAGGATCGGCTATTTCGTTGTCTCGGAAGAGTTTCTCGTAGCTGAAGTAGAAGGTTGTTCCAGCTGGATCTGCCGTGCCGGGAACGAGGAGGACGGGAGTTTTGTTTGTGCCGCCGTATTCAAATTCTTCCGGGATATAGATGGCTGAGCGGAGTTGGTCTTCGCTTTGGCTGTATGGTGCGTCTTCAATTGCTTTTTTTGGGAATATGGGCTGTTCGGGCTCAGCGGGGTTGGAGTTGTGGATGGAGTTTATGTCTGCGTCTGTCAGGCCGGCGATTATGTCGAGGATGTTTTGTGGGGCTAGGCCGCGGAGGACGAGATCTGTCGCTATGGCGATGATGTTGTGCTGGTCTTTTTTGGGGAACTTGGCTAGTGAGGAGAGGGCTTCTTCGAGGGTTGCGACTGGTTTGATTTTGCCTTCGCGAACTTCTTCGAGGGCCGATTCCAGGGCTGTGATTTCTTGGCTGACGCCTTTGCCGAAGGTGACTAGACCTTCGATAGAGTCTTCCAGCATTACCAGTGTTCCTGGTGAGTCTCGTGGTTGGAGGGATGGGTTGATGGGGACTGGGTTGCCCATTATTTGTGGTAGGAATGATAAGAAAACGACGGCTGCTGTTGAGATGTGCATTGTAGTGACTGACGGTCTCTTTGGGAAAGACTAACCCCGGAAATGAACGTATGGTTGAAGAAAAGAAAAAAGGAGTGTCGACGATTGCATTGAACACAGATGGGCTGGAAAGCCATATTTGATTGTCGCTTGATCATCTTAGGGAGCGGTATGTAAGCAAAACAGCGATCTTTCGGTGGAATGAGTTTATCGATAATAAGCGCGACGAAATAAGCAGTGAAATCTTTCGTTTATCCCTTGGTTAAAAATACATTCTTGCTGCAGATTAGTTCCGAGTGGGGATGAGTAAATACCCCTTCTGACTCGGACTGGCATTCCTGTCGAACTTACAGCATTGGATTCGTAGATCAGACACAACTCTTTGGCTCTTGCCATTTAACAGCTTATATTGCTCTTTCTTAAGTATTTGGTTCTATTTTGATTGACCTCCGCGCTGGAGAGGCAAAAGTAGTATTGTATACCAACATCTCAGATCGAGACCAAGGTATGTAGGTTTGTGATGAGACGCATTCGGGACGCTCTATATATATGACACCAAATGAATACGAAGGTTCACCATGAGAATCAGCTATATGTTCAGACAGTCTCATGAACAGACGAAAAACAGCTGCAAGGTATCATCACTCAGACGATATCTCAGCCCAAGCAGCCTTAACATCATCGTCAACACGACTCCAGCTCTCCCGAATCATCTCATCCACATCAACCTGGCCCAACAACTCATCACCAAGCGCATTGCACACAATCTTCGCCATCTTTCCATCTTTCATGTCGTAAATAGCCCACACCTTGACCCGAATCACATCGCCAGGCTTGACCTTGTGGCTGTGTACCGCATTATCGGTGGCTTTGATATAGTAGAAATACGCCTCCATGCTGAAGAAAATCCTCTTCTCGTCGATCATGACAAGCATCGGGACAACGGTTTCGCGTGCGGCGTCGTGTACTACTGTATAGTGGTCCATAATGCCCTTAGATCCAACGAGAGTGCCGATTTCGGGATCGGGGATGGTGAGAGTCACATCTTTGGAGTAGAAGTTGTGCTGGGTTTGGTAGTCTTTGGCGTTGAAGGCTTTAATGTATTTGAGGAATTCGTTTAGTGGTAGGGAGGGTGCCCTGGTGGGTTCTGAAATGGATTGTAGTTACAAAGGAGACATGGAGTTGATGCCGAGGCGGTCTGAGATATTGAGCTTATCGCAAAGGCGGAGAGTTATTGATTGAAGTAGGAACTACCTGGTGGCTGCTTTGCTTTATATCTTTGTGATGCAGCCCTTCCTCCTGCTCCACTGAGAGCTCATCATGGGGGCTGGGATCACGTGCATGCCTATATACCTGTTCACCAGTCTACTTGTATCTTACACAATTAACTCCCCTCAACAACATGAACACTGAAGCATCACTTATAAATCAACAGGTAGTTATGGTCATTCCGTCAATCTACACCGCCTTCAGTGGGGTTGGGTTCAGTACTGCCCTTTACCTTCGCACTAACAACCAGTTCTCCCGTTCTATCCGCATTAGACCCGTCTTGCTTGACAGCATGGCCATCGTTGCGCACAAAGGAACCGATTTACCGACGGTTGCGGAGATCGAAGCATCACATGATGTGCTGAGTGTTCGGACAAACGCTATCAAGGTTGTTCGAGTTCGGGAACGCTTCGCAGTCAAGGTTGGCTATTCTATTCCACCACTGGAGGCAGAGAACATGATTTTCGTTGCACACAACAGCAACATTCCGGTGCCGAAGGTTCATGATAACTTTGTCGATCCGGAAACTCAAAAGAGATATATCATTATGGATTATATCCCAGGCACGGACCTTGAAAAATTACTACCATCGCTCACGCCAATCGAAAAGAAGACAATCAGCGCACGGATTAAGGACGCAGTTGATGAACTACGGCAGATCCCAGCTCAAGGGTACCTTGGAAACTTGGCACGCCAGCCTTACACCGATGGTGTGCTCTCCTCTCCAGATGACAATCCAACAATTTCGGGGCCATTCGAGAATCAAGAGCAAATGAATCAGGGTATCTTGACAAGGCTTGGCCAGAAGGAGTCGCCCCACTACATTCGTCTTTTGCGAGGAATGGTTGATCGAACCCTCAAAGGCCACAAGATTGTGTTCACGCACGGAGATCTTCAACCAAAGAACATAATGGTTGAACGCAATGGACTCCAAGAGGATGGAAGTAGCGACTTTAAAATCACATTGATTGATTGGAATCTTTCGGGCTGGTACCCAGAATTTTGGGATTTCTGCAATTCGACGCTTTATTGCCAGTTAAAGCCTGATTGGTTAGAGCTCATCCCGGATATTTTCGATCAGTATCCTTTGGAATACTTGATGATGCAAGTTGTTTACTCCTCAGTGTTTTATTAGGAATTCGTCACCCCTTCTTCCGAATTGTGCTCAAATCAGCTATACAAATATTGTAAGATACCAGGGACCCGACCGTCACCTGACACCTATGATTTTCGGTCCAAATCTCTTACGTCGACGGAGCTGAGAAATTAAACCTCCCACAAGCAGTTGTAGGGTCTCCAGCTGGGGAGTCCTTCAACGACCTTTTGCCTCATTTCTTATTGTAAGTTAGATAACGGCTTGGCAAACTTGTTTTACACTTGACTTACGCTAATCAACGTTTTATGATACTCTTTTCGAATGCTAGCTTCTTACGTCGCGGAGCCAGTCTCCGCAGCGATAGAGCTGCGTGCCAGGATACAGTTGCTTGCCACCGAGAGTCAATTGAGCGCGGGGCGCGGGAACTGCTTGGCAGCACTCTGTCTCGAATCTGGCCAAGTCTTCCTTTGCGATGGTCCCAATCTTTTTTTTGGTGCCCGGTACATGCGAAGCAGAGAACTCTGGGTCCATTGAGCCTCTGGGATCGTATTTCATGCCTTGAAGTAGATTTCCAGTCACATGATAGAGACGCCCTCCTTCCGAGGTTCTCAGCGCGGCAGGGTTGGTTTCGATATAAATGGCTTCATGGTTTGGCACGCCAGCGTATTCGGCTGTATAGACATTGAAGGACATGATTAGGCTCTGAAATAGCGGGAAATATTAACAAATCGATTTATAAAATGAGGAGAGAGTAGATGAAGCGGCCAGCTAGCAAGAGTTTCTTCTATTGACTATATTTCCCGGCCTTTTATATGTTCTGCACCGAGCTTGTGGATCTCCATTTCAAGTTTGCTCCCCGCAGCGTTGCACGTCTGGAAAGCGTATCACCATCTCTGGGGGCTATTTGAAGCTCATCAAGGATGACAGATGGATGTGCATTGCATCACATTGGCTGGCAGCCAAGCGCCGAAATCTCGACCCCGACCGTACCTGCACAATCCCCATTTCGCTTTTATGAAGTTCTTTGTGTTTCAAGTTAGCGCTTAAGGTCTAGTGAGCGTGGGTGGTTACCTGGAGAACTTCAAAACAAATTCCTACACAAATCGCAGTTTCTTGGCTACAGTAGCCCGCCGCTGCGGGACATAGACTCGTCTTCTGGAGTCGAAACAAAGAGGTCGAGAGAACTATCCAGTTGACCCGGTAAGGTGAGGGCTACTGGCTCCACCGAGACTTTAATTTTAAGGAAAGAAAATATCTGGGCGCTTAGCTGGATTTCCACCTATCCTGTAAGTTCGGGTAGCTGTAAGCACCTTCCAATATTTAGCGCCCACATCCACTGGATGTTATCTAAAACAACACAGGTTTCAGCTTTAGCGGCCAATATGACATAGCTCAAATAAGCACTAGCCCGAAAATATTCATTGACAAGCTTTCTATACGATGGCATCATATCTAATCTCCTTGCCACTGTGGGGTACTAATGGCTTTTTCCCAATTCCAATGACCAAGAGGAGTATGTCGTGATCTATGTCACATGGAGGGGTATGTTAATATTTTGCCTTGAATAGTACAGGCCTTAGAAGGTAGCAGTACTTCACTACATCCTTCATTTCGCTTTCGAATTATACAAAGGATGCTAGCTTGAGAAATCTCCCTTATGAGAGAATCAAAAGAAAGCTAGTCGCGTGGTTTCTAGGAAAAGATCTTGAGACCTTCTTGTCTCGCACTAAGGAAATTTGTTCCCAATTCGTGTCTTATCCATGTCTGCTTGGGTACCTTTACATGATGGTGAAGTCTACATGGCAAAGGAAAGGCATATCTTTAAGCCCCACCATAACATTTGAGCAGAGTATCTGATATTCTACGAGGCTTCGCGAGTCCAAGTCCAAGAAAGGGACCTTTATTCTTAGGAATGCAAACTATTGTGGACTCGTAAGCGCCACCCCGACTTCTTTACTTCATTCGTTGCGCATGTCTCGTCCAAATATTCTTGGGTGACCCTGTCCGTTCACAAAATGATGCACTCCAGTACCAAAGTCGGATCTAAGATTGATTCATATGATTGCGTGTTTCAAGATGTACTAGTTCATATACTTTCACTTGCATGAATTGTCCAGAATGCGTTCTGTTATTTCCATAAACCCTACCAAATAAGAAACTAACCTCTGGCTTCTCAAGTTTCCTCACTTTTTTCATACGTCTTTGGTTCTGTTATGCAAGTACATCTACTGTTTGTCTTCTTCTCAACTTAAACATTTCTCATTCCATCCTCCTGGATATCCAAATACCGGATCCCATTGCCGGTTCGCTCCCGGCAACTATTATCTGATATACCTTGAATCTGAACTACATCACCGACTCCGTTAACCTTTTTCATTCGATGAGTTCACGATGGTGAAGCGCGGTCATTATTTGGTGTGTCCAGGGCGGTGGGTCCCAACACCGCCCACTCCACTCACTTCTCCACCCACTCGGCCTTCTTCTCTTCCTTCCTTCTCTCTAGCTAGCCCAGATAGTTGAATGGACTCTTTCGTTGTTCACTGGCTAGCTCACTCATTTAACCAGAGCCCTGTAGAAAGATCTTGCTCTTCTATGTCGTCAGGGTCCACTCTTCCTTAAGAGCCCACAAGTGCTATTCGATCAAGCCTAATAGCCACGAGTGCCATGCCATCGAGGAAATCATCAGTGCTTATCAGCAAAGGCGCCAATACCACAGAGTATTCTCGAGCATCTCGTCTCTGTCATTCAGCTGGGTTTGTTGACAGTAGCTCAGAAGAAACAGAAGCGACTAGTGCAGAGGGTGGTAGTTTAACAATGACTCTGAAAATTACTGCAACAACCAGTGTCAGCAGCCCAGCCACAACTGAGACGACCCTATTGAGTGGCAGCGGCTCAGATACAACAGACACAGGAACATTGTACACTATTTATAGTACAACTATAGTGACTGTGAGCTAAAAAGAGATATTTGATGTGGCAGTCTGATTCCTTGCTACTCGAACTGTAGTTATCACTGTCTTGTAACTAGACTGCGTATCCACTACCCTGTGTCGGACTTGGGTCTTGTTACAGCGAGGAAGAGGGAATTAGGAGGGGAGACCTGGCTCAACAAAAATCTAGTAGGTAGCTATCAAATAAATTTCTACATTGTCTAAACTTTAACCCGTCCGTCTGAGTCCAATTCGCTTATCCCGTCCAGACTCATCCACATAGACCAAGCGATACGACTGAAAACCTGACAGATTGTGTAGATAGAAGTCGCGTAAATCGGCATTTTGCTCTTTTGCTCTCTGTCGAGCCACCTTCTTTGACCAACCGACCGAAGTGAGAACCCGCTTGAGGCTCGAATTCGTCACTTGGACACAGAACTCATCCCATAAAAAGATTGCCATCTCATCCACATACAGCCCGAGCTTTTCAAGTAGATGATCACACAAGGCCTCTAGTATCGGAGGAGTTACACTTCGTCGTCGGCCGACGTGAGTTGGATTTCCGAACCAGCAAAGGTTGTTGCTGATGTTGACGACTGAACGCTTGCTACATTCCGCAGATTTGGCCATTTGTGAGGTAGTTAGTGATTTACTCAAAATCATATCATGAATCATTTCAAGCTTTGAGAGGGAGAGACTTGGTGCCATGTTGTAGAGAGATGGCGGAGGAATCAGGACGTTGGGGGAGTTTGGCGAGGGAGAGATAGGCGACCATCGAATGTGCAAGGAAACCAATCCATCTGCTCACCCTTGCTCACCCCCCTGTTTTGTGAGCCGCTGAAAAGATTTTGGGCGAAAGGTCTGGGGAAAGCTAGGTATTAGGGAATGCACGTGAGTTCGTGACTTCGAAGTCCCTGGGAACTTGGTGGCCATCTCAAAGCCGCGGACCTCAAAAAAGGGCGGCTCGAGGTCTGGACCATCATTTGGTAGCTTGCCTATAGCACAAATTTGACCAGCAACTGCTTATACTGTGCGTTTGGCAGCAGGCAGAAGTAGATATCAGATTATGAATGTTAAGGCGTATTCTTAGCTAGATTTTAGCCAGAGGCAACTGGCTTGGGGAACTGGCTGGCTATGCCGTGCTGTGCGTGATCTGGGTGTTCTGGCTCGGGTCGATCCGATCCCTAAGCACGTGCCGATCGCACCCCACAGTGCCTGCCAATCTGGACTATGATCCCCTTCTTAGCGCCGCAGTCATCTGATCGTGAAGCTCGGAATGCGCCCCTCCTTCAGCTGGGGATGAGACCGCGGCCCTTCGACTGAAATTCACACAACGCAAATTTACTGGATCATGGCATCGATACTCCAGATCTGGAATAAGTACCTATAAGCTCACAACATCGCCGGGCAATGTGGGAGGCATTTTCCATTGGCATTGATTACCCCCCTTCCCCCAAACACCCAGTCATGTCGTTCAGCCAGCGAGAAGGTTCCGCATGCAAGCATCCACAGCTCATGGCCCCCAACGTGCGTGCGCCACTAGCGAGAACCTGTTGTTGTGGGCTGACCTAACATTGTTCTTTTTTCAGCTTGCCTCCGTCCATCCAGGGATGCAATAAGTACGAATCCAGCTGGAGGTCACTGAGGGTGATAGCGCTAGTCATGCATGGCAACTGGCAAGGTTGCGTCCTTTGACTGGCAGTGATAAATAATATCCCACAAACACTTCTCCGCCTCTCCTCGTGACTCAACTTCAGCTTCCTCGTCGACGAACTTAACCGCACAACTCTATCTTTCCACCGGCCTATATCACAGTCTCGTGCGCTTCCCTCCGCACTATGGCATCCCAAAGCACCCGCGAGAGCCCCGATTCTTATGCGATCGCCTGGATCGCTGCCCTTCCCATCGAGCGGGCCGCTGCAGAAGCAATGCTAGATGAGGAGCATGCAGCTCCAGCGAGCTTCACGCGGCACCAAACCGACACGAACGTTTATACCTGGGGTCGCGTGGGAGAGCACAACATCGTGATTGCCTCTTTGGCCGCCGGAAACTACGGGACCACCTCGGCTGCAACTACAGCCTCGAGCCTGCTTGCCTCTTTGTCATCCATCCGTGTTGGTCTTTTGGTGGGCGTAGGCGGTGGCATCGCTCGACCGGAGGAGGGCTACGATATCCGGCTAGGTGACATTGTCGTGAGCCAGCCCTGTGGGACCACAGGCGGCGTCTGCCAGTACGACTTGATAAAAGCAAAGTCTGGGGACAAGCGTGAGCGCAAAGGCTTTCTCGGACGGCCTCCAACGGTTCTCCTCAATGCGCTTACCAGCATCCAGGCCGATCACGAGCGGAAAGACTCTAAGGTTCCCTGCTTCCTTCAAGAGATGCTGGAGAAGAACCCAAAGATGGGCAAGAGATCCAAGCAAAATCCTGGCTATGCTCACCAGGGCTTCGACAACGACCGCCTATTCAAAACTTCATGTGACCACGTTCGCGGCCCGGACTGTCGGGGCTGTGATACGGCTGATGAGGTTCAACGCGATCCTCGAGACACTACAGACCCCCATATCCACTACGGGACCATCGCATCCGGCAACACACTCGTCAAAGACGCCGCCGCGCGCGATCGGATTGTTGCTGACCTGGGCGAGGATTGTATCTGCTTTGAGATGGAAGCGGCCGGTCTGATGAACCACTTTCCCTGTCTTGTGATCCGAGGGATCTGCGACTACGCCGATTCTCATAAGAATGATCGATGGCAACGCTACGCCTCGGCGACCGCCGCTGCTTATGCTAAGGAGCTTCTGACGTACGTGCCGGCCGCGGAGGTCCAAGAGACTAAGAGGGCACTGGAAGTGCTTCAATTAGGTTAGTTGTTGTTTCGTTCACTAGGGCTCCACCTGCAAATACACGAGACCGAATAATGTTTGAAATTGTAATACGTCCTGACTGCGAGTAGTTCAACAACAGATCGATGGCGTGCAGCAGATGACAGTTGCAACGAAAGCTACAGCTGATTCCATCCGGTCTGACCTTCATACCGATAAGATCAAGCGCTGGCTTTGCCCCCCGGATCCGTCTACAAACGCCAACCACGCGAGAACGCTCCGCCAGGTGGGAACAGGTGTGTGGCTTCTGGAAAACCCGGTTTTCCAGGAGTGGCACTCGGGGTCGCGTCAACATTTATGGCTGAACGGACTGGCGGGATGTGGAAAGACGGTTCTCAGTGCGACTGTGCTTGATCACCTTGCGAAGGGAAACGACCGTCTTATCCTCAGCTTCTTTTTTGACTTTAGTGACACCACAAAGCAGACCGTGGATGACATGCTGCGGTCGCTGGCTTTCCAACTTTACCAAGGCGGGGTTAGCTCTGCAAAGCATCTCGATGCTTTATCTCAAGCACACCAAAATAGCAGCGACCAACCTGCGACAAAGGCGCTCTCAGATATTGTATTCAGGATGCTGCTGGTCCAGAAGAAGGTCTCAATCGTTCTGGACGCGTTAGATGAATCGAAAACAAGACATGATGTTCTCCTATGGATCAAGGACGTGGTGTCCAGGTCGGAGTTGGGCCATGTCCAACTGCTTTATACCGGTCGACCTGAATCCGAGTTCCAACGCGATATTCCCCCATTGATAGGAAAACAAAACTGCTTTTCTCTTGACAAGCACGCTGTCAACGCGGATATCCGATCATGGGTTTCAGCACAACTTTCTCAGCGGCGCGATTTTAGAGAGAAGCCCTTGTCTCCGGATCTGATAGAGAGAATCCAGAAGAAAGTTGGCGACGGGGCAGACGGGATGTAAGATGATACTTCTTTGATTCGATACGCTGACGGTTTGCTGATGCTCTGCTTAGGTTCAGGTGGGCGTTCTGTCAATTGGACAGCCTGGCTCGATGTCGTCACGAGGCAGCTATAGAGGAGGCTCTCGTATCTTTGCCACCAAACCTAGATGAGACATACCGGCACATGATTGCAAGCATTCCGACGGAGTTGAAAAACGACGCGATACGCCTCCTACAATTTCTAGTGCACTCTAAGCGTCCTCTCAAGCTGGCCGAGGCTAAAGAAATAATAGCGACGCAAATCAAAAACGAGCCGCGAGGGTTTGACATCAAGCGTCGACTGTTTCACGAGACTAACGTTTTAGATTACTGTCCCAGCTTAGTGACAGTCGTTGACGCAACCCATAAAGAGTTACATCTTGCCCATTTTTCCGTCAAAGAGTATCTTCTGGAACAGAAACAATTCGAAATTACGACTGCCAGCATTCCTATCACGAGGACGTGCCTAACCTATCTTACGAACATCCACGGTAGTCACAGAGAGATTAATCGGGATTTTCCGATGGCAAGATATGCGGCGGAACTCTGGACAGACCATGCTGCGTTGGCCCAGGCTTCTAAAGATATAGTTCGAGCGACAGTCAGGTTCCTAGAAAAGGAATCGACTTTCCAACGATGGGCTAGTTTGTATCAGGCTGATAGCAGTTGGGACCCTAACCCTGGTCCTCCGCAAGGGTCCGGGCTCTATTATGCTTGCTTTCTTGGGCTCGTAGCGCCTGCACGAGATCTTATTAACAAGGGAGCGGACGTCAACGCGCAGGGCGGCGTATACGGCAACGCTCTCCAGGCAGCGTCATTTAGAGGCCGTCAAGAAATTGTCCAACTGCTCTTAGACAAGGGAGCGGACGTCAACGTGCAGGGCGGCGAATACGGCAACGCTCTCCAGGCCGCCTCATCAGGTGGCCATCAAGAAATTGTCCAACTGCTCTTAGACAAGGGAGCGGACGTCAACGTGCATGGCGGCCGCTACGGCAATGCTCTCCAGGCCGCCTCATCAGGTGGCCATCAAGAAATTATCCAACTGCTCTTAGACAAGGGAGCAGACGTCAACGCGCAGGGCGGCCACTACGGCAATGCTCTCCAGGCCGCGTCGTTTAGAGGCCATCAAGACATTATCCAACTGCTCTTAGACAAGGGAGCGGACGTCAATGCGCAGGACGGCCACTACGGCAATGCTCTCCAGGTCGCCTCGGCGGAAGGCCATCAAGGGATTGTCCAACTGCTCTTAGATAAGGAAGCGGACGTCAACATGCAGGGCGGCCACTACGGCAATGCTCTCCAGGCCGCGTCGTTTAGAGGCCATCAAGAAATTGTCCAACTGCTCTTAGACAAGGGAGCGGACGTCAACGTGCAGGGCGGCGAATACGGCAACGCTCTCCAGGCCGCCTCATCAGGTGGCCATCAAGAAATTGTCCAACTGCTCTTAGACAAGGGAGCGGACGTCAACGTGCATGGCGGCCACTACGGCAATGCTCTCCAGGCCGCGTCGTTTAGAGGCCATCAAGACATTATCCAACTGCTCTTAGACAAGGGAGCGGACGTCAACGTGCAGGGCGGCCACTACGGCAATGCTCTCCAGGCCGCGTCGTTTAGAGGCCATCAAGGGATTGTCCAACTGCTCTTAGACAAGGGAGCGGACGTCAACTTGCAGGGCGGCCACTACGGCAATGCTCTCCAGGCCGCGTCGTTTAGAGGCCATCAAGGGATTGTCCAACTGCTCTTAGATAAGGAAGCGGACGTCAATGCGCAGGACGGCCACTACGGCAATGCTCTCCAGGCCGCGTCGTTTAGAGGCCATCAAGAAATTGTCCAACTGCTCTTAGACAAGGGAGCGGACGTCAACGCGCAGGGCGGCATATACGGCAACGCTCTCCAGGCAGCGTCATTTAGAGGCCGTCAAGAAATTGTCCAACTGCTCTTAGACAAGGGAGCGGACATCAACGCGAAGGGCGGCGAATATGGTAATGCTCTCCAGGCCGCCTCGGCGGAAGGCCATCAAGAGATTGTCCAACTGCTCTTAGACAAGGGAGCGGACGTCAACGCGCAGGGCGGCATATACGGCAACGCTCTCCAGGCAGCGTCATTTAGAGGCCATCAAGAGATTGTCCAACTGCTCTTAGACAAGGGAGCGGACGTCAACGCGCAGGGCGGCATATACGGCAACGCTCTCCAGGCAGCGTCATTTAGAGGCCATCAAGAGATTGTCCAACTGCTCTTAGACAAGGGAGCGGACGCCAACGCGCAGGGCGGCCACTACGGCAATGCTCTCCAAGCCGCTTCGTTGGAAGGCCATCAAGAGATTGTCCAACTGCTTCAAAGAAGACACGCTATTACATTGTCTTCAAAGCGGTCCAGCTCCAGGACTCCAAGTTACCCGGCGAAGAAACTTCGTCTCATGGACTCTGAACCTCTTGATTAAACTCGATAATTCGTTCAGTTCCCCCACCATGGTGTCTACCTATTGCCTAGGTTCAGGCCTCATTGCTCTTATCACTTTGCCGATTCTACGTGTGGCTTGTTAAATCATGCCAACCTGTACATGCTACTTCGTCTGGGCAGCGGTTACTTAACCCAGACTGCATTGGGATCCCATATGGATTGTCAAACGCGGTCAGGAAGACCGCGAGTCCACCTACGAATTGGTGTACTAGTCAGATAAAACGGACCCGATCACATGTTATCCTTTTGCGAAGCCTGAGCGATCATAAACGCCCTTTTATATTAGACACGGACACATGTAGCCCCAAACAGGAGTCCACTACAGGTATGAGTCATGCCGCGCGGAGAGAAACCTGTTAGAAGAGTTGAAAAAATGAGAATAACCTCTTATGTCAATCGTGGGACCATGTAGAGCCTCTCGTCAGAAGTGTTGTACTGTAACGTATGTGAACCAGGGCCGATGGGAGAAGGCCGAGAAACTCTTGATGCAGGTTATGGAGACTCGAATGACCAAACTCAGCGAGGACCATCCTGCCACACTATCGAGCATGGCCGATCTCGCTTACACTTGGAATCATCGCGTCGGAGCAAAAGCGCTCTTGATATACCACGACCTTGCTTAGCGACGCAAGACACGTGCTAGGGCTTACAGTAACCACCCCCATGCATTGGCAACTTTTGCAACTTTACAGAGGTGGCAAATCGAGTTGCTGAACATTGGCGTATAGAAAAACAAGCTCTGAAAATAATATCTTCTAATATATTCTTCTAGTCCGTGCCAGAATTCGGAGGAACAGAATATTGGAGAAGAGTTAGTGTAGATAATTACATAACGCAAGTGGGAGGACGCCGGAAAGTGAGCCATACGGCTTAACAACTCCGTGGCTGGAGGGTACATCGTTGCGCTCTACAACAGTATAGAACCCCCAGCTTTAATATTAATCATTATACGAGTAGGAGAATTTTTGGTGGCTAATATAAATATGAATAACATGGTAGGGTTAATTTTATTAGTTCAACAACCTGCGGCGTCCGTAATAACAACAAAAGCTTTTCTTCTCAAAACTGTTCTGTTCTAGCTTAAATTTCAGGGAAATCAATAAACTCTTCCATGAGATTCATAAGTTCCTCGGTATCAGATATGTTCAATTCGTCAAATCCGGTCTGTGCGACTTCGTTGTTGAGGGAAGTATCTTCGTAGAAATGAGAATCCGCGAGGAGGATCCTAGCAGAGGTATGGCGATGATTTTCTTGAAATTTTTCAAGCTCGGGCTGGCTCAGTAACTCTTAAGGAATCTCAGTCTCCGACAGAAAGAAAGTATAGGGTGTGTGACTTAAATAAGGCCCCTCTTTGATGTGGGTACCTACGTGGGGGAATGGAGATGTGGGGGAGCTCTTCACAAGCTCCTTGATTCATCGAATTTATTATACAGCCAATGACGCAGGTTTTAAGCCCAAGATGAGAAAGACATTTCAAACCTCTACCATGCCAAATGTTCCCGCAGAGTCTGTAATAGCTCTGTTGCTCCCGAGTCAACAGGAAGGCATGACAGGATATGTTGGTCCGGTCGAACAAGCACTGCCCGCGAAGACAGTTCCATCAAGTCAAGCCACAGGTGATTCTCCGTCCCAGGCTGGAGTTTAAAGCCTTGTTCTTAGATGACAACACGAAGTGGGAGTTGGCTAACCAGATTTGTGGGCAGCTCCTTGAAGAGCCATCCAACCACCGATTGGAAATAGGCAGCATGATCCATATCAACAAAAAGAGTAAAAGACTCCAATGGGCACAGATCCAATGTTGAGAACTCTTTCTGGACTTACTCATTCGAAAACTCGCCTGTAAAAGATTATCAATAGGAGGGAGGAGCAGCTTTTCGGAAAGACTCTCAATCCAAGCATGTGGAAGACGAGCACCCGGAACACACGAAGGCTCAAAATGCGAAACATTCTTCGGAATCCTCGTATCGCCGTAGATGTAACCAATATGAAGGCCGAGGTTATCAAAGTGTTCTCGCTGGCCTTCGATGCCTTTGTTGATCTCCTTCATAGCTTTCGAATCCTGAAGGTTGCGATAAAGATTCTTTCTAGACATCTCAATATCTGGATCCGTCGTTCCCAATGCTTTCAGGAGGCCGAAGATTTGTTTGCCAGTTTTTACGCTCTGGTTGGCTTTTACAAGTGCGACTTGGCGACGTTCGGCTTGGTACGTATCGAGTAGACTGTCTCCACCCCATCCTTGGTGAACTGCAGCAAGTTTGTAGGCGAGGTTGTGCACATCGCCGAGTCCAGAGTTGAGGCCGAGGCCTCCAGTTGGCGGGAATGAGTGGGCGGCGTCGCCAGCTCTAAAGACCAAATTAGTACGATTCGATAAGGAATGGCAAGGTCAGACTTACAAGAATACTTGGCCATCTCGATATGAGTGTGCCGCCTTTCGACTCAAGATCCAGGGTCGATAACTAAGTATACTGTACGGGACTTGAGTTCCAATAGCCGCATTCACAACCTTTCGGCAGTGCTCCTCATTCCATGATTCAACGGGATGCTTCTCGGGCTAAAAGGAGAGATTTAGCATCTTATCTTGTAGATGAAAGGTGCCTTGAGGATCCTACATCGAAGTTGCAGATCAAGACTTGGTTTCCGAGCAGATCATAACCGATAATGAACCCAGGTATCTGAGGATGTATGATCCAATGAAGCATGCCGACTCGATTCTTGATCACAGGGTGGAGGTTGGCGTTGAAATGGATGGTCACCATGGTTTCACCTGTTTAGTCGTTGTCAGAATGAATACAACTTATCTGATCTTGGAAACATACAAGTCTCCTCTCCTTCGCTGGTAATACCGAGAAACTTTCTGACAGCGCTTTTGGCACCATCGCATGCGATTACATGTCTCGACCTCACTTGATACTCTGTATGGGAGGCGCGATCTTCGATTGTGGGGTTTGTGACATAATTACCAACGCCCTTGCAGATGTTAGCGACGTGGGCAAGTAAGTTTTCTTCATGAAAAACTTGCGTCCTTCTCTAGGCTTACGAACGAATGATTCTTCCGAACTTCAACCAGATCACTGCCAGAAAGCTCCTTGGCGACGAGCTCCTCAAATTTAGGCTGTGGAATATTGTGTATCATCTAATATCAGTTAGCCCGTGTAGATGTATCCTTGACAGGAGACATACCGTCGGAGTAACGTTCAGAACTTCCTTGTCCATTCGCTCATAAGGTACGTGACCGATGTGCTTCCCAGCCAAACTGGTAACGAAATTGACCCAGTAGGCATCGTCACGTTGACTGCCAGATTCACGGATCTTATTAACGCCCAACCTGGCCTGGCGGCAGATTTCAAGAGATCTCAGGGAAAGGGCGTGTGCCTTGGGAGCTGCCAGCCTGGTCGGGTAACGCTCAATGACGAGACATCTCACTGTGCGATGTTAACTTTTGTGGTGGATGGACATGTATTGGGACCCCTCACCATTGAGTCTCTCGAGAAGAAAGGCGAGAAGCAGACCAGATCCGCCGCCTACAATGAGGATTGGAACATCCTCCGGTTCTGAGAGGTGAAATAGTGGGGCCATGTCGAATACCGATTACCCAAGAAGGCAGATGATAGCACTTGCGAAAATGAGGTGCATTTGTAGTGGATGGTGATCAGCAAAGTACTTTCCACATCTGAAGTGGGGATGGGGAAGCGGGAAAACGTGGGGCCTTATGTGTAGATACGACACAATCTTGGCATTCCGACAATATGGAGTGATGAGTGAACCTGATAAGATAACTGAAGCATAAACGGCAAAATCAATTGTGGTAGATGTTAGGCCATGGGGTGCACAGCGAGATGTAACAGTGATCTTTTCAGATCGTGAGACAGTTGAGGATGGAGATATTAGCATCAGCGAAGACTGAAGACGCAACTTGGATTTGTGTGACCGCTGGAACTGGTCACATAGGAAATCAAAATTAGCGTTCATCAAAAAAGGGCGTCTTCAGGGTAAGAAAAATGAAAACAAAAGCCATGAAGGCAGCAGCACACTTATAGAACACAAGGAAAACAGGAGGAAGCGTCTCCCCCAAACTCCACCAGTGATCTCAAGTATATCCGACGACCTTGCGGAAAGACGCCGACAACGAGGACAATGATATAGCCCCCAACGGAGGAAGGCAGCCATGACTACATCGCGGCGGACGACAGGCACTCCAGGGGGTAAGCTAGCATCAGAGAGCGCCAGCCCGCTCAGGACCTTTCATAGCGGACAAGGGAGTTTTCACTGACTCCCTAGGACAATCTACTGACTTGACGAAACCTGCGTTGGATATCGCGAAGACCCCTTGAATATAATTCGGTTCAAGTACGGCGTCGGTTTCGGTTATGGCGCCGAGTTCGATTCGAGTACAGCATCGAGTTTACGGACTCGGGGCTCGTTTCGACTCGTTCGGCTCAGTGCGTCTCGATTCGATTCGATTCGATGCAGTTCGGGGTTGAATTCGGGGTCAAATCCTATGGGGGTAATCGCATGTTCAAGCAGGGTTTACAGATCTTGTTCTCGATCAGCATCCAGGGCCAGTTTCTCAACCAGTCTCTGCAACTACTGAGCCACTTCCGCAGCCGGCTTTTCCCTCGACGCCCACGCTCTTGCCCAGGTTGCCCGAAGTCCCTCCGCAAGTAGGCGTAGGCCAGCCTCCCCGCTGTCGAAGGTTAGTCGTCATCCTCAGTGTCATTGTCCCTCCACAGGGTCGTTATCATTTGTATTGTCTTTCTTTTTATATCATCACTGTATTCGTACAGGATCTCTGGCTTCTATTTGAAGGGGTTTATCCCCCATATCCGTAATTTGGCTAGAGCGGCCACAATGCATTCGCTAACATCTTCCGCTGGTCCCTCCTCAAGGTCGTCATTGCTGTGGTTTGAAATCGTTTGTATTGTTTTTATTTTCATCATCATTGTATCGTACAGGATCTTTGGCTTCTGCTTGTGGGGGGCTTATCCCCCCGTATCCCGGAGTTTGGCCAGAGCGGCCGCAATGCCTTCGCTAACGTCTTCTGCTGATTGGTCATCCCGTTGCTCGGCTGACTGGATTTGCTCAGAGCCTTCTGGAGGCGGGGCAGCTAAGGCCCCCAGGGCCGCTGTCCTGCGACTTTCTTCCATCACAGCGCGCAGGACCTCTTCATCGTCATCAATTTCTTGCTGTCCGTCGACGGGCTGCTTTGCTCTGCTAGGCACCTCTGTCCGAGGCACCCTTGATCTCTTCAATGCACCAACCCGAAAGTCTTCCCGCACTGCGCTGCACCATTGTTGCACTTTCTTCTCACCCCACCCTGGTACGGCACTGATGACATCTGGCGGCGCGTTGACTGCATTTTGTAAGCTGCCGCAGGTGGAGATCAGGCTGGCCGCGTCTGACTTGTTGATGCTACGGGGTGTAGTGACGAATTCCATTAGTGATTCTTTGTAAGACTGCGCCTGCTGGGAGCGGATGGCAGTTGGCTGGGCGTATTCAGAAGATTTGAAGAGTTCGAGATACTGTGCGGCTTCGGGGGCAGACCAGCAGAGGATGATGGTCAGGTTGTTGATTATCGAAGTTTTGGAGAGTTCCTTGAGGGGGTCCTCATGATTGGGTATGTCGACCATGACAAGAACGATGCGTAGATTGTATTTGCCAGCGAGAAGTCGTACTCGGGAGTAGATGTACTCGGGATGCAGACGGTGATATTTGAGAGACAAAAAAAGTGCGCATGTTGTGGTTCCGACCACGTAGTCGGCCGGAATATCTGCGTACTCCCAGGGTAGAAGCTTGATGTGGTTCAAAATCGGATTGCCCTTTTGTCTTGTTGATACGAGAATCGCCGCAGGCCCGGGCCGATTTGCCAGGGCTTGTGGTTTTGGCTGTTGGACTTTCGCTTGATTAGTTGATGGTGTACCGGGAGTCGTTGAACCCTCGGCCCCACGAGATTGGGACCTCGAGTTGATTGCCGATTGGGCATCCATGGCAGAATCACTAAAAGAAGGGTACCGATGGAGATGGTTTGGTGCGACAGCTGCCCCCAGGTTCGAACTTGGGTGAGCTGTGGTGAGGATAAACGCCGCGCTTATCCTGTTACGACGTTCAAGCGTGGGGGGATCAAAGTCAGAGGGTCGTTTTGGTCGTTTTGATTGGCCAGGCGTCTATTCCTGTGGGGCCTTAGAGCCGCAGCGCTTGTGGCAGCAGGCAACCACGGCACCGTAGGTTTCGGGCCACTCGAAAGGGTTTGGCGTGGGCTAACACTATGCGTGATGAAGCCTGTATTCGGAACACAGAAGATACACATGGAGGGGCAACAAGTGAATGGTTCGGGAGAGTAAAGGAGAAGGAATGATGATCGGGTGGGGGGAGGACAGGAGGGTTGGACCGGGAAGACGATTGATTCGTGGGGAGGGTAAAGGCGAAAGTGGGGGCAGGCGCCGTACCTTTATATGCTGACTCAGTATCATGTGATCATGCCAACAATCACAGACTGGAAATTTCGCGCTAGCTACGGAGCGCGAAGTATACCACAGACGTAAAATCAGACCCAGCCATACTGGACTACACCGCCTCGGAGACCGTCCGTCTTTTTCTGCCGCCAATATTTTTTTTCGCAAAAAGTTCAAGCCGCAACAATTCAATGGCTGAACCACACAAGAAACGACGCCTTTCTGACGAAGGTGTTGCTCAAGACACCGAAGTCAAGATGGACGAGCCCAAGACCGAGACTGCCGCAACTTCAACAGCGGCCAAGCCCAACAGAACCCTTTTCGTTCGATCCCTACCAGCCTCGGCCACGACAGAGAGCCTGGCAGAGTTCTTTTCGCAGTCATACGTCCTTAAGCACACCGTCGCTGTCAACAATCCGGAGACAAAGCAATGCAAGGGTTATGGTTTCGTAACTTTTGCTGACCTCGAGGATGCCCAAAGTGCCGTGGAGGAGCTGAACGGAGCCGACTTTGAAGGAAAGAAGATCCGTGTTGAATATGCCCAGCAGCGTCATCGTGAGATCGACGAAAAGCTCGGAAAGAGCAAACCGGCCGCGAACTCGCAAAAGGCCAAGCAGGAGCGTGAAGATCAGCAAGCGTCCAACCAGCCTCCCAAATTGATCATTCGCAACTTGCCCTGGAGCATCAAGACGACAGATGACCTGGCCCTCCTGTTCCGCAGCTTCGGCAAGGTCAAGTGGGCCGATCTACCCAAGCAAAACAATAAGCTCCGTGGTTTTGGATTCGTCATCTTGCGCGGCAAGAAGAATGCCGAGAAGGCGCTCGAGGCAGTCAATGGCAAGGAGATTGATGGTCGCACATTGGCTGTCGATTGGGCTGTTGACAGGGAAACATGGGAGAACGTGAAGAAGGAGGATGAGGAAGAGGAGGAAAACAAGGAAGATGAGGATGTGGACATGGAAGACAAGCCGTCCGCCGAGGATGACGAGGACGAAACCTCATCTGACGAAGACGATGACGAAGAAGAGGACGATGCGGAAGACGAAGATGAGGATGATATAGATGATGACTTTCAAGAGCAGGTCGACAAGGAGGAGATTGAGGACGACCGCCACGCTTCGACTATTTTCCTTCGCAACCTACCATTCACCTGTACCGACGACTCACTCTATGAGCACTTCACCCAATTCGGCCCACTTCGATACGCCCGCATTGTAGTCGACCAAGAAACCGAGCGCCCCCGAGGTACTGGATTCGTCTGCTTCTGGAAGCCCGACGACTGCGCTACCTGCGTGCGCGAAGCCCCCAAAACAACAAGATACCCTTGGTGCTGACAAGGAGCGCTCCAAACCGGCCATGAAGCACTCGGTCCTCCAAAACGAGAACTCCGACCCGACTGGACGATACACCATGGACGGCCGAGTCTTGCATGTCGCCCGTGCCGTGAACAAGCGCGAGGCTGCCAAGCTGAACGAAGAAGGTGTTTCTCGCCGTCTGGTCCGCGACAAGGATAAGCGCCGTCTCTACCTGCTGTCTGAGGGTACTATTCCCTCCAACTCCCCTCTCTACAAGAAGCTTTCTCCCTCCGAAATCAAGATGCGCGAGGAGAGCTACAAGCAGCGTGAGAGCTTCATCAAGAAAAACCCCGCCCTCCACCTCAGTCTCACCCGTCTTTCTATCCGCAACATGCCTCGCCACGTCACATCAAAGGACCTCAAGCAGCTTGCCCGTGAAGCCGTTGTCGGTTTCGCCAAGGACGTCAAGGCCGAGAAGCGTCAACCCCTTTCGCGGGAGGAACAGCAACGCTCTCGCGATACCATGAAGGAATTGGAGCATGAGCGTAAGGAGAAGAAGGCCGGTATCGTACGCCAGGCCAAGGTTGTCTTCGAGACCCGCGAGGGTACCAAGGTGCCCGAGAAGGCCGGCGGTGGTCGCAGCCGTGGTTACGGTTTCATTGAATACTATACCCACCGTCACGCCCTGATGGGTCTGCGATGGCTCAACTGCCACCCGATCGAGATCCCCGCAAACGCCGACTCTGACGAAAAGGACAAGAGGAAGCGATTGATTGTCGAGTTCGCCATCGAGAACGCACAGGTCATCAAGCGCCGTCAAGAGCTGCAAGAGAAGAAGAAGCAGCAAGCCAAGGAGAGGGCTGAGAAGGCTGGCAAGGAAGAGGAAGAAGATAAGTCACAACAGGGGCAGAAGCGCAAGCGCTCAGAAAGCCGCGGGAAGGGCAAGGATGGCAAGCCAGAGGAGGAAGGGGAGGATGAAAAGGTCGCAAAGCGTAATCGCATTATTGGCAAAAAGCGTGCGCAGCGCAAGGCCCGTGGTAAGAAGGCGTGAAGGAGAGGATGCCCAGCATTATACGAGTAGTATATCATGTATAGAGAGATTTGGCTGTTTCTATATCTTACGCCTGATACCATCTAAATCAAAAGCATTGTCATTGAGATTGTGGAACTCGGATACTCATCCGGCTTCGCACTGCGGGTATAATATTTCGTACACTCGATTCATCGTAAAGGCCCTATGCATAGAGATTCGCCCTTATATTTTCCTCCACAGAAGATCTCGTCCTGTTGCCAGTCGTCTAGGTGTTCTGAGCACCCTCCACCTTGCCGACGATATTGTACCGCTTGCTGAAGAAGGTGTACCAGTCATTCAGGACGGTCTTCTCCTTCTCGTCGAGATCGTACCATTCAGGCACACAATCCTCGGCCTTCAAAGAGGTCTTCGCAAGCGCACGGGAGGGATCCTTGCCGGCAAAAACTGCGCAATTCCTTGTTAGTATTGTCTCATTCTTCCCCTGCGCATCCTCGGCATTGGGAGGGGCATCGCTTACTCTTGTATGAGCCGGTCGCGCCATACATGGAGTTCCGAGTCACATCGAAGACAACACCTTTGATCGCAATGAGGGTAGGACGGCTAGGATCAGTGCCTGGGAATGTTTTATTAGTCGCTATCGCGACTTCAGGAACCGTGGCAGCCGCATGCAGATCGCTAATTTCCGGGAGGCTGACATACCGTCGCATTTGGCCAATTCCTCGAGGCTAATGGGGTCGTCCTTTGGCGGGTCCAGCTCGACCGGGACTTTGGGAGCAAAGCGTTCGCCCATGATTGCGTGTATGTCTGTTGGCGGATGGAAATTCGGAGGAGGATTATTTCCATTTCGTGGGGCAAGCGGGGTTCCGGCGGAGCTTCGGTTGCTTACCAACTCGGCCTTGTGATTGCCCGGTGCATTCCCGTTTTATTCTGCGACGGCAGGCATGGAAGATCATTATCGAGAAATACAATTAAATCGGTTTTCGGTCATGGAAGAAGTGCTCTTGCTCTCCTTGCTCTATTTTTGCTAAGACCCGTTATCAACACACCCGCAGTCGGGTTGCAGCCACAATGCCAGCAATACATGACGTCAAGGGGCTTGCCTCATTGGCAGCTCTGAACCAGTGACATCCAGTCATATCCACCGATTTCAAAGGAACAGCACAGGTGGTTGCACGGATCAGATGACGCCTCCCCTTGCCAGGGGGCGCAACCTACTGTGTGCACCTTCACTCATCAACTAGACTCCAGAGTCGAGCTCCATCACCTACACCCTCGATCTACTGCCCAGAAGTCAGAAAGGTCCACGGTGAACTATAAGATGTCTTCACCTCAGACAAACTCGCACCATTACTCGGACACTGCCTACTCACACACTCCGGCTGCCCATCTCCGCAATGATTCTCTCCAATCAGACATCAACGATTCGGAGCTAATCCATCACCTCTACTTCGAGGACAACGATAGTTTCTTCCCACCGAGCTGGATAGGCAATGACGGTGACCTCTCAGAACACAAGCCGTCAACAGACAGCCCTCTGAGTGATGGATTTGATGGATCGAAGAATGGAGAGCCGCCGCAGCCATCTGGGAAGAAGGAGCATCTTGATTAAGTTTGAAATGTAAATAATTTGCTTGGCTAGTTCTACAACTATATGTGGATTAAAGTAGCCTGCTGGTGGTGGTCCCTCCAACTTGTCGTCTTCGTCCAGAAGATTATCACCATGCTCCTTGATCTAGATCTCAGGGATTGTACGCCTTGTATACCTGCAATGCGCCCTCGATGCTCTGCACAAGACCAAACAGTACAGTCAAAGAGATAGCCACCCACAAGGGATACCACTGGCTCGCATCTCGTCTATCGTTCCACCATTGTTGGAGAGTCGATGGCTTGGAATCATCAAAGTCATTCTTGAGAATAGCGAGTCGGTCGTACCAGTAGTGGAAGTCCTTCATTTGCCGGATCACATTGCCACAACGCAGTAAGCTTCCGTCTAGTTCGTCGGGCTCATCTTGTTTCTTATACCATCTCTCGACTTCTCGGTTGCCTTGCGGGAAAAGGAGGGCTAGTGTTGCGAGAGTCTCATCAATGAGACCGAATGGAAAACCCGATGTCCTGTCCGAATTTTGTCAGGAATATTGACGATAGTAGGTATCTAAATCAAGAATGACGTACTCTTTATTGGCTTTCAGGAACGATGCGTAATGAAACAAGGTGATTGTTTTGTCAGCATCCCGGAGCCGGAGATGGTCCGACAGATTGGACGTCAGTTCGACCTTGAACCCTCCAACTCGCGTGATGCTGCACACATTGAACGTCTTATCCAGTCGAATCCCGTCATCGTCGCGGGATATGGCGTCCGTGAATATCTGGTGCAGAAAGTCTTGTGCAGATCCTGAGATCCACATCAACTTGTTCCGACCCGAATATGCATTTTGGAACTTGCCAACATCAAGCATATAAAGCAGACGAACGGTCAAATCGATCGCAGAATTTACTTCATCGTCAGATATCGAGTCATTTGTCCCCCGGGATTGTAGGACGAAATCCTTGACTTCAGAGCGTGGGAGCCCGTCGCGGATACGAGTCGCGATGTCGACGATGTTTTGGTGTGTTTTGATCACAAAATGACTGCCATGCGAATGGGAGGCGACTCGGCACTGCTCGATGTAATATTGGAAGTATGATTGAAAATTCTGCTTTGAGAACTCGAGTCCGCTGCCCCAGAGCTGAGCGGAGGCATCAAGCGATACGGGCGTAGGTAAAACCGCCATTTCCTCGCTCGAAAGAACCATCTCACTCATTATTTCTACAGGAAATGTTTGATTTATGGGGCGTGGCTGATTCCTGAATGGGGTGCATTGTGCCGACGTCTAAGCCACCTGTGATCAGTCGTGCATCTACAAACACTGCCGCCACCTACGGCACGACGCTCACTTCAGCCACCTCGTAAGACCGAGGCGAAGCTGCACCTTTGCTAGTATTTGCCCCGTAAATGAGAGATCTCATTGGACTGCTTTCTTCCCTGCCCAAAACTCCTTCATGATTGCTTACGCCCCCATTTCACCGGGGTATATATACCCTCGTCTGAGACACCTCAAAACTAAGCAGACCCCTGAGCAACTTGTAACTTGTTTTTATGCTTCTAGCAAGCACGATTCAAAGTGGCACTCCAAATTTTAACCACCAGCAATCATGCATTCATCAAGGTTTAGTGCACCCTACTTACTTTTTAATGGAGGGAAAAAGATTCGCTGGACGAACCCTGGAGAGTCTGTAGGGGAGTTCTGTGGCACTAAGAAATTCAGGTACAACTGTTGGTCAGCGAAAGGGCCAGCGAAAGAACTATTCGAGACGCTCATACCAAAGATCGCCAAAATACTCGAGGATTGTCCGCCAGTGAAAGGTTCAAGTGTGATCGTTTTCGGCGTCTTTATGATCGGCGTGACACCCGCGACGGCCGTTCCTCACATCATGTTCTCGTGCAAGCGACTCGACTCACGCAAAGACGCCTTTAATGCGGTTAAATCTTCCGGTATTCTCTCCAAACATGCGCCTGGATTCGAGGTCGGCCACTGGGATTTTCCTCCTCATCTGAAGGGTTCCCCGCGAACTTTGGCATCCACCTGGGACAGCGAGTATGGTGTTGAGATTGACTATGACAGCTACGATATTACTCCTGTCTTGGACCCCTTATCTCACAAGATACTTGCCTTCAGGGTGGGAGCCAAGTCCTCGTTAGCGGAATCACAATACCTGTGCACTTCTGGATGTGTCGTCGAACTCTCAGACGAGCGCTACTACCTGCTACCTGCACACCCTTTCACCTCCGAACGCAATACCTCACAAGACATGACTCCAGAGGAGGACTCACAGTCAGAAGATGATGACTGTGTGTTTAGCGGCTTCGAGAACGAGACCGAGCTGGAGGATGAGACCGATTTCATGACCCAGCACAGCGCCACCCCCGAAACAAGCGACGCGGAGGATGAATGGAACCTCGACTACAGCGATTCATCGTCAGACTCCGATTTCGATGACAGCAGCCAAATTCAACATCCAAGGAACGAGAAAGAGAGCATTCCGGCCTTTGACGACGCCGTACAGGATATTCGATATAAGACCGGCCTTTCTCGTCCGTTGCGCTCGCTCTACCGATCCCCTCGTCATCCTCACATGCGATCGGACAATCTCGACTACATCAGGGTAGAAGTGAGAGACAAAATGGATCTCTCAACCGATTTTCCAACTCTCTCCATCCATAGTATCGGCCAGTTGCAGAACGGAACTGCGCCTGTCACAGCAGTCACCGGTGCAGGAAATTATTTGGTAGGAGTCCTGTCAAGTGGATACGAGTGCATTCGCTTGCCCAATGCCACCAACTATGTCAAGGTTCAAACGGTCCAGTTTGAACGTTTTGTTCAATCTGGTGATTGTGGTTCAATTGTTCGAGATGCCCGTTCGGGTAGGATCTACGGCCATATCGTCGCGGGCGACCCGGGCTCTCAAACGGCATTTATCATCCCGGCCATCGATGTCTTCAACGATATCCTGACAAGGCATCGACCAGCCTTGGAGTCTTTTATGTCAGAGAGAAGGTTGCCACGACGATTCGAGGTGGAAGCACGCTCGATTTCTGGTGCAGTTGCCGGCTGGAACACGACAATGGTCTCTAGAGATGCTCCAGCATCTCAAGGACGACCAAGACCGATATCAACTGATCCATACTGGAGAAAAGACAAGTCTGCTGAGCACTTGCAACAAGTATATGGGAATTCGATGGCCCGGGACTCCAAAAAAAGTCGTCGATATGGTTATCCAGATGACAGGCTTCTTGGGGAATCGAGTAGATCGAGGTATACATACACATATATGCTAGATGCGCTTGACGAAGTGAGGAGAAGCATGTATGTCGATGTCGTGGTGATACATGGACTTTCGGGCTCACAGTGCAGCGCCTGGATTGCCCCCACCCCGACTTGGAGAACCAGCAGGTCATCTGGAGCTCGGCAAAAACCCTCGACCTCCGATACACGAGGTGACCAGGCTTGGAACGCTTCATCAGCTCCTAATTATTCTCAAGCACCTTTATCCTTGCCCACAATGGATGAGCTTCTAAACCCTGACGGCTTGATGAGCTATGTCGAATTCAGGCTGCAATCAGGGACATTCCCCAAGCTCTCTGTCTCATACTATCACGCAATTGCTGACGTTAACCGGCTTCTGCATCCTTCGACCTTGGATTTTGAGGAGTTCGATTCACGAAGAGATTCAGGAGGCGCGGACTTAGGTCTAGCTGGCTCCTATCGGAAGGCTCCGAATAGAGCAAGGTTCGGTCGTGCCGGGAGAGACAGACAGGATCTCCAGGAGGAAGAACTATCCCGTCCGATTGGAATGACCTTGACCTCTCTTACCAATAAACAATCGGCAACTCGTCCCCCGCTGTGCACTGCATGCCAAGGCTATGACCGATCTCGATTCTCCGTGATATTCCAAGCATTGGAGTACCTATCCTTGAAACGACATATCAAATCGCAGCACTTCCCGGCGAGATCGTTCAAGTGTGTTAGCGGCGATGTCAGTGTAAAATGTCCTGACAGTATGGAGGTGAAATCACTAAAGCTTATCGCTGGCCTCGTATTTGTGTTACACAAAAACTCAGATGTCCTCTTCTGGTCAAAGCTCATGAATGTCTTCCTTTCCCGGACTCTGGAACCATCCCGGGATCTCAGACGTCAGGGCTCTCTATTACGCGATCTAGAGCGGCCCCGGCAACCCCTTGCCGATCTCTCAAGAACACTCAAGATGTTTACACACCAGAAAGCACTTATACCTGGATGGACTAAGCACTTGCATCCAGAAATCAACATGCTGCTTCATCCATTGTTCCGGAAGGCCTGTGCAAGTCAATCACAACACTTAACATGTTCAGATCATGCACTTCATGAACATGAACTTCCAGGTAAGCACGAATCCTCGAAGGTGGTCCTTCTACTGATTTCTAACAAAAAGCAGCCAGACGCGCACTTCTTCATCGGCTTTTGCGAATTCTGGTAGAGCCTACAATGCTACCTCAGAGTGCGACTTTGATAGGGGGAATTGAGGCGCCAAGCGTAGAGCAAAGTGATGTTGAAGAAGCCTCTGAGGATGATTCTGAATGATCTTTCTTTTCTTTATGTTTAGATAGCGAAGCATCATTTGGCGTTTTTTGTGTTTACGATGTTCTCTATATTGGGTATCTTACAAATATACAGATGTTGGAGACTGTCACTGGAGGATACTCGGCTCTCTTTCTTGTCCCCATTCCGTGATCAGCGTCTCTTCTATACATAATACATAGAGCGATGATAGTGGCAATCTGCTTGTGAATTTTTAGATCAGTGCTGATGTGTTGGGAAGATCTCAATCCGAAAAATCTCACTCGTCATCTTCCGCTTGTTTCACAGCATCCAAAACGTGTTTACCGTTCATGTAAACGGATTCGAGAGTATTTCGATGGGGAGCCAGCCCTCTTTTCATGGAAATCATATCCACAGACATTTATTCCTGGAATATCGCCGCTTTGTATTTGTACACAAAGGTCTTAAGCTCCTTGGGCCACATAATCATGTGGCGAATAGGGTCGTGAGAATCCCCACATTTCTTCAGAATAAGTGTTCTGACGGTCGAAGTTCGAGAGGCCTGAGATAATTATTAGCTTTCTATATTGGCACTCAGTTTTTAGAAGGCCATCTTGCCTGTGGGAAAAAATTTTGCATCATTCTAACGTTTGTAGGGGCGGCGCCTAAGAGCTCCAAATGCTCTAAAGCCGGGAATTGAAGGTTTTTGATCGCTTCACCCAATGAAATACCAGCCGGCCAAACTGTCTCTTTGACAATGAAACCGGTTATTGTGACTGATGTCAAATGAATCAATTTTGGGCTCGCCCTCCTGAGGTTTGCGAGCATGGCCTTCTTTTCAACCTTCCGCCCCCCACTGAAATGAAGTCAACTTTTATTTCGAGATGCCTCAGTCCTGTAAGACATTTCAAGTGGCGAGATGGATCCGTGATGTTCATGGTCAAGGAGCTGCAAGCTGATTTGAACTCGGGGTTGAAGACGCGGGTTCTTCGACTAAGACCCGAGGAGATATGCTTGAAAGCAAAGGGGAGGGCAAATTCCCTGAGTTTGCCGCAGACTTGAGCCAAAGATCAGATGGTGTGAGGATCCCGCTTTTGATGATATCGTGGCAGATAGCGGGGCATATCATCACGAGGTGATTCAGTGGGAATTATTGTGGCCATGTCCACCATCATGGACGATACTGCTAGGAGTGCACCTGTGGTCGAGAGAGGACTGCGGTCGAGAGGTCTGCGATTTAGGGATACCTGTGGTCAAACGAAATGTGCAATTGGGGAAGATCGTTAACCGAGAGAGATCTGTGAGTCAGGGAGACTTGTGATCGAGGTAGATCCGCAGTCGAAGGATGGCTGGAAAGCCGAAGTGTTCCAGTAAGCGGAAGAGTTCCAGTCACTCTCGAGCTGGTAACCGAACCTTTTCCATGGCTTCTGCCAAGGGAACCCCACCAGGCCAGGCTCGCTCGCTAAATTTATATATGAGAATATGGAGTGTCTTCAATTAAACCATGCTCAAGCTCGCGTGCCAGATTTCGTCTTCTCAGGGTCCCGAGCAAGCCCCCTATATTGCTGAAGTTCACGATAGCCCCCAGGGTCACCGCAGCACCTTCCGAAATATCAAACACCCCCCCCCCCCCCAGTGGCCTCAAAGATGTCGAAAATACCGTGTGCACAAGGAGTGGAGGGAGACAGGCCCAACTTGATAGCCTTAAGGATTGTAGTCACGTCCTTAATCATGGTGGTCAGGGTTCCCAGGGCCACCAGCGAGCTGGATATGTCATTCATGGGGGACCGGCTGAGGCCTTGAAGTATATCTGCGAGGAACGCTCAACGCTCCTTCGTTAACCTTCTTTCTCCGCTCAAGGAAATCAACTCAGACCTCGGGTTTTCTGAGCCTGCTCCGCCGAAGTAAATAAGACTGATTGTGGTATACATCACGACGACGAAGACGGAGCTGCAGATTGGTTGAGGTTTGGGAGACTTTGCAGCCCATCTGCGAAGAGCCCGTACGTGAGTTGACGTCGACCGGTTATGTAGATATGCTTAGAGCCCTGGTGAAAGGCAATCTCCCGCAGACGATCACAAACGTGTGCGGTTGAGCAGATAGTGAGGGGATCACTCTACTTGTAGGAATGTGTACGTATCGAGGCATAAATTCGTTCCACGGTGGTTCCGACGGGACATTTGTCATGCGCTGGTTTCCCAACAGCCCTGCAGCGTATACTCCAAAGAATACTTGGTTGATACCCGCTTTGTGAAGAGTCTCAGGGAGTTGGCTTGCAGCAATGTTGGAATGTGCGTAGGCGCCGGGATCATTTGATGGTGCCAGTTGTGCTCCCCAGGTTCGATTCGATGGTCAATTTGATGACGGTCAAAGGGCTTCTCATATGCCATTACGATGACACATTCCGCCTGCGCTGAGCTAGTAGGGGGGTACTTTCCCGGTGTGGAAGCACCTTCGGTGGGGAAGAGAATCGTCTCGAAGAACTTAGTGGGTAACACTCATACAATGTAATATTTGACTCATTCTATTCCAGCGGGCAGTCGTCAGGTTTGCCCCAATTCTCATGCCAGCTATCTCATCTGGCGCGAAGTGACGAGGGAGCTGTAGTGAAGCGGTGCATATCTGTCGGCTTACACGCTAAGGTGCAGTCCAAAAAGAGCGGACCTGCTTAACTCGAATGTATCGTAGCGGAGTGAGACAGGTCAGAAAAGGGAGGAGAGATATGAAGAGCAGCGCCGAAGTGTGGGAGAATAAAAGCCGATCCGAAGGCGAGCGAATACGTTCGAATCGGAGCGATACATTTAGAAGGCTGTTGCGGCCGAAGAAGCCCCGAATGGTTGAAGGTAGTTATTATAAGTGTAAAAAGACAATGTGATAGAAACTGATCGTCGAGTCCAAAACGTGAAAGTCAAATATGGCACCGTGAAGTCAGCAGACGTGATGTTTGGTTCTCGGGAATGACGAGAGGAGAAGATGTAGTGACATAAGGAGAACCTTGACTTGTGTTAAATTCAAGAATTCAGGAAGTGCTGGCAAAATGTGGTAGCAGGTCAGAGTCACGCATGTTGATTTTACTTCCAGCGGAGGTAGAGACCAAGTTGAGGGAAATAGAACGAGATGTGAAAACTGAAGACCATACCTTCTTCCAGTATATGTTCGGGCCCCATCCTTGCCTCCGGTTCTTATATATACAGTATCTAGACAAGGAGAGGTGTCTTATGATTCGCAGGCGATTCCGTGAGGCATGGCTGAGGCGAGATTCGCGAACTCATCTCCTCGGTATATCTCCCTGTAAGCGTAGCTGCAAGGATTCAAAGTGAGAAGTCGGTACATTTATAGTGGCCAGTGACCACAGTACTAACCGCGTGAAAGAAGTGAGGGGAGAGAGAGAGCATTGGGCTGGGGAAGTGTAAATACGCCGATTTGACGGGATTTTCTTAGGTGTAGATGACAATTTTCTTTGATTCGTCGCTGGTCAACTCAAACAAAAATGCGAAATCAATCTGAGCCAAATTTGACTGCTTCTTTATTCACTCTAGTACTTTATGCCAGTGAATCAAAATTTTTGTGTCATCAACTAGGATATATCGGACTCACTTGCTTTCACCACTTTAACCACAGCTCCTCCCAGAAAACCAAAACTGTGGGGCCGAGGGAAAATGACAACTAGATTGGGCCAGGTGCTGAAAGGATAGGGAGGGGAAAGGAAAGGCAAATCCAAAATCAGTTCTCTCCAGGAATCAACAGAGATGAGGAAAAAGCAAAAATGGCCATAAAGTGGAACTAACTAACTAGTTATAACTATGGGTTACATGATTACAAATTTCTACGCACCGCTTGGAGTAATGTAGGTAGACAGCATGTTTTTGTCACGTCTGCAAATCTTCAAGGTCATCTCCTATGTTATCCCATTATTCCAACTTCTTGTTTGTATCCAGCGCCGTCTAGAAGAATCGACTAGTCAGGAAACATTGTGGAAACCTGGGGAAGAAACAGAGAGAGAAAATAGACGATAAGAAAATGTGAGTGTTGCCTAAAATAGTCATCTTTTCTAGGGAAAGTAAGAATGACTGAATTACTCTGGGTGGTCGTAGGGGTGCTCTCCTAAGCTTAGTTGCTGTTTGAGCGGGGATAAACACTTGGGCTTCCGTTACCCCAAGACCAGCCGCCAAGCAACCGCGGCTTGCGCCAAGCGAGATTTTTTTTTTCCCTCGGCACTTGCAGATTTCTCGATTTATTCTCGAAATTCCATTCCTCTTCTCCATGCTGCACCAGCACCCCTGCTTGCAAAAGTGACATATCCCACCATCATGCCCCCCGCAGAACCCTGGGCAGGGCTGGGCCATTCACCCACAGCTGCGGTCCCGGAGACTCCCCGCGCAGCCTCCAATCCCAAACTCGACCCGGTGAAAGACTCAGAGAAAAGCGCGGGGGATGTGGAGACGACGTGCGTTGACAAGCGCCATGACTCGATCGATGGCGGCTCAATGAAGACCTACGACCACACCCATCGCAAGCTGAAGCCTCGCCATGTGCAGCTCATTGGAATCGGTGGGACGATCGGCACTGCGCTTTACGTGCAGATTGGTTCGGGGCTGCGTACGAGTGGGCCTGGTAGTCTCTTTCTTGGGTTTGGTCTTTGGTGAGTACTTCCCTGTTGTTTTGTTGAATCTTTTCGCGGTATCTGGGCTGTTTCGACAAACGATTGCTTCTGCAAATATGAAAATGAATTCTCGACGACGAATCACCTGTGAAGAATCGAAACTTCTTATTTCCAGGCCAAAATTCCCACTGGACGTAGCAGACTATGCCAACCCGACGACACTTTTTATGCCCATGCAGCCAATGAAATACCCACAGCACCGGTTCCCTTCCCAGATTTGATTATGAACCTTGCGCCCAATGCGAACTTATATCTCATACTTGGACTTTCTAGGAGTGCTGTGATCTTGATCATTACTGTTTGTATGAAGCCCACTCCGTTCCCACCAGCGCATATCAAGCCGTATGCAAAATCCTTCCAAAAGCGCCCAACTCCATGACTCGATGCGGTAGTCAACAGACACTCACATCCATATAGGTCTCGCCGAAATGGTAACCTACCTCCCCATCTCGTCCCCCTTCATCCGATTCGCCGGCCGCTACGTCGACGAGGCCCTGGGCGTCGCAGCAGGATACAACTTTTTCATCTTCGAAGCCGCCCTCGTCCCATTCGAGATTGTCGCAATCAGCCTGATTATCAACTACTGGACGAGCGTTATTCCCGTCGCTGCAATGAATGTCATCGTCCTCGTTCTATACGTGTACGTCGGCTCTCCCAGTCCATACGACAAACATCTTCTATCGTACTAAACAAAACTTCAGTGCGCTCAACGTCTTTGCTGTAAAATGGTACGGCGAAGCTGAATTCTGGCTCTCCCTCGGCAAAGTTCTCCTCAGCATCGGCTTGATCCTCTACACCTTCATCGTGATGCTAGGGGGAACCCACTCGGCGACCGATTCGGATTCAGATACTGGAACGAACCGGGTGCATTTGCAGTGTTCTACAAAGAAGGCGACACCGGCCGATTCCTCGGCTTCTTGGCTGCCGTTATCACGGCCAGTTTCACGATCGCCGGTCCAGATTACGTCTCGATGGCTGCGGGGGAAACGATCAACCCGCGCGTCGTGCTGCCCAAGGCCTTTAATGGTGTTTTCTATCGATTGACGGCATTTTTCGTTCTGGGCGTTCTTTGCGTCGGTATTCTGGTCCCGTATAATGATCAGACCATGGCGGATGCGTTCGATAATGATCGGCCTGGGGCTGCGGCTTCGCCGTATGTTATTTCGATGGATCGATTGCGGATTCCGATCTTGCCGCATATTGTTAATGCGGTTGTTTTGACGGCTTCGTTTAGTGCGGGTAATAGTTATGTTTATTGCGCCAGTCGCAGTCTTTATGGGTTGGCTCTGGAAAAGAAGGCTCCGAAGTTCTTGACGAAGTGTTCCAGTCGCGGTGTGCCGATTTATTGTGTGGCTGTTGTGCTTTTGATTGCCCTCTTGAGCTTCTTGCAGGTTTCTAATGGCGCTTCGGTGGTTTTGAATTGGTTTGTTAATTTGGTACGTGCTTTGACTCGGTTGTTGAGACTTTGGTGATTCGTGGCTGATGATAATTCTAGGTGACTGCGTCCCAACTGATCAATTTCTCCGTCGTCACTTTTACATACATCCGGTTCAAGAAAGCGTTGGATGCCCAGGGTATCGACCGCAAGACCCTGCCGTATCGCAGCTGGTACCAGCCTTACATCGCCTACATCGCCTGCACTGCGACAACCGTCATGGCCTTCGTCGGTGGTTACACTGTTTTCTTGCCGGGTCATTGGTCTATTCCGACGTTCCTCTTCTCATACACCATGATCGGCGTCTTTCCCGTTCTTTACTTGGGGTGGAAATTCATGCACAAAACGAAATTCCTCAAGCCTGAGGAGGTCGACCTGGTGACGGGCGTGGCGGAGATTGAGGAATATACAAGGAAATATGTGCCCATGCCGCCAAAGTAAGTCCACCTGGCTATAGCTTTTGTCCTGTGCGACCTTCTGACGAAAGGGTTATGCAGGAGCACCCTTCACAAGTACATCGGCAAGCTCTTTGATTGACATGGTCGAATAGTTGGTTTGGTATGATCCGAACTGACAAACAAATCGATGATCATGACCCACGCGATATCGCGAGGTTTCCAGATGAAGCAAAATAGAGATTCCACAAATATTGTTTCCAAATGCCGCTTTGAACAATTATAAACACCGTAGTATGCACACTCCCCAATTAAGGGCAGAGAAGTCTTATAGTAACCTCTCACTCCACACCCTGAGTCTTCAAAGCCTCCAGTCGTTGCTTATTCCGCCTTCCAATAATCCGCAGCGTATTCTTCTTCTCAATCTCACTCATCTGCTCCCAATTGCCAATCCGGGACAATGTCCCGTCGACATTCACAACCATCGGACCGAGGTGATCAAGCGCCACGCCGTCCGCTCCAACCTCGAGTTTCTTTGGCTGGCCGTCGCTAGCGTCAGATGTTTCGGGGAGGTAGAGTTGTTCTTGAGACGGTTGTGTTTGCTCGGGCTGAGGCTCGTTGGTCTCTTGCTTGGGGTTGCTGGAGTCGGGGTTTGAGCTGGACATTGTGTGCGAGTGTCGCATTGACTCGGCCGTCTTGGGGAGTGGTGCGCACACAGGGAAGAGGATTGGGGAGAGGCGGGAGGTTGGGGTTTGCGGTTGGTGGTGGATTATGCTGTTTGAAGACCAGGTGGGTTGGATTGCGCGGGCGGGGAGTGGGTTCACGCTGAGATGGAGGAGGGCGGCGCGATAGGCTGTTCGCGATAGTTGCATGCTGGTCTTGCTGGCGTGGCCGGTTGAGGTTGGAGTTTGCGGAGGCGAAAAGATGGGCGGAGCGGAGACCCTTCTGGAACTTGCGCGATCTACTCTACACCCAACTTGCAACAGTTATACTACCCTAGTATTTCTGCCATAATTGAGGGTGAGTTCAAGATTGTCTTCTTTTCTTCATGCTTGCAATATAATAGGCTGTGCTACTAAGGTTCCTTCCCTATTCTACCTAAAGCACCCGGACCGGACATACTGAGAAAAACATCAAACTCACAGCTTCAGGGTTTATATTACATGTTTTACAAGTCTTTTGTTTCATCGGAACCACCAGTTAACCTAATCAGACAGTTAGCACGCATAACCTGCAGCATTGACAGCATCCAAGCACCTACCGAAGCCGTGACGCCCTCTCCAAGGCCTTTTATACTATGCCACCACCCCTTGGGTATAAATAAGCCATCCCCAGTTCCAAGTTCAGCTTCGAAGCCCGTGCCGCTCTCTGAACCCGCAGAAACCGGAACATCCCACACCATCTGATCCAGCAAAGCCCTCTCCTCACCCTGCATCATCTCTTCTCCACGAATCGCCGCCGCGCCCCGATCACTGCTTCTCCCAAGTTGTCGCCGGACAGCAGAGAAAACACCCTGTCCATCTCCCGGAGGTAGAAGTCGCACAACTTTGCGACCGGCCAGCTGTACAAAGAGGTTTGGATTCGGGTCGCGGTGGAGAGGGGTGTAGGTCGGTGGGTGTCCGATCCAGACATTCGTGTCATACACATCGCCTTTCCCGGCTTGCGCAACGATCGCTGGTGTTGGGAAATCGTCGCGGAGGATGACGGGGAGGTCGAGGAGTTGGCATTGGGCTAGGTAGAGTCTTGTTGCTTGTGGTGACGTCTCTGCCATGCGCATCCATTCTAGGAAGAGATTGAGCGGGGCATGAAACTGGCGAAATCTCTTGACATCTGTCGCGGTTGTATCCGAGAGCTCTGTGAGCTCTAGAGGGACAAACGCGTCTGCCGCGTGGGATTGGAGGTATTCGACGTTCAGACGGGTCGTGCGATCGGGGGCATCAGCTGGTGAGCCATTGCCGGCTTGGAACCAGTTCTTCAGCGCGGGAATGTCACGGAAGTGAGAGCGAGGGAGAATGGTCGGCTTTTCCGGGATGAAGAATTGCTGTCGGAAGGTCTCGACGCGGGCGTCGTGGAGGGTTTCGAGGGGACGGTATGGGCGCCCTGAGGATGTGGAGAAGCTGCAAGACCTGAGGTTTGATCGGAGTGATTCAGGGCGTGTCTTGTGCTGTAGAAGCCGATGCAGAGCTCGACTGTCCAAAGAGTGCCATGGCTGGGGCTTCATACAGACAGCTCTGGGGTTGCGGCGGGAGTTGATGACGGACGGGTTGGCCAAGACTTGAGTCCCGTGCATCCCCCGGCATCGGCTATCATCCCCGTCGCGTGTATACACCATATATATGTGTGTGTGTCTGCACAGCCCTGTTGGCCGTCAATTGAAAAATGTCTGGCCATCAATGAGACGAAAGAAGCTGCTGGCTCTGCCCCTCTCCCTCCACCTCCTCCGCGTCCCCTCCCCCAAGATCAGAGCTCGCGAGTCTCCCTGTTCATTATGAAGCTGAGGTCTGCTCCTCCTGGATATTTCTTTTAACCCGAAAAACCACCACCTCATACGTAGCTATGGATCTATTTGCTGCGCACACCGGCCCCTATTTCTTCTACGGTACCTTGTCTGATCCCACTATGCTCCGCGATGTCCTTGGCTTGGAAAGTGAACCACAACTTCGACCTGCCACCATTACAGGTTACGAATGCAAGGGGGCCAGTATCCAGCTCTTCTAAATGCCCCAGAAAAGGTTGTTTATGGGGATGTTTATCATGTCGAGACAAAGGGACAAGCGGAGCGGCTTGCCAGCTATGAAACGGACCATTATCGGGTCGATCCGTGTCGCATCAACTATACCGACGGGGATGAGCCCGAAGATGACTTTGGTTATGTTTTCAAATTCGTCAGCAATGTCAGAGACTTGAGTGACAGCACCTTTGATCTGGGAACCTGGCTAAAGAGGGTGAAGAGGGTAGCTGAGGACTCATCATGTTGAGTAGTTGCAGGCAAGATAAGAGACATGTATCATGACTCCCACTACAAAGAAATCAAACGTTATCATAAGCGAGCATTTGTGTGAACTTCCTGGTAACTCATTCCTTTTGCACCTCGATTCGGTCTACCGGTCCTCACGCAGAAGTAGAGGGGAGAAATGCATGATTTTGTTGGCCATATGTCTTACAGCATCGAAGTATGATGACCATTACTTAACTAGTTAGTTAAATATCCCTGAGCATTAGTCATTGATCGCAAGACTGCTGGTTAGGACACTGAGTCCGTGCTGCTATTTACCCTGAGAAGCCTCACGAAGCAGCGATAGCTTGATCACAATTAACAGGCGTTGTTTGTGTATGTGCACGCATAGATCATGTATGGTCTTGGCACTAATATTGCTTCTCAATGAGCTAGTATTTTTAACTATCCATCATGCAATCCACTGACAGTTCAAGGGCCTTCCGGACACTAGATATCCTGCCGAGGCTTCATAAAGTAGGGTGTTCGGCTATGGAGGCGCATAAGCAGCCCATGAGACTCAACCTCGGCTGCCAAGCCTCTCCTCTTCGCGCCGTCTGGGGCCATCTACACGGCTTCCAATCGTTCCTTCGTAGATTTTCTTGAACGACTTCCAATAAGTCGTCCACTTTCCACTGGTGCAAGTGTGGGTGTTCGTCGCCTTCACATGCTGTACCACGTCGCTGTCGCCGGAGTCGCATTTCATTGTCGGCAGTGACCTGACATCATTTCCTACAAGCGGGGCTGGTTCAGATCAGCACGAACTACGAGATCTGGTCATCGATTCTTCAGGGGCTCGCGAAGGAATTCAATTCGCAGAAACCAACATGCCTTCGATCGCAAACATTCACAAGCGCCATGCCTATGGCAAAGATGCGCATACCTATTACCCCGTCCTCATTGTCGGCGCCGGTGAATCGGGCGTGGCCATGGGCTGTCGCCTGAAGGAGGTGCTCGGAACAGACCAGTTCCGAATCTTTGAGCGGCAGTCAGGGATCGGTGGTACCTGGTGGATTAACCGGTATCCTGGTGTGGCCTGCGATATGTGAGTATCAATCCGATATTTAGACCGGTGGGTTCGCCCTGCGTATCTAACATACGCGCTTCCAGTCCTGCGATATTCTATTCCTTCTCTTTTGCGCCAAAGAAGAATTGGTCGACCTTGCACCCGTCTGGGCCGGAGATCGCGCAATATCTCGCCGATGTCTGTGAAAAGTACCAGATCGTGGATAAGATCCAATTCCACACCGACGTCAAGCATCTTCGCTGGATCGAGGAAGATGAGGAGTGGGAAGTCACCCTCTCTCATCTCGTTCCTGGGACCGGAGATCTGTCAGCCTATGATCGAGAGCAGCTGGCTATCAACGAGGGTGCGCACTCGGTATATATCAAAGAAGAGATCGTGCGCGCCAAGATTGTTGTCAGCGGAGTCGGCGGTCTAGTTGAGCCAAGGACATGGCCAAAGGACATCCCGGGCATCGAGAACTTCGAGGGTGAGATTATGCACACGGCTCGATGGGACGACGAAATCGACCTGGAGAACAAAGATGTCATTGTCTTTGGCTCGGGCTGCAGTGCTGCACAGGTCGTGCCGGAGCTGGCCAAACCAGAGGTCAATGTTCGCTCGATCACCCAAATAATGCGGACTCCTCCCTGGGTTCAGCCGGATCTTCTTCCACCTCACCTGCTGGCAAAATGGGAGAAATGGATGCCAACTCTGATGTCGAACATTCCGGGTCTGGCATCCTTCCTGCGAAACAGTCTGTTCCTCATGCTGGAGCTCAACTTCCTTGCCATGTTCACGAATACAGCATACGGTCGTCGAAAGAGACCGCAGATTGAGAAGGCTTTCCTGGCTCATATGCGCGAGATGGCGCCGAAAGAATACCATGAGATCCTGACGCCAAACTACAGCCTAGGCTGTAAGCGACGCATCATTGACGGGACCTGGTATCGCAGCTTGAATGCGCCCAATGTCGAGTTGACGACGCAGCCCCTCACCCGTGTACGCGCAAAGAGCGTCACATTGGGCCCTGGCACTCACTACCCGCCTAACCAGAGCAACCATACCAATGAAGTTAGGGAGGTCCCGGCTGATGTGCTCATTCTTGGCAACGGCTTTGAAACCAACAAATGGCTGCACCCGCTGAAAATGACCGGAAAGGGGAATAAGGACATTCAGGAGCTGTGGGATGAGCGCGGTGGTGCCCAGGCGTATCTTGGTATTGCGGTGGACCAGTTCCCCAACTTCTTCATGCTTTTTGGGCCGAATACCGCGACGGGACATACGAGTGTCATTTTTGCAACCGAAAATGCGGTCAATTATTCGCTGAACTTCATCAAGCCTATCTTAGAGGGCAAGGTCAGCTCTTATGAGATCAAAGAGGAAGCCGAGCGCACGTGGACAAAGGAAGTGCAAGATCAACTACAGAAGACCGTCTTCCGCCGGGGTGTATGCTCCAGCTGGTATATCACTGCAGACGGGTGGAACTCGTCGACCTACCCGTGAGTATCTCATCTTCTCTGCAGGTTCCACTGCATATAATTCTCTGCTATTTTAATTCGCTGACAAAAAAAACTCAGGTGGTCTCAAGTCCATTATTGGCTGCGCTGCAAATTCCCGTTTTGGAATGACTGGACCGCAAGAAGGACCCGAAAGGGCACATTCCTACATCGTTTTCATAAGGCTATACGACTTTCGGTTCTCTTCAGTGTGCTAACCGGCCTAGCGTGGCTGCGGAAGAACCCACGTCGGATAAGCCAAATCCTGCAGTCACTACAGCTTGGTAAGGCGCTGCTGGTGTCACGGGCACAGAAATTGTTATCACGCTAGGGTTGGCAGTAGTCCATATGTTGAATAGTGTAATTCCGTCATATATAATAGCAGGTGGAGTCGGAATACGCTCTTTTCCTAATTTTTACCTGATCCCTCTAGCAAGACAGATGTAAACGCAGCCAATCGGCGGGCGACGAAAGTGATGACTCAGCCGATCTGGGGAAGCGGCCGACCCCGCGAGGTGGTGGAATTTCTCCGCACTTCCTCGCCGCCGGCTCTACCCCGTCAACGCTTTGAACGTCGTGTATTCTCCCCCAGATGGCTTCGGAGTCACCTCATGTGGAAAAGTCCCCTCCTCCGGCCGGTCCTGCTGATCTGGCCACACCTCCCACCGCCGATACGGCCAAGAGGAAGGCGGAACAGAGCAACGGAGCGCACACGCGCACAAAGCGGAATCGCTACATCTCCATCGCATGGTATGATAATGGCCTGACCCTTTCAGCACTCTTCCGAGGCCTCGGCACTTCTTTTCGGTCTTGTACCTGCGGCCAGATGTGGTGTCTGCTGCAGAGTTAAGGCCATGCCATACTCTGTAATGCCCATTGCTCCCTGCAGCTCGATAAGCCTCGGAACTGTCTTTACCGTTCGGGACTGACCTTCGGCTTCTTTGTTTAGCAATGAATGCAAGCGTCGCAAGATCAAATGCAATGGACAGGTTCCCTGTCAACGATGCGGTCATCTCAATTTGGAATGTATGAATGATTTCCCTTCCTTTTTCGAGCGAGACTTGCCTGCGGTCGTGTTTCAATGGTCGGCTCGGAACGAGCATTTTTGATGTCGGAACTGCCGAAGCTAATCCTGGATGCAGGCCGATATGCGCCAAATTGCTGTAATAATAACTTCAAGGACTCTGAGTAAGTAGCGGGGTTGAATTCTGGTTTTCCCTATAGTCCATTAATTCTTGCTAACATTAGGACTCAGTGAGTTCCGGTCGTTGACCTCTCAGATCACAACTCTGCAGGAACAGGTCAACAGCCTCTTCACCAATCTCAACGAGCTTCGGTCTCAGAAATCTACCTTTGAGTCTCCGCCCTTCGATCATCTTTCTCGCGATGGCTCACAGCCTGTCTTTACCCCCTTGCCGACGGGCATGCCGAAGACCCGTTCCCGCCATCCTCGTTTCCATGGCCCGACGAGCTCGGCTTTTAATTTTGATGTCGCCAAATCGAGTCTTGAAAGCATGGGGATCACCCAACCAGAAGATGCCATTCCCGATGACTTGACTACAGCGCATGTCACCCCGGCCGGCTCTCCACCTCCCAATTTGGGTCCTCTCGTACCTACGATCCACCCAACCAAAGATCCGATTTGGTCTATTGGCCGCGAAGAGGCAATTCGCTTATGTAAAGTCTATGAAGAGGAGATTGGGATTCTTCATCCCGTGGTGGATATAAACACCATCGTTAGTCAGGCTAATTTGTTGTACACATTTATGGAGGCGGCTACACGAACCGGGTTTGCACAGAGGGGACTACCTGGTTCTGACAGTCTTCAAGATGACAATACCATTCTGCTGAAACTGATACTTGCTACCACGCTGGTCGTGGAGGCTGGCGGTCAAAGTGACCTTGGCCAGCGGCTCTACTTGAGTATCAAGCCGATTATTGAGTCCAAGCTGTGGGAGCCTCGCGACATCCGCAATATTCAGATTTTTGCGATTGTGGTACGTTTTCTTTCCTTCCTAGATTCCAATAGCCTGTCTTTCTAATGCCTTTCTTCTGTCAGGCCACTTACCACTTCCACACTGATGATGATGCCATGGCCTATCGGTTGATCGGCTTGGCCGCGCGCATGTGTCTTGAAACGGGTCTCCACCGAAAGGATGCTCTCGTAAAATCATTCCCCCTTGAGGACCAGTGGAATGATATCACTCGAATCTTCTGGACTGTCTATAGTTTGGACAGGAGATGGAGTCTAGGCACTGGCTTGCCATTTACTATTCAAGACGAGGATATCGATCCCAATCTGCCAGAGCCGGTAAGCTATCTGACAGACCTATACTATAAGATCTCTCCTAGCTGACCCATTTGCTACTAGGACACACCCTATCTGCGCTGTATGATCTCGTACAATCGTATCAGCTCCAAAATCTGGTACTCAGGCCTCGGATCAGAAGGCACAACAGATATTCGACGAGATGAAATCGGCTATCTGGATTACCAGGTCCTCCAGTGGTACAAACATATACCCGAGGATCTCAAGTTCTATCCTGTCGAGTCTCCCAAAAATGGAGAACCCGCGAGTCGGGGAATGAGGCGGTTGCGAGTCCTGCTGTACCTCCGCATGAACCAGCTGCGCATTCTCATCTACCGTCCAGTACTTCACTCTTCTGCAAGTATTGTTGAGGATCGCGGTCACGCTCAGACAGTGGTTGATGTTGCCAAGGACACCGTTCGAGTACTCACTCGGCTAAACCAGATGTCTGACATTTACCGCACGCAGCAAATCACTTTCAACTACTTCCTTGTGGCTGCGCTGGCTGTTCTCTTTCTCGCTGTGTGTCACGCACCAGCGGAATTCAACCGTCAAGTGCGCGATGAGTTCTACATGGCTTTGGACTTGATCAATGGATTCAGTACCAAATCATACGTATCAAAACGCCTGTGGAAGACCATTCAAGGTCTCCGCAGAATCGGCGAGAAATTGGGGGTCCTCGCTCGCCCCTTCAGCAACGATTCAAGTGATCCACACTCAAGTGCTGCTGTCGCTATGGCCGGCCTTGCCGGTCATTCGATCGACGATCTATCTGTCTACGGTCCCTTGAATGGGATCAATGACAGCCCCCTAAATGGAATACAGATGAGTCATGAACTTACGAACTTGTTTGAGGCTGTTGGATCTTTTGGTAGCTTCATGCCCACCACTACTGGCCCCGATGGCATCAATGGATTCGTTGGAACTGATGGTGAAATCCAGAACACTGGTGAGGGCCTCTCTGGGATCTTGGGTGGAGAGGAGGAGTTTTCACGAGTAATTCGTGACTTGTTTTGATCTTCTATAGTAATAGGCTAGCCAAAACCCATGTATCAAATAATATTTTTACATTATATTCGCTGTAGGGTAGATTAGATGCTTGGTTGTAGAGTAGTATACCATTTCCGGTGTCAGATTCCCTCGCCTTCACGTGACCACCACCCTCACTCGTCCTCGCCTTCGCTTTTCTGCCCCGCCAATTCGCATCGGCACTTACCCTCCACCGTCGAGTAAACCACTTGCAGCTTCTCAGCCTGCTCTTGCAGCTTTCTGCATCCGAACGGTTCATCATCGCACCGCCCCACGAACCGAGCCGATCTTAGCGGGGAGCTGGTCCGACCGAAGCCCAGCTGCGAACCCAACAAGTACGTCCCCTGCACCGAATTCAGTCCAGCGCGAACTTAGGTATGTCCCCGGAAATTCCTCCACCAGACCAGCTAGGACGGGCATACTGATAAGCCATGGTGGGGCGCAGAGCCACATATGCCTCGTCGCTGATCGCACAACATCCCCCTCCCGCACACTGCCATGAGCGCTCAGCTTCCCCACTAGACCGACCCTCCTCCACCCAAGTCAAATCTTCGATCTCCTAACCTCCAAGTCTATAGCCTTGCTGCAGGCACAACAAACCCACCTTCAATCGCTGTACCCACGTTCAAGCGACAACTCTCTGATCCGACCGCGGCCGCCCGCCACCTTCCTTCCAAACCCCTCGGATTTTCGCGTGACGAGGCCGCCGCCGTCGTCGTCGCAATCCTTCCCCCGGTTATCTCCAAAATCTCGGCAACGTGTCGAGAGAGACAGGTTCGGCGTTGGCCGACGGCCTAGACAGGCTGGATTTGAGTCAACTGTCTGAATCGACCGTTTCGTCATCCGTTTCCGCCTCGTTCGATATGTCGTCGTCGGAAGGTGCGCCGGAGTCCTGGATCTCCTCCTTTTGTTCCTTGATGGGCCATGAGTTCTTCGCGGAAGTTTCGGAGGACTTTATTGAGGATGATTTCAACCTAACGGGCCTGCAGTCGCAGGTGCCAATGTACAAGGAGGCCCTGGAGATGATCCTGGACGTGGAGCCGGAAGAGGACGAAGAAGAGGAGGAAGAGGAGGAGGAAGAAGATGACGATGATGATGTCCTGGGTGATGATAAAACTCTTGGATACCGACGAGCTGGAGACAGGCGCCACGCCCGCGTAGCGAGCGACTTGAGCATCATCGAGAGTTCCGCAGAGTTGCTATATGGGCTAATTCACCAGCGCTACATTACCTCGCGACCCGGTATCCAACAAATGCTCGAGAAGTACGAAATGCAGCATTTTGGCGTCTGCCCCCGTGTCAACTGCAACGGCTGCAAGGTTCTTCCTGTCGGTCGATCCGACACCCCGGGCCAGGAAACCGTCAAACTGTTCTGTCCCGGCTGTATGGATATCTACACTCCCCCCAACAGCCGCTTCCACTCCGTGGACGGCGCGTTCTTTGGCACAACGTTCGGCTGCCTCTTCTTCATGACCTTTCCCGACCTGTGTATTCAACCCCCACTGGACCGCCCTCTCTCTGCCGCCATCTCCCGAAGCGGCTCCCAGCCTTCCTCAACCCGATCTCCTTCCGCCCAAGTCCTCCTCGAAAGCCCCACGCCCGAAGAACAACCAATTGAAATCAACGGCGTGCACACAGCGAACTTGTGCCCCGGCCTCGGTCGCGGCAAGATCTACGAGCCCAAGATCTACGGATTTAAGGTATCCGAGGTCTCCAGAGTTGGTCCTCGTATGAAATGGCTACGAATGAAGCCCAAGAATATGTACGAGCTTGACGAAACAACGATTCATGAGAACATGCAAGCCAATTCAGATGGGAAGAAGGGCAAATCTGACGCCGCCGACAAGGACGGCGATACTGAAATGAACCCTGAGCAATCCCAAGACATCGTCATTGCCAACCGCAAGAAGGCTCCCATGCGGCGGCGGCGGCAACAGAACGACCAGCCTGCATCTGATAAGATGAGTTTGCAGAGTGCTGAAATCGGCTAAATCGACCACCTAATCTTAACCTGTCTATCCATTGAGCGTCACATTCATACATGTTCCTTTCCCAGCGTGGTGCTCCAAGTTCGGGCCCTTTTTGTTCACTTTTATATGTTGTGACGAGGTCAATGATTCCGACAATCTCGTTACACGTTGAAGGAGGTTCGGATCCGGGGTCAGCTGGACGTTGATGACGATGACGACAGACAATCGTTCTATTCAGTTTTGTTGTTTCCACTTTCTTGTTCGTTTTGTTTAAATGGGATATCTATGTTTGCTGTATTGTCCGCCTTGTGGTTTTGTCGATGCATCTTCCCCTCGGCCCTCATTAGCGGTTCCAATGTTCTGGCCAATTCAGGATCAGTTCAATGCATCTTGAATACTCGCTAGTAAGTTTCAAATAAACGATGCTGCCATAGCAGATGCAATGTACGCTTGCTTAAAGCTTAGTAGGTTAGTCCATCCTACGTATTGCACTTGTATATCAGCCCCAGGCTTATTGATATTTTGGCCTGGGAAGATCCTGTAGGTCACAACAAAGTTCGGCTCTTCAACTTTGTTGGTTTCGAGCTTAGTTAACCATGGAATGTATTATGTTAGGGTAGTAAATTATGTCCATCCATTTCACCAGGTTTGGCTCCTGACATCTAGACCATCTAGATGTTCATCTGCCAGAGAGAGAGGAAATCTATTTCTTCTTACACACCTGAACCCTTCCCTCGCCGTAACTCTTCGCGGGTTGTCAATCCAAAAATTTTCAATGAGAAAAAATAAAATAAAATTATAACAAGCACACATTAAAGAAAGATGTGTGTGTGGTTGATATAAAAATCGAAGCGGCCCGAGCCCGGGATCGAACCGGGGACCTCGCGCAATCAATGCTCAGAGTTGAACCCTAAGCGCGAATCATACCACTAGACCACCCGGGCGCTTATTCTGAAAATAAAAAATCTTGCCTATATCAGGAATTCTTGAATCAGTTTTTTTTTAATGACTAATCATCGCTTGTTTAGTCGGCCTGTTCTACCATAGACATGACTGGTAGGGGGGACTCAAAGTGAAGTGGTCGGCATCTTTATATAGAGCACTCTTCGATTGGATAGGTGGTCATTGGTAATCTGTAAGCGCCCACTTTTGACGCACTTGGATATGTGTATATGAAGGAAGGGAAGGAAGAGAATGAATACTACACCACACTAAGGATAAAGCTGAGCTTGGTGGAGTGCGGATCAAGTTTGATAACTACACAAGCAGTGATCAGAACATGGATAGTCGCCCACGATTCATATTTAGCCCCTAAGGACCAATTAAAGATTCAAGAGACAAGAAAACCAACCTTGGCTTTTGTGGGCTGTACTCCTATTTTGCATTCCAGTGAATGTATCAAATCCCGGGAAGCTCGAAAATGATGTTGCTATGGGGTAATTAGATCAACCCTGTCTATTCGCCTAGTCTGGGGGGAAAATATAATGTGGTTTTTGATGGATCGATAGGAACGTAATACAATGCGGTTCTAGGTGACAAGAGTGAGCTCATACTCAGTTCACAATCAGAGATATATTCTCACATCTGCTAGTCGGTAAAACACACGATCCAGCGTTTAGATGGGTTTTGTGGCGGAAAATAGCGGTCTTGAGTACACTCAAGAGAAAATAATCATTTGGCAGAATTTGAGTTGTTTTGTTATTTGAGGTGGAACTAGGACTCCCCCCAGCCCGATTCTCAGCTGAAGCAGACAGAGAATTATGGGCCTTGCTTATTCGAGAGCACGAAGATACTATTCATAAAAGCCAAGTTTTCGAAATCCAATAAGAAGCGCCCGGGTGGTCTAGTGGTATGATTCGCGCTTAGGGTTCAACTCTGAGCAAAATTGCGCGAGGTCCCGCGTTCGATCCGCGGCTCGGGCCTGCTAATTTTTTTCGACAATTTTTTCCCCCTCTTGAGTTATTTTCTTTATATGCTTATTTTTTTTTTGACGAATCTCTCTGTTTTTGCATCTATCTTTGTTGCCGGCTTTCTTGCAAAGCCGGACAGTCTGCGTTCCCCAGCGAGGTCAATCCGAGTCTTTGCAGCATGCACTTCCGAGATGAGGCATTTCTTCAAGGCACAGCAAGCTTTTCTTTGTCTAACGGTAACGACACGCATATATATAGATGCAAACTGCAAATGAATTCCTCTTCTTCCCTAGAAAATAACGAGACTTACCATCTGCTATCAATAACCTCTCGCTGCTGTTCCATACCACTATGAGGCTTACGTTCGATATTTGTTCGACGCGACCTGTACCTTCTGTCATATTTGATAGTCAGGAGATTATCAACTGGGGTACGAGGATAACTACGGCTACGCCAATACCTCGGGGAAGACCATGTAACGGCAAGCTAGGTGCGCACCCACTCAGAGCTCCTGATAATGGAGCCGAGGCTGTGAGCACCTGTGATTGTGATCAAGCCATTTTTCGCCCCGTTCAAAGGACAGCGTTCATTGAGTCCTTCCAGTCAGCAAAAAACCATAGAAAGGAATGTTGCTGTTATGCGCCCTTTTGAGACCTTTCGTGCATTTGATAGATAAAGATTTGCCATTTTTGAAAAAGCCACTCCAGTCCGACGATACCCTTGTCTCTCAAACAAATCGGTTGAAATTTTATTTGTTGAATCCCTAGGCTTGGCTCCTCGTCTGCTTCCGGCTAGCTTCCCCATATCGCCTTCGACCTCTCCAACGTTCTCTCAACAGCTCCACCCCCTGAACCTTGGCCCTATTTTTGCCGAGAGCATTATATTTTCAGATCAGATTTTGTTGCTCTTTTTTATATTTCGCACTTCATTCCAGGTCCAGAGAAGCCTTTCAATTCGTCGTAGTCCGACACATATTGTCACATGCAAATTCAAATCCCAGGCGATCCCTAGTACCAATTGGGCAATTCCAGTGTTTCTAAAATGGGCAGAGAAAAAGCTGTCAGGGGCTCTCTAATTAGGCTAGTGATTAGACTCAAACTTAGTAACCCGAGCCCGAGCCTATAGGATGCGCGCCAGGAAATGAAATTAAGCGCTAGGTGGAGAAAAATTCGGTTGTCTCCACCTCAATCCCGCGACAACCAACGTTTTTCTAAAACGTTCTGTTGGGCTGTTAAGCGAGTCTCAGGAACACGGACGCGGGTGAATGAGCCTGATGGTGAGATTGGTTGGGTGGTCGACTCCATCCATGGATAGGTGGCCGCCACCATCTAGAAGGAGGCTAGAACGGCTCCGCATAGGGCTCCATCTCTAGGGTACCCCAGGGGCCAATCAGTTGATCACCGCAAATCATGTAGATAAAAATTTCTACCAGGGGAGAGTCTCTTTTAGTTTACAATCGTTTGTGCTTTTCTTTTTTTGTTAGCATTGAATGCAAAATGTCTTCGTCAACAGTTCAGACGGTGGAGCCTGTGGTTTGCCAATTGAAGGGCGAGGTCGAGGTACTATACCTTGCTGCAATTGACAATTGTTCATCAATGCTAACTTTCCAAAGGCTAAAGATCTCTCTTATGGAGCTATCAGAGAGAAGATCCCAGCTCACTGCTTTGAGCGCTCCGCTGTGAAGTCATTCGCGTATCTCTTTCGCGATTGCGTCTATGCCTCTATTCTTGTGTGGCTTGCTCTGCAGATCGATTATCTGCCCACGCCACTTCTCCGGGCTGCCGCCTGGATTGCCTATGGCTTCGCTCAAGGCTGTGTTGGTACCGGAATGTGGATCATCGGTCACGAATGTGGTCATGGCTCTTTCTCTGAGTATCCTCGTCTGAATGACTTTGTTGGATGGGCTGTCCACTCTCTTCTGATGGTCCCCTTCCATTCCTGGAAGATCACCCATGCCCGACACCACCGATATCACGGCCATATCGATAAGGATACGGTCTTTGTTCCTGCTACCGAGTCTGAGGTCAAGAACCAGAAGCCTTCTCTCTACACCCGATTCGTGGAGCTTGTTGAGGAGACTCCTCTCTACCACGCCGTTACTCTGCTCAGCCATCAGCTCTTCGGATGGCAGCTGTACATGCTGTTCAACGTCAGTGCCGGAAACAAAAGTCTGCCTCCAAAAGGAACCGGCGTCCAGAAGTTCAGAAACAGCCACTTGGATCCTCTGGGCTCCCTGTTCACCAGCTCTCAGGCCCATCTGATTGCCTTTTCTGACCTGGGTCTTCTGATCGTTGGAAGCACTCTTTACTATCTGTCGACCTTTATGGGCGCCTGGAAGATTGCGCTTCTCTATGCTGTTCCCTACTTCTGGGTCCACCACTGGCTGGGTAAGACACATCACCATCTGTAAGCCGAACAATCTTTAACAGTCAATTTAGTTGCGATTACCTACCTTCACCACACCCACCCCGACGTTCCTCACTACGATGAGAATGCTTGGACCTTCGTCAAGGGTGCCCTTGGTACCGTCGACCGCCGATTCGGCTTCATCGGACGCCACTTCTTCCACGAAATCATAGACTACCACGTCATTCACCACCTGTTCCCCAAGATCCCCTTCTACCACGCCGAGGAGGCCACCAACGCAATTGTTCCCTTCCTCGGTGAGAAGTATCGCATTGAAGAAGGCTCATTCCTCAAGTCCCTGGCCGACACTTTCCGCACTTGCAAGGTTGTGACTGACCCTGATGCGGAGGGCGTTCTGCACTGGAAGTCGCCCGAGAATGCCAGCAAGAAGCAGAACTAGGTCAATGTCTATGCCGGCAAGACATACATGCTTAATTTGCTTGAGATTTCTGTACAGTTAGATGTTAGAATATAGATTATAGAATTTTGGGATACCCCGATTTCACATCTTACCCAAGGTCTTTTTTTGCAGCACCCCGATGGTGTGTGGTAGTTATAGACGAGAGATGTGATTGACCAGCGATCGCAGACTCCTGGGACCTCAATCGAGGGTCCGATAGCAATTACCTCGCGGAAGCTCGTTCTTCTATTCACCACCGAGACATTCTCTTGATGTTCCCGTCTCTGGCCAGGGCAGCAGAGGTGACATGCGGGGAAGGTTGAGACTGGATGGTTCGTAATCCGAACTATCGTTAGTCATTGTGGGGACCAGATGCAGGATATTTCCCAAATAGAAAGGGATCGGAGCTCGCTGCGAGCATCTGTGGCAATAAGATACCCAGGGTCTCCTCCTTGTCAAAATTTATTTTTCGGGACTGCTCCTCATTGTCATCAAGATAAGATGATGAGCCAAGACCGGCAAAGCTGAGAAGCAACGAGATACACTGCCGGTGTTCTCCGCAGAATGCATCACACCTCCATTTGTGGTCTGCAGTCGATAGTCCGCTTTTGCTTTTTCTGAACTCGCGACTGGGACACAACAGTCGCCTTATTGGCGGCTTGCTTGTTTTTCTCGTGGCAGATGCGCAGCTGGAACCAAACACGATCTGCGAGATCGCCCTTGCAGCAGGATATGTAAACATGATTTGTCACATCCCCTCATCCTTGCTTGATCGAGACGATCTGTCGGCCGTGCAGGCTGCGTTATGTAAGTCGTCGAAGCTGCCCACCTTTCTGAATGATTCTGACAGACACGCCTTGGTGAAGCTCTCAATCGTGTCGGGATTACGTTGGCATCCTCGGTTTGTAGCAATTCATACAGCCAGTAGCCTAGCGTTGCTGAGCGCAGACATGGAACCGAACGATCATCTCTACGTCCACGACACGGAAAGATCGCCGCTGCTGCAAAAGACCCATGCGGAAACAACGACTGAATACGTGTCTTCGAAAGGATGGAAAAAAGAGGCTCTCATCATTGTGCAGGGCTCCGCACCTTTGGCTGTCGCACTCGTACTCCAATATGCGCTCACGGCATCGAGTATAGTTGTCTTGGGACATTTGGGAAATAGGGAGGTGGGTGCGGTCAGTCTCGCCAACATGACAGCCTGTATCACTGGGACTTGTGTTTATCAAGGATTCGCGTCTTCGTTGGACACTCTCTGTCCACAGGCATATGGGTCCGGGAAGAAGACCTTGGTTGGACTTCATCTGCAGCGAATGACAATCATGCTCCTTCTGATGACGATCCCCATCGGAATTCTGTGGCTAAATTCAGATGCCATATTCTCGTGCATACTCCGAAAGGAAGATGCAGAGACAGCGCACCTTGCAGGGCTTTATCTGAAGATTCTGCTCGCGGGCGCTCCTGGTTATGCTTGCTTCGAGGCGGGAAAGCGATTTGTCCAGGCCCAAGGATTATTTAGTCCTATCCTACTGGTACTTCTCATTTGTACCGTTTTCAACATTTCCATGAGCTGGCTTCTCGTTTGGGTATGTGCAATCTGTTACCGCATGCTGAAATCTCTACTAATAATCTGCCTGGCAAATAGAAACTCCGATGGGGCTTTATCGGAGCGCCCATCTCGGTCGCAATTTCCATGAACTTACTCCCGATGCTGCTTGCGCTATATGTCTACGCAGTACAAGGCTCCGAATGCTGGCAGCCAATTTCATCTGCAGCCTGGAATGGCTGGGGTCCGATGCTACGGCTAGCCATCCCCAGCTGGCTTATAATGGAAGCTGAGTTTGCCACCTGGGAGATCATGACCCTGGCATCGTCTTATCTAGGATCGAAGAGCTTGGCTGGCCAGTCTGGAGTCGTGACTATTACTTCCTTTGCATTCTACATCGGCTACTCGGTCGCTGTTGCCGGCGGAACCCGTGTCTCTCAACTCGTCGGCGCCGGCTTTCTCGCAGAAGCTCGGATAGCCACTCGGGTATCTTTTATTGTCGCATTCTTCACAAGTGTGGTGACAGTGGCGTTGCTGATGTGTCTGCGAAATGTCGTGTCCAACCTCTTCTCTACCGACAAAGATGTCGTTCGCTTGATATCGAGCATACTGCCGCTATGTGCTGTTGAATTGGTACTGGATTCCTTAGTTTCGTGTTTGGCTGGGGTTCTACGGGCAATCGGACGACCGTCTCTCGGAACCTATGTCCAGATTCCGGTCTATTACGCCATGGCCATACCCCTGAGCTTTGTGATTGCTTTCCACCTTCATTGGGGAATTATGGGGATCTGGACTGGGCTTTTGGTGGGCCAGTTTGTCCTCGTCACAGTCGAGGGAGCCCTCCTGTGGTATATGCTGGACTGGGAAAAGGCGGCGATGGATGCATCTATAAGAAATATGTCTGCTTGGACATAGAGCGTGTTAGACAGGTATCGAAAGCAACTGCTATTTTTACACTTCTTGAGTTGTGTCTTGCAACCTTTATGAGAATCCAGGGTCTAAATTAGTATCTGACGAGTTATCTGTTCAATATTTTTCATGGGTTTACTTTTACTCTTTCGACTACCTTTTACGTGATTAAAATGAAGTTGTTCATTATGGGCATCGTCAGGTGGTCATGTGATGGGTCACCACTGCACTAGGCGAAAACCCTTCTGGCGGCAACGCAGTCTGTGTTTAAACACTGAAATGATCCAGGTCCATTAATGGGAATCCACAAACCAGGCGACACAAGCCGATTCCTCAGGATTCCTGCGGCCGTGTGAACACGGGTATTATGAGCACAGCGTGTCTTGCAATCGCGAATTCGCATGATTTCTCGATTGACAGCAAAACAACGCCCTGGAATATTTCTCGTTACAACACCACCTGCGTATCATCGACAGAGGCAGCAAACATGATGACTGTTTGCATTCCGCGACACATCGCTAACCTTTCTTCTTCAACATACCTCTTTCTGGATTCACATTTGCTAGCTCGCACTGTCAAACGTTCTCATTTTGAGATCGATTAACCACTTCACGAAAAGCATGAGACTAGGAACATCACAATTGTTCCCGTAGGAGGTATGCAACCGGAGAGTGACACGGCGAGTCTGTTCTGACCCTCCCGTGAGCCAAATTCTGGGCTCGAAGCCTTTGCTAACTCCTCGTCGAGTAGCTGGGAGAAATCAAACCGTATTGAGTTCGTCTATGAATCGTTAAAATCCCGCAGCGTGCGCTTTGAAGAAATTCTGAACCATGCGAGACCGTCTCCCGATGAAGAGGACGAGGAGGAAGCAGACGAGGCCTGCATGAGAGCAAATATTGCGTCGATTGCTGAGCTCTCCGATACGAAGGTTGAGATTTCGATAGGTAGAAGACAAGCAGGATACAAATTTCTGACGCAGCATGAACGCGAGGAAGCTCTTTAAATGGAATGCTCTATGATTCTCATAGTCCCATTTACATCTGTTTAGATTAAAATCAAAGTCAGTCATGCGTTTTCAAACCGGCTGTATTGTCTAGCCATCCTCTATATGCAATTCTATAATGCTTTTTGGGACCTTTAATATATACACTCCACCAACACTCATCGAACAGACCCAGCCAAATTCTTCTGTGCGCATTGAAGACAGGAACAATGTGGCACAGAGAAATAAATCCGACGCCAAAGCTTTCTCCCTATCGTGGTATACCCAGCTTCTACATCTTCATGCCAGTACTCACATTCCATCGCCATCCTCTCCGCAAATTCATCAGAACGATCGTATCCGCAAAGTGTCATTCTGCCAATGCATAGACGAAGGAGATTTAGGAAATATGCAGTCACCTTGTTAATGTCTTGATTTTGCCGGATCAGACTCGACACGTCAAGAAGCGTTTCGCTGATTGCATCGCACTTCAGTCGAAAGCAGCGACCTGTCTCCGGTCCTGCAAGATCTTTGTATCGCCCGAAGTCATCTGCCATTTGGTCGAGGATGACTACCGGGCCACGCCAGGGTGTGATCTTGTCGCGCCGGCTCCATTCTTTCAGGAAGATTGTACCTTGGCGGCGGTTCGTTTCGAAGCTTTGGGTTGCCATTGCTAGTGCATTTTCTACGAGGACGGAGTAGTAGAATTGTTCTTCGCCTTGGGATATGCCATTGCGCCATTGCCCTATGCGTCGGGTCATGGTGTAGTCGGTCTCTTCATCTGGTGCTGATGAATCGGAGCTGACTTGTGATGAGGCTGATGATGAGTCTGAGTATACCTCGATGCGGCCTTGGCGGGGCCAGCGGTCGGTCGTTAGAGGTGGAGGGGGAGCCATGGGGTATATAATTGTATTTCTTCTGGATGATGACTTCTTTGGAAATAGAGAATCGAGAGTGGGAAATGGGGTGCAATGAAATTATACTAGATGGAGTTCAATGATGCATTGTATTTTGATTTTGAATAATGTGCTTTGTGAATGAAAGAAGCCCTCGAGTTGAAAAGGCTTTCCTTGAAAATCAGACTAAATATAAGTACAAAGGCCGACCCGTCTTCACCCCGCACAAAGCGACAGACAAAAATATCGAGTGCCGAGCTCAGTGTCCTTGAAACAACATCTGTTGAAAGACTCGAATAATATCAATGAAGGCTTCACTGTAGCTACAGTGAGTTTTCCCATATTCATTGCAGTCGACGTCAGATCAGGGCTTAGTGTCTAGCTCCGTTTTCGGATATCGATCGGACGATCAGTAGCTCATGCTCGGCATGGAGAACAGCAGCTCAGTACCACAAGGAACTAGATAGATAGAATCCTTGAGGTCTAATATGATCCTAGTCAGTCTGATTCACAGCGAAATGTAAGAATCCGGCGAAAGAAGACGATGTCTCAATTTTCCGACAAGTCTGGATCATAGAGGAGACACTTCGACAGCGCAAACGCAATGACGTCCATTCTCTCTTGTCTCGCACTATACATCTGAAACCGTGGTACTCGTAGTTTCATCTTTCATTGTGCAACACCTCGCATCGTGGCAACAAACATGCCACCTGGAGCACCCGCGCTCGGACTCCGAACTCGTCTTGTCCTTCTTTGCGTTTGAGCTTGTCTTGAGTATTATTCTTTTTTTTTTTTTTTTCAGTTCCCATCTCACTATTACATGACCAGTTTCCTAATCAGGGAGATGAAATCGGGCGTAGAATGCCGTAGTCAGCAGCCTTGCCACTGCAGAATGTAGCTGCAAGTACCGTCAATGAGGTGCTTTCTTATCTGCAATGGCAGATCTGCCCTGGCCACAAAAGATTCATTTGCTCCACAATTCCTCAGATTGGTGTCTGCAAGTGTATCGCCACGATACCTCTCATGATGGAGCATGTCGGCCAGACGTTACTGTTGCTCTGGAATGGATTTCCGGGATCTTCGGTTCACCGCAACAAGCGTGCATTGCAGCGTCAGCATCCTACTTCTTCCAGCCGTCAGCTACTCGATTCGGCCATTGTACCACCCAAAACAGAAAATCAATGCAGCTGCAGGGCACCGCGAGACGGTCAGGGTCTGCGGCTCTGGCGCTTTTTCGTGCGTAGAGACAACCCGACACCGCTCCGTGGGAGTGATCGAGGGCACTTCACGCGACGATGGCGTAAAAATAGTTTGGCAATTTATTTGACTTTCCCCGCAGGCTGGAATTCGGCTAGCTGCATTGTCCACGGAGGTCATCTGATTATTTTTAGAGTCGGACCCTGGAAAAGGTGGTTCTCGAGATTATATTCCGCATACCTCATGCCATCAACCTCGGAGCTAGGAGATTCGTGCAGGGGATAGACTACGGGAGAGTGAGCACCGATCGGGTAAATGCGTGGAAATGACGGCTTGGTTGCGTCTTCGCGTCAGATTCTCAGCAACCTTGCACAAACACAGTGCTGACGGACTCAGCCACCGACGATTGTTCTCATCAGGGACTGGAGGGGTCGATTCGTGCCCACTCGCCCTTCTTTAGATTTTATTGTTTTATTGTGTCCGCTGGACCCTCGCAAAGGCTGAAACGAAATTGTCTGGACAAAGTTTCTCGCGGTCAGGCATCGGAGCATAAAGAGACGGTCGCACCGACGACCCGGGTGAGGCTACGCCCGGAGCCCCCAAAGCAGATAGGATAGGCGAGTTTCAGCACGTGTGGGCCACGTGGAGGATGCCATCACAGCGTGCAGAGTCTGTTTCAGGTCGGCCTGCGATTTGGTTGTCTGCGGTGCAGGATGAATTAGAATGGAGGGGGAGACCGGGGTGCGGCAGATCGACTGCATAAGCGAGGTGATGAACACTCCCTCTGTCTGATTGCTCCCCGACGCCTGGGACCCCGCGGCCGGGGACGGCACGGCTAGATAGTCGATCAGAATCGGTCGATGCGAGTCGTTCGTATCATTGGGTTCGATCCGTGCAGCCGTGCTTCAGCTGATAGCGCCGGTATGGCTAGCGTGCGGTAAAATTTTGCATTGGCAGCGTAGTGTCGCCAATCACAACCGCACTCGGAGTCGTGCGTGCGGCATCTGATGTGATTTGCGATATATTGTATGCTGTATGATGCTGCTGCTCTGCTCAGGACTACCGGCGGCCCTAGCCTAGTTCGCTGGAGCAGGGCGAATTCGAGTTCCACCCACGGGGGGACTGAAGCCCGACAGGCTCAATTTGGCTCGTTTAAACCATGCTCCTCGTGCAGAAGGCCCGTTGGCCGGACAAAGCGCGCGTCGACCGTCGAGCGAGCCCGCGCGGGACGCCTTGTCCGACGTCGCCGCCATTGGGAGACGAGCACGGCGGGCGTGGCAGGTTCGGCCTGGGAAGGTCTGGCAGGCGGGTGTCCTCGAATGGGCACCCCAGGAGCTTTTCCCGAATCCGGTGCGCGACCAGGTCCATTTCGCAGCCAGTGTAACGAGCTGGAGGAGATGGGCCACCCCGGAGTTAGCCGAGCGCGGGCCCGGTGGGTGTGCTTGGGAGTTCGCTGTCCCTCTCGCCTCTGTGACCTCGTCGTGCTCGCGGGGTCGAGTGGATATCGGGATTTGGCGTTCAGTAACACGGCCCAGAATTAGAACAGTTGCGAGCGCACCAGGAAGGATAGGCTGCTGCGTGTCATGGACGGGGATGGCTGCAGCGATTGTCCACCGCCAGGAACCTTTTTCTAGGAGGTCGCTAGAAGGCCCGCTCTGCAATCCCACCCAAGCATCCGGGGTCGTTGGAAGGCAATGATTGGTGCAACTGGCTGCAGCAGGGGAGTTGGGGCTGGGATCAGGGCAGGAGGCTTGCCATTCCGGCCGGGAAGGATGGCGGAGGGAGCGGTGAACCAGCAGCAGCAGCAGTAGTACTGTAGGAGTAGCAGTCGCAGAGGACGGAGCCCCAAAAGGTTAGAGCTTCAGCCCTACATGAGTTGCTCACTGCAGTAAGTGTACTATCGTGGGACGCTGCTAGTGCGAGTGCGACTAACAGGTGTTATTTCCACACCTACTTTAGTATAGTACTGCTGGTATGTTGGTATAGTTGTATAGTACGTAATTACGACGGGGAACGAGGAATACGACGGACACCCGGATTGGTTGCCTTTGCCCCGGGTCATGTTGGCTGTCATTGTATCAATACATACCAACAGCACCATATGGTATTTTATATTCTATAGTCGAGATGGATGTTGCCTACCAGGCAACACACCAAATCACTCATGACCTCATGACTCGCGATGATTCATTTTACATAAATACGCTAATACTACTAGTAATTGCTGGATGCACCTCGCAGGGCTCACCCACCCGGGTAAGCACCTTGCGAGGGCGCCATGCCTGCAGGCCCAACCACGCGCATTGTGCGGGCGCGAACGATAAGAGGAAGAGCATAATAGCCATCAGTAAGTGATTCCTAGAGTGTTACATCCTTGCCTGCTACTAGTACTCGGAGTGAACAGGCTAATCCGGGCGAGGATTAGGGTTGGTTCCGTCTGCACGCCCATACGAGCGGCCCAATGGCAGCCCATAGCGGCGCTACTGGGGGCGAAATCAAGGGAATCTTAGGCGATGCCCCTCTTTTGTGTTGGCATATTCAAGTACAGAAATATCCTCCCATATCTATTCTGGGACAATCTACGAGTAGTTAGTTACTCTTAGTATATTGGAATTCCAGGTCCGACTCTATACTAGTGTATGACCCTCTCCTCCGTCCCCACTGCGATCCGGTCAGATCTTTATCCTCTAGTCCGTTGCCAAGGACCACAACGTGGCCGGACCCCCCTTCAGCTGCACGCGCATTCCCCCATTCCCCCCTGGCCGTCACGTCTCAGGCCAGTCGCCGAACGTTGCCGTCCAGATGCGATTCCTGCCGTGCCCGTACCACTTCCCAGGATTCGCCTGGTACCACCGCGATTAGATTTGGGCGTGCATTACCTGCCACTTTTTGATTTTATTGTTTAGTTATTTACATTTTTTTTTTGTTTCATTCTAGGTTGCTTTTGCCTCCTTTGCTGGTGAGGTCCCCCGATTCGACGGGCTAGATGGGGCCATGGCAAGAGGGGCGGATGGCCTGCATTTGCCAGTTGACCTGCTACATACCTGCTCATGGGAACTAGTGTGAGCATACATCCAATACGGAGAAAATGTGTCAGGATGATTTATACCGTACCACATTTCGCCCCGTGCAGCCTGTCTGGGAAGGAAAAAAAACGGGTCCCAGATTGGTGGCCCAAGACCCGGTTCAGCCTCGACCAGAATGATGCTATGCCCGATTGGAGTTAATGCCAGGAATTTCTCGATTGGGAGACTCGTACACATGGCAGCACGGGCCCAGTTATCACAACGGGGGCTTAGCAATCTGCAAGGCCCGAGAAGGGCTGATCGACCAAGCCCGGTGGGACGGGAATATGAGAGCCCCATCTCCGAGTCCGAGTATATAATCGTTCTAACACCCTCTCCTCACCATCCACTAGTGCTAGGGCCCTGCTCTCGACCGGATCTTCTGACAGCCTACCCCACTTGTCTCTAAACATTCTCCTCCCCTCCCCTCACATCCATATCTACACATCCACTCCCACCATGCATCGCTCCTACGATGCCCGCTCGGGCTCGCGCTCTTCCAACCACAGCAACAGCAGTGCCTTCAGCCCTAACGCAAACCCCAACGAGGACTGGACCAAGATCTCCGATCTGGCCGAGCGTCGTCGCATCCAGAATCGAATTGCGCAGCGCAACTATCGTGAGTTCCCTCCTCTCTATAACTCTACAGAGTATACTAACGTCTCACAGGCAAGAAGCTGAAGCGTCGCCTCGAAGACCTCGAAAGGCGCGCCGCCTCCTCGCCATCCCCAGAACAGTCGCACGCCGAGCCGGTGCTGCCCAAGACCGCCAACAAAGCCCGCTCCAAGCAACGCGCGCCCAAATCCGCAGACGTCAAACCACTCTCCTCTCACCCCTCACACGCCCCGGTCCCAGACCGTCCGGCCTACGACTTCTACTCCACCGACGAGCGTAACATGTTCGCCCAACAATGTACACGCCAACTCACGGCCTCGCCGCCCCCCGTCTTCTCCTACCCCCCGCTCCCCTCTTACGATGCCTACCGACAACCCTATTCGCAAGTCCCTGTCTACCACTCCGTTCCCAGCACCTATGGCGGGATGTCCTTTGCTGCCGACTACGGCGAGTCCGTCTCCGGGGTGGTCCCTATGATCCCCGGTCCGGCGATGGGTGTCGGACGCAAACAGGCCTATGACGAGGACATAATTAGTCCGTTCAGCATGAGCTACGCTTCCATGGCGGGCATCGATCTCTGCCAACCCTCGCAGCCAGAGCCCGGGCTTCCGGTACATTTTCCTCGCTGATTTCGTTTCTCTGTCTTACTTCGGCGAGCTAATTCTCTTCTCTTCTTCTGGTCAGATGCCTTCGCTTTCCTATGGCTATCCCGATGACCATGACCAGCGCACGGCATCGACGTCACCCGAGGCCTCTATCTTTGCATTCCCTCCGACTCCCGAGTCCCCGCCCTGCTCGCCCCGGTCGATGCCCGGACTTTACGACTATGATCTCCGGTCATAGTCCGGTCAGAGTCCGAGCCATTTGACCAAGGGTTTGGGGGCCGACACGTACTGCCCTTTCGATCGAATCTTCACTTTACAGGAGACCCAGGAGAGGTGTTACCCACTCTCCACTCCCCTTTTTGGGGGACGGGCTGATCATCTGGCCTTGAAGGCTATATCGATCTACAATTCCACCCCCTCCCCACCTCCTGTTTGGCTTTTTTTTTTTTTTTTTTTTCTTTCATTTGTATTATGTGTTTAGTCCTCTTGGGGATATGTGTGACGAGCGAGCATCATCTTGGCGTTTATTTTTCTATTTCTATTTTTGTTTTTTCCCGTTAGCTCTTGATAGCTTTTTTCATGTCTTTATGATGTATTGGTAGGTGTTGGCCCCGGCAACGGGCATGATATGGATTTGGGTACGGAAATTACCAGCGGTACGGATTAACTAGAGATGCAAATGCACCCTCCTTTCTACTTCTATTCTTTTGAGCACTCCACAAGAAGCAGGTGACTGATCCTTGCAAATCTCCAGTCAATAACCTTCCGATCGCTGCCGTCGATTGGCTCCCAAGTTGGGGATATGAACTCCGGCCCCCAACGCGCAACCCACCTCACCATACCAAATCAAGTAGAAAGCTGCGGTAATTTTCAGGCGTCCCATTGTGACAAAAGCCACGGCCCCCAGAGCTGTCCACCCTCTGCTAGAGCACCACGCGTTTTCCCCTTTGAGCGCCCGCAACATGAAATACGCTCGAGAAGGGAGACTGTTAAATACCCCCGATGATCATGCTCCCGCTGCCGCTAGTGGAAGTGTTCCCCTGTCTGGATCGTCGATCGTCTGCGCCCTGTTCTTCAGTGACTGTCACTGGTACCGACCACATAGTCATTTTGTTGTTGCCCATTCCAGTATGGAGGATGCAAGCCCCCGCTCGTGCTGGCTAGATCATTGCCACTCTCCAGGTATTTTTAGGGCGGGAAAAACGGGACCGGACATGGAGAACGGTCCATGTGGACTGCTCCCAAACCCCCGGGATTTGAAGTGATCACTGCAGAAACTCCCGGCATTGCATCACCCATTGGTCTTATTTCTTGATTTCTTTTACTGCAAAATGCACGATTAATCCCAGACAATCGTTGTGAGAGTTAGTCTGGGGGCCCTTTTTGCCATCGTCCCCCCTGTCTCTCGGGGCAAACTGGGTGTTTTGGTTGGGGGGAGGGGGCCATCGGGCACAAGGTCCTAAAACCCGAAACCCGATAATGATGCAATTCATCATGCCTAGCCTGCCTTAGTCTAGTTCACTCCCTACTCTAGTGCTATGTATATAGGAGGGCATGCTAACCACCTGCTAAGTTGCTCCACTCTGTCGGGTCCCCGTCACAACACCTCCCCTTCTTCGCGGTAAAGGCAACGTGCTGCGCCTCTGGCCTCGATTGGGGAGCCCGCGACTGTTGGCGCCGGGCACCTGCACCCTGCACCTGCACGCATGGCCGGACTTCGGATCACATTCCAACTACAACAGTACCTCAGGAGATATCAACTGGGACGTGCTGGGGCCCAAATGGCGCGGATTGGCGAGGTTCCGGGGGAAGAGCCGCCTTTCTCCGGATCCTGTTCGCTGGCGCCGTGGAAGGGCCGCTAGGCTGCCCCATCGGCGGGTTGGGCTGGGGGGATGGGATTGGTAGGGGCAACAAAGCGAACGCGAGCCCGAACCCCGTTGGTAAGGGTAAGGGTGAGGGTGAGGGCTCGAGAGTCCGTGCATGGCACGGATATAGCGAGCGCGACGGGGTCTGGTTCACGCTGGCTGATAATAGGAAGGCGTCGACTCGGTTTATCTCCGATGCTTTCGGCCGGCCATGTCCACTGGCCTAACGGGGCTGGGCGTGGGCAGACAGGTCGAAGGCCTGAAGGGCTGAAACTAGCAGAGCCATGCCTAGAGGGGTGTCCCTATTCTTCTGAACGTGTGGTTCGTGGGTAAAGGGCAAAACACCGCGGGCACCCAGTTTGGCATGTTTGGGGAGTCCTTTTTCTGTTTGGGGTTAGTGTGCAGGCTTGGCTCCTGCATCCGTGAGAGGGTCCCTCAAGTACCCTAAGGGACTAGGAGGGGACGAGCGACTAGCCGCAGTTGGTCTCGGCTGTCCAGGCTTCTCACAGGGCGAAGTGATCGTCAGAGGCGAGGTGTCACTTTGCTGCTGGATCTGCTGGATGCTGGGGAGATTATTTTTGTGCACAAAAAAAAAAAAAAAAAAAAAAAAAAAAAACAACCCTTTGGTAGTGGAGGCCGCGATGCACCCGCCAACCTTATCGCTACCCGCGACGCGTGGGCAATTCCTACCGAGCCTCGTGCTTTATTATTTCCTCTGGTTATTGGTGATCTAAGAATCCCCATTGAACCCCCATCGAGGGTCCAGATGGATCATCCCACGGTACACATACATACTACGCATAGTGTGGTGCCGTAGGGTCTCATCAACGAAGAAAATCATCTATCGCGTGGCGGGGGGGCCGATCCAGCCCCAGATCAACCCAGCACCATGAAACCAGAAAGTGAAACCCCGGAAGGAGTTGGAGAACTGAAGTTTAGCTAAGTCCGCGACTCCGTGCCAAACTTCGACAGGCGCGGTGGGGCATCACGTCAAACCAGCTTCCGCCCAGGCTGCTGGAAATGAGTCAGGGTTTGCACTGCCCGAGGACGGATGGGGACGGACGGGAGGAAGTGTTGGACGATCTCCGCGATAGGCATCTAGTCGAGGTTAAATAAGGGAGGTGCAAAGCAAAAGGGGTGGAGAGCGGGGGCCATATTGACCCTCAGTCTGTATACTTCCCATAACTTACATACTAGGATACACACTACTAGTCGAGTGCTAAGGAAACTAAGGATAGTGAGAATCGGACGGCGACCGAGACGTTGGAGCCAAATCAGATTAAGTGCGGTGAATTAGGTTGCCCCACCGGTCCTCGAGCATGACTCAGGCGTTGCTGATGCACGTTGAGACTCCTAGTCGTGTAGTTTGTCACTAGTAGTAGAGTATGGAATTAACACCGTCAGCACAATGCTCCTAGCGTCTAGTGCGGGGGCCATTCCAGAACCTGCAGACTAATTATTCTACTACCTGTCAATAAGACTGCGCTCAACGTACCTCCTGAATGATCACCCCGGGTGGTTTGTGTAGCAGCTATCACTACCGCACAAGGTTAGCGTGCTGTTCTTCAATCGACTTGACCCCAACACTCGACAATCCTGTCGGGCCCGCCCGATCAGACCTGCTCACTCGAGCCATGTTCTCGTGGTCTTGGGGTCCGGCAACATGCCGAGCTTTCCACAACGTTGGGTATTTGCTGGCCGATTTCGATATCACCCATTGATGTGATTGATTACCTACTAGGTAGACTCGATCGGCACGTGAGCCGGGACGATACTTCCTAGCTCGGACCATCCTATCCCTCCATATAGCAGTCTCAAAAACTTTACTCTATACCTTGGTACACGCTGCATACCTCCTCTAATAGAATATCATTGCTCAGTTCCTTATTCAGTTCGAAGTCACACCTCCAAGACCAGAAAACAGAAGAGGCAAGACCATGTGATGCGCTGGTTACACTACGATCCGATCCCGTCGATTTCCAACCCACCCAATCAGGTGGTCCACCGCGTCTCTCGTCGTCCGCGTCGTCCGGTGACGTGGGCCTGCCGTACCTGCTGTCTCGTTTGCTCGGGGAGCCAAAGGCCAGATTAGAAATCCCGGGGGGCGGTCCGGGACAAAGGCCACGGTCGGATACGTGCAGGGGGTCCCCCATTATCAAGCCATTAGCAATCTTAGAAATCAGGAAACGCCCATGAACAGGTACGAACCGGCACTGTGGACAAGGGGACCAGCGGCCAAGGTGGCACAAAACTATCGCTATCGGCGTCCCCGATGTCAGGTGCGCATCATCCCCTAACCTTTGGGCACGATGCTCAACTCTGGTGAGTACCTCCAGCCCGGTACTTTCGACTTTCTTTGATCGCGCGCGTTCTCATCTCGGCCTGGACGGTACCCAATCGCTCCGCCGGTTGCCTGGCCATGTGTCGAAACCATGTCTAGTATCTACCCACCTACGTCAATATGTGCGCAACCAGGCGCGGCGCCGATTTGGAATCATCGCCGCCTGCCAGTGCAAATTGTCAACGCTCAAAACGCGCAAGGCGTGTTGGTTTTGGATCCACCCACGGACCCGTTGACCTGGGCACTTGGTGGACCCTCGCAATTTCAAATAAAACTGTTTCTCTACGACCTCGTCGTCACCGTATTTGTCGGGGTTTCTGTCGAGGCGTATGCTACGTGAACCGTAGCGGCGATAATTCACAGTAGGGCTGGACCATCAGGCGTGCCATACGGACTAGTTTCCTACACGCACAACCCAGCGCCTGTCAGTATGTACTTGCTTGGATCCACTTGCGGCTGAAGTTTCTCCGAATACTGCAAGTGGGCTGCACAATGCCTCGTTCCGGCGAAATGAGGAATGCGATGGCTGAAGAAGGTAATTTGGAGAAAATATTGGATGTATCGGGATTGTCTCCAAAGCACCTTCCGTAGTGGGTGCGGTGTTGAGCCGCCGGGGCTGTGTAAAGCGTATATTCCATTTGGTACTGGCCCGCTAGCTACGTAAAATGGCAAGTTCCCTAAAACAGCGTTTTAGCAGAATTTAGCTACGGCGCTAAATATCTGTTCAAAAAGATGTCTGCAAAGTTCGTACAGCTAGTGTATGGGTGTTTGATATACGAAATCGCTTTTGCTGTTGTATTGTTCTATTGAAATACAGCTGCGGCCTTTGATATTTACTACTTCCATCCCGTTTTCCCACGCCTGGTCGTGTTCATTGGTATCCTATCTGTGACCTGAAGATAGATATGTGCCTTCATTTTTGGAAAGTCGATCAGAGTTATGTGGTTTTTCTTTGCATTTCGGAGACTCGGGGTTTGTTTATTCCTTCTCTTTGACGGCTGAGACTCCAGTAACCGGAGCCAGCTGTTACGGACCCTGCGGCAGCACAGCCAACTGAGGGGTTTGGACCTGCTGATCGGCCACCGAGGGCCAAATATTTCTCTCAGTCACGTACTAGCCCCAAAACCACGTGACCAGAATCATTAGGAAGCTACTCCGGACTAGACCTCAGAACAGCTCAAGGCACATACCCAAGGGCCCATGGGCTTTTCTTTTCACAAGCTATAGCCCATACTTGGGCAGCCCATGGGCAGACTACAGGCCGTCCAACCCGCCTAGGTATTGCATAACTTCCTAATTAGGATCCATAAAAAGATAATCAAGCTGTCAAGGGAAAAGTCACTGAGATCATTACTGCCTAGATGCCTGGCAGAATCGTGTGCATAACCGAATCAGAACGAGCGGTAAAACCAATGGGTATAAGACCCCTCACATATAGACCGATAAGCTTGAGTTCTTCAAGCGTTAATCTTGTGTCTACGCAGAATACACGCATCCTACCCTAAGTCCCTCTTGCCTACCACCTAGTCACCTGACATCAACCAACCTCGCTATTCTCTCTACAACTGAGCTCTCAAATTCTGGCATTTAGCTTGCATGGTCGGTTCTCATTTCGAATGAGAAGCATTCAACACACATTTCGATACTGTATTTGTCATCCTATCAATACAGCATAAAGTTTACTACTCACGTACGCGAGAAAGAATTTCCAGCTCGACCATGCCATCGTTTTCCCAGACGAGCGCCTAGTAGAAGACCGTCGAGATCTAGACGAGGAGAGTTAAGCTTGCTCGTGCCATTTACGGCTTCGTTGTTTTCCGACTCCTGGTTGATTATTTACTTCAGTCCTAATACTTACATTCGCGTTAGTACTTTTTAGGCGAAAGTGGTGCGCAGATTTCTCTGCGCCTCGAAAACAATATGTGGTGTAGCCCAATTCTTCTGATACGGTTCGACGACCGGGTTGACTATCCGCGAATGATGTCTTGGATGAATCAGGGTTGGATTACCCTTTCATTGGCATTGGCAACCGAAGAATTTGCCAAGTCACCGGGCTCAGGTTATGCCAGACTTACGGGCGGTGAAACTCCGATAAACCGAGTAAGCAAGGTTCTCGCAGATTCGCGTTTCGCTCTCTAGCAGCTGCTGAGCCTGTTTTTTGGACCCGCCTTTGGCAGACAAGGGCTCTAGTGACGCTCCAGGTCGTGACAATAAAGCTATCGTTCACCTTAGTCATAGCAGCAACGACCAAACCCTCTTGAATGGGCAATGGCTATTTGGAATAGAAAATCAGGAACATAAGCATGAACGTGCGCGTGCTATGGTAGCTCTACATATCCTATTGTCCTTCCTGATCTGGTATGAATCATAACTAATGTGACCCTGGAAACCTTAGTGATGACTTAGTCTTTTCATTTTGAAATGACTATTTATTGCTGATGAGTTGATCATATCACTCTTCATCATCAGGTGAAGTGTCTTGTATGGTCAGCCTGACGAAAAAGATTATTTATATAATTCTCTGTGCACGATGACAATCCTTCGAAAGGCCATTCAGGAATTCTAAACAGAGAGGACACCAATAAGGCAACTTGACTTGTAGTCACTTCGGTGCAGTACTAATAAGAGCATCGCTACCGGCGATTGAAGGGCGGATCTTCCTCGCTCCACTTGTTCGCTATAACATTATAAATACTTGCTTGAGTGGTATCTGCGAAGCATTATTGTACCGCTTGATGATTAAGAACACTTAGAGCTATCGTGACTTTTTATCGAATCACGAATCTATGGGCACGTTTTCATTGGTTCCGTCCAGTGAGTAAACATGGAGACACTTTGCAACTTGTTTTGTGCTTGACTTTTTTCACATATAACGAGGCTCTAGAAATTTCCGGGATTTGATTTCAAAAGCTTCAATTTCCGCAACAGACCTTTAAGCCCTCAAAGTGAAGTCTGGCGTAGCTAGGCATACTGTTCCGGCAATTTCGCGACTGCGCTATCCTGGACATGAGACCGTGACATTGGTGTGCATCGAAAACAATAGCCAGTAAAAATCACATTAGTACCTCTCCCATTATCGCATCAAGCTCGACTCCACTGATTGAATAGCTTCTTCGGTCTGGAATTGGTAATTTAATTTGCTTCGGGGGCAATACAGTTTCCCTCCGCTTTTGCGTTTTGTAAAGACCTGTGTGTCAGTGCAACAAACGATCCCCGATAGCTTGATTGATTTGGGCAGAATCTAAAAGATGATTGATGATGTGATGGTCAACAGAGTCTGTCCGCAAGACTCTATTGTGGGCAGTACTCCGCGCTGAAGTGAGTTCAATTGCATGTCATGTACCAGCTGGGACCTTCTCAGTATTCCGTGAAGAGGGCTTCTCAGTTCATGGGATATACTGCTCAAACCCCAATTTGCTCAGTTTCCATGTCAACGTCTAGTCAGTGAGCTTCCGCAATGAAATAGTCCCTGGAAGCATGCAAATATGACAAGTCAGTTTCTCCAGTGAGAGGCTGCAGCGGGTTATATGCCCCGCTACCGTCACACAGAACCGTCTAGATCGGTAAATCGCTCTATATCCCACCAGAATAAAAGCGCGACACTTATAACGCCTTGGAAGAGTACTTCTTACTTATCTTGCTGCTTCGGCCTTGGGACGCGCCTTCGGGATCTGTGGGTGCTGAAAGATGAAGATGTTGAAAGCCCAAGAACTTTGCACAGTTATACCGAGATGGCTAGAGTTGTCATTTTCACCCTTCTGCCCCAGAGTGAACTGGACTAAGAATGGCCACCAATACCGTAAGAAAGTTGATATTCCGAAGCACTTACAACTTCTGATTCCATGGGTTGTAGGTCGTCTGCTTGCCTCTGGTCCGTTCCAACGCTTGCAGCGAGGTGTACATCTCCCTCACTTCAGTAGATTCGCGAACAACTCCGAATAAATGTCTGCTTCATTCCAGGCGATATTAAATTGTAAGAGGAACCTTTCTAGCCGACTTGTTAATCCCTAACAACTGACCTGTATTCAAATCCAATGACATACCTTCTGGTCATCCGAGAGGTTCGGGTTTTCGCGAAGCATGCGGATTGTTTCAGGCGACGTTGATTAAATTTGGGAAACCTGTTACTCTTGAGGCTGCGGTAAGGCTCATCTATGCCTCCCAAACCTGAATAGACCGCAAGCAGCCATAAGATCGCGTATTGTCGATACGGTGGTGACACTAACCCGCTAGGGCCATCAAAGATCTTGAGAATTGTCCTTCGTAGTCTTCACATGTATAGCTGGACCGAGTTTCCGTATAAGACGTCAAAACCGCCTAGCCATGTTTTATCTTGATAATCCACTTTCCCACTCGTCGACCAGCCGTGATACTTCCTTAAGCGAAACAGGTTTCGTAAGGAACAAGTCCACTCCTGACTCCAATGCTCGGGACTCATCGCGCAGGCTACTGAGTCCAGTAAAAGCAATGATCTTAGCCGGAACGCAGCCATTTCGACTTCTTTCAATCGCACGTATGGCACGCGTCGCTTCGAACCCGTTCATTACTGGCATAGACATGTCCATGAAAATGAGGTCGTACCCCGGAATCGTCCTTTCTGCGAAATCAACAGCTTCTCTGCCATCGTGTGCCGTATCTACGGCCATGACTTTCCTTTTCTTCACGAGAGTCTCTATAAGTCGAAGGTTGATATCGTTGTCATCCACCAGCAACACCCGAGGTCCCATTTGAGGCTCAGAGGAGGACTCGGCATGAGCTGAGCCGCTGGGCATGGGAGTATATGGTGTATGAGGGCTGGAAGCGGTGATTCCGGTTTTGATGCGACGGGTGCTGTTTGCATCTGGGGATTGTACAGGGACATCACACTCCGCAGGGTCCACGAAGAAACTGCAGGAATCTGAGATGGGATTGGACAGTTCACCAGCCGTTGATTCCAGGCTACCGGATGGCGGGGACGTAGGCCTCTCAACTGGTGGGACCGGACCTGAGCGCCCGAGTCGTTCTGAGATAACGAACTTTCGTCCGGGGATAAGCGAACGCAGCGTAGGAGATGTCGGTTCCGTTCCAAGACAGTCCAGAATCCCCCTGGCAAGCTTTTCTGGACCACAAGGTCGGCGAAGAAACGAAATGGAAGCGGGAAATTGCGACCATTGTATCCTAGTATCGCTAGAGCTGCCCATGTCGTTGCGGAAAAAAATCATGTTTGGGAAGGTGGTGCCCAGACGCTGGCACTCCTTTACGGACAAATCGTTTTCGCCAACAAATAGAATATCAAGTTGCTCATCGGCGGACCAAGGCACCAGCCTCAAGCCATACCAGTTCGTGATGTACCGAGCAATCGATGACCAGAACCGATGCTCACCAAGACAGGAAGAGCCCATCCCGTATATTGCAGCGCGTTTTCCTGTCAAATCCAGTTGACGAAGTCGGGAGGATGCTGTACGCGCCTCTGTCGCCGATTTCTGGACGTCGAGCGTTGATGGCCGGCTATTCGACCCAACTGGACGTTCAAGGGGTATTGTCACTTTAACAACAGTGCCTTCGCCTACCCGGCTTTGAATTTGGATGTTTCCATTAAGTGTTCTCACAATGTCGCGAACAATTGATAGACCAAGGCCAGTTCCGGGAGTTAGTGTATCCTCTTGTGCGAAAGGTGTATATAATCGTGTCCGAAGGTATTCACTCGAAATGCCTTTCCCCGTGTCTGCAACAGTCAACGTTACAATGTCCTCAAGGCCCTGACGTCGAGGACGACCCTTTGAATGCTCTGTTGCCTCAATGGAGACAGAAACATGGCCCTTTTTGGTATACTTGAGAGCGTTTCCAAGAAGGTTCATGACTAGACGTCTCAGGGAGCCGGGCTGGACTTTATAAAGCCAGTCATTTTCACTAATATCGACGACAACCTCCACGTCTAGATCAGAGACCATTCTGTTGCTATCTGTGGGTGGCGGTGAAGACGAAGTCGGTGAAATGCCGTTGGGATTGTTGGTAAACGTGGTTGACCTCTGAATATGCGAATGTCCCAAACATACGCTATCCACAACATCCTCGGCTAATATAGCAAGATCTGTTGGCACGAGTGCATCCAACCGCGCTGGACTCTCGTCAGGAGTTTTTGGTTTCCTTGGGTCTTTCCTGTGCTTAGATCTCTTCCTCTGCCTCTCTAATGACAGGATTTTGCTAAAATCCAATACTTGATTCATCGTATCCAAGAGAGTTCGACCGCATGCATTCACCGTCTCGAGTAGAGACTCTTGGAACTTGTCCAGGTGGGTGCCTCCTAAAAACTCCGCGGCTGCTAGGACACCATGTAATGGGCTGCGCAGTTCGTGGGAAATGCTGCTTATGAAATCCCCTTTTTGGCGGTCTGCAATAACTGATTCAACGCGGCTGTATTCGGTCATCATGGATGAAGCAAAGCCAAACATTGAGCTCAGGTCGACAGCCCGACTAAAAACTCGTGTCGGCTGAGGGGTCCAAGAGAAACACCCTCCAAACCACTGCAGATTGGTGGCATTCCATAATGGAACAAACATGACCTGACACGCGTCTGGAAAGTAGTCATTCAATTTGCTGGCTTCTGAGACCCTGGACCTTTTATTCTGTTTTTGAGGTGGGCCAATGGATTGTTCTTCGTCCGAAGTGGACAAAGTCCCATCTCGATGGAATGACCAGAGTCTGCCTTTAGGGTAGCGTCGAAATAATTGACTTAGAAAAACATTGTCAAACTTTGCAGCTGGGTGTGATGTCTCAAAGTCTGTCTGATATGAAAATGGATCATCTCTGGTGGACAGTGCAAGGACAGGTGTAGAAGTCTTGGAAGTAGCGGAAGAGCAGTGGCTACCGGCAACGCTGTTCGATGAGTCTTCGTCGGTCTTCAGAAATACCACACCACCAGCACCGTCCAAGTCTAGGCTTTGTCGTAAAAGGTTCGCAGCTCGCTGAAAAAGCCAATCATTGCTGCTCGAGACTGTCGAACTATTGTCGCCTTGTCGTGAACTATGTGGTGATGATGCTAAGCTAGATAAAATGCCAGTGTCCAACTCCTCGGAAGGAACTGGGCTCAACACTTGTGAATCTCCATCTTGAAGGTGTGTATCGTCGTTCTCAGTCTGCGCTGAGCGAAGATTCAAAATGTTGTCTCGAGTGATTGTAGATCTGCTCGCCCTACGACAAGGCGATACTTGCGAGGAGGGACTATTATTTGAGCTGTGCGAACGAGAACTGGGGAGATCATCGGCGAAGCTGGAATTGCCGTCCACGAAAAGGCGAAGACCTTGAGATAACCGCGAGGCGCGGCGTCCTTCGATGGCCTGGCGGCTGACCTGTAAGTAGTCCATAACCATCGCTGCCGCTGCCCCTAGTGTATCCTTCTCAATATCGGACAACCCTTTACGTGGTTCAGGGTCCAATACGAACAAGCAGCCCAAATTGATGTTGTTATCGGTTGTTAGGGGCGTTCCGGCGTAAAAACGGGAGTGCGGCTCGCCTTCTACGAAAGGCAATCGTTTGAAGCGATCTTCCTTTCCCAGATCGTCGATTATCAAAAAGGAATATGTTTCATTTTGCTGTTCCTCCGGTTGAATTTCGACCGTTTCCTGTAGTAGGAATGAATCAGTATCGGGAGAATGACTAGCCCAAGGCAAGGTGCTAGGTTTGATCCTACCTGACAAATATTCCAAGCATCTGCCAATGTAGATGTTCCAGTAAGGAGTTCGTTCTCCTTCATAACGGGTAATTTCGAGCTTCCCACATTGGTTGTTCGTGTAGCTTCGGCTAATATGAACTGAGAGTCGCGATTCAATATTCTTAAGAAAGTCAGACCAATATCCTCGTTAGGGTAAATGACGAATGTACGTAATGAAGGCACGCTCTGCGTTTAGGCGTAGAGCTGCCAGCTGCGCAAAAGACGTCAAAGTCTTATTTGGACTGTAGAGTGGCCTGCTTCTGACAGAGGCTGTTTCAGAAACCTCGTCAGCCTGAACAGCATAATCCGTATCCCTTGACAGGTCGATTGTAGAGGCTGAATTGTCCGTGGGAGGCCAGACTGTATTTAGCGCCGCTGGGTTTGCTGGCTGGAAATACCGATAGACCTCGCGAGTTTGACGGTCTTCTTGATGGTGACATATGGTCTGCTCGGAGTAATCGTCCATGGCCGGCAGCATCTTTCTTTTGGCATGAACAGAAATTCCGGCGCTGGTGATAAAATGAGGGGTCAACGGGACGGCAACGAGGAGAAGATGTGTTCCAACACGTGATGGGGCTTGCTTAAATGACGTCATTTATTGACCTTCCATTGATGATGTCATTGCGTAGTCGCCCCAATGTTACGGACCCTGCAACGTGAGGGGCAGCAGCCAACTGGCGGGCCACCAAGAGCCAACCATTCCTAGGAGTTAGGCGTAACTCTTAGTCACGTGCGCGCACAGGCAACAAGGCAAATAAACGAGCGAAACACGACCTCCTCCAAGCCGTCACAAGGCATACCGCTCTAAGCCACTTGACGGCCAGCGCGACGCAGGGATCAGCTCCACTGACACGTCACCACCACTAGTAGATAGGCATAACGATCGAGGGATATATCGATCACGCCGAGTCTCATCTACCACTTTACCATTTACCACGTATACTATCAGGAAGGACTAGATATATAAGGACATTCTTTTGCGCACATGTATTTAGTTCTTCGCGAACAATCTTATCTCGTTACTTAGATACGTCTTTGCTTCCACACAGTTCAACCCTACAAGTAGGGGAGCTCTCCGGACTGACCTACTCGACGTTCTACCTGGCACATCCTTCGAAATTACTCTAAAGACCGGAGCCCGCAGTAAGGCTTAGCACAGAAACGGTACTGTTGCGAGTCGACTAAGGATTACCCGAGTGGTACCCAGAAGGCCGCTTCCTGTAACGGGTCAGGTCCCGACCTATTGTCCAGGCCAAGGCTGTACGATGTGATCTATCAGATCCCCCAGAGTATTCACTCACCGCTGGCCACCCCTATTCTTACACTTCCCTAAGCTTCAGAAACGGCATGTTGGCAACGCTCAATTGAATCAATTCGGCCGTAGCCCTTCACAATAGGAGCCATAAGTAGTAGACACTTACACTCTAGCCAGTACTACACTAGTATAGTAGATTACAGTAAAATGGCTCTACAGAAGGACTTAATATTTTATAATCTTTAACAGCAGATTATATCTATAAATTAAATTTATATGTACACTAGTTATATAAAGCTAATATAGTATAGCTATTTTAATCACAACTAGCTCCACTAGCCAGACAATATACATATAAAATCCCTAGCTAGCTGAACAATATAATGAGGGTAATCAATGCCAAGAACCGCCTCTCATATTGCCCGGCAATATCATGAGCTTATAGGTACTTATGCCAGAGCAGGAGGGTTGGGAGAAGAGTGAGCCAGGTTGATTGACAGTCCGATAGGGTTCAGGTGGCGAAGCATAAAGGTGTGACCAACATATTATTAAAGAGGAGCGCCACAGACGGCGCCAGGTCACCTATTGCGCGGATACCTCGCTGGCAGTGTATCGGCTAGCGAATACGAGTGAAGTGAGGACAATGGATGGCACCCATATGCATATATGCCCAAACCTTGGCCATATCGATGTTGTGGTATTCGCAGCGTGATCATCTCGAGCCGGCTTTCTTTTGCAGAGCCCACCCAGAAGAAAGGAAAGTGCAGTAGGCATTATGCGTCGTCGGCATGATATTCATGGATCCTCAATTTTCATGTGAAATCAGTACTACACACCTACGAGCGCCGGATTTATTACTTTCCACAATAGGACAGGGGGGTTTTGGGAAGTCATGAGTAAAGAAATAGATTTGATTGCTCATTGAAAGTTTGCAACTGTTCCATTGGCTCACCCAAGGTACAGTTCCAATGGTGGATCATGGTACATCTGGTAGTCTAAATCAATACTCTAATCTAATACAAAGCATTTGTCAAGAGCAACGACTGTCATTGTGCTCAATATTGAAGGGTAGGGCTCGGAGATCGATGGTCTCCAGAAGTGCGTTTCATCAGAAGCCAAAGCGTCACCGTCGCACAAGCTTGCCGGGATGTCGGTCACGATCCGGACAGCATCCCCTGCATTTCCTTGTCTTGCAAGAACAATGCTTGATGCCATATCCGCCATATAATATCTGACAAACTGCGAGTCCCATCCTCTGGCGATTAGATTTTCAGGCCTATTCAATACCGCGAGACGTTGGGTGTTTGCTAAACAATTCCGATAGCTATCGATCCTGACTTTTGAATAAGCAGTGAGGATATCACGGAGCCCTCGATGAATCGACCATGACAGGAATGACCATGGTAGGTTATCTAAATCTTCAAGAATAGCCGATTCTTGATCCCGGACATACAAGATGACATCAGGCATGCCATCTTCTTTATTCGGCAGTCGAAGGAGGACGGTGCATTCTGATAATTCTTGTTCCATATCTGTTGGCTTCATGAAAAGTAGTTTACTTCGTTCACGTTACCGCCGGTCATATTGTAAAGGTGTCTCCCACTGTGCACGCCACCGAATCCTTTTGGTGCGTATTCTAGTCGCCATATTCCGGACGATTTGCGTCCCGGGAAGGCACACTTGAAGCCATTTGGGGTTTTAGAATCAATCATACGGGCTAGCATCTGTAAGCACTTGTCGGCCCTTTGCGCAAAAACTGCCGGGTAAACGTCCTTTGAGGAAACATGTGAATCATGCGCATAGAAATAGACACAGGCACGGTCTCAAATAGGCAATCCTACTCGCCATTGCCCGTAATAAGAGCGTAAGCCGCTCGATGACCGGAAGCACTGCTATAGCGAAATACTTGACGAGCATTTGTTAAGCAGAGTAATGCCATAAGAGTTCCGCGTGAAATAATAGTGCAAATTGTTGACCTATGTTTCACGAGAGGATGGAGAGGAATATCGGCCCAGCTCTCACATAGGACGGGGTCAAAATTATCGCTGGTGATCATCAATAGATGTTCGCCTGGATAAACAACTGCTAGCAGAACAGACCCTGCTGCGTGCCGGTAGAGTCTGTCAGTGGCAAACGACGGAGATGGACCCTTTTTTCGCCACATATCCCGTTCGAGAGGTCGGCAATGATGACAGGCCCGACAGGAGGTGGCTTGATAATTTGATACCACGGAATATGGGGCTGTCGACGCCACCAGCTTCCTAGGTGCCGAAAGTCCAGAGAATGAACTGGGTCTGTTTGATGGATGATTGTGCTGAACTGAGTAGCAATGGAACCAAGACCCAGGATCGCAGCCGCCAAGGACAACTACGTAGCGACAGTTGACGAAGATACATCGTGACTTGGTTGAGATCCTCGGAATTTGCTGATTGCCAAAAGATGAATCGATGAGGCCAAAGAGTAGCAGCTGCGCTAGCGAAAGCTGATGGGAACTTGATGATTTGCTTGTTATTGTTGTGATATGTCGTATCGTACCGGAATCAATTCCTAGCCTCACGGAATTGCCAGCTTTGATTGGAAATCAAACTGGAGGTTGCATGTGTGTATAAACCCTCAAGTTTTCTGACCAGAAGAAAAATAAGCAATCTTCCTCTGAACTACAACAGTTCTGGATCTTTCAGGTAAGGACGGGACACAAACTTCTTATGTGTCGCATGTAACAGTTAGATGAGGGAATCAAAAAAAGTATATTTAGAAGCACCGGTGCGCTGGCTAGTGGACGATTTGTTATCTCAACGTGAAGGTGCGAGGGGTAGAAAAGCCTGCCAATTACCCCTGATTGTACAGGTTCTAAATAATCGGCATAGCGGCGGCTAAACTGAAAGAGTATGTGGTCAGCATTATATCCTTCCCCCCTTCCCAAACCCCTCTTTTGTCTCTTAACGATACGCCATGTTTCAATGTGCTGCAACAGCCATGATTAGGCATGAGAGACAGAAACGCCCCTAGGGTTTAGTTACAAGGCGCACGGTACGGCCTTACCGCTACCGACTGTCAGAGCATTGGATGAGAGCAAAGGGAGCCAAATGCAATTACGACGTTTCATTCCAAACCGGGGGCCAGTAGTCCCTCAGTTTATGATCACATATCTCTAATCTAGCTATTTAATTACGATAACATTGCCACATCGAATATCACAAACATTTATATTGAGGCATATACCATCTAATGCCGGTACCACGCTGACAGCAAAGACAAAAAATTTCACCTCCGAAGCGCCAGGGAACCTTGATACAGCTGTTGGTTGCACGTGTCACTACATCAGAGTCAAACCAAGATAAGTTTAACTCGGTTTCACGCTTTGTGGGGCCGGTCGGAAATTCCATTAAATCCCGGAGTATTGCTGAGTCATTCTGACGAATCACAAGCAAGCCGAAGTCGGGGTGAGAAGCTCTATTCTCACCGCCCACACGAAAAACTGGATCTGTTGTTGCGAGCTCATCCGCGACACGTGGAACATGCCTTCTTTCTGCATATGCTCTCCTTTCTTGCAGCTGTCAGAAACATGGGATATAGCGCGCCTGAAGCAGGTGGTCTGAAAGGTATGAAATCACAAAAACTGCACAGAAGCTTTGCGATATCAATTTATAACACTTAACCTCAGTTTGGACCACTCTCATAACAAATACCGCGTATTTGTCTGGTCTTTTGACTCTCGATTATTCGCTTAAGAAAGTTGGCTCAAAGTATCCGCTCGTTGTTCTATACACAGACTCATTTCCCGCGGATGGACACAAAGCTCTTGACTCAAGGGGCATAGCGAAACAACATGTACCATATCTTCTTCCAAAAGCCAACAAAGATTTCACCAACGACATGCGCTTCTATGACTGCTGGAGCAAGCTCACGCCATTCTCACTCGTTAAATATGATCGCGTTGTGCAACTTGATAGTGACATGGTGGTCCTTCAAAATATGGATGAATTAATGGACATCACTTTGGATGCAGCAGAAATGAAGGGAACCGGAGATCGAGTGTTTGCTGCTAGCCACGCGTGTGTCTGCAATCCGCTTCATAAACCTCATTATCCCAAAAACTGGTAAGCCTGAAGACGTTGTCCTAAGCAAAAAAAACTTCGTTTTATCCTCGAGTCGTTCGCCGAATTGCTAATTTAGCGCTTTGGAAAAGGGTTCCGGCGAATTGTGCCTATACTACACAGCATGATAGCCCAGATATCGCACAAACAGCCGGGCCTCCAGCTACCGCAGGCTTAGGGATACCAAATGGTGGCCTACAGGTGGTGAACCCATCTCAAGCAATTTATGACAAAATTATTGAGCAGCTTTCCTCCTCTGCGACATCGCAATATGATTTCGCTGACCAGTCTCTCCTTGGCGATGTTTTCCACGGACGATGGGTTGCGCTACCGTACGTATACAATGCGCTGAAAACGCTTCGATGGAAAGGAATTCATGACGCCATATGGCGCGACGAAAGTGTCAAAAATGTGCATTATATACTAAGCCCGAAGCCGTGGGATGAATGGACAGACGGGCAGAGACAAGACGGGCAGAGCCACGATCCATCCCATGCCTGGTGGATATCATTGAATGCGGAAAGGTTAGCAGAGGAGCAACAGAGAGGTCTCGCGGACGGTTTTTAAGCTCGTTTCACAAACTCCAAATATTCGCTGTACCCTGCCGTGTATAGCATGTGAATTGTTCATGATCAAAGCCACCGCAATTGTCAACTTAATAGCCTAATAATTGCCTCGTGTCTTTTCCGCGCTGCCAAAGAAAGGCCTCATTTCCGTAATTGTCAACTGAATATTTGTTCACACGTTCATGAGCAAGAAGCAGCTTGACGACTGCCTCATGTCCGTCATGTGCTGCGCGAGACAACGGCGCTCGTCCATCAGAATCCCTGGGGTCCGGATCAACTTCGGCTGTGGCGAGCAAGAGCTTGACGACTGCCACATGTCCGTTTTGTGCAGCCAAAGAAAGAGGTGTCCTCCCGAGATAGTTTTTGGAATTTGGGTTCACATGTCCAGAGGCAAGAAGCAGCTTTACCACTCCCTTGCGTCCGAGCTGTGCTGCCAACGATAGCAGTGTCCAACCCGAATTATCCATCGAGTCTGAATCAACACCCTTTGAGGCAAGCAATAGCCTAACTACTTCTTCGTGCCCATTCTGCGCTGAGCAACACAGTGGTGTTCGCCCCTTATAATTTTCAGGGTCTAGGATAACCCCATTTTTGGCCAGCAATAGTTTGATTACCGTCTCATGTCCGTACGCTGCCGCTAATGACATCGGCATCTGTCCTTGCGTGTCGTTTGAATTTGGATCGACTCCACCAGTCATAAGTAGCAGCTCCACAATCGCAGCATGGCCTTTCAGTGCCGCATATAACAACGGCGTCCGCTTAAACATTCCTTAGGGTCAGGTTTGACCCCAATTGAGTTGAGTAACAACTGGACAATCGCTTCATGTCCGTTTCTAGCGGTGACGATCAATGGTGTGTGGCGCACCAAGTCCTCACAATTTGGACTGACGCCTTTCGCTGCAAGCAGTACCCTGAATGTTTTCTCATGTCCATTGCCTGCCGCAAGTGCCAGCGGTGTTAGGTTTGTTTCGGATATAATTCCAACATCGGCACCTTCGTCCAGCAGCTTTTGAACCGCCACTGGATGCCCACTCTTTGCCGCCTAAATTAATGCCGAACTTCCGGGCCGAATGTTTCGAAGATAGAGATACGGGTTCAAAGCAGTATAGAGCCGAATAAGTGTTGAAACCAACGCATTGACATCACTTGTCGATTCCAGATTTTCTGCAATAAAATGCAACAATTCATTGGGCAATAGAATCAATGTCATTTTGGAAGTTTTAAATCGTTAGCTCGCAGTCGGCAGTGGATGTTTGAAACAATAATCATCGAGAATATATGGAGCTTTCAAAGCGAGACAATTTCGTCCTGTACAAAGATGAGGGGAAGACCGTGAGCAATGCCAAAGTGACAAGTGGGCCTCAATTGTCTATGGAAAGATAGCATGGCAGTCAAAATGGCCACAGATCACGAACCTACCGGCGATGGGCAAACAAGAAAACCAGATCAGGACTGTAGGGCCTTAGTTGCTTTTATGCGCAAACTTCTATTTTATTTGCATAAATCCTTGTTTCAACGTTGGATAAATATGCTGAGCTAGATTGCCAATAAAATGGCTCTTTTGGGCAGAATCTGACGATGAAATGCTTTTCATTGTTAGGGGCGAGGCAAAAAGGAAGGGCTAAACACTTGTTCGATAAAGGGCGGTGTCAAATTATGTACCACGTGACTATCCACATGGTCAACGTTCACTACGATCTTTGACGACGTCTAAGAGATCATTTTAGTACTATGAATCACCCTTCGATCATTTATTTTTGTGAGATATATAGACCAAAGTGGAGGCATTCTGCTCCAAAGAATGGCGCAAAAATGTATTAAGCAAGCCTTGCAGCAAGCATCCGCGCGTCGGTCTCCACTATCACGTGTCTCCATATATTGGTTGTTCCCTGGCCGAACAAATGCGTCGGGCATTTATATTAAACTTCGCTGGTCAGGGAGCAGATGAGGTTTAAAATGGAAGCTGAGTATACATCTTCAAAGGATCCACTTCCGAATGACGAGGATCATAAACGGAGACCATAAAACAATTGAGTTCCGTGCAAGTATCGAGAAATTTGAGCTTTAAAAGAAAGTGTGTTTTCCGGGGCCATTAGAATACCATCGAGGTTTTCTATTCAAAGGATTAAGCGGAACCAAAACTTAGAACTATCATGATCTGATGCTGCAAGGAGGGAGTGATTAACGAATCAGGGGGGCCAATTCTCCTTAATGATAAGTGCACTGAACTTCGTAGTTACTAAATAATAGGGTAAATATTAAAGTTATAACAATTGGGCTCTCTCCAGGCCCATTCGCAATTCCATACAAGGCCGAGGAACGGCCTCTCAATGTTTTGCGGAAAATACATTTCAGTATTAGGCTCATTTAGTCGGTGTAGTTGAATCCCAAGGAACTTTTCTTTTTGCCATATAAGTGATCCCTGCTCAAGTTATGTATATTTTAACTAAGGCTACAGGCAAACTGACACCTTTATAGAAATACATGATCTAACAGTGTCCATAGTAGGATGTTGTTAGTCATTGTTTGAAGAAACAAGAAACTCTGTTCGGAAGATTTCATGGACAAGAACTTTTGACGCGACAGTACGCAGCAATTTTGCCATACGGCCTCCAAGAAAGTTGTGAGAGAGTTGCAAGAAGATCGCACGATGGAGGGTGAGAATCACCCTGTTCCTCATCCTATCTATTGCGTGCTCCCCCTTCTCACCCCTAGTCGCGTGACGTTAAAGCGGCTCTTTCTCAATTCTCACGCAGGCGGCACCCACCCGACTACTAGCCGCGCTTTAGCCACACGTCGGCAGGTTAGTAGTATAGTGGGTGACCACATGCGAATCCCTGCAGTTGTAGGGGTTTTTTTCCTACTTTTCTACTTTTTGGCTGAACCATCTGTAGGTTGGTTAGATGAGAGAAATTATTTATGAGAAAAATGCTGAAAAAGATAGCATACGATACTTGGCAAACAGAATTTCAGCCATTCAGATAGCAATGTTTTTGATCTTCACCTTAGATGATCTTGATCTTGATCGGATTCTCAAAAACTTACAATTAGATTTCATATTCTTTCAATTGAAGCACGCGAATTAACATGAAAACAAAAAGTCAATATCATTTTAGTAGATAGATAAATGCCATCTCTATGTTTCATTCTGCACTAAGCAGGACTTACAGCTAGCTGGAGACAAGCGATTGCGCATCATACAAATACTTATTATCAGACTTGATGATATCCGCACCCTGGGAGATTCATTAGTTCGACACCAAAAATTTCAAATTCTATAGAAATCCACTGACCTTCTCGCCAATCATGTACATCGAGTTCTGGATTCGGCAATCGGGGATCACGGGGATGATAGAAGCATCCGCAATTCGCAAGTTGCGCACTCCATGCACGCGAAGCTTCGGGTCGACGACACATTGATGGATGTTCTTCGACAGGCGTGCGGTACCACAAGGGTCTATGGGATAGATCAACATAGAAGAGTAAACAAAATTCGGTTGCAACTTACGGAATCCAGTCTGGCTGCGATCCAAAAAGCCCGCTTCATCTCCTCGTCAGAATGAAGAGGCATTTTCCAGGGGTCCTCACCCAGCACGAGGTCCTTGAATCCTGCACCACTGGTGAGAACATTGTACGTCCAACGGACACCCTCGCGCATGGCTGGGATCTCTCATTGCCGAAGAAGTTGAGGTTGATGTTGGGCAGGACCTGAGCATTGGCGCTGTTGAGTGTCACTGTGCCCTCTGACAGTGGTCGGAGCAGATCCACGATGACGGTCATGTAGTTACCCTTCTCGGGGACGGATAGTGCCATTGGAACGCAGTGCTAAACATGCCGACAAAGTCAAGCTCGAAGTGAGGCTGACCTGCTGGTCCAAAGAGGTCCAACCTTCCATTCGCAGCTTTGGATTCTCGGTAAACTGGGTATTTCTCGAGGCGTTCGTCGATGCGAGGTAGTCCAACGAGCTCCAGCAGGCTAGACCTGATGAGGCCGGTCTTGCTGCGCTTGTAGGTGGCGATGGCGGAGTTGTTGAGAGTATCTGGGCAGAGGATGTGGTCATCCAGACAGAAGCCGTCCTTGATCTGCAGCACGAACGGGACAATGGGGTGGTCCAGCAGATGTTGACCAACATGGGGGGACTCCGCAATGGGCTTGATGCCATCCTTGGCCAGCTCTGTTGCTGGGCCAACACCGCTCAGCATCAGAAGCTTAGGAGCATCGAAGACACCTTGCGACAGTATCACCTCTCGGCTGGTGTAGACATTGATTTCGGTGTTATAAGCATTGCTAATGACGGTGACATCCGAGCAGACACTGGTGACAGGGTCGATGATCAAACGCTTCGACTGGATGCCGTATAGAATCGTCACGTTCGGCTTGTTCTTCAGGTAGAGGGAGCTACCCTGACGCTCGCCTTGGTAGATTGTGTCGACGCAGTGGGTAAGACCCTCCATCTCGCCGGAGAAGATTTCCTCAGTTAGCGGGTGGCCCTTGGAAACCCATGCTTAGGTGTGTGCATCGTGGAATGGCTGCATCTCTGGACCCAATTCTGCGTGCGATATTTGCATCGGACCCCTGGTACCAATCTTGCCATATTCCTTGGGATAAAGCTTCTCATCGTTGGATAGGTTGCGCACTTGCGGTAATCCACGCAGTTGTCCCAGGCCCTATCACACCCACCAAAAGCCTTCCAATCATAGAAAGTCGGCTTGGATCCAGGATCCAGGTGAAGTAGTTGACGCAGGAACTACCGCCAATGGTCGTTCCACGGGTGTTGGGCTTCTCAATGTGCTCGTAGTCGTCACGCTTGATCATGGTAGTCTTGTATGCCCAATCATATTTGCTTCCGCGAAGGTTGAACGTCTTGAAAGGAGTGGTGATCTCCTCGATTTGGCCGGGGTTGGAAATGCCGGCCTCAACGACGAGAATGCACATGTTGGGGTTCTTCGCCAGACGTCCCGCAACGGCATTGCTAGCTGTCCCACCGCCAACGATGATGAAGTCTTAATCTGAGCCACTGGATACAAAAGCCATTGTTGGTTTTGGGAGTTCTTGACAGAAATGAAGAATGAAGATGGAGCAAGTTGTAGTGACTGATGTGCTTGCTGGATGAGAGATGAGGAACCGAATTGAGTGTCATTGTCGCCGTTATATCTTCACGTCGCCACAAAAGTCGTTTTCTGTAAGAGCTGTCCTTTTGCCGTTATCCGAGAGCATTTAACTTTCGAGTAAAGACCGTTGCGGATACTGGCATCATCGTGATATATGTGCACGTAGGCGATTCCGCAGGATGTCCCCAGTGCAGGAGGCGGCTTACTGCTCGACTCCTCGTGAGGGGAACCGGGCAATTTCACTCACCGCTGGTCCTTCCAGACATTCTTCTCCGATGACCCATTGACATGCGGAGAACTACGGAGGCTCTCTCTACTCCTTTAGTGTATATCCTTGGAAACACCATGAACTACTCCACTCATTCATTTTATTGCCCTTCCATACTAAACAAACAAGCTTGAGGTGTTCCCTTGCATCTGACTGAGAATCAATCATGCGTTCAAATGCACATGGCGGTGGGATTCGAGTGCAGCGAATTATGGCTTGGAAAGCTATTTTGGGTATGCATCTTTTCTGCCTGTGATTATGCCAAGATTTTGCAAGTAGTTTCCAGGGCGTCCGGTCAAATGTCCCTGACACAAATTATAAGAAAGCCATCGAATGTATTGGATGCTCGAGGATTTCTGGTGGTAATCGGTTGAATCTGCAAAGGCTTGTCCACGCGGCACTATTTAGAGTTTAGTATCTAGTCGCCAATCTGCAAAGTGCTGATGCTAGAAATCTAATTTTTCCTTCGAAGAGAAAAGAGACTTCTTTTTCTTCCACGAGTGTTGCCTGCAAATAACTTCACTGTATAACTTATGAGTCGACGTTGCACAGACTGGAATGATGATGTTGGAGTTCGCTCGGTGGTAAATCGGCATCACTCCCGCTTCTATCGGGGACTCGCCACAGCCTGCGCATTGTAGATCTGTCACCCACGCCCGACTGTGGATATCAGCTCAGATTAGTTTTTGCCCGGTTGATACCTAAAATGCAGCATGGCTTGGGCGAGATCTGTTGTTCCCTCCACGAACAACGCGTCTTCAAGTCCTTCCCGTCAGAAATCGGAACTCCGCATCGGTCGACGCTACTATTGAGAAGTCGATTCTCCAATTTCCATTAAATATCTCATTTCGACGCTTCCCCTCATGCAGCTAACTAAACATTCAGCTTTGGCTGTGGAATACGTCACCGGAATTATTTTGGGCACATGTTCTTGTATTTAGTGCTAGGCTAGACAAGACCTCCGATCCTGATGTAGAAGAGTCGCTGCGTTCTCTATGGGCTTGATGAGATACCTCCTGGCGTTATATTTTCTTTTTAGGAATTCTTTCGTGTTAAGTTTAAAATTTGTTGCTACGATAATCACCAAAATTGCGAAAATCTAGCAGTATCCCTAGCACAAGTCTGTTATATGATATAGCATTACAGTATGAGTACGGACCGCCAAAAATATATAGGTTCAACCCAAGTGTTATTGATTAGGTTCTTTAGAGAACCTGTGAGTGGAGTCGTCTTGAATCAATCAAGTGACCTTCATACACCTAGCGAGCCAACGTGGTCAGCCAATGGATGGTCCGTAAAGGCCGAGACAGGGGCATAAGCTGAAGCGTTGAGGTATCAAGTGTCGCAACTGCAGAGCCTTGCTTCACGTCTATCCCAAGAGATGCCTTTGGACTATCAAGGAAGACGCTTGCTCGGAGCTGTTGTGTCACGGTAGACTGCCGTTTGTCCTTTTGATTGTCCTTCGTCTGTGTTTGCTGGGATGCCATTGGTCTATCTTCGGCGACAATGGTGTTCATCAACTGGGTCCGGCGTTTTTCGCGGTCCGCAACTGGCTTGCGAGACAATTTTGGGGGCAGATTCAACATGCGGGGGACCGGTGCTGGATAATACCCGAAACACGTCACATAGACTACACTGTAGTATTCATATCCTTGACACAAAGGATGCTTAGTACTATTTAGGTCATTGGTATGTGCACAATGAAGAGCGAGACCCATGACTATGTATCTACTCAGAATTGTTCCATTTACGCAAATACTTTCATGTTCATGGGCAAGACGAAACTCCGCTGACGAAACCGCAATTGCAGAGCCAGGCTATGGCAATTTTAACCTCGATACATGAAAACGAGAAACGAAACTAGCCGGCGATCAAAAGAATAGAAAAAAAGTCCAGAAACCATAATGGTAATTGTTTGCCCCAGTGGGATCGCTTGATTATGGCACTGTTAACTGGTCAAACGATCATACGCAGAGTTACACAGGAAGAATGGAAATAAACAGTAGGGAAATAGATAGCCACCTGAAAAAAAAAGTAGCTGAGAGAATCCAAAAGTAAAAAAAAAAAAAAAAACCTCCGCCCGTATGTGTGTCAGTGCCGGTTGATCAAAGAACCTACCAACCCCACCTAAACGCCAATAAGTTGCCTCCGGGCAGAGGCCCAAGCACAAGATGCATCAAAGAGTTGATAAAAAGACATCGTCAGAAGACCAGAATGTGAAAATGCCCAATAGAAGTGTCGTCAAAAACGCCCGAGAAAGAATCAAGATGTGGATGCGGGATTTAGTTGCCAGGTCCCGAAGGAGGCTGAGTGGTGGGCATTCCACCGGCCTGGGCACCACCCATCATAAAACCAGGAGGCAGCATGGGCATGCTTGCAAAGTTAAAGCCATACGAAGGAACAGCGGGAGCAACAGCGGGGTTGTTTGCACTAGACGTATCGTGATCAGGGCCACCATGGTGGCCTCCATAACCATCACGGTCCTGGCGACGGCCGCCGCCACCACCACCACCTCCTCCTCCTCCATTACCTCCGTTACCTCCGAAGCGATCAGACTGGGTACGAGAAGAAACAGGACCGCGCTTGCCACCGGTGTCAGTTGCGATGCGGCGAGAAATCGCCTTGGAAGAAACACCAGCACCGATTTCGATATCGGGCTCTTCAACAACCATACCGGGCTCGATCTGGCGACCGCCAGTACCACCGTACTCGGCATTCAACATCCATTTACGGTCTGCCTCGGTGAGACGTTCGATGGGAATGACACTGATACCGGTTTGATAATCGCTGCAGTCACGGGGACCAAAGCCAACACCCCAGCGCGTTCGCAGTTGCATGTCCCCCTGGCGGTAAGACTCCATGCCGTCGCGGGCGGAAATCGCGTCCTGGCGAGTGATCATCTTGATGAAAGCGTGACGCTTATCGATGTTGACAATGCAGGTCTGTACGATACCGAACCGGTTAAAGAGGGCACGCAGCTGCACCTCGGGGATAGTAACACCGCCAACGAAAAGGGTACGACTGAGGACCTTGATGTTTCCTTGGCCAATTGAGTAATCCCATTCGAGAAGCTTAGGTCCAGGAGGCGGGAGATTAGGGTCCTTGCGCTGGGGCGAAGGGGAACGACGTCTACGTCCAGCAGGGCTGCGCTGACGATACTCGTTGCGACGGCCACCACGGCCGTCACGAGGATCTCCTCGACGGCCGGGCGAATCAGCATGATACTCATCATACACAGGGCTGTTACGTCGGCGAGGGGGGATGCAGTACGACGACCCCAACCGGGGGAACGAGAACGACGGCGGTAACCTCCAGGGGAGCGATTGTAGTCACGAACTCTATCACGGTCGTCGCGACTCTGGGCGTCTCCGTGACCCCAGCCACCAGCGCCCTGGCCAGGCATGGGGGCCATACCGGGCATACCGGGGAATCCAGGCATTTGGGGCATGGCACCGCCAGTTCCACCAGGCATACCATTGGTCATGTTGATGATCGAAAGAGCAGTGCCCCACTGTTCCTGGGGAATACCCTGTGCAGCCAGCAACTGGATGAGCTGGATCTGCTGAGACCAATTTTCATTCGTCATAGGAGGAGTGGCACCTGTCTGAGGGAGCATCGCGGCCAGAGGGTTCTGAGCTGAAGAGAGCGGGTTGGGGGTTTGGCTCTGGCTTTGGGGCATCGCAGGGTTCTGACCAACGCCGCCGAGGGCAGCAAACGGGTTCATGGCAGCGGCAGCGCCGTAAGGATTGGCGGACGGATCGACGGCTGGCTGGGGCTGGGGAGCCGCAACAGTGGGGTTCAGGGCAGCGAGAGGATTGGTCGGAGCGGACGCCGCAGGAGCTGCAGGGGCAGCGGTGTTCTGCTTGGCCATGTCGGCCAGCGCCTTCAGGATACTCGAGGTATCGGTCGCGGGAGCACCTCCATTGGCAGGCTGCGACTGAGGCTGCGACGTAGTCGGACCACCCAGAGGATTGAAGCCGGGCGTGGGAGATCCCTCGGGTGTAGTAGACTCAACTAGAGGCAGAACAGGTTAGCAATGTACATACAAATCGACAGGGCATGGAAACGTGACCGGGTCCCTGTGGGCATCACTCACCTTGCGGCGTATTGATCTTGTCGCGGAACGAGGCGAGCATCGGGGCGGGGAAGGTGTATCCACGCTCCCAGATATCGATCAGCTTCTTGATCTTTTCCTATAGTTCAAAACCAGAGATACGTCAGCGATACGATTCCATAGAACAATATCACAAAGCACCGGGGCAGGCATCAATCGGAAGATCGACAATACGACATGGTCGTTACAATATAGTGGCCCCCAAACAATGCCGCCCCACGGGGGAAATGCTAGGTGGGTTCAATGGGTACCTAGTGCGGCGTACCTTTTGATCGTGAGGTGCGTTGTTGATGATATCGGTCATAAGCACAGGTAAGAGTTCAGTCACACGGTTGACTCCAGCGGCGAAGGTACCATCGGGCGCCGAATTGCCAGGAGGCTGGCCGGCCTTGCGTGCAGCTTCTACCCACTGACGGGTTACAGAGTCTACGACATAGAGCACGCCAAGCTTGTGCGTACCCGGTGCCTTCTTGAAATGCGTGTAGATCTTTTGAATGAGGACCGATTCGTTCTGCGAAGAAATTAGCTTGCTGTCACATCAAAAGAAGCACAAATGCAGAGGGGAGGGACCAGGGTCCGGGGAAACAACGTACCTGGACGTTCGCGGTGCAAAGCGTCGTGATACTGTGAATCTTGGAACCAGATACGCCTGGCGGCTTGAGGGCCAGCATCGACTGGAGATAGTTCTCCAGCTCCGCTACGGCCGAGGACATGATGGGCTCGATGATAGATGATCGATACCAAAGAAGACGGGGTGATGTTCCGCGGAAGTAGGGAGTTGCGGAAATTAAGAGAGCAGGTGCCGAGGCGAGAGGTGAAGTGAAGTGAAGTGAAGAAAGTGCCTCCCGGTCGAGTCCCGCAACACGACTACCCTAGAGACTTGCAACGGGTCGAATACTGCGAAATGCAACGAGAAGAAAATACTCCTGAGATTTATAGTCCGAGGAACCACACAATATCTTCTAGCGGACTGTGACTCTTCACTACAGCACGGGCGTATTCACTGTCGACCAGAGAACTGCCGCCTACAGCTGGAATACAGCCTAGCGATTTTTGAATAGATCCAGGAGTAGGAAGCTTGAGCTGAGCCGCGAGTACGAAAAGTACGAGGTACAACCTATGGCGCACTGCCGTGAGATCCAGAAACGAGTCAAGGGACGGATTTACAGAGTACAGACAATCCGTGCTGATGGCGAGATGGCGAGATGGCGTCGGGATGAGTTGGTTGGGTGGTGGATGAAAGTGAAAGGGGAAGTGAAAGGGCGCCTGCTTTGAGAAAGAGAATTCTGCCACCGCACGCCGACGCTAGTCTGCATTGGGGACATTTGGGTCATGTGCAAGTTGTGAGCCTTGGTGCCTCAGGCTGTAAACAGAGCGACCGAAGACTCCAGCTCCACACCCCGAGCCACCCACATCCAAGCTGGTTCCCCCGACTACGGGTCGCAACCTCTCAGGCCAAGTGGATATCCCGGCAAGATGGGGCCGGCAACAAATTCCGTTGGCGAGGCATGTTCCTTTAGCCTCCTGAACCCACGTTCCCACGTTCTGCCCCTTCCTGCCGCCCGTGGAGCTCCCAATCTCGGTGAACCGTTTCAGCAATCTGCCGGTTAACAACGGGGAAGAGCACGGCGATGGCGTCAGACCTGCGCGGAACAGTTTCTCGCCGAGTACAGCATAGTACAGTGTACATACCAGCAAATACCTCCTCCAAAGGCAGGGCGACAGGAACTGGATGATGTATAGACCGAGGCACTAGGACAAACTCTCCTCCGTGCGCGATGCCGAGGGCATCCACACTCGGGCATCCGGATGGCGGCACGGGAGATGGCGACCTGCCGACGTCACTGTCTTTTGCCAGCTGTACAATGGCCGAAAGCTTTGAAGTAGACTACTACAGTACTATACTATAGTTTATAGAGTGTTTTCTGGCAATTGTGACCCTAATCAGATCCAACGGGTCCATCGTCATCACATGAAGGACCCAGTGCCGCCTGGGCTAGCGATTTCCCGCTTTCGCGAAGGGTATACTCTGTACTTTACTGGGGACTGCGGAAGTGTTCGGACCAGACGTGATCTGCCGGCAGACCGAAGCCGTACTCGGCGTTACCGTTGGGAGGGTTAATTACGCAGATCAATTCCTACCCGCGTGCGGTAGGGGCCGTACAGTATTACCGGCTGTTACAGAGGGAAACTTACCAGAAAAATCCAGGAAGCTCCACCCGCGTCTTTCTTTTCTTTTCTCTTTTCCCCCCTTGTGTCCATACCTTCTCACCTTCTCCCCTCCCATCCATAATACCTTTCTTTGACACACAAGTCGTGATGGCTTCCCTTCGCATTGGTACCTCCGCCCTGCGGTCTTCGGTTGCGAAGCCCGTGCAAACCGCCGCTATGAACGGCGCGCGCTGCTACTCCTCCGCTAAGGCTAAGGTAACGTTACCACCCTCAGCTTGCGGGAGGTCAATTGCAATACTAACTAGTCCAACAGTCCCTGAAGGATACCTTCGCCGACGGCCTGCCCGCCGAGATCGAGAAGGTCAAGAAGCTCCGCAAGTACGTTTAACCGCGCCGCATTTCCCCTGCCTACCTTCTCTCTACCTCTCCAACTACCCATGAAACAACTGTCGCTGACGCAATCGCAGGGAGTACGGCAACAAGGTCATCGGTGAGGTTACCCTCGACCAGGCATACGGTGGTGCCCGTGGTATCAAGTCCCTTGTTTGGGAGGTGAGTCGCAATACAAAATTCATGTCGATTGCGCAAGGACCAAGCCACTGACAATTTTTTTTTCTTTTGTCTGTAGGGTTCCGTCCTTGACTCTGAGGAGGGTATCCGCTTTCGTGGACGTACCATTCCCGAGATCCAGAAGCTCCTCCCCAAGGCCCCCGGTGGCCAGGAGCCCCTTCCTGAGGGTCTCTTCTGGCTTCTGCTGACCGGCGAGATCCCCTCCGAGCAGCAGGTCCGTGACCTGTCTGCTGAGTGGGCCGCCCGCTCTGATGTCCCCAAGTTCATCGAGGAGCTCATTGACCGCTGCCCCAGCACCCTGCACCCGATGGCCCAGTTCTCCCTAGCTGTGACCGCTCTGGAGCACGAGTCCGCCTTCGCCAAGGCTTATGCCAAGGGTATCAACAAGAAGGACTACTGGAGCTACACCTTCGAGGACTCCATGGACCTGATCGCCAAGCTGCCCACCATCGCCGCGAAGATCTACCGCAACGTCTTCAAGGACGGCAAGGTCGCTCCCATCCAGAAGGACAAGGACTACTCCTTCAACCTGGCCAACCAGCTCGGCTTTGGCGGCAACAAGGACTTTGTTGAGCTGATGCGTCTGTACCTGACCATCCACTCCGACCACGAGGGTGGCAACGTCAGCGCCCACACCACCCACCTGGTCGGCAGTGCTCTGAGCTCCCCCATGCTCTCCCTCTCCGCCGGTCTCCAGGGTCTGGCCGGTCCCCTGCACGGTCTGGCCAACCAGGAAGTCCTGAACTGGCTTACCGAGATGAAGAAGGCCGTCGGCAACGACCTGAGTGACAAGTCCATCAAGGACTACCTGTGGTCCACCCTGAACGCCGGCCGTGTCGTCCCCGGTTACGGTCACGCCGTCCTCCGCAAGACTGACCCCCGTTACGTCTCTCAGCGCGAGTTCGCCCTCCGCATGCTGCCCGACGACCCCATGTTCAACCTGGTCAGCCAGGTCTACAAGATCGCCCCTGGTGTTCTGACCGAGCACGGCAAGACCAAGAACCCCTTCCCCAACGTCGACGCCCACTCCGGTGTCCTCCTCCAGTACTACGGTCTGACCGAGGCCAACTACTACACCGTCCTGTTCGGTGTTTCCCGTGCTCTGGGTGTCCTGCCCCAGCTGATCATCGACCGTGCTCTCGGCATGCCCATTGAGCGCCCCAAGTCCTTCAGCACCGAGGCCTACGCCAAGCTGGTTGGTGCTAAGCTCTAAATGCACACCACCTGTTCGGATGGGTTAATTGGAAATTCCGGGGGGTTTTGGAGCTTCTGAGCTAAACTTGTATTATTTCTCTTTTGTGATTCCCGTTCATGTTGTATGATATATAGGACTTGACCGGTTCGAGCGGGCCTTGTAACAGCACTTCCTCCCAACATGATTTGGTCACGCAGTAATTCTTTTTTCCTGTGCCTTTTCGTATGCAAGTTGAATGATTTCGAGACATGTCGATGTCTATACAGTAGTGTAAACTATGACTTGTAAACGACTAGGAAAAAATAAAAATAAAATAGCCTATGCAGGATGCCGCGTATGGCGTAGATAGGAACGGTCTGACGGCTCCCTGGTAGAATCGAGCACACGTGAATTGTTGGGAGGCTCAACCGTCTTCCCACCGACCCACCCGATTCCTAAATCGATCGGTGTTTATTATGATGGGAGACAATCCGGGCACGGAGTATACAGCGACGCTCTCCAGTCCGCACCGCCATGGAAGATTGCGAGGACTGAATGATCAGAATCGGAGCGTAGGACAGGATGGTTCCGACTTGCGGAATTTGGACGAACCTCGGGAATTGAAATTTGCTGCCTCAGGCCAACATGCCCGTGGTATGGGAGGTACTCAGTACCCGCCGGCATGGGTGGGCACCGGAGCGCTCCAGGTATTAGGTACTCTCCACCCCAGCTGACTCCTCATTTCTCCCTATAAGACAATTGGCCTCCCCTGATCACCTCTGCTCATTCACACTCCTCCGAGTTTTCACTCCTCTACTCTTCTCTCTCCGATCCTTAAAAAGGCGACGAAGCCCCCTACATCCCTTGGTCAGGGCCCCTTTCAGCGCATCCCCCCGTTCTAGAGATGTCTACCACCCCGGAAAAGGCCGCCGCGCCTCAGCTCGAGAAGAAGCCCGTCAAGTTCAGCAATCTGCTGCTGGGTGCTGGATTGAACATGTTCGAGGTCACCTCGTTGGGACAGGTATGTCATTTCCGTTCTCCATGGAGCAGCGACAGCAGCGTGCTCGTCGTTGCCAAACCGGCCGTGATCCTGTAATCATTGCTGACATTTCATCCCTCTTCTCCCTAGCCGTTGGAAGTGATCAAGACTACCATGGCCGCCAATCGGGGCGATAGCTTCGCCGGTGCTATGGGTCGGATTTGGGGCCGTGGCGGGATCCTCGGTTGTATGTGATGATACCCTCGCTCTCTTCCTCCCTGCCTCAATTTCCTCCGATGTACGCAACCTACCTAGTGTGGGGGTGGGACATGGGGAAACCCCCAATCATCACGCATGTGAACCAAAGCAGATCACTTACCCGAATACCCGAACTCGCAGATTACCAAGGACTCATTCCGTGGGCCTGGATTGAGGCATCCACCAAGGGTGCGGTTCTCCTGTTCGTCGCCTCCGAGGCCGAATACCAGGCTCGCCGCCTGGGTGCCAACGACTTCGTCAGTGGTATCAGCGGTGGTATGGCCGGTGGTGTCGCCCAGGCCTACGCCACCATGGGCTTCTGCACCTGCATGAAGACTGTCGAGATCACCAAACACAAGATGGCCGCTCAGGGTGTGAAGCCCCCTGGTACCTTCGAGACCTTCATGGACATCTACCGCAAGGAGGGTATCCGCGGTATCAACCGTGGTGTCAATGCCGTCGCCATTCGTCAGACTACCAACTGGGGCTCCCGCTTCGGTCTCTCCCGTCTGGCTGAGACTGCCATCCGTAAGACCACCGGCAAGGAGGACGGTCAGAAGCTCTCCGCCTTTGAGAAGATCTTGGCTTCCAGTCTCGGCGGTGGTCTCTCTGCCTGGAACCAGCCCATTGAGGTCATCCGTGTCGAGATGCAGAGCAAGACTGAGGACCCTAACCGCCCTAAGAACCTGACTGTCGGCAAGACTTTCAAGTATATCTACGACAACAATGGTATCCGCGGTCTCTACCGTGGTGTTGCCCCCCGTATCGGTCTCGGTGTCTGGCAGACCGTCTGCATGGTGGCTCTTGGTGACATGTACGTTTCTTCCCCTTTCCTTAATTCCCCCTGACATCATTGTTTGCGATGATGTCTTCTTTCATGTGAAACCTCGGGCTAAACAATTCCGTTTCACCAAATAGGGCCAAGGAAGCTGTTGAGAAGCTGACTGGCGAGACTGTCACCGCGAAGCACTAGAGAAGGTTTGAGATACCCTTCTACTATGCAGCGCTTGTCGAAAACGAAACAAAGAAGCGAAGGAGTGCTGTCGTTCCCCATATTCAACCCATAATTTCTTCTGAACCTGTTAGGAACAGACTCGATACCCATTGAATACATTCGCAATCGTGATACTTGACAGGAAGCCTCGTTATGTGTCTGAACAATTCATCTTTCTCTTTTCTCTACTTTCTATTCAATCTTCTAATTTGTAGTTCATGATCTTTGCCATATTTCAATTCTCAGGTCCAGTTATAGACAAAAGCAAGGAGAATCGTTTAAATTCCTACCCACAGTTGAAATGATTCTACTGCGTAGAAGAACTAAGACCAAAGGAACTTTTAGAAAATAAATGGGCACCCGCTTGCTGTGGGGAATGCCAGGTTGTGATTGTTTCTACAATAGGCAGGCCACTCCCCGTCTCGTTCCTAGCGTCAACCACATTCATCCGATCTCGGATGCGTAAATCGGCACCTTTCAACATCTTGGCGACTGTCGTCACTACGCTGTATCATTTAATTTACCTACATACAGTATCGGCAAATTCTTTTCATACTTTGCTTTCTCCATTAATCCGTTTGCACGGGCTGGGGCTGAGAACTGTATTGTAATTGGGATCATCCCGGCGGGCGTGCGGATATACCCCGGTGTCCGTGTTGACCTCGGTAATACCCTGGGAGATTATGGCTCAATGGCAGAAGTGGTGACAGGATGAATATTTCTTCTTCTTCCTTCATCTCTGTGTTTTATCATTTCCTGGGTTGCTTGATCTGGGCGCTAAACACGAGACCAATCGAGTTCAATGGCGAAACGGGTCCGCCCCAGCAATGTTGCAGGCACGACGCTGCATGATGAGAGTACTTATGAGGATATGTGATGGGCTGTCTTTGACTAGTCGAAGGCAGCCTACAATAATAAATTCGTGGGAATTGCAGAGATACTATCTTCAGTATATGTATCCGACAGCCAACAATGCTTTACGTACTTTCTAAAGCGACGAGGCGCAAGAGCAACTGCTCCTCTCCATTCTCGATGCTGGCTTTATTCACAACAAAATCAGGTCCTTCACAACACCTCCGGGTTTATCGAGGCTATTTAATGAACCTAATATTGGTCCGAGCAAGTACATGGGGACTTCCAACTTGTTTCTCGGCAACAAAAGTTGCGTATGAAATGACATCAATAGATAAAATAGCCCGATGTTCATAGTATACTGAGGATATCGTGCCGTGTTCCCACTGACCCAGAGCTTGTGACGGTGACTGATTTGCGGGTTCGCTAAGTAACTAACAAGTAATTTCCATGCGAAGTATGAATTCAAACATCTTGTCAGATGTCTTGGACGACCGCAACTCTATCAAGGCCATATATGCAAACGTTTCTTGACAGGTACATAGGATCATAGGCTTTACGGCTGGCCAAGGAGTAATGATTGATAGTTAGCAACATTTCAATTGCATCGTGGTTCCTGGGGCTGCTGAATCGCATATCAACCCGAAATTACGCCTATATCTTCTTCAAGGTGGTGGACTCACAACACAATGTTTAAAATATACATTGTAGGCTAGCCAGGGTGGTGCTCTGAAAATAGCCACGATTTTGGATTTGGATTTTCGTATTTAAGTTGTGAAACCAATCATCACGAATGTACATATGGGATGACGTGAACCTACAATGCGCACGCTTGGCGACAAATGACCAATCAAAATGAACTAACTGCCTTACTCGAAAATATTCTTCTCTTAAGGGTATTATCGTCAGACACGTCAGCCTTTATATAACTTAAGAATCACGGGTCTGTATATCGACCGGGAGGACTTTAAGGAGACACGAGAAGCATGTCAATGATGGCATAGCATAATCAATGGTATCATGTAAACTTTCAGTTATGATTCATTGTATTTTGTTTCAATAGTTATCCATCATGGATGGCTTGACTGCATTTGTCGAGCCTTACATATGCCCGCTGCCCGAGTGTACCATGATTCAAGATGAAGATTGAGTAGAGTTCAAGTACAAGCTTTGTTATAACGGTTCTTTTACTTGCCTCATTTGCTAGTGACTCTAAGTCTTATTTAGATAACCTGTATGTAGATTATATCATCAGGAACAGCTGTCGTGTCCCTGTAAGTTTAGCCATAACACCCCAGGACTGGTTCTTTTCGTTGGGTATGCGTTCAATGGACTTGTACTATTTTCTGAGCAGATTGTTTTACACTCACTTTATGCTGGAGGTTGACATTTCTCCAAGACTGCTTCAAATAAGGTACAATTGTATTACAGTCAACTACACTCTTGAAAACAAAGGAGATATTGGCAATGAATCTAGGCACAAGTGATCACATCAAATCCAAACGAGGAAACACGCTTTTCCCTCGATCTAGGGTTGTATGGTATACAAGGAGTTTAAACGGTCAGGCCAAGGTCCTCAGCGTACGGAAGCTGGAAAACATCTCCGACACTGACGAGGGTAGCCTTGCCGGAAAGGAAGGACGTGGCGGCCTGGAAACACTAGATTAGAATTGGGTTTGACTAAAGCGCAAAAGAAAGAACATCACATACCTCCTTGACCTGCTGCTCAGAAACTTTCTCGATCGCCTGGGCGACCTCGGCGATCTGGTAGGGCTTGTTGCCGTGGATGAGGCCGGAGCCGGTGGCCTCAAGGCCAGTGTCCAAGGTCTGGAGGGACTCGAGGGCACGGAACTTGGCAAGGGCAATGGCCTTCTTGATGTCCTCGGAAGCGACCTCGCCGCCGGCGGCCTTCTTGAGAGCATCGACGACGTTCTTGCTGGCGGCGCCAACCTGGTCGGCCTGACCGGAAAGGGTAACGGTGAAGAGACCGGCGTCGGAGTAGGCGTGGTTCTTGGTCGAGATGTTGAGCTGGGAGAAGCCCTGGGTGGCCTGCGATAGGAGGGAGAAGCCAGGAGTCCACTTGATGGTGGACTCGCCGCCCAGAAGGGCAGCAAGAACGGAAGCCTCAGCCTTGAAGCCAGCAGTGCCAAAAGCGCTGGAGCCAGGGAAGGCAATCACAACGGCGTTGCCGGCCTTAGAGGGGATGCGCTGCTCTCCACCGAAGTACTGGGTGGCTCCGGTGGCCTGAACCTTGTATTGGCTGGAGGTGGCACCAGGAGAGAGGTCCTTGAAAAACTGACCAGCCCACTTGTTGACATCGGCAGAGTTGGGGCCGGTGGCAACGAGAGCGACGTTGGACTTGGCGTAGGCATCCTGGGCGAACTGAGCCAGGGCATCAGCAGAGACGTACTTCTCGTATGGGGTGCTTTGGGAGGGGGTCTGGGAAGAGCCCAGTCCGCGGTGGAAGGCAATTCCGTGGGCGGCGTCGACGGCAATGTTCTCGGGGTTGGAGAAAACAGCCTGCTGCTTGTACTGAAGGAGCTGCTTGACGACCTCGTTCAACTCGTGGTCTAATATTCAAGGAATTCGTATTAGTAAAGCCTGCGATCAATTGCATCCTACATTGTCTCTCTGATGTCCTCATCGGACATGGCGGATATCCACTCACCGGCAAACTTAGTCTGGCTTGCAACCTCGGCGAGCAGCTCTGTGAAGTAGGGCAGATCACCCGAGAGGAACTTGGCGCGAAGGACGACGTTTTCGCGCGAGTGTGTCGCCGAGATCTCACCGCCCAGCAGCTCGACCTCACGAGTGATCCGCAGGGCGGAGCGCTTGAGTGTGGACTGTAGATTACTGTATTAGCATGGGCAGTCGAGCAGTGATGGTCAATGGATGACCGCGGAGGAAACCGACCTTGAAGGCGAACTTCTCGAGAGCATCAGAGAAACCAGGGAACGGCTGGTAGCGGGAACCGGCCTTGGCCACCAGGGCCAGGGTGCCAGTAGCACCGCCGACCTCGCGGTTGGCGACCTTCACGCCGGCAGCCTCGGAGACGTCGTACTGGAAGGTCGGGTTGGCAGCAGAGGCCATGGCCCGACGGCCGGCGGAGAGCGCACGCGGCGCATTTCGGCTGAGGGAGGACCGCGACAGCATTGTGTGCCGGGGTCAATGGGAAAAGAAGGAGAGAAATCAAGAACCCACTTGGGTTTGGAAGGGTGGGGGAGGCAATTGAGGGGAGGGGGATGAGGGAGAGAGGAAGTCGACGGGGTCACGAAAAGCTTCAAGATGCCGGGGCGGGTTGATTACTCGGACGATGATTGGCCGGAGTGACGAATCGGACGGAACCGGAGATACTTTCTTGTTGGGGAGCTTCAATACCAGCAGTATTCCCGCAACAGATAATTGTTTTAGGGATATTTTGTAGCTAATGTTCATAAGGAGCCATTTATCTCAGTAGTAATTATAATCAAGAGAATATCCTCACTACAGGAATGGTTGACTCTTTTGAGCCCATTTGTCCTAAGTGTTGGCTTTTCCATGTATGAAATTATACTTCATCTGTTCAGACCAAAGCCAATAATAAGGATGTTTTATTATGGGGATTCATTACACTGAATTTCACTTTTCCTTCTGAATTTACTCTGGCAGTTTCGTGCAGGGCCGAATGTGCAGCAAAACCCGCGTATCGTCCTGCAGCATTTGAGTGAATCAATCAGATCAGCTGATCTTCACGTGACTGATAAGGAAAAAAGTGCCCGCCATCCCGGCTCCAACAGCTTTGCGCCGAGTTGACACGCTCCATGAATCTCTTACGGTGACCTTTGAACGCCCGTTGTGCGCACTGGAGGCTGGCAAGTCTTCCTAACACGCCATCACGATGTCTCAGGTATGTCACATTACCCCTTCGTCGCTCCTCAGATCAGCACTGACGCATAGGTGCACAGTACGCCGCGGAGCTCTGTACGCTCCTAGTCGAGGACAATTTTGGAGAACTCTGTGCCGTATGTTGTTCCTACCATGTTCCCATCTGTGGTTACTTCAATGTGTTCTATAGAACCTTCGGTCGCCCTCCCCCCGCTTGATTCAGTGCTAACAGACTATAGCGCATCTTCTCAACCTTGCAACGGCATGAGCGACTCTCCTTCCCTCGTCTCAAATTCCACTCCGGTCTCACCGATCGTCAACTTCGTCATGGTCTCGTTGCTATGATTCAACAACACCTCATTTACCACTTCACTTCTTTCCAAGATGGAATTACCTACTACGAAGCAAATCCTCAAGCGGCGTACTACCTCGTTCGCTCCGGCAAGATTCTCCAATTAGTTGAAGATCGGCTCGGAGAGTATGCTGCCCGAGTGATGGAGTTTATTATTTACCTTGGACACACCTCAGTGAGGCAGCTTGAGAGTCTTCCTGAACTGAAGACCATTGAGGGGGAGGAACCCGAATTACCAAATGGAGTCACACACGAGGGTGATGATGAAAATCTGGAGGGGGCGGAAGAAGAAGGAAGAGAAGTCCGGCAGACGAATGGTGCTGAGAACGAAGATCATTATCTGCAGACCAATGGCGATCATATCCCCGAAGCAAAGCCGGCTCCTTTCCATGCTACACTCAAAGCTCTTGCTTCTCATGGATACATCCTTGAGGTCAAAGAGGCCCATTTTCAGAGCCCCGACGATAGGCTACTCGATGCTAAACGAGAAGTCTCTGGAAAATCGGATATCAAAACTTTGAAGGGGAAGAAGCAGGAGGAGTCGATTAACGTCGAAGCACAAAAGCTTGTCAGCAAACGAACCAAGTCTGATCTTTCAGAGAAGTACTTGGTCAATGGTCTTCCCCGGGGGGCAAAAAGGAAATTTGGTAGCGCGCATGGTCCGAAGGATGACTCGCATGCAAGCCACAATAGGATTATCGGCGACCATGCCGATGATAAGGACAACGAGTGGTCTGACGACGAGGATGGCTTTGACAACATCCCTATGGATGTGAGTACATGATTCCGGAACAGACTCTGAATTGATACCAAATAGAAACTAACATTCCTTGCAGGCTAGGTTGATAGTTCGAGTGAACTACAGCAAACTAGACGTGGCTCTCCGGAATGTCCGATTCCTCCAGCTTGCCGAACAGGATGCGCCACCAGCAACCGCGGAGGTCTACGAAACCTTCCTCCGACGTACTGAATACACCACAACCCACTGTCGCGATAGCGTCGAGATCCCTCGTGAGGGGGAGGAAAACCCGCTTTACTCCAATCCTGTTGAAGTCATGAAAATTGTGCAAGATTTGGACCCCGAGCTAGATCTCTCGGGAGCTTTCGGTCCAGTAAGCCCGCCAAAATCTGTCAACCATCGCGGGAAACGTCCACTCGAGAACGGTATCAACGGCGACGCCGATGACGAATCCGATGACGAAGGTGATTCAAATTCACAATTCAAGCGTATGAATCAGGTCAATCAGCATTTGAGCCTGCTCTCACAAGCTCCTCACAAGCTCATCACCCCGTCCAGAAACGATGGTGTGAAATGGGTTGTTGATTTTAGGTCTCTGGCTTGCAAGCTTCGTCACCTGGAACTAGAAAGAATGATCGAGTCCCGCTACGGTGATGTTGCGCTTCGTGTTGTTCGTGTTCTCCATGCAAAGGGCAAGCTGGACGAAAAAAGACTTGGGGAGATAAGTTTATTGCCAATCAAGGACTTGCGTCAGACACTCGCTTCGATGCAAAAGGGCGGCTTTGTGGACTTGCAAGAAGTTCCCAAAGACTCGCAGCGGCAACCATCCAAGACTATCTATCTCTGGTACTATGATCCCGATCGTGTTTGCAGCAGTATCCTGGAAGATACGTACAGGGCCATGTCGAGAACCTTGCAGCGGATCAAGTTTGAGCGCGAAAAGAGGAAGGATTTCCTTGAGAAGACCGAGCGCAGTGATGTTAAGGGCAATGAGGAGCACTATCTGACGGAGCAAGAGCTGGCCCTCCTGCAGCGGTGGAAGGATATCGAGGCCCTTTTGCTTACAGAGGTCTCTCGCCTCGATGACATGGTGGCCGTTTTTCGAGATTACTGAGTGGCTTGCCAAGAGGTAGAAATCGGAGCGTTTATTTGCATTTGTACATTCATGAGCGACGAATACATTGAAGAGCTAGGTTGTTCCGTCAATTTCATTCCTAGGTAGTAGGGATCATTTCAAGAAAGAGAAAGGCAAGGCTATTGCTAGTTAGTACATGTGTGCCTCTATGTGTACCACGAATGATACTACATCTCCTACCGAGGTAAAAAGTCTTCAAATGGAAGTATGTATGTACTGTTGAATTCTATGTCTGGAATCGAAAATAATGATAAACCACCGATGTAGCAAAACGCACGATCACCGCCCGAGAAGGAATCACAGCCACAACACCGTCGCTGCCCGATAACGTAAGCCCAAGACGAAGGAAACAGATCATTACACGTTTGCGGGGGAAAAAAAAAGGTAAAAAAAAGTGAACTGTCGTTCATATCCGGCCGGCCGGCCATCCAAAGAAACATAAAGGCAAGAGTAAACCACCCAAATCCGCGATAAAGAATTTTTGATGTACAATTTGGTCTTCATGAAGAACCACTGCCGTCTGCAGCCGTACTAGCGCCATTGATCGTCTTTTCAGTCGCCGTAGTTTCAACATCTTTGTCCTTGTCGGCCTGTGGTTTGTCATCGAGACTGACTTGAGCAAGCTTGGCCTCGGCGGCGGCCAATTTCGTAGCGGTTTGGTCAAGTGTCATTTTCAAAGCTTTAATGTAGTCAATCGCCATTTCCACAGCGCTGGCCTTGCTAATGGCCTGGTTGGCCGGCTTCTCCTTCTCCTTGTCGTTGGGCTTGACCACCCCCAGCGAGGCCTCCTTGGCCTGTCGGGCCTGGATGAACTCCGGTGGAATCAAGGTCTCGATCTCCTTGAGAGCACTGTTGATGCGATTTCGGCGACCCTGCTCCGCCAGTTTATGGTTGGTCCGCTTGGAGCTCAAGTTCTCTGCGAGAGTCTCGGGGTATGAGACACCAGACGGCAGTGTCCCATCAAGGATGTGCTGGTAGTTCGACTTGGAGGCTAGATAGAGTGCATCTTGGGTCAAATCTGTTGAGAAAGCATGGTTAATACAGAATGGTCTGGAGTGGATACGGGGGGAATCTAGGGACTCACTCTCACCACCGCGCATGAGCGGCTGGATACTAGGACTGATCTTTGGCCGCAATTGGGGACTCGCTTGAGTCGAACTCATACTGGGGCGTTTCCGATTTGAGATGCTCGACACAGATGCTCGGGATGTGTCTGATCGCTTCGGTACGGGACCGCTGGGCGATGGCATCGCCACTGTACGCGGGCTGAGAGCGATTGATCCTGGGGTTCTCTCAGCCGCTGAGCGTGGCTCCAGAGATGGGGTCACGTTCGCGGAGATCACTGGGCTGGCCGCACTTGTACGAATGCTTGTCTCAATCCGATTGACCTTGGGCCGCGACTGGACGGCCGGGGCTGCCGCCTCTGGAAGCAGGATGTCTTCCATGATCTCGTCATGAGCTTCCAATTGCGCTCCGCCGAATTGGCCGGACGTATCATGCGCATGCTGCGAACGCTGGATGCGCATCAAGGTTGCAGGGGTAGCGGCCGTTCCGGGGGACTGGGCCGGCTGCGGGGCGATCGCAGGCGACTTGCGTGGCGCCGGCAGCGCTGGCGGGGGCATCAAGGGTTCGGACAGAGGCTCGGGGAAACCGAATCCTGGCCCGAGCCTTCATTGCTGCTTGCCTGGAGCGAGCGGACGTCGTTGTTTTGCGGCCGGTTCAACTCCTGGGTCAGACTGTTGTAGAACTCCTCCGAGTTCGGCGTAGGTTTTCCTCTGGCGCGTTGTGTTTGCGTCTGTGCCCGGATCGAAGGCGACTGTTTCACTTTACTCCGCCCAGGCAGCCGCGAAGTAGCAGCGGTTGACCCTCGCCGGCGATTGGTCTTGCGAATGATGCTGGGGGATGGCGGCGCAGAGGTCCCTGGGAGCGGATTGACCTCTGCGCTGGTCGGTACGAAGCCCACGTCCGAGACCTGGCGCGCATGGTATGCGTAGGCATTGTTCGACGGGTGGGCATTTTGCGCCTCCAGAGCAGGCGAGGTGAGCGGAGTGAAATATTCTCCCGGGATGGTGTATTCGGGCAGACGGAATTGATTTTCCAGTGGAGTCATGGCGGGAGAGACGAGTGGAGTATACAATGCCTGGACCGCCAAGTGTTAGTTGAGCCTCTTCATAACATATCTGGAGAATCCGCAACGGATTCCCCTCGCAAAAGTTGCGAGATGGATCCTACCTGTTCCTCGTTAATGCGCGAGTAGCGGTCATACATGTCCGCGTTGTCGTCGACCCGGTGGGAGTACCGGGCCGCATCGCCGTGTAACTCCATGCTGTTCGGTGTCGGTGGAATCATCGGTTGGCGCTGCATGTAGGGTTGATTCGCCGCGGGCTGGGAGGAATCCTGGGCACAGAATCCCGGGGTCATGCTGGGGGTGGAGTAGGGCATCGGGTCTGGATGCGCAGGCCGGTGCGCATGGCCGGGCTGTTGCGGGTGCGAGGTGACGGGAGCATGGCCGTTGAAGTCCATGGCGAGGCCCTCCATGGAGGAGAATTGGCGGGGGTCGGCGGGCATGTCGGCGGAGGTGGTGGGCGCAACCATCTGCTGGCCCTGCAGCTGGGCATGGGCTGGTCCGTGCCCCTCGAGATCGGAGAAGTGCATGTTGAATTCGAGGAAGTTGGAAAACTCGTCCTCGCCCGGCGCCGGGATAAGCGTTGTCTCGTGCATCTGTTCCGGCCACGACATGGCCGGCTGTTGCTCCATCGTGTGGGTGGCGACTCTTCCTCGTGTCTGGACGTTTTGGCAGTGCAATCGATGAGAGGGGGCCGGGGACTATCAGAATGGCGAGTCGAGGGACGGTCAGAGAGCGCAAAGTGAAGCGTCACCGAAAAATAAAAGAGAGAGCCACGGCGATGTCAGGGGGAGAGGAACAGAACCAGAGGACGAACCGAGAACCAGTGGGCACTCGGGCGGAGACGGTTGATGCTCCCGGTTGCTTTTTCCCTGCGCTAGAGGCGCTTGCGATGGACCGTCGCAGCGATTGGAGGTGGTATATGAGGGTTCCGTGTGAGTCGGTCGTTTTTTACTTCTCTCTTCGAGATGCTAGATGCGATCTCTAGGATCCGGATCGAGACCTCGACAATCCCCAGAGTCCACCTCGCCGTGCAGTCCACAGTGGAGAGGTGCGATCTCTGCCCCCTCTAAACCGCACCCACCCCGTCGGCCCACTCCCGCTTCTGCAAGCTTCTCTCCGCCTGCCGGACTTGCTGTATATACACGACGACGCCCTAGGTAGCTCCATCCACCTCTGCAGCCCGCCATGCTGCTCCTCGCCCTCGCCTTGCTCTGCAATCTTGCAGCGGCAGCCCTGACCATCACTATCCCCCCGTCCACTCACCTCCCCAATCCGCATGTCCTCCCAGCGACCACCCATGCCACCCTCACCACCTTGCCCTCCACGAACCAGGACCATATCCTGACAGCCTCGCTCACCCGCTCATCGACCCTGGTATTCCGCAATATCCCCTCCGGTAACCCCGAATCCTACCTCCTCGACATTCGCTCGAGCGAGTTCATGTTTGCCCCCTACCGCGTCGACGTCGCGGCCGATGGCTCCATCCTGGGGATCTGGGAGACATTCCGCGGTAACCCATGGGACAATCGGGGTGCCGAGAAATACGTCGTCGACGTGGCGGGGAAGAGGTCGGCGGATGTCGTCGTAGAGGCAAAGGTGCTGGGTCGGAAAGGCTTCTATGAGGAACGCGCCAAATGTGAGTCTCGCCGAATTCGATCTACTCGTGCAGGGGAACTCAGTTGCTCTTCCTCTCCCGTCGTGGTAGTCGCAGAGAATGATCTATTGTACTGACGAATTGACCCTGCCAGTCTCACCGCTCAGCCTTGTCAAGAATCCTATGATTCTTCTTGCAATTGTCGCCCTCGTCTTCACGCTGGGCATGCCCAAGCTCATGGAAAACAGTATGTGCCCCATGCCGAATAGCCCGAGTCGAGAATCCGGATTAGATGTACTAATCGCACACTGCGCAGTGGACCCGGAAATGCGCGCTGAGTTCGAGCAGCAGCAGCGCTCCTCGCCGCTTGGAGGTGCTACCAGCAACGCCATGGCCGGGGGTGGTTTCGATCTAGCCGGATGGATGGCCGGCACTGCTCCTGGCCCCATGGCCAATGCGGAGGGTGCGCGAGGCGGTGCCACAGGCCGAGATGCAGGTGGTGCCGCTCGACGACGTGGTTAGGGGGCAGGAGACTACATACTGGTTAAGCCATACATCCTCGACAAATATCGGTCAAGTACACCAATGTAGTGATGCGAATTGGGAATTGCTCATAACACTTAGAAAGCATAAAATACATCAGTGCGGGAGCCCGCCGTGGAAAGCAAACGAAGACAGAAAGATGTAAAACTCGGAAGAAAAAAAAAATTTCCCTCTGTCCTTCAAAGCCCATTCCATGTTCACGCCAAACAAAATCACCAGAAGAAAACCAAAGGAGCTACCGAGGGTAGCAAAAAAGGGGGAAAGTAAACTCATACAGCATGCAAAGACCGGGTCCAAGAATGGCACGGCAGTGCTTCAAGAACGATCCTAAAAATCGCCGCCACCAAAGTCACCACCTCCATCATCAAACCCACCGCCACCGTCATCATAGTCATGATGGTCCTCGATGGCATCTTCAAGCAACATTCCACCGACTAGACCACCACCTAAACCCAGAGCTGCTGCGCCAGCCATACCCATACCACCGCCAGACTTCCGTGGCGGTTGTTGTTGGCCATAGTAGCCGCCCTGCGGTGGGTATCCCTGGTAGCCTCCGTATCCTCCACCTGGCGGGTATCCGTATCCATACTGAGGACCACCCGGATGCGGCGGATACTGGCCATAATATCCTCTTGGTGGAGGCGGCGGTGGCGGCTGCTGCGGATAAGATGCGTACTGGGGCTGCGATGGCCGCGAGCTACTCCCAGAGCTCTTGCCCATCAACTTGGAAAGGAAGCCACCCTTGCTGCGCTTCTGCTCGGGCATGGGAGATTGTGAGGAGGAACTCGCCGCGTAGACAGGAACGGACGATTGCGGTCTCGATGGGTCGCTGTAGTAGTCTGCTGCTGCACCAGGCGTCCCGGCGCCTCTGTTGTTGCCGGCGCGTGCGTCTTCTTCGGCTTGTAGTTTGGCTGCGAGGCGGGCGTCTTCGTCGATGCTGGGACTCGCCGTACCCTTGGACGCATTAGCTGGATTGTATGGGTTATTGGAGGCCATGTTCTTCTTGTCCCCTGAGCTAACTACGACGGCTGGGTCGCCGGAGACATGGTCGTAGCTCGGGAGTTCCCCCAGTGGAGGAGGGCCAGCAGGCGGTGCATTGGATGCCTCTGGGCTTTCCCACTGGGACTTTCCGGTGGCAAGGTTCACGTAAAACCTAGGCTGTTAGCTCTTGTCTGACGCTCTCTGCCGGAACGGAGGGAGCGTCGAGGTACATACCAAGACTGATATCGATCATCGTACTGCGCTTTCCAGCCATCCGGCACCGAAGGCGGGGGAGGCCCGGGAGGCGGGGCAAAGGACGACGACATACGGAGTACGTGTCTCAGACGGAATATGTGTTTTGAAGGTTGGAGGGGATTTGAAATGGAGTTCACGGAGATCGAGAAGTGAGCGGACTGTCGGTGTTGAAAGATGGAAGGGGTGAGCCGAAACGGATCTATATACGCGAGTCCTCCCCTCGCCATCCGGTAACCGGTTGAAGCATCACAACTGGCTGCGCCACTGTGGCTGTGCGACGTCATCGCAATCATCCTGACTTCCAGGACATTCGACATTCTCCATATGCACACGTCGCTGCTTATTGTCTTTTAAACGGCATTCTGTCCTGGTTTAGTGACCATTTTAAACTATTTTCACGGAATCAGTGTGTAGCATGGGCATGATTTGCACATATATATACTTCATCATGCGGCGCTATCGTTTACGCCCCAAAGCAACGCCAAACGACCATGAATCAGCAATACCAAAGTAAGCACTTTAGTAGCTGACCAAGGAAAAAAGAGATAAACGAATCAACGAAAAATCACCCTAGGGTATATACACTGTGGGTCATTTACCTGGGTTTGCTGAAAACACACTCCGATTATATCTCAGGTCAAATTTGGCACTAGTCAACATGAATGGTCTGGTAGTAGATGTTGTAGCATTCTCCATTAGCTGTCATCCACTAGAATCCACACCCGCGTGATATATCGGCCACGATAGCCTCCGGTAGTAGTGCAGCAGAGAAGTAATACAAAGTATGACCAGATAATCCGTGGGCCACTGATGCACAGCAATCAAACAACATTACAGCATACGGACAACCAAATGGAAGAAGTGAGTATATTGTCTGACTAGGATCGCGGGTTGTGTCTACCTTATCGCCACCAGAGGCAGGAAGCAAACTCAATTGGGCTTCAGCTTTCCATTACATATAGAGTAAAATAAGACAAGGAAAATATTGATATATGTACAGTTCTGTCAAAAAGGCTTCACCAATCCAAATGGAGACCTGTTCAGACATCCCCATCCCCGTTGCAGTGAAATATCGACCAAACACAGAGCACGACTCCGTCTTGATTTGATAGTTGCTCACCCAATCAACAAAGTAGGCAACTAAACCCCCAGAGTAGAGGTCTATCTTCATAGACATGTCCCTTGAGACAAAATTTGGCTATGTGTAAGATGATGCCGAAATTCGGCACCTATTTACGGATAGTGCCTCTCTTGCGCATCGAGACCATCATATCGTACAACACATCCTTGAAGGCGAAAAGGAATGCAGCTGTGATGGCACTCTGGGTTACCTTGGGGCCAATGCCTAAGAGGAAACGTGTCAGTGGACAGAAAATTTCCGGCGTATCACTTCGGTGAGGAAACGTACCCTTGTATAGCCCAGTATAGCCCTCTTCCTGAATAATTCTCTTAAGGCTACCGTTCAAGCTTTCCTTGGGACCGTCCTTGGTAGCCACGTGCATGCGACTCTTGACTGTGATATATGGGTATGTGATACTGGTGGCCAGGATCTTACCCAGGGCACCCAGGTAGAAGGCATCCTTCGGTGTCATTCGTCGACGGCGCTCGACAATATTCTTCAACTGCTCGAAGATAGTATATTGAAGAATGGGATTGATCACCAGGACGAGAGCCGGCAGAACACCAGCAAACAGGGCCTTGGGGCCCTCTTGGCGCAGCAACTCCATCAGTGTGCTAATGGTTGATGCCTTGGCCTTCTTTGGGCCCCCAGGAAGGGACTGTTCCTCTGCATCCGACTTGCGTGCGGTCATACGGGTATTGATGACCCAAATGGGGTTGGTGATCAGCACAGTCGCACTGCCAGCAATGGCTCCTGCGATCATGGACTCGACGGTAGTGAGCTTCTTGGAGGCCCTTCCAGATGAAGTGGCTGCTTTTTCAAAAGTGGACCGTGTCCACTCATACCAGTAGTAGTATACAAAGTTGGTGACGCTGATTCCAAAAAGGGCGGACTCGAGGCCGGAGTACAGACCAGAGATACCCTCTCGCTGGACAATGCGGCGGACCGCATCGAGAGTGGTGGAGTGTGCGCGCTTAGATTCAACCTGGGCTCTCGTCGACAAAGTGATTAGGGGGTATCTGCCGGGGGAAGAGTGGATCTCAGCATGCTTGACCCATGGGGAAAATAAAATGCGCGCGGGGTAGCGTACGTTAAAACCATCGACAAGATTCCACCTCCGGCACCCGCCAGAGCGTGCGCGATGTTGTCACTCTGTTGGACGGCCGTGGAGGGCGTGGGCTTCTGATCACGTTGTTGGGACATGGTGGGTGGTTATGCGAAGGAGTGGGGGAGGAGCTGCTAAGTCGGAGTGAGGAGGGGTCGACGGCGTCGATATAGGTGAGAATTCGAGGGTGGTAAAGGAGCAGATGAGTTTAAAGGGGAGAAAAGGCTCCTAGATGGTCAGGAGAAAGGGCGCGATAATGATTCGGCTTGGAGAGAGAGGGAGGTTCATGACGTTTTGCCGAATACTGTGCCTCGGCTCCTGGCCCAACCCCACAGGAAGCATTCCGAAACGCCGTGCCAGTACACTTTGGGTAAATTTTCCCACTCCCACATGGGGAATTAGCGTGTATTTGAGGAGCGAGGCTCCCCACTGATCGTGCAGTCAGTTGATGTTTAGACACTAGGAGGGCGTTGACAGTAAAAAAACAACATCCGGTGCTCCGAGTCTTGCATGTGATCGATCCCTGGCGCTTCTAGCCTTGTGGCCTTGCTTTGCAGGGCACACTACTAGAATCGAAAGGGGGTTGTACTTCAATAGACAATGGAGATCTCGAATTTCGCAGAAGTCAAACTACAGTACAAACCCCTGGAGCGTGACTATAAATCCGAGGAGAGCACTAAAAAGCCGGAGGATCCGGGGTTAAGGACACCCCGAAAAGGAAAACACGAAGTTGTCGCCATTAATCCATTCAGAAGAGATGAATCCAACCTACAAGACAAAGAAAAAGAGAATAAAAAAGGGGGTAAAGGGAGGAAGAACACAGAGAATGAAGGGCCAAGACAGATGCGGCCAGGAAAGAGAAACACCGGCGGTAATCACGAAGCAAATCGCAGAACGACAGAACACAGGGCCGTCTAAAGCACAGGAAGAGAGAAGAAAGAAAGAGCTCTCCGGCGGCACTCGCGAAACGAAAGACAAGCCTCGTCGAGTCCTCGGTCGTCTGTAGCCGACTGTCGAATGGTATGACAAGCCCGGCTGCCGATAGATACCACGCCGCTTAGAAAACCCTCATCCATGATGTAACATTGCGCCAAATGGAAGCACCGCACTGCACAAGGTCGTTTCGTCTAGCAGCAACCGCCCGCGGATCCGGACTGGACGCCCTGGCCTTGGCCAACTTGCACAGTCGGCTTGTTGTTGACGGTAGCGGTTCCCATGCGCTCCTTAATCTGTCGCGCCATTGTCAAGAAAGCCTGCTCAACGTTGGACGCGTTCTTGGCGGAAGTCTCGAGGAAGGGGATTCCGAGGCTGTCGGCAAACTCCTGTACAAAGGCAAAATGAGGATGTCAATGAATCATCCAGCCGGAACGACGTCCCCTCTATCTAGCTGCGATATAGATCCGGGAGGAGCCTAAATCGAAAGGGAAAGGAAGGGTTACGTACCTTGGCTACAGTGTACTCCACAACCTTCTTGTCCTCCATATCACTCTTGTTGCCAACGAGCAGCTTGTTAACACCCTCGGTAGCGTACCGGTCAATCTCCTGAAGCCACTGCTTGACGTTGTTGAAGGAGTCCATGTCAGTCACATCGTAGACCACGCAGATGCCGTGAGCACCGCGGTAGTAGGAAGATGTGATGGTGCGGAAACGTTCCTGACCAGCAGTATCCCACTGAAATGCGCCAGTTAGCCAAGTAAACATCAACCGTGCGGGCTCGAAATAGGTTCACATACAATCTGAAGTTTCACAGTCTTGCCATCGAGCTCGATCGTTCGGATTTTCTGCGACATGCGCGATTAGCTTCACGTTCCCGTCACGGCCCCGCGGAGTTCGAGGGTCAAACGCACGAAGTCGACACCGATAGTCGAGATATAGCTTTCGGTATAGGTATCGTCGGCGAAACGAAGCAACAAGCAAGACTTTCCAACACCGGAGTCTCCGATGAGGAGGAGCTTGAAGAGGTAATCGTATCTATTTCAGTTAGGTAAGACGGATCGGCGCTTTGGGGGAGTTGAGATCGTGATTTGGGGGGGGAGCTAGCGAAACGAAGACACTCTGTAAAGCGATAACACGTCAGTCAAGTCGTTCACAAAGAGAGCCTAGCCGATGCCAGATGGCGGTTCTGGGTGGCGGACCCGGCTACGGGCACGGAGAGGGAGGTTTCAAAATAGACGGCGATGGGGGCACTCACCACTCAGGGTTCATGGTGATTTGGTGGATGGAGAATCGAGCAACTTATTCAAAGCACCAGATCAGGTTGAATATAGCCAAAGACAGGCAAGAGATGGAAGACGGGGGTTGGTGGAGGGGACTGAATGATGAAGGCCTGAAATGATAGGAGGTGCAGGAGGCCAGACGCACCTGATGCGCAGCTTTGTTTCAGCGGCCACCGCCTTGTGCCGCGTTGCGTTGCTTCTTTAGATTGTTTGACTTGTCAGTCTCCGAGGGCTTGAGACTACTGAGGGGAACTGTGGAAGTGAACTGATTTCATTCTGACAGCGAACGGTTACTCCGAAGTCTCTTAAACAACACAACAACCTCCAACAGATCGCTCTCTACCAAGTTGTTCTCCACTACCGGATCCCATGCACATCCTAAGCCTCGTGGGAGCCTCATTTGCTCGTGGCAGGTGATCTACAGTTGGCGCGAGCCTGTACGGTCGTGCCGCAATTTTCCTTCGTCACTGAGCGACCGGCACATACCCCATCGAGTTCACGCGTAGCCATGGGCTCGCAGCCATTCCAGAGTCACGGGCTGGTCGCGTTCCTTATAAGAGGCGTTGGTCCGGATGTTATCCGCCACGATGACGAGAGCCCGCTCATACGCTCCCGTGTTCTTGTTCTTGAAGAAGCTGGCGATGTCATCGCCGATCTGGTGATCAGCAAATTTGGATAGGCCCATGCGAACAAATCGCTCGAAGACAACATTGTTGGACGACAATCGTGCTTCAACCGATGCCCAGTTCGTCTTGATGTACTCCCAAAGGTGATGGCGCATCTTAGAGTTGGCAGCCAAAGAGACGGCACCGCTGTGGATATCTTGGATAGCCACTTTGTCGGAAAAGACAAAGTCTAGGTAATCTTGCACCAGTGCCGGGTCTTTCGTGCGTCCCATGGCGGCCAGAGAGATCTCCTTACCGTCTACGGAATCCGTGCGGAGGTACTCCTCCTTCACAGCTTCATACTCCTTGCGGCCACCCTCTGAGACGTTGAGGCTAAAAATGGCCGAGCGAAGGTTGGTGTGCACGGCGGATTTGTCCTGACCCGTAGCCCAGAGGTCGAAACGGCGCTTTGCCTCAGCAACGATGCTGAATTGAAAACAAGATCTGTTAGCAGCGATTACCAAAGGGAGGGAAAGATAAAGGTAGGATTACCTATCATGACCGCTATTACCAGCCATGGCGATGAGAAGCTTGCGTAGTTGGATGATCAGATAATCCTCGTTGGATTTGAATTCCCAGCCAATCTGCTCAGCAGCCGGACCGGCCAACTCTCGAGTGAACTTCTTCAAGCCGTCAGCAACTTGATCGTTCTGGGAGAAGATAGACCGAAGGTTCGCCAGCGTGGAAGACAGCTGGGACCAAACACTATGAAACAAGATGTCAGTGATGGCTCATACAAAGCAAAGAATATAGCGGCGTTGAGTTTACTCACAGGTAGTTTTGCTCTCCCTTGAAGCCTTCTAGCAAGGCCAACAGGGCTGGCGTAGTACCTTCGCCAGAGACCGCAAGAGCAGCAGCATCACCGAGTAGGCCTATCTTATCCTCGGTGCTCAGAAGCCCGAGAGACTGGCCCAGTTGGGCGAGGCGTGCAGGCGGGTAATTGGTGCGGTAGAACCCTGACAGGTCCTTGTTGATTTTGTAGAAGCCATCATCTCCAACACCTCCAATGGTATCGGATTTCTCCGTGAGAGCACGAGTATCCACATTGGCCAGTTTATTCCCGGATTTGATACCAAGAGGAATCCACCAGGTGGTTTCGTCTTCCTCGGGCTTCGCATCGCCAGTAGACAAGAATCGGCTTTGACGCACGCTGATTTGTCCAGGCTCCTCTGCTATGGTAACGACAGGGAATCCAATCTTACGAATCCAAGGATCCTAAAGTAGGCAAGTTAGCAATCAAATTGCATAGAGTCGGTCTGGTAGGCAACGAACCATGAAGCCATGCACATCCTGTCCAGAAGCCTTGCTCAGGGCGGACCACAAGTCATTCGTGGTCGCATTTCCTGCCAATTGCAAATGGGAAAGTCAGCCAAGGGTGGTCAAGTTGAGGTTCAGGCGCATGCTTCGTCACCTACCGTATGCGTGCGACTTGAGATAATCGGCGACTCCACGCAGGAACGTCTCCCGGCCGAGATGGACGCTCAGCATGCGGATCACCGAGCTACCTTTCAGGTAGCTGATATGATCAAAGATCTGGTCCACTTCAAGAGCGTTCCGAACGGGCACCTCGATGGGATGGGATGCTCGTAAGGAGTCGAGGTGAAATGCTTGTTGCACGCCTTCAGCCTGTGGTATAATGTCAATGGGGATGATCTCAGGGACAATAGGATATACCTCGGGCACTGCGTACGACAAACTGAGACCAAATGTTCCATTCTGTTCATGTTAGAAAAGTACCACGGTAGCTGTTCATAAGGAGAATGGGCTCACCTGGATAGAAATGGTCAACGGCAAGCCAGCCAACCCATGTAGCAAAACCTTCATTGAGCCAAAGCTCATTCCACCAATCCATCGTGACAAGATTGCCGAACCATTGGTGGGCCAACTCTATCGAGGGTACATTAGAACAGTTCTGGTGTCAGCCTCGATTTCAACCGGGGAAGACTCATACCATGTGCAACCACGTAGGCAATGCGGTTCTTGTAACGATTGTCCGATTTTCCTTCATCGAAAAGGACCGCGGTTGTCCGGTATGTCACAAGACCCCAGTTCTCCATTGCTCCCATGGCCTGATAGTTGAGTACAATTAACAACCCGGCTATATAGTCCTTGGGGGGATCAAAGAACTACTGCGACTTACAAATTCATGCACAGCCAAAAGGTCCGCTTTAGGTAAAGGATACTCAATTTCAAAAATTTCCGAGAAATAGTCGACTGTTCGGTGGGCACATTCCAAGGCAAAGCGAGCCTGGTCCTTGAGACCGCGGGTTGTGTAAACCCGAACTGGGATACTCTTGCCCTGATACTTACGCTCAGTCATGGCCTCGACATATTCAAAGTCGCCCACTGCCCAGGCGAGAAGCTGTATATTTGCCGAGTATTAGTGGAAAGGTCAACCCACGTCACTTGGTTCTACACTTACGTAGGTACTCATCACGGGGGTCTTTTGGAAGGTGACAAACTTCAGACCGGTATGGCTACCATCCCTCTCCGACTGGATGGGCATGTTGCTGAGAGCGGTCTGGCCCTTGGGGACTTCAATCTCAAAATCGAAAGTAGCCTTCAGATTCGGCTCGTCAAAGCAAGGGAATGCCCTCCGCGCGTCACACGACTCAAATTGAGTGCTAAGCATATAGTTGAAGTCATCTTCTTTGGGCGTGTCCGCGGATGGCTGTCCCACAGACTTATACTTGGAACGATAGAAACCTGCCATCACGTTGTTCATGGTTCCAGTGAAGTTGATGACAAGCACAACATCCGATGGAGCAACCTCCTGAGGAAACTTCAGGGCAACACGCTCAGATGTCTTATCATATGTGATATCGCTTGACTTTGCCAATTGAGATCCTGGAATTAAGCAAGAGATGATTATTAGCTTTCTGGTCGGATCGTCTCTGGGTATACTTCGCACGATCGCCTTATTTCCGAATATTTGACATACCATCCTTGCTCAAGACTTCAGCGCCTTGGACCTCGATATCCTTGGAGTTGAGTACAATCTCTTTGGTGGCCCGTGTCACCTTCAGATCAATCTTCACAATACCCTTGTACCCCCAGGAGCCGCCGAGTTGCAGGTCGAAGAGCGAAACGTGATAGTTGACCGGCTTGGCCCTGGATTAGCATCAGTACAAGATCTATGGCCGTAACTATATGAAGAAAATTGCAGCCCTCCGAATCCTCAAGCTTCAAGTAGATCAACCGAGGTTGGCGTCGATGGACCCGAAATCACCTATCTGGTAGATGACCAGTTCAATTACTTGGCAAAAGGATCTCGATCTCGATAGATGACTCGGGTCTATCTCCACTATATCGGCATGCAGAGAAGATCTTTATCGATGATAGATTCCTCAACTAAACCCTCGAGGAAAAGAAAGGCGCAAGTTGTTCTTCGGTGTGCCTCCAGCACTTACACATCGGGCAGCGTATCTCGATCGGCGGACGCCATCATGCGAGCTTCAGCGGAGCAGAATCGAGCGGGAGTAAATCCAAGATGGAGACTGGACGCAGGCAGTGGGAGTTTGGGACGGGAATGCAGGCGAAGAGCGCGCGACGGAAACGAGGAGGAGAAGGAGGGGGAGGGGCGGACAGCGACTCGGTGACGGACCTCGAGTGCAGCGCGTCTCGACGCCGCAATGGATCTTCTCCCCCACATCGCGGCATTAGCAACACCACCGGCTACCGTCGGGACCGAAATCGCGTGTCTGGAAGAATTGACGCACTCGCGTGATTGGGATCGAGCCAGGTGCTTTCAGGGAGCGAGCGATTCTAAAGGTTGCTTCAACGAACGGAGCCCCGTCGGAGCTTGGACCCTCTTCGCCGCTAGAAGTCCGCAAGCCCCCATCGCTTTGAGACCGCAAAGCCACCGCAACTCCACACTTCCGATCCGGCATCATGCCAGCCATGGCCGACTCCGATGAGGATTACGTGGGAGATGTGACCGAGGACGAAGATGACTACCAAGTCTCCCGCAGTGACCGGACGCGATCCGGAAAAAGGAAGCAGCGCGGCGGTGCGGAGTGGGAGCTCTCCAGGACTTGGGAGACTTTGGTCGAGGGCGCAGATGGCACTATCAGTTCGACCGTCGATGGGCTATTGGAGGCAGGAAAGCGAAAGAGGTAAGGCTACCCTCCCCTTGTTGCGTACAACCCTCAGATCACTGACCTTATTCTCGACACAGGTTATTGAAAGACACAACTCCTTTGCAGCGCGGCATCATACGACACCTCATCTTGATCTTGGATCTCTCTCAGTCAATGTCCGAGAAGGATCTACGTCCAACGCGATATCTCTTGACTCTACGATATGCACAGGAGTTTGTGCGAGAATTCTTTGAGCAGAACCCCATCTCCCAGCTCGGCGTTCTGGGTCTTCGAGACGGCTTAGCATTTCGAGTCAGCGACATGAGCGGTAACCCAACAGAACACTTTACAGCCATACAATCGCTTAGGACCCAGGACCCTAAAGGTCTTCCAAGCTTACAGAATGGTCTTGAGATGGCCCGAGGTGCTCTCTTGTACGGTCTTACTCTGCCCTTCCCTTCCTTTTGTTCCATATCCCTGGAACTAAAGCCATTTTCTGAGCGAAACTGACCCTTGTCACAAAGCCATACACCAAGCCACGGCACCAGAGAGGTCCTGGTCATTTTCGGCTCCCTGCTTTCGTCAGACCCTGGGGACATCCACCAGACCATCGATACCTTGATCAGCGACAAAGTGCGTGTCCGAATCGTCGGTCTGGCTGCGCAGGTGGCTATCTGCCGCGAACTCTGCAAGCGAACCAACGGAGGCGATGAAACGGCTTATGGCGTTGCCCTCAATGAGCAGCATTTTCGGGAGTTAATGATGGATGTGACTACGCCCCCGGCCACCTATTCAAAAAAACAATCGGCAAGCTCATTGCTGAAGATGGGATTCCCTTCTCGGACCGTGGAAGCGAACCCATCGCTCTGCGCCTGTCATTCCAAACCATCTCGAGGCGGATACCTGTGCTCACGCTGCGGCTGCAAAGTCTGCAGTCTGCCTGCTGAATGCCCTTCTTGCGGATTAACCCTCATTCTTTCTACACATCTAGCGCGTTCCTATCACCACTTGTTCCCCCTGATCAATTGGGCTGAAGTTCCCTGGCGTCGAGCCTGTCAGGGCTCTGCATGTTTCGCTTGCGGGCTCGCTTTCCCTGCGGTACCTCCTGAAGATCAATGGCTGGCAGTCGAGAACCATACCAAGGGAATGAGTGTGAGCAGTCGATATGAATGCACGGCCTGTCTGAACCATTTTTGCATTGACTGCGACCTATTCGTCCACGAGGTTGTCCACAATTGCCCTGGATGTCAAAGTAAAAGCACGCGAGCTCCCCAAAGTGAGCTGGTTAAATCTGACGGGATGGACACGACAGCATGAACCAGGAAACTCTAGATGGTTGCATTGCTTTTTCCTCTCCTTTCTTTATCTTTTTTTTTTTTTTTTTTTTTTTGTCGTCGCCTAAGGCTTCCAAAAGACAAAATGGAGTTCCTATATATGTATATATCATTCAATTCAGCATGGCGAAGGGCACTTTCATAGATCTGCGGGATCGAATTCTTATCGCTCGAATACGGATGGCCATGACGCCCAAAGCCCCATTTCCAGTTTCAAGAGGGCTTGGTGCCTGAACTATGGAGATTTGTACCTCAATCTGACCGCCTAACAGTCATCAAAAACAGTTGCCCAAGCAGTCTTCTGACGGCCAGCTGAACAGCCACTTACATGATATCACCACTCCAAATCTTGTGCGGTCGATGGAGCTTCAGTAAATGCTATTGATATTGAACGCTCTCGTATTTCTAGTCATTTTTCGTCTGTCGGTGATGGATCAGCCATCAATTGAAATCAGGGCATCAACATGGGCGAAAAAAGGAAAAAGTGAGCTCTGGCCGTGATAACCTTCCGTAACCTGAACCTCGGTTCCCGTCTTGACTCGACTGGGGGCTCGCACCATGCCCCACGTATCCTCCACACCCTACCAACTACCCTCAACATCCACCACCTCAGCGCCATGGCACAAACCACGCCAGGGAGCTCTTTTGAGCGATTACAATCATATCCGTTTCATGAAGATGCAGAATTCGCAAATGGCCTTGCCATCATCTTGGGTCATCCCGAAACCCCTGCCAGCGAAGCGGAGATGAACCGCGAAGATGACCTCGTCCTGCAAGCCAAATGCTTCTTTTTCTCCCGGTATTCTACCAGACCCCGCGACGTCTACATTTGTAACTCCACTGACTTGAAGGTCCAGAAAGGAGAATCTTACACCACCGATTTCCTTTGCCGCCTATAAATCGTGGTTAGCTTCGCATACGACTAGCGAGCTCGAGCGAAGCACCGCGCCAGGTCTGTCGCAAAACTCGTCCGAACCCTCTGCAGATGCGAACATCTCCATCGCCGAATCACCTAAGCCCTCGGAACCGTTGTATCCATCTTCCTTTGCGCACATCGTGGACCTCATCACAACGGGACAACCGATCCCAGGAATTCAAGAGATACCAGACACGGTGTTAGAGGGACACGATCTTGCCAGCGAGAAGCCCCGGCGACGAAAACCATGGGAAAAGGATGATGCAGTCTCATCAGCAGATGAAGCCTCGGCTGGTACTATTTGAGGTGTGATAATAGTACTATGTACGATAGGATATACGGGATTACGTTCTTCAAATGAAGTTCTACAAACGCCAGGTGCTGTCCGATAGTTTCGGAAGGGGATTTGGAATTGGTACTAATAAAATTATTCGGAACCCGAGTGTCCGGGTAAGAATATGTTAAAGGACACTAATAGCTTAGTCGGGTGCTTGGAAAACAGACAGAGTCCCAGTAGCACCACTGAAGACAGATGTGCGCACATCACACCCCGACCTTCCTGGTATATCAACCCTCCGACAGAGTAGGCACCTAAGAGTGGTTCCGCATTTAAGATATAACTCCCAATAATAACCAGATTGACGTTGCAAAGGACAGGAAGTTGGTAATTGAGTGCTTGTAATTTGACTTGTGGAGCCTAGAGCGGCGACCGGAGGTGCGGAAGCAAGCCAGCTGGTTAGATCGGCAGACAGGATTGGATATCGAGATTGAAACGGATGAGATAAAGAAGGGATTAATTTGGCGTGTCGCAAATCTCTTGTCGAAAGCATGTGGTTGCTGGCGACGTAAAAGCTCGAATCGGGACAATCGGTGAAGGTGAACTGCTGGTGCGAGTAATAAATACAATGATGATCTGGGAATCGATTGTGTTAACTCCGGGTTTGTTTTCGTTGCGACATCATATCGAGAATAGGTAAGCGACACTGTCGATGAAAATGGTGCTTTTGATGGTTCAAAAGCACAATGTCGTCTGCTCATAGGCCAGGTTGGGTCATCGATCTAGTTTGGGCGGAACGGCGCATAGCGGGGATTCCATTGATTCCCACGGCCAAAACGACCACCATTTTGTCCAGAAGAAGGGAACCTTTCTTCATTGAACTGGTTGAAGCGACCGACCGGCATCCCGGTTCCAGGACCAGGGCGAGTGGCATGGGATGGGTTGCAACAGAGCATCGCAACACGGGACCCGAACTTGGAACCGCGAAGAGAGACCATATGCTTCCTATCAGGACAAATTAGCCACAACCACGAGTATGATTTGAAGGGGAGCTCAAGAAAACGCACCGAATATGACCGGCAACCAGCTCCCGTTGGTGAGGGGCCGCATTCATTAGAACCCATTGGATCAGATAGTTCCCATACTGATCACCAGCAACTGTTTCAACGTTAGCGCATGACCAAGGGAAATAATAAGAACCAAGCAACAGAGAGAAAAAGAACTCACTATCGATCAGTGGCATCCGAGGTCGATCAGTACGACCAGTGCAAACACGAGAAAGATAACGTTCGAGGAACTCTGATCCTCCGATTTTCAAACATTTCTCAACGATTTTCGATGCAAACTGGTCCATACTGTAATCAACAGCATGGTGAAGAACATGTTCAGTAGCACGGCTCTTGTCAGGCGGAGCGCCGTGCTCACAAATGTGTTGGATACACCAGTTGCCGAACTGACCATGAGCGAGTATATCAATCTTCTCGAGCACCTCTTCGATTGCTGGTCTCTACTCATTGTCAGTATTTCTCTGTTTCTGTCATTCGATGTTGGGAATCCCTCTTGAGGTGGATCTGGATAATACCTTTTCTGCCTCCACGCAGTTCTCAAATATGTTCTGCACAACTAGACTTCCAGTCTCGCCCAGTGCGACTTCATGCCACAATCCACAAAGTGCTTCGTTTACCTTCGCCATGATCTGTGGAGGCTCACCACTCCAGCGGAGCTCAAAGAGCTTCTGCCAGACGTGGCAGGCATAGCGATGGACCACTGTTTCCGGAATTCTGCAAAGAAGCTCTTGTACCATTGCAGTTTTGTGATCCTCGGGAACACAGTCTAAAGCCTTCTGAATGACGTGACAGCCAAATGGGTCCATACTCAGGGTCAGTGTGCGACCGCTGATCGCATTGGCAATGGCCACAACTTGCTCCGGGGTGCCGTGTTCGAAACAACGTTGGATGAGAAAGTTCCCAAATCGATTGACCATGAGCGGGTATGCTTGGATGATTATCGCTTCAATGATTTCGAATTTCTGGTCACCAGTTCCAACTTTAAGCTTCTGCTGTAGGAAGATAGACGCCTGTTGGTCATTGCCACAGACAATCATGTCGACAAAATGCTTCCAGTCACATGGCTCGTTTTTTTCGAGGAGTCGCCGGTAGTTGGGAGGACCGAGGGATGGAACATATGTCTGAATGGAGTTTCCGTTAGCCTAAAGTCGTTAGTTAATACTCAATACGTATCGTAAGTGATAAAGTTAATACTTACCACCGAGATGGCCCAGGGATTTCTCTCGGCGGTGCCTGCTGTGAACTCCGTGGCCGTTGGAGAAAGAGCTGTTCCAACTTGTCGAGCATGATAGGTGAATGGGTAGTTTCCCATTGACTGGAATGCGCCAGTGGATCTAGTCGTTGAAGAAGTGGGTGATTTAGGCGTGGGCGTCGAATCAACAGGTGACTCGGTAGCGAGGCTAGACCAGGAATTGGCCGGGGGAGGAAACATGGCCCCGGCATGATTTGCTTGAATAGAGGAGTGGCGAGGGAGAGGGTTCTGGACTTGAACAAGAGCGTGAGGGTATTGGGGCTGATCACTCGGAGGGCGCGAATATGAACCGTATGTACTGGATGACCCGGTCGAAAGTACTCTCTGTGATTGAAAACCCCCAGCAGGTGCGAAAATTGGATACGCATTCGGGCTGCTCCAGAGCCGGGTCGAGTATTGGCCCATGGGATTCGACTCTTGATGAGACTCCTCATAAGGCTTAGCAAAAGGGCGTTCGTTGCTGCTCATACCAAAGGCCTGCTGACTACTCTCGGGCCAACGTCCACGAGCACGATTGTAGCCACCGGCTGACAGTGCATCTGAGATGTCAGAATGCGAGTCGTCTTGTGCGCCCCAGGCATCCTTATACTGGCCGAAGGCAGGATTCGAAGCGTTGAAGGCGTTCTGTAAGTGACTGATTGTTTGTTCAGTGATCTCTCGACCACTGAAGTCGGCTTCAGAGGGGGGACCAAGAGCTTGATCCAAAGTTTGATTGAGAACGCGTGTCTGTGCCAGCTCTTGTTCCTGTAAAGCAATCGTGGACTTGGCGGCGAGCAGTTCCTGTCTGAGCTGCGAGACATATTCCATTCGCGCCGTGGGGTCCGACGAGTAGGCGTCCGTAGCCTCTGTTGAGCCAGGACTAGGCAACGGCTCATTCATCGGGGCCTCCTTTGAGGAAGCAGAGGGACGGTCCGTCTCTGCGCAGACCACTGGAAGGCCACGAGGGTTGAGGTCCGCTAGGAGTTCTTCGATCCGGGAATGCTTCCCAGTCAAGGATTCAGCTTTCAAGTGCTCAAACTTTTGCTTCTAGGGTTGTCAGTTCGTCTGAATTACATGTCTCGGTCTCTGGGATAACTAACCTTGTTTGAGGAGATCTCGATGTCTTCACTGTTGGAGACTCGAGGGGCGGTATGCTTCGAGCCTTGGGTTATCTCGGATGATCTGTGATGACCCGCTGAATGTTGATGGCCCTATAATATTGGGAGAGTAAGTGACTGGGTACCTTCGATTCGGGTGGAGCGATCAATTCCTTGGGACTCACCGATGACTCGCGACGAAAAGAAATCATTCGTGCATCGACATCATTAGCAGCGAATCTTCCTTCTTTGTTGACACACCCATGCTTAGATGGGCCATGTTTGGATGGGCCGTTGAGAGAAGACATCATGGCTGCTTGCAACCAGTATGGTAGACTGTGCACACACGAATCCGAGGCGCAGGAGTTCGAATGGAGGTTGCAGCTAAACGGCGGAAGATCAGATTCAGATGACCGCGAGAATCGGAGAGAAGATGGTAGATTGAAAAAAGAGGATGGGAAAAGATGAGTGGTGTGCGAAGGGTTGGGAAGGAAAGACAACAATGGGTAGGGCAGGGACGAGGTTTAACATGCTCAGGCGGAGGCAGGTGCGCTGAGCTTCACATCTTCCTAACCACCACAAACCTCGAGAGTCCATTCTTACCGGTATAAGATCCACACAAGAGACCATTGTTTTCTGGGCGTCATTTAAAAGATCAATACCTACCAATAAAATAGTTGGTTCCAGCAGAAGAACGATTATCATGTCTTCTCATTCGAAGCCGGGCGAACCACTTCAAAACGAACATATCAAGATGACCCTTTTTTTTTTTCTTTTTTGGAGAGGAAGGGGGTTTCCCATCTGTCGAAAAGGCACCCCAATCATCACCCCATGAAATGAAGCATATACAGGAACGATGACTTGTTTCTCAGTAAAATCATCAATTCGTCCCCTGGCGTCATACTAGCTTGCTGTTGAAAAGCCAAGGATAATCCTGGCCTACAATAGCCAACCTCCTTCTTTTTTTGCTCGCTTTTAAATAGAATACATCTTTCCAGGCGAGCAAAACTCCCTTCTTTGCGATCAGAATTGGGTGGCTCTCTTCGTTGAGGGTTCTGATGGAATTGTAACAAGGCCGCGCCGCTGCCTGTAGTGGAGTCCAAGTGGCTCCACCGCCGTAACGGGTGTATTCACGTGACTCATTGCGAATCCGGTCAAGACAGCTGGCAAAGTGCGTCTGACAGGACCAAAATACGGCAAAAAGAAATCAGGTTCAGATTGGAAATAGGAAATAATGAAACCCCGAGAAAAAAAGCAAGTGCGACGCGGCAACGGTTCATTTTCCGGCTCGATAACAGTGAGTCGCAAATTGGATATACTTCTGTGCCGATTGCTCGGCGGCCTCCGAAGTATCGAAATGGTATCCTGTAATGTAACGGCCGGTGGCGGTAGCACCGCAAATCACCCATGGACCGCACACCCTCATGGGGCCAGCCGTCGTTGTGTATCCTCCCCCTTTTCTTCTCGTACTCTCAGCTTCTGTGGACGGGGAAATCGTCTGATTTACCGATGCGAAAGCCTTGAGTAATTCGACTGCTGCCTCCGTGTGATCCCCATCCTTGACGCCTATTTGCAGGAGATTCGTCATCGCTGCACTAGTTGCCTGCACCTCGCTGAACTGAACGACGACCCTCCCTTGAGAGCGCACACGCGCTACAAAAACACCCTATCAACTCCATTCGGTACCTCTTTTCTACCATCAATTTGGCTGGTTTGGGTGAGTAAAGTAGCCACACCGACGCGCTCTGGTGACGGAGAGTTAACTGGGACTGCAGAAGCAGAATCAAGGCCTGGCCAAGACGGAGCCACGATGGCTACCACGACAGTGACCGGCCATGGACGCCGGTCATCCATGCGACAACCCGAATTGCAAGTACCCAACAAGCCTTCGATCGCCCCGCCGACAAGTAGTCCGATCGACCAATTTCCTCCCTACGAGGAGACTTTCGACAGCGCCGTGGGGTCTGGCAGGCCAAGCACCAACGCCTCGGTGAAATACGCGCCCAGCGAGCTGTGGGAGCCGCGGAAATCGGCCTTTTACTCAAGAGAGCATGTCAATGGGCCGCTGAGGAACCCGAAGCACCGGCCGCGGAAGAGTATCAGCGAGGCCATCACGACCATTCGCACCCGCAATGGCAGCGTGAGTGCCAATGCGCAAGAACTGGCGGAGGCACTTCGGGCCCCCGTGTCTTATCGCTTGATAGTACGTGTCTCTCGGAAACGAATGAAGGCATAACATGATCACTGAATGTCAGCTAATTCTCATTCCAGACCCTATGCATCATTTGGTACTTTACCTCCGCTCTCACCAATACATCCTCGAAATCCATCCTCAATGCCCTTCCGATGCCGATAACCTTGACCATTATCCAGTTCGCGTTTGTTTCGGCCTGGTGTCTGCTCCTGGTGTATCTTTCTACCATCTTTCCGCGGTTACGACAAAGTATACCAGTCCTTAAACATGGCATCCGCTACCCGTCGCGTGAAGTGATATCCACTGCTTTGCCCCTAGCCGTGTTTCAACTGGCTGGCCATATCTTGAGTTCGATGGCCACGTCCCAAATTCCCGTCTCCCTCGTCCACACTATCAAGGGCTTGTCGCCCCTGTTTACTGTTCTCGCCTACCGAGTGCTGTTTCGCATTCGTTACGCGAGAGCTACCTATCTTTCGCTGATCCCTCTTACAGCTGGAGTCATGCTTGCCTGTTCCACTGGAGTGTCGACAAATTTCTTCGGAATTCTCTGCGCATTCGGCGCAGCGATCGTTTTTGTGTCGCAAAACATCTTCTCAAAGAAACTGTTCAACGAGGCGGAACGGGCCGAATCTGATTCCCAGTATCCGGCACGACGAAAGCTTGACAAGTTGAATTTGCTCTGCTACTGCTCTGGGCTGGCTTTCTTCCTCACTTTGCCTATATGGTTTGTCAGTGAAGGATATCCCTTGGTATCCGACTTCGTGAACGATGGTGTGATTGCCCTATCGGGTAAACAGGGATCCCTGGATCACGGAGCACTGATGATTGAATTCGTTTTCAACGGCGTTTCGCACTTTGCGCAGAACATTCTGGCCTTTGTGCTTCTTTCCATGGTGTCGCCTGTGTCCTACTCGGTTGCTTCTCTGGTGAAGCGAGTTTTCGTCATTGTTGTGGCAATTGTTTGGTTCGGAAGCTCAACAACTCCTATCCAAGCCGTTGGCATTGCTCTCACCTTTGTGGGACTTTACCTTTACGATCGCAACAGCCACGATGACGTGGCGGATCAAAGAGCGAATGCCGACCATTTCCGAGCGCGGGAGACTATCTTGCCAATGAATGTCCGACACTCGAGCAAGCCATGGGATTCCAATGGCTACGCTTTTCCGGCAGGACGCTCCTTTGAGAGCGCCAATGGAAACTCACACGCCGCCAATAGCTCGAAGAAGGAGGACGATGGTCCAGGGCGTGTACGAGCCCGAGGTACCAGCGTTTCTCGGACCTGGCTGCCAGGGACGAAGCAAGAATCGACATGGCAGCCCTGCGACACTCCAACGGTTGCATAGCATAGCATCCCGTTTCTTACGAAGAGATCAAGGAATAGCAGTGTATCATAACATGGCGTTTTAAGGCGCTTTTTTTAAGCTCCTTCTTTTTGAGTGTTAATTCTTCTTTAGTTCTTTCTTTTCGGTTGAAATTGCACGTCGCCGCCTGTTATGTGGGGCTGGAATAGATGAAGAACGGATTGTGTAAGACGTATATGATGACAATTGATAACTCTAGTCGTATTTTTCTGTCCTCTCGCTGCTCTCAAAATCCTGTAACTTAGTTTCCCGAATGTGTTTTATGGCGTGTCGGGAAAGTCCCTCGTTGGCAAGAAAATGGAATGTAGCCGCCGTCGGTAAAGAACATCGTCATCATCAGGCCTAAAGGCCCTTGACGGCTCCAGTTCGGTGCAAAGTCTGCTCTTGGGACAGTGCTGCAGAGGAAACAGGAACAGACAAACCCTGCTTCCTACAATAAATCACGCCCGTGAAATGAGATGATTTCCAGAAAGGGGCTGTTCGGATTGGGGGTTTTTGTCCACGCCCGCGGAGCTATAGTTTATCCGGGTAACCGAGCCTGTCCACCAATCCGCGCCCACCCATTTGCGAATCGGGATGAGTAAGCGGGCAATGGTCAGCAACCCATTAGGTAACCCAGCAGAATCCGACTCTGAACAACAGCTCCTTCGTACCGTTCCCCCTCGTCCACCCCATCTCCCAAACCTCTCCACCCCCCCCTCTCTCCTCAATTCACCCTTCCCAATCATGCGGCCGCAGCTGTTTCGTGCGGCCGCCCGGTCTCTCCGGGTTCCCCGAGCCCGAGCCTTCGCGACGACCGCCCCTCGCGCGGCCGAGGTGGAACTGACCATTGGTATGCCTCAACAACCTATTTTGAATGTCGATATATGCTAACAAAACGTTTCAGATGGCAAGAAAGTGTCCGTGGAAGGTGAGGCACATACGAATAGTATCCATTGAATCGCTGCTCACATCCGTCCCAGCCGGCTCGGCACTTATCCAGGCATGCGAGAAGGCAGGCGCAACAATCCCCAGGTATGATAGGATCCAAATCTAATATTCGAGACTCAAAATGTGTCCTGTCCAGTACTGACTATCTCATTACTAGATACTGCTACCACGAGTACGCTTTCCCCGAGTTCTTTCCTCCCAGTGATGACCCTTACTAACGCTAGTTGATGAAGGAAACTGCTCATTGCCGGTAACTGTACGTTCGAACTCATGTGGCTTGGATTGACATATCAGGAAGCTGACTAGGGAATATAGGCCGTATGTGTCTTGTCGAAGTCGAGAAAGCTCCCAAGCCAGTGGCTTCGTGTGCCTGGCCCGTCCAACCCGGAATGGTTGTCAAGACCAGCTCGCCATTAGTACACAAGGCACGCGAGGGTGTCATGGAATTCCTCCTCGCCAATCATCCCCTTGACTGCCCCATTTGCGACCAGGGTGGAGAGTGTGACCTTCAGGATCAGTCCATGCGCTATGGTGCGGATCGCGGTCGGTTCCACGAGACCGGTGGCAAGCGTGCCGTGGAGGACAAGAACATTGGTCCCTTGGTGAAGACATCGATGAATCGTTGCATTCACTGCACTCGTTGTGTGCGATTCATGAACGACGTTGCGGGTGCCCCCGAGTTGGGAACTACAGGCCGTGGAAACGACATGCAAATCGGAACCTACTTGGAACGAAACCTCGACTCCGAAATGTCCGGCAACGTCATCGATCTCTGCCCCGTCGGCGCCCTCACCTCCAAACCATATGCTTTCCGCGCTCGCCCGTGGGAGTTGAAGCATACCGAGTCTATCGACGTCCTCGACGCGCTGGGTTCCAACATCCGGATCGACAGCCGTGGCATGGAAGTCATGCGTGTTACCCCGAGGTTGAACGATGACATCAACGAGGAGTGGATTAACGACAAGTCTCGCTTCGCTTGTGATGGATTGAAGACTCAGCGACTCACCACGCCCTTGATCCGCCGCGAGGGGAAATTTGTCCCCGCTACTTGGGAGCAAGCCCTGGTGGAGATTTCCTCCGCTCAACAGAAGCTGCAGCTGAAGCCTAACGAGTTCAAGGCCGTTGCTGGTCACCTGGTTGATACCGAGTCTCTTGTTGCCATGAAGGACATGGCCAACAAGCTTGGCTCCGACAACCTTGCCCTCGATCAGCCCGGCGGCAGTGCTCCTATTGCTCACGGTGTTGATGTTCGCACCAACTATCTGTTCAACTCCAAGATCTACGGTATCGAGGAGGCGGACGCCATTCTCTTGGTTGCCACCAACCCTCGTCACGAAGCCTCAGTTCTCAATGCTCGCATCCGCAAGCAATACCTCCGCTCCGATCTTGAGGTTGGTCTTGTTGGCGAAGAGTTTGAAAGCACCTTTGACTACGAGAATCTCGGCGCCGATGTCTCTGCCCTCAAGGCCGCTTTGTCCGGGGAATTCGGAAAGAAGCTTGCGGGTGCCCAACGCCCTATGATTGTTGTCGGCAGTGCGGCCGCTGAGCATCCCGACTCGAAGGCCATTTTCGAGGCTGTTGGCAGCTTCGTGGAGAAACATGCCAGCAACTTCAACACCCCTGAGTGGCAAGGTTTCAACGTTCTGCAGCGTGCCGCCTCCCGAGCCGGTGCCTATGAGGTGGGCTTCACTGCCCCCAGCCCCGAAGTTGCCCAGACTACTCCTAAGATGGTCTGGCTTCTGGGCGCCGACGAGATTTCGCAAGGTGAAATTCCCAAGGACGCTTTCGTCATCTACCAGGGTCACCACGGTGACCGGGGTGCCCAGCTTGCAGATGTCGTGCTCCCCGGTGCCGCATACACTGAGAAGTCCGCCACCTACGTTAATACCGAAGGCCGAGTGCAAGTTACCCGTGCCGCTACTTCGCTGCCCGGTGCTGCTCGTGATGACTGGAAGATCATCCGTGCCACTAGCGAGTTCCTTGGTGTGCCTCTTCCTTATGACGATATTGAGGCTCTTCGTGACCGCATGGAAGAGATCAGCCCTGTCATGCGTCGCTACGATGTCGTGGAGCCCACTTCGATTAGTGCTCTGAGCAAGGTGCAGCTTTCCGACCAGAACAAGGGTGCCTCAACAACCGGGGCTCCTTTCAAGAAGGTTATTGAGGACTTCTTCTTTACCGATGCCATTTCCCGAAGGTTCGTAATCCAGCCTCTGTTCCTAACTCCTCGATCCATGCGCCATACTGACTTGATATTTTATTAGCTCGCCTACCATGGCTCGTTGCTCAGCCGCCAAGGCTACCGGAAACCCTGAAACCAACTTCATGGCTGCTGGAGAGATGTCTCCCCAGGCTCTCTACGGCTGAATCCCATGATCTTTCCTGGCGTGAGCCGACGATCGATTCTGTGTTTTGTCTAACGGTTGCAGGCGTTGTTATTGTATCACCCTAAACTTCCTTTGATGTACTGTTTCCTTTCCATCTTCTGTTTTCTCCATCGACTTGAATACCGTTACATCCGGTTTTTGGGGTTGACCTCCTTCGAAAATTCTCCCGCTTTCCGGTGTCACCAGGGAATAATCGGTCGGGGTTGACTTGTACATAAAAAGATTGAGGCTCACAAAATTTACGGTTCTCTCACGGAGACAAATTCCTGCTCTAGGCTCGTAAGTTAATGAAGATAATCAGTATTATATATGGTATTATATATGGTACATGTGAACGCATCCGGGGATCTCTTGTAATGGATATTATTTTGGCATTCTTCCTGGCCACCAGCAGAATTGGGGGGGGGGGGCAAGCCAGCAGCACTGGTTGTACGGGACTAGGCTTCAAAGAACAATGCTTGCCCACGCAGATTCAATTGTCAGTCATCAAATTCTGCCTACTTCAATCTACAGCTCGTCATCATCCGTCTCTCCCGCAGTTTCATCTCCTGCGGGGCCAGGGACAGTCTTCTGCTGCGTTCGTGCCGGTGGACCTCGTCGAGTGAAGGGCAGTTCACGTCGGGGTGGGGGTGTGTCCCTTGAAGGAGGCGTATATTTGACAGCCTTTGAATGTGGTTCGGGCTCAGGCTCAGAATCATCATCCGTAGTAGTGCCTGCCCTATCCTCCACCGGCTGTGGTGTCGATTGTCCTCCCTCATCGGTCTCCTGATCACCCAAAGAGGTCCCGACGGTCTTTCCCCCATCCACATCCATTGGCTCAAAGCCCATGTCCGAATCTTCGTCTGTATCACTTGGGTCATGGCCACGCTTAGATGAGCGTGACACGTTGTCAATAACATGGGGATGCGCGGTGGTAGCTTGTATCTCAGAAACTGGACAGGTCATGAGGCGATTAGGAAAGAACTGAGGCCGCGTCGCGCGAAAAAAAGAACGAATTCATACCTCTGATTGGATCCGCAGTCGCCGAGGCGAGAAGACGCTGCTGATTCCTGATTTTCAATTTCTTTTCATTTAGCAGTTGAGAGAAATTTGCCATGAGCTGGGTTTCATGCTGGGATTTCGCTCGCATGAGGTCTTCAAGCTGTTCATTCAGCTTCTGCACGGTATTCTCGGCAGTCCGGTAGCGATTGGCAAGGCTAGTAACCTGCTGTTCCAACGTCTTTGACCTGACCGTGGAAGCACCTGTCCATTCGAACAACTCGATAACTTGATCATCCTCCCTGAGGACAATAGCCCCAAGTCTTTGCTAAAGTAATGTCAGATACAAAAACGCATTAGACGGTGCTCGTTGCTGGAGGACTAACCGAGATATCCTGAACCTTCTTGCGTATGGTGATCACGATCTCATCGCTTTCTTCACTAGCACCACGGATCATCGCCGTAGCTTCCACTCCTAACGACCCGGCCGGTTCGTCCACAATAGGTGACTGGCCTAGAACGAAAGACAGGGTCTGGGTCCACTCATCGTCGGAGCCCTGATAGCCTTTGGCTTTCAGGTCTTGCAGATGTGATTGCTGGACTGAATCCTTTCATTAGTCGGGGGAAACCAAGCTCTGCAGGTCTACAGGAACGTACTGGAAGCTGTATAGGCACCTTCGCCCTCTGTCGCGGTTAACGACAGGTCAAGTACATCTGGCCCACGGTGAGTAACACGTAGCAACACAAAAGAGTCATGTTGATCCGATCGGTCAAACCGGAGAATCCGAGCCGAAGACATGGTGTAGAGGTGGATGTGGATGAGGGGATGGTTGTCCAGAGCACTGCGGACTACGTGCTGCGTGACCGTCCACCACGCCAGGCAGCCAGGGCCAGTTCCGTTTGGCCCACCTCAGCATTAATCCGTGAATCCACCCGATTCCACTTCTGGTGGCCATTATTGCCTTCTCGCAGTTACTAGTAGCCTGTCATCTCCATCGCAACCCCCTTTTCTTTTCTCGGCTGGTCCCTCCCTATCAACCCAAACTGGTCCCCACCAGCACGTTCCTCTCTCCCACGAGGAATCCCCCCCCCCCATTATCCAGCCACCACCGACCACGGCCCCTTTCGTCGCCCTCCCGACCCCCGACTTTCAGGAGAGACACAGACAGGCCCTCGCTGGCAGCTGCTCGCAGCTTCGTCTCCCCCTCGGTTCCTTCACCTCGAGGTCGACATCTCGTCCTTTCTATCCATCGACTTCGTCGTCTGCCTGTCCGCCCATTTCAGGGTGGTTGTCTAGACTACAGCCTCAAGCCTCCGAAGTTCCACATATGCTCACTTAATTGACACGGAATGACGCTCTTTGCTCCGCCTGCTCGCCCATTGTTTGCGTCGCAAAGATCCGAGACCACCATCTGAGCATTTAATTCGCACCGCTTCGGACTGTTTGGCGAAAAGACACGCGCCTTCCCCCTCCTTCCGCCGACTCGCACGCTGCTCACCAACATGGAGTCCCCGGGGCCTCAGCCGCGACCCGATACAGACGAAAATATTGAGTGCTGGGATGATGACGGCGACTTGCAATTCGCCGATGGCATTCAATTCCGCGCCGCATCCAGCGCTGGATCTATAACCAACTCTTCATTCCGACCTTCTGGGCACCGCGATTCAATCTCCTCTCGCCGATCTGCACGGTCTGACTTGGACTCCAACGCAGGAGATGAAGACTGGCAGGTTTTCCTTCAGGAGAACGATGACTTCTCAAAAGAGGAAGCTCTCGCGTCAGCGAAACACGCCGGTATCACCATCCCAACAGATATCCCCAGTTCCGCCCTCATTGGCGGCGCGATCAAACGTTTAACAACCCGCAAGCCAAAAAGAACTTTTGTGGATGACTGGTCTGAAGACGTGGAACTTCCCGACCCAGATACAGTGCTCCAGCTCAGAATTCCGCAGGATGCGAACTTCCCTGAAACATTACGCCAGATCAGCTCAGCAGCCACTAGTCCTATCAAAACTATGGCGTCGCCAGCTTGGCACGAAGATATTTCCACCCGCTTACAGTCGGCACTGACAGGCCTAGATAATTTTCAGGAAGAGAGTGACAGTCCCGTGAACCAAAAGGTCCCAACTATCAGATCCCCGGTTCCCCGATCGCCGCAAAAGAACTATGCGAGTGACACCAAGGACATAGCCGCAAAGTCGGAAGCGGACGACTGTGATCTGGACATTGAGTTTCCACCAGACCATCAACCTTTGCAACTATCCCATCGAAAACAACATACTGGCGTCTCCAGTCCGACCCTGGAGGACTTTGACTTGGAATGGTCTGAAGGCAGCATCGGCGTCAGGGTTGGTGGTACTACTAGAGATGGCCGGTCAGTTCCGAGCTCATCCATATCAATCGCAAGCCCTAGTGTTTCCAGTTGTTTGACAGCGGAAAGTGAGGATGACGGACTGGATGGCATTGTTTTCCCGGAAGGACCACTGGATTTCAACGCTTCGCTCAGGAAAAGAAAGGAGTCGGAAGTGGCTGTGGAGTCAACTCGAACAGAAGAGGCCCAGAAACAGCTTAATCCGCCAGACGCAGATGACTTTTTTGCCGGGATTGAAATCGATAGTGGAAGGGCATTCTCCTCGGGTAAATTGGCATTGAATCCCAACGTCAAATGCAAGACAGAATGGCCTACAAGTCCAACACGCCGTCCCGCCACGACTCTAACCTTCACCAATGCGACTGGATCGCCGCGCACTCGAATTCCACGTCTTTCTGGCCACGACCGGACGCATTCGACGCACCTCGAGACTGTATCGGAGAGTGGTGCGCCTCTGTCAAAATTCCGGAGGTCTCAATCTAGACTTGGCCATTCAGCCCAATCATCCGTGTCCAGTCTTCCGGCAGGTGGTACTCCCTCGACCTCGCCAACACCAGTCTCTGCGACTCGGAAGCTTCTAGGACAAAGACCTTCCAGAGAACCCGCTCCAGATGTTGACGCCAAGCCGCCTGGGCGACTTCTCCGAACTAAACGATCTTTGCCGGCAATTCGTGGAATCACGTCGGCTGTGTCGGGACAAACTTCCCAGCGATCACCGTCTAATCCAGATGGGCCTGTTCGCTCTTCACTCGTAAGGCCCAAAACACCAGTCGAACATGCTGCCAATGAAGGAAGGACTGCCAGTCGAAGGCCACAGGTGCCATTCATCCCCGCGGGTGCATCGGAACGACAATCTCATCATGCCAGTGTCAAGAGCTACCGACCCTCCCGCCGTACCAACTCGGATGGATCTGGGGATTTCCTGAGCCCACAAGGCACTTTCTCACGGCTATCGCATTCAACGCGCCCCGGCGGTCATCGCTCGAGTCTGGGGGACACTAGCACAGAAACTATATCTCAAGCTAGCAAGCGTGCTCTCACTAGACCGACAAAGCGACGCAACTTTGGCGACGGAACAGAGCTGGAGTCTTTCGACGATCTCCCAACTTCTGCGACTACCGAAAGCAAATACACAAAAACCCCCATCGGCCGCGGCGCCCCTCGATCTGTGCGCGCCAAACTCAGCCAGAGTCGCAATACCCCTCCTGTCGAATCCCCTCCTCAACTGTCTACACCCCCATCTACCTCGAAACCCCGTAACTCGACACCCAGATTTGCTCGTGATACAAACGCTTCTCGCAATGCAAGAGAACAGCGCATTGCCTCCTTGAACACCAGGAACCGAGATGTGAACTCGATGTCGACCTTTAATTCCAATTGGAAATCTCACCCAATCACGCGTCTATCCCCATGCTCGGCACCGGTTCGAAGTCGAAAAAACAAGCCGGCAAGCCAAACTTCTTCGAAACCTCACCTGATTAAACCCATGGGGTCCGGCGTGCAAGAAGCCAAATGTAAGAGAAAAAAGCCCCTGTTTTTAGTTCATTCTTATTTCCGATTTCATTTTTTTTCCCTTTCTCTCTTAAAGCCCACCAGTGAAATTGAGGCTAACAATTGCGTATAGCTGTGCGAGGCATGCGGTACAACCCGAACACTTACCGTTGGGAAGGGAACGAGAACGTTGTGCAAGACTTTATTGGTACCGTGCCCCCAAAGTCCCCGAAACCTGCACCGGCCCTCATCGCCAAAGTGGGCACCATGCACAATGTACAGGCTGTGGGGGGCATGGTCTTCGACCCCCACCGCATGTGCTGGCTCCGAGCTAGGTCTCACGGATCCGAGACCCCCAACGACCCCACGTTCGAAGACGAGGATGATGTCTTTGCCGGCCTGGATGACTTGGAGGACAAGGTCGTCGGACGCCCCTCCGGGACCCTGAACGATCTAAACGCCCACCCACCCGGTGAGGAACCGAGCGCGGGCGAATCCTCTGACGAAGGCCCTATCACCGAGGAGTTCGATGTCGGCCCGGAGTTTATTCGACGACAACGGGCCGAGGAAGACAAGTGGAGGCGCAAGGTGGACAGTTGGGTGAGTGCGGACCGCGGTGATCGTGAAACCCACTGGCGCTGGGCCATTCGGGATCTGGTGGCCGACGGTACGGCCTAACCATTGACTCGAGTGCGCCGTCCACCGATTAGGAACGTCTGTGACTGGCCATGGGATGGATTGAATGGAATATGGATACATGAACTAATGACAGGAGGAAGAGTGGACGTCAACTGCCCTTCCCCTCTCCATTGGCCTTGATGAAACTGGCCAAACGAATTTACGGTTGGAACCTGTAACTATATCTGGTGTTCCTTGTTTAGTTGTCTGTGTACATACCTGCTTCTTTCGATGTACCTTTCGTAATGCGATCTGGGCTGGGAAGGGGAACGACAAGGCCACAAGAGAGAAGCCGAGCGGATGTTGAGTCTTGCGGGATGCGGTTGTCTCCCTTCTGTCTTCTCCCTTTCCCTCTCGATTATAGGAAATCCCCGTGTGCGTCCTTTTTCCATCTCAAGTTTCAGCGTGCTTCCTTCCCTCACCGGGCCCATACCTCGTACGGCCCCGATCAACAGGGAGGATCCATGCTGACAATGCTTCCTCGGGGCAATTCCCTCCCTCTACCGTCTTTTGTCTCCCTAGACGGTTCCGAAACACCTCGGACTCGGGGCCTCCAGACGAAACCAGGGCTTTGTTATGCCTTTCGTTTCTTTTTCCTCGTCGCTTAGACATCCTCTCTCCCGCTCCTCCATCCCAGGGATTTGGATGACTCGCGCTGATCGGGAAGTTACAGAGTGACACCGGGTGATAGATTGTATAACGCTCGATGGAAGATGCCCTTCGAATTCTCCCCCCTTTTGGTTTACGACCGGCTCGGACTGCCAGCGCTGCGAGGGTCCGGCGCCAAGTGCATCGAACACGGTGTCTCACCTGTCGCGGACGGGCCAAACGCATGCAATCCTGCCATCCCGCATGCCGCATTGATTGCCTGTCAACGAGACCCAATCCACTTCGCCCTGGCATCAACGCCACGTCAAGGTCACGTCGACTCTCCCTGACAGCACACGATCTGGCTTGGTAGGACAGCAGGCCCGACCAGGATGTCTCGACTCGTTCTCCGGCCCCATGGCTGCCCTAGAACCTCCTTCTAGCCCCCACCCCCCAATTCTCGCCCCACGCACGCGCGCGAGAAGAGGACCAAATACGAAGAAGCAGCAATCGAAAGAGACTCTCGGGCATGCCCCAGAAGGCTGGAACATTGTCCTCCCGCTCAACCCCCAACCCATGCCTTCCGCCACGGCTAGTTGCATGTTTGGACTTTTGCCGGAGCAATCTCCAGCCTGACTTTGTTTGACGGAGGCAAACCTGCAGAAAACAAAGCCCTGCAAGGAAAGATTCGCCTTCCTGTCTGCCCGGTGCCAGAATTGTTCCGTCTCAAGTCGGGGAGGCCCTGATCGTCCCCCCGGGTGCTGTCGCCGATGCATTGAGAGCCGATCCCCAAAGATCCTCCCTCCCCCATAGGTGGCCTCGATTGGCCCAGCGTGGCTCTTAATGAGGCAAAAAGTGGCGCCGGGCATCGAGGTAGGAATCCGTATCACCATTGCTTGTGTGCGCTGTCGTATCAGCCTACCTTGACCCTTCTATTTGCCTCGGCGGGTCGGAAAGATTTCGACAGCGAACCCCAGTCCTCTAGCTCGACGTTCGTTTCTTTTTTTTACCCTTTTCTTATTTTTGGCTTTTTATTTTATTTTTTGATTTTTCTCCCTGGCTCATGCCATTTTCTTCCCTGCAAGCTTGGGTGATACCCTTTTTGGCTGTACCTTACAGAGTTCTGCTCGACTCGCCTGGCTCTATCCTTTCTTTTTTCTGTGAAATATTTGCTGTTGGCCTTCCAGGGATTCCCTCTCTTGCTTCTGCCTACTCTGTTTTGACATGGTCTCGTGCACTTCCTTGGGCATCGGTCATGTCCTGCAAGATTCGTCTGGGGGGTCTTGCGGGTCCTTTTAATACAATTGCTAAGCCCATTGATGTGGTCCTTGACTTTTGTTCAACTCTTCCCCTTGGTATTTCTCGGGTTCCAATACCAAGCATCGACCTACTCTCTCCTTATATCAACAAGCTTCGCAACAACTACGACCTTGGCGTGTTCGAAACTTCTTGGTTTACTGCCCACCACTCTTGTTGATACCTCTTCTCTTTCTCTCAAGGCTAGGTGTGAGGTGGAAAGCAGAAGTACTAGATAACGACTGCCTGTTTGTACAGGGCATCAGAGACGATGAGCAATTTTGCAAGACGCAATGACGGCAACGACAGTTATCTGATGAATCAACAAATGACGGTTCCTGGTACCTATAGTCACCAAGACGGCCACGAGTTCAATACTGCTGGTTCTGGCTCGTACCATTTTCCGCAGCACTCCTTCAACCCATATGGGTCTCAGTTTGGGGGTCCTCCCTATGGGCAGCAGTCAAGCATGAGCCAAGGCATGCCGCATTTACAGTATGCTGACCACACCATTCCATCGATGTCTACCTCGGATGATATGAGACTCCATCATCCATCCTCGCAGTATATCACGCAATCCAGGTATCTGCAATCATCTCGCTACCCGTCTCTTCGTGAGCCATACGAAGTAGACATCGAAAGTCAGGAGTCCTGCAACGAGGGCTCCAAGCTATCAGAGCCAGTACTGCCTACTCCTGATGGCTTCCCAGATGTGAAAGAGTTTGATCAACTCATGCAGAGGTAGGTGTACCTCTCGGTGTCTATCGGCACATAGTTTCCTGACAATGACTGAAAAATTACTGACTCGAACATTTTTGATCAGCTACGTTGATGACCTTTCGATCAAGAAGCAAGACAAGGCCTTGATCCACGCGTCAAGGGCACGTAACATTCGAACTGTTCTGAATGACCCAAAGGACACTGCAGTCGAATCTGCTCAATTTCGGTGAGTACGATCCCTCGTGGTTGGGAATTAACCAGTTACTGACATAGATAGATTCTGGGTCAAAAAGATGTTCAAGCTCCAGCCAGTCGGCGTAGGGACGGCAGAAGTACGTATCTCCTCGGAATGAATTTTATCAATTGCTAACGAAGCTCATCAGTGCCGCAAGATGATCTGCCATGAGGGCAAGCCCGTCGCGATCCGTGAGAAACTATTCAAAATCCTCACAAAGGCACACCAACAGTGCCAACACGGTGGCCGAGATAAGACCTCTGCCCAGGTCCGACGCATTTATTCATGGTAGGTCTCCTAGAACGCGCAGCCAGCAATGACTTGGCCAAACCTACTCACCACTGGCCTTAATCCAGGGTGCCGAAGGAATTGATATCTCGTTTCGTGAAGATCTGCCCGACGTGTCAGGTTCGCCGAGGAGGATCTCGATTGACGCCACCGAACTCTCGTCGGAGCTCCCCACGGCTTGAAATGGTTCCTCGATCTCCAAAGCTTCCGTCACCACCCATATCCCGACGCGAGTCTACTTTTGGGGGACAGGTTGCCATGGATCGGGCGCAGTCGGACTACTTCAATCAGATACATGGCCACGGTGGATGGATGGATGGCCATCAAAACATGCAAGGCCGTCCTGCTCTAGGCACAGGAGTCCGCTCCTATCATGGTCCGATGGGCAATCTTTCACATTCGATCGCAGGCACTTTGGACCCCTTCTCTGCCGATCTCTCAGTGCCACCGTCCCAGCTTAGCTATACGACGGGATACGTTCCTACCCACGGTACGCACACGCAGCGAGATTTCTAGGTTTTTCCTGGGATCAGAATGTGTCTATTTCCATGGTATATTATTCACTGCCGCAATGGACATTCAGCGTCAGGGAAGGAGGCAAATAAAAAAATATATAAAAATGTTATTTGGTAGGGCATAGGACAGCCCTGGCCCCGATGACCTGGCCCCAGCAGAGGGGGAGATGAAACCAGGGGAAAAAAAAGGAAAAAAAGAGAAAACAGAACAAAATAAAACCGGGACTGTGGAACTAGGCGTATTTGGCTGCAAGAGAGCAGCTCCAGGCTAGAATCCTAACAACGCATAATGAAATTTAATGCATCTTATTATGACATTTCGCTTGGGAATAAGAACAGTCTCCTCCACAACGTACTTGATAGTCATGGCGATGGCAAGGGCAGGCCGGCGAATGAGGCAGCAGGAAATACCATGCGTCTTAATCACCGCGATCCGCAACAGGAATCTCACGAATTAAATTTCTGCGCAAAGACAAAGCATCGATTCGTAAACTCAGATCATTTATCAAACAACAGCACGAGGCTGGAGCATAATCATTCGAGGTGTATTAATGGGGTTTGAAGTTGGCCCTCAAACACCGCCTCTGAGTGAACACGGAGAGAACCGGCCACACGGGACAAGAGCCGAACAATATCGGCCGACAAGATTCATGGGAAAGTGCAGAATTTCGCATCGTACTACTGCTTTCTCTTTCTTGGACCCAGCATCTTTTTTTCAAACAGGCAGTGAGAATTTCTTTCCCTTCAGTACCCTAGCAAAAGGTTAGTCATGGTAAGTCTCCCGAGACTGAGAAATTCCAACTTACTTGTTGTAATAGATGTAGAAGAAGTCCGAGTAGAGCAAGGTCTGAATAATGCCTGCAAGGATGGGAACAGGCTGGAATGATCGCTGGAAGGAGGCCTCGGTGAAGTATCGGTATATCCAGTTGGGAATGTAGAGAGCCCGGTAAGCACCCAGGGCAAACAAATAGTGTGTCGTAATTGTGTCTGCTTCACCAGTCCGCTGCAGCATAAACAGTTGAGGCAAGATAGCTACTGATTCCAACCAGATGGAGAAGGTCCAGAGAATCTACATGTCGTTAATCGGCGGGGTCACTTGAGCGGTAGCCAGAGACATAGGGCGTGCAGTCGGGAGACGCACCTCGGAAAAACTGTATCTGTGTGGGAAGAGGAGAGCCAGGATCGCACTGATACCCAGGAGATACTGGACCTTGAATGTGTCAAGGTTGGGGTCGTGCGTTGGCTTGTAATCGTTGAGCATGAGATAGATGATATAACCTGATGACCCGATAAAAAGAAGCTTGAAAGTGGTGAGATACAGAGAGTCCGTAAAGGTCCAGAAGAGATCTAGTCGGGAAAGAGGACCGTTTGGTTAGCAAGTCTGCGTCGCATCGACAAGGCGGGACGATTAGCTGAAGCTCACCTAGGTAGCGAGTAACGAAAACCAGCAAATAGAGCAATTGTGATTTGAAGGAGACTCCAGAACAGCTCTGCGACATCGTGTTAGTGGTGAGGAGGAAGGAGAGGCTAAGAAGCGTACGCTGGAGGACTTCATCTTCTGAAGAAGGATGAAGATCGACGCCAGGTGAGAGAAATCGCCTATTCGAATCAGTATATCGCATCACAGGTACTGAGCATGATGCCCTCACCTAGCAGCCTGAAGATATTCATGATGTCGGATGCGGTATGGAAAACTGAGGCGGGAGGAAGAGAGTTGTTGACACGAAACCAAATGGAAGGGGGACGAAACTGCCGATCAGGTACGCGCGCCGGGGCCAAGCGGGAGCTCCACCTCCTCGCCTTGCTCTGAACTATGTGATCTCCGCCTTGCACCGATCAAAGATGTGAGTTCCTTGGTTTAGAAAAAATTAATGGTAGAAGAGAGAAAAAGACAGGAGCTGCCGATGGTGACTTTAGAATTCATTTTAAGTCAAGTCAGAAAGGGTGGTTAAAAAAAAAAAAAAGAAAAGAAAAGAAAAAAAGGGAAGAAAGAAATTATGATACAATTACGCCAGTTATCCAGTAATTGAGCCAGCCAGACGCCATTCGAACCCCCGCTAAAAAAACAGAAAATAAATGTAAAGTATGAAGAAAACAGCGAATAAGTGATCATCGCCTGTCAATATCAATACATGATCCCACCACCTGTGCTTTCATCGGCCATACGCTGGAGGTGACCCTCAGCCAATTCACTCTTCAGAGCACATATTGAGCTCTCACGGTCCAATCGGTCCCAGTCACGCAATCCTGATCTTCTGGGCCTCTGTGTCTCGCGCATTTGATCAAGCAGTTTCTCTTTATCAGACTCAAGCTGAGCGAGCCGTTTCTCCGTCCCGACATCTAGTGTGGATGGTAGTGCTCTACCCCCGGGGATAATTGAGCCTAACCCAGCAAGAAAATTAGGATTTCTGGGCGCTGGGGAGGAAATGGCAGAGACTGAACTATTCTGACGGGTGCCAGGGTGCCGATACCCTGTCCCTGGCGCCAATGGTGTTGATGGAGTGAGAGATGCCCGAGGGCCCGAAGGAGCACCATGCGACGGCATGGTGGGCGGTGCACGACGCGCTGACATCGGGGCCCCCATCCAGGAACCATCTCGGGAACTGGGCCCGTGGCGGGGTCGCGTCGGTGCCGAAAGAATGGAAGCGTTATGGGATCCGCGGCTTTGAGGTGGTGCTCCTCTTGGACCCTGGGATGGACCCAATGGAGGAGACTGGCTTACGCCGAGATTTCTAGGCTGAGTTGGAATGTTCCTCCCAAAACGAGACGGCCCTGACATTGAATTCTCGGATGGTTCTTTTCTCGGGAAGCGGTCGGAGGTTTCCTGCGCTTTCCCGAAGTCCGTCGTGACTGATTGATATACTTGGTCTCGGTATGGGGAGCGTCTCGGTGGCCCGGAGGGCCGGTGGTATGGTAGTTGGTTGGCAGGTGATCGACTGCGACTTCGGAAAGGAGGTGGTCCACCACGCTCGGGATGATTCGAAGGAGACGAGCGTCTGGATGTAGCATTGGACTCGACCACCGGGACGTGCGTGGGAGATGCTTGTCTGGATCGCGATGGAAGTCGGTCTTTGCCTGTATCGGCAGGGTGTTCCCCACGATGAGCACGAGAAGGACTCTGCGAGCGGGATGTAGTTGACATTTGTGTCCTTGGAGGAGATGCTCCTCGACCATATCTGTCCCCATTGGAGATTGTGGGAGTACTTCGCCGTGTCGTTCGGGCTAGATCTTGGTTACCTGGAGACGTATCCCGAGCACGACGTGGACTGCTGCGCCCTCGGGACGCATCGCGAGCCCCTCCTTCGCTGTAAGGCGACCTCGATCGCCATGATGGAGGAGGTGATCTGACTCTGTCATCTCTTCGCGGAGAGAACCTTCGCGGCGGGGATCGCCTCCGCCCATACGGACCTTGGCCGTAACCTCTAGGTTGGAAGGGAGGTGTTCGTGAGCGTCGGCGGTAGTCAGAGGGTGAGCGACTTCGTGGCCGTGCAAATCCTCGATTTGATGGGACCCAGGTGTCAGCTTGGAGACGAGAGCGATTGCGTGGAGGTGAACGTCGTCGTGGCTCGTAGCCTCGAGAAGGAGACCGACCAGCACGATCAGACGGTCGGTAGCTTTCACCTCCTCGACGTTCGTCAAATCTTCTGCAATCCCAGTCCATGTTCGTGAGTTTGTCGGTTCAAAAGACAAGGAGGTAGAATCAAACGGACCTGGAAGTTTCCTTGCCGCAGATACAAAGTGGCAGGCGGTGGCGGAACAGCGTCGGGATGCAAACTACCATGTATACTACCGTCTGATAATCTGATTGTACATATTACTTTAATACTGTTGGGTGCACTGAAAACGTCGATACGCCTTATAGTGGCTACTTTGGCCAGGATTTGATAAGCACTGTCAGCGTTTCCATCGCGACAACGGTCATGCCTATACTAGTTTGATCGTCGTCTGAAATGTTTTGAAATTCGGTCGTCGAGTAAAAATACAAGGAGGGTAGCTGGCACGAAAAACACGACCTAAAGTATTATAAAACAGAGGTCTTCATAGACAGAGACCAAGCATGACAATTAGCGCTTGCCTTTCCGCTCTTCGTCCTTGCGCAGTCGCTTGCGGCTCTCCTGGGCGATCATGTCGCTGAGATCTTCCTGGAAGCCCCACTGAGACTGGTTCTGTTGTTGTCGTTGCGCCTCATACAAGTTGTGAACATTCTCCTTGCTCAGACCATCTCCGGCTTGAATCGCGTCCAGATCGACAGATACCTCCACATCACCAGGCTTTTTGCGCTTTCGGCTTTGGTCGTCCACGCCCAAGACAGGTGGGTTTCCAGACGATGATCTGAGGTCGTATGCTCGGTCGCCTCCGAAGAAACCTTGAACATTGGTCTGCCTTTCTGGGATCACCTGGTAAGCACTCCGTGGATAGGGAGATTCTTCGGTCTCCGCCCCCCGGTGATGTTTCCGAACATCAAATTCTCCCGAGATATTCTCGGTCCTCCCGAGCTCTGGTGGGACGGCCGGTGCCATGTCATTGGAAGTATCCAGGTCATTGGGCGAGTGAATCTCGTTGGAGCCATCATTCTCATCATCTTCCTCTTCATCTTCCTCGTCCCCCTCTTCCTCACTGTCTTCCTCGGATTCTTCAGATTCTTGTAACTCTCCCCAGAGATCCTTTTCAACGGGCTCCCCTTGCTGATCATTCTGTTGGGGCTGAAGGATTCCGAAGATGTCGCCGCCGTAGAGTGGCCGGTTGTGTTCATCTACGGGGGGCTTGCCATACCCTCCTGGATGATAACCCCACATCCCACCCGGTGGAGGCGCCGCGTTAAGGCCAGGGATTTTCAGTACGGGGTATGAGGGCGGCGGTCCATATCGTTGCTGACTGATGAGCCACGGGGGAGGTGCGCCTGGAGGCATATTGAGGGCCTCCTTCAACTCATCGCTCAGATCACCCGGACGAAGGTGCTTCAGGTTGGTTTCGAACTCCTTGCCCTCGTAGTAGATTTCACCATAACGGGTAAGCTCAGGCTTGGTTTGAAAGCGGAAGAAGGCCTCGTAGAGTTTTTGATAGTCGATATCCAGTTTTCCCATCTTTGGTTGAACTCTCTCGCGTTGTTTCTGTTTAAGGGAAGATTGCTCCTGTTTATCCAACGCGGCATCACGCATCTCTGAGATACCAGTCTCCTGGATAAATTTCGGAAGGGCGAAAGGGGCTTTTTCGACGCCGCGCTTGGACGAGAGGTACTCGCGCTTCAGAGACCAGTGTGATGGAACGGGAACAACGTTTCGATGCGCCTTAAGGTGAATCAATAGTTTTGGATCAGGAGCAGACGTATCCGTCCACTCCACGATTTCAGGCTTCTGTACCATAGCTTTCAGTTCGGCCACAGAAAGCTTGTTCATCTCCTTTCGCTTCTTCTTTGAGATATTCGATTCGTTTGCATTTTCCTCGTCTGGAATTTCGTCCTCGTCATCAAAATACACTTCAGGTTTCTCGGCTTCTTTTGTGGGGTCTGTGTCTCCGGTGTCGTTAAACTTCTCGATGATGCCCTTGTACATCTCCCATAGAGGGTCGCCAGGCGCTGGGAGGATCGCGATTGGTGCTTCTGGCGTAGCATCATTTGTGTCTGCAATTTGTAGATTTGGGTCTGATTCTTCCTTCTGAGGTTGCTTAGCGGGCGCGCTCGTGGCCTTGGGAGAAATGTTAGTCAACGTTGACTGGTTGGATACCAGGAGTGGAAAGCTCACCTGAGCCTTTTGAGCCTTTTTCCGAGCTCGTCGGTGCTGATTCTTGCTAGCCTTCATGACTGATTGTATCGAAACACGCGGGTAACCAGACGTCGACGGGAGTCGTTAAGTGAGGAAGTCAAGGTACATTCGCGCCGTAGATGAGTTTCAGCGAACGCCCAGTCCTCGCGCAATCCTGGATCCAATACCTGATTGGTGGTTACTCTCACCGCCCTGTACCACGTTCGCCCGACACGTCTCCTCACCAGCAACAAAGTGCATTACAAAAAACTCTGTCGTGGATCTGACATTTACAATTAGAGATTTAAGAATCTATAACTTTGATCTAGTGTACATTCAGTCGCAATTGGGGGAGTAATAATCATAGAAGATATCGGTGACATTGTCAGGGCCCGGAACAGGACCAGAGAAAAAGCACCGCGGCCACACATTCTCATCCTTATAAGGCGAGGTTCGGGATATTCCCAATTGAATATATGCGTTCCGGTAAAGTGGCGAGAGTATTTGTGTGTGAAGGCTTTGCGAATAGTACGACTTTACCTCTTCTTCTTCGCCGATTTTGATTCTAGCAAGTAATTAGTGACCGAGGGACAAATGTTCTTCGTCAAATGGGAGGCTCACCTGCGGCAGTTCTCTTCTTTTTGGGTCGGCCCTTTCCGCGCAATTTCGCACTGCATCATCAAGTTAGTGACGAAGCCACAGGAGACAGTCGCGCACCACATACATTTGAATAGCTTCCTCTCGGTCATCCTCGGCCTCGTCGAAAGTCGTCAAGCCGAGAGGTTTGTATGTATTCTGGAGGTCTCTAAAAGAAACCGTCTTTTTCGGGTACCAGGCTGAAAGTGCCGGTCCTCGTAGCCGTTGTCTAAGGATCTTGTTTCCAAGCCGAAGCCTTTGTGGGTTGAAGTTGAGAGAGAAGATGCGGCATTGGGTCTGGAACGAGGGAAAACTTTAGCAGGCGCAGGGGGTAGCGTTGGTGCAGAAGCCAGTTACCTTGACTAGATCAAGAATCCGAGTTCGCGACATCTTGAATTGGGGTCCTTACGTGAACGTGAAGGAAGGAGGTCGATGCGCTTAATGATGTTCCGGCGCGAAGCTTCCGCGGAATAAAGGCTTGTCATGTGACACTGTTTTCAGGTGGGTCTGTGAGCGCTGGGAGAGCTCTCCTTATCAACCACTCAACTTGCAAAGCGATGGGTTCGAAAAGGTTACTTGATGCCTCTGGCAGCTGTTCTCCGAATGAGCTAGTCAAACGCTCCAAGGTAGGCATTCCCCAGGGTCGGCATAACCGCAGTAAAATGTCGGTCCGACGAGGTTGCTTGTGATCTAACACTTGGTAGAAGTTCAATCACTCGACAGAATCATCAGCACATGAATTGATTAAAAAGGATGAACTAGCGAAATTCAAAAACCCAGATTCCCGCCTCTCGCATTTGAGGGATCTTGTGCGCGAGATCATAGCCGATCCGGAGTTCGACAACATTGAATCCAACATCGCAACAGCAGTTTCCACGCTCAATACTGCATTTCAACATAAGGAGTCATCCCAGGCCTGTCCTAAAATGGAAGATCGCAGCCACGTCTCTGTGCCGGGAAGTAACAAAGAAGGGCCTCCTGCCTTGCCGCCAATTTCCGATGATCGATTGGAAAGGGCCGTCTTTACGCACCCAGCTTACGGCAACGGCCAAAATGCCACTTATGATCGACTGGAAATACTGGGAGATGCTTACATCGAGCTGATTGCGACGAAAATGGTCTGGAGGCAGTTTCCAGATATCCCCTCGGGTCGCATATCCCAGATTCGGGAGCTATTGGTCAAGAACGAAACCCTAGCTAATTTCGCTGATATGTATGGCTTCTCTCGCAGAGCAAATGTGCCATCTGACTACACCAGCCAGCCGAAACGATGGACCAAAACAAAGGGTGACATTTTCGAGGCCTATGTAGCGGCGGTCATCCTTTCTGACCATGTGGATGGCTACACGGTTGCAGATAAATGGCTTGCTAGCCTGTGGCTCCCAAAGCTCAATGAGTTGGGGCATCAGAAGTCGGTATTGCGCTCAAAGGAGCAGCTGGCTAAGGAAATTATGGCGAAAGGCATCAAGTTGGACTACATTGAGGAGCAACCGTCTTTGCATCAAAAGGGTACTGGCACTCAGACTTTCTTCATAGGTGTTTATCTTACTGGATGGGGCTGGAACAGGAAGCATCTCGGCTCCGGTCAGGGCCCAAGCAAGAGTGCAGCTGGTGATGAGGCTGCCAAGGATGCTCTTCAGAACACGCATCTGATTTCACAAATCAGCTCAGCCAAGAAACGATCACTCGGAAGAGCATGAAAACTCTCTTCTGTGATATCCTCAATTCTCCATATCTACTTCATCTGGTCGGGTCTTATAAGACTTGATACATATCGAGGATAATTGTAGAGAAAATAGCCAGGTTGGTTAGCGACATGTGACTAGGGTGGTAGGCAAAAGGGACTCAGGGTAGGATACGTGTATTCTCGTAAACACAAGATTAACGCTTGAAGAACTCAAGCGTATCGGTCTCTAGGTGAGGGGTCTTATACCTATGGGATTGACCGCTCGTTCTGACTCGGTTATGCACACAATTCTGCTAGGCATCTAGGCAGTAATGATCTCAGTGACTTTTCCCTTGATAATACTAATTCATGGTTTATTCTGAGTTTTTTTTTTTTTTTTTTTTTTTTTTTTTCGTGTAGGATTAGAAAAATGAGGCCTAGTGGATTATATGTGGAACATGGTGACCATTAGAGCATAGAAAATAATGATTTATGGGTAGGAGGTCATATGTATTTCCTACCCTACATAAACTATAGGAAATATAGGAAATATTAGGTCTGAATTATCCTATAGGTTGCTACAGTGGGTAATCTTTATATAGTTATTTGGCCTTCCCTCCCAAGAGTTAATTTACTAGAGAATGGATTTAGTTTATTGTCATCCTATGCTTTTAAATCTATAATTATAGCTCAAATAAACCATATATTTATATATATTATTGATAGTTTATATGTTATCAATATTTTATATACTTCTCAATTTATAGAACCTTATGATAACAGTTTGAAAATTTGATTTAAAGGCCGTTTTATAAATTACTATTTGTAATAGATTACTATGACTATATTGAAATTAGAGAGTGCTTAAAGGGTAAAAATCTATTTTCTTTGTCTCTAAATATTCTTTGACTCTAATTTAAAATTATCTATCTATTATATTATATAATTCAAATTAACTGAAGAAAAATTAATATATGAATTTAATTTTCTAAATATAGAAAAATATAATTTAAAATCCGAAATAATTTATCTTATGATCATCCTTTTATATAAACTTTTTGAGAAGAGAATAAAATTCTAAAATATATTTGAGATATATTTATAATTAGACTTTTAAGAATATAAATTTGAAATATAAATTGTCGGGAAATCACACTTGATTACCCTGGGGGTGACGGCCGATAATTCATCCGAAGTTCTGAATACTGAACCTTCCCTATGAGTGGCGTCCAATATATTAAAGCCACATTAGATGCATGGCATTTAATGTATCGAACTACCCCTGGTCGTGCCCCTTTTTACTTGCATATTTTGTTTGCGCTATTTGTTCTATTTTCGGTCTATAACGTAATCCACAGCCGAGTCGACACCACAACCGAGTCGGCACTTTCTCCGTCATCACTAGAGTATTAAAGCATTTCAACCACCAACGCCATTAAATTAGACTATATAAAAGATAAAATAAATAGCTACTTATTAGGACAGCGTCTTATGGTATGTCCAACAGTCCCGCAACTACTGCAGCGTGCTGGAGCTCGCTGGCGAGACCTGGATGCCTGCTCCTCAACCTGCTCCTCAACATGCGTATCAAGCTGCTGGAGACGATTTTGACCTTCCTGTACAAATAAAATAAGGTCATTACCTAGGGTAGCACGCCTCCTTGCCTTCTTTTTCATTTTCCACTCATTCTCAGCCCGTAGAACCTTGATTTCTTGTTGAAGAAGTAGGTTCGTATTCATTGCCATCTGCGTGGTCCTCAAGATGTTGAATATGAGACATCGGACTGCTAGAAGGTTTCCTTTTTTGAGTGCTTCTCTGTATTCTGCGAATCTTATGATCAAGCTGGCGAGGATTCTGAGGTGTTTGAAAAGCAGAGGAGATTGAAATTTCAACTTCAACAAGAGATGGTATTGGCGTACGAAGCTGGAAAGTAATCTTTTCAAGAACTCGGTCTTTATCAAGTGGCTTAAGACCAGCACCTGCAAAGCCATTGCATATATTCCCTTGAGTAAAGACCCTCTCGCGCGCGGATGGATATAGATGGAAGAAGTCTTCCTTATCAATATGGTTATTGCCGGCAGCCATCATCTCCTCAGTCAATTTCCCGTACGCGTTTGACCGGCCCAAAAACACCAACATCCAGTGATTGAAGAAGATGAGAAGTATGGGGAGGCATGCAGAGGCAGATTATTGCATTCTCTTTGCAAAAATCATCCAATTCTGCAGTCAGATGACTAGAATGGGCATCAAGAATAAGCAATCTCGTCGCACCAGTTAAATGATGTTTTGATTGTGGTTCAAACATCTCCTTTAGCCAGCGAAGGCCAATCTCATCTGTCGTCCATCCATTCTGGCTTCTTGCAATAGCGTAGCCCTTATTGAAGAGAGCAGATTCTTGATACCAAGCAGCCTGGTGTTCTTTTGCTTTTAAGATGATCCACGGGGGTATACGGATCCCTTTCGAGCTCACGCATTCAATCATTGTGACCCATTCTCGATTCCCCTGGATAACTCTTCGAGGTCTTTCACTACGCTCCACCGCAGTGATGATCTCGGAGGTTGAACAGAGTCCCATTGCAAAGCCAGTTTCGTCAAAATTCCAGATCAATCCTCATGGATACCATGTTCCTGAATAGCCTCATGCACACAGTCTCAAACCACTGTTTCATAACCATCGGATTCTCCTGCTTTGCACGCTGGTATGTAATCCTCCGATTATATCGTGTACGTAGCGCTGGATGGCGTTTAACAAAGTTGTATGCCCAGTTAATACCAATGGTTGTGGTAGGATCCTGGGTACGCTCACGAAGTAAGATCTGCGCCATTCCACGCAGAAACTCAGGTCAAATCGATAAGCCTCGTTTATCTGCGTCTAGCAGGTGCATGATCAAGACTTCTTCATGAGCTGTTAAATTTATGGCAATTGGCACGCGTTTCCGACCGTGATTTCATTCCCTTGAGCCGATCTTGAAGGGTTGACCCTGGTACGCCAAATACTACAGCAGCTTTTGATTGATATTGGATTTGCTTGCTTTTGTACACGTGCATGGCCATTTGCATTCGGTTTTCTTGAGATAGAAGCATTCTGAATCGTGGTGGTGGAATAAAGTTGCGTTGAATATTGCTTGATGGTGGTGCTAGGGAAAATTGCCGACTCAGTTGTGCGTTACGTTATATATCTACTTAGTTGCATCATTAGTTAAAGAGACAGTTCTATCTCTTTGACTGATCTCACTCTTCTTCCACACATTCCTGGTTATATGATTTAGCATCAGTGAACTTGCTTTGTCATCAGATACCAGCGAATGCTGACAGTTACAGACAAGTTTTAGTGTATAGGGGCCAAACTCTAACAGAAATCACTGTTTAACTATAACTAGTTATTAGGGATATTTTTTTTCTTAATATGGACTTTAAAAAGCTATAAAGTAGTATGAAACCTATAGGAATTTACTAAAGATATACTGAGAAGCTTTAAGGTAGATATAGAGCCAAATATGCTTTTTTGGCCGAAATAATATTCCTTTATTTTTTCAAGGAATACCCGCTACCCGCCACTTATCACTACAATATATTTCTAAATATATCTCAAGCTAAATTTATGCGACCGATAATAAAACTTTATTTCTAGCCACACATATAATTAAAATAAAAAGGCAACTAACAGTAAATCACAATTGTATCTCTAAAACCAAAATACAATATTATTTCACAATATTTCACATAGAAAAAGCAAAACCAGAACACTATATAGCACAGACAGAAACAGCAGCATCTTTGTTTTAAATACAATATGCTAGATATATCAAGGTCACATAGTATATAAAAGTAGATAAGGAAGCGAGATTTATGCTAGTGCGGAGCTCCATGGAGCTCCGCAGTGTGGGTGAGGATTCAATAGAACGGATGTGCCGCAGCCTACTAACATTAGTAGTTGTCAACATCCAGGTTCTATAACAGTGCTGAGTCATGTGCTAGACCGAGGATATTTTTAAGATTGAGACGAATCAGACTGCTCGCTCGAGAACGGGCTTTGCCTCGGGGGTCAAGTCTGCGGGTTGAGATTCACCTAGAATTCGCCTGATCATCTAACTATGATCAGGAGCAGTCTTAAATACACAAATAAAGATGCAAAACAACAAACAGAAGTAACGTAAGCAGTAAGCAAACAAGTGGTGTAAAGGGGGGTAATTCTGATATATCAATGCATTATTTTCGGCCGAAAAGAGGGATATGGCCAGTTGATCAGGTGATATTGATCGCAGCTTTGGAAGCCAGGTGTTGAAGCGGTTTGACTTCCAACAAGTAGTTGTTGGAAGTCAAAGTAGTTCAACACCTGACTTCTAAGGCTGTGATGTAATCCTGATCAGCTCACTGGGGAATAAGAGAGTTAGCTCGTGTGTAAAGGGGAAAGTACGAAATTTACCCCGCTTTCGCTTATATTGTTTGTCTGCTTGTTTGCTTCTATTTTGGTCTATTTATATGAGATTGATTCCAACGTTAGCTAGTGGGGCAGTTGAAGGTTCTCATCTCTGAATATTAGCTGTTCTCACCCATCTCATCTTTCCACGTCAATCGAGGTCCAGCACATGACTAAGACGAGTCATAGACCCCGATTGCTGACAGTAGTTTATATAAGATATTATAAATACTATAAATAAATATTATCTCTATAATAATTTTTGAACATATATTTCTTAACCTAAACTTTTAAGTTTTTCTAGATCTATCTCTTTTTTATATTCACTTATTATAATAAATATTAATATCTTGAAATACAAAGTCTTCTATTATAAACTAAGAAAATATTTATTATGGAGAATTTATTCCAATTATACTACTACTAATATCAAGATCATATAATATAATTAATAACTAGAAATTAATTAGATATATAACAAAATTATATATCTCCTTATATCTCTAACTACTAGATCTATATATATTAAGTTTATTACTCTTTATAATTACTATATATAGAGGATATATGTTAGAAGTCAACACAGTTCAACACTAACTTCTAAGGCTGCGATCAAATCCACCTCATTAATTGGCTAGGACTCGAGGTTTATCAGAGGTCATCCCACGGATGAGAAGAAATACAAACGTCTTCTTCTTATGGGTGATTTATTGTATTTACCCCGCTTTCTTTTCTACCATGTTTAGCCTGTTTGTTTCCATTTCGGTCTATTTATACGAGACTGATCCCAATATTAGCTAGACAGGCAGATACTCAGTCAAACCCTGAGAGACAAGCTTCTGTCAATCTCATCATCTGTTCTCACCCATCGTATCTTTCCACATCACTTGGGGTCCAGCACATGACTCACTTTGTCATAGACCCCAAACGCCGACATTAGAGATACAAAAACTATTATTATTATTATTTAGTTGAAATAACGTATTTCATCATTTAACATAAACGTTAAGAAATAATTACGACAAAATCTTAGTATCCAATTAAATAAATATAACATACTTCTAAACTATTATAATCACTCTTCTTAAAAATATTAAGTTTATAAAAATATTGAACAAAAATTTCAATAGCATCTTATTGAGTATATATTGTCAGCATTCGCTGGTATCCGATGTCAAAGCAAGCTGACTGATGCTAAATCATATAACCAGGAATGTGTGGAAGAAGAGCGAGATCAGTTAAAGAGATAGAACTGTCTCTTTAACTAATGATGTAACTAAGTAGATATATATAGACCGAAAATAGAACAAATAGTGCAAACAAAATATGCAATGAAAAGGGGCACGAACAGGGGTAGTTCGATACAGTAAACGCCATGCATCTAATGTGGCTTCAATATATTGGACGCCACTCTTAGGGAAGGTTCAGTATTCAGAACTTCGGATGAATTATCGGCCGTCACTCCCAAGGGTAATCACGTGTGATTTCCCGACAAATATACAGTTAATATATAGTTTAAAAAAGAGTGATTTAAGAGAATCATCTCCAGAGAGCGAGAGAGTATATGAAAGTTTGGGTAAGACCTTAGGAGTTCTTAAAAGATAGCCTTAAGTTCCTAAGATAGTGAATTATATCTAAAAATCTACTAACCGGCCCCACGTAATTTTCACCAAAATTACTGGACCCTCGCTTGCGAGGGTCCGACACCCAAACAAAAAACGACCCCCACAATATAAATCCCTTCAAAAAGCTACACTTCCACTTCAGCATCCTCCCACGCCATCAATATGCCTCATACAAACAAGGAAATTGAGGAACTGATTGAAAAAGCGCTGGAAAAACTACATACCCAATCTCGGCCAAATATCTCAAAAGTTGCGCGTGAACTTGATGTGCCTTATCAACGGCTCCGTAGCCCCTATCGGGGCAAAAAATCACTATTTGAACGTGAACCTAATGGTCGGAAGCTTGATCCTGCCCAAGAGAAAGCTTTATGTGGCTGGATAGACTATAATGATAGTCTAGGATTACCAGTTAAGCGCACACAAATTGTGGCAGCTGCAACTTCAATTTTGAAACTCGCAAACCCATCCTCACCACCACTGAGTGAAAAATGGCTCAAACGCTTCCTACAACGACATCCTAAATACAATATCCGACGTCGAAAAAGCCTTGATATTGAACGTCTTCATGCACATGACAAATCATTGATTCAGGAGTGGTTTCAAAGGTTTCAAAATGCATTTGATCTATATGGTATTCAACCTGAAGATCTATATGATTTTGATGAAACAGGCTTCCAAATTGGTATTGGAAAAGACCAATGGATCATTACACGTGAACCTAGCCAAAAAATGTTTCTGGCAACCATTCAAATCGTGAATATGTGACTGTGGGTTGAAGCAATCTCAACAGATGGGTTTTGTGTTCCACCATTGATTATTCTTGCTGCTGCACAGCTCCAATTTCGCTGGTTTGATGATCTGAAGAATGAGGAGCATATTGCTACCACTGAGACTGGCTATATAAATGATCAACTTGCTTATCAGTGGATTCAGCATTTTGAAAAGGCAACAAGAGCACGCATGAAAGGTTCCTGGAGGATGCTCATATGTGATGGCTTTGGCTCACATTTGACATATGAGATGGTCAAATATTGTGAAGATAAAAAGATTTTACTTTTCTTCTTACCTCCACATACAAGCCATCTTCTACAACCTCTTGATGTTGGTGTTTTTAATGTGTATAAACACTATCACAGCCAGGCCATTGAATCAGCAACCGCAACTGGTTGTACAAAGTTTTCAAAGATTGATTTTTGGCTGCAATTTCATCAATTCGCACCAAAACTTTTACATTACGCACAATTCGTCTTGGATTCAAATTATCTGGCATCTGGCCAAAAAATCCTGATATTGTGTGTGATAATCTGGTGGATTATAATCATCCTGAAGTGCCAGAATCCCCCTCAACCAATTCATCCAATTCAACAAATATCAGCACACCCAAAACAATTCAACGATTTCAGAGGCTTGAGAGCAGGCTTTTGACGTTAAAAAAGGATATTTCTCATTATGAAAATATTGTCAAAAAGCTCTCCAAGGGGGCACAATCATGTGCATATCAGCTAGAGGAGACACACCGAGAGATTGAGACATCAAAAGCTGCAACTGCTGCACGCAATGCACGTTATGGTGTATCAAGAACAGGTTTTCGATCAAGAGGCATTATTTCTTCAGCGAATGTGGCGAAAATGAAGCGGGATAAACAAAAGCTGACTGATTTGGAGGCAATTGATAAACTGCGGCCCCAGTGGAAGAAGGTTATGATTGAACTAAAACGGCACTGTAGGCAGTCAGGACGCCGTTTGAAGCGCTGAAAATTTTTTTATTTATTGTTCGTCCTATGAATACACATACTGAGACCTCAATTACTAGTAATTCTAATGTAAATGTGGGTAATTTGGGTGTCAAAATCGGATGCTGCGATAATTTATATTGTGGGGGTCGTTTTTTGTTTGGGTGTCGGACCCTCGCAAGCGAGGGTCCGGTAATTTTGGTAAAAATTACGTGGGGCCGATTAGTAGAGAAAACCCTAATTGATTAAAGTATCTGTCAGCATTCGGGGTCTATGACAAAGCGAGTCATGTGCTGGACCCTAAATGACGTGGAAAGATAAGATGGGTGAGAACAGATGATGAGATTGAGAAACTGTCTCTCGGGGTCTGACTGAATATCTGCCTAACCAACTAACGTTGGAATGAATCCTGCATAAATAGACTAAAATCGAAGCAAACAGGCAGACAAACACGGTAAGAAAGAAGCGAGGTTAAGCTCGTATTTTCCCTTTTATCCACGGTCTGACTCTCGTCTGAGTTTTAAGTCCCAGTGAGCTGATCAGGTGTTAAACTACTTTGACTTCCAACATCTAATATATCTAGATTTAGGAAAAGAGTAATTTTCGTCTTCTTTTGAGGAAATGTTTATTTCTCTTTTTGATATTCAAAATAGCGACAATTGTCTAAGATTACTAACTATACTTAGGTTTTTTTTAAAATAGAGGTAAAGAATCTATAATTAATGGTAATATAGGAAGATTTGTCTTCTCTAAAGTCTTAACGTATACTTATAAGTATTATTTTAAAAGTTTACTAACAAAACAGCACTCTTTTATCGAGAATCTAATATCTAAATACTTAATAGTTATACTATTAGTTTATAGATTATCTAGATAACTTTTAATAATACTAAATCTTAGAATATACTATAATTAGAGATTCAATCATTCAAGTATAAATAGAATTATACTAGTGTATCTATTATACCTAAGGCCTGTATAGAATTTATATTAATTTAATAATCCGCGGTTAGTTATAGATACTTAGGTAAATTAAGGCCTTCTATATTTGGGTTTTTAAGATATAATTATGTGTCCTAAAAAATTAAGACTATTTTTTAGCAATCTATATACTTATATATACGCTCCCTTAGGCTCTTGGTCTCTAGTTCTTAGTGAATAATGAAAAAAATAATTATTCTAAGAGAGGGACCTCTTAGATTGGGGGGTTCCCTTTCCAAACTCATATTTATTAATACCTTCGTTTTCAAAGCACTATTGTTATATACTTCTAGTGATTTTATATAAATATTAGAATAATATAGTATAAAATTATGCAAGAGTGTAGTATAATATATTTTTATCTAGAAACTACTATATTTATTCAGAATTATCTAAGAAAATCTCATAGAAATATTGAATATTAATTATAACAATATTTAAAATTTCAAGTTATAAATATATTTTATTAGTAACATTATAAGTAAACTGCGGCACTAATCGGAAAGACCAAGGTTAACTGCAACTATGTCCAAAACCAAATGGTTTTGGTCAACTAATGGTTAGTTCAAGTATACGAAATGGGAGTCGGGCAATGGTGATAAGCTGGAAAAGATGGTGGGTATGAAGATCTTCAGAGAAGGACTGGGGCGATCGGGTTCGGGGCAAAGAAGAGAGTTAGTTAATAGTGGTAGATGAATGAGATGATATTTAAACTGACTAATTGGAGTAGCAGCTGAATATTAATCCCTCGTTTTTGTAGTCCAGGCTTGCAAGTAGTACATTTAAGATGTGTATTCATTGGGCTTGTCCCCCCGCGGCGTAGCTGGGGATGAGTACGGGTAGTATGGCAGCGCTTGCAGATGATCTTTGGCTCGCCAGTCTTCTCATGTGCAACTTGGTCGAATGCATCCAAAACACTTGATCTTTTCTTATTATCCCAGCCGATCGGAGCCCTAGTATCCTCCTTTACTGCAAAGTCGGTCTGTAGCCACCATTCCGTAAATTGTAAGCGAGATTGCTCCATATCAGGATCTGTATCGTAGAGTATCCAGATCTGTTGGAACCGAGGGCCAACGCGTTTTAGCGAGGATGGTGCTGGCTGTTGGGAAGACTGGCGAGGATCAGACAGGGCAACTGACGTGGCTGTTCGGCAAGTATTGCTAAGGACAGGTGGATCGTCTGACTGTAGAAAGTCAGCATCAAAAAACTGATCGGTAAAACTAGATACTTGGGAATAAGCCTATTACGAAGAAATACCTACGCAGTAGGGGTCTGGCAGAGAGGAAACGGAAACTTACTGGGGATTCACATTGGGATAAGAGGGAATGAGTTAGGACCAGGAGGAAATTAAGAGATATCAAAAGGAATTATACATTGCTTATTGACCCTGTAAGTTGATTAGTCCCACCATCTAGTAGTGCAGTTATCTCTTGATTAACCAAGAGATAACCGCAAAGACCGCAAACTAACCATATGCTAGTTACTATAACTTATTATCTAAAACTTACAATTTACTTCTATAACGTGATCCACGGTCGCGCGAGCGACCCCACCAAAATTGAGAAAACCTTCAATTTTTGACCACTATTAAAACCACAATAATAACATAAGTTTAGCTATTGAACACGTGTAGGGCATTTAGGATATGTATGACCTTTTATCCCACAGCTAGAACATGTCACCTGCCGCCGAGCCAAAGGGGTAGAAGGTAAAGTAGGCTCAGTAACCAGTTTTGCAGGCACCTCTGGTAAAGATATATCTTTGCTTCTATCTTCATCCTCAACCACCACATCATCTTCACCACCCTCTAGACCACCAAAGATGCCTTTCTGGGTCGTAAACTTATGTTTGGTCTCTCGTTTTTTGGCCTGTTTCTTGTTGGTAGCTTCTAATTGGGTACAGCGATGCTGGAGAAAAATGTGGCGGTGGACTACTTTTATAGTCATCCTGTAGGTCTTCTCAATCTCCTTTTTTGTTGGTGAAGAAAGAAAAGAAGAAGAAGACTCTAGACCTTTTTTGATCCGAGATTGCGATTTTGTGAATCTTGAGAGGGTCCAAAGAGTATTTGGATCACTATCACTGCCAGAAGAGAGTGGTCGCTGGGAGAGGATCTCCAGAGGAGGAAGAGAGTCCAGGTGCACATTTAGCTTTTCCAAGACTTTATTAGCATCAAATGGGGCTAATCCAGTAGCCAAAAAGCTATTCTGTATAGTGGAAGACTTAAAAGAACCCATTCTCGCATCTGCGATTAGTTCTAGGAAATCTTCCTTGTCAACGGTGTTAACTCCGTTCCGCACCAAAGTTGAAACCGCTCCTCCATAAAGTCTCTTTAAAACCGAGAAACAACCCACATCCAAAGGCTGTAAAAGATGAGAAGCATGCGGAGGCATACAGATTGCGATGATTTGGTGTTCTTCACATATTTGGTCAAATTCAGGTGTTAAATGACTCCCATGACCGTCAAGGACCAGTAAGCAATATTTTCCCACTCTTGTCCCAATGTTTGGGATAAAATGATGTTTTAGCCACCATAAACCAATTGTATTGGTAGTCCAACCATTTGGGCTCATAGTTAGACGAGCTCCTTTTTGATTTAAAAAGAGGTAGGGTCGTAAATGCTCTGGGAATCGGTTTCCTTTGAAAATGAAGAGTGGAGGGAGAACACTTCCAGAAGCTCTTATACACTCAATCGAAGTCACCCACTCACGATTTCCGGCTTGCAAAAGTGCTCTTTTTCCATGGTATTCCGCTGAAGTGATAATCTTTTGCGTTGCGCCAACACCCATGGCAAAACCAGACTCATCAAAGTTGAAGATATCGTCTGAAGCGATACCCCACTTTTCCATCGTCCTTTGAAGCAAATCAAACCATGGTTTAATAATTCGAGGGTCTTCTGAAAGAGCTCTCTGATAGTCGTATTTGCGTGAAAGTCGAGTAGAGAGATTTGGGTGTCGTTTGACAAAATGAGAAGGCCAATTAATACCAGTGGTACAGGGGCCTTTTTTCCGTGCACTAAGTAGAAGATTGGCCATATCTCGCAACATAGGCAAAGTAAGAGCTGCACCTCTTGAGTCCATATCGAGTAGCCAGTTTTCTATCGATTGCTCTTCGATTTGAGAGAAAATATGGCCAGATGGCCTCTTTTCAGTAGCAGATTGGCGCCCATTGATCCGGCCTTCAAAGTTGAGACAGGTATCCCAAATGATCGTGCAGCAGCTGCAGCAGAGGGATATTTGCCATCTTGTATAGCTTTTATAGCTAATAAAAGGCGACCCTCCTGCTCTGTCAACTTCTTTTTTTATCAGAGCGTTGGGGGGGGGGGGGGGGGGGGGCATTGTCGTTGTGGTTGAAAAAGATGGATTATTATTGAAGTGGATTTTTGATGGGGTCGCTCGCGCGACCGTGGATCACGCTAGAGGATATTATTATTATGTAATATAGTTCTTAATTAAATATAGCTACTCTATTTTCCTTATTAAATAATTTAGTAAATTAAAATAGAAACGAATAATACGATTAGAGACTTAGATATGGTCGGCATTCGGGGTCTATGACTTCGCTTGGCCATGTGCTGGACCCCGCATGGGATAAAGGATAAGATGGTGAGAACAGATAGATTCAGAGAAAACTGTCTCGAGAGGATCTGTCTGTCTAACTAAGCATGGGATCATTCTTGTGTAAATAGACCGAAATGGAAACAAACAGGATAAACATGGTAGAAAAGAAAGCAGGGTAAATATAATAAATCACTCATAAGAAGAAGACGTTTGCCTTTCTTCTCATCCGTGGGATGACCCTCTGATAAACCTCGAGTCCTAGCCAATTAATCAAGTGAATTCGATCGCAGCCTTAGAAGTTAGGTGTTGAACCGTGTTAACTTCCAACAATATAGACATAATATTACTTAGTTACTAGAATTTATACTAAACGTAATTCCGGCCGACCTGGACACCTACCCCTATTAGACAATTTAAATTAGGATATCTTAACAAAAACACCTAAATGGAATTAAATATAGCGATTTCTACATGAATTGATCCTGTGCCCAACCTCCCTACATCTACTGCACCTTGGCGCGGCCCTCGTTGCTACCTGATCTGGCTGAATAGGCAATTCGCCCTGCGTATGCGATACTAGCTTATCAACTTCAACTGGTTGATCTAGCTGCTGAGCTAGCTGTAGGCCCTCTTCAACCGATAGGCCCCCTTCATGTGCTATCTATCGCTTTGACCGTGTGCGTTGCTGGCGTTTCTTCTCATTCGCTGCGCGTAGATTCGTGACTTCTTGCGCTAGTAGCGCTGTGTTATGTAGCGATATATAGTGGCCTTTAATAATCTGATCTAGCATGATTTTTGATGGGCTCGGAGGGCTACTTAACCGTTGCTTTAGTAAGTTCATTAAACATCGAAGCTTGCTTTTGTAATTGATCGACGGTCTTTGGCGTTTTTGGTGTGAACTGGCTAGATCCGCTGCTTGGCCGGCTTCCTGGCGGTGTTGGCGTTCGGAGCGAGATATTTAGCTTTGAAAGCACACGCTCTGGGTTAATTGGAGTAAGACCAGTAGCAGCAAGCTATTTTGAATAGTCTGAGATTGAAACGACTCAATACGCGCCTGGGGGTAATCGGCGAGAAAAGAGATTATCGATGTGGTTATATTCATCACGCGCTAGATCGCTCACGAAGCGACCGTACGCGCGTTTAAGCACAGCAAAACATCCAACATCAAGCGGTTGTAGTAGATGCGAGGAATGCGAAGGCATACAAAGCGGTATAATATCGTTTTCTGCGCAGATTCGATCGAATTGAGGTGTAAGATGGCTCCCGTGGCCGTCAAGAATTAATAGCAGATATCTACCTCGGACACGCGAATTCGTTGATGGAACAAATAGCTTTTGTAGCCAGCGAAGGCCAATCTCATTGGTGGTCTGACCGTTTTTCGAAACCTCCATTCGCGATTTCCTGGTTGGAGGATAGATCGCCGACCGTAGTATTCTGCTCGCGTGACCACCTTCTGCGCTGAAATAAGACCCATCGCGAATTCTGTCTCATCAAAGTTGTAGATGTCCTCTGGTTGAATACCCTTCTCATCGATAACGCGTGGTACGGTAGGAAAACACTCTCGTAGCGATTTTCGGGTCTTCGCTTAGAGCGCGCTGATAGTCGTCGTATCTTCTTGAGAAGCGTGTGCGAAGCTCATCGCGCCGTTGAATAAAGGTTGATGGCCAATTCTTGCCTACAGTAGCCAGAGGGTTCTTACCGCGCGTAGCTAGTAGGATATTAGCCATATCTCGCAAGTAGATGGCCTAGGCGCTGCTCCACGCGAATCCATATAGATAATCCACTCAGTAAGCGAATCCTCTTCATATTGCGTGAATTTATGACCGGATGCGCGTTTCTCAGCGCGTGAGGTTTGACCGTGGGCGCGCGTATGTAGTATTGAGAGCGGTATTTCGTATAACTTCGCTGCTGTGCGAAGAGATTTGATGCGACCATCTTTTAAATCCTGGAGGGCTAATAGTATTTTGCCTTCCTGATTAGCCGATTTTGGCCAGGATTCAGAGCGTTTTGGTGGCATGGTTGGTGGTCGAAGCGGAGGATGTAGAGACAGAGACGCGTTTTTGAGTGGGTGTCCAGGTCGGCCGGGAATTACGTTTACAATTATTATAATATTTAAGAATTATTAGTATAAAAGAAATCTAAATTATCCGTATAAAACATATTTGTAGGCCTAATTAGATATTGAAACAAGAATAATAACATTAGATAAAAATTTATTAAGCTAGAAAAAATGTTATTTTAATGTCTTAATTTCTAAAATTTTTATAGGGTAAAATAAAATAGTTTAGTAATATTTCACGTAAGTTTTGTTTGAATTAGATAATAAAATATAGTATAATTTATAATTTTTCTGAGTATGTAAAACAATAGAATATGGTATATCTATAACTATCGAAGTTAAAAGATCTAAATTCCTCTAAAGAACAAGAGTAAATTAGAGAATCTCTATCTACTAAATAAAGTATCTCTAAATTCTAAGAATAATAGTTATGTCTTATAGGTAGTTTAAAAAACCTATAATTATATATTACTAAAATAATATTAACGTATTCGGTAAGCAAGTCGGCCACGTCACGCGTTTTTCGGCCTCGGTCGAAAACCTCACTCAATTCAACCACCAACCATGCCTCCAAAAGCGCGTCAAAAGTCAAATTCAATTGAGCAAGAAGGAAGAATCTTACTTGTTATTTCAGCTTTAAGAAAGCACGAAATTTCGAATATTCGTGAAGCAGCACGTACTTTATGATATACCTCGCTCTACTCTTCAAGACCGATTACGTGGAAAGACATTTCGCAATGAATCACGCGCCAACTCCCATAAAATGAGTCAAAATGAAGAGGAATCGCTTGTACGATGGATCCTATCGCTTATTCAACGTGGAGCACCTCCCCGACCGTCACATATACGAGAAATGGCCAATATTCTTCTTACTGCGCGAAATACCACACCTCTTCAAACAGTAGGAGAGAAATGGGTATACAACTTCATCCAACGACGTGATGAACTAAAGACATGCTTCTCTCGACGATATGACTATCGACGTGCTCAATGTGAGGACCCTAAAGTTATAAAGGAGTGGTTTAATCGCGTACAAATCACCATAATGCAGCATGGGATTTTTACCTGAAGATATCTACAACTTTGATGAGACTGGCTCTGCTATGGGCCTAGTAGCTACTGCTCAAGTAGTTACTAGAGCTGACTTACTATGGGAGAACGCCTCTTGTACAGCCAGGGAATCGAGAATGGGTTACTTCTATTGAGTGTATTAATGCCTCTGGATGGGCCCTTCCACCATGCATTATCTTCAAAGGAAAGGTCCATATAGAGAGCTGGTATCAGAGCAATCTACCACACGATTGGAGGATTGAAGTTAACCGGCCCCACATAATATTTTACGAATATTACTCGACCCTCCTACGAAGGGTCCGCCACCCAAACGCTAGATTTTCACTTTTGCCTACACCATATTTTTGATCATCAACAACTCCACCAACAATGCCTAAAAATAATCGAGAGATCGAGGATCGAATCCTCAAAGCCCTGGCATCACTTCAAGATCAGTCAAAGCCCAATTTCGCGAAAAGTGCGCGAGAATTCGCGGTTCCTGTGGATCGGCTTCGTCGGCGCTGGAAAGGGCAAAAATCCCTTTTCACTCAATAACCTAACGGTCGGAAGCTCAATCCTGCACAAGAATTAGCTCTCTGCGAGTATATCAATTACTTTGATACAGTCGGGTTATCGATAAACCGTGCGCAAATCAGTATTGCTGCCAATTCAATTCTTGAAGAAGCTCATTCAGACAAGAACACAAATCCACCACAAATCGGTGAACACTGGCTAGCACGATTTCTTCAACGCCATCCTGAATTCTACCGTCGTCGCCGGAGAGCTATCGATATCGAAAGAGCTACTGCATTAGACAAATCAGTAGTTGAAAGATGGTTTACGGACTATCAACGTGTTGTGACTGAGCATGGTATCCTACCTGAAGATATCTACAATTTCGATGAGACAGGCTTCCAAATTGGTGTTGGAAAAATCAATATATCATCACAAGAGAGCCAAGAAAGAAACTCTTTAATGGTTCTATCACAAATCGTGAATCTGTTACTGTTTTAGAGGCTATCTCGGCTGATGGTTTTACCTGTCCACCACTTATAATTCTGAGTGGAAGACAGGTATTACTACGATGGTTTGAAGGCTTACATTTACATGGTGATGAGCATATTGCTGTCACTGACACTGGCTATATGAATGATGTTTTAGCGTACCAGTGGATCCAGCTCTTTCATAAGTGGACAGTTAGTCGTACAAAAGGGGCAAAACGCCTTGTCTTATGTGATCGTTTTGGATCCCATTTGACTAGGCAGTTCATCCAGTTTTGTGAGAAGAATAATATAGTATTATTCTTCTTACTTCCACATTCAAGTCATATCCTGCAAGCTCTTGATGTTGGTGTTTTTAATGTTTATAAGCACTGGCATAGTGAGGCGATTGAAGCTGCAACAGCGACTGGTTGCACAAAGTTCACAAAGGATGAATTTCTCTATGCAATTACTCAAATTCGTCATAAGACCTTTCGTCCTCAAACAATCAAGTATGGGTTCAAATTAACTGGCCTCTGGCCAATTAATTCAAACCTAATTACAGATGACTTGTCTTTATATGATGATGATAATGATCGATCTCGAGATACTACACCATCAACAACATCACAAAATAGCGACTTCAGCACCCCAAAAACAGCCAAAAAAAGTGCGAAGGATGAGTGATTATATTGATACTCATAATCCTACTTCTTCACACTACAAACAGGCCTTGGAAAAACTCAGAAAAAGTGCTGAAATGACCGTGACCTTGGCATCCGAATTACAGCGCCAGTTTGATACAACTCAAGCTGCTACAGCTGCACGCCTTGCTCGGCGTAATGCCTCCCGACGCCATGCAAGAATCACTGGTGTTATATCTCCTAGTCAATTCAAGGAAATAAAGCGAAAGCAGTATAAATTAAGTGAGGAAGCTGATCAAAAGCGGCAGAGACAGAGGTGGAAGAAGGTCTTAGTAGAGATCAGGAAGTACGGATGAGCTCAAAAACGTCTGAAAACCCCCAATTTTTATTGATTTGTATAGTTTAGGACCTAATATAACCTTTTATCAAATAAAATATGTAAATCTACGATGTTTGTTGATGTAATTTGAAGTTGAAGTTGAAATGTTTGCAAATCTAGCGTTTGGGTGGTAGCTAGCGTTTGCGTGGCGGACCCTCCGTAGGAGGGTCGAGTAATATTCGTAAAATATTATGTGGGGCCGGTTAGTCCAAATGGCTGGACTAGTGATGAAATAAGCCTTCGCTGGCTTAAGAATCTCTTTATTCCTGCTACTACTGGCCATACAACTGGGAAATATTGCCTCCTAGTTCTTGATGACCATGGCAGTCATCTAACACCTCAATTCGACCAGATATGTAGTGAGAATAGTATTATTCCTATCTGTATGCCTGCTCATTCTTCGCATCTACTGCAACCTCTGGATGTTGGCTGTTTTTCACCATTAAAACGTGAATACGGACACCTAGTGGAGAAGAGAGTGCGCCTTGGGTTTAATCATATCGACAAGCTTGACTTCCTTGAAGCTTTCCCTCAGGCGCGTATAGAGATCTATACTACTAGCAATATCTGTAGTGGTTTCTCTGCTACTGGGCTAGTTCCATATAACCCAGAGAGGGTGCTTAGCCAGCATAATATTCAGCTGAATACGCCAACACCACCAGGCAGTCGGTCAACCAATTCAGTACCTAAGACACCCTATACCACCAGGCAGCTCGAGAAGCAGGCATCTATGGTGAAAAGAAAGCTTCAGAGACGCGTACAGGAAGGCTCCCAAAGTCCTACCTCTTCATTAGTGGTTCGATTGGACAAAATCATTAAAAGCAATGAAATTGCTTTAAATGAGGCAGTTGTTATGCGTCAAGAAATTCGCGATTTACGAGCTGTACATGAGAAACAGCTTCAAAAGCGGAAGAAGGCTACTAGGCAGCTTACTGCTGCAGAAGGCTTTTCTATTCAGGAGGGCTAGGAACGATTTCTACAGGAGAATCAGGTTTTTGAAGCTCAAGATACTGTGACTAGGGATCCAGGGCTTCCTGCAGTTGGACTACGCGTAAGCGCGCCACCGCAGTGTTCTAATTGTCATATTCGGGGGCATACTAGGGTTAGGTGTCCTAATCCGCCTAGTAATTAGTTTTATATAGAAATGCAATTGTTTTGTTGGTAAAAAGCTGCTTGAATCTCAAGTCGTGGAAATCGGGTGGCGGTGGCCGACTCGCTCACATGGCCGACTCGCTTACCGAATACGTTAATTGCGGTGTCCCTAACAATTCCCGTGCCGTTACTAAAAAGTTGGGGTGTCCTTACCAATTCCCACTAAGTAGATATATTTAGACCGAAAATAGAACAAATAGTGCAAACAAGATATGCAAGTGAAAAGGGGCACGAACAGGGGTAGTTCGATACATTAAACGCCATGCATCTAATGTGGCTTCAATATATTGGACGCCACTCACAGGGAAGGTTCAGTATTTAGAACTTCGGATGAACTATCGGCCGTCATTCCCAAGGGTAATCACGTGTGATTTCCCGACAATAACTAATATTTCAAAAAAACATCAGATATTTTATAATATAAACAGTAATTATATGGCTATTTATAAATTAGTGTGAAAGTATGTAAAAGCTATGGTTCGGTTATTAGAGAGTATTCTTTTCGAAATATTTTTATAACTTGCTTTATATTTTTTATATTACCTGGAGTCTAGTATATTATGTTTATTTACATAACTATCTAACTAGATAGAATATTCTATTAAGCTAATATATTAGACAAAGATAGAATAAATTAGAGTTTTAATTATAAATATAATATATTCTCTGACTTTTGATGTAACATAAATGACAATTTTTCTATATATTAATCATTTGCATTTTGAAATGAAGAAATTTTAATTATAACATATTTCGAAAAGAGATATATAAAACGAAATCTATAATGTAAATACCAGTTGGAAGTTAACACGGTTCAACACCTAACTTCTAAGGCTGCGATCAAATTCACCTCATTAATTGGCTAGGACTCGAGGTGTATCAGAGGGTCGTCCCACGGATGAGAAGAAAGGCAACCGTCTTTTTGTTATGAGTGAGTTATTATATATACCCTGCTTTCTTTCTACCATGTTTATCCTGTTTGTTTCCATTTCGGTCTATTTATACGAGATGATCCCATGATTAGTTAGACAGACAGATTCTTCCTGAGACAATTTTCTCTGAATCTATCTATTCTCACCATCTTATCCTGTCGGGAAATCACACGTGATTACCCTTGGGAGTGACGGCCGATAGTTCATCCGAAGTTCTGAATACTGAACCTTCCCTGTGAGTGGCGTCCAATATATTGAAGCCACTTTAGATGCATGGCATTTAATGTATCGAACTACCCCTGTTCGTGCCCCTTTTTACTTGCATATTTTGTTTGCACTATTTCTATTTTTGATCTATATATATCTACTTAGTTACATCATTAGTTAATCAGACAGTTCTATCTCTTTGACTGATCTCACTCTTCTTCCACACATTCCTGGTTATATGATTTAGCATCAGTCAACTTGCTTTGTCATCTCATACCAGCGAATGCTGACATATCCTTTATGTCATTCGGGGTTCAGCACATGGCTAAGCGAAGTCATAGACCCCGAAAGCTGACAATTAGTGATATCGAGGATATCTAGAAGAGGAGGATCAGATAGAGGCAAAAAGAGAAATGGGGACTAAGAGGGCTAACCTAGAGAAAGCCGGCTCAGAGGTGTCTCATCAGTAAAGTAGTGGTGATTCACCACTTCCTTAATAGCCTAGTGAGAAGGCTCCAAAGCAAAGACAGAGTGTTTATTCGCTAGGCTCGGATAATAATTCTAGGCTTCTAAGGTCTGAGCCTACTCGATTATCTAGTCACTCAAAGACGTCTTGCGCTTTTTAAAGATATTATAAATACTTAAATAAATTTACTATAATATTTAAATTTCGAAACGCGAAGAACACATTTGAAATTTCCCTTTAATTCAATACCTATTCATTACACTCAAAATAGTAAGAAACTCTGAAAATTTATACAGACTAGATAGACCACCCGATATTACTCTTATTAGTAGTTTTTATTACCTATGGGAACTGCTACACTCTAGTGGTAGGCAAAAGTGACTTAGGGTAAAATACGTGTATTTTCGTGAAACAAGATGAACGCTTGAAGAACGCAAGCGTATCGGTCTCTAGGTGAGGGGTCTTGTAACCATATGGAGGTTTGACCGCTCGTTCTGACTCGGGTTATGCACACGATTCTGCCAAGCGTCTAGGCAGTAATGATCTCTGTGACTTTTTATGTCAAATCATCAGATGAAGAAAACATTCGCCCTTCACGCCGATAATTCATGAAAGAAGAAAAACTATGTATGCGTGTTTGACACTGGTTCTACCTTACACATCTGTAACAACCTCTATCTTCTATCTGATTATCAACCATCAGTCTTAACTGTTTAAGTTGGTGATACCCAGACCAGACTATTCTTAGGTTATTAAGTTAGATATAGAACAACAATTGTTATTCTATCTGAAAACTTAGGTGGAACATCATTCCCACTCAAGAATATCATTTCCACTTAAGAATGTTGTATGTGCACCTGGGTTTTATCTGAACCTAATATCTGCAGATTGTGCAGCTAAAAGGAGGCCATTTCCTTTAAGGCAAAGACTGTCCTCGAGGATGAAGATGGCACAAGCTAAATAAGCTAACGTAATCAACTACCGAACGGCGTACACCCCTGGACCGAGCCGCGCAACCCATCAAAAAACGCGTTCTGACACATAACGCCCCTCTTTAACCACCCACCATGCCACCCACACGTGTTCAATCAGGCCATGATTCTGCCAATCGCGAGGGCAGGATCTATTAGCCCTCGAGGCTCTTTAAAACGACAAAAAGCTCTCAGGACGCGAGGCTGGGCGTATATATGGTGTAGCGGAAACTACACTACACTACGCGACTGGGCTAATGTGCGAACATCACGTTCTGATACACGCGCCAATAGCCATAAATTGACTAGTTTTGAAGTAGATACACTAGTTCAATGGGTTCTCTCAATGGACGAACGTGGTGCAGCGCCTAGGCCATCTCATGTCAGAGATATGGCTAATATTCTGCTGGCCGACCGTGGAAACGCCCCCCCCCCCCTACCTTAACTGTGGGTATAAACTGGGCGTCAAAGTTGATCAAACGCCGAGATGAGCTACAATCTCGTTTTTCACAGCGATATGACTATCAACGTGCAAAAAACGAGAATCCAGAGATCTTACGTTGCTGGTTTCGCACTGTTGAAAAAACAATTAATGAGAATGGTGTACAAAAGTAGGCTGCATCTCTAAAGACGCTACTTCGGGAACGTTCAAAAAGCCCCTCAACGCCTACTAAGAACATACTGGATCAAATCATCAAAGGGTGCTATCATCATATACATCATTCTGCATTACTAGCACAGGAAGTTGCTAGTTTACGTTCGCTGAATGAGAAAAAACGTCAAAAAACAACGTATGAATCGCCTAGTTCGCCGTGAACAGGGCGTTACGGTCGGCGAGGGCCTACCTCAGCCAGCGCAGCCAGTACAGCCTGTACAGCCAGTTGAACGTGTTGATCAACCTCTCGTTGAACCTGCCGAACAGCTTATTTCGCCACCTCAGCCGCCATGCTGGGCACCGCCTACATGCAGCGGCTGTAACCGTGTGGGCCATATAATTACCCGTTGTCCTAATAAGTAGTTTTTTGAATATCATGTGTTTCGGCGGAAATAATGTTCTTTGAAGATGTGGGGGTGGGCCAGGTGCGCGGCTCGGTGGTGTGCGCGGTTCGGCAGTTAGTTGCTTAAGTTATGTAAGGTTTATCTGATCAAATGGGATCAAAATACTCGAGATAAAACCCCACCAGATATCAATCATTCGACTAATCGTGTCTTACGAACTCCTTTAATCTAATATCTATCCGATCAGATA